TAAAGATTAAAAGCTTAGTGTTAACTATAAGTATATAACGCTTATCTTAATTAAGTACGTTATTAAATATAAAGACTAATTTAAGTTAAATCTTACTATTATAGAAAAGGCGCGATTTCTCGGCTTTATTAAAAATAATATTAAAAGTAAAGACTGTTTTTACTTTTTCTACCTTTATAAGTATATTAAATACTTAAGTATATTTATTAAGGTAAATAGTAAAAATATAATAATACGTCTCTTTAATGCCTTTAATCTTATTAAAGCTAATATTAAAGACTTAAAAACCTTTAAGATTAACCTAAAGTTTATATACCTCTTTTATAAAACTAAAGTAGTATTTAAAGCTAAAGTTATAGTCTACTTTAACTCTTTTAACTTTAAAGTATTAAAGACGTTTACTAATAAGATTATATAATATAAATAAACTAGTAAGCACTAGAGAAAATACCTTTTATAAGTATATAGTTAAAAACTAAGTATATATAGCTTAATAAATACTAACGGAATATTCTTAGTATTATACTTTACTACTCTTACTAATAATAATAAGTTATACTCTCTCTTGTAAATCTTAAGTTAAGAACTTACTATATAAAGATTCTACTATTACTTAGATCTAAAGGATAAAACTAAAGCCGTATTTCTTTATAACATAATATACTAGTATAGTATTTTATAATAATACCTTAAAGCTAATTATAGACTATACCTGACTATAGTTACTTTATATAATAATAGTAAAACTTAACTTATAACTTATCTTGAATTTCTAATTATCTTAAGTCTTAATAATATCTAAATACAAGTTTTCACTAAGGTAGATATATACTATTATAACCTTTCCTTAACTAATAAGCTAGGATTATAGGTTAATAATCTCTATTAATATATTTTAGACTTTTATAGATTTTATATTAAGCTACTTACTTTTAGTTACTTAAAAGAGTTATAAAAGTTATATAATTATTTAAAACTTATCTATTACTTTAAAGCTTAGAAGATATATATTCTAATAAGTGTTTATAGAAGAGAGTTATATAGTAAATATAATATTAAAAGTGATAAGTCACTTAGCTTCTTTACTATCTTAACTAATAAGAATAATCTTACTTAATTAGTTTTTACTTAATAAGATACTTAAATTATAATAATAAACCTTAACTAAAAGGCTATAAATATTTATTTCTCTAATAATTATACTACTTTTATAGATAAAGATCAGCTTGAAAATAACGTTTTAATTAACGAGTATATAATAGACTATATTTAATAAAAGATCCTAATTACTCTGCGATTTATAAGATATTTAAGAACTTATACTCTATTTATCGCTACTTTAGCTATAACTAGACTTAAAGCTCTTTTAAAAGCCTTACTTAGTTATTTACTATAAAATAATCTTACTATTATTATTAAAGCTACTGCCTTACTAATAATAAATAACAAGGAAATTATAAAGTATCTTAAGTAATACTAATAATAATAAGTTAAACTTACGAATTACTTTTAAGATAAAACCTTAAATATAAAAAAATAGCTTACTTAAATAAGTCTTAAGCTTAAAATTAAGATAATAAAATTAGTCTTAATAATATTATTAATTAAGAACTCTTTAAAGAATTATTAAGCTATAAAAGAAAAGTTATCTAGCTTAAAGACTTAGATAATAAAGTAGATAAAAAAGTAGAGAACTTAAATAAGGGATTATTAATAAGTAATAATAAAAAAACTACTAAAGAACTAGATATAAAGCTTAATCTACTTAAATAGTCTTAGTTAATAATTAATAATAAAGATAAAGCAGATTTATAGTAACTTTTAACTTTTAAGCTTACCTTAAAAGTAAAAGAAAAGTAAATTAGTAATAATAAAGATAAAGAATCTAAATCTAAGACTTTAGATACTTATAAGCCTAACTTAAGAGCTTAAAGCGATAACTAGTATAAACTTAAAGATCTTATCTTTAAGGAACTTAATAATAATTTATAACTTAAGATAATAAGATCTTTAAAGTAATTATTTAAAAAGTCTTAATTAGTCTTACTAAAACCTAAACTTAAGCTTAAAATTAAACCTTAAAAGATAAAGCTTAAGGCACTAAAACTAAGACTTATTATACACTTTTACTTTTAAGTATTATTTATTAATATAGCTACTAGACTATTAACTTTAGATAAGCCCCTTAAACTTATTAATAAAGATTAACTTCTTTTTAATACTAGTAGACTTTTATAAAACGCTATACTTATAAAGTCTTATATAAAAGATAAACTGATTATAATATTAAGTAGAGATAATAAATCTAACTAGTTTACTTTATCTAAAGGTAAAAAGCGTAAATTAAATAAAAAAAGTATAAGACTTATAAAGAAGTTTAAAAAAAATAAGAGGTAACTTATGATCTTAGATTAAGAGTCTATTATAAAATATATTAAGTTATTAAGTGAAAAAGTTAACGTTATTAATTTAATTTTTAAACAAAGGTATAATAATATATTTATTCTTTTAATTCTCCTTTTAAAATATATATAATATATATTTAGATTATAGTTAAAGATAACTACTAATCTAATTAAAGATAGATATAAAACAAACTTTTATCTTACTTTAGTTAGTGCTTTAAAGCCTTAAGTTAGACCTTACGTTAGTAATATTTTATTATTTATAAGAACCTCTATTTAATACTATAATAAAGAATTAAAGACTTTTTCCCTCTTAATTCTAACTTAAGTATATTCTAATACTTCTTTATTCTACTCTCTTAGGCTTCCTTCTTTTATATAGCCTTTATAGTAAGATAAAAGTTTATTCTATAATATTTTAAGTAAGATTATAATAAGCTACGATTTAAACACTTATAATAGAAAAAGAAGTAATTTAAAGTATAAAAAGTAAGTTAAGTAAATCTTAAGATATTATGTATTTAAAGTATAAGATTTATTTAATAATAAAAAGAAATAAATTAAATTAAATTAAGTAGCATATCTTTAAAAGATATAGTTATTATAATATTATTATTATTATCTTTAGTTCCTTTTATTATATTTATGCTCTTTACTTTATTTCTTTTATAGTTAATAGAACTATTAGTATCGTACTAGTAAATAAATAATAAGTATATATTAATATATATTAAAATCTAAGGCTTAGTTTAAAGGTGTTCTAAAGTGTATATTATAAAGAGTATCTACAGGTCAGAATATATACTATCTCCCGAATAACCCCTGTTTTGTATCCGAAAGGGGTCTATCCCCTAACCGGGATTACCTGCACCCCCTGATTTCCCCTTATATTTCTATAATAAAGGTCTGCGGACTAATAAGAACCCTTTTTTTAAAAGAAGTTTTACTAGTGTTAATCTATAAACTTATATTATAGAAAATATAAAAAGTAATTAAAAGAAATAAAGAATCTTAATTAAAAAAAGAACCTCTTATAGATACTAACTAAGAGGTATTTATTAGGTAGTATATATATTAACCCTTAGATACTCTTTATAATATATAATATATACTTTTTAATACCTTTAAATTAAACTTTAGATTTTAACATATATTAATATATACTTATTATTTGATTACTAGAATAATAATAATAATACTCTCTTTTAAATTATAATATTTTTTAAAAGCTTATAATTTTTAAGTATACTTACTTTAAAACTACTTTCTTTTAAAGCTTTTTTTTAAAAAAAAACTGAGGATAATAATCTAATAGAGCTATCTGATTTTAACACTTAATATAGTAAAGGTAAGGTATATTACTAGTAAAAGCTAAATAGTAATACTTAAAGATTTTAAGTTATTTTTTAATATAGACTATTAATATTTTTAGTAAAGATTATTATAATATTTTATTTAATAAAGATCTTATTTTCTTTATTTATTCTTTACCTTTTATTATATAAATTCTTTTATTTAAAGATTTTCTTAATATAATAGTCGGTTCTAGTACTTTAGTAAATTTAAGGAATATCTTAGTACCTTGGATTTAATCTGATGATCTGATTTTAGTAGGGTTTATAGTGAAATTCTAATAAGGTAATTAAATCTTTACGTGACACTTGCTTTCCTATAACACTTGCTTTCACTGACTATAAGCGAGTGCCTGTAGCCTCACACAGGGGAACTAACTATTACGTTTTAAATTAAAATACTTTTTATACTTTAAATTACTATATCTTTTATTATATAAGTGTTTGTAAAGATACTATCGCGTACTATAAGAAGAAGATTTAAGTAGTATTATAATAAAGCCACCTGATTTTAGTGCTTAGCGTAGTAAAGGAAGGTTATATTACTAGTATAGCTAGGCGGTAGTACTTAAAGATTTTAAACTATTACTCTTTTATAGTAATATTATTAATATTCTACTTAGAATTATTATAATAATTACACTTTTTATAGAGATTCTATCTAATCTATTCTTTTCTCTGCTTTTTATTTAATAGATCTTATACCTTAGATATATAATATCTTAAGATTTACTTGATCTGCTTTTTTATATTAAAGTACTCCTTATGCCTTGAATTACTACCTCTCTTATTATATAGGTATTCAGGTTATAAGCCGCTATAGTATGAAAGTCTTGATTTATTAAGGTATTTATAGCTTCCTCATAAGGGGAGAGCTCTAACAGCTCTAGGAGTTCTAGTTACATAAGCAACCTCTGGTTAGCTGGAGCGCCTCAAAGAGTGCCTCAGGCGCGCCAGGTGCACGACAAGTATGAGTTTTAAGTTTAGATTTATCGCCCGCGGCAAAACAAGGGAGTTAGGTAGGCAAATGAAAGGCGGTGAGTCTAAACTTAGGCGCTGTACCTTTACAGGTCGTAACTCGCTATAGCATTAGATCAGCGTGTGTGTGTAAGCAATAATTTTTTGCTTGGTTGGCCAGACTGTAGCGAAGCGAGGTCCCTTGGCCCTAGAACTTGCGAAGGGCCCTTAGCGAAAGACTTAGTATTTTAAGATAAGCAAATCCTGTATCATAAATCTTATGCCAGGCCGCCTAGTGTAGTGGTTATCACACCTGCTTTACACGCAGTAGGTCGCCGGTTCGATCCCGGCGGTGGTCAAAAAGAAAATTTCTATTATTTTTTTTTATTTTCAAGTAAAAAACTTTTTTTCTCTCTTTAATTTTTACTTCCCTCTTTTCTCTCTCTTAGGTTTTTTTAACTCTTTACAACTACTTATAGTCTTATATAAAGAAGTAACAAGTAAATTAAGACTTTTATTTTTTACTACTTTTTTTTATTTTATTTTATAAAATTCTAATATAGTAATTAAGTAAAAGGTTATAGTAGTATTAGTATTAATTACTATTTATATTATATATATATTTAGATATAATAAATAAAAATAAAGTATTATACCTACTTAAAGAGTTATACTCCTAAGAAAGATACTTGTTTTTAGTAAGGTAGCGACTAATACAGGATCTCACGTATGTTTTTGTAGTGGTTATCACGTCTGCTTTACACGGCTCTCAGCCTTCATATCGCAGCAGGTCGCCGGTTCGATCCCGGCGGTGACCTTGTTTTTTTGCTATTAGCTTTTAGACTCTTCGTGTCCTTTCTTGTCACCTGTATATAATAAGTAAGCAAGTGAGGTGGCTATAAGGAAGCAAATAGATGAACCAAGAAAAAACATAGCCTACCTGTCCCTTTGTTCCGATTGCCTTTGTACCTGCCCCCTTCATAACATAACCATCCCCTGTATTATTGTTGGGTGCCGACCGAGGCTGAACCCCGCCTTTCTCTTGTTGTAACCGAGCCCTTGTGGACTCATCTCATCATGGATAATGTCGAACTTTTGTCGCTGTCGATATTGATATTGACTTCCACCTGAGCAGACTGGGCTTTTTGTTTGTATATTACTTCCTGACTTCATATTCACCAAACCGCGCTTGTTCAGAAATCATCTCTACCCTAAGACAATGCCTCCAAACCCCTCCCACGGTGTTATGGACTTCTCCCTCCCGCCAGATCTCCAGAGCTACCTCGCTGAAATCGACCAATTTATCGCCACTAAAATCGCCCCTTTACAATATTCTAATGACAACGAGCGATTCTTTGACCATCGCCGAGAACATGCTCGAACAAACTGGGATAATCAAGGCTTACCCCGCGATGAATGGGAAGATCTTTTAGCTGAAGCACGGAAACTAGCCGACGAGGCGGGATATTATCGATTCTCCTTGCCGGAGGAGTTTGGTGGCAAGAATGGTGGGAATCTTTGGATGGCTGCGATTCGAATGCATCTGGCGAAGAAGGGACTTGGACTGTTTAATGATTTGCAAAATGAGCATAGTATCGTTGGAAATTTCCCTGATGTGCTTATGGTGAAGGAATTTGGGACTCAAGGTCTGATATCAAGCTGTGAACCGCATCATATACTTACTTGGTGATAGAACAAAAGAAAAACTTCATCACAGGAAGATTGGAAGGCAGGTTTGGTTTTGCTTTCGGCCTGACAGAGCCAGATCACGGAAGTGATGCAACGCACATGTTCACCAGCGCCGAAAGGCTCAAAAAGGACGGCGTCGATGGATGGAAAATTAATGGTAGGAAGATGTGGATTAGCGGCATCCAGAGAGCTACCCATTGCATAACGTTTGCAAGAACAAGTGGGAAGGCTGGGGATGCTCTTGGAATTACTGCCTTTATAGTTCCAAAGAATACCCCAGGATTTCAAGTTGAATCATACGAGTGGACGTTTAATATGCCAACTGATCATGCTAGTGAGTCTGGAGCCCTCACTATCTTTCGAACATAAACTGACGCATCGTCTAGCCTTATTGCTGACCGATGTATTCGTACCCAATTCTGCAATATTAGGGGCAGTTGGACACGGTCTTCCGATTGCGCAGACCTTTGTCCATGAAAATCGATTGCGTCAAGCAGCGAGTTCTCTTGGCGCCGCCGAGTACTGTATTGAAGAAAGCATCAAATATGCAAGAAAGCGAAAGCCGTTCGGGAAGGAACTAGCGACGAATCAGGGCATACAGTTTCCGCTGGTCGAGCTTTCAACCCAGGCAGCGATGCTGAAGCTGCTGATCCTGAAGACGGCGTCAGAGATGGACGGCATGACGCAAAGGGAGATCGAACGAGACTTGGGAGATAAAGTGTCCATGTGCAATGTAAGAGAAAGTCGCATGACCGACTGAGACTAACCAGTGATAGTACTGGGGGAATCGTCTTTGCACACAATCAGCCGATCGAGCCATGCAAATCCACGGTAAGTAGAGTCACTGAGACGCTTTGTGGTCCTGTGCTGATTGTCGTAGGTGGAATTGGATATTCAAGACACAAGGCGTGAGAAAGTTTCAGTTTCCCAGAGAACAATGGAACTGACAGTCACACAGTTTCGAGCATATATACCGCCACCACCGTGAGTGAATACCCCGTCTGCATCTGCTTGTGCTGAAATCAGCAGGCCGCTACCGAATTACTGAAGGAAGTGAAGAAATTCAGATGAGAAAGGTGGCAGCATACCTGTTCGGATATGTAGGACCTAGAAAGGTGGAGCTCTCAAAGTTGTAGAATGACTGAGGCAATGATCAAGGCAAATCTCAGGTCAATCCAGATGGGACAATCGCTTGATTTTGAGGCATGCACCGCTGAGGTTAGAAGAAATAATATGCAACGACTGTCGAGCTTGCCTTTAAACAGAGTAGAAGAAGTGGTCGCGCAATGAATGTGCGCGTCTCGGAGAGAGGTTAGAGAGGCAACGTTGTGGCCTAGACAAATAAAAGCCTGAATGGTGGCACCGATAACTCGCGCTCCTGTGCATGCAATTTCTGGAAATACGAGTCACCAGTTCTGTTAGCCTGCTCATGTACGTATGAGCCCCTATCAACAGACGTCAGCATCACTACACCTGGCAAATACCCGGAACGCACGATCCAAAAGCATTATTCCGAGGAAGAGCATACAATTCTTGAAAGCTCATGGCCGTCGGACGCTATTAATACGCAGCAAGGCTAATTTGGGTGCCTGCCAGCCTCAACTTGTCATCAACAGGAGCTTTCCGTATGTTTCGTTCCAGCGCGGAACAGAGCTATTTGTCAGTCCAGGCACATCGTACGTCATCTCATGAACTTCCACAAGCTCGGAACCCCTCTGCACAATGGAGTCCTTGATACGTGGTGGATTAAAGAGACCTGAAGGAAGAGGGTACCTCTTAGAGGCGCCGAATTGTCTTCGACGTGGCGATATCCAAACGATTTTGTGAGTGGTGCTCCTTTCCCGGTGGTTCGAGCAGGGGCAATAATCCCTCTCATGGCTGTACGAGGTGAGAATCTACCCATTTTTGTTAGTACGAACAATGGCGTCGGTTTATGAATACGAGGCGAGACCTAGCATGTGGCGATGACCTAGCCATCAAGGCAAAACATAGATGCAAGACTTAGATTTCAGCCTTCGTTCTCCGTTGTGATAAGCACAATGATAGTACCACAATAGAGAACGGGGGGTGTCATTTAGGTACGCGCGGTAAGGGGCTGGTGAAAACGACAATATTTATTTGAAACCAAGAGGGTAGTAAGCCAGCCTTCTCCATTAGTACCATCACATCTTTCTTGCTCGAAAGTCTCATGCAAGTTGAGAGGTGAAAAAATAAAGGAAAAGACTGCTCTTGGAAAGTATTCTTGGAGCGAGTAACAGGCTGGCGGGAGACACTTCAACGAAGTCAATTTATTCAGACCAGACAACCAGGTATGGTTGACCACAGCTAGAGGATTTTATGCACGGAAATGAAATCCTAGAAAACCTGCCGTTATTTTCGATGCGTCCTAGTAGCAAATTTCGTCCAGTTGGTTCCTTGAACTTCCTTCAGAAGTGGTATTGGGAATGATGACTCTTCCTGGTCGTAGTTAACTTTCTCAGGCCAGATAACCAACCGAAGTGCGTGCATATGCTTCAGGACGAATAGAATGAGATGTTTGGTGTGAAGCAGCGGAAGAATCGGGTAAAGTATCTGAGGGATGTAGAATATCTTGACATATGATATCTCACTGGCGATTTGGGAAACAGATGTACTGGTATTGTGGCCGTCCTTTACGCCCATTTTCAGGCTCCCGGATTCCCTGAAGCCGCCTCGAACTTCGTTTCTTTCTGAGGCTTGGTGTCCATCTGTTGCCACTGGTGCCAACTATTTGGAGCTGTGTTTTAATCAGCACCGTATCACTTTCAAGCGTCCGGAGGGACTCTACCTTGCAGGATATATCTATTCATAGCTTCCCGGAAGCGACTTTTATATTCCTAAAATTGTTTCAATGGAAGACTGAGATGGCGGGCTCGAGTCAATATACCTTCGGCGACGTGACCGTTGGACGATTACGACCACCACCGGCGAAGCCGCGATCTTTGATCCATGATTCTAATTTTTTGTCCTTTCAGAAATTAGTCAAAGTCAAATGCTGCTTAAAATCCAATCTTACCCAGGTGTAGGTTCTAACGACATCAATGATCCCAACAACGAGCTCCTTCCTAGCCTTTGATGTGTTAGCTGATGAACACCGGACAAAGGATGTACAAACCTCGTCGACTGCGACCATTAGGGAATAGTCCATAACGTCATTTCTTTGTAGGAACAAAGTGTCGTTGAAAATAGCAGCACGAAGAAGCTTCTTAGAATGCTACACAGAGTTAGCACTTGGATCTAGGAGTTTGGCAGAGATGGACTGCGTACCTCCCGCGCAAAGAGTGGTGACTCGTAAATAAACTCTACCATATTCTCGTCTAGAAGTACTTCGTTTTGCTCGCCGGTCGACTGAATTTTGCGATTTCGCATTGATCCCTTAAGATCGAAAATCCGAGTTGGTGACCGATCATAAAAGAGATTCTCCATGACTAAAACGTCCCACTTGATCTCCGTACCAGTGACGGGATTTTTGATGATGATCTGATAGAACCCAAGCATCTTTGCAATGACCGTGGGAAGGTCGTGGAAGAGGGCCTCAGCCATGATATTGAAGTACGCAGGCGCAAATTTGAGGAAGGCAGCTGTTTCGATGGGTGATAGCGATTTCAGGACGAGTCTATCGTCCAAGGTCTTCAAGAAGACGGATTTGGTCTTCCCACCCTTGGAATCCCATTTTAAGCATCGCGAAAGCGACTCGACAATTCGATCCGAGACACCGCATTTCCGGCGCACTGCATCGAACTGTTCGGCAAAGAAGATCTTGCATTGCATTTTCGCAGATCCATCAGTGAACGAATATGCCAGGTGAGTGCCGGTGGCTCGAAGTAATGATGTCTCAACTTCGGCCTGATCTAGTCCATCCTCACAGACATCCGATATACCATCCTGCTCCGGCGAAATTTGATCGTCCTTTTTTGTGCTGGCTTCGCCTTGGCAACGAATGTTTGCTAGTTTGTCTTTGTAGTCTTGAGTCTGGAGGGCAAATGCAATCAAAGAGCTAGGTTCATCTTCGCGCACGATGACATCCACGTCAGCAAAGATGTGGTCGCCAGCGTTGAGAGGGTATTCGAGAGGAGTCCATCCACTGGCAGACCTCTCAGCCCAGAAGTTTGTCAACATCTTCATTAAAGTTGATTTTTCATGTTTTGGAATTTCCAGAGGAATATCGACATTCTGCTTTCCTGCACCTAAAGACTCTGCAATTTCCGCGGCCCCGGGTATAATATCATCGAGTAAAGAATGGTCCACGTCGCTGCCTGCACCGTCATCGTCAGAGCCTGCTTGGCTGGCATTCTGTTGGTTGTCGTCTGTCTCGGTTGCAGTCTCATCCGCCGTCGCAGCCGTGTCTGTTGGTGAATCTGGTGCTGGTTCACGGGAAGTAGCATCATCTCTATTTAAGCCAGCAAGTCCGCCGACGATGCTTGTGGGTTCGGCGTCTTGATGTGAAGGTTGTACAGTACGCAAAGCTTCATCGCTTGGACCTCGTTCCTCCACAGCCTCGTTCACGTCCTTATAAACCTCAACAATTGGCTTGGCCGAGGCTTTGGGGAACGCGCGTGACTGAGTAACCTTCGCTGCCCGCTGCTTTCTGTCTCGCAAGCGCTCTTTCTCAAATTCCCGACTCAGCTGCTCGAAATGTTTGGCCAAAGTCGAGACCTTCGACTCTTTTCGCTTGCTGTTCACAGAGCGCGGGATCAGAGAGTGGGCCGCTTTTCGGTGCGTCTTGATCGAACCTAAACCCAGCCTCTCCGAGAGCTTTTTGTCTGGTTTCATTGACTCCGTCGCCGACAGTTTAAGTGAATCAAAGGAGGGAGCTAGAGTGTCGCCCGTAGCTTTGCTATCGCCGTTCTTGAGTTGCCCTCTGACACTTGGTTGTAGGCGCCGAAGCGTACCAGCAGGTTGCGATTGAGTTCGGTTCATGGGAGGAGATGCCGCTGTGCCACTTCGCCTTGCTGCACCTTTATCGGCGGGACGTGGAATTCCAGACACTGCGGTTATGTCGGGTTGTGCAACAGGTTCGCCTGAGGCTGGTTGGTGCGCTTTTCTCAGCTTTTCGACCTTTTCTGAAAGTGTGGACTCCAGTGGAGCACCAGAAAATCCTGCAGGATGAATTTTGGGTGTTGAAGCAGCCATGGGAAATGAGAGTTCCGTAGGGGTTTCTGGAATCCGTTGCTCGGGTGCGTTGTTTTGCTGTAGAACAGCTAGATCCAGGTGATCGATTCCCTCGCGATCCAAGGCCAAAACCTCTGGTTGCACTGCAGCAGTGTCAAGAGTCTCGTGGCTACCTGTAAGCGTAGGACTGCCAGTGATGTTGTTTTCCTCAACTACAGACGATAGAACATCCTTCGCCTCTTCGACAGATACATTCGAGGGGTTTCGAGTCAGTTCCAAGGACGGATGGGGAGATTTTTCATCCATGTCAGAAGCGACATCTTGTGTCTCGGCTGTGATGGATGCCGAGGATTCATCTCTATCTATAAACATTTTTTTCAGTTGAAGAGCAGCAAGCCTCCTGATGTCTTTCTCAGACGGAAAAAAGTTGGCGTCAAAGTCAGCGAAGGCGTCATCCCATTCTGCGACCTTTTCCTGCATTGCTCGCACTGCTCTGTTCAGCGGTATGATCTCGTAGTATTTAGACTCCATGTATTTCTCCTGGAGCTTCCGGATAAGTGCCGAGTGTTCCTCCTGCGCAAGTTTTGTAAGTCTGTCGACTTCTGCTTTGCAAGCGTCGGTCTTTTCAGGTGACACGCTATCTATGTTGATGCCTTTGATTCTGGAGTGCACAGATACCATAAATCGGTTCCATCGTTCTTCGTGCTTGGTGAACAAATCATTCTTTAGTCTTAGGTCATTGTCGACTTTCCAGGTGACTCTTGTTCGAGGTACGATGATCTCAAGCAGGTCAATAGGGTCGTAATGAATACGAACCGCAACATTGCGGAAGCCGAAGTACCGTAAGTGATCTCGATGTATGTCATGAGGACAGAATCCAGCTCGCAGTCGCAGTTCACTGCTCCAAAACGACAGCTCAAGATATTTCCCAAGCGAGTACTTCCATGTACTCTCCGACATGGGCATGACCTGTGTCTCTTTCTGACATATTTTGCAGTAGCTCCACATGAGAATAGAATCCTCAAGTCCCTTAAGCTTGCAGGGTGACTTCTCGACAAAAACCGTGATGCGTGCTTCGCCATGGACATATGTCCTGTGATGCTCTGACATCTTGCGCTCACACCCATTAGCGGTACAAATAGTATTGACACTCAGACAAAGATCTTCAACATACTGTCCCAGCGTGCAATCTGGGTCAAATTCTGCGTGCTCGTTGTAAAAAGCTAGCGCAAGCAGTTCTGGACCGGCACAAGGAATTGTAGTCGCAGTACACACCACTGTATACAATACTGTTATGTTTTGGTGTGCATATGGGTCGAAGAGGTTCAAGTTCCCTTGAATGTAGTTTTCCCACTGGCGCTTTTGTGTTTGATAGTTGTGCAAGGCTTTATCATACTCTGCATCATGAACCGCATGTAGAACTTCCATTATTTGGCGCGGCGCTCGCTTGATTGTTTCGTGAACCATTTCTGGTCTGATGAGCTGGAATTTTTGAGGCTTCGATTTTTCAGTATCAGTCTGTTCCTCGAAAGTATCCTGGTCCCGTAGCCGCTTAAGGTATGAAAGCCTTCGCTCCTGCTCGCGAGATCTCATGAGCAAGTATGGCTGAACAAATTTGACAAACGGCGAAGCAGATAGAATCTTGGTTCGATGCTTTGCAACCATATCGCTGTAGAATGTTGGCATTGGGATGTCCTCAGGAAGTTGATCGTCATGAGAGCCATGTGCATGCGATTCGTGGGCAGACACGACTTTGGAGGGCTCGATTGGGATGTCAGATTTATTGCTCGGCGCAACTTGAAAATATCCTCTGTTACTATCGCTGTTGCTGGATGCAGGTTGGAAAACTGGATCATCTGTCGAGTCACTAAGGCCTGTGGAGGCCTCTTTGGTATCGGCAACAGCTTGCAGCTTGTCGCTTGCCTGGATCAGAAGTTCGTGCTGGTGAGCAGAATCGGACCCGCCAGATTGTAGTGTCTGCATAGCTTGAAGGCGACTTGGTGACAAGCTACCACTGTTTTCTGGAACTGACGGGATGAGTACAAACTCATCGCGCATCAGACAAGTCTCCAGCTTGAGGTTGTAAACGACGTAAACCATGAATTCAGTGATTCGTTTCATCTTGGAGAGGATGGCCATGTTGGCACCTCGCAGAGCAATGGTGCAACCTAGTTCTTTCGGACAGCCAGATAGGTAAATGTAAGTCTTCTTCCGCCCAGGGATGTCGTTGTGGACGTACGTCTTGACATCAAACCCAGCACTCTTCCCGATATGAACTGGCTTCAGTGCTACCATATCGATTGATGATATTATCTCCGTTTGGGCACATCTTGATACAGCCTCGATGACTGATTGCTTAACATTATACACAACCGTAATGTTCGCCTCCGCAAGATATTGAAGCGCCAACCCAGAAATATGCTTCTGCACAAGGAGTAGCCGAGGGCGGAGTGATGCGATACGATTGACCATATTCCTCAGAAATTCTTTTTCTTGAGCTATGACTGGCTCAAGGCTCATAAAGTGGTGCTGATGTCTCTGATACTCGATCGGAAACGAGACAATGACAATCCTTGGATTTGATATGCTGCGCGGCATGCTTTTAAGAGCGACATTTTTTGTGAAAACAACGCCTGAAACATATGATGTATCCCCGGGTCTTCCACCAGGTATCTTTTTTAATTTCACATAGTGGCGAATGTCAATATCATCACCAAGCCGTACGTTGGGATTCACGTCATCCGTGCACTGTAGCAAGATCGGAATGAGAGCATTCTGCCACGATGCAACGTTAGGTATGCTGGCGTCTTCCAACAACTGATGCAGTAGCCGCCGGACGTGATGTAAGCTAGCATTGTTCAACTCAATAGCGGGTGCTTTGCTATCTCTCATAGACGCGCTACGTGTCATTCTCGAAGGACCGAGACTCACAGATGCTGACATATTGTCAACCGTGGCTGTTTCCTCGTCCAGGTTTCCGAAACCCTGGATTGGCTGCCTAGGAGAGTTGCGGGCGAGGTGTAGGTTATTGCTTGCGGCACTCAGGTTACGGCGCCGATTTGGTCTGGTGAAGCCACCAATAGACATTCCGCCAGTGACATCGTCAAGCCCGCGGCTGGTAAAGCTGATGCCACTGACACTTTTGTCACCGGTGCGTGCCCTATGCTTTTTACCTGCGCTCAAGAGGGATCCAAATCCAGATCTATCGTTCTCGAAGCTTGGGCTTGCGATCGTGGTACTATTCATGGTCGCAAAGATACTCATTTGCTCATCGCCACTGGATTCCTCGTCAGACATGTAAGGTGCCAGGTCTGGATCAATGATGTTGTCATCGTGGAATGCTGGCAACCGCGATTTTTTCCCCAGGTCCTCCGCCACACCTCTTTGAAAAGGCGCCCTCCCATCTACATTTGGCTTGAACCGCCCAAGAAAGTTGTGTTTGGAGTGATGCCTCTTATGACCCGATGAAGCAGGACGTCCGGCAGCTGACAAAGCTTTCAGAGACCTAGACGAGCTAGGTCGACTGAGCTGGGGAGCATCTATTTCAAGTACTGCAGATCTGCGATTTGTGGAATCCCCGATTCTCCGAGTAGCTGGGATAGCCATCATGGGAGTCGCGAGCGGCCTCGATTTGTCCTCAGCTGTTTGTGCGCCGTCCTGAATGTTTCCTTCTGACATTTCGGTACGAGTTGACGAGTCGTACTTTGCTTGCTGAGTCTGAAAGAACGTGGGCAAAGCAGAATCATCTGCCGAGTCGTCAGAGCCGCTGCTATCGTGCCGTCTATTGATGATATCAAGACAAGTCTTGCAGACCCGCAGTGAGCCTTGGACGCCAAACCGCTGGCCAGATATAATGTAAGTGCACTTCGAGTCAAATATACACCCACAGGTACGGCAGTGGTGCTTACGCCGAAATGCAGAGAATGCATCTCCGCACAGGAAGCACTCCTTGCAAATCTCATCTGCCATCCAGAATTCCTTACTCAAGACCTGCTTTCTCATCTGCTCCAATTTTGTGTTGACAGCTTCCGGGGCTCCTTCGTTTGTTGTGGTACCTGGAATCCGGAAGCGGCCGAGGTATCCTTGCTGTGGAGTGTCATCAAGAGAAAAAGACTCGTGCCGTATACTATTATGCGCCGAGGTGTTAATAGGGCTTGTCTCGGCAGTGCTACGGTCTGTTGAAGACGCCCGTGAGGCTTGGTAGCCAGGGAGGTGAGATTGAGCGATGCGTTCAATAGCGGCCGGCCTTTTTGGACCATCGGGGAAACGCGAAGAAGTGTTTGTACGAGATGGATCAGTGGCGCGTAACGACGACAATGCCGATGACGCAGTTTTGGAAGCCTCAAGCGGTTTTCTTCCCGTCTCAAGACTACCATCTCCGACTATGAGGTCGCGGGACGGAAGACTCTCCGACGTGTCGATTCCATTTGCTTCGTCAAGCTCATCCTCCGAGACCACAGAGCCGTCCAGCGTACCTCTGACTGGTCGGTTCATGGGATCGAACACAAATGTAGACAAGTTTTCGTGCTTAGCAGTCGATTTTGAAGACGGACCATCTGTATTCTGGGTGTCTATGATCTTACGACCTTTTCCGCCATCTTTAAAGGCACTGACATTGACCGGGACCACCGTCGGGACCATAGCAGAAGAAGCGATCGCTTTCGTCATGGGTGTTATTGATGGCCGGCTGGAAGGGCCAGATTTTGAAGTAGAAGGTGCTGTTGCAGGAGTTGATCCCAGAGAAGCCCTGGATGATTGCATAGCTTGAGACTGACTCTCTGACGAAAGCCCAGCAAACGACGAAGTCGTAGGAGACTGGAGACGCGAAGATGCTGTAGATAGCTGCACAGGTGAGGCACTAGCCGCGCTGCCGTCTTGTGTGGCAGCAACCGAGCCCTTGGACGGGGTTCCTCCAGCATTCTGGCTATGAACAGATACACTTTCGATACTTTCTTGGTCTCCCTTGTTGACCGGAACTGCAACTGCCTTCTCTTTACTGCCACTAACAGCACCGCGAAACCGACTATACAGTCCGGTAAGACCATTTTGCATGATATCCCCGGCAATACCTTTGCTCTCGGTATGTGTAGCTGGAGGCGGCGGCGTTGCAAACTCGTTGAAAGTCGTCAGAGTTTCCGAGTGACTGGCGGTACTGTGGATCTTGTCGAGAGCTTGGGCAAGCTGTTCTTTATCCACAGCAGTTGGACCCGAGACGGAGGCAAGAGAACCGCGTCGAGATCGTAGGCTGAGGGGGAGTATTGAAGGCCCGATCGAGGTTCTGGGAGAGTCGTGGGAAGACATGGCGAAGTTTCGCGACCGCCAGGGTCGATATTGAGCAGTATACGATGGCACACCTAGGATATCTTTTTCTTTTTCGGTGTGCTTTTGCCGCCAGGCGGTTTGTCGTCATAGAAGATCATGTCACCGAGTAGAAGTTCGGACGGCGAGGTATCGTGGCGTGCAGAAGCTGCCTTGCATGGTCTGAAAGAGTCAGTCACTGCCAGCGAGGAGATCCAGAGAAGGAGCGAAGTCGAGGCAAAGCATTAGGTTGCTGACGATTAAGGACTAACCTCCAAGCTCCAAGCTCCAAGCTCCAAGCCGTCGCAGCAGCTCTAGCAAAAGTACATTTGGACTACTTGATTTGACCTGACGACTGACGACTTTGGTTACAGCAAGGCAAGGCAAGGCGGCGGATGCAAGCCAAGCAAGTAGGAACCTGGGGGTTAAAAGTTGAGGTGATTATCAGCATACGGCCGAGTCGAGGGTGTTCGATGGTTGCGAGGCGAAAGCAGATGAAATAGAAAGCAAGCTGGGGAAGCTTGAAAGCTTGACAGCGGAGCGGGATGACGAAGAAGCTGGCAGAATACCTTACCTATCCACCTTAAGGTACCGATGACCGTCCTGCCATGGATGTCCTGCCGTACCGCGCCGCCCTGCCCGCCGCCCTGTGCTTCCATTCCATTTGCCGCTCTCAGCCCCCCCCCTCAACCCCCCACCTCCACCTTTCATCCATGCTCCAGCTCCAGCTGGCTTCAGCCTTGCAGCACCAGGTGCCTTACGAACCTGGAATTACGAGTTGCAAAGTGAGCTCGCTTAGGTACCAATGGGCTGCCTTCCATTGCCTTCCGGCAGCCGGGCGTCGCGTCTCCAGTCGCGTCTCCGACACTTCACTCCAAACTCCAAATGCAAATAATGCAAACGAAAAGTCATCGCGACAGGGCACGCACGTACAGCACGACTTTTCCACCATACCATACCTACGATAGGTACCACATATGAGGCATCTTTCGGCCCGCCTCCACCCCACCATTACCTTCTATCCAAACCCCCGGCGACCTGCAAATGCTCTCAGTCCCAACCAGGCCCCTCGATTAGACTTGAACGGGACCGGCACCTGGCTCTGGACTTGGACTTGAAATCGTACACATTCTCAAGCTCATCGACGCGAAACCACTCCCACCTGCAACATCAATCTGTGCAATAACAGTCTGACCCAGCTTATAGACTTATGCAGATTTCGACTTTAACTGCTTTTCGCCGCTGTGCCATTTGGAGTGCAGCGAGCTTACTATGGTGACATATTGAGCCAAGCAAGCACTCTGAACGCGGCTGATCATGGCCGTGGTTCTGCGGGATCCGTGGATCCATACCGTGGTAGAGAATGAACTCAGAGCTGCTTTCCAAAGCTTTCAACATTCCTATACCGGCCAGCCCGAGCTTCTGCAAGACAAACGATGCTGCCGGCCAAGCGGTGTGGAAATCCATATAGAGAGAAGTAGACAAGCCCAGGTCATGCAGGTGCGTACACAAGCTCCTGCTGCAGGAGATGCCGGGCTAACTTGTCAGATCAAGGGTGGACTTACCAGCCAGTACGACGCTATCCTGTCAGATGGCTGTCATTGCATTCAAGCAGTTTTTGACAGGGACGCGGTGGAAAAGTTCACGCGTGACACAGGCCGAGACCTTGGCGATATCAGAGGTGGCATTGTTGTGCTTCGTAGTTACCATCTGGTAGGTGCTAGTCTGACTGAACCATTGCTTCTCATCTGATCCAAAGCCTAGCTAGTCCCACCGTCCTCGTCGTCAACAAGACTGTGTCTTAGTGTGCTTAGCTTCAAGTTTTCTGGCTCCGAGGGGTCCCTTATTATCGGCCATCCTGTCAAGATCCTGGAGCTTCAGAACGTTAAGATACTTGCGAAAAAGCTGGAAAATCTTTTGAACACTCCACAGGATAACTCTCAAACCCAACTCTCATCGTTGGCCACCTCTGAAGGTAAAGGCTCACAGCGATCCGCTGGCTTCGCAACCCAGGTGAATACCACACACCAAAAGCGATCACCAAGCCCGATTCAGACTCAGGAGTCAATAACAACAGACCAAGCCAAATTCGCCGTGCTTCTGGCACAAGTTTCCAGACACCCGGAAGTGACCATGCAGAAACATGCCCTTAATATAACACAGAAAACTGCTCTTGGGCCAGCTTCAGAAAGAAAGGTTGCCACGATGAATTCTAGACTCGATGCCAGAGCAAATGTGCAGCGCAGTCAATCTCTCACACCATTAGATTCGTGCAGCCATGCCGTTGTTTCTAGTGGCTTAACACTTGCAGGCAGTGACCTACCGAATCAGGCCGCCCTGCCAGACATTAACGAAAAGGAGAATAGCCAAAAGCGCGCAGAGAACCAGGATATCCTCACCTCTCAGCTAGGAGCGGTGACTGTTCAGCATCACACGACCGATTTCGTTGACCAGCTCCAGCTCGACAATGCGTTTGTTTGCCTTAAGCGAGTGCCGCGTCGGTATGTACGCATTCCCGAAGATCAGAGAGCCATACTGCAGCGTAGTGACTCTTGGTACGAACCGCATGCTGGCGACCAACCTCGCTATGCCAACGTTCCCGCGAAAGTCATGAAAGACTTGATAGAATTCAGGGATTGGAAACCCACCAGACCCAGACTTCAAAGGGGCTATCGAGATGATAGTTCATCTAATTCCGGGAAAGACTCAGGTCATGATCCGGCAGCCGAAAGGGTTGATGATGATTTAGAAGGTGTAGATTCCAGCTGGAGCTATACTCATCATGACAGTGTCGATCAGCGAGCACAGCATGACAGTTCCTTACCCGTTGCTGCGACAAGCGCCGAGTGTGACATTGCTTCCAGCGGTCCTGAGATTGAACACGTGGCAGATGGAAGTGACGGTGATATGGAAGAGGACGGAGTGCCTTCGTGGGAACCAACACCTGAGCCTGAGGAAGGGGCGTCTGAACCACATCATACGGAAACTCAGCTTCCATCGACAAAACCAGGCGAATGTTCCATATCCTGCAAGCCTCGAGGAGAGCTCAACATCCGCCCCTCAGTGAATATACTTCCCAGCAGCCCTACGATAGAGGAGGAAATGGAGTTGGCTGTTCCGTATGCAGTTGGAGACATAGTTGACCTGGAAGATGCCCAGGCAGAGGAGGCGGCTATGCATTCTCAAGCTTTGCCTTCAACAGCGCCCTCGACTTCGACGTACATACAGGTGAAACGGACACCATATGTCAAATCTCGCAGCTTTGATGAAAGCTCTCTACATCCAACCGCCTCAGGCTCCAGGGGAGTCCAAATTAACGTCTCGTCCAGTCCAGTCATACCCGCTACGTTCCAGGATACCAGCAGCGCGGAAAACCAGACTTTAAACGTGATAGCTCATGCCTCCGCTGGGGCAGAATCGATTGCCGGCACCCAGATCTCTCGTGAAGGTTACTCGGTGGCTCACGGCCAACCCATGATCACCCGCAGTCAAAACATCATTATCACAAACAGTCAACCACACACAGAGGACAGCACAGATAAAGTAATAGCCGAGAAACCTAGTGTATCTCCTCCACACGAGACTCACAGGCAATGGACTGCCAAAGCTCAACCGTTTGAGATTAATCATCGCTCTAGCAGTCACGCCATGGGAGAAAGCACGACGATTCACTCGGGCTGTGTTTCGCCCTTTCCCAAGCTTAGTGCTACTGCCTCGGGATATCATGTTGAGCGGCAAATTCAGTACAAAGAAGTGACTCTGAAAGGCAATGTTGCACAGATGGAAAAGCATGCCCATGTTGCGTCTCGAAGAAATCACCTCACTAAGGGACTCCGCAAGATTCCCTTTTTTGGTCTAGAAGCAGAGGAGGGTATAGATGATAGGCCAAAGGACGAGCTTTTGTTAGAAGAGAGAAGAAGGGCACGAGATGCTAAGCGCAACTTCAAAGCAAAAGAGCAGCTCACTCGACAATCTCCTGAACTAGAAACCGAGACGGCAAGACGACCTTCATCACCAGCACTTGATCCAGGCCTATCGAAATTTAGAAAATCCATCATCTCGGAAGCAGATCTTCAATCTCCAATCAGAATTCTGCTCTCACCTACACCAGATTCACCTACAGAGGTCGGCGAGCCAGATGATTTCCTGGAGTATGAGCCCGTTGAAGGGGGCCAGGTGCATAATGATCAATCCCAGGACGACAACGCGACGACAGAAAAATTTCTGCCTGGTAAACCAATCAAGCAAGATGATCCATTACCTCTCGAGCCTTCAGGTATTGAGTTCTACGAACAGTGTCCGCTTCAGAAGGTTGCCGCATGCGAAAGTGGAGCACTCGCCACCCCTCCAAGGAAGCCGCCCGTCCAGCTTTCTCCACGAGATTCGTTCAGACCAGAAAGCCCGTCATCCGCTCAGCCCATGGCCGATGAAGAACACGGCCCGCCTTCATCTCGAGACTCTCTTGGACCGGGAACTCTTTCATCTGCACAACCACATCCTGACGATGTTGTCGACTTGATTTCTGGCAAAGAACATTTTGAGCTGGGAAGCCCATTCGCTCAATCACAGGCAGAGGAGGACGATCACCAACAGCCACTTGAGGAAAGCGCGGAAGTTACAGACTCATGTTCTGAAAAGTCACAACATATAGAAAATATTGAGAATTCACCGTCGCGACCAGCATCACAGCCATTCCATGCGTCCCCTTTCATCGGCAAAGCTATGGATGAAAATCTACCGGGCAAGGAATTACAAGCAGAAAACCCAATGCCTGTAAAGCCAACTCCAAGCCATGCTCGTCCGCAAGCAGTCCGTCAAGTAACCAGATCACAGACTGTGCAACCCAACATAGCAAGGCGCGAGAACCAGGAGAAGAAGAGTGGAGCTCGAAAAGATCAGCAATCGAAAGATCTTACATTTGATGGATTCGTCTCCACATATCCAGAGTATTCAGGCGACCAGAGATGTTTCGCACGGGCTTTAGTGTGCTTGGAGTGGCTTCGAAAGAATCGAATACCCCCATGGAGCATGTGTGATGACTTTATTCGAGTCCATGCTGAGTGGGAGCCATACGTCAGGAATCTCAAGAAATCTAACCCTGAGAAGGTCACGACTGCTTGGGAGTACTATGACCAAAACGTTGAAGACACTCTGTTCAACCAAAGGTTTGTGGATGACAAGGACAAGCTTGCCGCAGTGTTGTCCTCGCTGAACCCTCTTTATGTGCAGACCATCCGAGATGCGTACAATACACCGGCTGCACATCCGGAGGACCTTAAAAAGCAGGAACCTAAACCAAAAGCTGCAGAGAAGGTGGTATATCCAGCATCCGCATTTCCAGAGTCGTCTGAGGCTGTTGCAGTACAAAGAGGAGTACATCATAGACCAAACTTCGTTGAGAATATCTCAAGTCGACGTCCGAGAGACCCATTCTTTGAGACAGCCAGCCAGTTGCAAGCCATACAGCAAAGGGAAGAGACCGATGGACGGACTGATCTAGTTATGGGCACTGAAGTATGTGACGAGAAAAAACGTCCTATTCCATCGAAGCGAAGCAGCGAAACTCGCGATCCGAACGCCTCGCCTTCGCAATCAAGAAGGGAGTCTCATCAAAGCGAGCCAGAAGCCGGCTCCACAAAATCCAAGAAGAGACGTCAGTTCAGCGAACACAAGCGTGTCACTGTTCCGCCTGCATTGCGAGCCTCTTCTTCCAAATCATCAATCATGACAAGGATGGAACAAACACGACCCGTATCACGAGCAAGGGAGGTCTTCGAGACTCAAGAAGTCTCGCCAAGTGAGTTTCAAACAGCCAGATTGTCACCAGAGCTTCCTGATCTCCCCGAGAAATGGGTGGCTCAGCAGTCGTGTCTTGATGATCCAGTTGAGGAGGATCGACCTGAGGAAATGTCAAGCGTTCCTAGGACAAAAGCTGCAAAGGGTCCTGTAGCTGCGTCAAAAGAGAGCGGACTTTCTTCAAAAGCAGACTCTCCCATGCCATCCAAGAAGAGAAGATTCAAGGACTTGGCGGAATTTGCTAAGGACCTGGGTAATCGTAGGCGAAGTGGCGACATGTCATCAAGAGCCTCTACTCCTTCTGCTACCACACCCACGAGGAGATTTTGCACCAAGCCAAAGGGAGAACATCCAGCGAAGCGGGTGGATCCAGATACTCAGGCGTGGCAATACTGAGGAGACGAAATGAGCCTCGGATCTAGTACCAGCATATCCAGGCGTTGTCAGAGTGATGTTCAACTTATAGTGAGCCCGCTACGGCGGTATAATACAATAGTACATATATTTCAAGTGACGATCTTGCTTGGACGAGCGTCCTGCATTCATACTTGATCTTGTACCCAGTCCGATGTGAACCGGATGCATTCGTGATAGTCACAGATTCGACCAGTTCTCGAATTTTCAGTCCGAGTTATTAGAATGTTGGAATCCAGAACCCTCGCGCCATTACCCAAGTCATAGCACGGCCAATCTATGCCGTACTAACACCCGCACTTGTAATCGGCTCACCCTTCTCTTCTTTCTCCCTCTGCAGCTGTCTCTGTTCCTCCTCCATCGTCCTGGTCCTTAATTGCAGCGCATGGATACCGCCCTCCTGTGCCATCTCCTCCTTCAAGAGCGCATACACCATTCTATGCCGCGCAGGTTGCATCTTGGATTTGAATGCCTCGGACGTGATCACAACCCTGAAGTGCGTCTCTTGCGATGTGCTTCCGGCCATTGCTTTGTGGTGTGAGTGTAGGTGAGAGTCATTGTGGATTTCGAGGGTTGTGGGTTTGAGAGCTTCGGTGATCTAAGGTCTGGTTAGTCAGGTTCTGGGAGAGAGCATAGTATAGCATAGTGAGAGACAACTGTGTACCTTGGAGCGCATTGCATCCTCCATCGGAGTTTTTGAAGCCATCGTGGAATGTGGTCGCCGTGCGAAAGCCACAAGAGATCTGCGCAGCATCAAGACTGCCTGTGATTGTGAGAGGTGTTTCCCTTCCCTTCCTTTCTTCTCTGTTCTTTTCTTTTCCTTCCTTCCTTGAACTGCCTTCAACGATACGATCAAGCTTGATTTCTTGGTCAAATTACAGAGTAATTCGTGCAATAATGGTCCTGCAGCTGCTGGTCCCCACCATGCGAAGTGATATGCAGGGCAGGAGTATCCTCGGCAAAGCATAGGTAGGTATTACCTTGACCTGCACGAGCTGCAGCGCCCTAAGGTAGGTAGACGGTAGACCTTATCATCGGCGTTTATGCACCCTCCCTGCCTCCGTCAGATCACATGTCTCGTCCGCCCCGGCGCCGGCACCGGCCCCGTCATCTCTCCGTCGGCGTCCAGATCTACCGCCGAGCACCCCCAGCATCCACCCCATAAATTGGATACCTACCTCAGCCCACTGAGCCCAGTCGCCCCAGGCCTGAAACCCTCCACTACAGCCTACTGTACAGGTACTGAGGTACATACCTACTCACTGGCGCGAGAAACGATGACCCTGGTCGCCGATCCACGACGACCTCCCACCTCTCATGCGCCATGCAGTGCTTGAGAACTTCGCCTTCGTCCGTCTGTCGCAAATTTGCTGTACACGGTCGATTGCATTCTCGTATACGGCTTGCCTCTCGGTCCCTTAGAATGGCTTCGACTTTACCTCGGCTACCCATATTCGAAGCCATTGCCAAACATGACCCTCAGTCAACAGCAGTCGTACATTCGGTGTCTGGTAGACGGTTCAAGTACGGAGATCTGCTGAAGGATGTCGCAGCTGGGAAGGATAGGCTGGTTGAAGAAGCCAAAGGGCATTCCGTAGAGGGCCAGAGGATAGCATTTCTGGTGGAAAATAGCTATGACTATGTAGGTGCGCAGAGTGTATTGCCCCAAAATCATTGACATAAAAAGTAATGAGAGGTCTAGTAACTCTACTGTCTATTCTCAGTGTGCACTCAATTGCACTCCCTCTGTCCCCTGCCTTTCCAGCGCACGAACTGCAATATATTCTGGACCACAGCCAAGCTTCAATGCTACTATCGTCTGCAAAATTCGAGAATAAGGCGGAAGAGGTTCTGAGACAGAATTTGGAAGCAAGGCCAAAGCATGTTAAACTCGAGAAGAAGCTCGGTGGTAGTGCTTGTAGTAAGGTATTTCTCGAGGAGCCCACGGATGGCAATGGAGGAATGATGTTGTACACTTCTGGGACGACAAGTAGACCCGTAAGTCCTGGTTAATGGAAACGAGTTGAGTTCCAGAACTGATAATGCCCAGAAAGGTGTACTACTCCCGGCATCTGTTCTAACAGCCCAAGCAAGTTCTCTTACCACAGCATGGAACTATTCTCCTAAAGACCACCTTCTCCACGTCCTCCCCCTCCACCACATTCACGGCACCGTGAATGCCATCCTAGCACCGCTCCTCGCTGGCTCAACTATCGAGTTCCTATTCCCTTTCAACGCAACCGCAGCCTGGACTCGCTTCGCGGCCCCTTTCCTGAACTCCCCCAAAATAGCCGAACCTATCACTTTCTTCACCGTCGTCCCAACAGTATACAATCGCCTTTTGAGCACATTCAAAGACCTTCCACCGGAAGTTCAGACCGCAGCGAAGAAATCAATTTCCCCAGAACACCTCCGTTTAAACATCTCCGGGTCCGCAGCCCTCCCAACACCAACGAAGAGAGCCTGGTCCGATCTCAGCAATGGCAATGTCCTCCTGGAGCGCTACGGCATGACGGAAGTAGGCATGGCGCTCTCCTGCGGTCTCTCGAACGCTGACCGCGTAGATGGCTCTGTAGGCTGGGCGCTCCCAGGCGTGGAAGTACGTCTCGTTGATACTGAAACTAATGAAGTGATTCAGCCAGGCGAGGAGCTGGACAAGAACGGCAAAGAGCGCGACGGCGAGATTCAGTTGCGTGGTCCAACGATATTCAAGGAGTATTGGGGAAACAAGAAAGCTACATTGGCGGAACACGTTGACGGCGACGACGGGAAGGGCCGCTGGTTCAAAACCGGCGATGTAGCTGTCCGGCGAGATGTTCCAAGTGCGGGACACAGTGAGCAAGAGTGGGCTCGAGGTCCAATGTTTTTCATCCGCGGGCGCAAAAGTGCTGATATCATAAAATCGGGCGGTGAGAAGGTCAGCGCGCTTGAAGTAGAGCGTGAACTACTTTCTCTGCCTCAAGTGGCTGAAGCCGCAGTCGTTGCCGTACCGTCAGGCAAATGGGGCCAGAAAGTTGGCGCAGTAATAATGCTCAATAAGGACGCAGAGGGAAAGAGAGGGAAATGGGGTCCTATGGATATGCGTCGAGCATTAAAGGAACGCTTGGCCAACTATAAGATTCCGCAGGTTATGAGAGTGGTTGATGAGATTCCAAGGAATGCCATGGGAAAGAGTAAGTCATCATAATCTATCCTGTAATCTGAACAATGGCCACTGACTTGAGATGTAGTTAATAAAAAAGAACTTGTCAAACAAGTGTTTGCTGAAGACGCGAGCGGTGACGAGCTGTAAGATAATGGAAAGATAAACGTTAGAGAAAATAGAATAGGGTAGATGACGTTGGGGACTCAAGATTTGTACATAAGAAGATGGTCTACGCAGTCATCTCTGTTCCCACACCTACCTAGGTAGGTCTTGTGATCATGCGAAAAGTCAATTCTTATTACAGCCTGGGCTTGTGAAGCACCTCTTAGACTTGACTGTTGCGCATCAGCATAACACATATCTTCAAATGAATTTCTGCCATTTCTAGGATAGTTGTCCATACAATACATATCACACTCTCCAAGGATGATACCATAATCGTACACAGAAAGTAGGCCTTTGGTCACTTTTATTTGTCCGATCTATAAACACATGCGAGCCAGTCTCGCTCAGGAGGAATAACGCCGAATGATGTACCTCGTGGGAGCAAGTGAGCAATGTAGCTGAAATGACCCAGCAAACATAGCTGCTGTTGGCCCTTATGCATAGTTCGAAAACCATGCCGACCCAACCACAAACGCAACGCAAATACTAGTAGCACACGTAGCAAGGGGCAGAACACCTAGACTGTGAACTTTGCCTTCGCACGAGTGCTACCGCTGTGGGCACTATCGGTATGACCGGAGAACTCAACAGCCTCAGTTGTTGGGACTTTCAGAACTTCCTTGAACTTGCGACCAATATTCATCAAGACCTCCTTGCCCTTCTCAGGCGAGCGTCCCTTGCCACCAGCAACATCTCCATCTCCTCCGCCTGGAATGCTCTTGCCAATTGTGCGAGTCCAAACTCCGATACGGTAGAAGCCTTTGCGAACGTTGACAACAACTCCCATGAGTTCTCCATCGTCCTCGTCTTCGAGAGTCTCACCGATGGCCGAGAGCATAACATGGAGCCAGAGGTCATCAATAGGGACGTTTCTCTTCTCCTTGAACTGGTATGACCACTTCCCACCATGCTTGTTTTGAGGATCCTCCCATTCTGGACGAACACTCTCCTTGAAGAGATGGTAGTCGGACTTGAGGGCAAGCTCGGAGACGGGAGCAATGTTGTTCTAGAGGCTTGGTTAGGTACACTTCAGACTTGTAGCAGATGAACATACATATACACCCCAGAATTCCTCAACAGAGTTAAAGGTGATGACCTCCTTCAACAAATCATTCCAGTTGTCGCCCTGCGAATAGAGTTAGTAGACGCCGTTCAAAGGGTCCAGGCGCAAACTTGCCTTTCCACTCGGAGGCTTGGTGAACCAAAGAGTCCACTTGTGCATCAATGGGTGCTTGACATTGAAATTGTCCTTGTCGTGGAAGACAGTGATCTGTTCATCCTCTCCGCTGGGTGTGGGCTTCTTATTCTCGTCACGGCTGGCACCCTCTGGGGAAATGGGGATGGTGGTCAAATCAACTGGTGTTGAGGCATCAATAGGTGTTTGTGGGGCGACTGCTGCCATGACTGTGATTATGTAGGAGTACGTTGATGAGAAGAGTTTTCTTCAAGGCCGAGAGTCTATTCGCAGGAGCTTGGTGTCCTGAAGGGTCTTTGGAGAAGTGAGGCCGGCGGTAGGTGAGTTCGAGGAGTAGGTGAATTCGAGGAGAAGTGGTGAAATTGTTCTGAGCGCAAAAAGGAAAGTCGGGTCAGGCACAGAGTTGGTCGTAAAAGGAAGCTCCGAATTTGGCGACTATTGCTCCGGGCAACTTGTCAAGAACGAATTAAATTGGTGGGGGATTTTGAGGCGGTAGCGGTGCTGAATGGATTTGTTTGTGGTCTGCGGTCTGGGTACGGCTGCGGCTTCCTCCAAATTTTGAGTACCCGTACCTTATTCTGATGCTAGGCCTTAGGCTGAGGCTTGGCTTCCCTGCAGGACCTCACCCGAAAGTACTTTGAGGTACCTTCCAGGGTAACGCAGGACTGAGTACACTGTGGTGCCCAAAATTCTTGCACAACCGGTGATCAAACTACCGTATGGGGACTGTTAATACTTTTCTGAGTAAATGTTGCCTCTCAGATTTGATTTGATTGCTGCAGGAGCGTGCATCAGAGAGGGTACCTTCCTTTACCTACCTTGCCTACCTTGTACCTAAGGCAAGGTATCATCTAGGTACCTAGGTAGGTACTAGGTACCTAGGTATAAGTGCAGGCATACATCACGTATGTTACTGCTTGGGGACTACCTACCTAGGTAGAGGGGTAGGTACCTAGGTAAGGTGAATCTTTGGCAAGTCGGTCCAGATACGTATGGCAGGTACCAATCTACCTACTCACGACCAGATGTCACCGGCCGTAGTAGGATAGAGCTCTGGGGTTGGTATGCAGAGAGACGTTCCCCTATTTTCACACAAGAACATCGCCACGTTCAACCTAGGCAAGTAATGCAACGTCCACAATCTCTAGTGGCTACTTGACCATAAAGGGCAACGAGAACGACTCTCCATATGTTTTCTATGAAGGTATTGAGAGAACCACTGTTCGTAAAGGAAGCTTTGCTCAAAAAGATGAGGTGTCCCACTGGTGGCAAGCATCTTATACAACGCCAAAACGCCAAACTGTCTAAATGCAGACCTTTATGCAGCACGCTATGAGAAAAGAGACCCAAAGGAACGTGCTAGAGCATCTATGCCCAGATTCAGATCCATACATATAACACCCCGCACCTATTTCGCACTCGACTGGCTGTTGAGGAAGCTCAGGTAACAATTCCATCCCAGCGAGATGACATTGACGACCAGAACCCTGTGGTGCAGCGGCACGAACTTGAAGTTGACACACTGAATGAATGGCCATACCATCCAGTTCGACTTCAATGCCGTCCAGTAGCTCTGATCCAATTTATCTTTTGGGCTTGTGCCCTCCATGATAGCCATACTGCTGAGGAAGACGAACAGGTTGGTACTGGCGAACATTGTTTGATCGCATGCCACCCGGGCGATGATTTCGGCATTCTTGTTCTTCAACACCACTTTGTTCTGTAGGAACTTGAACCAAGTCGTAGCAGCGGGACCGAATACAGCTGTGCAACGAGACTGTCAGCTCTGCAATGATCGGTGAAGAAGAAATGAAAAACTCACCTCCTCCATACAAGGCCATTCGCCCCGTTCGTGCCAGGTCATGTTTCTCCAATCCCTTCTTCTCGACCAGTTGTTGTGCCATGGTATCTCCTGTTGCGAATAGCACCGCCGTGGTGACGCTCTGCGTCAAAATCGGGCGCGAAGCCAGCTTCATTTGGTACCTGCGCATCAATTAATACATGTCTCGTTCCAAATCTTCTGCACCGACTCCCAAGGTAGGAAGTAATTGAAGGTTTTTCGACCCTGACATACCATCTGAACATCTTTGCGGTTCGATGTGGTTGTGGTACCAAAATTGGATGTTGCTGGATGGTATTTTATTGTTTCTTGAATCCCCAAGCTCCGCCAAAAGCAAGGCGGCGACAAGGATTGACGTCGGTCGGACAGCTCCATTAGTTTAGCGCTGGATGGCGGAGGAAGGTCTGCCGACAAGATTAGGTGCTTGAGGCTTGATGCAGATTCATTCACGTGGATATCAAATTTCGAATTTTGAGACATCTAACTACAGATTTATTTCCCTTCACAAAAGTTTGGAATTTGGAGCCAGACAAGGCATGAGAATTTGGTGGCATATAAACAATTCACAACGTTACTACTTGCTTCTTTCTTGTTACCCTACAGTTCCACTCTTCAAGCTACAACCTGGCTTTTCTCAATGATATGTGCAATTCGAAACATGATAGCTTGTTCTCGGACTAACTCCAGTCTATCCATACCATAAATAGCCTCATCAAGGCAGTCACGGCGCACCGTGTACAAATCCCATAGAGCTATCAACAACAACAAGACTCACCGAAAAATTGTGCCTCCACGCACCTTGTACCAATTCAATAACTCTCAACAGCGCCTCCCCTGTCCTCAGCCAGATCCGGAACCCACCCCTTTGGCCTCTCCCTTCCCCTGATGATCATGCCATATACAGCAGTCTCAACTTTCTCCACACAAGTCTTCATAACCTCCATCTTCTTCTCCACATCCTTGCCCAACCCAGTAGCCCCACACGAAGTCGTATCTAAGGCCTGAAAGCTCGTTCGTAAAGATCTCAAGTCAATCAAGATGTCACGATCATCTACTGTGGCTTCTGCGTTCCTTGATCCTGGGAGTGCTCCTGTCGTAGCCATAGTTGTAATTGCAAACCTCATTAACTCGCCTACCAGGTCGAAAATACCGAGGACATAATCATCTCCAGTAAGAGTTATGGTTTCTGGTAGAGACTGGGCTGCTTCCTCAGGGGTGATAAGAGTCTGGTTGATGAGGTAGTGCTGGAATGATATCGCCTCCATATATTCTTGGATGCCGCCAGAGATCTGTCGTTGATATCGCCAGGCATTGATGCCAGTCAGGTCAGGCGCGATCAGCGCAAACTGATCCTGCATAGCCGACGCCTTTGATTGAACCTCCGAAGCTATTTTAGCAGGTATCGAGCTCTTCAACGACCGTACTCTGCTCAGGTCAGTTTCGCATCTGAGAGAGGCGCCATCTACACGTGATTTACCTTTGCAGTGCGAAAATACTGTTCAGCGTTAGTTTCCATTTGACCTAAATCAATATAAAGACTCACACTTTCTTACTCGCAGCCGTGATATCTCTCGAGGCCTTGATAATGCGCTCCCGCCTGTCATGGTGTTCATCTAACTCGTCGCGGAAGCTCTCAAACATGGGCATGAAAGGTGAGGTTTTCGTATCTTGCTCCTGCGCCTTCTCCGCCCCATCGTGGTGTCTCTTGACTCCTGGCATCTCCCGTGTCGGAATGGACATTAGTCTTTCGATGTTGAATCTCGCAGCAGAGTCAAACGGAGTCTGCTTTGTTACACATGAAGATGTTCTACAGGGATGCAAAGAAGCTGGAGGCTGGAGCTTAAATGCTCAGCCACACCCGAACCGAGAAATCTCATGGATAGAACATCAGAGGGAGCTCGACAAACCCACTCCCAGCATTTCGGCTCACAACTATCATTGAGCACTCGCAGTCGTTTCTTCCTTCGCGTCTAATCCAAATCGGAGTGTATATTTGTACGATGGCGGCCTTCTTTTCAAGTCCAGTTTTTGTTTTCTCCGCTGCAATTGCGCTCCGTGTCATCTTGTTCTTCTACGGCCTCTGGCAAGATGCTAACTCGCCCCTGAAATATACCGACATCGACTACTTTGTTTTCACTGATGCAGCTCGCTTCACAGCTCACGGCCACTCGCCGTATGAACGTGAAACATACCGCTACACCCCTTTACTAGCCTGGATGCTCCTCCCGACGTCATGGTCAAGCACGTGGTTCTCTTTTGGCAAAGTGCTGTTCGCTATTGGGGACATTGTAGCTGGTTGGCTCATTGTGCTGGTTTTGAGGAGCTCTAATAAGATGTCGACGGAGAGGGCATTGAAGTTTGCTAGCATTTGGCTGTTGAATCCTATGGTTGCTACAATCAGTACCAGGGGAAGCTCGGAAGGTCTGCTAGGCGTAATGGTGATTGCTCTGCTCTGGGCTATCACTCAGAAACGGATATTCCTTGCCGGGATACTGCTGGGTCTGGGAGTTCACTTCAAGATATACCCATTCATATATGCGCCGTCTATAATATGGTGGATGGATGATGACCGTATGGGCAGCGGGAAAAAAACGAAGGCAGGACAGAGTAAAGACCTCATCAGCCTAGCAAAGACGTTTTGCAATGGCCCTCGAATCACCCTCACATTAAGCAGTCTTCTCACTTTCACTGGTCTGAATATGTTAATGTACTCAATGTAAGTTATAAAGAAAGATTTCACTGCTCGTCCATTCTCTAACCAACTTACAGTTACGGCTGGCCATTCCTCCAGCACACGTATTTCCATCATGTCACGAGGATTGACCACCGCCACAACTTCTCGCCCTACAACACTCTCCTCTATCTCTCCTCGTCAGCTCCAGGAACATCATTCTTTCCCCTCGAGTCTCTAGCTTTTATTCCACAACTATTCTTATCAGCAATTGCTCTTCCGCTCCTGCTTGCCAAGAAGGACCTCTCTTCAACCATGCTCGCCCAGACATTTGCTTTTGTGACTTTCAACAAAGTCTGCACTAGCCAGGTATGTTCTTCTTTGTATGCCACTTACCCCTAATCCTAACATATGCTAGTATTTCCTCTGGTACATGGTATTTCTACCGTTCTACCTCCCAGGCTCCTCGCTTCTAATTCAGAAATCCCTTGGGATAACCGCAGTTGCGCTCTGGGTACTGACACAGGCGTTATGGCTACAGCAGGGATTCCAGCTCGAGTTCACGGGTCAGAGCACTTTCGTACCAGGTCTTTGGCTAGCAAGCATACTGTTCTTCTTGACCAATGCATGGTTGCTTGGAATCATCGTAGGCGATATTGGGTCAACATTGAAATCACCACAGGAAGAACATGAAAAGACGCAGTAGTCAAATGCAAAGTTTGACGTTTGATACCATCCATGCTCAAGAATAGTACAGCAATAGCGCGGTGGTATTTTTCGTCATCTGCGATACATGTGCGCCCGATTACCCCAACCCAAGCCAGATAGTAAAATACTCCTTCCGTCATGCTCCATTCCATGACTCCCAGGGAAAATGACAGGCGCGCACCATGGCCTTTTCAACAATCATGAACGCCTTGGTCAGTGCCAGCAAACTCCGACGCTCATCCCATCCCAAATGCAGCCTTCCAATATTCCTACAATAGAGCGCCGATAATCCAGAGATGTAAGCAGAGCAAGTCGCAATTTTGTTTGCTCCTGAATCGGCCAGAGCATATGACGCGCAAATAATAAAAGAGACAATGGTCGATACATATCAGTGGATGGTGATCCCATCATTGCGGGAGAGAGTGATGTAACTCGAGACCTTGATAGACAAAGGCTTCGTTTTGGAGAATGAAGGCGGGGGTCGCAATTGCCCATCCTTGACTTCAAAATCACAGAGATCGTCAGGCTTCGCAATGAACGAAGCGGTAGGGCGTGTTCGGGCAAGGGCTTCGACGATGGTGTCACTCCACAACCCTGTGCATTGCTTGTTCAGCAGCTGGAAATATGGATTAAGGGCGGGAACTTGAGAATCTATAAAAAATCAGCACGGCCGTGGTATTGTAGGTGGAACTTGCTGCTTACCCAAATCTAGGAAGCGAATCCTCAAGAATTCCAATGCAGCTAATTTGTCGAGAGCCTTGGCACCAGATACTACAAGACGCTCAAACGCATTTATAAAAGCTGCATCCGTGACGCCTGAGCCATCATTCCAGACTCCGTGGGGTCGGCATACATTCTTAACGACGATGTCAACACTTTTCAGGCGGGAGGTTCGAGAATTTGACAATTTGGCGGCCTGGTCAAAAAACGACCAGCAAATTCTGCCCGTATATGATAAATGCTCCAATGTTGGAATCGCCTTCGCCATCTCCGCACATAGATGCGTCACGCTAGCAACTTTCTTGAAGAACATAGGAGACACCGCCTCTCGACGGTAGTCAGCCTCCAGACATATATTCAGATGTGTAAGACTTTGGGGTAGCTTGGGTAGAATAGTAGCCATAGAGATATAGCTCTTCGACTTTGGTTTTGCGTAAGTTGCATGCCATTCAGTGAGGTTCGGCAAGGCAGAAGCGATGTGTTGGAAGTCATCATTTGATCTAATCAGATTCCACTGTCCCTTACAGACCAAGGTTCGGATGGAATCAATGACCGGCAGGATATTGGCTGCAGGGGCTTGAAAATGCTGAACCATTGGTGGTTTCTTCCTTTCCCCGCCCTCCAAAGTCAAAATGCAGGCCTCTGCAAATGTCATCCTCACAAATCTGAACACTTCTTCCAACGTGCAGTTATTTGAGGGTGATTGATAAGTGATGGTAGTACCGGTATCTGCTAGGTTTCCAAGCGCTCTAATCACGAGGGATCGATCAGGGGTCGTAGATGGAATCCGAAGCGTACGGTCGAACGCAGGGTTTTTCTGTTGGAATACCGGGAACCAGAACTCGATATGCTTGACATAGGAACAGAGATGGCTGTGTCGGGAGAACCAGAGCATCGCTTGATCCACAGATTCCCTTGTTCCCTTGATCTTCAAATGTCGATAGAGACGATCCTGAATGAGCATTTTCCACTGCTTGCTCACCAAAGCCAATTCCGAGACTTCACGTCGTCTCGAGTGCCGTAATGCTGTTCCCCAGCCTCGTAGGATCTTTGTATTGCCGGCAGTCGCGGTTCTGGAAGATGCTGAAGCCCTCACCCCAAACAGGTGGTCCAAGATACACTCATGAATCTCGATCGGCAGATCGATGAGAGAGGATTTCGAAGAGGTTCGTTGAGAGGATTTGTTTGCTGGGAGTGCTTGGGCATCTTGTGCGGCCATGTCTTCCAGCAAGTCAATGTCGAGAAGCCGCTGCGAACATTGTATGCTTCCTTCTAGCAGTTCTTGGTGGGGAAAAGGTGTGCTTTTCGGCCGTGCTGGAGGCACAATATCATCTTCGAACCCCTCAGCCTTCAGTTGGTCCAGAGGTATCGATCGCACATTTGTCGGGGTCGAAGGTCCAGGAGTTGCAGGCGTTGAGGCAGTTGTCATAATTGGAGTTAACAGAAGAGGGTGGCCTGCCTCATCCACTCGAGACATGGCATCTGTATGCATTGTTTGTACTAGCTCTTGAAGTCTCTCCTACTTCATTACAGGTCGAAGAGTTTGGTGCGCTTCATGGAATGCAATTTCGCCTGTTTGTGGAAGTGAATGTATGATGGCCGGCACCGGAGAGTTGTATGCAGAAAAAGAGGCGCTTAGAAGGTAGACGCGTTCAAGACTCGCAGGCTGCCATCGAGCATGAGTGAAGCAGAACAGGTAGAGTGGGTGTCGCAGGCAGAGGTAGCAGAATCGGAATCTGTCAAGTTGTCACAGACGAGGAGGCTGATCCGTGGCAGTGCTTGGGGCGGCGGGCGCGGGCGCGGGCACCCAATAAACCTAATAAATAAATGAATGAAGATCGAATGGGGTGACGACGTCGTGCGCTATGTTTTGCTGTGCGGTGCTGTGCTGTGCTGGACGGGGGGAGTGACCTAAAGCGTGCTGCTCCTAGCCTGTTCTGTGCTGGGTGTTTGGCCGTTTTGCGATTTGGTCGTCCCGTTCGTCGCCGTCGCCGTCTGCGAGATGGGAATATGTCGCTCCAGATCAGTGTTGTGTTGGAGGTTGGGTGAGGGAAGGGAAGTTATTGAAGTGAATTGAGGTGAGGTGAGGTGAGGTGAGGTGAGGTGAGGTGAGGTGAGGTGAGGTGGAGGAAGTCTGGGAGAAGCCGAAGAGGGAGAGGGGAGGGGAGGGGAGGGGAGGGGAGAAGGGTCTCTCGAATTTCTTGGCAGCCTCTCCCCATCTGCCCTCTGCGGTCTGTGGCCTGCGGTCTGTCCTCTGTCCAGTGTCCAGTCCAGCCTCAGCCTCAGCCTCAGCCTCCGAAACCGAACGATGGTCCAGATCTAGGAAGGTAATGTAGGTAGGTAGGTACTTTAAGTTAAGTGTAGCTCGGCTGCTCCTGTCCAGGCCAACCCTTACGAATACTGCACTGCACCAACAGCATTGCACCGCACTTTACTTCGTTACGTCGGGCCATGACCAGACGACAGATGAAGTGCAGCAGCGCAGCGGGAAGAAAGGGGAGGGGAGGGGAGGGGATGAAAATAGCAACAACGAAATAACTTATGAAACGAAACAAAGTAAAGGGCTGTAGCTGTAAAGCAACCCAAAACAAGCCCCAAGCCCCAAGCCCCCAAGGCCCAAAGGCCCTACCCCTACCGCTACCGCTACCGCTACCGACGGACAGACCAACCTACCACCCAGCCACCCACCGGACAGACAGACAACAAAGCAGATCGCTAAAGCTGCTCCCGGCATACCTCGCATACCTACCTATTCCTATTTGCGAACCAGATTGCTAAGGTAGATAGGCAAGTTACCGACGTCCAGATAGGGATACCTTAGCTATTCGTTACCTACCTACTCCGTACTCCGTATACCTACCTAGCTTTCAGTGGCACGTTCTGCTCCTGCTTCGGTGTGCAGACCCGCCCCTGCCCCGGCCCCCGGCCCCCGGCCCCCGGCCCCCGCCCCCAACTTCGCCGTTTGCCGCTCGGCACTCGTTCTGTCGTTCTCTCACCACACTCCGGTCCTGCCTCACCTCACCTCACCTTACCTCCTCGGTGTCTCCAAACAACACACTCAAGCCTCAACCCTTGGGACACCCGAGCTTATAATAGGTACCTTGTAGTATGGCGTCTGGACGAAGTCATTCGGGGTGCTGGACCTGTAGAATTCGGTTAGTACTAGGTAAGTTAGCCGCCTGCCTAAAGGCCTTCGCGTCTCTCCATTCAATTCTACCTCCATCCACCTCAACATCCACATCCCTATCCCTATCCCTATCCCTATCCCTATCCCTCCCCTTCCTTCCATGCTCCCCCATTGCCATTCACCCGAATGGCAAAGCCAGCGAGTTGGCAGGGACTTCTCATTCATTCCCTTTCATAACATTCCATTCATTTCGTTCCATTCCACTGACCATGCTTCTCAGGAGGAAAAAGTGTGACGGTAGGTACTTAATTTAGACTCATGGTCTATTTCCGTCACCTTTGTCTTCTTCCGCACACATTTCACGTCTGCACCTGCCTCTGCCTCTGCCCCTGCCCCTGCAAGATACACGCATTAAGCATTTGTTGTCCTTACGTACCTACAGATCTGAAGCCGAGCTGCGGCCCATGTTCTTTTCGAAATATCACTTGCCACGGATACGGAGAACGGCCCCAGTTTGTATGTCCCCTTCAATGTTATGAGATCGTACTGTGCCCTTTGTCGTCATATTTTATGGATATGATAAGGAACGCCATACTGTTTATTTTGATCATTCCATAGTTCCAGGTTTTTGTCTCCACATTTTACTGATTTGCGAAGATGTACGATCCGGAGCAACAAAGGCAAGAGATTGAAAATATCCAGGTGAGAAACGACTTTTAACGCTCTGTATATCTTGGTGTTCAACTTTCGAAATCCCTGTCCCAATCACAATTCCAAAATATCTCTAATCGGACAAGAGAACAAGACTTCAGGTACACTAATATGGATTAGCGAGCAGTCAGCGAAAGCTTGAAAGCTAGGAGGTCCTTTAGGGTGTCGAAGAGGACTGCAAGGGGCTTCAAGTCTCAATCTCCCGTGTCCAATGTCCCTGAAGATGCAGCGTCAAGGTTAACACATGCGTACCAAAGTCAACTTTCGCTAGAGGCCCAGTTCCAGGGGCAATCAACTAACGACAAAGTTAATGTTGCAACTCCACTTCCTGTTCGCGATCCATGGCCCTCAAGTTTTACTGCTTGTCGACAGCCAGCTGTTCATACGTTGGCAAATCCGAGCAGACGCTCCTCCCCTAAAGGTCTTGACGAAGAGAAGAGAGCCTTCCAACCTTCACTGCCGCCTCTTCCACCTGTTCTACCGTCTATCGGACAGCAGCAGGCCACGAGTGAGAAAGACTTCTCTGTCATCATGAATTACCTCGACAACATATTCCCACTGCAGTTTTACTTTTACCAACCCTCTGCGTCCGATCGAGGTCGAGGTTGGCTGCTTGCCTTGATCCTTAGGTCAAAGTCTGCATAGTAGGTTCTCCAGACACGGTCCATTCTCTTGTATTTGAGTCCCGAGAGGACTTCAAGTCACGGGATACTGCTGACCCTCCAATCGTGCAGCTACACAACTTTAGCCTTTGCTTCTTTGACCAATATCATTTTCCAGCACGGGGGTGATAGTAGCGCACAGCCGGGGCCTTCTAAGAAGCTAAATGAACATCATACTCTCGCCATCACAGAGCTTCAAGAGCCGCTGGAGCGCTTGTCTACAATTTCCGGAAGTGCTGAGCTTCTTAGAACTGGCGCCGAGATCCTAGCTTGCATTATCCAGCTTCTGTCAATTGAAGTATTCAGAGAGACGAAGTATTTCAAAGGTTACAAAAATGACTGGGAATTTCATCTGGACGCCGCTTCAACCGTGCTCTGGGTGATTGAAAACGGTCTTTCGCAAGAGTCAACTTCTTTGGCTCTACCAATCGTGAGCGAAGACGATATTTCCCGATTACCTGAAAGCTCTCTCGGTGACATAATTGGGTTGAACTTTTACATGACTACTTATGTCTGGGCTGATATCTTGCGCTGCGCCTGTTTCGGGCTGCGGCCATCTGCTAGTCCATCATTAGAGTACCTGACACATCTCGAGGATGGCACTATTCGTTTAGAACAGCTCATGGGATGCAGAAACTGGGCAATGATTGCGATACGAGAAATCGCGGATCTGGAGGCATGGAAGATCGATATGCAGAGGCACAGTACTTTGGACATACCAATGCTTTATCGCAAGGGTGCGGCCATCGAAAGCCGTTTGGCCAATGGCTTAAAGAGTCTTAAAACACCCGCCATTGAGCAAGCATATATCGATCAGATCTCCGACTTGACAACAGAGATATATGCCTTATCTGCGCAAATCTATTTGTCCATTGTTCTATCGGGCAATTCTCCTTGCATTCCTGCAATTCGACTCACCGTGGCTAGTTGTCTCACCGCCATCAAAGCCCTTCCTCAGCATTTGATCGTCCGAATAGCGCTCCCATTCTGCATTGCTGGTTGTATGGCATCAGATGAAGAGAAAGACAGCTTTCGGACGATTCTTGAAGCTGCCGAAGCCGCTGGATATCCTCTGGGTATGCTCTGGAACTCGTTAGATGTCATGGAAGAATTCTGGGAAATGAGGGATGGAGGCAAGCCCGACCCGAAACCATATTCTGGAAACAGCGGATGCCCCTGGACCATCGCAATGGAACGGATGGGAAGAAAATCTCTTCTCATTTGAAAATGGACTTCTAGGTATTGGCTGGGATTTATCTCGCGATTCTATTCGGCCTTGAAATGAGATTCAGACACTGACAAGTGCTGGGACAACCCAAGAATACTGGCTGTGACTGGGTCTATATCAATTGATACAGTTCTGACTGAACACCATTAGCAAACCAAGACTGCAATAGTACAGGAGACACTGAATGCGAAGATTTTGATTCCCGACCTCGTCCGGGATCTACTTCGAACTGCGATGACATGTGGATTCGCGGCTGCGAGGAACCAGCGAATCTGTATTTGTACTAGCTTCGGAAGCGAGTAGCTTGAGGAGTTGAGCAGAATTACAACGGCGGCAGCGCTGGCGACGTTGACGAGTGTAGTTGGATTGGTATGAGAAACTTTAAAACCTCCTAGGTCATAAGGAGTGTTTCTTTCACGTTTGACCTCCTTCAAACAATCTCAGCGGCATTCTAGATTGAAGATCTCAAGATGGACTGGCGAAGTCATACCACAAGTCGACAACGTCGATCTCTTTGATTGGGAGTCCCGAGCCAGTATTGTTGATCAACACATCTAATGTTCCACACACACGACATTCAACTTGATATCTGCAAAAAGATCTCGAATGTCTGTCTCTGCTCGGATGTCAATGGATCTATTCGAAGCAGCAATGCTAGGATTGATGTTCTTGATGTCCTAGACTGTTGCCTTAAGTTCTCTAGCATTTTGTGCGACTAGGACGATATCTTCTGCACCCGACTTCGCAAAGAAGCTGCGAATGCCTGAGTCGAAGATCAAATCTGAGGGAACAACTTGGACTTGTTCTGGTGACAGATACCTTTTTTTCCAGCCCCTGCATAGCTCCAGTGATGATAACGACTTTTCCTTTCTGGGAGAAATATTCCTGAGTGACATGTAGTTCTGGATACTCATCATGATATACCGTTTTCGTGAACTGGGAGCTGGTGACGAAGGAGTCATCTGGGAGTTGGGCGAGCTGATCCATGATGCCTGACTGTTCGATGACTGGCGTATGTGGTGAAGATGAGCTGTAATTGCGCTTGGTAAAGTCTTGATATTTCTCTGGCGAGGTACGCAGCATACTATGATACATTTCTTCGGAGGGGATGCTCAAGAAAAAATATGCAACAACTTGGACTATTCCGGCAGCTCACTTCAAGCTCGGACGATGACTCCAAATCACATGTGCCACCTAAAGACTTCGTTATATTGCTGCTATCCATAGGCCGACAGACTTCCACACCATACACGGCTAGGTGGCTGAGATTATTGCGGCCGATAAAATAAATGCAGTGCGATTAAGCTGTGCAACCCTTCAACCCGACATGCCGGTCACTTTTTACCCAATTTGTGTTCATCAAATTAGCTTGCATTATATGTCGGTAACAGAGCGCACAGCGTTAGGGAATGTGAGGCGATTTCAAACACAAGGCTCTAGCTGCGTGCGGGATCTAAAGGGCCAGAATCTTATATTACGACGATACAAGATTATTGTTGCTTACACGAGATTCAGTTGCTAGTTGCTACGTGCGACAGCTATATTCAATGGGACTTCATATCTGTATCTCTCTTGCCACCGTCCCTCGACCAATAGAGTAAGCACCCCTCGCTTAGAAATGCGAACAAAACATTGAAACAACTGGTCCTGAAGGAAAGCTTAGCTGCTTTCCTGACCAGTGTTATTTATCCCAGACACATAATCTGAGTCCTTGAAATTAGTAAAGTCGGTGGTTCGGCGGATTTGATTGAGTTATGAAGGGCTCTTGGATCTTTTGAAGAGCTGTCTTCAAGTCCCGCAGCGCTAGTGGTGCTTCTAATGTATTGCATGTGCAGGGATTCATACATCTATCAGCTACTATGGCAGAATACTGAGAGAAAAATTGCGGCCAGAAAGTAGATTGTATTGTATTAGAATTTTATGGTAAGAATGTTATGCCGCCTCTTTTGATTTCTTGTGTTCCCCTACCATTTCTTCTAGTCCTGTCATCCCTTGAATCCACCAGCCAGATGCGAACACTACCCCGTTGTGTATGGGCCGACCTCTTCCAAGCTCGAGATTCTCCCTAGTAGGAATTCCAGCTGCCTGTAAGCAGCTCCCGGCGTATACTGCGCGACGAAATGTCCAGCTAGGTTGACTTTCACGAAAGTCAACCCACGCTCAGAGTGTGTAACGCCTTGGTGGCCTTGGCCGGCAGTGTTATATTGGGGTGGCGGGTATGGAGTGGGATTTGCAACGAGCCCAAGAATAGTATTAATGCTGGGATTGGCCGGCACATAGAAGTTGGACGTGGAACTCGGAGCTGTGCGGAAGCCTTGAAGGCCACCCCAGGTCTTAACAAGTTAGCCTGTACTTTACCATGTACTTTGCGCATCCAGAGTACTAGACTGAACAGTAATTCTGGGAACGATTACGTGCTGGTGAAGTAATGCTTACCATGTTTTGGATGGTTATCAGGGATCCATCCGCGAAGAGCAAAAAATCAAGGAGCCCATGTGCTATAATGACGTTCTTTGTACGGTCGATCACGGATGGTAGTGGGCCAAGTCCAGAGGGAAGTGACTTATCACCATCCACTTTACCCTCGAAGATGTTGGGCTTAAGTTTACATACCCAGAATTCCGTACGCGGGGCATGGATGGCTTTCTGAACATCAGACCGATTGAAATAGTCGTTGGGACCGCCTCCAAAGGATGGGTATCCCAGCTCAGACCAGAGATACGGGCAGAAATCTGTCAGGTGATATACGTTGAAGCATGGATTGGCGTAGTAAGCGGCTCCAACCACACTTCCATAAATCTTACAGCCAGGCAAGTTTGGGGGTGCTGGAATTGGCCCTTTAGGAGGGAAATTAGAGGTGTGTTGGGTGTGATAACTCGTGTATCCACAAGCATTTGCTGCTGCTTTGAACTGTGCGACTGTATTTTCGTCCAAGCCCATAACATTGTTGTACCTGGAAGCTAGTCAGAATTTTCAAGTATTATACTCACGCAGCCAGACGGCAAATGGAACTGTGTACTTGCTTTTCGAGTGCAGGTACAACGGGGACTGCCTCTGTTAGCTTCGCGTTATTTTGATGTGGAGTCCAGCCTGCGAACCTTCTTGTAAGACATCCTGGTAGCTGAATACAGGGTCGCTGATATAGATACCCGAGACATTGAAATAGGTCTTGTTACCATTATCTAGCATTGCTGCAGATATCCATGGCACGTATTGCCCCGCATAGCTCTCACCTCCAAAGAAAATCTTGTAACCTTGTATGGAAAAGGTATCTACGAAGTTCTTCCACTATGCAAAAGTTAGTATAAGAATCTTCGATGCTTTGGAGGTATAATATTTAGGCTCTCAAGATATGTGATTCTACATAATACAATATGAATGGAGGAAAAGGCAAGGCCCGTACTTACGAATCCCATGAAATGATTGGCTACATCCTTCTCATCTCTGACAGTGATGTTTCCTCTGGAGAATCCGGTACCAACAGGTTGATCAACGTATATGACATTCGTGAGCTTGTTCCAACTGTAAGCTGATCAACTTGTCAGTCTTCTCGTCGCATCTGAAGGGATTGTGACGACGAGAGCGATTATGCCGATGATGCTGTAAGACCATGACTCACAATTGGGGATGGGCTTGTATGTCCCAGGTTGCCAGATGAATGGCCCTAGCAGATGTTAGGACACTCGTCTTCTAGCTGGAGAAATGACTTACCACTCTCCTGAAAAACACCTGAGAGAGAACTACACCCGGGGCCACCGCTGAGCCAGATCACGATTTCTTTCTTAGCTGCTGGGTTCGTTGATGGAGAAAACCAAAACCAGAGAGTATCTGGATTTGCAGCAGTAGGGGGCCCAATTGGTAAGGAACCAGCGTATGATTCCCCGATGTCGAACTAGGGTATAATCGACGTTAGCACGATCTAAAACATTTCAATGAACCAAGTTAGACATCTAGACTGAAGAATTATCGTCAAAAGATTCCAGAGTAGTATTCAATGGTTGAGAGGAAGACATCATATCGCTATGTCATGAGCGGGTGTAAAGACAACCAACCACTATGCCAAAGTATACATACATCGACTTCTGGCAAACCATTGCCCTTAACAGCAAATTCTAATAAAAAGTTAGCTGACCCGACAGAAGTATTATTCAATCAACTCACTGGAAGTCTTCTGGGTCAGAAAAAGTCCTCCACTAGCACGAGGAGATTTATTGGCAGATCGCTTGAACTTTGCTGCTTCCGGATGCGGATTTTGGGCTCCCACCAACAATACCAAAGCCAGTAGAACAAGGCATGTATTTGACCGCATCTTGGAAAACACCGAGATATCTGTGCTTGAGAAGAAGAGTGACAGGACTTGAGCCATATATGCACTTTGTGGACTCCGACAGTCCTCCAGTTGAGGGAAGACAAAAATGGAGTGTTGGCGTTTGTATTCGGAGTCTCTTCTGGAGTTGCAAAGTGATAAAATTGTCTCCTTGCGGCACAACAACTTGCCGGCATGGGTATCCCAATGGTACCGGGTCGGTTCGTTCCTATCAACCAGGTACCTTGACCAATACAAAACCTTCGCTAATCAGGTGGTACATAGAGGAATATCATCTCTTTGTCTGAGGCGCCTGCACAGCGCCACCAAATGCAGAACTCACCAAAACAGAACACGGGTAGATGCAGCAATGCTATGTATCAATTAAAGTCTAAGACTGATCCAGATATGTAGCGGCTAGGAGAAACATCGCCATTGAGAACTCCAGTGGGAAATGGGTTTGACCCTCGCTTGCGGGACATCCAGTCAGCAGCGACTTCGCTATCATGACCAACATGTTCTGGAACTCTTCTAATACTGCTCTAGAAGCCAGCACAGTGACTCCATAGGCAGGGGTCAAGATGCAGAGGCCTCGTGGCCTCCTTCTGCGCCATTCCTGCACGAGATTTTTGAATTTCGGATGGACTGCATGCAGCGATGCAAGGGAGAAATTTGTTATTGCACCAACATCTCAGGTTATTCCTATCCCGCCACAGCCGAGAACATTCGGAGCCAATGAACTTGTAAAAATGTTGGATCTCGGCTGTCATACGCCAACAAAGCTTGAACAGGTCAACAAAACGTCGTTCGCTGTGGAAGGTCATGGGAGCGAGATTCTACTGAATGCAGTCGGTAATTATTGCAATATGTGCATATGCAGGTTGGTAGCAACAGTTTTACCAGCTAGCCGATTGCAGCAAGTAGCGTATGCGTCATGCACAGACTCAGCTGAAGATGGCCAGAATAAACTTCAAGAAACAGAACATACAAGATAGGAGGTCGAGAGATGCTGGGGCTGAAGGGACCGGCTTGGAGTAGCTTACCTAAGTGGACGCTAAATAGATAGTTCAATGGATTTATCTATCACGTCTTTGCAGTGCGATTCTTGATTGAAAGGAATTTTCTTTTGTCACGTGTGGCCTTGCTACCTATTGCGTATGACTCGTCATGAGCCCAATGTTTCTCCCCTTTGCAAAGACCATCTCATTACATGCACAGTATCCTGATTAGTATGGTGATCACAATCCATCATACCATATGTAGATATTTGTACGATCACAAGAATGTGTCTTGAAGTTTGCTCAAAATCAGGCTCTACCAGTTCTTAGTTCCCTGGTTATCGCTATCTTTTGCTTGACCGGTTTACTTGAATTAATGTGAGTCGATGCTGGCCTACATAGTTACTGGTACCCTAAAAATAACATCTTACCTCGGGCTCATATGTGCACCGTATCTCACAAGCTGATAACTAACAACAAATGTTTGCACTTATTGGTAGAATAATAAAAGTGGAAGGTTGTGTCTGGGCAGCAGATATTGAAGTTCTCGGCACATGCCCGCCACTTCGCTTAACAAAGTCAACAAAACTAAAATTCCGATGACTTGAAAGTCGTCATATCCAAACGCCCAGCAAGACAACCCACAGAACAGCCAAGTAGATGTCATTTTGAACGAGAAAGCCACAAAATTGAAGTTGAAATCCAAAGGGAGAGTTCTTTGCGAGACTTCCAACAGACGGTTGCTACAGGCGCTCTGGTTATCACAAGCCCTAGAACGAGAGACCTGGGATGCAAAGGTCACTTATGCACTTCCTTGGGGGGGAGAGACCTGCTCTCACAAAACTTGGGTGTGCTTTCCTTATGTTCTCGCATATAAAGCCAAGGAGGTACCTGGAGAGGGTGAATGTCCCTGGTGAAGTCACTCAACCAAGCCAGGACGCTGTCGCTCATGAACGACCAGAGCGATTCTTGTGGTCTATAATCGACCAGAAACTAATGTATCTTACGGTAGATATCAATAATCAGCACTCATATATCGCAGGTATCTATGATTATTAATTGTTGATTCCAGCATCGTCGCCTGTGCTGCCACCTCGCTCCCGCTCCCTCCAATCTGGCCTCGCTTAATTCTAACCCCCTATTGTGTTCCACTTCACAATGGCAAGCGAGCAATAACCCCAAACTCAATAGGAGAAAATAGCAGCACTGAACATAATACTAAGTATCATCCGTATTAATTATGGCAGCAAAAACAGAGAAATTACAAATTCTTGGCCTCCTCGGAACCTCACAACATTCTTTCCTTTATCTTCAGCAACGACAGCTCAACGATCTTTCTCCCCAACACCGCCTCTTTCAACTGAGAAGCCAAAGAACAATTTTGTCAAAGGCTCGACTATTTTCTTCATCTCAACATCAATCGACTATCATCCTCCTTCCAATCTACACACGCACTCCTCACTCCATCTCGTTACATCCCATCTCTCTATCTCAACAACTACCACAAGCCGCAACAATGGTCAGAACCAGAGGAGAGAATCCGAGAGGCATCCAAAGCCCACTGACAAGCATCGGGAACCAGCATGTCTGTCGCTCTCGACCAACCCCATCACCACCGCGAGGAGCCGCCTATCCTCCTGGGATGCAGTTTTTCTATGACGAGTACGTCGGTCTTTACGACGATGACGTCTCAACTCTGGACCTGGAGGGGTCAGTTCGCTCCCCATCTTCATCCGGTGTAAGAGCGGCGATTCGCTCGCCGTCCGTTGCATCGGATGTCATGGTTTATATTGGCGATGATGGTGAAGAAGGCGATGATGAGAGTCAATTCTCCGAGCCAGCTGTCGAGACCAGACTGTCGGATGACGAGGAAGATGAAGGCAACGCCATCGTCATCTCAGATGATGACCGCACGATTATTAGCATCTCGTCGAAATCAGAGAGCGAGTCGTCAGACGACGACATTTCGGATCTGGATCTTACCGCTGGAGACAACGATGACGAGGACGACGATGAAGACGAAGACGACAACAGAACTAGTCCCGTTCCCTTCTCCATCTCCTCCTCTCCATCCACGAACCACACCAAGTCTCCAAACCGAACCATCGCCGCCTCTCCTCCCCACAGAAACGTCTCTCCAGACCATACCATCTCAGTTCCTCCTTCTCCCAGCCAATCCATCTCCAATCCCCCTTCTCCAGACCGCACCATCTCCGTCCCATCTACTCCCAACAACCAGGAAGATGGACCAGCCGCCGATCGAGACCAGAAGGAGTCACCCTCTCCTCTTCGTCTCCCAAGAGACACCTACCAGGACGACAAGGACGAGGACATGAGCGACGACGGAATTGTCGATTTCCAAGGACCCGACCTCCCTCCCTACGTCAATCAAGCACCATCCCACTTCGTCCGAGCATACAGAGGTACCACTACCATCTGGAGCGTCGTGGAGTGGGAGAGAGATGGACCAGCCATTCTGGCGGAGGAGGCTGCGGAGCGAGAGAAGGAGAGGTTGCGCCGGAGACGTCGCGCGAATAATAGCGGACAGAGCAGATTAGCGAGACAGCGGGCTTGGAGACAGCGTCAGCGCGAGGGGCCTCGAGCACGTGTGAATGGTAGATTTGCGTAGGGGGTGGTGTTTGTCTGGTGCATGTTCTGTGGCCTTCGAGCGAGTGGTTCGAGACTGGTGGCATGTCTGTTAGTGGTGCATTGTTTTGGTGGAAATCCTGTGTCTATAAGGGTTCTAGCTCGTAAGTTTGATCTTCGCATGTCTCTATGCCTTCGGGCGATATTTCAGTGGAGCTTCATTCTCCGCTTGCTGATAACATTATCTGAAATCTTAGAAATCATGACTCAAATGTGAGACCTACCTAGAACACTCCAGCGTACAGAACGCGCGGCGGCACTCGGAGGTGAGGTGGCAGAGTCACCACTCCGCGAAGGAAGGTAAATATAGTGAGTGGAAAGTGAAGAATTGAGTTGAAAAAGCAAATACGATATTTAGGCATTGAAGCTGGCGTTGAAGACCTCGAGTGACTCCAAATGAATAGCCGTTGGGCAGAGTGAAAGAAACTCGCAGTGACGTGAGTTTAGCTGATGGAAGCGCAATTCCTGTTGCCAGATCGCCCATTACCTGGCTAACTTGGCTACCCTCGGTGAACCCATTAATCTCGACTTCAGGACAGCCTACAGACTATTTCAAGGCGAGAATTGAGAGCTGAGCTGACGCCAAACATCACTAGAGGCACGATTCATTCATCGAGAAAAAGAGCAGTACTCATATCGGAATTGAGACGCGGATCAATAGTATCCTTGGGCTTATCGATGAACGGCTTAATGGCAAAGTCATGATAGATGGCCAAGTTACTAATGATTTTCGATGGAAGTTGACATTCATCTCCTCCTGAAAGCCGCACACTCAGTGCTCTATGTTGTCACATGCCAAGACTTTGAATCCCCTGCTCCCTAACTCGTGTTACATCTCGGGTGCAGTCAACAAAACTGAGAACAAAAGACCAGAATGACTCGAAGTACAAGATGAGCTACAAAGATGAATATCAATCTGACTCAGTGGGGTCGCATATCCCAGGCTCTCTTTCAGCAAGATGCAGAGGAGAATATCGGCCATGAGCAACCAAACACGAGCCGATCTAGTGCATTCAACGTCCTTTGATCAAATGGAGATACGACAGCGGAAGGCAAACGACCAAGGTAAAGCCGGCAATTGAGATCCAGACATGAACCTGTGAGACAGAGGTCAGAGAGAGAAGGCAGCCGGTGAGATGTACAAAGTAATGCTTCGGAAATGAGAAGATGAAGAAAGGTTATGTAGCTTCGCTGTTACCCATACTCAGTTCTGACTTTTGAGGGAGCAAGCACATATTACAATATAACGAATGTGTGGTTTGTGTCTTGATCCTGACGAATGGCTGTCACAGCAGAGCAGGAAGGCACGAAAAATATGAAGAAGTAAATGCAGAATGTATTGATCGTCATGACAGAAAATCGACGCTGACCAACAAGCGCAATTATATACCACTCAAAATCAATCACCCTCAATGGGAACAAGACAAAATTTCATTCAAGCCATAAGACTAGTTTAGAACCTTGGGGTATCACTCGATAAATGTATGTATGCAATCCGCCAACTGCCCCTCTCTACTGAGAAGAGAGGTCTGCAGAAGTCGTTCCCATCACAGGACAATCGCAGCATGAATTTCAGCACATCTTCGGCACAACCAACAGTCATTGGAAAGACCGAATTGCAATTTGACATCCGTGCTATGTATGAATGATCCAATATCCCAGAATACTCCGAAACAGAAATGAAGAGACCTAGAACTGGATAGGTTAGGATATCACATATTGCATTTTCATTGCAATGATTATTAGCTTAGACTTATGGTACAGAGTACATCGCTCCCAGCCCCAAGAACGCCGTGGAATATGGACAATCATGGTATATAAACAGGCAAGAGAAGGGAATCATAGCTCTCCATGGCCAGTGACTGATACGCTTGGTACCGGCTCACCTCCCTTAGGGAAGATGTTGCCTTTGGTGAGCTCCTTGAGAGCAATGTCAAAGCGTGCACCTGCCAAATATGCAGCACCAATCTGTTTTCTGTTAGCCACATCCAGTTGTGTCCGCGTAATACTTACCATCAGACCCGAAATGACGGCCAGGGTCCCCATAACTGCAAGCAAGAGGAAGAAAACGTCCTTCTTTGCTTCGGAATCTTCGGCAGCCCTCTTCGCATCCGAAGGTGCGATCTCGCCCTTGTGAATAAGAGACAAGGCCTTGGGATCTTGAGTTGGGAAAATAGACTCGATGAATTGTTCGACCTAGTCTGTTAGCAATAAATCAAAGACAAGGAAGGAGGCTTCATACCTTGGCGCAAGCAATGCTGATCTCGAGGTAGTTGGGATCCTTGGGAGTATTCTTCTTGTGGATCTTCGCAATGTACCTCTTGAAAATTTCACATACAGAACGCAGATTCTGTGACGACTCCATCATCAGTTGGCAAGCATCGCCCTTGGTGATCTTGACATTCTTCTTGAAGATATCTGGGTTGTGGAACACAAGCTCCAATGTTGCAATGGCCATTGATTGTGGGATGGCGACGAAGTTGAACACACTCTGGTCCTTGATGCCGGCCATGTAGAACAAGCACTCATCCGCATGGCGGAGAGAGTTGAGAACCATTTCTGAACTGCAATTAATAGCGATGTCGATATTTTTAGGGTCGAACAGATCATCAAACTTGGTGACATGCTTGGACCAGATCTCCTTTGGCCAAAACCGTCTCTTGTCATCGAAGTCCTCTCGAATATCACGAATGATGTTTGTCTTTTGCAGGAATTGACCCATGGATTCGGAAAGTTCTGGTCGCTTGAGAAGTGCTGGGTTTGCAAGCTTACTCTCCACGAATAATCTTGTGAGACCGTCTCCAACGAGGCCAGCGACGTAATGGCAATATAGCTCATAGTCCTTTATGGTGTTTACACCGTGGATATTGTGCTCCGCATTGTTCGCATAGTCAGCCATACCATTGCCCATCTTGTTAGTGATATCCTTGATGATGTCCCTGTACGCAGGCTTGACCAATTTGAACTCCGCGATCACCACATCGAAATGTACAAGCAGCTCTCGATCCTTCTCGTTTGGCCCATTCTCGTTGAAAGTCCAACCATCTTCCTCGAGTATGTCCTGGAATTTCCTCAACTTGGGCTCCTTCGTCTCCAGGGGGATTGTCATGTCATCCTCGATCGTATCCAGACCCCGTAGAATAAGGTAGAAGAGCGCAACCGGGACGAGTAATTCTGGGTTGAGTTCTTGGATGACGGAGCTGAAACTTCGACTGGTCATCTCAAGGTATCTGAAGCATTCTCGCAGGTTTGCAGACTCCTTTTCGGGATTCCGCGCGTGAACAGGTTCGTGCCATATTTTCCTAGCAGGTAATCAATCAGTTTGACGAGCGATTGGCATTCAGGAGAAGCTCTAGACGTACCATTGCAGGATCGATCTCAGTTGATTTGGGTGAACGGAAAAATATAACAGTTGGCTTAGGACACCCATTGTAGCGGTGGCTGGGAGAGAAGAGTGGGGAGGGTGAAAGTTTGCAGGAGTTGCGTTGCAGGTGATGGACGTCCTTTTTTTTTACTACTGACTGTGGAGAAGGTTCAATGGGTAGGGTGCAGGACTGTAATAAGCTCTCCTTCTTCGTGCAGGGTTAGGGTTTGCCTAGCCAAGCAAGCTGCAGCCTCCTTGAGATGAGTTGACGTGTGGCTGGTGGAACGGAGATAGATTTTACCTTGGGTTCGGAATGTGTATTTGTTACTGAAATGAGGTGAGGGAGATAGCTGGAGGGGAAGGGAGGTTATGTACAAGAATCAGGTTGCACGCGCCATTTGTCGTGAGCGGCGGATTTGGAGAATTCCATTTTGAAGTCTGGCTGACAGGAGATTGTCAGAAAGTCCGGCGCGCCGCCAGGCCTACAGGCTGCTTCTTCGTCCATCGGGCGGGCTGGGGCGGTCAGGCCAGGCGCAGATAGGCTTGACGGATGGACGGCTTGCGAGACACAGGCAGGCCATGGGCATGGGCATGGGCACGGGTCCAATAGAAGGCTGCAGCCTGCAGGAGCCAAGCCCTAGCCTCGCAGTCCCCTGGGTATGTGCGGTACTCGTAGTCTCGTACCTACCTAGGTACAAGTAATTTACCTCGCAGCTTACGGAGGCAAGGCAAGGCAAGGCAAGGTAGTATTACAGTACATGCCTCTCTCAGGTAAAGAAAAGTGTTCTCTTTTCATGCCCACGCCCACGCCCACGCCCACGCCCTCGCCCAAACCCATCAACTCCATCTTTGCATTGCACCCAGCAGCATATTATTCGCCGAAGAGGCATGTTTTAAATCGAGCCCACGCTGCGCGACTTCTGGTTGCATCTCCTTCCCACAATCATCAATTGCCCTTCTTGTGACCACGTCAGTTTCAAAGCTGCCCGCTGCCGCCGAAGCCCCCGATAAGAATACGATCGCCTTCAATTCTTCACTGGTCTGCGACCTCACAACCGTTTTCCAACCATGAACAAACGAGAAGATGACGATTTGGAAATGAGCAAGATGGGCCTGGTGGATGGGGAGATACACCAGGACAAAGACAAGGTGACGGGAGATCCCCCCAAGCCACAGACCACCGCCAGCCGTACCATCGATATGGCATGTATTCTCCTGAATATCGCGAGTACTGTTACTCTGGTTTTTCTAAACAAATGGTACGTCTGCCGACTGGTCGCAATTCCAAACGCGGCCCCTCTTGTCCTAAGTCACAGCTGGTGGGCAATCACTGATTGGAATCCAGGATCTTCCGAGACCCCCAATTGAAGAATATGCAAATATCTTTCGCAATGTGGCATTTCACATGTACAACAATCGTTCTCTGGATCGCCAGTCGATCCCCGTTCAATCTATTCGTGCCCATACGGCTGCCGTTCCTGCAGATGATCCCGCTCTGCAGTTTCTTCGCGGGCTTTTTGATTTTGGGGAACTTGTCTTTGGCATATAATTCTGTTGGATTCTACCAGTACGAAGTCTTCTATACCTCTGTATTCACGCGGCTGACAGGTTCACAGATTGGCTAAAATCATGACCACACCTTGCGTTGCGGTCCTTCAATACTTCTTCCTGGGCAAAACCGTTGCTGGACTCACAATTGTCGCTTTAGCAGCCGTGTGCATCGGCGTATCACTTACGAACTCCAATGCAGCAGGGACAACAACTTTGGGTGCCTCGATTGCTGTTGCTGCCTTCACAGTGACGGCCTTCTACCAAGTCTGGATTGGTAAGAAAATGAAGGATTTCGCCGTATCGAGTCCACAGTTGCTCTTGAACCAAGCACCTATCTCGGTACTGCTTTTGGTATTTGTAGCGCCATTCTTCGACACTGTTCCAGATATCAAGATAATCCCAAATGATACACTTATCGCTTTGTTCTTATCTGGTATTGCGGCCGCAGCATTGGTGAGAACCCATTCCCGACTCCGAGCAGGCTAGGCAAGCTAACCTGGATGTAGAACTTGAGCCAGTTTCTTATTATTGGTAGAATGAGTGCTCTTACATTCAACGTTGCATCAAAGTACGTTCTTTCACCCATCATACCCCACCTAGCAAGACTATGGGATTAACATCACACAGTGTAAAAACAATTCTAATTCTCACATACGGTTGGGTCAGCGAAGGACGCGAAATGACCGTCAAGGATGCTCTGGGTATCATACTTGCGCTCGGAGGCGCTACATTATACAGCCAACTCTCCCAGAAATGAGTTAGGCTGGAATAGACGAGAGATCGGACGTACAACGTATCTATATACATAAATAAATAAATAGAAAGTCCATAATACATTTGACCAAGGAAATATACCGATGCTGACTCCCGTTCCGACTGATAGAGGGATACTATCTAAACTGCTAAATCTATCATGACAAACAAAAATAAAACAGAACGGTCTCGTTGGGCCGGAATATTCCCATAACCTGACCTGAAAATTTTGGTGGTACAAAGGTGAGGAATCTGTACTTTTGACGACGTGTTAGACGGTGGACATATCCTCATCGTGAAACCCATCATTACGTGGATTACTTCTTTGACCTGCTCAACATGATGTTGGAATACCTAGAGCACAGTCAGATCACATCCTCCCACCATACCAGGGAAGTACTCACACAATGATACCCGCAACAGTCATCACAATGCCCAATGCACTCTTGTCCGTCAAGCCTCTGCCAGACAGAGCCCACCCGATACTAACAATACTGACCGTTTTCAAGTGGCCCACAACCGTAGAACTGACCGGGCCACTACCAGCAATGATAAAGAACTGGCTGATGTTGATCAAAGCTGCAAAGCCACCACTCATTAAGATCATCATCCAGCGATATTGCGGCACGTCGCCTAGAACGGGAATCTTGTCCACGATCGGCACGGCAAACATGAGCATGACGGACGAGATAGGCGCTTGATTAAGCAGGAGCTGCGAAGAAGACATTTGGAGTTTCTTGTGGTAGGCGCCGATGAGGACGGTGTAGGCGGAGGAGGCGAGCACACCCGAGAGCGCGAACATGATGCCAATAGTGCTGGTGGTTTGCACTTGGTCTGAGGTGGCGGGCTTGGTGTCGTAGTAGGATGTTACACCTACGCCGATACAGACGGGAATTAGAGCCAGAGCGGCGTTCCTTGGGATCGTGGCACCGTAGAAGGTGTAGTTGATGATGGCGGTCATGGGAGTCAGGAGAACTCGGCATAGTTGGTAGACTGTGACCGTGGAGAAAGCAAGTGAGAGATTAGGTAGAACGACGTTAAGACACATTGAGAAAGCAAGCTGGATTCGGATGTTAGTAAAAGTGCCAATAATAATGCGAATGACAGGGAAAGGGTAAATAAACACAAAACATACAGGAAGCATCTCCACGATCCCAGCTCGTTTAGGAACAAAAGCCCCAATGCTCTTCCTCGATACCACCCACAACGTCAAACCCGTGCACACGAAGTGAAAAGAAGCAAATGACGTCTGCATCATCTTGAAATTCGGGTCGTCGAAGATGGCCTTATTGGTGAAGACTATGCCAATAGTGGCCAGCATGTTGATGGCTGTCCATGTCAGGAACTTCTTACGGGCACCAGCGGTCACGACCGGAGTAGCAGGAACCGGAGGCTCCACGTCGAATTGTTTGTCGCCAGCATCCTTCTGTGCCTCGACATCCAGCAGAGGAATGCTATTCTCTTGTGTAGATTCAGAAGGCATGGTTGTGGTCGAGCGTGGTCATGTGATGGGGGAGGAAGCCCCTTCTTTCGATATTGGAAGGGGACCTGAAAGAAAGGAGGCTCAGAGCGATTAAGCTATTGCGCGTTACAGGAAGTCGAAGAGAGATGGCTCATTGGATGGAGAGCCAGGGCCTGGAATGATCCTGCAGGATACAGCACGTCGAGAACAGCAGGATGCCAATGCAGAGCGTAAGGTAGTGTCAGTGTCTTCGTGGAGTGTCGTGCTGGCAGGGCTGAGGACAGAAGGAATAAAAATCTGGTAGAGGCGCGTCACTTCACGGAAGGGAAGGGAAGAAGCGAGGTTTCACACCGGGACACAATACCTTAGGATGCGGACGCGAATGCCATGAGCACCAGCCGAGCCCAGACTCTGTCTGACAGCGAGATCAAATAATACGAGCAGAGCTACCCAGAAGCTTTTTAATCCGCTATTTCGGGACATTTGAAGTCTATACGAGGAGATCGTCGTATCGAGAACTCTCAATTGAAAACATTGTCAGCAAGATCTTGAAAGAGCCCACTACCAGTACAGTACTGCTCAAGTGACGGACAACCTGCGATGTGTCATTGTCTTATCTCGTCTCATATTCCAGATGGTCCACTCACACGTGAGGCACGGAGAGCAGAGTTCAATCCATCATTCCATGATGAGATCAGGATTTAGTAGGAGAAGGTTCTCGTAAGAATGGCGCAACTAAACTGTCGAATTCGAATTGCCATTCTGAGTATCTCATGGCCATGACCCTTGGCTCAATAACATGCTGTCCCAATAAAGACTACCTACGAAGGTACAGTAGAGGGGGCCAACCTTTGCGTCTTGCCCCTTTTCTCGATCCCTGCAGCATAAAATTCGGAGGTGGGTGTGGCGTGAAGGGCGGTCAGGCCAATTAACTTCGTAACCTCGCCATTCTGCAATCAAGAGACAGAGAAAGCAGTCAACGATCAGGAACCCAACTCTCCTCCGAGGACGGTTATTCTTGTGTAACATTTGATGCTGTAGAATATAAATGTCCCTATGACTGATGTTGTGGAATGCTTGTTTATCCAGAAGGGGGCGTTTGTGGCTGTACTGAAATGATCTGTATGAAAGGTCGCATCTAGCTAGTTCGAGCCCTTGCAGCGTTTACAAATCCCAGGGTCGTCTCGCCCCTCCAAACAAACGTACCTACTTCTCCCCTCCTCACCGACTCAACAGACATCTCCTTTCCTTTGATCTGTCTCCATATCAACACAAACAAAGCCAAAAATAATACAATCTTTATACAAACGCAATCATGTCTTCCGAGAACATTTTCTTGATCTGGGGTGGTGAGGGATGGGTCGCCGGCCACCTGAAGACTCTCCTTGAGAGCCAGGGTAAGCAAGCTCCCACAGGCACTACAATTGATTCGCAGAAGCTCACTATCAAGACAGGAAAGAAGGTTTTCACGACTACCGTTCGCATGCAAAACAGAGAAGCCGTCATCGCCGAGATCGAGAAGTACAAGCCAACCCACATTCTCAACGCTGCAGGGTCAACTGGCCGTCCCAATGTCGACTGGTGTGAAGACCACAAGGAGGAGACCATCAGAAACAACGTTATTGGTACCATCAATTTGGCTGATGTTGCCTATGAGAAGGGAATCCACGTCACTGTATTTGCTACCGGCTGTATTTACCTCTACGATGAGACCCATCCAATTGGCGGCCCGGGATACAAGGAGACTGACAAGGCCAACTTTGCTGGATCTTTCTACTCCGAGACCAAGGCATACGTTGAGCAGGTTAGTATATTCAGAGGTTGAGAAATGACAAAAGCTAACAACACATTAGATTATGAAGCACTACTCCAATGTTCTCATTCTCAGACTCCGCATGCCAGTCAGCGACGACCTCCACTCCCGTAACTTCGTTACCAAGATCGCCAAGTACGATCGTGTCGTTGATATCCCCAACTCCAACACCATCCTCCACGATCTCCTCCCGGCCGCAGTTTTGATGGCCGAGCACAAGGATACTGGAATCTACAACTTCACCAACCCAGGTGCCATCTCCCACAACGAGGTCCTCTCCCTGTTCAAGGAGTTCGTTCGCCCAGAATTCACCTGGAAGAACTTCACATTGGAAGAGCAAGCAAAGGTTATCAAGGCTGGACGAAGCAACTGCGAGTTGGATACTACCAAGTTGGTCAACAAGCTCGCAGAGTACAACTTCAAGGTGCCAGAGATCCATGAGGCTTACAAGGGCTGCTTCCAGCGCATGGCCAAGGCTGGTGTCAAATAGATTTGCGAAGATTCCCCCATTACTAAAAGTCATAAAGTTGCTTAGAAATTAAACCAAGCATGATTGCATTTGCCTTTGTTCGCATATAATATAAACTTCCATCCTTGAACCTTGTCTTACGAGGCAGAGGGTGGCAACCACGTCCCACTTGCTGCGGCGGGATGCATGACGAAATGTGGTGATACTGGCCCATCGTGCATAAAGGATGTATAGAACGGGAGAAACGCAACTCGAGTTATTATAAATATAGAATTTTTTGAATGATATCGGCGTACTTTGAAGAGCTGTGAAGTTTGATATAGGACTTGCCCCTCTTACCAAAACCCTGATTGCAAACTAGACCCGAGCCTCGTCATTTCCGAACCATCAACACGAAAATCTCTCAGCCTCATAGTCAGGTTCCAGCAGATCGCAAAGACACACGACTGCAACAACAAACCGCATATCAGTCGAAGACTGTACTTACCGCACGGTCGCTGTAAATTCTTGCGAACAATAAAGGCATCATGGTCGTGGACACAACGTACTACGATGCGCTCGGCGTAAAGACCGATGCCACCGAGTTGGAGATCAAGAAGGCGTACCGCAAACTTGCGATCATAACACATCCAGGTAGGTCATACCATGCCCTATCTCGTACATACCCTAACAAACACAGATAAAAACCCCGGCGACGATACCGCACACGAGAAGTTTCAGGCTATCGGCGAGGCATACCAGGTACTCAGCAACACCGATCTGCGCAAGCAATATGACAAGTTTGGCAAGGACCATGCGCAGCCCTCAGAGGGATTTGCGGATCCCGCTGAGTTCTTTGGTACGATATTCGGCGGTGAGGCTTTCGTGGATTTGATCGGCGAGATCTCTCTCATGAAGGATCTGACCAAGACGATGGATATCACAATGCAGGAGGGTGCCGAAGAAGAGGAGGAGGAGTTTCCTGGTGAGGCAGAGGCTAAGAAGCAGAGTCTCGCAGACGAGAAGGCTAAAGCTGCTGCGTCTGGTGGTGAGGGTTCAAAGCCATTTGTTCCTGCACCAAGCGTTGCGGAATCGACGGACTCTACTTTCTCAACAGCCAGTACTGCGGTCCCATCTGAGAAGCCAAGTGTGAGCCCAGCTACGTCCGGAACGTCGACTCCTCGAAGACAGCAGGGTATTCCGTTAAGACAGGCTATTATGGACAAGACCGAGGAGGATGCACAGATGTCTGCTGCGGGGTTGACAGAGGAGGAAAAGGAGCTGCGAAAGAAGGAGAAGAAGAAGGCTGGTCTTTCCAAGGCACAGCGCGAGGAGCTGGCTGCTTACGAGAAGGAGCGAGCTCGTGTGCGACAAGAGCGTGTTGATACCCTGGCTAAGAAGCTCATTGACCGAATTAGTATATGGACAGAGACAGACAAAGGCCCAGACGTGACCAAAGCTTTTCAAGAGAAGACCAGACTGGAGGTTGAGAACCTGAAGATGGAATCTTTCGGTTTGGACATTCTCCACGCCATCGGCACAACCTATCTCCAGAAATCAACAGCGCTCCTGAAATCACAGAAGTTTCTAGGTATCGGTGGATTCTTCTCAAGACTAAAGGACAAAGGAACACTTGCCAAGGAGACATGGAACACGATATCTAGTGCTATTGATGCCCAGATGACCATGGAGGAGATGGCAAAGATGGAGGAGAAGGGAGGTGAGGACTGGACTGATGAAAAGAAGAGCGAGTATGAGCGCCGTGTCACAGGCAAGATTCTCAATGCTGCGTGGAGAGGAAGCAAATTTGAGATTCAGAGTGTCCTGCGGGATGTTTGTGACGAGGTTCTGAACGACAAGAAGGTTTCTATGGCTAAGAGATTGGAGCGTGCTCAAGCTCTTGTTATCGCTGGAGAGATCTATCAGAAGGTATTTGCCCTAGCCCCAAATTTTGCATTTCCAAGTACTAACAGCATTACAGGCTAAGCGTAATCCGGAGGAAGAGGGTGATTACATGGCATTCGAACAACTCGTTGCCGAAGCAGCCGCCAAGAAGGAACACAAGAAGAAGACGAAGGACAAGAAGCCCGACGCTAAAGATAACCACTCTGCAGCTGAGAACGTTGCTGCAGATGCCCCTAATGTCCCTAAGCCAGCCAAGGAATAAACGTCAGTCGCTAAGGAGAAGATATGAATTCTTGTTACATTTGTGGATAGACGATAAGACAGTAAGTTTGGAACGGGCAGAGCAAAGCAAGGAAAGTGTCTTACGAAGATACCTTACCTGCTACGGTTGGGTTTCATGCATTAAACTTGGGGAGGTGGTCCTTTGTGAGACCTGGGTTGGACTGCGCTATCGTCTTTCTTGCATGGTATTAGAATGCGGTTGCTGTTACGAGAGCGAGAACAAGAACCCAAGTACTTCGTTCTAGGTAGATAGATAGGTAATTGTGCGAATCAGACGATATCCATTTCATATACTCGCGTAGACCTCGAGTAACTTCCTTCAGTGGCTTTATTGTCACTGGCGAATCAACGGCTTGCTCATCATACTTTTACTCCCAAGTGCTCGCTTACTCTGCATCACCGCCAATGCAGTTAGCTGCCTGGAACATCGAATCCTCTGCTTGTCAGGCTGAACCACTTTGCATTTGCACCTCCAGTAAACAGCTTCCCAAGATGTCTCTTTGCACCATCTGTGAAAATCTCCTCTTTTTCATCTTCTCGGGAAAGTACTCCACAAATGTAGAGAAGCACGAGACCGAACGGTGGTACCGCTTCCCGTCCCTCATCGGCTGCCAGCTGTGCGGTATGATGGAAGCTGAGATAAGCAAGGATTTGATCGAAAGTGGTCTTGCTAGAATCAGCTTTGAGGGCACCTGTAATGTCATCCAGGGGTTTATAAAAGATATTTTGGTGTTTACCTTTCCGGTATTCATGAGCAGGACAGAGAGGGTGCGGGAGACAGGCTTTCTCTATAGAAACCTGGCTCCTCACCCTTTTGATTGGTCGACGGCCAAGGCTCTGACAGAGGAGACGGTCTCAAAGTCATCTATAGAGTCTGGTGAGATTGGTGGTCCACCGGACGAAAATGAGGATGGTGCGAAATTCCTCTATCCTCTAAGATCGCAGTGCTAATTCTGGATAGCACTCACCATGGCAATATACCAGGAGAAGAAAGGGGAGAAGAGAGTGCGACTAGCACGCTCTTGGATTCAGCGATGCCACGATGAACACTACCTTTGTAGACCCCATCGATGGCTACAGTTTTCCCCAACGCGACTGATAGACATAGAGGCGAGTAGACTCATCGAAACTCGGCAACTTAGCAGCTCCACCGTGAAGTACGCTGCCTTCACTCACTGCTGGGGTCCTGATATGCCAGAAGCGGGAATGACCAAACTGGAGAATATCGATCTACACAAACACAGCATCGATTTCTCCACTCTCCCGAGATCATATATAGATGCAGTTCTAGTCGCAAAAGGTCTCTCCATTCGGTATATCTGGATCGACTCTCTTTGTATAGTTCAGAATTCGCTAGAGGATTGGGAGTTCGAGTCTGCGCAAATGGGTCTGGTTTACAGCCACGCATGGTGTACCATCGCATCTTCTAGCGCCAGAGGCTGCCATGAAGGTATGCGTTTGGTCCGCAAAGAGATAGAAGCAGCTTGTGACTTCGTCGCACGAGACTCTGAAGATTGTCGTATGAAGATTCGCTTGTTCAAAACACCAATAACATGGGAAACATTCTACCAGAGGAATCCTCTCAACAAGCGAGGCTGGACATTTCAAGAGCGAGAGCTCTCGCCTCGTATTCTACACTTCTCAGATGATCAGATGTGGTGGGAATGTAGAACGGTGAGAAAACAAGAGGATAGGCCGCCGGAGCCCATCCCCCCTTCTCGACGACGCCTACGCCGCATTGAGAAAGCTGTGGCGAGAGACAATGTCCGCAGCGCCGTGGTATATACCAACGGCTCCGCTGTCATCGTGAACCAAGATGTCCAGCTCCGCTGTCTGGACAACATGCTACAAGTTCCTGTTCCTACTGCCAATATTTCCATCCTACATAAACTCGTGCTCACTGAGGCGCGGCACAACACCTGGCACCGTGTCATCGAAGACTACTCCAAGAGAACATTCAGCAGAATTACGGATCGCTTTCCTGCACTATCGGGTCTAGTAAGTGAGATACAAGCTGCCCATGGGGGTGAGTACGTCGCTGGTGCGTGGAGAGATGATCTACTTCGCAGTCTGCTCTGGCGACGAGATCCAAAGTCAGTGATTCCGCAAAAGACAATCCGCAGACCACCAGAATACCGAGCCCCTTCTTGGTCCTGGGCAGCAATAGATGAGGCAGTTACCTATGACCTCGTCACCCTACATCGCTCGCAAATCGACCAAACTGCGCCAATAACAGCCCAAATATGCCACATCAGCCTCGTCCCTAAAGGCTCTGATCCCAAGGGGCAGCTAAAAGATGGATTCATATACATGCGTGGAAAGCTCAAAATGTACTCTTTCTCCAACATGTCGAGAAATATCCAGTTTCACATGGATTTCGATTCTGATCATGACCATACGTCTCCACCTGGAGAGGTCGACGACAGGATCTCAATGTCGATTGCGCCATTGTTTCTGCTGAGCATGTTTGCGAGGACTGCGATGACAAAGACGCAGGAGCCACTGTTCTCACTGAATCTTACGGGGTGGGCGCTTGTACTTGTCATGGTCGTTGAGACGCCGGAGCCGGTATTTATGAGAGTTGGGGTGGCGTGTGATGTCGCTTGTGAGTGGTTTGAAGACGTGGCGGATGTGACGATAAAGATTATATGATAGTGGCTTTGAAGACAGTGTCAAAGCTGCAGTTTTCTCGGCGGTGCGTTAAGTATTTTTTAAGTGATTCTCAACTTTCATGCTACGGGAACGGAGCGCTCGGCAGGGAAAGTAACTAGTAAACATCGGCTAGATTGTAAGCGAAGCAAGCCAAAGCTCAAGCGTTTTTCCTACGAGGGCACGAAATGCATTTCCAGGATAAATGTTTTCAAACGGCATGAACAATTTTACTCAAAATCACCTGCCGTGTTATTATGAAGCATTCTAACCTCGCAAACAAAGGCCCGGGCTTTATTGACGAATAGATTTGAAAACTCGGAGCTTTTGGCCCCGTCTTTGTTTGTCGTTGGAGCTGATCGTTGCTGATACTCGCCTGTCTTTGTTACTTCCCATAAGTGCATTGTCTGAAGTATTGTTGAGTGTTTATTGATTGTTCTACTGTTGAATTGAGCTGTACTTAAGCTAGTCATGATATATCACTGTTCTTGGTGGGTACATAAATCGTCCATTGTATTTTCAAGTTATGAGTGCTCAAGTACAATCCCCCACTTGCGAATGGTCACCTACTATTCGAGCACCTTTAAATCATTGTAAGTTTACAAAATAAGCTGCATGAGCCAAGATTGAACCCAAGAGCAATGTCCAGCACGACTTCAAGTGATGGTAGAATGGTCGGCGTTTCTACCCAGACCGAGATCATCGAGCAGCCACTGGCAACATTCACTTTCTTTGGCCTACTTCCAACAGAGATCAGGCTTGAAATTTGGAAATTGTCCTTCAAAGGTCGCCGAGTCCTCCTTTGGGGCGCTGAACGCCGGCCACAGGTCGATGAAAAGACACGAAGCCTTCTCTACGTTAACCGTGAAGCAGCACAAGTATACAAAGAAAACTATACACCCTGCTTCTACCAGCGCGGAGGAATTGTCCCGGTAAAGCCTCTATTCCTGAACTTCGAGCTGGATACTCTTTGCTTCGAAAGCGGAGTGAGATCTCTGAAAAGATTGCTGAGGAAACACCCGGAAGACATGAGTAAGGTACAGTGGGTAGATGTGATCGCAAATAAGAAAGATACGGAATTTTTGAACAGTAGCGGTAATCACATTGAAACGCTTGCAACTCTTTCATCTCTAAAGTGTCTGACTGTTCGCTTCGAATTTCTTGGATATGCATACTGCCACACGTTCAGACGCTGGCACGAACAATATTTGATCTCGGCCGCTGAGCAACTAAGAAGCTGTCTTTTGCAATCTTTTCCAGAGCAGAATATCTCTGTCAGACCCAAACTTGCAGTCATCTTTCCAAGCAGCGAAGAATGGGTGGAGGACATGTACGTCACGACTGGCAAAGACCTCGATTATGGAAGTTATGGTACCATTTCTTGGAATGGAATGTCTCCACGAGAGAAAAGAGCTGCCATGCTTGCAGAAAACAAAACTCTACTAACTAAAGAGTGTCAAGCCTGCGAACAAAGCCTGGATCATTATAAGCATCATTACCCTTATATTGAATGGACTCCACTAGTAAACGTCACGCACATGGAGGCAGATGACTTTGATGTCAGATGGATTGTACGCGATGAGCCATGGTCACCAATTTCGGGACAGGATATCCTGACCCGAATGATGGTTTCAAGAACATCTCATACACGGCAGAGTCGCCGCGACTTCTGGAAGCTAGAGACCTCTTCCTACTGGTATGGGGTCGAAAGGCACAGGGCTTTATTAGAGGAAGGATCCCTAAGCGAACATGAACATGAAGCTGTCGAAACCGTTGTAGAAAATTTGTGGAACGCCATGGGACCAGATCCGGGAGAGAAGGTATCGAGGCTTTACAGGAAGGGAGGACGTCTTGACTTTCCAGAACACTGGCATACTTTACCTTTCGTTGCCCAAGCTGTCAACGTCTACAATAATGACAAAGTTTATCCTACAATTTCACGCAATGGACTGGCGTCCATAATTTGCTTATATCTCGCCGATTCGCCATGGGCTGGCGAGGAAGAAAGCATCCGTCGAATTTTGGCCATCTCAGATACAATTCCATGAGAACCAATATTCCTAAGACCTCTCTCCTACTACAAGAAAAAGAGTAATTATTTGGGATGTATTCATGTGAACGATCGGGATATGCCTTAAGATGATAGCTTATGGATAGAATTCAAGGATAGGGATTAAGGTCAAGTTTTTAGAATTTCTATGAGGGGGAAGAATGGACAATATATTATTTGAATTTTATTTCATGCTAATAGAAGACTCTGTATTTGGTGGATAAGAAGTGCTATCAATGAATCGTTTCGAGCTTCCTTTAGAGGGGACTTATCACAATTAGACATCTAAGCATATCATCCATGCGGTTCCTGCTAAACCCAGTCAGTATCAAGACCCCTCGAAGTTCTCATATTAGACTCGTGATTTCGCAAGTAGGAGGGTAACATACGTCTGCTGAAGTGCGAGAACTTTTGCCGTCCCCTAAACATCCTCATCTGCATCAAGTGACCCCGATCCCCATCCTTCACCTTCCCAGAAACTCTTCATCGCAGCCCCAAACACCTCCACCACTCTCTTCAAATCACTCGTCTCAACACCTATAAAAGCCAATCTCAAGTGCCCCACTCCAGCAGCATCGATCTCTTCCTGTACCTCCGGCGTTGCAGCGAAAATGTTCCCAGGAATAGTGAGCAAGTTGTAAGGCGGCCCGTACAGATGCTTCCAAAGAAGTTGAATAATTTCCGATGGAGACAGCTTTGATTTTCCTCGTGAGGAGTGCGAAAGGGGATGGGAAGATGTGTTTATCTGCACCCATATCAAGAAGCCAGCTGCTGGGACTTCGAACTCGTACATGCGAATCTTGGATTTCCGGTTGTGATGGTGGTGTTCGCTATGTTCTTCTGAATGTCTCTTTCTCTTGCTGTTAGTACCATGACTTTGAGTCGTTGACTCCTCGAAGGTTGGGTGGCGATGGTAATGAGAATGAATCATGATATCTCGCCCCTCAGCTAAAGCTTCGCATAGAACATTTCTCTTTTGCAGATAATTGGCTCTCAGACCCGCGATCCAGCGAATAAAGCCATCTACACCCCATTGTCTGAATAACTGAGCCAGTATAGCTTCGCTGAAGCCGCTTGGATTGGACGTTGAGTTATCAGTCAGAAACTTCAACTTTGCAACAAAAGCTGGCTGTGCCACGATCCAGCCCACTCGACAGCCAGGAGCGATGAGTTTGGTGAAGGTGTTGATTCCGAGGACTCGGCCATCGATGTCGATTTGGAGGTAAGATGGGACGAGAGTGGCGAGGAGGTTATCTGTAGACACCTCTGGTATATCGTACTGGAAAACCCAGAATGGTTCGTCTTCGAAAATTAGGATGTCGTGTTTCTGGCAGACCTCGTAGATCATCTTCTTCCTTTTCAAAGGTGTGACAGATCCAGTGGGATTCTGTCCTAGACTAGATAGTCTTCAGCAACAATGGTTGTCCAAACGAGGGTTGACTTACGAGACGGTGCACATCATGTGAGGCTTTCTTCCCCTTTTCTTCTCGCTCCATGTATCCAGCATATGATTGAGAGCTACTGCATCAACACCCTGCTCGTCTAGTTTCATTGAAACAATTCCGACTCCAAATGGTGACACGGCATCCCGAGCTGTAAAGTACGTGACCTCCTCCATGAGAATAGAATCTCCCGGATTTGCAAACGTGCTGAGACATTTCGCAAAGGCATCTACAGCTCCACCAGTTGTCAAGGTCTCCGGCTTCAAGTAAGGTATTTTCCCTTGGTTCTGGTGATTGATGGAGAAGTCATTTATGAAGTTAGCCAGGGCAGGTAGACCGGTTGAATCTTGATATTGAAGGGCAGTTGCCAAGTCGATTCGATTATCCGAAGCAATTATAGCTGGTATCGACGAAGAGTACTTGGGGATGGCGAAGCGGGATATTTCCAATGATGGAAAGGAGGTTGGTGACATAGGATGCAGTGGGAAACGATTTGGTTTGGCTATGGCTCCTTCGAGCGAATCCGCGGAAAACGTCTGAGGAAGTGGGAATCCTGCTCCGAGATTGGTGACGGATGGTATGAGTGCCTGGAAGAACGGCGATATTGAAGATTTGACTCTTAATTTGGCCATTGCCGAGAAGTGACGTGAAAGATCTTTTGGCTGTGCTCTCGGCAATACCTCTGCCTCTGACAGAAGGGGTGTTGAGTTGGCCATATTTTCAATGGCGGTATTAATAAGAAGTTTGATAAAAGTTACCAGGGTGAAGTTAAAATTCGATCTTGCCTGGTTTGAGCACCCCTTTGCTCTTATATACTATTGATCTATTACTGATCGACGTGCACTTTTCCAGCCTTAAAGAGTAAGCTAAGTCCCCGGGAGATCGTTTCCTGTTCCATCTGACGGTGTGCCAGTTGGTACGGACATACGGGCATGTTTCTTACATAGAAACTCGACTGTTCACTGACCAAGGATTTCAATTGGTTGCGGATGTGGACAGGATGCAGTATTACTGTGACGGAGTCTCAGCTAATACTTACATTTCCTTTACATCATTTTTTCCATATACGAGCAAGCAAGCTGCTTCGTCGTTGCAACCGAAGTCAACTTGCCTTGCAGTCTGACTGTGGCGAAGTTTCAGCTGATTGAAACATTACTATCGCACCTGTTCTGTAATACGAGGGAGTGTGATTGGTTGAAACACCCGAAGTCAATACAGGCTACTTTTCCACTTCGAGCATCACCGATCGTCATCACTAGCGCCCTTACTCAGGGACTAATTGCTCTCCCAAGCATTCCAACCCCAAAGCTGGTGCAGTCTTACCCGAATTGTTAGAAAGCCAATGATGGTGTTTTCTTTCGACTAACTCCAATGACTCCATTCGGGATAGGCAAGTACCATTCACCTACTTAGCGAATTGAGTCAAGTAGAGGACCAGAAAATGGACACCTCTGTTGCCTGCTAGAGATGAATTCGCCATAGTGAAAATGAATATCTCGCTGGTAGGGAGTAGAGTAGAGCGAAGCCTCGAGTATCTCACCGCTATGACAAAGGGCCAGCTTTTTTATTATATGTTTTATTCTTTCCTTCTTCTACTTGATTGAGTGTATACTGCGTCCACCTTCACTTCTATTGCAGCTGTAGGATACTGCTTGTATGTTTGCTACTATCCAACAGATCCTCCGGCTCGCTTCTCATCAAAGCTCCAACCATATCTCCTCCTAGCCATGTCTTCCCTCTCTCTATTCCACAATGGATCAGCTTATCCAAGAAGGTTATAATCAGCTGACCCAAGACTATCGAAGGAGTGCCACCTATCCCATGTACGCATTCGACGCCTGGTATGTTTGCAAGTAAAGGGGTATCGTGAAGTGTACAGACAAAAGAAAAAGTAAAGGTATTGGCATGCTGCCCACCCTGCAGCTAATAGACAATATGAATCAATCTTCTTCCCACCGGATTCCAAATCCGTTTAGTTCCACCATAAAATATCACCCAAAGCCTCGACGCCTCTTCCCATGCACAGATCCTAAAACTCCAATCCCTTAGGATTACCCAAATAAGCCAACGCGAAACGAAGAAAAATCCGACCCTCATAGAAAGTTGTGTAAGACATAGGAAATGGTATCGTTCTGTTGAGCGGTGTGTTGTGAGGTATCGTTCGTTCCGGTTCGTTATCGTACAAGTACAGCCCTCCTATTCCCTGATTACGGCTCTAAGCCCAAGGTAGCAACCGAACTCGAGATATGCTCTCTATGAGCACCATCGAGCTCAATCCCACTGTCTCTATCATCTCGTCCTTGGCTGGCCCACGTGGAAGCCAGGCCGTTCGCAGCAGCTTTCCTTGCTTCGCGAAGCATTCTCGCACCGATGTCGCTCATGCCTTCGTTGTCGGCATCTTCGCCACCTTCAACTTCATCAGGGGCCAGAACTCGGCCACCAAGCTCAACATCACTGACCCGCACATGGTATTCGAGAGCTTTCCTGCCTTCGTTGATGAGTTCTTCTGTCCAACCGAGACAGCGCTTGAGACTCTGGTTCATCTTTTGGCTGTCGATAAGCAGTTGTTGATGTTTTGATAAGTCCAATTGGAGGCGCTTCTCGTCTCGCTTCCTGTGCCGGAGATCACTCTCCTCCATGGCACTGGGGCTCAATGAGCCTTCGTCTGATGTATCTTCTTCTGATTCCGTTTCCTCCATTTGATCCTCCTCGCTCATATCTGACAGATCAAAGCCATCGCCATCCAAGCCAGATACACCACCCGCTGACGTGCGTACAGAAGTAGTGGTGGCTATGGACAGTCGCCCAGAGCGACTCAGCCGTCTGTATCGTCGAAGTTCGGCAGTCTGTTTCCTCATTTCCCTCTCCAGCGTTCGGTTGATAGCTTCCAGAGAAGAATTCGTGATCTCAAGATCCATCACTTTCCGTTCCCGCCGAGCATTGGCAGCCAGTTCATTCAATTCGTCAATAGAGTGACCTGTTTTGACCGGGCTTATTATGGGGCTTTTGAACCCTGTGGCTAAGCTACCATTCTTGGGCGTGTCTTCGGAAACCTCTTCCGGCGTGGAAAGAGGAACAGACGTCGTGATTAAGTTTAACGGCGATCCAGGTGTTGAAGACTCGTACGAGCTGCCAGAAATCTTGCGCACAGGGGGTGGAAGTTTTCCATCTGCCGAGCTCACACTTGACGACCTTCCATGGCTCAACCTCTGTCCTGCCTCAATGCTCGCCCTCCGTGCTGAAACAATGCTGTTCGTCGATTGGCCTCGTCCTAAGATCTGTGGTCTGGGTGTTACAGGCGATGGCAATGGGGGCGTGCCTCGAATCGAGGATAGAGAGGCATATTGGTTGAGCTTCGATGGAGACGATGGCCGTTGGGGAGGAGAAGCTGTGCTCGACGTCGGTGTTCCTAGTCGAGGCGATGCAGTTCGAGAAGTAGAAGATACGGTAGAGCTCGGCTTAGGTGGTGGAAGATATGGGGTTGATTGAAGATCCGGGATTCCATTTGCATGGAAGAATTTTGGCTGTGACCTTTCCTCCCCAGCTGTTGAGCCCACGGCAGATGTGCTTGAGCTCTGCGGTCTATTTGGAATACATTCCCCGTTTGCGTAGAAGAAATTCGACGAGCCCTTGGTCTGTAATGGCGGTCTGGATGGTTGAGCAGCGGTCTTTGCTTCACTCGCAAAGAAGAACTTGGAATCCGCTGGTTCTTTCTGAGCCTGCACATTGGCATGACCTAAGTCTGAGGGCGAAGGACTGAATGATACTGTTGGACGCTTCGGCACATCTTTATCGATTCCCGTAATCCCAAGTCCAGATCCGTATATCGGTGGGGTGTCTGCCCCTCGAGCCAAATCATTCGGAGCAGATTGTAGGCCATTAGGTGTTCCCGTAGGTGTTGAATTGGGACTTTCGACTCGCACTCTTCTCGATCCAGATCTCGGAGTAACGTTGTGGCTGAGGAATGTCGAGACTGGAGTTGAGACATCCTCCTTCCCCACCGGTGTTGTGCTATTATCTGGTCGCGCAGATCGACGCGACGACGAAGTCCCGGTATTGGAAGGAGCTGAGCCTGCGACTCTGGGAGTTAATGGCAGTCGATTGACAGTCTTTGTGGAAGCACCGAGGGTAGGCATGAGCGGTCTCGAGGCATTATGTTTATCGTATGGGGGCATGTTATTCGGATTGCCTTTCGTCAAGGGGGGAACTCGCATTATGGCATTGCCGTCCTTAGATTGAAGAGGCGGACGAAGAGGTTGTCTCGATGGTCGAAGCCGAGTCGGGGTGGCATTTGCAGATGTAAGGGTGGAATTGAAGTTGTTTGCATTTGTATTTGCGTTGTTGGAGTTCGAGTCTGGACTGCCTGTTTGGAGGTTCTTGGAGCGAGCGGCGACCCCCAATAGCGTGGCCCGCATGCTGAGCAGCACGATCGGGACACAACGACAGCACAAGCACAAGCACAAAGCACACCAAAACGCTCAGAAAATGCTCCGAAGGGACGCTGTGATGCCGTGCCGTATAAGTATCGGCACTGACTCATGACACGCTGGATGTGAATTATGAAATTAAGTCGTCCAGATAGTTATGGCAGGACATTGAGGCTGGATGAAAGAATGAATATCCAGATTGATTTGGCACACTCGACGAGGACAGAACAGAACAGAACAAAATAGGCACTGGCAGAGGGGTTTGTTATCTTTACTACGGAATCCACCGTAAAACTGGTCATAACCTAATCGACTATTATTGTTTACGTTCCCAGGCCCCCGCGTCTTTTTTCTCGTGTCTTGTCAATCAATAGCAGGCCCGGAGTATTAAATGTTTGCACCGCATCGCCCGGCATTGGATGCAGCAGGCCCCTCCGTCGGAAACTGCCCCTCACCGCGCTGCACGGCTTTGATGAGATTCATGCGAAACCGCAGCCGCAACCACACAGACAGGCCGGGCAGCTCCCAGCGCGTCATTCTTGTCCTCGGTCCCCCTGGTTCGAAAGTCAAAACAGACGAGGAGATCCCAGGCTATCCCAGTCGTTGCGGAGGCGGAAGACGGCTGCAGGTGCAAGCAGGCAGTGGTGTTGTGTCACGAAGCAGCCGAGGACCAGCAAAATAGCGTCCGCTTCTAATGTTAATTTTTGACAAGTCACTATCATCCCACTTCTACTCGACTACTCGACCCAGCAACAACACTCGACAATCTCGTCGCCGGTCCACTATGGTCCTACTAGGACTCTCCATCCTCATCGCTTCAGTCTCATTCCTCTGTTACCGCCATCCGCCGACATCATGGGCCTGTTTCCAGTGGCTTCGCCCCTCCATCGAGTCTGGCGCGAAGAAGCAAAATGGCGCTTCACTTCCACCTCCAATACACCCCGAGAAGATTTCGATAGATAGTATAGACCCAGTGGCTAAATCCTCAATACCAGAGACGGCACTTAAACTCCCTATAATCACCAAAGCGGATCCCCCAACAAATACGGACAATGCCAAAGCAGACTCCGACCGCAAAGCCATGCCGCCCCCACCACCCCCCTTCAAGAAACAACTTCCACTGCGCAACCCTCAAGCACCAGTACCGACCTTCACAGTAGGCAATGATAGCATCAATAGCGACGGTCAAGAAGAGGACGAAGAGCCATCTGCGCCATCTTTCCCCGCCATGAACTCCGCGCAAAGAGCCTCAGGAGGCGTCGCGGGTCCTCCAAGACTAAACGTCTACCCACAATCCTCCCCAGGCCTCATAGCACCACCATCACGGTCTCCCCTTCCCAATCGAGGACCGCCAGGCGGTTCCTCCTCTCTCGCTCCTCCGCCAACACATACATCTATCCCCGCCAAACCACGCCGAAAGGTCCTCTTGACACCAGGTCACTCGCCGTTAGACTGGGCGCGACTATCATCGTCTCCTACAGCGAATTTGAGAGGCTTGCCGGCTGATACGCCATATATTCGCGTACCGCCTAGCTTGCTGAAGCAGTATACAGGGCGGAAGGGCAAGGATGCGTGGACGGTACTGGGCGGGAAGGTGTATAATATTACGCCGTATGTCCCATATCATCCTGGTGGCGGGCCGGAACTGCTGAAGGCTGCGGGGAGGGATGGGACGAAGTTGTTTGGTGAGGTGCATCCATGGGTCAACTGGGAGGGCATGTTGGAGCCTTGTTTGGTGGGTATTGCGGTTGAAGACGGTGATAGAAGAGCTGAAAGCACATTGGACGAGATGGATTAGAATTAGAGGCTGGCTTCTCCAAGCGCTTGGAAACTTCGAGTCGTTTCCAACCACTGGGAATTGCATATGGCGTCGGCGTTCAGGTTCGGTCATGACATGTCATTCATTGCACATATAGACATGCGGTCCATAGAGAGAGCTACCGGGCTATACCATAGAAGACGAACAAATAGAAGATACCCTTTTCCTACATACCCATTCAGATACAAGCAAAAGAAACGCCCGCTACCAAATATCATGAAGCTCAAATAAGTAATACATCACTCTCAAGCTCTCTTCTTGAATCTGAACTTTAGCCCCTCATCACTGTCATCATCGCTATCCGGCTCGGGTGCCGGCTGTTTCCTGACTGGTGCTTGTTTTGCCATCTTCGCAGGTGCTGGCTTCGTCAACGTCGTGGCTGCAGCTCTCTTGTTAGTGGGCAAGTTCTGAGATATGCTCGTCTTGTCCACCAGCTTTTGAGAACGTCCAGCTTTGGCTTTGGGAGCTGGGGTAACAATCTCCAGATCCGAACCCGAACCATCATTTGCTCCAGCTCCAGCATACTCCTCTTCAGCCTCACTCGCCAAGATCCGAGAGGCTGCCTCAGCTGCACCAGTTCTGGGTCTTGATTGCGTATCTGACTGGCTGATATCTTGAGTCTCCTTGCCCTTCCCTTTACCTTTCTTCTTGTGCTGGCTGTCATCGTCCCAATATGTATCACCGATACCATAGTCTTTCTTCTTGGCTTCCTCCAGAGGAACAATAACCCTGTGAAGACCTCTGGCATCAGCTACACCTGCACGGCGTCGGAACTTCTTGAAGTTGGCTCGAGCATTCCACCTCTCGTCCCAGCGTTCACTATCCTCTGGCCTTTCCGTTCGTTGAACTCGTGGATTAGGACGCCGGATTGGCATTTCCTCAATGATGGCAAGTTTGCGGATCTGCTCGATGTCCATGCCGTCGAAGTCCTCTTGCAAAGATTCACGCTCCGCTCTTGCTGCAGCCTCGTCTTTTTCTCGCTGTTGACGTCTGATTTCAATCAAGTCAACTTCTTTTTCCTTCTTGACTTTCTTGCCTTTCCCTTTGGGCGCAGGTTCATCTTTGACAACTGGTGCGGAGGCAGGTGTAGCTGCAGGTGACACTCGACGAGGAGGTGTTGATCCTTTCCTAAGGTTTTGTTCCGCTTCATTCGCAAGTCGACGTCTCTTCAGGGCAGCTGCTCTTGGTGCAGCCTCCTCCATGACATCTTCCTCTTCGAAAGCCGGGCTCAGAGCTCTCTTTCGACTTGTTCTATCAGGTTCTGGTGACCGGGGAACTTGCAGAATGTTATTTGGATCTTGTGTGAGAAAGAGGCCTTGTGATTGCTGCGACTCTGCGGCAGCAGTCTCATCAACCTGCTTAGATTCCGGTTCTGGCATGCTGGAGTTGATGGGGCCGGAGAATTCGTCTTCGAACCCTACAAATGCCTTGGCTGGTCGTCTCCTACCTCGTTTCGGTGGCTCCGGCGGTGCCATCGGTGCCGCCGTGGAAGCAGAAGCTTGATTTGATTGGGATTCCGCCACAGTAGCTATCATGTTTTAGACAATGGCCGCTGGAAAGAAGTATACACTTACCTGCAGTTGGTGGGGGAGCTATCAGTCCCGAATCCTCTCTCAACAGAGGCCGTCTCAGCACACTAGCATCATTGCCAAGTATAGCATCAAGAAATTCATTCTGTTCGATCAACCTATGATCCAAAACTTGAGCAATCTGTCTGCTGAACTCCGCAAACCATTCTATCCCTGCCCCTTTCGAAGGATTAAATTTGACAACTACCACGCCCTTTCCCTCGCTTCCATCTTCGAATTCTCCTAGCCCCTTTTCTCCAGCAACACTCTTCACATATCTCACAAACTCATCAACAGTTGTCTGATCCGGGATGGCTTCTCGTAGAAAGGCTTTACCGCGACCTTCGGTGATAGGTGGCAGGAGGGTCTCGAATTGACGTTTCTCGTAAAACACGAACGTATACCCTTCAAACATTTCCACCCTGCCTGAATTTGGGCTATATGCATCAGCACCACGTTGTGTGGGTTCCTCTCCCCGTGGAGGCAAGTATTTGAGAGGGTCCGGAAAGTTGGCATCAAAATCCAACTCAAGGGGAGAAGGACCACCCTTTGCTTGTGTCGTAGTCGCAGCTACCAAAGCCTCAATGAATGAATCATTAACAATATATTTTCCATTGATCAGAGCTTGAAGACCCTTTGATGTGTTGCGTTTCTTTGCGACAAGATGTGTGGTAAGCTTCCGTTCGTAGTCGACGAGTACTCTGACATCAAGTGAACTGAGACGATCATACAGGGCAGGATATGGGTTGGCTTTCTGTTCTTTCGTAGAAAGCGAGAATGTAAAATTGGTCGGGATCCAGGTGAAACTGCATGCCCATTAGACAAACAATATACGTGCAATAAGTATTCCTCACCGGAAATGGTGCTTGTATTTCCCCAAAGAAACGACATTCTCATCCTGTTCGAGTGGTACGGTTTTGGCTCTAATCTGCTCGCCATTCAATAATGTGCCTATCTTGGTTCCCTTGGGATCGCCACAGCCGTCTTGTATCGTAATCTGGGTCCGATAACTCGCGTTTGCCTGCTGCATGTTAACATCGAATTGCATTTGGCAGATATGACATACACAATCGGAAGCAGTAATCTCAGCTACTTTGACAGTAAGATGCTTTCTCGAGATCGTCTTGTCCGATACAACAAATTGGCCCTCTGTAACTGTTATTTATATCCCTAGGATCATGTATGCATCGCGTACCTTCTGCTGCCGTGCGGCCAATAAGAAACTCTTTTCCCGGCGGAATCCACAGTCTCTTGCCTGAAGTAAGGTCAGTTGTGTATCGCATGGGACCGGAGGAAAACCTGCCTTCTAGGACATCTCCGTCGCATGAGAATATCCACATATTCGAAATGTTGATATGCCGCGATTGTTCGATGCCAAGTTGGGACGCGGAAGCCTTCTGTCGTGGTCGAAGAGGGGATAGATGTTACATATGGAAGGGGTCGCGTCCCGGGTTTCGAAGCCAACACGCTATCACGTGAGTACTATATCTCCCTTCCTGTCCAGCTGGGCCTCAACCTTCACCAATCCAGGCGTGGAAATGTTTGAGGGAGCCTGCACATTACAATTAAGTGAGTCGTTCTGTTTTTGTGATACTGATGTAACGATATTAATTCCAAAACAATCCTCGTTCTTACTGAACGACCACGATAAATCCTCCCCAACCTTCTGAGTTCCTCGATACCCGATGATCTATGTGATATCCAGTAGAGTAAAGTCATAGAGACCTTACTCCCCGCTCTAGCTATTCTATCCCGACGGGCACATCAGTCGCAATGAATTCGTACTGTTGTAGCTCCGGCCAATCACAAGTGTTGGCGACTATCCTCGCTTGTTTACTTTGGTCCCTAATAGTCTACGACTGAACTGGTACTTCAAGTCCCATTCGGACGGGGCTGTTCGAGTAACTGGAAGACTGCAAGAGAAGGGAACAATCAGCGGATTTCATGGCTTCTTGGTGCGCAGTTCAAGGGCTTTGGCTCAGCTTGAACACGGAAGGAGCCTCTTGCTCGATTCTCCTATATTCGGCAGTCTCGCTTCGCTTCCACTTCACTACCCAAGCAACCAACCTTTATTTCCCTCCTCTTAGACGTTTTCAGTTGTCCATCACCACTTCATCACTTCCCGTCGACATCAAAACTCTCACACTAAGCCAGGGCGAGTCTCTAACAACAATTCAAACTAGAAGTCACTTCTTTGCTCCATATTCAGGGTCACAAGTCCTCGTCAACATGAGGGTTACACGCTCCGCTAGTAAGCATGCCAAAGCGATCGAACAACATTCAGCAGTAAGTCCACATTCAACCAACGACACCAATAGCATTCCTACCAACGCCATCACCACCAAGTTTACCGTCTTTCCGAAACTCCCCCTTGAGATCCGCCAAATGATCTGGGTTCTCAGCCTCGAGCCACGCATCATCGAGATTTGCATAGGCGACGCGTCTGATTTCTACTCCAAGGCCAAGCTCCCAGCTGCACTTCAAGTCTCCAAAGAGTCGCGCGGCACTGTCAACAGTCAGTACAGCTTATGCTTCGGCTCGACCAGTTACCCTGCCCAAACTCTGTTCAACTTTAACCTTGACACGCTCTACTTCGATCGCAGCAAAGCTGAATACGCCGGCTGGTTCTTTTGCTCTCTTCGAGATTTTGAGCTTGCCAATTTGCAAACCGTCGCCATCGATATGTACATTGAAGAAGTCGCCAGTACCTGGGGACTCCCTTTCAATGCCATGGACGAAATCTGCAAGGTGTTACAATTAATGCCAAAGTTGACCACTCTACTTGCAGTATATGAGACCCAGCATTATATGGATAGGAATATGTGGTCGATGGACATGGCAATGGACTTTGGTTGGATGGAAAGCAATCAAGATACCAGTATGATTCAGTTCTATGACGACGCACCTGCTGAGTTTGATGCGTACATCCGCCGCAACGAAAAGAACTATTTCGGCTTCGATAATATGATCCCAGAATGGCCCTTTTACGGTGACTATGATGACTTTCCGTTCTTTACTGTCTATGGCATGCGTCGAAGCACCAAGGAGCGGGTCATTCAGAAAAACCTTGCTGAGACAAGCGAGGGCACCAAGACCTCGAGACCTACACGCCGTGGACGACAAAAGCGCGTCGCTTAAAAATGTTTTGTGGAAGTAGTAACAGGGCTGGCGGGAGATTAGTGGAGGGATAAGTATCGCAGTTGAATCATGGTTTGCTGAGCTTCGATGCCCGAAACGAAGGAGGAAGCTGTAATGTTCAGGACAGAAACCATTCCACGACTCAGGAACTGCAAGCATTTTATTGAAGGATGACAATTTCACGGATGAAAAAGAGGCTCGACGAACCACTGGTATCTTCTTACATGCTCTCTGTATTGCTCTGTATAGCTGAACAAGAAGCTTAAATCCACAAGAAGTACCCCAGTATATTCGAACTCCAAACACCGTGAGATCAAGTCCCATGCAATAAATGGCACAACAAAGAAAATATATGCTATGTTTCCCAATCCAATATCTCCCACCTATCTATCGTCTCTCTACCAACAAGACATGCATGGCAACATAAGCCAAGATTATGAATGCACCCGCGAAGATTGCCAACTTCGTAACATCAGGCCACAGTGCCTGGGTGTTGAATCCAAAAGAGCTCAAGATCGTCGCACCAGGGACATCAATGGTCAGACCAAGCTTCTTATCTTTGAGAGACAGGAACGTGACTTCGTTCACGATGAGCGATTCAAATCCGTAATGGAAGATCGAAATGTCTTGTAGCCAGAGCGCTGACTTGGGTATCGCATCGTGGTTGAGAAGGAGACCGGCGAAGAGGAGACTAAAGAGCATGACAAGACTGCCAATCAAGCTTGCTACGCCGTTGTCTTTGCAGACGATGCCGATGAAGAGACATATTCCAGCGGCGGCAAGGTTGAATAGGACAAGGACTAGAATGAACTTCAGGAAGTGTGACCAATCTGGTACTAATCCTGTCATGGGATATATGATCGAACCCATGATTATCGGTGGGATTATTCGGAGAGGTACTATATCGAATATTACTTTAGCGGCGAAGTACGTAATCGGAGAGTAGTATCCATTTGCTCGTTCTCGGACGAACAACATACGCTCAGCGGCGAAGACCGTCAAGCTGGATAGTGTGCTGAAACCAAAAAGCGCAAGGATGAAGAAGAACAATCCCAGTCTGTTTTGGAAACCAGGAATGTCATCCGTGAGACCATAGAACAAAAAGCCTGATAGTACTGCCAACAGGATCGCAATAGCGTAGTGAGTCAACATCAACATCGGGTTTCTGTAAAGATTTCTCCAGGTTCTCTGTGACAGGATGAGGAATTGACGAGCGTAGCCAACCCTTACATAACCTCTTCCCATTGCACCGCTGTTAGCTGATCCATTGCCATTGCCATTACCCTGGGCGTGGCCATTTGCAGTCCCGTTCGCCGTTGAAGCACTGTCAATAGCAGCATGAATATCGTCGTGGATGTTTCCTGCAATGTCGGACTGCTGGTAGGCTGCGACAAGAATATCGAGATCAGTACTGCCAGTTGCCGAGGGAGGGAGATTGTCAGTGTCATCCAAGATCTGTTGAGGAACATTGCCTGCTTTTTGCCTCTGGAGTCGGAGCCAGAGTTGTGAAGCCGTGGCTTTTGGGTCAAATGGCGCCTCATCTGGAGGTGAACCAGGCGTTTCGATACTGGGCCGCTTCCGGGTATATAATTCTCTTTCCTGCTTGGCCTTGACCGAATCACGACGCTTCCCTTTAGGTCGGAGGAGTGAAGTTTCTTCCATACTTTCACGTTCTGCTCCTGGCTCATCGAGACTCATACCTGAGACACTGGCGATGGACTTCACAGCTCGGGTGCTACTGGGTCCAGCACTACCACCGCCGTCAATCTCGGAGAAATTCTCGTCGATGGGGGTCCGAGGACCACCAACGTGCATTGTCAGATCCACAAGGTAATCCGCGATGTTGAAGCCAGGAGGGCAAGAGTATCCAATGTGATCGAAGAAATCTTGACACTGGGAAAAGGCGCCAGAGTAAACAGTATTTCCTTTAGCCAGGAGAAGCAGTCTATCGAAGAGGGCAACGATATTGGATCTTGGCTGATGGATCGTGAAGATGACCGTTCGCTTGTAAGTCTTGGCTAGGGTAACCAAACACTCAATAACATTGAATGCATTGAAAGCGTCAAGACCACTCGTCGGTTCATCAAGGAACAAAATGCTTGGACTTGTGACAAGCTCGCATGCGATTCCGACTCGTCTCTTCTCACCACCAGAAATTCCCCTACCTTTGCCATCTTCGGATCCAATCAATGAATCTTTAATAGCAAAAATGCCCAGCTGTTTCTCGACTTCGTAGACTCGTTGTTCCTTTGCAGATTTGCCCATGTCCCTTGGTAATCTAAGAAGCGCGCTAGTCATGATTGTCTCATGTACGGTGAGCGTTGGCAACATAGTATCTTCCTGGTCGACGAATCCAACGACATTCTTGTACTCGGTATCGGTGACTTTCTCTCCATTGACATAGAAATCTCCCGAGACTGCTCCGCGTTTATTCTTTCGAGCCAGGATGTCGAGAAAGGAGGTCTTGCCAGCACCAGATGCTCCCATGATAGCCATGATCTCTCCTGGATGAGCGACGCCTTGAACTCCTGACAATATCTGTTTTCCATTTATGTGATAAGACACATTTTCGAAGTATAGCGATGCAGGCTTGTGATCAGTCATGAGTTTCATGGCCTCATCATCAGACTCATCAAGGTGTATTGGTGCATAAATGTACTTTCTTCGGGAAAGGTACCATACGGTAAGTATGACAGCTACCACGAAAAGAGAGCTTCCGGCAATTACTCCAGCAATCAAGGGGGTGTTGATTCGCTTGACGGGCGTCTCGAACCCAGGAACATCGGTTCTATAGAGACATTCTCCAGCTCGGCAAGTCAATGTGATACTGTCATCTCCAAACATGGTTTGGATAAGGTCGTCCATCGCCTTTTCTTTGAACTTGCAATTGTTGATTCCACCATTCTCTTGCTTGCAACTGAAGGTCGCGGGCCCCTTGATCTCCTCGGTCAGAAAGTCTGATATGTCGACGGATCCATTCTCGCCGCACAACATCCTGTCAGGAATACAACTGCATTGGATGTGGTCGCACTTGTAGTTCGTGGCATTTTGCTCATAGGTATTGTCAGCGCCCGAGACGCAAGTGTCCAGCGAGCAATAGAATGATTCTTTCTGGTCGACCCAGACTGTATCCGTTAGCTTTTAATGGTGCAAGCCTCTACAACAGAACTTACATTGAAAATCGCAAGTCGTATCATTTTTGTTGCAGTTGAAGGTGACCTGAGGTTTTTTCCCGTCCAGTATCTGCACGATCTTCTTGTTCGTGACATCACACTGCTGATAATTTTGATGTACCACCTCCCCATTCTGATAGCAGACTCCCCCATCATTCGTCGGCATCAGAGCGTTACAAGCCTTGTCCTCGGTACAGACATTGCAATTTATGCCTGTCCACCCCTCTTTACATTCGCAGTAATCTCCTTGGCGCATCGGTCGATCCTCTCCATCTGCTAGCGCTCCACAGACTGGTTGCAGACAGTCATCACCTCCGAATCCTGCTGGACAGTTACATTTTCCATTAAATTTGTTGCACTCGGAATATTGGCCGCAGGTGAAGGCTGGAAGGAGGCAATTGAAACTGGCTTGTATTAGGGACTGCAAATCATAAATAGGATGAAGGTATCATACCATGGAGGGCAGTCTGCCCCGCGGCTGTCCAACAAGGCCAGTTCTGCGCGCAGCATGTCCACTGTTGAATAAGAAGAGTAGTTCCTCGAGGCATATGTCGTCCATGATAATGATAGTGCCGCGAGGGCGACTGTTCTCAATAACCGTCCCATCTTCAATTGAACGTTGTAGGTGTCCTCGTGTGTTGCGATGGTTACCTTGGGCCGTTTGAGCTCAGCCGGTTAAATGAGCGACGTCGTCGTTAATCCAGCGGGAGCTTCGAGCTTAGTCCATACTTCAGTCCGGTCGAGCTGGGCGATGCGAAGAAGATGAAGATATTGCGCACTGGCAAAAGGGGCAAGATTTGGCTGAGGTCCCTCGAATATCCCAGTTGATGTCTGTTCTGTAGTTGCTTCGATAGATCCAAGTCGATTCGAGATCAGGTTAGGCAGGTGGTCTTGGCAGAGTTACTTGCGAGTTCCAGGGGGTCTGATTGGCAAGGCGGGTCGGGATGGCGTAGCGTATTTCCGACTCTGTGCCGCACGACAGTGGGAGCTGGATGTTCTGGCCATGGATTGCTGATGCCAACAACCCCAGATTTCACCACCCCGCACCAGGATATCGTGTGATACTCCTGAACATTTCCTCACTCCTTGAAGTCATACTCAGAATAACAGGTCCGTCAAACAACACCCAAAATGATGCAAAGAAAGAGTCCAACAGCGATTGTAGGAGTCAGCCCACTGGATTTCAGCCTCGTTTACCGAGGTAACTTTCGAGATGGTGAAGATTGAGCCTTTCGAGGTTGAGCAGGTACTTTTTCCACACCATGATTCCCCGAAGTCTGCCAACAATATGTAGTGGATGGACAAGTATGAAGTCACTCCAGGAGTCTTGAATATCGCAGAGACTTGCGCGGCCTCTATATCAATAGACGACCTCGTGGCCTTGTGCGAAGACCGAAGCGCCCCACATCCTCTCGATACTTCCACTAAGCTTACATACGGTGCCATACGAGGCTCACAAGCTTTAAGGGAGCGTCTTGCCGGCCTCTACTCGGTACGAGTCTCGAAACCCCTGCCGACCGAGAACATCCTCATCACGCCGGGTGCAATTGCCGCCAACTTCCTCCTTTTCTACGCTCTCATAGGACCGGGGGATCATGTAGTATGCATGCATCCGACATACCAGCAGCTATACGATGTACCAACGAGTCTGGGAGCCGAAATCTCGCTATGGAAGCTTCGAAAGGGAAAGAAATACGTGCCGGATCTGGAGGACTTAAAGGAATTGGTAAAGGAAAATACCAAGATGATTATCATAAACAACCCCAACAATCCCACCGGATCAACGACACCGAAGTCCGTACTCCAAGGCCTAGTGGACTTCGCCCAGGAAAAGGGCATCATAATTCTCTCGGATGAAGTCTACAGACCCTTGTTCCATGGTATCTCACCAGGTGACCCGGACTTCCCACCCAGCATTGTATCTTTCGGGTATGCAAAGACAATAAGTACAGGATCCATGTCCAAGGCATACAGTCTAGCAGGTATCCGTCTAGGCTGGATTGCTTGTCGAGATTCATCTATCATTGAAGCCGTTGCTTCGGCTAGGGATTACACCACAATATCAGTCTCTCAACTCGACGACCGGGTAGCTTCATACGCGCTCTCCGCATCAGTACTCCACGCCCTGCTAGGACGCAACATCAAGCTCGCGAAGACCAACGTTGCCATATTAGAGAAATTTATTGATCGCTGGAGCGACGTATGTTCATGGGTGAAGCCTACGAGTGGAACAACTGCCCTTGTCAGATTCGAGAAGGACGGGAAGCCAGTCGATGATGTGCAATTTTGTATTGATGTGATTGAGAAGACGAAAGTCATGTTTCTTCCGGCTTCGAAGTGCTTTGGTGAGGAATTCAAGGGATCTGTGCGTATTGGATTTGTCTGCGAGACGCACGTGCTGGAAGAAGCTCTGAAGCAATTGGGATTGTATGTCCGCAGTAACTTACTTTGAGCGGCAAGTACTACAAATCTTGACCGATTAGACAAGAGACTGTGTTCATATGTCCTAAATGGAGATTGATATGATACCAGTGTCTGATTTATCCTCTATTGAGCTCTCGGTATCGTGGCTTGGGGTGGTGACAAAAGGTCATCCAAAGCTCACTTCAGACATGCCAAACCATATCCCAAGCTTCCTTTAAGCTCAGCCTATCACAACTTATGAGATCAGATGGTGTTTTGCCGCACCTAGTCTCTCTCCGGCAGCCTTAATCTCCTTAGCCCGCGCACTTCAGCTTCTGAAACAGATCCATTGAGTTCAGAGCTTGCCGTGATCTCAATCATCATTTAATACTCTAAACACATCTCTGTACCTCACACCCCGTGCCATTATACACCTACTCCAGCACCCGCTTTCCCATTTCCTCACTTCGACCTCCGCCACCAACTTCCCAATACCCATTTGCGACCCTCGTAGCAGTCTCCGCCAGTATCAATCTGGATTGCGAGATTATCCAAGCGAATACTATGAGCATGCATTTTGTCGTGGAATCCAATATCCATGGTGGACGTGGCGTCTGAGTTGCCCTTGGTAGTGGTAGAGTTAACGATGCCGAACGCTAGAGCGGAGAGGAGCAGGATGTGGAAGATGACGATTATAGCGAGGGTCATAGTACGGCTGAGGGAGGGCTTCAATGGGACCTTGCGGGTCTTGCTTGCTTGTTGGCGTTTGTTTGGCATTGTTTGGCGCGTGGAGGCTTGAGGCTGAGAGGAGGTGTAAGACAGGCTGATGGATTGGGCAAATTGCCGGGCAATGGTTTAGGTGCAAGGAAGAAGGAGTTAAGTAGTGGCGGAGAACGAGATAAGAAAGGTGTATAGATAGAGGTTATGGGATGCAGGAGTTGACAGGTGAATTTGTTTGTCGAAGGGAATCGTTTTCTCGCCTACTCAGGACCGAGCACTTCGGTGAATGAGCAGGAAGGAACGAGGTTCGTTCTTTCTCATCAAATTTGAACATTTAAAGTTTTTTTTTGTTTTTAACTAAAGTATTGTGTTTCTCTTTTTATTGAGATTTGATATTCATGTGCACACGAAGATACGATAGGAGTTCAGCTGCTGCATTGCAGTGCTGTTGGTAGAATGCTAAGCGAGGAAGAGATCTTAAAATAATACAGGTGTAAGATGTTACTGTGCGCTGCACGTATGTCTTCCAAGGCTAGCGCTGCGTCCCATCTCATCATGCGTAGGTATTCTGTTTGATAAGTTGGCCTTTTGGGTAGGTCTGCTTCAAATAGATTGATACTATCTTGCATCGTCTTTCTTGCTCTCCCACAATTGACCCCAACTGGGCGGATAACTTGAGTCAGTATTGAGTGCGAACTATGCATCAGGACGTTTAGGCTGACTTAGACAGTTGTTGTAAGCTATCGTTTTGAACAGCGCTGCTGAGGGGAGTTCGTCTTGCATGTCTAGGGAACATGCTCACAACTTGTGGAACGACATATGCTCGGATAATATTTCATGATCCGATATCCATGGGCGTACCGTAGCTGTATGAAGATAGTGAGCGAACCATCTACTAGATAAATATATGTAGAAAGACTAACCTTGACCAAGCCAGCAACTCCCCTTCACTTGTGATGCCCAGCTGTCGCATCGGCCATTGTATCCATGACAAATGCTCTTGATCAATCAAGGGCCATATTTTGGCCATCAATCGTCTGCCAAAGCCCTCGAGCCACCACTTTGAACTAAGATACTCGGGTATCGTTGCAAAATGAGCAATTATCACCAAGGTCTCCTGCGTTGGTACCTGCAGGCGCTCAAGGAAACCATCTTTCAGCTGAAATGGCCACCGGAAAACATCCGATACTTCTCGCAACTCCTCTGGCAAGCTGTTGATAACTTTGAATATCTTTATCATGTCATCTGCCCTGAATTTTAGCAAGAATCTTTACAACCTAACGCTGCCAGGTCAAAACACCCCAGATGAAATTGCTGACTTATATCAATGTAACTCGGGATGGAACATAATACGTACTGATAGCAGTATTATACACTTGAAGCGCTTCTGGATCTGAAACGCTTCCCTCGATTTGTGCAGAAAGTTCCATCAGCCGGTCTGCCTCAGCGAAAGAAGCAGTTGACTCTGCCACGATATCCCTTAGCCGAGTTCTGCGCTCGCCAGCTAAAAACAGGGGGCCAAGTGGACCTGATCGAAGGGCTTCATCAGCCATGCGGATCAGAGAATAGCTTTGCCGAGACAAAAAGATCCAGCTAGATTCGCCGCCGAGAACAGAGGCATCAGTCTGGCCAATTGTCGTGTATGTGTAGAGACATGTCAGCGCTGAAAATAGGTACATTGCCGAAGCATTTTCTTCTGCAAATTCTCTCAGGGCGGGAGTCGCCTTGGATAGGCCGGACTTATGATGAAGTGTTGCTTGTTCTGTACAAAATCCTTTTCGTGCCGGGAAACACTAAGAACGCAGTCAGTGGAAGCTCCAAAGGCGAGATGCAAGCGAGATATGATGTTGTGTTCTAGATTGAGGTCCAACATCGGTATTTAAAACTCTGCAGAAGTAAGAAAGTGAAATGATTGACTTACATAGCCCATGTGTAGTGCAGATAAAGCTAAAATTCCATGCATAACATAGTCATGGACAAACCCAAACTGCGGCACTGTGATGCTCCACAGCCTAATCGTCGCAGGATCACGATGCAAAGTCAAAGCTGTAGATGTGCAATTATTGTGTAGGAGTTCCAGGTCGACACAATGCAAGTTTGGAAGAGCACTAGACGAGAACTTTAAGTCTGTTAGATCGTTGGTAACACTGACATAGGTATGAGAGAAACTTACAGACGTCGCTGTTCCAGCGACGGGTACTTTCAAAGGCGCATATACACATTCCAGAGTATGCTTAATGCAATTATCGCATTCTGGTCTCGTCTCGTCACACTGTGAAACGACGTGTCAGCAAATATTCAAGGTTACAATGGACTTTGAACCAAAGTTCGTTGATCTACGGTGTACTACCAGGTGGTACCTAAGTACCAAGAACGAGAATATCCAAGAACACCAAGATTCTTAAAAGGTTGAACCCACTTTGATCTTCCGCTTCTTGCATGTCAAGCAGCCGGTCTTGGTCTTACGGTGCGGTCGCCTGGTGTGGGTCCTTTTACGCGGAATGTCGCAAGAGGAAGCCCTAGAGGAATCATAGGAAGTTTTCTCGGCTGAATTCATGCTCCAAACTCTGCTAGAAGAAAGTAGAACGACGAGAGCTGGGAGATAATAGGAGAACTTCACCAGTAGAGGACGCGTATGCTGTAAATGCTGTTCAAAGGGGCTCGAAAGCATTCGTGATGTTAGGTGAAGTTCCAGGGCTCGGTCCGAGGTTATACGAAATACGAGGAAAAGATGCGACTAGCGAAGGGGCTGGAATTTGGCCTAGCAGGTAGGATTTTTGGATATCACTCAAGTGAATTGAGAACACTGGGAGCATCCCATCACTCTTTAACACTCAAAATAGGCAAACCTCCTATCTTCAAAATTGACACAAGCATTCCAATCTTTGGGTCCGAGTCATGGTGTTCCTAGCCGAGATATCATCTGATCAACTCAGAAAATGTGATACAGGACTTCCGAGCAAGAAGACATTATCAAAGTTGGAAAAAAAAAGGAAACAGAATGATGGTAATGAAAAAGAGATGGTAAGAAACGTACTGTCGGAATGGCATCAACAATGCGATATCACGTGGAGGCACTCATCTCATGACGTACATGGCCAAACCTACCTAGGTAGATTGAGAAGCAACATCAACATCGCCAAACATAGATTCGGAATACTAAAAAGCCTGAAAACATCAATACCACGTTCCGCAATGGCCCCGAACTTCTACCATGCAGATACACCTGTGGATGTCAAGGGCGCCAAGGTAAGTAGACGCGTAGGATAAGGACGTTGCATTGAATTGAGGTCACCTGCCAGGGGCTTCACTTGATCACGACCTCAACTCCAAATGGCAAGAAAGTCCAGATTATGCTCGAGGAGCTTCGAGAGGCTTATGGAACCGAATGTATGATTTTGTTCAATCTACTCCGGAATGTCGACTGACCATTGCTGCTCAACAGTCACCCACACACTGATTTCTATTCCGACCAATGAACAAAAGAAGGATTGGTTTCTTAAATTGAATCCTAATGGTATGGTGTCAATAATACCGATATTCACTTTGAAGTTAAACCCAATATACAGGTCGGATTCCCGTTGTTGTGGATAACACCAAGTCCCCACCATTTCCTGTGATGGAAACCTCAGCCATCATGCTCTACCTCCTGAAGGAATTTGACCCTAAGGACACTTTCGGCTTCAAAGATGATCTCGAGCGTTCTCAGTGTCTGCAATGGCTGTTTTTCTGGCACGGAAGTGTAGGCTTGTCTACCATTCAACTAGAAAGTAAGCTCTGATACTTTGTCAGGGACAACCTATCGAGGGACAATTGAATTGGTTTGGGAAGTTGGCTCCGCAGAAGGATGAATGTAAGTCTCTTCATAAGAATTTACCTGGCTACTATTTATCAATGCAGTCGCTATCAATCGGTTCAAAAACGAAACCCTCCGAGTCTTTGGAGTTCTTGAGATTCACCTATCGGGCAAATTTACAGGCGAGCCCCGAGACTATTTAGCTGGAAATGGCAAGGGAAAGTATTCTGTCGCGGATATGGGAACATGGCGTAAGTGCCGCTAATCTCATTGCGTATCTTGCTTACATCTGTTCAGCTTGGGTTTCTGGTTATGGTTTCTCAGGCCAGATCAGTGAAGCTGAAATGAAGGAATTTCCACACTTGTTGAAGTGGGTTGAGAGAATCGCAGAGGTATATTCCCCAGAACCTAGAAGAGACTGTGTACTAAGTTCAGAAGCGACCTGCTGTTCTGAAGGGAACGTCACAATCTTACCAGGCTCAAATTGAGCTATGCCGCCGTACCAGGTGTGATCACGAATCGAAGCAAATGATTCGATACGACTAATTCGACCTAGTACAAGGCATCCGAAATTCTTTTATGAATCCAGTGAAAGTTCTTAATTCTCCCTCGGACCAAGCGGAAATATTTTAGTTGACAAAGGCTCCATATCTGATTATTTACCCAATCCCTCCGCAGTCACAACTTTGGGACGTACCATTGACGTATCTTGGTGATGAGACCGATACGTCAGAATATTTCATTACATACCTAGGAGTTTTTTGCCAGCTAATGCGATCAATGGTGACTGGAGTTCACGAGGCTCTTGAGCAAATGTGGGTCTTCAGACTCGCTTATGCTCAAGGGTTACCCTATAAATTCTTCGAACCATCGACCCTCGAGATTTCTCCTGTGCGAACAACTTCTGTGAACTTTCTCGTTGAATTATGATGTCTCTGTCGAATTGATGGGTGCCCACAAACATCGATCTTCCCATGCGGGCTACCGCCCCCGATCCCACCTTCCTTGTTTGGCTCTGTCCTGTTCTGATTCCACCAGGCTGATTGCTGCTGTCGCTTGCTCTTCTGCTGTCAAGCTTCCAACTTCTTGACTCGTAGTCGAATGTTTTTGCCTTGCAGATACCATCCTGAGACGAGAGAATATTGGTAGCTGGATAGACAGCGCCCTCCAGAAAGCATCTGGGCAGCCCCCTTGGAAACGGCAAGTGAGAATGCCTGAGTCCTATTTTGACTCTCCTGAAGGGAGCCGTTGCTGTAAGCAAATATCTCATATCCTTTGAACAACCATCGCATATCCAAAATACTGCTTTCTTGATCCATATTCTTCGGTTCTGCAATGTCCGTAACCCTGCAGGCTAAAGGCAAAGAGCTCAAGCCAACTGACTCGTGGTTGCGGAATTGCTTCTCAATCCTACAAACACACAATCGAGCGCCTCGCTACATCTTCAGCTACAAAGAACGAATACCAAAGCAAAATACTGCGTTGGAAATTCACTCCAGATCAAGCGAAGCCTTTCCTGGACCAGGCCTACAAATACTGATCTGTGTACACTCTGCAACGAATCCTCGTCACAATTACTCAACTATCAATATAACACACATGGCTGACAGTACAACAACTTCAGCTGATTCTATTGCAGATAGAGAATCGAACAAAATGCTTCCGAAGGTCAGCGTGGAGCCGGGTTCAGAGTGGCATCCAGCAGCTCTTGCAGAGGACTTCGACAAATGGATGGAGGTGAGAAGGCTGTGGAGCTGGTATCAGGTAGGTCCGGTTGCAATGTCACAAAGGCGCGGCTACCAATATAAGTAGAACTCGTCTCGAGAAAAGATAGTTGCGAGCAAGGTAAAAGGAGCAGGAGGGGAAGGTAGTCCTGAAAAGCTACCTGAACCTCCTGCTCCGCGAATTTCGGGGGAACGGCGTCGATATCTCCACGAGTATACAACTTCAACACTCACTCCATCCTCCTCTAATTCTTCCATACTGTCAAACAATTCCGATGGCACACTACCAACCACCGCCTCTACATCACCTGCCAACTCATTTTCAGCCACCTTCTGCACTTCAACACACCCTCTTCTCTCCTCTCTTCCCTCTTCAATCATTCTGTCTGATATCACGCCAACAATTATCCACCCTCCATCCGATAGCCTTGCCCTATTCTCAACCGAATACTTCGAGGCACGACGATCGAAGAAAGGAGGTTATGGCGCATTTGCAACAAAGAATATTGAAGCAGAGACCATTGTCATGGTCGAGAAGCCGCTCTTCCGGGCCACTTTCATGGAGGTCTTCGTCGAGTTGGAGAAATTGACTCGAGAGCAAAGAAGAGAGTATAGAACGCTTCACGGATACTCGGGCCTCTCCCCCACGAAAGATCTCGCCATTTACAAGACAAACCGGTACGTTGACTGAAAGCTGGATAGAAATGGAGTCAAGGTCGATAAATTGTTCATCATGATTAACAAATTTTCGAAATAGATTTGAGACTTCTGGCGGAAAAGGAGGCATATTCATCAAGTCGTCAAGATTCAATCATGCTTGCCACCCATATGCTACTTGTAGCTATCGATACGATGAAGCGGCTGAATTACTAATTTTCACTGCTTGCAACCCAATCAAAAAGGATCAGGAAATCACGATCTCATATACCACAAATCCTTCTCAGTTGAAGGACAACTACGGCTTTTACTGCGACTGTCCCAAATGTCCTCCACCCAAGATCGCCCAGAAACAAGCGAAAGCACTTCGAGGACCGCGGTGAAGAGTGTAAGAGTAGTGTACAACAGATATCTCCAACAATCTGGAGATGCGGGAAACGGATAATAACGAATGAATAGTGTTACAATAATGCAAAGTATTCGCAAAATAATTAATTAAATATGGGCAAGAAGGGGAGTTAGTGCTGGAGCTGACTTCGTGGAGGTCGAGAGAACATATGCTTCTGGAATTTTAACGATGGCTTCGCATTGAATCAATACATACAACACTCTCTCTTATCTATGTTATTGAAGTTTGATGATTTTGAGTCAAGTCTGCTGTCTATCGCAGCGACGATTGTGATTCCACGAAACATTCTTGTCGTTCAGTCAATATGGGGCTAGATGTGATCCACTGACCATGATTAATTAAAGTTCTGTAAACTATCAAAAACTTCCGACAATACAAAACCGACAATACAAAACCGACAATACAAAACCGACAATACAAAACCGACAATACAAAACTAGTGATATTGTCCCGCTGTCTTCTTGGGTTGAAACCTATAGCCGTAGGAAGCCATGGCGAGCAAAAAGACTCGCTTTGGGAATTTCTTTCGCTTCCTTTCACCGGGGTCTCCCTCGCGGCCTCCATCACCTCCCATAAGATACCCCGATTTCGACGGGAACGAGAGCCAGTCTCAACTGACGAGGGACTATGAAGGACAAGAAGCAACGGCACATCTACCTTCACCTCAAATATCCTCTGCTCTTGTCCCTGCCCGTCCTACAGCACTTCTTCCGATCTCTACTTCGCCAATGTATCGTGAACAAGGATACCAAGAGAAATCATATTCTGCTCAGCAAACATATCCACTTCAGCAACAATGTCATGCGGAGAGAAGACATCGCGCTCAGCAATCCTACGCTTCTCAGCAAACATACCGACATCATCCAACAAATCCTGCCTATTCAACCTCGGTACCAACAGCATACGGCCATGTTTGCCAGCTCTGCGTTGCCACAGAACGGTTTGCCATCCGGCCAACTCGTTGTCCATTCACAGGCGAGCAAATCGGACTCCCAAACCCGCAGCAGGGCCCACGTTTTGCGACTAAATCATCAATGTATCGGTCACAACGGTCTCATTTTGAGCCAGTCGAGTTTGTGGACGTACAGGCAGGAGAGGGAGACGACGAGATCACGGAACATGAGTTTAATGGGGAAGATTGGACTAGGCACACTTCGAGGGAGGAGCATGTGGAGTATATCGGTGATCGGAGGAGGAGAATGATAGAAGATTGGATGGATAGGTATATTTATGAGAGATGTCCTGGATGGGGAGATCAAGCCCACCTTGATGTCTGGCGGCGGTCGAGGTGGCAAGAGGGCCGAGGTTACGAAGGCATGAGTGAAACTGATGAAGCGAGTGAGGCTGATGCCTGGAGGATGTTGGATGAAGTGTGGAGAGTATGATTTGTATTTTTAAGGTTGCCTGTCTTTGGTATTGACACATTCCTGTGAAAGAGTGAGTCTTGTGAAACTAATGTCACACTCTCATGAATGCATTCATGTTCATGATTCCCAAGAACATTTTTTCTTGCATTGCATGGTTCTCATCGCGTATGTAAGTGAGTCTGGAAAAATAATCGTAGATGATTCCCACAGCCGTGTACACTTTGCCACACTGCTGCTTTATATTTAAGAAATTCTGCACATCAGAGCTCCAACTGAGAAGCTAAACATAATCGCACCGTTTCATAGCATTTCTATCTCAGCCCTGCTTATAGAGGACCGGAAGCTGCCTCGATCTCGTCATGTCTTTTCAAGTGGGTTCCACTTCTTCTACGGAAATTGTTAGAAGACCATGTCCGCGCTGTCCCCACCGACTTTCGGACTTCTGGACTCATGTTTTTGTCCCCAAGTCTCACCCCGCCGATGCCCACAATAAAACGGAACAGAATTCGAACTCTCTCGCCATACAGTCCACCAAATCCGCGGCAGATGATAATTATATTGTGGACAACGCAAACCCAAACTATGACAACAAGCCAAGAGCAACACTCCTCCAAGCAGATATACCGCCCCAGAAGCGCGTGGGCGATACAGTTGCCCGCATTCATACCAAGCCCGTCATGAAAGATAAGGTGTCTCCGAGTAGCCTCGAGAGAGGTAATCAGGATGAGGCCAAGAAAAACCGCGATGACGGGTATGAGAAGGCTTGGGCCATGTCAAATATTACTGGCGCTCCTACACCTCATAATTCACCAAGACTCCAGACGATCAAAGCCTCCATCGAAAACACAGACGAAGATATAGATCATTTTGAGATCTAGGGGAGAGGTCTCTTGGGTTAGCCGCCCAAGTTCCCGACAAACCAATCAGTCGGTGGCTGGGTTGAGAGGCTTGGAGGCAGCCATTAAGCTTTGGCGATGTGAACTTCTTGATCGCGATATTGTACTTCGAGGATGGAAGAATAGGTACTTGAAAAGCGAGACTTTCAAGGCGAAATTGACTGGGTCTGTTTCCATGTAGTTGTTGCAAGCAATACCGAAGCAACCAAAACTTCTGTCAGCCTTTGTGACTCGAACAAAGTACGGTATTCGTGGTACCTATTGTGACTTGAAAGTTTGTTAAGGAAAGCTACCAGAGTCCCCGGGAGCCCAAGAAATAATTTACTGCAGCTGGGTGCCAGGCCCATTTCCAGTTTTGGCTTAAGCGAGCTGAATAAACAATGGACATAGGGGCTCTTGGCTAAATCCTGGCGCATCCAGGGGCTTTTGATGGTAAGCCAAAGTGGCTTAGTATTTGGTACCCGACGATGAAGCAACGAAATCCTGTCTACAGTAGGAGTAGATATTGTTTACCAAGGCGTTAGACTTAACTTAGGGTTCTAGCGCATCTAAAGTTACTTGGCAATGGAACATCTGGCCCTTCTAGAACTTGATGTCCTGCCAGTTCTTGTCCACTTCAACTTGCTCCTTGGCCTCGGCTGACGTTGCCACGCATAATTAGGGAGCAACCAGAAGAAGTCCCCCTCTCCTAGCTATGTAGCCGACTTCCAGCTTCTTAACATATCCTTGGCCACAACCGTACAATCGCATGGCATTCTAGGCCGGGTTGCCGTTACGAGAAGCGGATCGCACGGATTCACAACGGACAAGGCTCGGGGCTCGGCTCACACCCTAGTCTGACTTTGAGAATTAACTAACTCGAGCCAATCAGCAGTTTCAATTGAGTTTTTACGGTTGGCGACGTGGCTGTAGGGCTGGAGACAGATCTTGCCAAGATGATTTTAGTCTCTGTGGCGCAACTCTAAATTTCGTCGCAAATGACGTAGTTTGGGAGGCCTATTGTGCCCTGGATTCTTATGTATATATATGAAGCCCAGGAGTTCCCGGGTCTTTGGTATTGTATCAAGTCTCATTCATCGAAGAAACGTAACTTCATATACAATCAGTCACACTTCTCACTGCGCAAAAGCAAACTACATACCGCTAAAATGGCAGCATCATCAACTGTATGTCTCCTTATGACCGTTTCATCCATTTAAATAAACTAACACAACATTTGAAAGTCTGACATGTGCCTCTACCTCCTGGCAGTATTTGTACCATTCGTTCCAGTATTCATCAAAACTGGATGCAGCTGCGATCTCCTAATCAATATTCTACTTGACTGTCTGGGTTGGATTCCTGGTGTTATTCGTAAGTCTTTATTTTCGCGTTAGGCATGTACTTTCTAACAAGTCCTTTAGATGCGTGGTATATCATTGGCAGACATGACCCAGCGGCGTACCGTTAAGGAAAATCGGGGATGGGGTTTCGAGCCAAGTTGCGAAGTTGATAGTGGACTTGTATATATTTGTGAAGCCTGGTGAGGAGAACTGGATGAAAGGATGATACCCCGGTGTACATGTATGATAGTTGAGACTCTTTGGAAGCATCTGGAAAACGAACACTTTGTACCAAATTATTCGAGAAATTAGAAGACCTTGGTGTGAACCGCCCAAGAAGTATGCACTTGACGAGGATTTTAAAGGAATCACAGGTGTAGAATTGTTACATAAGAACCGTTCCATTCAGCCCGAGTATGACATGTCTAATGTCCACCAACGACCTCTCCAGCGTGAATTTCAGGGTTGACGTTGCAATAGTTTGGAATATCGCCTAGGATTTTCTTTCCATCCTCACTAGCAAACGCCGCATCAAGCTTGCTCTTACTATCCCAGGTCAAAACAGCCTTAGCGACGTATCCAGATGAAGGATCAAGCTCCGCGACCTGCCACTTCTGCAACCCAGTAGACGAGTTTTGCCACGAATCCTGAACCATTTGCATATGTTTCTTGAGATAACTAGAAAGTTGGGTGATTAGTAGTTGCTTGAGTCTAAACATCAAAGCTACGAGAAAACGACACATTCAGAATTTACGTCTGTGTGGATGCGAGACTTCATGGTTGATGAATATTACTTACTAATCCATGTCAAAAGCTTGAGTACCCTTTGGGTAGAGAATAGTCTGAATGACAGTCATTTTGAACTTTGTAGGACCTGCGGTCGTTAGTCCTGATCATCCAACAAATGATTGGTAACGAACAAGAAGTTTTTGAGGTCTAGGTATGTATTTGCAATGATTGAGAGCTTTAAATTTCAGAATGAAAGATTCGAACGGTGATGATCTGGTTCGTTTGGTGAGGGGTTCCGAGAGCTTTATATCAATTCATCACGACCCCGCCTGGGTTGAGAGATCGGTCTTCAGTGTACCCCGCACACCCGGAAGTGGGTAACTTTTCGGATTTACAGCCAGGACCCTGGTGATTTGCAATCTTTATTCCCCGAAAGGATTCCGACATATGAAAAGCCAGATTCGCTTTGTCAATACTCTTCAGCTATTTTCCCTTCCCTTCTGTGATATGCGCCATTGAGGGAAACTCCCTTGTCGTCCCCCAGAACGGCATTGCTCGGTATTCACAACGGTCCGTACCGCCGAATCAGTGGCGGATATTTCGTATTTCGAGCGATGTCATTCGCATGCAGCTTATAACAAACAGGTTGTCAGCATGGCGATATGCACTGTTATCATGCGAACTATGCATCGGTTCGGGGAGATATGTGTTGTTGACATTCGCATGATAACTCCACGTGACTATAACGTGACAAGAACATACACGACCCAGTGAAAACCACTATAGTCACTATGTCGGTCATTCGTTGTGGCTGGAGGCTTAAATGGCCATTTTTCATGCTGATATGCTACTGATAGAATGGTGGGCTAAGAATATGTTAGTCTTAACCTGATCAGAGAGCCAGAAGATGAACTACTTACCCTATCTAGGACGAATGTCTGACCTCACTACTTGTGCATCGCGACCGGAGCCTTGCAAGTTGGCCCACTGAAAACTCATGCTTTCCAATTCATTTGTTACTTTGAAGAGCCGCGAAGCCACAATCTTATGGAAATTTTCCAATCTTAAGCAGTGGATCCTGGACAACCATTTCTATAATCGGCGCTTGCGTTGTCATCTGCTCGAAAGCTTCTATAGCCGCATCGCACCAGCCTTGTAGAACTGGTTTCCAATGAGGCGGCTGCCTATCAGCATTTAGCAAACCTATTAGATGCTCGTCTACCATTTCTAGGCTCGCGAGGGCCTCTCTGAACCTTCCTCGTTCATTTGAAAATGCCACACCATGAGCATATAATATGTTGAGAGCCAGAAAATAATAGAGCGAGTATGCTGGGTCTAGAGTGTTCAGAAGTTCCAAACACTTGTCAAGGACTGGAGTGATGCGTCTCCCCTCGCTTCGGAGCTCTACCCTCGTGTCCCAAAGCTCTCGAAGATTTAGTAGCTCGCGATTGTCGTTTGAGTTGATCGCAGATGGCTCAAGATAATGCCAGCTCCTAACGCGTGTAGTTTCAAGACGATTTTCTAATGTATTGATTCGTGATTGAGCTGCAATGTCATCGCTGAGATATTTCCCTACCGACCGAAGGAATATTCGTGTATCATAGTTCCAGGCCCGAAGCACGCCGCGTCGTTCTTCGTCTAGAAATGACCGAGATGCTGCGACTGTCTCGGCGGCTTGAACCTGTCCCTCGTGTTCTCTAACAGCCTGTTCTACGATATTGACCTGATCTCGAAGGAGTTGTAGCCACCTGTTTTTGTCTCGATCCGTTGAAGTGACTGTTAACGTAGCAAGAAGCTGGGAAATATGATGGTTGTTGGAAGCAAAGGCTTTACCCAGTGTAGAAAGCTGCTGACAACTGTCCCAATACTGGTCGACTGCTTCCAGACTCCGCTTTATGGCAAATGCAACCTCCATAGTTTGTCTTTTAGCAGGATCCATAGCATTAAAATCTCGGACTAATCTCCAAAAGCATTTGTTGAGATCATTCCGCCCAGTAAAGCGAGTTCCGGCTGCAGAAGAAATTTTGCTAAGAGTGACCCGTTCAAATGCTGTGACTTTGCTTACAGAAGTAACACCCCTTCTGGTCTGCGTCGCTTCCGATGCTTGGTTCACTACCCTCAATTTGAATAAGGAGACGCCAAAAGCCCGCATAATGGCGCTCCAGAAATCCTCAGAATGTATGTCCTCAAAAAGACTGACTGGAACAGGGATTGCGAGTACTTGGCTGGGCATTTTCGGCGTCCTGAGAACTGCGGAGCTTGGATGCCTCCGGCGCATGTCAAAAGTCTTTGGGAAGCCTGGTTCTACCCAAAACCCCAAGTTTGGGGTTACCGGGCCAGGTCTCGGGTTCCTGTGGGATGTCAATTATAAGAAGGGCATAGCAAGGCTTGCCACTGGAGTCGACCACTTATTTGGAAGTGGTGAGCCAAAACATTCGTGCTGGAGAAGACTCACCACATAGGCTTCATGAAGCCTCCAAAGGCTCGTACCTCCATTGCTGCACCGATTTCCATTAGTTGGTCCTCTTCAATATATGGCTAAGCTTGTCAACCACTCGTCTGCAAGAGGATTTCACGATACTTACCTCGATATGAGCGTATCTATTCTTCTCCTTCGAGTATATCAAATGCCACATTGCATGGATACTGCAGCTGTCAACACGAATACTCCTTCATTGTAACATATGCTTACCTCTCGTGAACTAGAGTCATTGCAACCCACAGTATCAACCCAAATCTCTCTGCATCATTCAAATGCGTTCCAAGTAGAGGTACAAGCATTTCGCAATCCAGGAAAGTGAAAACATGCCGGAACCGCTTTGTCTCTTCCTCATAATCCCCCTCCGTAGCAGCCTCGATGATATCTTTGTCCTCGGGCTGTTCCTCACCCGAGATAGTGTCTTCGGAGTCGATTTTGAAAGCTATTGTCAGGCATCTCGCCAATTCCCTGAATAGAGCGGCTCGTTTGGTCGCCATGCGGTATTCTTCTTGAGGGCCGATAAAGGCTTTTAGCTTTACTAAGGTCAACTCGTTGAAGCTCTCACTGTCCGGCCTCATTGGATCCCACCTGGGAATCCGCCCAGGGTCAATTAACTCTTCGCTTCTTTCAATCAAATTGTTGAGCTAGAGAGGCTGAGGTTAGAATTCTGTCTAATGTCCTCATGGAGAATAATAACATACAAAGTTAGTGACTCTGGGACTCTCAACCAGTATCTTCGAAGCCAGAGTAATGATAGGCTGCAGGAGCGCCCACACCACTTCATCTGTTCCCACCCATCTCGAGTTGAAATATGGTGCTGGCAGCGGATACGTTCGCAGCAGCGCACCATTGGCCGAAACCTTCCCATCATACCAGTTCTCCCGTGACCAGAATGGAGCCACGTGCGCTTGAATGGTGCTAGGGCCGAATTTCCTTTCACTAATGACATCCAGGTCCTTGAGCTCCTGTGTAGTAAACTCAAAGAGATGTCGCCTTTGGAACAATTCGTTCTCCTCTGCTAGGCGCTCGTCTTCTTCACTCATAGGAAACTGGCTTAGCCATATTCGAGATATGGGAGTCAAGCCACTTCTTCTCTCAGGAGGGTTGCTGCGGATTTCTGTGCTGGCCCCATACTTCCTTGCCCATTCGCTAAGGCCTGTACGCATCGCGAAGAGTGGTACCAAAAGCTATTGTTGTACTCCTGTAACAGAAAAGAAGGGATTTTCATCTTTGTGGGTGAATATCTGAACAAAGATAGACATCCTTATCAAAACAAGGAACAAAGACATTAAGCGCACAAAGCCGGGTGCGGTTTTTCCAGCAAAGTCATTCTTTGTCTCGTTTGTGCGACAAATCGAAGCTGAAGTGAAGACGATGAATTGAAACAAACACTGCAGGAATGAGATTCAAATCTGGTGAACTACACCTGACTTTTTCGCCGAATATCGGAAAGGCAACCTAGAAGAACCCGAGTTGAGATCCTTCTCTTGTATTCTACAATCATACATATGCTACATGGACTCCGATTTTCCATCCCGACCATGCCATGCAATACAAATATACACTCTATGCAGCTCTTGCATCTCCTAGCCAAAATACAAGTGATAAGCTCTATAACACAAAAGCGAAAGAAAATCATTAGTCTATTTCTTGTGCCTATCGGCTTGCGCCTTGTCATGGGCAGCAATCAACTCTTTTCTGCAAATTGTCAGTGCTGAAAAGTATTTGGATTAAGTGAACTCACTGTAATTGACCAGGTGCTGGGGCGTAGTGACTGAACTCCATTCCGAACTCTCCCTTGCCTTGAGTGGCAGCTCTCAGCTGGGAGCTGAAGCCAAACATGGCATTCAAACTACAATCTGCCAACAAAGTGAAATCCTCGGGACCGATCTCCGTATCGTTGATGATGGCATTTCGCTTGTTCAACAATCCAACAATGTTTCCTTGGAACTCGTTGGGTGCTGTGATTGTGGTCTTCATGAGAGGTTCGAGGACTTGCGGCTTGGCTGCCTTGAAAGCCTTGCGGAAAGCCTGTTGCGTAGCGTTTTTAAATGCCATTTCCGAGGAATCGGTCATATGGGTAGCACCATCGTTGACGACCATCGAGGTCCCCAAGACTGGGTGTCCAATGAGAGGTCCCTTTTCACAAGAAGCATTGAACCCTTTTTCGCATGCGAATAAGAATTTCTCGGAAATGGAACCACCAACAACTTCTTCCCGAAATTTCGATGGCATGTAACCATTTTCGCCAATTTCGATTGGCTCCATATATCCAACAACGCGTGCGAAATCTCCGGCACCTCCAGTTTGTTTCTTCAAGGTGTGGTCGAACTTGACGGATTCAGTGATCGTTTCTCGGTAGGCGACTTGAGGCTTTCCAGTTTCAACTTCGACCTTGTACTCTCGGCGCATACGCTCGATGTAAATATCAAGATGCAATTCTCCCATCCCTGAGATAATAGTTTCTTGACTTTCCGCATCAACGTGAACTCTGAAGGTGGGATCTTCGCGCTGGAATCGACTCATGGCCTTACTGAAATTGCTGGTATCCTTCGTGGTCTTTGGCTTGATGGACAGAGAAATGACAGGGTCCGGGACGAACATAGAGGTCATGGAATATGGAAGCGCGCCATCAGTGAAGGTATCACCGGAGGCACATTCAACACCAAACACGGCGCAGATTTCTCCAGCACCAATTTCTGGGACTTCTTCCATGTCGTTAGAGTGCATACGGACGATTCTGGGGACCTTGACTCGCTTGTCCGTTCTGGCGTTGAAGACGTTCATGCCTTTCTTCAGGGTACCTTGGTACACTCGAATATATGTCAATTGTCCAAAGTTGCTTTCTTCGAGTTTGAAAGCAAGGCCAACAAAAGGTAATGAGTTATAGGACACCAGCTTGACGGAAGCTTCCTTTCTCCGCTTATCCAGCGCCAAATTTTCGACTTCAGCTGGATTTGGCAAGTAGTCACAGACTGCATCGAGCATCGGCTGGACAGATTTATCGGCCAATGCACTTCCCATGAGCACTGGAGTAAACTTCAGTGCAATTGTGGCTCTTCGAATTGCGGCTTTCAGTTGTTCCTGAGTTGGGGTCTTCTCGTCCAAGAATATTTCCGCAATCTCGTCATCGACATCGGCCAGAGTTTCGATAAGTACTAGTCGCTTCTCCTTTGCTAGTGCTTGGACGCTTTCAGGAATGTCGTCGCTCTCTCGGATGATTTCTCCCTTGGGTCCGTCGTTATAAATGGCCTTCATTCTGATTAGATCGACCACACCCTCGAAAGTATCCTCGCCACCAATAGGGACCTGTAATGCCGCAGCTGGGATACGAAGTTTTTGATTGATCTGTTCCACAGCTTTGAAGGGATTGGCACCCATTCTGTCCATCTTGTTGATAAAACTGACTCGAGGAACATTGTAACGTCGCATTTGTCTGTCAACCGTGATCGTTTGACTCTGGACTCCACTCACAGCGCAGAGAATCATGACTGCACCATCTAGAACTCGCAATGCTCGCTCTACCTCAATTGTGAAATCAATATGTCCAGGGGTGTCGATCAAGTTGATGTGATATTTCTCCTCCTTTCCATTCTCAACTTTCAGCCAGTCGCAGAAGGTCGCGGCAGATTGAATCGTGATTCCCTTCTCCCTTTCAAGGTCCATGGAGTCCATCTTTGCCCCCACGGCATCTTTTCCTCGAACTTCATGGATAGCGTTGATTCGACCAGTGTAAAAGAGTACTCGCTCAGTAGCAGTTGTTTTACCACTGTCAATATGCGCCTGAAGGTCTGCGTCAGTTCGATGTCCCGGATGTATCCCTTCAAACATACTGCAATTCCAATATTCCTGATTCTCGCGAGCCTCCCTCTTTCCACTTGATCTAAATTATCGATAATAGTCTCTTGGGTAAGAGCTGACGGGTCGGCAGCGGCTTGCTTCAACCTATTCTATGTCAGTACCATTATTCCTGTTTGGACAATTGGCTGAGGTATTGCCATGACTACCGCATCTTCTTTGGACATGCCTGCATCTCGTCGCACGTCTCGCGGGGACCTTACACTGCTTCTGCCGCACCAGCTCGAGCAATTCTCGATTCGGAAAATAGTCTCTGACCAAATCCCTTTCCAACTGTTGATCCTGCACCGAGACTTCTACTTGAAGCATTTAAGCAGAGAAATTTCGGTCTGGATGAATAACTCCTCAGAGTGGCAAATGAAGATTCTGCCACAGCCGCAGCTCGGACAGCTCTATGCGCCCTCATATTTGCTGAATCAATTGACGAATGTCGACAATCGATTCATGCTCCAACACTTTCGCGGCTCCTAAACTTTTTTGATGGAACATCCCGGGGCTCGGGAGCTAGTCTATATATGGACAAGAACCATTTATCTGAAAGTAGTTTCCCAACTTTTAGTTCTCTTACTTATGCAATACTTGGTGGAATAATATTCTCGTTGGCTTATTCTCATCCGCTTCCTTGATTTTATAGAAAGGACCTTCATTCCAGTTCCATTTCGGTTTACACAATGCCCACGCGGTTGATAAGGTCCCTCATTTGACTTTAGCGCCATCATGTGATTACCTGTCACATCTACGCGTCGAATCGCCCTCCCGCATTGCTGAGAAAACAGCAACACAATTAGCATTGCGCAGATGGCTCGATTAGCTTCCCAACATCCGCGAGACGGAGGTAAATACTCCTCTAATTCAAGATGACTACCGAGCCTCCGATTGAGCCAAAGCTCCCCCAGGAACATGATACCCTGAAGTATTCTCTCCTTGGACCGTCTTTAACAAAGTCGGGCCAGGACAATGTAGACCAACAGAAAGCAAGAAGCTCGCTCTCTCGACACTCACCCAAGTTACTAATTATTCCATAGGTGTCGGAAGTCATCTACAACGCGTCGAAGGGCTCGAAATACTTTAACAATGAGGAGGCGAGGGACAAAAACCTCACCCAGAAGATCGAGCGGATCCTGGAAAAGAAGAAACAACTAGAAAAGCTTGATTTGGCATCCGATCGAAGAAAGGCAGATGACTACATTGCTGAGCTCGAATTGTCAAGAGACTTGTCGCAAGTTGTGGTACATATTGATTGCGATGCCTTTTACGCGGCTGTGGAGGAACTCGATCGCCCTGAGCTGAAAGATCTCCCATTCTCTGTTGGAAAGGGAGTTCTTACAACATGCAACTACCATGCAAGGAAGTTTGGCTGCAGGAGTGGCATGGCTGGATTCGTGGCAAAGAAGCTCTGTCCGCAGCTCATTCAAATACCTTTGAACTTCGACAAATATACTGCCAAGGCGCAGGAGGTTCGGGAGATCATTGTCGACTATGATCCTCGATTCGAAAGTGCCAGTATTGACGAAGCATATTTGAATATCACGGAGTACTGCGAGAAGAATGATATAAGCCCAGAAGATGCGGTCGAGCAGCTGCGGAGAGAGGTCCATGAGAAGACCAAGATCACAGTATCAGCAGGCATTGCGGCGAACGCCAAGCTGGCAAAGATCTGTTCGAACATGAACAAGCCGAATGGGCAATTCCAGCTGCCAATCGATCGGAGTTCAATAATGGCTTTCATGCGAGATCTCCCTACTCGAAAAGTCAATGGCATTGGCCGAGTATTCGAGCGGGAACTGGATGCAATCGGAGTGAAAACTTGTGGAGATATCTATGCATATCGGCAATACCTGTCAAAGCTTTTTGGTGAAAAGACATTTGCATTTTTGATGCAATGTTATCTCGGACTAGGTCGGACCAGAATCCAGCCAGCAGAAGAATATGAGAGGAAGAGTGTTGGCACAGAAAGTACGTTTGGAGAGATGGGAAGTCCAGTTGACCTACGGAATAAACTTCAAGCAACTGCTGAGGAGCTCGAGAAAGATATGGTGCGAACCCAGTTCAAAGGCCGGACTCTATGTCTGAAGGTCAAGTTGCATACTTTTGAGGTCTTCACGAGACAGACGATTCTCCCAAAGGCAATATACCAGGCGGAGGATCTCTATAAGTACTCGGTTCCGATGTTGTCAAAGCTGGAACAGGAGTTCCCTGGCATGAAACTGCGACTCATGGGTCTCAGATGTACACATTTGGTAAGTATGAAAAAACCAGACACAATGGCATTTTTTGGCTTCAAGAAGCGGGCGAACGAGAGTGACCTTGGAGACAGTCATGCAAAAAGAAAATTTGACGCTGTGGAAGAGGAGGCCGAGCAATGGGAGGCCTGGCCGGATGAACTACTGTTCGAAGATGCAGAACGGCAGGAACGCGAGGATGAGTTACAGGAATTGGAAACCCTGAGCCAGGAGATAGATAAGCGCAGACATCACGGGAAGGAGATCGTTCCGAATCCAAAGAGAGAAGATACCCCGGAAGAAGAGTGGTGGGATTGTCCTATCTGCATGCGGCCACAAGCTGCCAGCGAGAAGGAATTCAACGAGCACATAGATCTTTGTCTTTCGCGGCAAACGATCCGAGATGCTGTACAAGAGACTTCTGAGGGCCATTCTAGGGAGACTACACCAGCTCCCAAGAAGATCAAACTCAGTAATGACAAGGGTAGAGGCGGTAAGCAAGGAGATCCCAAACAACAGCGTCTGAAGTTCGGATGAACAGACATGGATGGCGTTCAGGGACACAAAGGCACAAATAATGTGGAGCATAGCGATAGTATGTGAGAAATCAAAAAAACAAATTTGTCCTTCCTCCCATCAATAAAATGCCGTGCCTAGAGGTATCGTATCATTGCATCATTCCAACATCAACCAAAGAAGAGCATCCATTCCATTCATACACATCCATTTCCCAATTCCCAAAGCAGATTTTTTGCGCCATACCAGACCATCTGCACTTCACAGTGCAGGCTTAAGCTCCTCCCTCCCGCTTAGCATATTCCTCCTCGATGTTCTCCTCGTATAACTTGTCCGCCGCAGTTGAATCAATCGCCGTCGGATCCTCGGTCAAAATACCCTCTTTGAGCAGTTGTTCTGGCTTTGGGCGGTGCAAAATCTTCTCATTCAAGCTATCGGCGCGCATGTGTTTCTCGAGCTCCCGCTGGTGGCCAACGATTGCGGGGGCGGCGGTTGAGTCGGGGAGAATGTTACCTGTAAGCTATCAGCACGATATCCTACACACATGTATTCTAGGCGCAAAGGGATCGCATACGCTCGACTAGATCCTCTCGCTGTGGGCGCTTCTCAAGACCCTTCTTCAAACTATCCGAAGCACGTTGGCGTTCGAGATCATGGGCGGCGGACTGGAGAGCACTGTTTACCCCGCATTGTCAGCCTTCAGAGTATCCCGAAGAAATCAGGACTTTAGAGTCGCATTGTACCGCGACAACGTCCGTCGAGGATGAACTTACGGGGCAGCGGTAGTATCCAGTAGAATGTGCCTATCCTTAAGTTCTTGGGGATCAGGACGGTGCTGGAGGTGCTTCTCCAGGGAGTTTTGGCGGACATGTGAAGCTGGACGGACGGGCGAGATGGGACTCTCGTCGATGACTGCGCTGCGGTCTGATTCAGCCATGATTGCTATGAGTTGGTTTAGTTTCGAGTTTTGTGAATCTTTGGGAGCTTCAGGAAAAGTTGCAGAAGGAAATGGAAGAAGGAAAGTTGTTTGGAAGCAAGGCAAGGCAAGGTCAGGTCAGGTTATGAGCTCGCGAGCTCCTCTTCCCCACAGCAACGAAATCCCTGTATGGCACCGTCATAGGCCTCGCTTACTGAGCTTCCCACTCCCCTTTCTTTGACAGGGGTTGGCCGAACCAAAACAAAGGATCATGATGTAGAAATGTTGGCATTTGAATTCGACGGTTTCGTTCAGCATCACAGATCAGAACTTTAGAGTAACTGCAATATCCGGATACTCCAAAATTTGGTAATCGTCTGTCGCTTTGCGAGCGCTGGAGTTCAAGCTCGAGCGCTAAGATGAAGGGAATGGTTTGTAACGCAAAATCATAAATATTGAAAGAATAGTTAATATAAAAGGGCAAAAATATAATTTCTTCAGGCTCAAGCTGTCGAGGATTTTCATCAGAGGAGTCAACCACTTACAAGATCAGATTGTTAAACGCCTCGTTTGAGGGTTCATATTGTAGGGTTCAGAACACGCTTTTAACAGCTGCTATTCCGAGGCAAATGCAATGATGCATGGCCAAGGCAGAAGTTAGAATCCTGCCAGAGGAGTTCCAACAGGACAAGAGTCGACGGGTAGTGAGTAAAGGTATTTGTCGGGTTGGTTGGTAAAGAATACTGCAAGCCGCCGCTTACCTAGATGCTGTTAGTACATGATCGAAAGATTGAAGTTAAGAACAATCCTCGACAGCTGAGCTAAATGCATGTGGTAGAGGTGAAGTTGCGTACTTCGATACTTAAATCCACGATTCCAGTCGGGAAATTTGGGGTTATGGCTTGGCTGTCCTAATTCCGTATCAATATAAACTCTGCTCAATGCAGCACCTAAGATAGAAGAATCCCTTCAGAAGCACGTTGGAAGACTTGTTTGGAATATAAATAGAACAGCTGATAGATTCATGTCATTTCAAATGCTCGGTAGATTGCTCACAATAGGCCAGAACTTCCAAGTCCTCAGTGATACCTCGCTTAATCTGCGGAGCAGAAGTGGGTTACTTGGAAGGTAAACAGAGGAAGTGGAAACAGTCAAAGGCAGGGCGAGAACTCTGCAATGCTCCTGAAAACATCCCATTCGCTACTTTAGTAACTAGTGCTAACCTTAACGCTTTATTCATGCTCGCTGGTAATATGCCAACCGCCCTCAAGTCAACAATCACCTTTCACCCCGCAATTGCCACACTCTTTTGTGTGGAGGCTTCGGCAGTCCGGCGTCACAGATAGAACATAGAAAGTCAGAAGACACACTGGCCAGAAAGTTATGCCACACTCTATTCAAATCCACCCAGTCTTCGTCGTCGCACACCATCAAGATATGATGCCAATCCTCGGGCGTCATCTTGGTTCTCACGTGCCATTTGGAGCTTTTGAGACTTTTTCGGTGTGACGGCAGACACGGAATACGCTCTGATAGAACACTGTGCTGCTCGGTGCCCGTAAAAGTAATGCAGTCGAGTGAAACTTTCTTTTCGAGCTTATCAAGGAGGATGGCTGGAGCTAAAGTCAGCTGTGTTTTAACTGAGTTTCAAGCGTGCTTACATTTCAACTTTTTGACTTCGAATGACCCGAATGGCAACTCGACGATGTGACTTACCTTGCTAGGCTTGTATGTCGTGAGATGGTGGATGCTAGTCACGACGAACTTTGAGCCGTCAGGCTTCATGATCATTTCTCTGACAAATCCAGGAGCAAATGTGGGTTGCTCATTTGGTAAATCCCTTTTCGGGACACGGAGCTCGAGAACAGACTCATGATTCTGTAAGTGGTCACCGAAATACAGCGAACCCCCTGGCCAATCAATTTCGCTCTCCCCTGGAAGGCGCGACATTGCCGGCGACACTGCTTCCCTCTCCGAGGAAGAGGTGATTGGCAAAACCTCATCAACCAGTGCAAGTGACTCTTCCAAATCTGGAGATATCTCTGTGAGAGGAATGCGTCCTTTACTGTTGTGCTCTAATATGAAATGAGTATCAAGAGCTGCCATGTCTAATTCCTTGTTGGAGATCTGACATGCAGAATCTCCCATGCATCGGACTTGCTCATCAACCTCCAGCTCCCACCAAGGCAGTACGTCCCGGTCAAGCTGGTATGTCGTGCATAACTCCTTGGCAAGTTCCCAACCAGAAGAATGATTCTGCCATGCCGGGTGTTCGATAGCTGCCTCAGGAGATTCTATGTGAAGCTTCCCGAAGTTATTCAGCATATCTTCGAAGCCCTCGTGAACGTCGGCGACTGATTCGATTAAGCTTTGGGCGATGCCTGGTGCCGGCTGTTGCCGCTGGAGGCCCTTCTTCGCCGATTTAGGAACCATGAGATGTGGGTTGATTGGTGAAAGTTTGCCCTTTGTGGAGTCCAAATGTAGGTCGGTGATGGCAAAGGCAAGATGATGTTGTATTGAGCGCGGTAACGAGCGTTGGGTAACGAGTGTCGATACAATGAATGTTGATGTTTTACGGAGAAAACTGAGTTCGGCCAATTGTCTAGATATCATGTGGAATCCGTAGCTCCTTCCGAGATGAGAAAAAGTACCTAGCCAGACTTTTATGGGCCCCAGTCGTCATGTTCGAATGGAGAAAGTGCCGCCGAGCACATGAAAGGTCAATAGTATAAACTCAGTGTGTTATTACTGATATGTACATAAAGATCAGAGTCAAATACAAATAAATGACCAGAAAATACCTTAAGACTTGTAGCACATCAAGGCCATTGTCATAAATTTTTTATCTCAAACTTTTTGCGCAACCACGCTCCATACTTCATCAATGCCCAAGCGACAGGTATCAATGCAAGAGCCACAAAAGCAAGTAAACTGTTTCCCCAGCCGAGTCCTAACCTGTTGTACATCGCTTGTCCAGCTAAGGGTAATACAGCTCCCATAATGCTTCGAATGACCGTATTGGCCGCCAGAGCTGAGGCGGCATATATGCTAAATGCATCGATGAGGTAAAGCGAGATTCCCATAAAAACTGCCATGTTTCCAATACCGATGAGAACAGTAGCTAGAATGGGGACCATCCAATGGACATGATAATGTGTAGTCCAACCGTAAATGAAAAGACCGACAGGTATGAGCGCATAGGTCGGAATAACCATCTGTAGACGAATCTCCGGCTCCGGAGCGGTGTTTTGTGCAACATTGTTTTCATCGCCAGAAGCAGCAGCCGCTTCCTGAGCAGCTTTGCGTCTTTTGAACATGCGATCTGTTGACCAAGCAAAGAAGGCGACTCCGATCACAGAGCCAATGCCCAACCCCATGAATGTGAGACCAACGGAGCCAGTAGAAAATCCATAGACCTCCTCGAAAACTGGGGTAAATGTTGTGAAGAGTAAGTATAGATACCCATATACTACACCGACGTAAATAGCAGTGATGAGTACCACGGGAGAGAAAACGAGCATCTTTGTGGGCCGTATAATGGAGTGAACGAAGTAGTCCTTGGGCGATAGTCCGACATCCAGCCTGGAGCGCAATTCCTTGTTGCCAGTAGATTTTCGAAGTCGATTGGTCTTCTTTCGTATGATGATTGGAGGGTATGTCTCTCGAAGAAATATCAAACTCAGGACTCCAAAGACTCCACTGAGCATGCTGAGTACCCAGAAAACCCACCGCCAGCCTTTGGCTTGGCTTAGGTATCCTCCTGCCACAGGACCAACTGAGGGATTGCGTTAGATCATGCGACGTCTCTAGTGTGATACATGACTTACTTATAGGACCAATAATTGGCCCCATCACAAATCCCGACATGGCTCTCCCTCTCTTCTCAGCAGTGACCAGATCTGCAATCGTTCCCCCACCATTCGTCAAGGGGGCACTTCCAAATACACCAGCCATGAACCGAAACCCAATGAGCATTGGCAGGTTTGTTGCAACCGCGCAAGCAATATTAAACACCAGGAAAAGTAAATTGCAGGCATGGTAAATCGGTAATCGTCCATATACCTCACTCAGTGGTGCGAAGAATAGAGGCCCAACTGCGAATCCAAGAACGTAAACGGACACAACAAAACTGGCCAAGAGGATACTCTTGCTGCCGAATTCCACCATCAGTTCCGGTACGCCAGGAGCAAACATGGACGAGGCGAGAGGCGTGACGAAACATATCGCGGATATAAGAGTGATGTTGAAGATCTTCGACCACTTTCCGAAATTCTGCGGATTTAGCGGATCATCGGGACCAGACCACCATATGATATTGGGATCTTGGGCTGTAGCTGATGACTTCCGCTTGCCTCCCCTCTCACCTCTCTCACCTCTCTCACCTCTCTCACCTCTCTCACCTCTCTCACCTCTCTCACCTCTCTCACCCCTCTCACCCCTCTCACCTCTCTCACCCCTCTCACCTCTCTCACCTCTCTCACCTCTCTCACCTCTCTCACCTCTCTCACCTCTCTCACCTCTCTCACCTCTCTCGCCCTTCTCAAGATCTTTATTTGTAGCATCGATGCTCCTGTTCTCCCTGCTTCTGTTGGTACGGACCGAAGCTTTGCGATTCGACGCCGAATGTTTACGCTTCACTTCCCCACGCGCCTCGCGCCCGTAACCTTCGTTCGACGGTTTATCCGTATCACGACCTTCAGACGCAGCTAGTGTCTCCTTCTCGAGGTCGGACGGATTGTGAGGTGTCTTGGCCTTGGACGGTTTGTGATGCGCTTCGTAACCGGTTGTAACCTCATCGTCGTGTCTCGACTCGACATCGGTCGTCGACGAAGCGGCCATCCGAGCAGCTACCGGCTACCTGCAGTCATGCTAGAGTTAGCAAGTGTTACGATCATAATGAACTGGTCCCCGTATGGCAGGTACAAGGTTGCGCTGCATTCGTGAGGTGTCGCGTAAACTGGTGAAGGGCTAGACGTCGTGGACAAAGGTTGGGTCAGCTTACAGAACTTGCTTGACTGATCCACACCACCGGTAGACGCCAAGATTCAGCTTGTTAAAAGGTAGGTACAACAGCCGGCAGAGGCTGAAGAGCAGGTGTGCAAGCAACTTAGCAATGCCACGGAAAGCGGACCGAAGGGCATACGGCAAGTAATTGGAGCTTTAGCCCCGGGAATGGGCATTGGAGATGGAAGCCTCTATTCATGGTTTCTTGGAGCGAGGGCGAGGGCGAAGGCGAGGGTTCCCGGAATGTGGTGGAGAAAGAAATACCTCCCAAGGCTTTGGCCCTGGGCTCCGCCTCGAAATGGATCCCAATTGAAAAGCATAATTCGTCCGTAATGTGCGCAGTCTTGGCGGAACGTGCATAAAATTGTGCATGAGAAGCACGCTGTCTGCAGCGTGCTGTTGATCGGGTTGTGTTCCTACCAATCAAGGAGAAAAGGGGTGTGTTCGCGAGAGGCCATGTGGAGATATCATTTGACATCAAAAGCCGATGCTGGTCTCGATCTCGATGACTTGCGCCTCGGTTGCAGCTATTAGTCGCATTTTTACAATGAAGATATATCAAGTAAAGTATGCGACGGCATTTCTATGTTATTGGCCAACCTGTCAGGGTTCGCCAGAGCTTTACTTTCGAACTTAGTTTCCCTTTCTTATCAACGTCTCGGAAGCATGACACTGCGAGCCTTCGTGGGCTGAAGAATGCCAATACTGTCTCGCAGACGGAGTGGTACCACGGGCGTGAAGTGCAGATAAGTATTCAGTACTATTCGCTCGTTGTTCCGTTCCGAAGCATCCAAGCCACTGCATTCGTGTTTTTCTTTTGCAGCTTTTGCGGGTTGCGGACTCGCAGCGGAAGCTGTTTGAACACTCATCTTACCTGCTTCCTGGCTGCTGACACTTTCCCATTTCCAATTTATCGCGAGGCGGTGTCCATTTCCATGAAATCCACTCCGACTTTTCGTAACAAGAATTGTCATCTGTGGATTAGAGATGACAATAGGTGTAAGACGTGGTGCTTGGCGAACGCCATCTGCTGCCATCTGCTCGCACCGACCATCCAATCAAGTTGACGGAATCTTGTGCAACCTCAATTTTTATATCTTCATTTCTAATCTGGTTCTCACGTCGCTCAACTTATAAAGAGCAATCATGCCCTCAGCGAAAGAACTATCAGCATATTCTCATTCAGTGCTCAGATGTCGGAACCTCTGCATGTTCTCATCATTGGAGCTGGCATCACCGGTTTACTCATTGCACAAGGTCTCAAGAGGGTTAGTCCACGAAGTGTTTTCCACCTCAGATATGCTAATTTTTACTCAGGCTGGCATCAAATACAGCATCTTCGACGAAGAAGTCTCCCCTGAAATCCGGAAACGAGAATGGACCCTAAACCTGCATTCTGCTCGCTCGGATCTTAAAAAACTTCTTACGCCGGACTTATATTCGCGCCTCCGAGAAGCATACACCGATCCAAACCACATATGGAAAGAACTGGAGTATACGCCATGGTACAACTCAAAGACAGGAGAAGTCATCCATCGAATTCCTAGGACGGATACCATCAACATCTCGCGTCGACGGATGAGGACACTCTGCGGCGACGGTATCGAGGTAGAGTTCGGCAAAAGTCTTTCTGGAGTGTTGTATGAAGGTGACAAAGTCACAGCTCACTTTTCTGATGGATCGGATGTGCAAGGCGATTTGCTGATTGGGGCGGACGGGGTGAGGTCTATTGTGCGAGAGAACTTACTAGGCGCTGAGAAGGCAAATGGAACACCTTGTCATGGGAACTTCACCACTGCAATTGCGAAGTATTCTGATGCTGAGACGGCATTGAGAGTCAGGAGCGGGGACTGGGAGGCTTGCATCGGGTACCACCCAGATGGAATGTGTAATATGATTGCCAGTAAGTTTCAGTGCCCAGGCCGTAACATGTCGCTGACATTCTCTCAAAGTCTCAAATGTGCCAGATCCAGATGATCCCACGACCTGGGAATTCAACATCGCCAATTCAGTGCTAAGCGAGCCACCTAAAGACACGGACAACGCAAGTCGACTACAGAATGTCAGACTGCGATGCGAGAACATGGCAGAGCCATTCAGAAGCTCTTTCATGGATCTTCCAGACTCCACGAGAGTTTTCAACGACAAGTTGTACTATTGGATACCAGTGCCTTGGGACAATCACAGAGGAAAGACCACTCTTGCTGGAGATGCCGCGCATCCTATGCCGCCATGTACATTGCCTCCCGAGCAGAATCGCCTATTGATACTGACATAATCTAGTTCGTGGCCAAGGACTTGGCCAAAGCATACGCGATGCAGCTAACTTGGTCGATTTGCTGAAGAAGCATTCCTCGTCCGAAGAAGCTACGCTCTCTAAGATCATTGACGAGTATGAGAAAGAGATGATTACACGTGGGGTACAGGAGGTGGAATTATCTCTCAAAGCCATGAGTATTGGTCACGATTGGGATAAGCTGATGGAACATCCTACCATCAAGTTAGCAGGCAAGAAGATATCGGATATGAAAGAGGCGGTTCTGTCCAACTAGCTCTTCCGAACCGACGAGCAGCCACCAGCCATCAAATTGCATATTCTATAAATTCTATCCTTGGGAGATTACGGCTCTTAAGACTCCATGCCGCCTTATCCTGAAATCCAAACAAATCCAGCTAAGGTCTTGCCTATCTTCTAACCCGCTCCACCAACGCCCTCCAAGGATTTCAAATCGCTATGCAGATCTTCCCACTCACTAAGTCCCCTTAGTATCAGCATACAACTTCCTAACCATCTCCACGAATTTCAGCACATCCGCTCGATACCATGGCATAGCATGATGATACACAATATCCCACACCGTTGCCGTACTCTGATCGTAATAAGCTTTGAGCTGTTTCTTCCCATTCTCATAATTCACATCCTTCGTCCCATGCAAATGTAACGTCGGGATATTAATCAAGTCCTCCGAAAGCGAAGCTATAAGCCTCAAAGTCAGCTAAAACATCTCTGAAATCACACAAATCATCACGTGGTACACTTCCAGACACGCAAGAGACGACTTACCATGCATCAAATCCGACACCATCGGCGCCGCTCCACCCATACAAAGAATCCCAAACCTAAAATCCAACTCTCCCTCCGCCTTCGGCACTCCCATCTCCCTCCTCCTCATCTGATCCGCCAAAATGCCCCCCACTACCCTCGTCCCCTGACTAAACCCCATCAAACCCACCCACTCGCCCTCACCACCCTCCTCAGCAATCAGTCTCAACGCCCTCTCCACACCTCCTTCCCCCTTCCCATTCTCACCCCTCCCATCAACCCGTTCCGTCCCGTCTGGAGACCGCGTAAACCACGTTCGGTACGGCCCGTACTGGTCATAAGTGAAGATGGGAAGGACACCTGGGCCGGCATCTCGCTCGAAAGGTGCATCGAAGAAGACAAATTGGAAGGTATTGGAGAGGAGCCTGGTGAGTTGTTCGCTCTGAATAGTGAAGATGGAGGCGGTGCTGCCACCTCCGTGGAAACAGGCGATCCGGGGGAGGGGTTCCATGGGGAAGGACATGGCGTCAGATTAGGTAGCCACCGTAGATAATGAGTTGCGTGACTTGCAACCAGCCTCGAGATCCGGCGTGGTGAAAGATAAGGCGGGACGAGGCTCAGAGTCAACAATGACTTCAAGATTAAGCGATCGTGATGCAAGACAGGGATTCAATGATCTATTACATGTGTATCCTGAACAGTAGCTTGAAGAATGGAGTGGAGTGTGGGATGTGTTCGCAAGAATATCTGCATATTCACGTGATGGTGGTGGGGGAGGCCGACATAGGGTCCGAAGCTGACGCTCGGCGACTAAAACGGCACAGCATTTCTGACGTATCAGTTTTGACGCTTTCTAAGCCTGGAATTTGATCGAATAGCTTATTTTCTGGATAGTCAAAGCCAGGATGTTGTTACGATGCGATGTTAAGGGAGATACTCTTTATTTTTCCACTAGTGGAGTGAAGAGTGTGCGTTCGCTTTGCTTTAAAAGAAGATTTTGGCAGTTGGGATCCGAGATTCATTCAGTAAGGTGAGTTGAGATGGCATTCCTATGAGGAGAAGCTAAATATTGTGAGAAGCTGAACTTGTGATCATCCCTAAGTTGCAAATTGAACGGCCTCGCTTGTTGAAGTGGCCAGGCAAAATCAAAACAAATACAACTTTATGGTACTAGATCTGCGAATCTAGTCGTCTCTCTCATCATATAAAATCCACTAATTATAATATTTATCAGAATGAACTTACTCACCGAAAAATATGTTCTTCCAATAGATTCAATAATGCCCGCGTCGTCCATTCAAGAGGCTGACTCCCCAGGTCTTTTGCAGAAACAACTGAGTCTCTGTTGTGGTTGGCTTGCTTGCCTAAACAACTCCTCAAAAGTCAAATTATTCATCTCTTTAGCACCTCATGGCTTTGTCGTTCTATCCAATCCTATACCCTTGCCTTTAGCACTCATAAATATGCAGCCCTGCTATTACACTGATCCCCACAAAAGGCCATTCCCTACCTAGATAAACGAAAACAGACCTTAACATTTCAAGACCTAACCTCGATCCAAATCATCTCAGATCTTACACCTCACAGCCCCTTCACAGCACCACTTCCAAACAAAGATACAAAGCTAACAACTTCCCAGTCCCATACCAATACACTATCAGGCACCCGCCCAGCCACACCCATCGCATCAGTAGAATTCATCCAGTGTTCGCAGGCAATGAAAAAGTCTCATCTGGCGTTGATGGTTGTCTTTCTCTAGCACGATAATTTCAAGCCAGGCCATGCAAAAACTTGCATCGTCACTCTCGTCGCCATAAGTTGGTAGCCGAAGACGCGCAACTTCCTTCCTGGTTCAAGCCGCATGAATCATAAAAGGTGTGTATTGATCTCGACCATCTCCCGAGGTGCGAGATTTGAGACGATTGTGAGGTGGCTTTGTTTTTGCTACTTTTCCTGTTTATTTGAAGGGCGAATCTAGTTTGTAAACACTCATTTCCATAAGCGAGCAGTTTCACTTACTTAATTGAAAGAGATATTACTAATGTCATACAAAGGGATAGTAACTACTTCGTATAATACACTAAAAGTAAAGAATCCATTTTGTCTATTATTTACTTGATCCTATTTCTCGTCGCACTTAAAAGCGTGAATGCCTAGGATACCAGCTCTTGAGACGAAGTAAACAAACCCCCTCACACGGCCCGTAGTCACCCACATCTGACTCACACAGACAAGCTGGCCATACATAAACTGAAATAGCAATTATTCCCACACAACAAGCCGCTCTGGCCCAGCCGTCTAGATCTCTCATCGCCAAGCTCCACAACAAAAAGCTAACATTTCTCCAGGACTTCCTGCCTGCCTGCCCTCGTGGTTCAGTGATTATATCGCACTTGCGACATTCAGGCCAGCACCCCAGTTGCCTACCTACCCTCCTTATGATACGGCCGAGCTGCATCGATTCAAAGACTTACCTGTGCTTCACCCTCCTTCCGATACGGCCGCGCTGCATCGATTTAAAGACTTACTTATTTGTGCTTCCTTGTGAAAGGGGATTTTCTCCCAGCTAATGTTCACCATGCATCGCATCCGTGAAATCAGCAGTTCCCAACGTGATTTCAAGTTAGGTATACGTCTGAGATGTGTTACTTGTAGCATTCTTGTGTAAGTCAAACTCTCCTATCCCTCCTATAAGGTGAGAGATCACAGACGACTTAGGCTTAAGCGGAGTTTTTTTTTTTTTAATTTTCTTCTGAAAATCACTTTCTGACAACACCTTCCGTCTACACATAGCCCGAGTAAATAAATTAAAATAACAATCTTCTCAACATCAATTCACAGCTCTAGCCCGGCCGTCGCACTTCTGACTGACTATTCACTTCTCAATCATCACAAACTAACACCTCCCAGACTCAACCTTTAACCCTTTCAATCCGTCCACCGTCTACCACACCACCCCAAGCACCCACCAGCACCTCACCATCCAAACCCCAAACCCCCTCTCAACAACAACAACAACAACAACAACAAACTCAGGAACCCAACCCCCCTCAACAAAGAACAGCCATGCAACAACTGCATCTGCGACAAAGCCAGCTCTTTACTGAAAAGTAATTGCGCGTGATCTCAGATCCTCTCGGGGAGGAGAGAAAGGTGTGTGTTCTGAGTTTCGTCGGGCGGGCGTTGGGCGAGATTTGATTTGATTTGTAAGTATTACTCTTCGTTCCTTCTACGTTGTGTGAGATTGCAGCTTGGGGCTGAGCGGTTTTTTCTTTTGCAGGTTTGAATGAGGCGAACGTGGAGAAAGAGAGAGAGTTTTGCTTGTTTGTTTACACGGGTGGGTCCTCGCCTCGCTTACACGACTCGACGTGGACCCGCGCCCTCCACGACCGGACGGGAGTTCATCTCCTCTCACACCCACCTCCGCATTACGGCCCTAGAGTGGCAGAAAGGGTCGCAGCGCATTTGTAGGTCCGTCATCATCCACACATTACTTATGATACGAATTCCCACCTGGCTTGATTCCAGTTTCACAGGTGCTGCTCATACTTATACTATATTTATCAAACCAACTCAGCAAGCTTATGAAGCAGATATTTGAAAGGCGCTGCCTGGTATCACTAACAATTGCTACTCAGCTACCACATGCTAACTTGTTCACTCAATCTCACTCCTTATCAAACATGCTAATACAAATTCTCTGGCTCACCAGCTTCACTTTCTTTCCACATCCACCCAACATCGATCCATTCATCCGCATATCCTACAGATAATTACTTGGATAGACCAGCCGCCTTGAGAAAGTCGGCGTTCATCCTTGCCATTTCCTCCCGTGCTGCCACATCTGCTGGGTCCTCCGCTGCAACAGGCTTATCTTCCTTCGGCGATGAGAGGGACTCTGGCTTAACTACCTCAGATTCTTCAATTTTGGCGGGCTCCTCAGTCTTGGTCTCGACTTCTGGAACTGGGGCAGTCTCAATCTTTGTTGGCTCCTCCTTAGCTGGTTCTAGCTCCTGGACGATCGGTGCAGCGGGCTCTTCGATTGCTGGAACCGGCTCTTCCATAACTGGGGTATCAATCTTCTCAACGACGGGCTCGGGAACGGCCTCCTCCTCGACTGGCTCAGGCTCAACCTTCTTCTCCTCAACTGGAGCTGCAACTTCTTCAACAGCTGCAGCCTGCGCTTCAGCGACAGGATCCTCAGCAACAGTCTCTGGAATGACCTCTTCCACTTGCTTGACAACCACTTCCTCCACATGAGCAGGTTCCGCCCCAAATGGCTTTTCCTCCTCCTCGGGCTTAGGGGCCTCAACAGCTGGCGCTTCAACCGGAACTGGCTTCTCAACTGCAGGCTCCTTGGCTTCTGGCTTCGCTTCTGGCTTCGCTTCCTTCTTGACTGGGGCAACCTTGGAAACCACCTTTTCCACCTTCGCAGCTACCTTGGAAACTGGCTTAGGCGCCTGTCGAGCTGGTGACACATCCTTGTGTTTGAGAGTAGCAGGACTGCCAAGGGAAGTAGCGTGCTTTGGTGGTCCATCTCTTGTTGCCGGCCGCTTCACAGACTGCGATCTCTTTGGTGGTGTTACTGCCTTTTCTGCAGTCTTCGATGCCGAGGCTGTGGTTGGACGCATCATTCGAGCGAGGAAAGAGTCGTCGGCTGGCGCACTCGATGGCAGACTCTGTCGTGAGGGTTGTTTCTTCAATGTTCCCGGTGGAGGACCGAGAGAAGGTCTGCTGCTCCCACTCTTCAGCGTCGAAGGTTTGCGAGTCAATGTTGACTTTGTTGTGGTTGTACTTGCCCGACTTGGGGAACGAGTCGAGGTATGATGTGCTTGCAGGGAATTGGTGGATTGCACATTTCCAGATGAGCGACTGAGCGATTGTCTTGGAGGAGGTACAGCTCCTGTAGCTGTCTTGGAGCCAGAAGAAGCAGTATGTGCAGTCAAAGAAGCTGGGAGCTTGACTGGTCGTGTGGGGGATTTGGGCCTTGGCTTGTGAAATCCGGTTTGCGGAGGAGATGCAGGAATTCTGGTCTTTGCAGCAGCACCTTGCGCTGCAACCGTAGGAGGCTTACTTGCAGGCTTGGACGTATGGCTTGGAGCCAAAGATGCTCTGCTTGACTTCTTCTCCACCTTCTTCTCGGACTTCGTCTCTGGAGTCTTTGTAAGAAGCTCTTTCGTGCGGCTCGTACCAGGCGTGGTTGGTGTTCTGGGAAGTGGCTCTTTCGTCTTCTTTGGAGACAGTTTTGGCGCAGTAGGTGTTTTTGCAGTAGATATAGGTGGTGGTTTCGACAATGGCTTCTTCTCTACCGGCTTGCTCTTCTCCACAGGCTTAGCCACTGGCTTGCTTCCTCCATTCGTATGTCCATTGGTCCCAGTTGTAGGCTTCTTCTCCTCCGCCTTAGTCTTTGACTTGACATTATCCGCCCGCTGATCACTACCGCTTGCCAGCTTTGTGTCAGATTCTTGTAGTGCATTCTCGGGTATCGTCTCTTCAATCGTAGAACTGTTCTTCCTCGCCTCCTTCTCCGTAGCAATCGATGTCTTCCTCTCTAGAGTTGCCATTGGATTGTCCTCCGCATCGATACTGAAACTGGTCCTGCGCTTCTGCATGCTTGGTTCACCGCTTGTATCTCTCTTCAAGCCCAGCCCTTGTTGTCCGCCAATTCCAACTACAGTGACAAAATTGGTTCGTACTTTCGAAAGTGGTCGTGGTGATGTTCCAGTACTAGCACCCCCTAGAATTCTCAGCAGATGTCCCCCAGCTGCGATGCAGTGCACAAAGGCTCACCTGTTGTTGATTCTCCAGGAGAACGTCCTCGATCTGGCGGGCTCGAGTCCTTCTCGAACATGGCTCTAAGGTTCCGCACGCCCGACATTTTCCTTCCTAAGGCGGGACGTGGATGGACTAAGGGTTGATTGTTCTTTCCTTTACAGGCAGGTTGATGGCGCCAGACCAAGTCAGTCACATCTGCTCTCGAATTCTGGACACCAGGTCTTGTTTGTTGTCGTTTTCAACTTCAAGTTCAAGTCCGGCTGATGTGAAGATATCCAAAGTGTCCTGTTTGCGACTGGCTAGATTGTCTAAGATTAAGGCCGGGATAGCAGGTATGAAAGGAGCGAGAAAACACGCTGTTCAACCAATGCTAGTGATACGCGACACTGCAGGGTCTTCGTAAACAACAGAAAACGCGGTACGGTGAGTGAGCAGCTGACGAGAAAGATGACTTGGGAAGTGGTTATGGAACAGAAGAAAAAGAACAGTTCGTCTTGATGAAGCGGCGATTGGCAGATCGTTCGTACACTCCGCGTCTCAACTTTATACCACAGCTTTTATTATGCAGGGGCGCGGTGGATTTAAAGCTTTATCTGGTCACGGATTTGGTGGGGGAGGCTCCTTTGAGCCTTGAGGGCACAAAATAGGGGCTGCAGCGCCGTATGTGCCAGGGGTGGACCAAATTGCCGAGATCAAACCAGCTGCTTGGGCTGGCTGGACTAGACTGAAGTGCCGCCCGCGAAAAATATCCGTAGACCGACATCGCAGCTCGAGACCGTGAAACTGAGCAACAATCAAAACACACACAATGGCAGCAAGAACCCTCCGCATAGGTACAGTATTAACCCAATTGACGTTACAATGTATCTAACATAAAAATAGGCCTTATTCCTGGCGACGGAATTGGCAGAGAAGTCATCCCTGCTGGACGACGGATCCTCGAAGCCCTGCCCGCATCCCTCAAGCTGAAATTCGAATTCGTCGACCTTGAGGCCGGATTCGAAACCTTTGAGAAGACCGGAGCAGCTCTGCCAGACAAGACCGTCGAGATCCTCAAGAACGAATGCGATGGCGCCCTCTTCGGTGCTGTCAGCTCGCCCTCCAAGGCTGTCAAGGGCTATTCCTCGCCCATTGTCGCGTTGCGCAAACGCCTTGACCTGTACGCAAACGTCCGACCAGTCAAGAGTGTCATGACGGCCAAGAACCCAATCGACATGGTCATTGTCCGCGAGAACACGGAGGATCTGTATGTGAAGGAGGAGAAGACTTTCGATGCCCCAGATGGAAGTGGAAAGGTTGCGGAGGCTATCAAGAGAATCTCGGAGCGAGCTTCATACCGAATTGCTACAATGGCTGGAGAGATTGCTCAGCGGAGACAGAAGATTAGAGACAGTGGTGTTCCAAGCATACACAAGTCACCTCTGGTCACCATCACTCACAAGTCGAACGTTCTGAGTCAGACTGATGGACTATTCCGATCAACTGCTCGCGAGGCACTGGCCAAGTTCCCAAGTGTTGGTGTGGAGGAGCAGATTGTTGACTCAATGGTCTACAAACTCTTCCGTCAACCAGAGACATACGATGTCATTGTTGCTCCAAACTTGTACGGAGACATCCTGTCGGACGGTGCTGCTGCTTTGGTCGGATCTCTGGGTTTGGTACCAAGTGCCAATGTTGGAGAGGGATTTGCTATTGGAGAGCCATGTCACGGAAGTGCTCCTGATATCATGGGACAGAACATTGCCAACCCAATTGCTACGTTGAGAAGTGTGGCTCTGATGCTGGAGTTCTTGAACGAGGAGACGGCTGCTGCTAAGATTTACGCTGCAGTTGATGCTAATTTGGAGGAGGGCAAGTTCCTGAGTCCAGATCTTGGAGGAAAGGCTTTGACGACCGAAGTGGTGGAGGATATCCTGAGACGATTATAGATGTGATGTTTAGATAGGATACCAAGGCGTCCAAAATTGACATGATCGTACAAAGTCTTCTGCTGCTTTCTTCTATTTTATACACTTTCCTGTGCCATGCCATGACATGCTCCGCCACCACAACCAAAGCAGAGTATCATATCGTATCGGACGCCATCCATGCATTCTCCCATAATATACACACATATCCTCCCCCTCACAACACCCTACACAACAACATCCCCCCAACCTTCCTCTCCACGCACTCCCTTGCCTCCAAAATCCCCTTATCAGTACTAACAAACATACACTCTCCCGGCTTCGTCAACCCCTTCACAAATCCCGCCTCCCTCCCTCTAACAATCCTCCCCAGCCCCTCAACATCCATCCACACCCTCTTGGTCGGCTTACTAACCATACTCATACTACTCAACACGGGCTCATTATTCCAATACTTCATCCCCAGCCACAGACGTCGCGTGCTGATATTCTGCTGCGTGACGGGCTCGGGCACATATGACGAGAGGTTGTCGAGCGGAGGAGGCGTCAGGCCGCCGCGGGTGACGGACGAGAGGAACCCGGACTGTTGGAGGGCGAGCGTGAGGGTCAGGATCATGTTTGTCGAGGGGACGGAGGTGAGGCCTAGCCGCGCTTTGGAGACGTTCTGGAGGTGCGAACACACGTGTGAGAGGTGGACGAGGGACATTTTGAGACTGGTAGGATGTGAAGAGTCCTGATCGTGGACGGTTGAGCCCCGCGTGGGCGCAAGTGGTGGATGGTACCAGGAGGTTCTGAGAGAAGTTTGATCGATTGCTGAGGGTTTTGGTTTCGGCCGCTTGTGGCAGAGCTGTAGCGATTGTGAATTATTCGGATTGAAGGAGTGAGGGGTGAGGTGCTTGTGTGGTGAGAGTGGTAGTGTTGAATTGTTGTGAAGAGGGTGTTTGATACTGATGTTGAAATCGGAGGTTCAGAATAATTTTGCCAAGACAAAGCTCAAAAGCACGCTAGGGAGGATTGGCTCGCGTGAGGAAGTAGGTTCAGTTCTTCTCCCCCAAACACTTCACATACATGGGACGAGAGTCTAATGATTTTTACTTAGAATACTTGGAAAGTTTCTTGAACGTCATGTAAGTCAAATGTTGCCCTGATATATTGCAGGACATCGTTAAGCCAGTCAGTCCTACTGATCAGCCCTTCTCCAGGTGTTTCTTGGCATGGTCAAGGGATGACCAACTTTGCCGATGCCATCAGCGTCTCCTTCTATTGTTGCTGTGCAATTGCTTTTTGTATGTCTCTCTATCTTCAAGAAACCATAGTTGTGTCGAGTGGTTTCTGACATAACTGATCACTTCAGTGACATTATTTGGTCGCGAAGCACACTTGCTCCTGCTTTACCCGAAACCCTCCCGCTAGTCATTGAATTTATCGATTTTCCCTCGACGAATACAACGTTTCATTGCCAAGTGCTTAGGATGTTTGAAAAACACTTTTTGAAGCCATTTCATGCATCCGGATCAAAGAGGAAGTCCTCTGTCTCAAATCCATTCCCAAGGAGACTGCACAAAGCAACTTCGAATTGGTGCAAAAGCCTCACAGCATGAACTATATCGGAGCTGATACCTCCTTCTTTAGCACTGTAACAGTGGCTCTGAACTATTGCGATCGTTTGACTAGTTGCTACTCCTGTGACCAAAACAGCGGAAGGAGTCACTGTGTTCAGTGGCATGTGATTGGCCGTGGACCAATGATTAGTATGGTTTCTCTACGATACAATGGTCTAGCTCTCTTTCATGATATTGCTTTTGGAATGTTTCCAGCCATGTTATTCAGGATTTTACGTACATCTGAAATATCTAGTCATTATAGCCGGGCCTTCTGCTTAGTTTGGTACCTTATAAGCCTGCTGAGGTGCGCGAGAAGAGAATGTATTATCCACAGGGCTAGTCAATTGAAACGGGAGGGTCACACTATACTGATATGTGTACCTTGATCTGAGAGGTAAAGTACAAGAGGATGCATCAAGGAATGGCTGTGGAAGTTCATTCGGCAGGAATGTCGTCAAGTAGTTCCAGCTCGTCGGTCCATGGCGATGCTCAGGCCAATGATATCGACCCTGAACAACATGTACAGAAACCTTACAGTACACCTCTTAATATGGTTGTATGATTGAGTCGCGGAGAGGTTCAGAGAGCTGCATCGTTCATGCAAATACCTTGCGCCCATCCAACGGGTTGTTAGTCTTTCTGAGCATGACGACTAAGGACCAGGGAATTAGCCTTTCCAATGCGCTCTCTATGCCAAGCTTCCATGTCTTATCTCCAAGTGTTAACAGGAGCATTCCTTTTTCCTTGAGCCCTGTCTGCTAACTAGAAGCTCTGGAGGAGAAGAACTTGGGTTGGCTCTCACCAAAGGCTGTATGTGCTGGTAGCAGCTCATTCGGTACTCCGACGACGTGAGATGTGTACAAGGATTTCCTCACTTTCTATTGTATCGAATGACTGAACGGAAGGACCTTGCCCGAATCCAATGCAGTTGGCATCTGTTGACTCAAATTGAGCATTCCAGTTCGTCTCCCCAGTCAAGATGACTCGGTAGCCAATGACTTTGAAGAGTTCAGGTTACTGACTTATAATGTTCGTCTTATGCTTTATGTTTCGTATTGCGCAAGACCTGGTCAGACTTTATTTTGCTGCAAGACATATGGATGCCGTGTTTCTTGTTGCGAAGGCATTTTTGTCCACAGGGAACATGTGGGGGACATTGTCAACAAGATCAGTATTTTCTATTTTCTGTCCATATCGTCTTCAGGATATCAAAACAAAGTTTATGTAAGCCAGAATTAAGTAAATTATCTTCTTATTTCCATGAAGTTGCATAACAGCTGTGTACCGCATGTCTCAAATCTTGACATATTTGACAGCTCTGGAGACCCCGGAAATGACCCCGTTCATTCAAACCTACACCTGCCACATGCAAGTAAGCTCGCCTACAGAAAAAACAAATACACGTCCGCTGTCATAAGGTGACACTGGTATATCCGCGCTTACGGCTTTCCAGAAAACCTGCATCTGTTAGCTTCCCCTTTGCAAACTCTAATTCAGCACCCCAGATTCCACCTAGCTGAACATGGTTCAGATCAACGAGCCACGCAACTTATTTAGATCCAAACATAGATCTCGATCCCCTAAAACCTGACTATCACTCCGTGGAATCCGGACAATGGTTGTCCGACTCACTCACGCCGAAGTCGTGACATGCTCGATTAGTTTATCCATATATCCATGAACCACTCTCTTAACCACCTCCTGTCTCATTCCTTGTTATCTCTAAGACCCTGAATCATATACCCTACATCCGTTCACTGTAGATCTCCAGATTCACGATAGCCGGGTGATCGGAATCTCGTCCGGGGTCCGCCAAACAATCCATTCTTCCCCCTTTTCCATCTTCAACCTTCCATGCAGTAGTCACCTTGTCTATCCTTACTGCACCAGCTTAGCTTACCAGAAAACCACACACACGGCATGTGTCCAAAGTTCCAAATTTCCAAGCTTTCAAAAGTATCGAGGGAGCTACTTACTCAACATCAAGAATATAGTGCTGTCCCTAGTACATTATGTGGTGCTGAATCTCGTTACCAAGAATCTAATTCGCTTTCCCCACTCTGAAATCTGGACGTTGGTAGTAGTGGATGTAACGCGAAGCGAAGTGGACTGTGGACATGACTCTGATCCTAGCTCCCTACCGCTGATCTCAGAGCGTTACTTAGTAAGGTAAGAAGCGAGCGAGGTGGTCCTTTATGCGAGGAGGAATGAGAAAGTTCGAGAGTAGTAACGGGGCCGTGCCGTTAGTTGGCTTGAGGCCTTGGCTGGCTTGGGTTGTGCTTTGTTTGTTGAGGTGTGATGATGGGGTGCAGGTGTAATTTCTTGAGTTGCGCCGAGGGGTTGTTTTACGTGGGAAATAGGCTGGCTGTGCAGAGCAGGAGGTAAGGGATGTGACAATTGAATGGGAGCTGCACTCATGGTGTCAGCTGGAGCTGAATAGAAGTCAGAGGGACCATGAACTGGACTCCCCTCGAGAAGAACGAGAGGCTGGTATACAGTTTGTAGTTGAGATAGACCATTCCATGAAAATGAGTGCGCGCGCACTTGGTATCCTACAAAACTCGCTGTGAAACAATGCCATTTTGATATCCCTTCTGCCTTCAATCCATGTTGATGCCGCAGTAGTAGCGAGAACTCCTATCGTGTCACAACCATAGACCATTTCCATTTCCATCTACATCATCCATCTCAGACTCCCAACACCCCAACTCCAAATCCGACTTGCTCTATCCCATTTCGTTAGAACGTCGTTTAGATAACATTCATCAGATAATAAGTCCACGTCTGATCAACTTTCATATCCCTATCATAAAACGCTCTCAAAATGCCCATGTATTGCTTCTGTAACCTCTTGAACACCTCTTTCTCCGCATCATTCATGCATTTCCTCCTCGAGTCCACTAGTCTCGTCTTGATCCCCAACAAGATCCTCTCACCCACTAGCATGGTAACCGAATCAATAAAAGTCTTTGCGGCGTCGGTAGACATGATACGTTCGAGATGCGCCGTGATGCGTGGGAGGTCGAGCCGTGCTTGGAACTTCTCCCAGCTAGGAGAAGCATACACCGATGTCCACCAGTGCAAGAACCAAGGCGAGTAGAACCGTGTAAGATTTATACTGGAGAAGGCGACGAGGAGGGCAGTGACAAGGGGAACTCGCTCGGCGGGGGGAGTGTCGGCCTGGATGATGTCGAAGAGATTGTCCCCACCAACAGGGGAAGGCTCGAAAATAGATATGGCCCACCCGTCGCTGGTAATGATGGAGTGAGCGTATTCTGTGAAGTCGTTGAGTGTTTTCCATTTGTTGACGAGGAGTTCGAAGACCTCGCGAGTGGTTGCGACCGGTGCGCACTCAGGATTTCCATTGGCGGAAGGACAAATGGTTGCTGTGTCGGGACTGGGATACTGCTCCGCTGCAGCCTGGGCTTGAGAAGGAGTTGAAGCTAGAGGAACATTGTTAGAGTGGTTGAAACTGTGAATGCTGAAAGAAATTACCGTCAAGAGGTATGCCGGCCGCCTGGCCCACCCTCCTTTTCATAAAAGCGTAGTGGTTCATTAGTTGAAGATATTTGTGGCGATATTCGTCGGCCAGATCAGCACGTTTCCGTAACGACTGTTGTGAATTTTCCAACTCCTCGACTTCAATGATCTGAAGCGAATGTTTGTAGAAAGACGGATCGACGTCTATATCTGAGTGTCGGAAGTCTTTCAAGATGTCCAGGTATTTTCGTCGATTCCAGTGGTGAGGATCTCTTTTACAGATTTCAAGGCGTCGTTCTGCTACTACGACGAGAGCACAGTCGAGAAAGGCCTGACCAGCAACCTGTGAAATAACCCCATCTTCTCTCAGCAGCTCCTTCGCCCGTTCCCAATCCTCGGAACAATAAGTAACCTCGCACTCATTATCATCTTCTTCCAAGTCATCGCAACGTAAAATCAAGTTCCAAGCGCACCTCCATGCAGTAAACGGGTAATCATGATCGCTTTGTGACAACAGATCCGCCTCCAGAAAGCGTTTGTATAGCAGGAATTGCTCCTCTTGGGGAACAAGTGCTTCGATTAGTTTGAACAGAATGGGTCCATTGCTGTCGTTTGACTTCTTCGCCCACTCGTCGAAATCCGGATGTTGAAAACATAGCAAGGCCGACTCAGTACGTGGTTGCCATTTTGATAGCAGCGTTTGAAACGCAGATATCACATCAAATGGACCTCGTTCCTTGCGGATAGGGCTTGGTGTGTTTTGTTGTGTTGGTGGGCGTAAGTCGTCTCCAGTACTGAGTCCATCGAGTGGTGTTGTGGATTCGGATTGGGAAATAGGGCCAGTACTGATCGAAAGTTGAGGAGATTTCCATCGTGATTGTAGAGAACCTTTGGAATATTTATTCTGATCCAGTCCCCAATTGTCAATTCTCATACGATACGCCCGCATGCTGTTCAGAAAGTCAGTTGTTATACTTTCCCCCGCATTATACCCATATCTTACGATGCATTGAACCCATGTTCCTCACGCAGAATATCCCGAATCTGTTCCAGTGGCTTTCCTTCCTTGATGTATAGTCGTTCCACCTCAGCCTTGTGGTACTTCCAGTCCTTCGGCATTTTTCAAAAATTCAAAATCGCTCGAAGGAAAGCGATTCAGAGACATCGAAGCCATCAATCGATTTTTGAGGTGGCCAGTATCAAGTAAGTGTAGGAAAGGAAGACCGTTTCTTCCATCCCAATGGGGGACTTCTCATAGGAGGGATGTTCAGCCCTGCCTAACTCTTCTCGGATTTGACTGCATGCTGCAGGCAGGTTCTCTAATCCCAGAAATGCAAGTCGTCCGAGCTAGGCAGGATAACGGGCGCGAATTAATCCTCGTAGATTTCGGGAGCTCATCCGCGGAAGCTTTGATGGCCTGCCGTTATGCAAGCCGACGTGGTCCCATCCCAGCAGCTTTCCCGCAACCAGCTCCGCCACCAATTTGAACCCTGCATGCTGGCATGGGGAGGCATGTTCTTGGTGTGGCACTGTGGGCGCCGATACGGCGATCGAATGTGAACAGGGCAGATCGCCAGGAGCAGCCATGTTCCCTTCTGAAGGCGCAAGGCATGGGCAAAGTTGCGGAAACAGGCCAGGAGATGCCGGTGTCCAGTGCACTGCACTGGCTCGACTGGCAGTGGCAACGCTGCACGCTGTGAGAGCGGGGTTGTGATGTGTACGGAGGTACTCGTCGTACTGTACAACCATCGGCTCCAAACATTTCGCATTTCCGTAATAAGCCTCATAAATCCCTTGCATACTGGCTTCTTCAGTCAGTCGACTTTTGTTGTTTATGCAACACAGACTTCGGTCGTCCTGGGAATTTACCGCAAGCACAAAAGGAATTCTGAGGGCAACCGGTGAAGAGGAGATGGAGGGCGCGCATGATTAGGATATTGTTCCCACCCTGCTCCATCTGGTAATGTTCGACGTCGCCGCGACTCAAAACAGAGCACTCCTCCATGCCGAGCCGGTCGGGATGCTGTCTCGCAACGTCCTCGTTGACGCTCTTCTGAGCTTCCTGAACCGGTGAAAGGGGGCGGGCTGACTTGCTCTCCTCCACCCTTCTTCGGCTCTGCTGCACATCCGGGGAACAGTTGCAGGCTAGCCCGAGTTTGGCGAACGCCCTGCTGAGAAAAATGACAGAAAACTACAAAAAACGACAGAACTTAGGATCTTGATCTCGACCAGCTGTACGAAATTGCAATGTGTTGGTGTTATCTTTTTGGATTTAGGCAAAGCTCGACAATGGAATTACACAACAGCCACAGCCTGCAGGCCCAAAATGAAATCTACAGGCTCGCTCGCTCGTTCTCGTTCACGTACTGACAGACTCGCTGACAAAAGCTCCGATGACATTCCTCACGGCGGTCCTTACTGGGTTTTCATGTACAAGCAATCGGATGGGGCAATGAGAGACACAACTCGACAAGCCGGGATCGTTCCTGGCCGAGTCGATGCTGGTCTATCAGATTGTTGATTATTGAAAGTGAAAGAGAGGTCCGCTATGATCTCAAGTTATGGAGCAGAGACCTCGGCACGAGGTTTACAGTAGCGAGCCTATTTTTAGCGTCTCCCTAAATCTCGCTTACAATTTCTATTTCATCGTGATTTCGAGGTTTGGCCCCCAAGCTTCCTTTCATCAGTCACCACCGAGCCTCTTTCAGAAGACAACCTAATGATCGCAGCATCTTCTTCGGGTTTATGTGTTCGAAAGCGCATTCGAGCCTCAGTATCAAATTTCAAATTTCGAGAAGGAAGGTGAAAACTTTTCTGTCATTCCATTCTACCGAAGTCAAAACAGTGGTCTTCGGAGTCTCACTCATTTTCTGTCATCGCAACTCTACCTGTCATTTCTTGTCAAGCCTGCGTGTCTCTCAGCTGAGTTCACCCACGTGGTATTCCACCCTTCTTCACCAACACCACTGTTGGGGGCTGCCTTTTCCGAGTGGGTTTGGTTATCAAATTGTGCACCAATACCCGAAAGATCCTCTCCCCAGTCGATCATGTCCCGATCATTCCTTCTCACATGCATGTAGCGTTCCCGATCTAGTACCCAGTACGTCAAGCCTCGATAACTGTGTTCTTGGGTGCCGAATTCAGCTCTCATGGAGTCATTGAATTCCTGCGAGTCTTTTGGTGTTGGCCGAAGCTGAGTGTAGCTGGACTGCAATCCAGCAGGAGAGTGGTAGTTGCCGAGCTGCTGGTATTGAGGTGAAGGATATTCTTCGAAGTAAGCCATGGGCGTGTTGAAAACGTTGTCTTCTGCCACTTTGGTATGCAAATATGGCGGCAATTCGACATGGAGTTCGTCGAGGCTGGCTGAGACCTGACTGGCCTGGTGTGCACGAGTCGTGTTAAGGTCAACAGAGCTTCGGGGCAGAGCATGGCGTCTCTTATGCTGGTGCAAAGCGTGGGTTGTGAGGGCATGATAGCTCGATGCGATAGCATGAGATACATGGGATGCGTTGATCAAATGCGAAATGTCAGAGGCATATGTGGTGGTGTCATTGTAACCTGGGCCAAAGAGAGTGGAGGCGTTATCTGCGGAAGTGGAGGAGGCCCTGCTCATGAGTGGTCAGCCATATCCGAGCACAATATCTTAAGGAGGTGGTAGCCACATACCGAGTCAAGTGGCTTGTGCGTTCGACCACTTTGGGCTGTTGCTGAGATGGCTTCATGACTGTTGCGATTGATATAAGTTGAAGTAGTCTTGCTCTATGTATCTGAGAGAGTTGTTGATGCGCCGATGGGAGGTCGAAGAAGCGGTACAGATAGGAAAATTGGGTGGGAAAGCCATCGTGTTATATGCTCCAGGACGTGTGCTGGTGGTTCGCATTCTGTGCGCCATTATAAAGGTGCAATACGGAACATGAGGCGAGCACGACGATAAGCTTCTCTGTGCTCAGGTACTCATTCCCCGGCATGCTGTGGATTTACCAACTCGACATCATCGTGCCTACGTGGGAGAAAGGTGCAAAGTGAAGGACCAGTGTGCAAAGCTCCCCATTGCGTTACGCTGCACTTCTACAGCCAAGAGGCAGGTTCAAGGCTGGAAGTGCATGCCGAAGTTCTCGCGTGGGGAAGTCGTGGGACAAAGGTGCAGAATGCTGCAACGAGTCCATCCACCCTGGGTTGTAAGTACCGGAACGCTGGGGAAGTACCCTGCCGCCAAGCAACACATTCTCCCACACCCCTCATCAATTTGTACAACGGCTGTTTTTGTGCTCCCCACGGCGGCAGCACTTGCTAGATTTTGTAACTGACATTACATTGGACATGCAGGTGACGACTCAAGGAGGACAGACCCAGATGGCATCGGTATAATTGTGAAGGTCTAGGCTGCTCTTTTTGACTTCGTCCCTGGAGCGAGATGTTTCAACACCTGGGCTCATTCAGGGATATCACGATGGCCGATTTTAGACAGCAAAGCGTCATGCATCTGTGTGACATCCGGGTATAGATTCATCTGGACTGAGGTCTAGAGCTGGCTTAAACTCGTAACACGCATTGCACCCAAGGTGTGCGTTGGTTTGGCATCGGACATAAGCTTCAATAGCTGCGATAGAAGATATGCGTCTCAGCAGGCCCGATGTATGGCGAGAGAGTCAAATAAAGAGCAAGAAGATGCAGGCCGAGGCAGACTGTGTCAGCCTTGAATCGCCAGCCTTATGGGAAGCACTTTGGCTTTACAGTAGCCGCTCGTCACAGCCACCGAGGAACCAAATGTCTCTTGCAAATTCGAGTAACGAAGGGGTTCCGGATGCGCAAGATTGCATCCGGAAAAGTCATCACTCATCATATTCGACGTCTAGATTTTGAACCTTACGGTTCAGAACCCATGACAATCATGACTGCTATTGGCACACTCAATACCCAAGCAGACCAAAATCCTGGCTATTGGGTAGCGACTCGACGACTCAGACCGGACCTTACCGCCGAAATCTCATCCAACGGCTTCAACCCGCAACCTTGAGGAAACTAATTTAATACTGCTCTTGCATTCGTTACGCTCCGATGGTTGGTTGGCAATTTTCTGCACCTTCCTGCACCTTTCTGCACCTCCTTGGTGTGCAAGCCCAGCTGCCAAGCATGGTCAGGCTGCACCTATGGCTTACTTCCAACCCAACCTCCAGGTGCAATTGCACCTTCTCAAAGATGCAAACGGGGTGCAATCATTCAAGTATCACTCCAATTGACTTCAACTGACAAAAACGACACTTCAAGTCCCCAGCAGAAAAAATCGCCAAGTGTCGCAGAATGCCGAAGAACTGGAGTAGTCATGAGGAGGATATCCGGCAGCTCTACATGGTGGAGGGAAAGCCTCTGAAAGTAGTTCGCGATATCATGGCTGCAGACCATAAGTTCGAGGCATCGTGAGTAGCATGGTTGAAATACGCCTTGGGATACTTGCTGATGTCATTCAGCATTCGAGCTTATCGGATGTATTTTGAAAGCTTAGGATGGAAAAAGAATACCTTTGTTAAAAGTCGACGAGCCCAGAAAAGAAGTGTTCGCTGCGTCACCACTCCAATCCCTACAGGCACAGCAGTCTTCACACCTGAAATTTCGCAGCCGAGAGTAGCATCTCCAAGACAGCTGCCTGGCACCTTTCAACCACAAGTCATCTCAGATATCGATTTTGCAACCCAGGAACGCTTTGCTGCCCTTTATGGCATCACTCTTCCTCTTGGCGTAACAGATGCGAAGGACATTCTGTCGTTAGTTCAATGGGCACCACCAGCCGTTGGGCTACAGGCGTTACTGCTCAAATGGCAGTCTGGCGAATCCTATCTGAGAGCGTCTCAAGACCTCATCCTGGATAACCATTATCGTTTTGATGTTCAATTTAAAACATTCTCAGGAGGTACTATCTTTCAGCTGATCGAAGAGAGGGTTGATATCTACGAGAGACTACAACTAGGAAGAGCGTGTATCGAGGCAGATCTAGAAAGTCGCGAGTCGCAAAGGCAACAATATGTCAACGGGATATATCCAAGTCCAGACTTCCAACCTATCGATTCAGAACCATTTTGGGAAACAGCTTATAAGGCTACATATTGGGCCGATGCCAAGCGTATTCTTTCTGCCGCGGCAGATTCCAGTAACTTCGCATCGCACTTGGTGTTGGAGAGCGCACTCTTCGTTGTAGGCGAAAGCTTTTTCAAGAGATATAGAGAGCAACTCGACAGTCTCAGAGGCCGTTGCTTGGTCTAATTACATGGAGCTTTTGGATGATCTCAGTGGCCCAATGATGGATGTCAGGCTGCCTTGGCATAAACATGCGATGAGCATCCTCGAATGGGGCAAAACAGTAGCCATGGAAGAAACCGCACATCTACGATTGCTTCTCAAAGCCGCGGAAGAAAGCAGAGACAGAGCTCTTGGAGCCGACAAATTGTATACATCAATCGGCACAAACACGGAAGCACTGCAGTATGATTCTGTGGGAACAAGTATAGATATTCAGATGTTCTTCCCTGCTGGCACTAGCATGGACTCCGAACCATATGAATCAACTGGCATGAGTACGGAAACCGTAGGGAACGAGGTGGACTGCATTCCAGGTATGCCGATATCTCACTTTGTTAGTCATGATTCATGTACGACGGCTACTGATAGCGCGCTAAATGTAGGGAGTTCAAGCATTATCGAGGATCCGGTGTCTCATGAAATGATTGCAGATGTTGTTTTACGGACAAGTATGCACCAACTCCTTGAATGTATTCAAAGGCAGAATGGTAGTCTGACCCAGTACAGGCCACGAACTTAATGGGAGACGTTCCGAGAGCCAGTTCTTTTCACCAGACCCTCCAACATATTGCCCAAGCAGCCCTGTACACAGTCCAGGGAGCCAAGTGAGCCGCTCTACAAGCCCGATAGGCGGCCGCCGTAACCCAGATCCGTTTGGCTCATTGTCCATCTCCCCACAACCTGCTACGCCATTGGATTACATGGATGAATTTGAGATTATTGATTGTTCTCCCTGCCAAGCTGTTCGCTGTCTCCACAAATTATGGGCCTCAGGGAGATCTATTCAGTCCCACATTCACTCCCTCCTTGGGAGAGACGGCTTCGACATCTCCTTGTTCTGTCCTTCCTGCAGTGATCCTGAGAATATTTTTGATCTAATCATTCAGATCTTTACGCCAGCTGAGAGGATACCATTTACAGCGAAAGTACTTAAAGCCTGCAGATGGTTTCCCAAAGATCGATACCATAGTAAGTCGCCGAGCTATAAATGGTGGCTTAGTCTCTATACGTCCATCACTGTAGAAACGTACCAAGAAGGGCTTGACCTTCAACCCATACACTTACAAAAAGTCATGTCCGCCGATGCGATCAGCCTCCTCATCAACTGCACAACTTTTGTTGTCGCAACGGATTTACTTGAACGATTGAAGTCCAAGATAAGCCGTGGTCAGTTACTTGCTCTCCAACAAAGAGATTCTAAGGATAATATCTTCTACGAAGCTAAGTTTGACACGCACTGTGAGGAGTATGTGAAAATGCTCGAAACATTGAAGCGCCAAAAGGCAGCTAATACCGAGATATGGGACGAGTTCTTAATAGAAATGTTGAAATGGGAGATCTGGGAGCGACGATGGAGGTTTTATAATCTATGCAAGAAGAATTATATTTGAGTTGCGATTCTCAGAAAGATCAGCTGTATTATTTACGAGGTTGACTGCCACATCTTCCTTCACTTGATCCACTCTCCAGCATGTGTTCGCAAGGAAGTAGGTATGCATGTCCCTCAAAGTTGATGTTGACTGAGGCTGAATCTCTTCAATTTGGCAGCATAGATCGCTTGTATTCAAAATATCACCATTGAACTAATCTCCTAAGGTAAGAGATATTATGTATTTTCACATGGCGTCGCAATAATCTGCCGAATCGCCAAAGGAATATTTTTTCCATTTTCTAACAATGACTCTTCGATGCCGGGGCATTGCATGTGCCAGTGAGTGACTAGTCTGTACCACCTACCAAGAAAAATGGTATTTGCATTGTTTCGGCATCCCCTCCCCTAGACCAGTCATCACCACCGGATCGTACACCCTGGGAACGCTGCTTTTCCCAGCATGCAAAACCAATACTTCTCAACCATGCCACGGCGTCCTTGCAGCACGTTACCGCAAATCAGGGCCGGCGCTGAGCCCCTGCGTGGGATGAAAGTGCAACAGACCTATCAGTGTGGGGGGTTCTTCGCCCGCCTGATGTTGAGACTTCAGCCACTGAAAACCACAACCTGCAGCTAATGCGCGATCGCTGCTGTACCAGAGATGAGGCACATGGACGGACAAAACTTGCTCCAGGGGCAGGTCTCACCTGCTGCTTTCTCATATTTGGTGATTTTCCGTTCCGTTCTTGTTCCCGGGTATCCCCATCATTCGCCAGGTCTATCTGGTAAAAAGCTCCCGAGATTCTATTCAAGTGATCATTAAAAGTCAATATCATGCCCAAAAATTGGGATTCCCACAAAGATGAGATTGAAAATCTTTATATAAAGCAAGGGTTCACTCTGGGAAAGGTTCGAGATGTTATGACTCGCGAACACAATTTTACAGCCTCGTCAGTTTTATCAACTCATTCCAATTTATCCATCTAACACATATTAGGGCTCGATCTTACAAAATGAAACTCGATGAGTGGAAGATGTGGAAGTACAGGTCGAAAACAGGCGACCAAAGTCATCACTCGAATTTCGATTCGAATACGCCAGATGCAACCCACTCGCCACGCAATCTGCCAGAGAATGAGTACATTCAGAATTCGGTCAATGAGAACTGTAGCAGCAGTTTGAGCTCCCTATCAACTCAATCAGAAATCCACTCTTATATATATCAACCATTTTCACCTGTCACGACATCCTCCAGTAGTTCATCAGTAACTCACTTCGCTGAAAGTCCAAGTCATCGTTCATCAATGTCACAAGATCTCTCTGGACTTTCAATAAAAGAGACCCCTCTTGTCAACTCATCCCTGATGTTCTTCTCAACCAGAACAGATTCCGAAAGCCTCCGCTTATTATCGATGTCTCCTGAGCTAGCACCCCGCGCTCTGGAAATCCTGCTCCGAAACTGGGAACCAGGTGGAGAGTACTTCAAGTCCGCCATCCGTTTCCTACAGCAGAGTAATTACTGCCAAACGATTGTGGCGGTAAACTGGACCCGGTGGAGCCACACAGACGAGACTCTCTTCGACCTAGTCGAGGAAAATGTCCTCGACGACGAGCAACCGCAGCTATTCCTGGCCCTCCTTACAGCAGACATGAAATTCGGACACGGGCTGGCCCAGCTGAATGCTCCATGGGCACATTCCTGGCGCTTAGCCACACAACAAAGAGACTGGGGTCGTGCCAAAGACTACATGGCGGCTATGGGAGTTCAGCATCTGTTCTGGCAATGCGCCTTTGTTGTGATCGCCAAGAGTTTTCTGGAGCGGAATAACTCTCGGATCTGTGGCTGGGGGCCCGGAATTCCGTTTTGTGATGATGCCCATAGACAGATTTGTGCCATACTGAATGACTGCCGAGATCACGGGTTGGGGACTGGTTCCTGGTCGTATGCGCATCTTTGGAGTTGTATGAATGAGGAGCAACTACGGTACTTGTTTGCTTAGCGAAATTCGCTGGATGCTTGAGGGTTAGTGATATCAAAGAGTATAGATCACTTACTTATTTTGTTGGTTAGTGTGGTTATTATCATTTAGATTTGTCGCGTCAACGTAGAAGAATATTTCGGGTGTTTTTTCTTGAAAGGGAATGTATTGCTTTGGTGTGTGTATCTGTCTTGCTCTTCTGTTCTCCTTGGGAAGTCTGATTTAGCTCTTCTGGATGATGTCTAGTTGCTGGATGGGAGTATTTACCTCTATGATTTTTGTTACCTTGTCGAAAGGCATGCTCATTTGTAGTCGAGGTGCAGAGCGGATCAAGTCCAAGTTCCAGGTTGTGTTGACACCTTGCCGGCTAACACTTCTTCCTAGTTTTTCAATGTAATTACTCAGTAGACTTGAGCAAGATATTGTGTCGACGTCAGAGTAGTCTCGTTTCAAGACTTGGCTCAACTGGGACTTAGACTCCAGCTCCCTCAATCATTGTCGGGGTGGAAATGACGATGACGAATAGTACTACTCGGACCTGGTCCTCGGCAAACATCGGCGTGATGCTGTCTGTCTACAGGGAAAGTGGTGCTTCTGTTCAGGTCGACATCCCAGAATTTCTGGTGATTCTGAACCAAATTCATCGTTCCCGCACGAATTTTCTTGAAAGTAGTGGTGACCGATCTCTTCAAGCCTCCTGTCATTCTTCTCGCGATGTTCTTGCCACCATCAACCGCTTTCTTAAAGGTCTCGGATGGTTTAATAGCAGGGATATTCTCGATTCCCAATTCCTGAGCTCTGGCACCATCAATCGCTTTCTTGAAGGTCTCGGATGGTTTGATACAAGGGATATACTCGATTCCCACTTTCTGAGCTCTCTCACGCCCGCGTTCTTCCTTGACACAATATTTGCATTTGAAGGTTCGGTACTGGGGTGATCCTCCACGTTCGTAGTCAGGACATTGATCACACAGGCCGTATTCACGACCATCTTTGATTGCTTTTCTTTCCCGGTCACAATAGAGGTACTTCATCATCCCAGTGGGGTGTCCACACAGGTACAACAACTGGGGTCCTTGACACATATTGGCGATGGATATCTGAATTACAGCGTCTTTTGTGAGGAGCGCTGTGTTTATACTTGTTGATGAGTATCAGGATTGGTTTGAAATATAGAGAAGTTGATAGGAATGGTTCCCAAGACCGTGTCGGCATTATATAGCAACGCTAGCATGCTTGTTTTATGCACACAAAATCTGTTACTTGTTCTTCATCTGTCTGGTATAGTACAGAGGCGACTCATATTTTCCTTGTGTATAGTGGTTCTCAGACTTGTTCTGAACATAAGACAGTTCCGAGATTGGAGCAGCCTTCCAATTCGTTGACCGTCGTAGGAGGGCAGTGGCTCATCCTTTGTAGAGTCTTTTGTTCTCGAGATTGTGATTGTCACTCAGTTTGGTTGGTTCGTGGTTATAGCAGGGTTGCAGTTGATTGATGTATATTTCGTTTAGCAAGTGAACTTTCTGTCTAGGAAAGTCACCATCAGCAGTCTCCATAGAAGCACATCTGATACCTACATGACACTACATCTATTCTTATTCTTCTTGCGGTAGTCAATGCGGTTTTGTGTACATTTGAAACAATATGGTTCCTTACTCTGCACGATCAATTTACAGTCATCTTTCCCCCTGGCGGAGCGTCGCTCGTGGATCGGTCTCTCCTCATGCTTGCAATTCGGATGCCCTCGGCAAGTTTCGTCGACGACAATATCAAAGTGATTGCAACTTCTGTAAGTGACCTTTATAAGATTACACATGATCAGTACCGAGCTGGTAGTAGGGTAAGATGTTTGGCGTAGGTAAATGAAAAAATAGATTTGTGGTTGTTGACGAACGAAGGTCTGGACATTTAATGGGAAAAGATTCCGACTGTTCTTCCGGCTCTCTTTGCTGACAAGCCTCAGGGTTTACTCTGTTTGATTTGCTTTGTTCTGGTGTACCAATTGTGCTTAGTCTTTCAAGTTTCTAGACGCCTTGTAATCCATGGTCCAGATTATTCTTAGGGAGTCACGGAAACTGGAGAATTTCGCACATGAAAATCAGGCGGCGCTGACGCTCCCATGTATCAACGAAAGAACATCGAGGCTGTCGACAGTAAACTGGACAGGTTTTTTGACGACTGCGTAAGAAGGAAAACGGCGGGGTTTGCTTCAGCTGTGAGGATATTTTGGCGACTTCTCGGCAACGGAAGCTTCATGAGCGATTAATGTAGCCTTTAGCTTATTAACGTGCCCGCACTGCCAGGAAGTGCAAGCTAGGTAGCTTTCCCCATGCATAACTTGTTTGGAGCCAATGATCAGGTTGAGGTTTTGATGGAAGACTTGGTTTCAGTGGGAGTTAGTGAGATATGATTCTCGCTACATTTTAATTAAAGAGAAAATGTTGTTGGAGGTCCCCTTCTTCAAGAATGATTTCTATTAATCTGCACATTAATTCTTTGCAAACAATCTGTCTTTGTCAAGCAGGAGTGCTTTATCGTCAAATGATTGTGGTGAACAACTCCCTTTGTGGAAGACGGGATGCGGACAAAGAAGTGCTGTCTCTACACGTTCATTACACTTTTGTAAGAACAAGCTCTATTTCGAGTGTCGAAGTTGTCGACTCTCGGAAGAAGGAGAACCACTTCAATCGACTCGTCAGTTTGAGTTGTGGCCACGCTATGAAAGCGCTGGTCTGGCCATCCCTACGCCGGGCTCAGAAGACACTTATCGGAAGCAGCTTTATGATCGTTGGACGAGTACGGTGATGCGGTATTGCAGGAGACAACTGACCAAAGACTTTGACAAGCTTCTTGCTATCAAGAGTGTCGCAGCGGAAATGTCAATGAGAATCGCTGATACATATATTCCTTTCGCAGGTATGTGGAATGGTAATCTACACTTCGATCTTCTTTGGCGAGCATTGCGGGATCTCTCAAAACCGGAACAATATCGCGCACCATCGTGGTCATGGGCAGCCATGGACGGACCTATCAACTGGGTGAACGATCTCATAGATGTACATCAGAACCACACATGGTTGCAGAGACTGCCGTTCAGTATAATTGATTTAGGAGAATCTGGACTCGGAGTTGATAGGCCATTTTTGAAGGTCAGAGCATTACTTGTGCCTGTTGCCTTCATCGAGGAATGTGATCACGACGAACGATGGCTTTACGGGACACGGATCCTGCCTTACGACATCTGCATTCAGAGCAATAAATCGACAGTGGAAGATCAAGGAAAGAACATAGAATCACTTTCGCTTCAGGATAGTTTTCTAAGTGATATCAATGACGGTGTCATCAAAATTGCAGAAGCTCAGTTAGACCTGGACGATACGGATAACCTGACAAAATCACCCCGGAAGCTATTCTATCTACACATCCAGCATACTTGCCGCTGTACTGGTCTAATCTTGGAGCAAGAGGATGAGAATATCGAATTGTGGAAAAGAGTTGGAGTTGCCTCAATATGTAAGACGGCACCATATAGTCCATTTTGCCCTGAGTTTTTCGAACAGCACCTGGAATTACGGGAGGTTACTCTCGTATGAAAAAATCTGTACACAGTAAACAGGTATTTCGCATCACTCCTGCTTTGCTTTGTTGATTGCATTCTGTTTTTCCTGGCGCATCACATTGAGGAGAGAGGCAGTGGGGGTGGGGATAATGTTGATGATGATCACAGTGGCCAGCCTCCACCATTGTACCTACATGGAGACAGATTCGAAGAAACAAATTTTTGTTGAAATGGAGCTAATTATTCTCTCTCTCTCTTCTGGGATCCAGTCCCACGGAGCGAGTGCTCACTAGCATTGCTTGTCAATTTTCTGTGTGCAGGTTGTTGAAACTCTCTTTCAAGACTTTCCAACGATGGCGAATATTCTTCACTGCACGTTTGTATAAGCTCGGAGGAATTTTATGCCTAGCACATGCAAATTCATAGTAGCGAGGTGGACACTGTTGGAAATCAGGGCACCGTCGTGGTATGAAGCCATACCCCTCACCAGGATACATGAAGCAGTGTGTCAATGGCTGTGCGACACATCCACAACCGTTGTAAACTATAACTTCAGCAAAACACATGCTCGACGTTGGAGGCAGTACTTACTCAAGCTAAATGTATATATGGAAGAGCGTATTGAAGAGTGGATCTGTGCCAGATGAGGATATTATTTATGTCATCTTGAAGATGGCTGTCGTGATCCGTTCAGCTGTCTTTGAAATTGACAACAAACGAAAGATCTTGAAGCCAAACAGGACTACATTGTGAGGAACAATTGGTATTTATCCTTGAATCTAAATTCAGACTTGCTCCTTTGTCTAACCCCACAGCTTCCCAGTTGTGCCTGACCTGTTCTTTGACTGGGCCCTTTTCATTGTCTAAGCACTTTAGTCACACCAGTTCACAGAAAATCCAAGCGGGGACAGTCCATCATACCCCTGCAGCTCATTAATTTGAGTATTCAACATGCCGGCCAAAGTTTAACAAAAGCTATTGTCCTGTAGCGCGAGGTTAGGGTTAATGGCCTTGAGCTCAAAAGCGCAATTAACCTAAATGATTCTAAGTCTCAGAGTGCAATAGAATCCATTTGCTATGTGTATGTAATTCCAGTTTATTATCCTTTTTAACTAGCTTTCGCTGCTATATAAGACAGTCTACTACTCTTGAATGCGACTTTATAGTAAACAGGTTTGTAGCCTTTACTCTCTTGCTATAGCGTGCTATCCTCGTATATCGATAAGATCGACCCCTCTTTAGGTATACCTTCCGATAGATATATTACTCGTAGTTTATACTTCACGACTAAGGAAAAACTTCAAAAACCTCAGCTAGCTGATCCTTATACTTAGCAACTACGCTCTCCGAAGGGGAGGACTCTCTTGAAACTATAAGATATATACTCTTTCGCTAGAGTCTACGATACCTCTAGCTACCTAACTCATATAACTCTCTTCGACTTAATAGGCTACTTACACTCCCTTAATCTCTTCCGTAGAATATAAACGAACCTTTCTTAATCGATATAAACGAGGCGGAGAGGTACGCTTATTACACGAGTTATTAGTAGAAGAAACGGAAGTAACTCCTTGTTACGCGACTATATCTGGGAACCCTCCTCCGAGTCCTGCCTTTCCTCCCCCCTTACCGTGACTATAGGATAGAACCTATTCCTACCCCTCCTTGTTATAGCCTTGTTCTAAGGTCGACCTTTTACGAAGCGCTCTTCGGAGGTTGTGTTTCGTATCTGTATTGTCTCGATCATCGGTATACTATATGTAAGAGAACAGCAGGTCGTTTGACTTAATCTTAGCTTCCTAAAGGAGTTGATAGCCTGCACCACGTAGAGGTGTTGAGTCGTCGCAGGCCGAATCTATTTGCTATAACAATGCTCGGCATTAAAGTGACATAGAATCCTGTTATTGTATCGTAGTTTTCATAGGCAAACAAAAGCCTCTGGAGCCCCAGGTACTGTACTGGAGAATCAAGGCTCTTGCGCAACGCTTTGTGGAAAAAGCAATTTTAGGCTCAATTCATTCCCCGCATCATGGCCGCTTTGAACTCATGAAGACCCTGCCCTGTGATATCAAAACGGGCAAAGACACCTAGGTGGAACTTTGTTGTCTCGCTTAACCTTCTTCGGCTGGGCTTGGAGACTGGTAGAATTGACTGGTAGAATTGAGATTAAGGGGGATCACGTGTGCACGCCAAACACTCAGTTCTTTGTTCTACTTTTCGCGACGCGCTCCAACGCGACGGCTTTGGTTTTCAGATCGCGAGTCCTTTGTATCTTTCTCTCCAAGTTCCCCATCATATTTACTGCGTTTACATAGCATCATGAGTCTCGAAAGGAGTATATCTCCAGAATTGGAGGATCTGTACATGCTCGAAGATTTAGCGAAGCAACATGCGAAAGAGCTAGCCGACCTCCAAGTTCTCCAGAATTTGGAAATCAAGCACGCGAAAAGAGAGCAGAGCTTCGGGCGAAACAGGAAGCCGAAATGGCACGCAGAAAACGCGAGAAGGAAGCAAAGTTGAAATCGGTATCAAAACTGAGTCGTGGTCAAAAACGATGTCTAGAGACTGTCGATATACCATTGGAGCCAGGTGAATTTCATCAAGATTTGATCCAGTGTCCCCTCTTAATACACAGCGTTGGAAGCTGATTGCCAAACACAGTGACACAGGATTTAACTTCCACGAGTGTCAAGCCAGAAGATTGCGAAGACGAAATTGTCATCGTTTCACCATGCAAAAAGAGCAGACATGATATGAAGGCATGTTGGAGGAGGAGTAAAACACCAACCGCAGGCCCATTAACGCGAGGTTTGGATGTCACCCCAAACACTGCACCGACAACAGCCGGTACTGAAATGCCAATTTCTCAATTACATATTGGCCTGTCGCAAGCGGATTTTGATCATGGTTATGTCGGACAACATCAACGTCAGGCAAATGGTCTCCCTCAACTGAATCATGGACGGCCTTTGTCACCCATGATCGATTCCCCGAGTCTATTTCTGTCGCCCCGTCAGTCCGAACAGCCTGAGAATATGGAGAACGAAAACTCATCACACCACTCACCAGACACTGCCATCAAATCCGAGCTTGCATGTTCGGATGTACCATGTCTTGAGATCAGTAACCAGCAATCCGGATCATTCCAGCAAGAAGCCCCTAATCAGATGGATCAATTTTACCCACCATATATCACACGAAATGTTCCCACTCCTCCAATATCTCCGACTCCAGTCGCTCAAAACGACAACAGTGTCGTAGCTGTGGAGAAATTGTCCTCGTCAATAAAGGACTTGCCTCTCCCTGTGTCTCCGCCGTCCCTAAACTTATCCAATCCCCAAACCCCGGTCGAATACTCCTCTCTTAAAGATCCACCCAATGAGAACTCCCTTCAATCAATATCTACAATTACTCTTCAAAGCCCAGTTTCTGGAACCGCGGCACCAGTCCAACAAATCGCCGAGAACGACCCTAAATCACCTGCCTCTGAGTCGGAGAAGACATCCCTCCGGTCGGCTCCCAAAACAGTCACTCAAACATTAGTGGAATCGACAACAACTGCACCATATCACCAAGATAAACTGTCAGAAAAGACGAAGTCGGCACGGAAGGTACCAGCCGCCCGCTCGCAACAACCTCCAAAACAGACCTCTAATAAACGAGAATCCTTGCCCAAGGTAGTGGCGGCAAAGAAGCAACCAACATTACAGCAAAGCTCTGATGATACAGATTCTCTCACAAGACAGTGTTGTGGTATTGATCAATCAGTGCCACTTGCTGGAGCTTCAGATACGCTCCGAGAAGTGCGAGTTGCTGTCATACCCCTTGTGTCCGAGCCGTCCAATGAGCCCGATTGGTCTCCTAGAACAACAGCTCCACCTCAATCAACGCTGCATCGAATTCTCAGGGAAACAGCCTCACCACCGACGGTCCCTAGTTCATCCATGTCAAACCTGCTTCCATGTCAACCGGCAACCTCAACTCAAGACCATCAAGTTCGAAGTGATACTATTTCTTCGCTACCAAGCATCACTCAAAGAGCACCAGTCGCACCCATGATAACAACTCCAACTATTATCCAGAGTCACGATGCCGAGGATCTTGGTTCTCCAAAGACAATAGAACAGCCTACAAGCAAAACACCTATGTTCACCATTCGAGGCGCAGCAAATGGTCCCATAGCATCAGCAAACCAGAAGTCATCAGATTCCCTGACGCAAAAACCTCCATCAATTGAAGATACACCTACCGAGCCGCGTTACCCAAAACTGGCTCCCAAGAAACGACTCTCCAAAGCAGATCCAGTCCAGCCTGGATGCAACCGTCAGCTGAAGCCCCTCCCACCATTCAGGAAATCATCGACGGAACACTATCCCCAGCTCACGAACCTGCCGATAGATGCTACAGAAACAGCAAAGAGAATATCGGCATTGCCAATCAAACGAGAGCTTCGCCTCCGAGCCAAGAAGAGGCTCGTTGGCTTGAACAGAGGGGACGCTAGCCTAGAAGCAACACTCGGATAGCTGAGAGGGGATATCGCTACGAGATGTTGTGGTCGTTGCACTCGCGGAAAAGGTAAAGGACCATTCCAAAGCTGCATCGTCGTCCCGGGTGAATTTGGTGGCGCATGCTGTAATTGTAGGTATCTCGATGAGGGTGGCGAATGCCCTTTAAACGGTACGCACCCCTGTTGTTAAATGGTGTGTGGCACGTGTAGGGCTAATCGCGATTAGTCAATGGTATCGGCGTCGGTGCTCCACGACGAGGCTCAGATTGGAAGTCATCGATCAGGCAGGAAAATGAAGTTGCCAGCCACATCAACCAGAGAAGAGTGGAGCTGTTCCCAGGCAAGAGGAGTAACGACAGCAACAACAATAGCAACAAGCCAAAAATTGATCTCACTATCGGGCACGATGATAGGACAGTCGCGAGATGTGTAGATCTCATTAGTCCAGCTACAAGTTCTACTACTCTTCCCAGAGCCTGCTGGTGAGGTATTTGCAAAGTTAGCCAAATAGATAAATTACTGCAAGCGTTGTTTACTTTGGCCTAAGCGAGGGCCCACTTTCCCCAAAGTCCGAGTCTGCGGTCCTCATTTAGGCGCTAAAGAGCCAATCAGGCATCTCAATAATAAATCATATTGCGCTAGCAAAGTTTTTGCTATTAAGGCGTCGCACTGTGTTTACTTAACGCATTTCTTGCTGCCCACTTTTCCCTCTTCCTGCAACAACAACATCATATTCGATCTCCCAATTTCATATCAACAAACAATTTGCCGCTCCCTCCATTGCCCCTTTGCTTCTCGTTCAAAAGAGGACTCCCATCGAGCAGCAAATAGCATCCACACAGGCTTAGCCGCAGGTTCGTTCCCAACTTCGCACTGTTGTAGCCATCTTGCTTCCGATCTACCGTGCAGTAGGCAGCAACCATGGATCAAGAGCCTTCATCCTCGGGCGATGATTCGGAGAGCGAGTATTTTTCAATGAGCGACTATAGCGATACTAAGACCAACGACAAGAGCAGCAAAACTGCATCGAATGCCAACGGTAAAGCTGAAAACACTCCCGCAGCAATTCGACAAAATAGCAGCAAGAGCCAAGGATCCAACGCCGAAACAGAAGCCCGCCAGCGTGCAAGAATTGTACAAAGAGACCCAAAGACAAAGTTTGTATTGTGGCAACCAGATATGGGAGATGGAGACCCTCACCATTGGCCAGAAGCAAAGGTACTGTTTGATCCATTAATAATCAAGCGCAGCAAAACCAGCAAGGACTTCTGGGACCAGGCTCCCAAGTACGCGTACTACTCTGATCGTGCACTCCATGCTTTGCTTGCTTCTCCAGTGCCCCGTATCGAATATCGGAGATATGTGGGTGCGGACTTCAATCAAAGCGGAGATCTGCTCACCACAAGACTGCCACGGGGCCTTCCGGCTCTGGACTCGGAAGGTAATTTCGTACAATACTCCGAGTTTTGGCTTTGCGGGGACCGAGACAATCTTAGAGTTGATCGAAACGCATACGCGTACAAGGTGCCTGAAATTCACAGTGCCAATAGCAGCAAGTGCAAGGCCAAGGCCAAGGTCAAAGAGAAGGGTCCGGATCCGATTTGGAACCCGAGCAGCAAGGAGGCATATTTGGCACTCCACAAGCCGATTCCAATTCCAAGAGTACCAGCAGCGAACATTCGAGCAGGCAGCAATGCAGCTTCAGCAGCTCTCGCAGGCTTTGAAAATGCAGCAACAGATCATGACCTATCTCCTAATATTCTACTACCTTTGCCAGTGAGAAGAAAGAGATCAATCGGTACCGCCGAATTGCAGCAATCACTCGCCGAGCCTTCAATCAAGAGAACTCAGGATAAACCCGCGGCGAAGAAATCAGGAGCAGCAACACGTCAGGCGAGCGACCGACACTTATCAAGACTGGGTGGGCTTCCACAAAGTATCCCGCAATCGGATCCGAAGGATTCTAATGCTTTAACCCTACAAGTACAAGCATTGAAGCAGGAAAACCAGCGCCTCTTTACCCAACTGCAACTTTTTGAAGAATCAGTAAACAATTTAGACAGAATAGCAAACGATATGAAAGCCGAATTGGAAGAGGTGCGTAGAGAAAATAATTCTCTCGAAGCTCAGCTGCAGAGTGAGCAGCAAAGTCATCAGGCCACGGTAGCAAGTCACAAAACAACAGAAAAGGCAAACGATAAGCGCCAGGCAAAGCATCAGGAACAACAGCAGCAAGAGATTGCGAATCGCGATATTCGTATCCAGGAACTCGAATCGTCTGCTATAGCAAAACAGTCAGCCTTGAAAAACTCGAAGAAAAATGAAGCCGCTCTTACTACTTTATCATCAAGTTTACTTCGCGTTGTTAGTGCAGCAACGACCATCGATGAACAGACAACTGCAGACCTGCAGGCTTTCTCAAGTGATCTCACTGCTGCCCAAATCACCTTGGAAAAGGCTCTGGCAACCGGACTCATGAGTGATAAGATTTACAAGCAAGCTGCAGCAATTGAACTCGTGGAGACTCTAACTCCTGCAAATGGTGACACCACTATTCTGCCTCGGATTTTGAGTAGCATCAATACGCTCCGTGAGAGCCGCGCTGCTGCTCTTCAGGCTGTAAACGAACTCCCCGCTGAACTCAAGGAATCTGTTGCCTGTCTTGCGGATCTGCTACCTCGAAAGGATACAGAGCCACAATCTTGATCTGGCAGCAAAGACTAGAAAGATCTTCAAGAGCAGCATTCAGAAAAGCAAGCCTCTCCCGTAAGTCTCTCTTCATCCATTCACAACTATTCACAATCAAGTAAGTCCTCACCATCTTGACTTACCACTTCTCATCCACATCAACCCCATCATCTCAAATCCTATCCGTATCCTCATCTTCTTCAATTCCATCAACTAATATCTATCTGCAGTACTCTCCTCTCTCACCACCGATCTTCCACCTTCTCTATCCGAAGCAGCAAAACCCCCCACGAACCCCACCAGTCCTACCCACCAGCAACCATCATACCCAGATGCCCTTCGCACCACACCACCATCCACGCTTTCCAATCTCACGAAGCAGCAAATACCCACCACGATCTCCACCTGATGGTCTGCTCATACAAACACCACTATCGATATTATGGGAAGCAGCAGCTGCAGAGAAGCAATACCCCATACAATGGCAGAGTGGTGGAGTGGCAGATTTCCCTTTCCCAGTTCTTCCTTTCCAGTGTTATTTCCTTCCTTGTTGTTGTAATTTCCCACTGTCATTTCCTTACGCAGAGAAAGCTGGGGGAGGGACGAGAGGAGAGGAGGGAAGATAGGGGGGAGTTGTGGAATCAAAATCAAAACGGTAGTGGTTTCATTTGTTATTTCCTATGTTATTTCCCATTGAGAACGGGCAGCAAAACTGAGAGGTTGTGGATGTAGGGAGGGATGAGGAGTGGTGGGCAGCAAAGCAGAATTCAAGGAGCTGAAATCAAGGACTTGATACTTGATATGTACTTCTCGCGCGTGAAATGTGCTGAGTGAAATTGAGATTATTGTGTGATACATTCATTTATTCTAAGGCTAAGGAAATCGTAAGGAATTAGTACACGTATGGCGTGTTTGAAAGACGTCTTCGACGCGCAAAAATAAACGTGTGGTTTCGTATATCATGGCAAAGGGTATAAGAAACGCGTCAACACCCCTCCTGCGCCACTCCTATCGTCTCCCATCCCAATCCAAATTCAAATCCACTCCCAGCCATCCAAACCCCAACCCAACACCAAAACTACAACTTCACCCTTCCCCCATTCAACTCCCTCCAATCCCTCTCCCCAAACCTAACATACGTCCCACCCCTCAACCAAAACAGCTCATCCTCCCCCATCTTCCCAGGATCCACCCCCTGACTCCTCACCACATGCTTCTGCTGCTTATTCGTCCCCGTCAACTCCATCTGTTTCGTCAGCCTCAAAAAAATCGGGACCGCAAACCGCGGCAGACTAGCCTGCACATGATCCGCCAGATCTCTCAACAACCGCTCATTCGGCTCCTCAGCAAGCACAAGCGCCACGCATCCAGCGCGGCCATCGTGATGCGGGAGTTCCACGCCGTAGACGTTCGCCTCTTTGACTTGTGGGTGGTTGCCTAGAGCTTCGGAAACTTCGTTAGTGGATACGTTTTCGGATTTCCAGCGGAATGTGTCGCCGATTCGGTCGCTGAAGAAAGTTCGTCCTTCCTTGTCGGAGATAATCATATCCCCCGTCCGGAACCACGCATCGCCTTTCTCAAGGACGTCGCGCATGATTTTACCTTCTGTAGAGCCCTTGTTGCCGAAATAACCTTGGAATTTCCGCTCGATGTCTGCGGGGTCGAGTTTATATAATAGCTCGCCTGGTTGGCCTTTCTCGACGCGGATGCAGAGGCCGGTTTTGGGATCGCGTTTGGGTTGTTCGGTGTCCCAGTCTAGTTCGACCATCACTGCGCCGCCGCCGAATAGGAATGATCCGATGGTACCGATCCGTCCAACTGCTCCTTTGGAGAAATCGTTGCGGCTGTAGTTCCAGCTTGCGGATGTGCTTTCCGTGGCGGTATAGAACTCAGCGATGGCTTCGATGCCGAAACGCTCTTTGAATCGGTTCCAGATATCTGGACGAAGGCCGTTGCCAAAGGCGAGACGAACGTTGTTTTTCTTGTCGAGGTTTTCGCCTGTCACAGGATCGATTTGAGGAGGTGCGGAGAGGAGGTATCGGCAGGTTTCGCCGACATATTGGATAGTTGTTGCATTGGTGGCGCGGCATTCTTCCCAGAAGACTTTCGTGGAGAACTTCTTGCCGAGGGAGAAGGTAGCACCTGCTGTGACAGAGGTACAGAAGCCGAGGACACTGGCGGAAGAGTGGTAGAGTGGCATGCTCTGAGGGATGTTAAATTGGTACATAATTTGGGGGTAGAACTTACGGTGTAGAAAACATCGTTCTTCGTAAATGACATCCAGCCAGGGACCAAACCACTTCCAACAATGATCTTACTCCAACTGACAATCGCTCCTTTGGGAAGTCCAGTAGTTCCGCTTGTGAAGATGACGATAGCCATATTCTGGATCTTGTCGTCGCTCCTGGCGGAATCTGGTTCTCTCTTCGCCTCCATAGTTGCGATACTAGCTTCGATTTCTGGAGTAAAGACCTCGAAGCGAATCCCTGAAAGCTCGTCTTGAACTTGCTGGGAGACATTGTCGCTGACTTGAGGATCGATGAGTACCAAGTTGGCCTTGGCAACCCGAATGCAATGCGCCAATGCCTTTCCACTCAAATTGTAATTGATGAACGCAGGCTTGGCACCAATCGCCCACAGCCCAATCCACATGAAAATGAACTTTTCCGAGTTCATAAAATCCATAGCCACAATCTCCTTTGGTTTGATACCATGCACCGTCTTGAGCCATTGTCCATACTTCAGTGCGTTGTCGTAGACCTGTTTGTACGTCCAAGTCCGACCTTCAAAGATGAGAAGTGGATGGTTGGCTTGTTTGCCAAGAGCATGAGCTTCGAGGAGATAGAATGTGCTCAACCTGTCTTTCTTTTCTCGGATTGCTCCTCTGATTTGAGCTCCTAGTGCGCTGCCCAGTAACCGCCAATCGTAACTGAACCCCGTTCTGGCATTGAAATATCCCAGACCTGCTAGAGCAGCTGGTGCTGCAACAGCCAAAGGCACTGGATTCTGTCAGTGAATATCATGGAATGAGGAGAATTTTGCAAACCTGGCATTATGAAGGTTGCTGTTCCGCAATGAGTGGAAGGTAATGTTTTGTCGTGTGTCTCAGGTGTGGCAACTTAGAGCAGAACTCATCTACACTTTGACATTCCCTTCACTACTTGAGTGGTTAGGATTGAAAGGAACAGGGCTCAGGATAGAAGAGAGACAGGGGAAGGAAGTTAAAGAGAGAGGCAAGGTGAAGACAAGGCGTCATTGCCATGACCTTTCACTACCACTAAGATACCGGTAGCAAGTTCCTTTGATTTTCCGTTTGTTGGGAAGTGAAGTGAAGTGAGGACAAGCTGCTGCGTGCCTCGGCTCACGCGCGAGGTCGATCCCCAAAGCAGTCTCAGGAGGCGAAGTGGCACGCTCCCCACAACTTCATTCGCTGGCGTCCCGGAGCGCTGGGATGGACACTCGCGGGGTAGGGAGAGTCAAGACTCAAGAGCCTTGGTCGGTCAATATTACTGATGTCCGAAAGAGGCTATCTTGAAGTTGCCGAGTGATGTGAAGCTACCAGCCACCAAGGTACTTTGCGTGATGTCGAAAATAGCAGATGTATTTATGGATCGTCTGATCTAAAAGTTATGCTTTAAGTAATTTATGACGATATGGTGTGGCTGAAGCCGGTCTCCCATGGTGTCGAACTTGATCGACAAGTACCAAGGCATGCAGGTCAGAAACGAAAGTCTTGCGAAGAGAAGAAGGATGTGCTTCGCTGTGCTGTCTGTCTCTTAGAGTTTGAGCTGCTCCCGAATGAACCGGCCGGCCGGACCAACCCGCTGAAGACGAGGCTGAGGCTCCAGTCCGCCTTCCCTGAATATGCCCCACAGCGTCTCGGTCGCGTACAGTCGGCCCCTGTAACTTCCGCGTCCCGCGACGACTTGACATGGAAATGTGTTGATTCGACATCTGGCAAGAAATGCGACAATCAACAACTAGCAATGCCGACATCATCACAACCTCCAGTCGCGGCTGAAGCTGGAGTCCGGAATGATGAGAAGACTGGAGGTACGATATCAGACGAGGCGCCTGCCAATGCAGTGAGCATCGCGTCGAACAAGGAACCGCCCCCTGAATCCGCAGAGAGCATAAGGCTACGGACCTGGGTCATCTTGTCGTTCTGGGCTACAATTATCTTTGTTGGTGTGCCAATATGGTGGATGACGACGACGATACACAGGGAGAATCTGCCGCTAGATCAGATGATGGACTGGGCTGATGGGAGGGTACGATTCATGCTTCATTCGGCGATACCTCTATACTAACCTCTGCAGGCATGTCGACCAGTCTTCCCATTAAGGATATCAATTGAGGCAGATTCTCTACAGGATCATGAAGCTCAACATCTTCTGCGAACTACACAACATGCGCTGGACGATTTGAATGATTTCTCGGCGCATCATCTGCGACTTCAACTATCCCCACCCGCGAACAATTCTGTAGAGACGACAGGAGTGTCCAAGGGAACAGATGAGGAAGTGGCATTGACTATTCGACTTCTTCCAGGTGCAAGTACAGAGGCAGATCTACAATCTTATGCTCCCATCCTCGATATACAATATACCCCGAATCAGATCCCGTCCAGCTCTTCATCTTCTTCCTCACTAGGAAATTATATTGCCAATACCCTCAGAGGGCTTTTCGCCGAGGAGCAAGCAATGATCGCATACCTTCTCTCCACAAGTTCTGCTCCACCAGAGCGAAGTCCCAAGGCATTGGCTCCGGAAGTAGCAGAGTCTCTGGCAAAGTGGACAACCAGATCCATGAAGTACTCACGAACCTACCATCTCACATTCTCGCTCTTCACCCCTACCGCAGTCCCTTCGTCATGGGATATCGAAGCAGCACTGGAAGAACACATGAAACCCTTGCTAGAAAGCTTCTCCGCAATCAGTAACTTCACAATCGACACTCAAGTCCAGCTCTACGCAACACCCGGCGTAAGCGGCAATGTCCTCAAGAAAGAAGATCTCAGCGGCTTCATCAACGCAGCCGAATGGCCTCTAAGCCCTAGCATCGGCGGCGCCCCAACAGTAAACTTCATCGTCTACATAGGCGACATGGAAGTCGAAGGTGGAGGCAAGAGTTGGCTAATCCCGCAATGGGGCGGCGTAGTCATCCAATCCGACATCTCAGATCTCCGACCAGCGATGCTCATCTTTTCCAACCAACTCATGTCCCTTCTCGGAGCCCCAGAAACAGGCTCCCTCCCTCTTCGCCTCATGACGCTCGTCCGCGTCCGTAGCGCTGGTCTCCTCCTCAAAGCTAGCGGCACTATGGGCAGTCTCGCACGTCTCACGCTCGCATTACCCAGTATCAGTATTCCTCGCAGCGTAGCAGACGGTGTATACACCACCATCGAGCATCTACGCAAAGCATGTGATGGACTTGGTGGGAAGGAAGGGTTGGAGAATGCCAGGATTGCGGAAGAAGCTGCTGAGAAGGCATTCTTTGAGAAGAGTATGGTCGGGCAGGTGTATTTCCCTGACGAGCATAAAGTGGCTGTTTATATGCCGCTCCTGGGACCCATTGCTGTCCCCCTGGTGATGGGTGCTATGAAGGATATTAAGGCGTGGAATAAACGGAGGAGAGGTGTAAGGTGATATCCAGAGAGAAATGAAATCTACATTTGGCATCTTTTTGTATCTGTTTTTGCGTGAGTTTTGGCTTGTTCCTGTCTACGTCACTATTGCTGCCGGGCCAGGACTATGGGAGGTCCCATAGACGCTATCCTAAAAGAAGATTGAGTTCAAGTGAACTTTGAACTACTGATAATGATTTATGGCAGAGTAGCCACGGTCTCAGAAGTCACTCAAATATCGGAGCATGTATCATAAGACGTGCCCTCGATGGTGCCTCTGCAGTATAAGACTTTTCCTCTCTTCTCAAAGTCTCCTTGGGCTTCAGCTCTATAATTTCCTCGACCTCGACTTTTCTTCATCGTACTAGAAGTTCTCTTCAGATTCTGGAGGCTGTCTTGTCCTATCTGTCCTTCATTGTAGTCTTTCGCCTTAATTCTTTGTATCATTCACCTGTAAAACAAATTCCCGGTACATTCTCTACGTGGGTTGATAGAGAAATTTACTTTACTCAGCACCTCTTTCAATCCCTATGCCAAGCACATCTCAACTCCCTAGCACTGCACAACCCCATAACGCCGAAGTCGCTTAAGCTTAACCCACTACTTCACCAGAACTACCTACCTACCTTCACACAACCTCATCGGTAAGGTAGTACCGCGGCCATGCTAGACGCATTACACCGTACCTTACATCCAACCCTCAAGCCACTCCACACTTACGCAAACCTGCTGAATAACAAAAAGACACGATATTCTCACCCTCTTCTGGCCGTTAACGTTAAATCCTCATCTCTCCAATCATCAACACCTAACCCGCATCGCCAAGTGCTTTAAGCGAGGTTTTGGGAGTCTGCAAGATCGAGATTACTGATCACTGGCCCGGACGTTGCGAAGCAAATTGATGAAAAATGGGCTCAGGATGCCTTCTTTTGGAGCTGGGCATATGATGAGAGATGAGAGATGAGAGATGGGATGGGTATGTGTATGTAGGTATGTAGGGATGTAAGATTTGGGAGGAGAAGGGGGTGCTTTGTGATGGGATTGTGGCTTGCTTGGAAGTATGTTGTGCTGAGTGAAGGATCCGAGGCTAGGATGATGGAAGTATATATTAAGGACGGTCGCTGTTGACAGTGACGACCTCTGTCTTCAGTTGCTTAACAGCGATTCAAGTTTTAACACTTCACACTATCCCAGCTTTCTCAACTCCGCCTGAACGTCTTCCCCGACTGCTACTTTCGGCACTACACTTCAATCACCGAAAACATCACCACCACCGCAACCATGTCAGGAGAACTCATCTTCGTACGCCTCCTTCCCTCTTTCCTCCCAGTCACATCACTAACGCACTACCAGATAACCGGCGCAACCGGCTTCGTTGGCTTCGCCGTCCTTACAAAAGCCCTCCAAGCCGGCTACAAAGTGCGCATCTCAGTCCGGAAAGCAGAGCAGATCGAAACCCTCAAATCACATGTCCTGATCGCTCCTTACGTTGAGAAAGGCGTTGTGGACTTTGCTGTCGTGCCAGATATCACTGTAAAGGGAGCTTTTGATTCAGCTCTGAAAGATGTAGTTGGCGTACTGCATATCGCGAGTCCCTTACCGCAGGCGGTATGTACATCTTTCCCATCCGTCATGTTACTCCAAGGGGATGACCTCACCTGACAGACATCCCCAGACCAACGACCCAGAAAAAGACATCATCCTCCCCGCCATCAACGGCACAACCTCCCTCCTCAACTCCGCCCTCCTCCACCCCACCATCCACCGCATCGTCCTAACCTCCTCCGTCGTCGCCCTCATGTCCAACCAAGCCCTCATGTCCGGCGACCCCTCAACAACCTACACGCCCCAAACGCGCCGCTCCCCGCTCCCCACCGCCCCATGGGGGGCCGACCCCGGAGAAGCCTACTTCAACTCCAAAGCGCTCTCCCTGCACGCGACAGATACATTCCTAGCTACTCAATCCCCCAATTTCACAATCGTCAATATCATGCCTGGTTTCGTAATCGGTCGTTCGGAACTCATCACCAAATCTGAGGATCTCCTCAAAAGCACGAATGCCGTCCCATTGTCTATCATCCTAGGCGTCAAAAGCGACAAGAAACCCGCCATGATAACGCACATCGACGACGTGGCGCGGATCCACGTCGCTGCTCTGGACACGGCCAAAGTTCCCGGCAACCGCAGCTTTCTCCTCCAGAGCGGCGATGGGGGCAAGATCGTGTTTGACGATGCGTTGGAGGTGGCGAGGGAGAACTTTAGGGGGGCTGTGGAGGAGGGGATTCTGCCGCTGGGTGGGACGACGGGGAATGCGTATCAGATTGTGGAGTCGGGGGAGACGGAGGAGGTGTTTGGGGGGTTGAGGAGTTATAGGGAGGCGGTGGAGAGTGTGGTGGGGCAGTTTGTGGAGTTGAAGAGGAGGGAGTTGGGAATGGCTTGAGGTGAGGTGAGGTGAAATAAGTATTGGCTGTTGAGGTCTCCCCTGTTTTGGTGTTCAACTTGAGTGCGGCAATAGATGAATCCAGGTCGATATAAGACGACAGGACACTTATCTTACTCCTAATCGTCCTTTTAAATGACAAATCATGGAAACAAAACTCGTGTAAATATCTCCAGCTTCAATAGACACTTCCAAGCAGCCTGAGAATACCACTTGCCTCGGAATCACGAACCCCCCATCTCAGCATCACACCCCCCTTGAGAGCGCCCAAGACGGTGTCCATCAAATCAACACCATTACACTCCAGCCATCTTCACAGCAGCTTGATAATCAACCACGAAGCACGCATCAGACGCCACATGAAAGTCAACCATGTGCAAAGACTGCCGGGGTCTTGTACTGTAGTACTGTATCTCTATGTAGTACATCCAAGGGAACGGCAACAGTTGTATGAACGTGATATAGGGGAAAAGCACTAGAATATGGGAAGAATAGCATGTGATGAACTTGTTCAAACCCAGAAATACTTGAGGTCTGTTGTGGTTATGACGAAATGCAGATGTCCTTGGACTTCCTCTCAGCTCATCGCCATCACGCCAAAGATTCGAAACACGCAAATTGGTGAGTTAAAACAGACATTCCCAACGCGACAGGTCAATGATACCAGAAAGTTGACAGTCCGCGCATCGTGGGCATGCACGCCCATGCAGCTGGTCTATGCTCAAGCTTCGAAGCTACCTGCCTGCCTGCATGCATGTTTGAGAGAGGCTCTGACCAAGTCTGTGGTATCCAGATAAGAGCTGGAGCAGAAGCTCCTGGTGATGATTGCGATGGATAAGGAGAATGAGGGGTACTTGAGAGCTTTATCTTTAAACTCTAAGGAGTCAGGTTCTACATACAGAACACAAACTTTTCCCAAAAACAGGATTTTGACGGCTCTGAAAGTATGATTTTGTGCTGAGGAGAGGTATCGATTTCTGGGAGTTCGATGATGGGATGGCGATCTGAGTATAGAGTTCTGGTTCTATCGTCGATCTTAGATAAGTAACAAGGCTTTACGCGCAGAGACTTTGTAGCTCTGCAAGGTAGGCGATCGAGGTTGATCAGACTCGCTACTTTGATGACGACGAATGACGCCGCATGCAGAGCTCTTCGAACTCGATACACCGAACGACTTGAGCAACAAGGCTACAGCAGCTGAATTTCAGAATGCTTGCAGAATATCAAGATGCATAACAAGAAAACCTCATTTCAGAGCCGCGCACCACTAGAGCAACGATGCATATGTCAACTGAACACCATGACGAGCTTCAGCCCATCCCAGACATCAACCTTCAGACAATTCACAACAGTGATCGATATCAGTGATCAGCAACAAGTGAAACACAAACTCGCACTCACTCCCGCTTTGAACACTTGATCCGAGCGAGACTTCTGAGCACGCAATACAATAAAATGCGACGCCACTACGTCTCAGGTCGTCCCAAGTCAACTCGAATTGAACCGAATCGAGCTGAAATGTTATGCGAAACCTGCGGGTGCGCACGCACAGGCGATGTAAAGTGAAGATTGTGGTGAATGATGGTGTCGAAGCGGGAAGGGCTGGTGACTATTTGGTAACGTGAGACGTGTGGCTGCCACATGAGATGAGGTAGCTTGATACTAGATTTCTTGTTCACCCGCCTGATTTGCCTCGCTAAGATGGCTGACGGCTGTGTTTGGGCAAGCTCGTAGGGTGGGCGGTATGATTTGGTAACAGACCTACGACGGTACTGTTGTCACTTGTCCTGGTTTCGTCAAAAGACGTGACGAAGTAAACATTGCAGACATAACTCAAAATGGATCGATCAAACTTGGCGCTCCGAGGTCTTTCTTTCGACGTGTTTGTCAAGAGATTCCCAAATCCGCGTACGCAAAGGCGACTGACTGGGCCGGAAAGTGGAGGGAGGTTTATAGACAGCTGATGGATTTCTCTTCACTAGAGACTCGAGAGGCCAAAGCCACTGTACTGCTCCTCTCCATCGGTAACTTAGTCATAGGACAAGAGATGGATAGGTCTTTCCACCTCTTGGCCTGTTCACTTCAAAACGAGGGGCAGCCCAGACAACTTCCTGTGATTCAAGGAATACCCAGATCACTGTCGAACTTTGTGCAGGGTTGTACACATCGTAAAAATAATCGAATAAAAGTTCGTCTGAAAATCAGCCAAGACTATTCAGAGTGTGAACAATGAAAATCAAGGGGCAACCTGGAACGTGAAGGCTATCAGAATAAACTCAGCATTTGCCGTTGATGGTTGCGGACTTGTAACACAAACATTGAGACGATCGACAGTTCAGCTCTTCGCTCCTTGACATAATCGTCGACGTCGTCAGTCCAAATGCATCGAAACATCAAGTACCTCTGAGACTCGCGAGCGCAAGAAAGAAGCGCAGTCAGACAGAGAAAGTCCGAATCCCTGGTCGAGTTGAGAAGGCTGAAACATGGACCAGGTCTTAACAAAATGGTAGTCTGACACATGGATACCATGACGAAAAAGACCGATGCTGCGCAGATCTTAGGCAGATCCGAATATAAACATCAATGCATAGCCTTGACTGGCCTAGTTGACTTGAGTCTCCTTTTCCGTGTGCACCACAAGTCTTGAGAAATACAAGTGTTTGAAGTTTGCACGATCTGTGATCCTAAATCACTTATCTGCCCTCAGTGTGTCAACTTCTGCTCGCCATTGGGCTTCGCTTACCGGATAAATGAAAGAACAGAAATGGAATAGTCGATCCGGGTCCAGCCAACGCCCCTCTGCAGCGGCAGGGCAGTCCTTGACATCCCTGGTCTTGTTTGACAGAAGTCGGTGCAGAAAAAGGGGCTGCAGATGGTGCAGGGCGAATAGCAAGTCGATATGGTGCCTGTCCTTCCGCACAGACGGGGCACGAGATGTACCCCTCGTGAATGAATGGGGAAAGCGATCCGCCTATGGGCAAGCTTTGCTGTTACGCACTAACCCGCAACCTGCTGTCTTGGCACTGGAACGACGGCTGATTCGGCTCTTCGACCCAAAACCCACACATGTCAGCTCTTTGGGCTTCCAGGATACAGGATACAGGATACAACACCCAAGACAGAATAATGTCAATACCCCAAGAGACAGCCTGCGGAGAAGCTGGAGACCCCAGTCTTGCCCAGCAGTATCAACACTACTCCCCTGGAAACTGTCAACCAGCCCCTCCCGGTCATGATTCCAGCGAACGGCTCTAGCTGCAAAGTTCAGCAGGGTTTGAAATTGACAACACTCGGAGCTCCCGCCTGTCAGCTACATTCAAGAGTTCGAGACTTCGAGACTCTGACGAGCCCCGACCCGACAGTGCCGCACAAACTGGCTGTTGTCCGTCTGGGCACTTTGCAGTTACAGATCAGCGGACACGAGAGCCGAGAGGCTTTGCTGTCGCTTGGAGTATCATCCACGAGGCGCGGCGGGCAGCAAACGGTGTGGCAGTCCCTAGTAGTGGTTGACAGCCATGCCGGGCGGAAGGGCTTGGATAAGGTAACATGGAGCAGATACTCCAATGACGCCGCGGCCTCCTCATCTCATTCATCCTGGGACTGGGACTGGGACTGGGAGACCCCCAGATCCAGGAGTTCCTTCCTCTTCAGGAGCGATGGATATCCCCCGTTTCCCACAATTTACCAGATATCACTTCCTCAGCTAGTGCAGATCCTGGTACCTGCTTACCCCAGGTCCGAGGTGTTAAAGAGGACCGATCATCTCGTGAAAGTTCACAGGACATCTTCCACCTCGGAAGTCTTACCACCCACGGACGCCAGGGGCTCATCATCTACTCTACTTTCTCAAAGTCTATTATCCATTGTCAAGGTCCATCACATTGACGGCATTTAACTGCGTGCATAACTTCAGACGAAAGCAGGCCATTACTCGTCCCTAGGACTCGGTCCAGCTCACGGTCATTTTCCAGTCCAATCGCCACATCAGCTATCTTCGTCTTATCGTTGATCAACAGCTCTTTACCCCTCTTTCATTTTCAACATAAAAAGAATATCCAACTCGGATAGTCAATCTGATGGCAGAGATTCACACGAACCTGGATCCGCTCCCTCGACAGGTACGCGATGGAATGATATCTATGGGGGTGTTTGGGCTTGTGTCCAGTGCCTCCACTCTCAGTTTAATGATATTTATCACATATCGGATGATATTTTGGCGACGATACTACGACCATCCAATTGCAACGAATCAAATATTTGTCTTGATCTACAATCTTCTCCTCGCGGACTTCCAACAGGCTCTCAGCTTCGTCTTCTCATTCTACTGGATTTCACAGAATAAATTGGTTGGACCGTCGCCTGCCTGTTTTGCTCAGGGCTGGCTTATTCAGATTGGTGACGTATCGTCGGGTCTATGGGTGCTGGCGATTGCTGTCCACACATGTATCAATCTAGTTGGGCAAAGGACGATCAAGCACAGAACGTTTGTTATTGCGGTGATTGCCCTGTGGGCATTCTGTTTGTTCCTCACAGCAATTGGCCCACTACTGGCCAAGGACGACTTCTTCATCCCCGCAGGCGCATGGGTATGTTCACGTCTCAATTCTGTCCAAGGCACTGCTGACAGGTATTAGTGTTGGATGAATGAAAGCCACGAGGCGGACCGATTATATCTTCATTATCTATGGATCTTCATCTCACAGCTCGGGTCTCTCGTCATTTACATTTCCATATTCTTTTTCCTCCGGGGCCGACTCGCCAATTCTAGCAAACTCCAGACTGCAGCATTGTCTTCTGTTTCCGACGAAGGACGACCAGGACCTTACAAGGGAAGTCCAACGACAACCACGACAATCATGAGCAATGGACACGACACTTTCGCCGTATCGAGGCAACGGATCTTACGAACAGCGCGATACATGGTCGTCTACCCTTTCGCTTATGTTTTCTTAACACTGCCTCTCGCTACAGGCAGAATCTCATCAATGGCAGGGAAGCGACCTCCCTTGGTATTCTTCCCCATCGCCGGTACATTGATGGCAAGCTGTGGAATCATCGATGTGATATTATACATCTCGACGAGAAAAGCACTCGTAAGGAGTAGTGTTGGAGTGAAAGGGCAAAGTCGAAGCGCGCGATCCCGAGCAAACGAGTCATCAAGGAGAGGAGCACGAGGACAGTCTTTCAGATTAGGAGAACTACGAGATCACGACGAGGAAGATCAAATTCGAGTTGGGAACGGAGTCCTATTAGGCGGCACCATCGTGGTGTCGAAATCCATCGTCATGAGCGCAGATTCATTTGAGGGTTCAAGGAGGTCGCAACGGTCTGACTCGCTGCAAAGTCTCGTCGTCAACAAAGAAGACGTATCTCACAAAGCTTGGCTCAAATAGATAGAGTACGGGGACATATCCGGAAAAGGAGAGCATTTGATTTTTTTTATCTGGGAAAAATTTAGCCGGCGAAACCAACTTTTTTTCCTTGTGTATATAATGATACCCAACCAACAAAAAATTTCAACGTTAATAATGACACACTAAAAACGCGCATATTCCCACTCATGTTGGGTTTGCCTTCACGCAGGTACTATCGAAGTCTGGGCACAGCAGAATCTCCGTATCTCACATCCGTGCCACCTCCTTGTCAACAACCAGGGTACATTATTACGCACAGCACAGCACAGCATGTCATGCCATGCCATGTCAGTACAGTACAGTAGTGAAAGTGAGATCTTACATTAGCCCCCGTCCCGTCTCGTCTTGCGATCTCGCAGATCTCGGACCAGTCTCCGAGGTTGGGAGGGAGCCTTCCAGCCTTTCCCCTAGGCCTCTTCCACCATCTACCCCGTAACTTAAACCACCAAACCCAAATTTCTCCGTGGTCTCTAAATGCGGCATCTAGAACCGGGTTGTCCCCCAGGTACTGTACTCCGTACTGTAGGTATGCGTGGGGTTTTCTGGGATCATGGGGGGAACTGATTAATTCACGATTGGCGTCCTGTACCGTGTACGCCTGGGGGGGACGTTGCCAGAAAAGTGCATGTTTTCATATATTAGAGTTTTCTGCCGAAAGTTTGGCGTCCGTCCACTTGCTTGCCCGTCCCCCAGCTTTTTTGGGGGGGTGGATCAGATCATGGATGGAGTGTGCTCAAGATTCTAGCTTCTTGGGGGTGTGGTCAAGCCGTCTCAGACGACACAGCTAATTAGATACCTAGCCTGGACGGGATACAGGTAGTCAGTCTCACGTGAAGTTTGTGTACCATTGCAGATGTTGAAACGTTTTCTGACAAGTAGTGACACCTGCACTGCGCCTCTGGAGTGGTCTCAATTGGTACTTACGAATGGACCAACGACCGAACGAGCAGACGTGCACTTGCGGTCTTGCTCGATAGGGCAGGTCGGTCCGAAGCGTTACCAACGTTTGGATGTGGGGTTTAGGCTTGATGTTATGCTTGTGACATACCAACTGAGGCTATAGCATCTGCAGTGAGTGCGAAGAAATGATTTTGTTGGTTCATAGTCGGCTGCTCGGATGGTGGGTGGTTTACTGCTACAGCCGCGTCGTTGTTGGTATTGCGGTCTATTGGGTGCGACGCTGAAACAGCAGTAGAGGCAGGGAAGCGAAAAAGGACAAGGAGAAAACTGCGCATAATGCACCTCAATATCTGAGTCTGCAGCAGCGGAGTATAAAAATTGGCGCTGTTGGTAAAATTTCATCTCAAGGCATCCCCTTCTCGTCAAGGATATAGATCTGGCATGCTGAGTTTCTTGGATATTGGCAGTGAACTAACATCTGATGCACAGTCCGCTTCGAATTGGTGGAAATTTCTCAAGGTTTCGCTTCCTAGATGAAAAGTCCTTGGGATCTTGGCCATCTCAGCATGGAACTTCCTCTTGACTGCTGGGAACTATACTTGATTATACATTCTACTGCTTCGCAATATGGTAGGTTAAAGTTCGACAATGTCGTGACGGACAATCCACGCGGGCTGATATCGTCTCATCTTGATTGGTCGGCCACACCCATCACGTAGATGTCTGAATCCTCCCAAAATTTCCTGCTCGGGGTATTACATAGATGTTCTACCCAGGCGAATTGAGTCACTATCGATTTTGCTTCCTCCCACTGGACAGGCAGCGAGTCAGTGAAAACTCAATAACTTGGGGGGGGGGGGTAAATAAAGAGAGCGGGATCACCACTTACGCTTTCCAGACCCATGACCCCTCTCAGCTTCCCCAGGATCTGCAGTAACCATATTTTGTCGTCCGAAGTTTCTCCATAAGCCGGAAATTGCCCAACTCCACTCTCTGCAACCCCCACTACGCACAAAACCCATAGCAAGAAGGGCTTGGGGAAAGATACCCATAACTCTGTGTCGTTCAATATTCGTAAAGAATATTTCACTCTTGTGACGATTTTCGAGATGATGATGCTTTTGGGGCCAATAAGTGCACGCCGAAGAAAGAGATGGATGTATAGAAGACAAGTCCCATGCCATGTCCGCGTACACGCCCTCACAGAATCCTCAGCTCGAGCTTGAGTTGAGGATCCATGTTGTCTGACATTGTTCCGAGCAAGTGACCAGATCGATGTGTTGACCTGACCTTCTAGTAGCAACATTCCTTGAGTATATTGCTGTCTTAGATATTCTGTTTCTTCGCTTACTGGTCTACAGGCATGGATTCGGGAAGCGAGGGAAGAGAGTTGGCGGACTCGATGGAACATACAAGCTGTTATGTCGTCCATGCCTTCGTAGACTCTGATGGGGGAAGAAGGGAATACACCTGGCCACTGAGAGTTCAGAGCATTGAGAAGACTTATTTCCTCGTCGAGCGTTTGAGTCGGAGGGGTGGGAATTTTGGCTTGCATGGAGAGGAAGCGTGGAGGTCGCAAATTTGCTGAAGCATGAGAGACGTCGACCCTGAGTTGGTAAGCATTTCACCAGAAGATAATCAGCTCAATTGGAATACGAAACTGAAGGGATGACCGAATTCTGGCACAGACTGACCATTGTATGAGCTTTTGCAGATACCCCGCAAGCTCCTCGTGTTTTGCGCGCCTCACGGTAAGCATCCTTTCCAAGCCATCGATGTGCACAGGCTCGTTGGCAACATGATTGACAGTCGTCTATTACGAGAAACTGATTAGTCCATAAAGCACAATTTAGAACGAGTTGAAGTTGCTCGAACGACCATTCAACTTCCCCACTTACCTCGAAGGCAGCCAAACAAGTAACAGCAGCGACATTAGCTTCCTGTATTTGCGCTTCAGCACTCTCGAGGTTTGCGACAATGTGGCGAATCGCCTCGACTTGGTGAAAATAACATTCTGGAGGGAGAGACGGGGTTCGACCTAACGTTAGAGCACGATATGTAGCGCCAAGGAGAAGAGTTCCATGAAAGAAGGCGGGGTTCGAAGTTGCTTGTGTGAACCATGATGCTTCAGCTTGATTTCCTATAGGTATACTGAACCGAGCTACTTCGTGGATACCTGAATATTGGCTGTCAGCGAGCATACTCCATTGTTCATCATGTGTGGAGGAGGTCATGTAGATCAGATCAAAAAATGAACTGGTTATGGATGCAGTATGCCTAAAAGTAACCCACTGAATCGAAGCAGCTGCAGAGAACGATTGCTGACGGAAAACATCCCCTGGAAAACTGGTTCCAGTCCTGAATCCGGCTGAGGCCGCGTAAAAGTGCAGTTTGAAGCGGGACAATATTGTTTGCCCTTCGTGGAACAACAGAGGCATTGTGAGGCTTTCTTGGTGGTTCTGGAAAGCCTGTTCGAGATGCTTGGTGATGCAAGTGGTTTACCACAGTGAGGAGGCCCAGTCAAAGTTGTGCCAGAGCCCTGGGACGGAGAAGTAGGCGCACGCCACTCAAGCACACTTGCTTGACCGGGCGGGGTTGGGTTTCGGATAGCCTTAATCGGCTCCCCGGTGAGTTGATTTCGCTTCTCGGTGTGGTATCTTCGCATTACATGAGAGCGTGCCGCTCTTCTATTAGAGGATTTAGGGGGTCTTGGATCTACAAACTCAAAGTGTGTAGCAGTATCCCCCGCTGCTGCTTTCGAACTGCGACAATGTTAGACGTTACACAATGTAGATGTGATGTTTGTGAAGCTTGCTCATTGAACTCTACTGTTTGTCAGAATCAATCAGGAAGGATGATTCCGATGCGGCTGAGACCTACTCCTTGTTGAGGGTTCAAACGTTTTGAATATCGCTTCTGCTCCCCTTTGCTTTGCCGAAGGTATATCACCTTCCATTTTGACCTTTCCGCGCAGATACGAAGATGGCCCAACGAATTTCTGCTGTGTGCTTCTCTAGGATAGCAAGCTCATCTGTACTCTGGTGCCGCTGCCGACGAGACAAGAAATATGGCCAACTCGTGTAAAGATAAGGAGCCGAGAACGCCTGATGTAGGTGATAAAACGCTCATCTAACTGTGGTCGTTGGACGGGGTTGATTCCGAGCAAGGAACCCAGGTTCCGGCGCTCTTCTCGACGATCTGTCTGCCGCGATGGCGTCTCGGCAGAGAAGATTAAGCCACATATACGATTGGTCATCCATATGGAAACGTATAATCCGGGAGATGGTCCCCAAATCAACGCTCGAAATATCTGCAATGTTGCTGACAAACGTGGATACTTTCGCCAAAGAGCGGGGAAAAAACGATTGCGGTTGTTGCACCCATGCAGATTTCCTTTTCTGGTGAACAGTACACAAAACGCCACAGAAGTATTGTCCAATGGAGGAGAATAAGCTCAGAGCTTATCTAAGCCCAGATGTGATGCCCAGGACAACATGGCGAGAGCATCTCTGGCGATCCAAACGATTGTGGGGAACAGACATGCGATGTAGTGAGTAAGTTCGAAATCAAGAGGCATGGACTTGCTTTCTTCGGAAAACGAGAGTGAAATTCAATGGATTGGGAGACGGACTGGAGACCCATTTAAGGGACTTCAATTCCTCGACTCACCAAAAATGAAAGTTGGAACTTCTCCAATACTTCATATCCCACGAAATGGACTTCTTCGATTGGCCTCAGCTTGACGATTACTATGAAGGAGATGACATACCTGCTGGCCTCGAGAATTATTCGGTCCCTGAAAATAACAATATCGCCTTATCGACATGGACTGATTATTTCACGCCGCCCAATGTAAGCACGATGATTTATCCCGAGGCGAGGCAAACGTTAAAGTGAACGGCAGCCATCACTCATCCAGACTCCAGCGCTCACTCAAAGAAGCGGATCGTCTTTTAGCAGTACGCAGGACTCGTGTCCATGTCAAGACAGGGGCGAAGAGTTTCGAAACGATGCAGCTGAGGATGAAGACGAGACAATTGTGTCGTCTAGATCTACTGGCCGGCCCCGAACTCCACTTCATAATGGTCGAGACCCTGTATTGAACCGAATCCAGGTATGAAGAATTTTGAAAGTAAGAGACCGACTGTTTATCAAACTTCTAGAGACGACGCACACAAAATAGAAATTCACAGCGTATCTATCGCCAGAGGAGAATGGAAGAGCGGCAAAGATTCGAGGAGAGGGCTATTGCGGCCGAAGAAGCATCAAAGCAGCTCAAGCAGCACCTCGCAGAGTTACACTCGGTCATTGCTTGCTTGCGGTACCAAGTACAGCAGCTTGAAGCAGAGAACGCTATGTTGCGAGGCATTAATGAGAACCTCGGCTAGAAGTTGGCAGGAGAATGAGGGAGCAAGATAATCATCTGCCCTATCCGGGGCTGCCGTGAGGTGCTGAATTAGATGCTTCTATGGTTGTCATATTGGATAAGGTATCCGCTGTTGTCTAAGGTGTTCGGGAGTTTGGACGTTGGCCGGGATGCGATCCGTAGACCGATCGCGGGATAGCCATGGAAATCGAGCGTATTGACCCTGGAAGAAAGACATCGAATGCCGAGGCCAGGGTGAACGGGCCGCAGACGAGCTGATGATCAGTGCTTGTGTAAGTTGCTGGTTAGTCAAGAAAATGCGAAATCGAAAGAAGTACAATCTTATCTCCGTGGCGCCCCATTCTACTCATACTTAGGACCAGACAGACATGACTCCACGGCAGGTCGGATCGACTCAATGGTGAGCATGATGCTGTTCCACTGATCTCAAGAGCCGAAGCCATACAAGTGCCTGCATAAATCAATACGCACGCTCTGAAGAGCAGATATTCCACATCGTCACTGTCGTTTGGCGGTTGTTTCCAAGTAGTTTGAACCAGCGATCAGAAGATGTGTAGAGTAGGGGGAATCTTTGTGTTAAGACTACCTCTTACTGCCTCCTCAATACTCCTTCATTCAATAAAAATCATTGAAGAGTTCCATTTTCTCTGGCGATAAAGGTACCTAGAATTGGTAGTAACAAATCCAGGTCATTTGAGTCACAATTCTCAATGGCTGTCAATCCTCCGCAGTGGATTGCTTACGACTTCTTTGATGATGGCACCCATTTCTTGGCTGGTAATTAGTCAGTGAGGTAGTTATTATCATGCCACGAAACCTGCCTGATTACATGTGACAGAAGCAGTAGGCAAAATGAGACGCTCACCGACCTTGGGTGGATTATCTTGCCAGCAGGAAGAAAGAACATTTACGAATGAGGGACCGGGAATGAGGCCCGTGGCAACGAATTCCGTATGTTCGGTTTGTCGCTCCTTGCTCTTATCTTGTCAACATATGGGCCGAGGCTTTGCTGATCCAGGTACTCTGCTCAATAAGCTTCTCTAAAGACAGGCTATTGACAATTTTCAAGTTGTCTGTTCTCGGGGTCAGCACCTTGGTAATGGTCCACGAGCAGCCCATGGCATCTACCCATCCGATATCTTCTCAACGACCAAGAATAGCCATGGAAGATGTCTTCCGGCAGAGTTCAGAATGAACTACACGAGCTGGATCCCTTGCTTCCAACAATGATAGAGTAAGAGATTTTAGCCAATATCTTCAGTGGCAAGATGGTCGATTGCGTAAGAGGCAAAATCCTGTTTTCACCTTTTCTATAGCTGCGGCTTGGAGTCGTCCATGGACCAAACGAAAGAGGAATGCGAGCGGGCTCCAGGTATTCACATGGGGGGCATTTGGATCGCGCCTTGGCGACATGGTGCCATACCAGTTGGTAGGGGCCTTACAGATGCCAGTCTCTTCTTCATTCGATTTCCAGGCGAAGTATTGATAGACCAATCCATTAGCTGGGTATCTGAGCCAGTCACCACATTCCCAAGCGTTTTCAATGCAGACTCATGGCCTTGCCTTCTCTGATGAGAACAACGATGCCATCGAAGATTCTCAGGCCCTTCTCGCACCCGTAGAAGGCAGTGAAGAACGATTTATAGTGTCGATGACAGCTTCCCAGATCACAGTTCAAATGATAGACGTACTCTTGCGATGTTCCGGCAAGAATCTGTAAAATGGGCGGTATCAGCTTGCACCGGCCGATCGAATTTGATAGATTAGATGAATCGATAACATAGAAGACAAACGGTACTCCCTCGCCCCAAAAGAGCAGTGGATTAGTAGACTATTCATCATTGAGCTGTAGAGGTTCCGATGTTGGCGTTTGATCCTGGTGTTCCTTTAAGAAAGCTCGTCGCAGACATCCTGTGATGACCTTTGAAGTGATTACCGAAAGCCAGTACCCGTACCAGATGAATCATCACACCATAGTAAGTCGAGAATAGTCCAAGCATCTCCGCAAACTAGAGACATAATCTCTCTCGAAACACGCTTCTTGGACTCTAGATTATGAGAAAGTGGATGGGTTCAATACCAAGACGAATCGGCTCGATCCTGCTGCAAGCTCATAGCAGGCAGGATAGCCAGCAATGTACTTAAATCAATTTTGAAGCGAAATTATTTGTAACCTTCGCGCGGACAGACTGATTTGGAATAGCACTGTATTAGTAGAAAAGTTTTGTTGATGAAGGACGTTCTTCACAAGTACCTTCTATTGTCACATGCCATTAACGCGTCTAGGTTAGCGCGACGCGTGAAGCGGCCCACTTCTTCCGTGAGCTTCACATGGAAATACTTCGGTCTCTTCATATCCACCGAACAGCGCGACCCCTCCTGTCACTCGAGAAGTGGAGACTCTATTAATTACGCAGACAGTCTGAACATTTTGGCTGCTTCAGATATTGCGGAATTTGCTCCTTTCACGTTAGAAGACCATGGCCACATCGCAGTGTCCATCCTTGCCCAACGAACTCTGGACCCAGATTCTTGAGAACCTTCGTGCGGATGAAGACTTGCCAACACTTTGGAAGAGCTGCCGAAATGTTAGCACAATCTTCAGAGACGCTGCAGAATCCATTTTCAGAGAGCAGCATCTTCCGAAGACCAATATCTATTTCTTCCTAGGTACGAATCATCGCTATATAGATAAGATGTGAGCTGACAAAAATACAGGCGAATTCCTGGCAGATAACAGTGACGAGGAAGACCACGAAGAACGGCTCGAAATTCGGCACCTAGTGGCAGACTTTAACTTCTCCTCACTCTCCGAAGACAGAGCCACCGCTACTTTTACTGTCGATACCGACGAGCTTCCCGAGAATCTACATCCAAGAGTGAGAAAGCGGCTACGCGAGTATGTAAACAATATGAATATCGAAGTGCCCCGGCATACTGTTCAGATCCGACGAGATGTCAACGATGGGCCAATACCGGGATGGACGATGGATTATGACAAGTTGGAACTGAGCTGCGACTGGCGAGAGTTATTCGGGGCATTCTACAGCGAGGAATACCTATACCACAAGTTCACAGCGAAGGCTCTTACGGACAGAGCATTGTGGCTGACAGAGCTCAAGTCAAAGGTTGACCGGGGAGAGCTTGATCCTATGAAAGTAATGACACAGGCCCTCACAGCCTTTGCAGACGATTCCAAAGATTGCAGGAAGCTGGCGCGTAGGGTTCGGATTGGTTGGCAGTTCAAGAAGCATGACGGAACAGAGTGGGATTTTGGAAGAGATGGTGATGAAGCAGAAGAGAAGAGGTGTCTGGCCGAGCTTCAGAAATTCAGGCACTTTTCCTCGTTGGAAGAGTTCAGTGACGATGATAGTGAGGAGGGCGATGAAGAGGAAGATGACAAGTCGGACGATAATGAAGAAGACGAATGGGAAGACACCGACACCGACGGAGATAATTGAACCGACGATTTGATACCGATTATGACCATTATGAACGATTTACTTTTTCAGCGACGATACCGAGGATAGATTTCTTGTCCAATATATGAGAAGGAGTTTCGGATTTACCATGTTGGCGCGGTCAAGCACATATCTCCGAACAATCTAAAGACACGTGCATGTTGTGGAGGCTGAATGAGGAGATGACGACTTGGCAGTTACAGACTCTTCTGTATGGGGATTAACAATGGAAAGGGAACTTGATATCGTTGGACCTTTTTCATTGCCGGATTCTGAAATCGGCTTTGCCGAACAGATATCGCCTTGGTCCTGTCTGGCTTATTGAAGCTTTCCCTCGGTAGCCTCACTGTATCAGCTGCATTTTGCTGATTAAGGTACGTTCAGGGCAAAGCGAGTGCTACTTGGTTGGAAAAAAGCCTCTCGCCGTTGGTTACTGAAGATGGAGAATGTTCATGCGGCAGCGCGTACATAATCAGTCGCTAAGTCATTAATGCCGTAAGCATTCGGCATGGGAATGGAGGCCCTGGAATAGTAATCAGAGCAGAAGCGAGCTCCTGAACGTCAATGGCCTTGGCTTCACCAAGCAGTGACCAATCAGAAGCTCCCTTGCCTGCAGCTGCACTTAGCTTCAGATCAAGAGACGACAGCATGAGCAGCCTGACATAGCTAATGAGTAAGAGAGTAAGTAGTATTAAATAGATCCTCCTTTCTCTGCGCAAGATGTGAACACAATTTCTTCTCTTCACATCACCACACCAGAATCCAAATAACAACCCGCCAAGATGACCATCTCAAATGCTATCTATCGTGGTGTAGCAGGTGATGCTGCAGGAGCCGTGGTGAAGAGTTCAGTCGACATCTCATCCGATCTAGGCCCCAAAGAAATTCTCATCAAGATCACCCACTCCTCTCTGTGCTACACGGATATTCACATGATGTCTTCCGGAATCGCTCTTGGGCACGAGGGAGTAGGCATCATTGAGAAAGTCGGAAGTGGAGTCACCACTCTGAAGGTCGGAGATCGTGCTGGTGGCGGGTATCTCAGAGACGTGATTCTGTCTGATCTGACTTTCTGTTTCTTACTGATCACATGGTGATAGAGCTGTGGGCATTGCAATTACTGCACAAAAGGCAAAGATATCTTCTGCTACGAACGTAATATCTTTGGAGAGAAAGACTTCAACGCTGGAACATTCGCGGAGTACTGTACGTTCCTCTACCCAGTTCAAAAGACCTTTGCTTACACATCCCAGACATCCTTACGTCCACAAAATCCCAGAAAACCTCCCCTCCGAATACGCAGCACCACTTCAATGCGCAGGAAGCACAGTCTACAACGCCATCACCTCCTCCGCCAAGCCAGGCGACCGAGTTGGTATTCTCGGCATCGGCGGTCTCGGCCATCTCGCCATCCAGTTCTCAGCCAAGCTCGGGTTCGACACCATTGTATTCTCAACCACTGCGGAGAAGGAGGCTGAAGCTAAGAGCTTTGGTGCTTCGGAATTCTATCTCTTGAGTGAGCCTGAGAAGATCACGAAGCCGGTGGATGTCTTGATTGTTACTGCTGGGAAGTATCCGGATTGGACGAAGTGGGCGCTTTCCAGTTGTGGGAATTGAAATGAAAGCTTACTCTGCTGCTAGGTTCATGAACAAGAACATCCTCGCTCGCGGCGGCGATATACTCGCCCTCTCCGCTCCTATCGTGCCAATTGAGATTCCGTACGTCCCCCTTTCCCACCAACCCATCCCCTCCCTCTACCCCTCTTGTTCAATCCACTTACCCATAATTGCACAGAGGTTTCCCATTCTTCTTCGAGACCTACAACTTCAAAGCCTCCCTCGTCGCTTCCCGCGGCATCCACGAAGATATGCTCAATTTCGCAGCTCGAACTGGCATCAGGCCCGTGATTGAGAAGTTTGAGTTTTCGCAGAAGGGCTTTGAAGAGGCGATGGAGAAGATGAAGAATGGCAAGATGAGGTATAGAGGTGTGCTTGTTGCTGCTGGTGCTTAAAGTGGAGTATGGAGACTAGGGAGTTGGTCATTGAGTGGGGTAGCATGGCGGGTTGGCTTGTGCCCTGAATGAAGTGGAGAATGATTCAAGGGTTTCGGTAAATCAAGCGAGGAATGTTTGAAACGTCGCGGAAGTAAACAAATACTGCCTATATTCCGCTGTTAAGAAGCATTTCATTCCAAAATTTCCCAAACAATCTACCTTTCTTCTGATACTTACTCACGGTACGGAGAGTGACGCTCTTTCCGATCCCCTGCATTTCATACCTCTGCATCAGGGAGTCTACCTCACAAGACGCCATACAGGACGGACTGTGCCTCCAAGCTCCGCACCTTCTTATCCAAACCCAGACTCGTGCACTTCCAAATGACACCTTCTCGAAATCTTCTTCCCGAGCCGTTCCGTTTCTATCACGACTTTCGTCGGATCTGCCTGTCGGTAAGTGATTCCAGCGTGGGCATCAAACTCGTACAAGACATCTCCAAGCGAGTGGCGGCGCTACTGAGGAGCTTCAAGATCTCACGGCGGATCGTTTCTTCCTCGAAAGTGCCAAGTGAGAATGAGAGAAGGATGGAAAAAGCGGATGAGAGTCCCTCGGTTGAAGAATATGGAGAAGGCGAGAGCAGAGAAATTCAAGTAAAGTGGTTGCCAGCATATGTTGAGTCACTGAATGCCATGCCAGAATGATGTAGAGAGGAAAGAAAAGAGGGATTGAATAAATGAAAAATGGCTTGTTGCTTCAGCGTAACCGTATGATGTACGCAGATGAGTGCACTTGAGATATCTTCAAGGAATTCTATCTTGGAAATTCACAACGACCTACGGTATTCCTCGGAACCTCCACAGAAGTTCTCGCACAGAACATCAGAATGTTCAAAGCTCATAGATTGCATTTTTTTCGTCCATAGACTATCACCACAATTACTAAGCAAATAACGAGACTGTTTTCAGTACATCAATGGTATCAAAGTCCCCCGCCAAACTGTGCTAAGCCAAAACCAAAATAGAGAAAACAAAAGGAACGCATCGGTAGTCGTGTCTCCTGTGCTAGTATGACATGAAAAAAGAGACTGCTCCATGATATAGCGAGTAAGCCATGCGAAGACACGATCAGAAAGCAAACACGCAGATAAAACGCTTCGCAGGAACAAGCGAAGGAGGACATGATCATGATCAAGGGAGTGATTGAGTAAGCGAATGTGCCTGCAAACGCCAATGCCTATAATCCCGAATAAACTCATCCATTGCCACATTGAAGAACCAGACGACCAATAACAGAGCGGAGCAGAGCAGTAAAATACCATCCACAATCAACGAGCCGAACGGTACCGCTACTTCACTCCAGACCATGATCATCCATCACCATCCCGACAGCAAGTCCCATCCTCAATGCAAGTAAGTAAGCAAATACAAAGCAAAAGCAAAAGCAAGATCAAATCCTCCACATCCCACACCCATCACAACCACCTAACCATACCAAACCCTTGCCAAAACCAACACAACGACCGCAAGCACAACCTGTCTCACACCATCCTCCCCCCCAACCCTCTCAAGCACCGCATCCCACCAAACCCACGCCCCACTAACACCCTTACAATACAGCTCCTCGCCATCAACAAACTCCCCCATCTTCCCCACTCTCTTCCCACTCCCATTCTTCCCACTCGTCATTGCGTTGGTAGAACTAGGTAGAGGTTTCGGAGCGCCGTGGATCGTGGAGGGTGCGAAGGCCCAGGCTGAGCTGTGGCGGGGGTAGAAGATCAGGGAGATGATGTATGGGATTATGGGGCGGGTGAGGGGGTTGAGAGGGGGGTAGGAGATTGAGCCCGTGGAGGGGTGGGAGTCGAGCGTGAATGTGGAGTCTTGGGCGGTGAATACGAAGGGGGCGGCTCTGTTTGAGGAGTTAGTCAGTTTTGAGTCTCTCTAAGACTTGGACCAAGTCAGATGGGATAAACATGAAGAAAATGGGAAAGCAAGAAAGAAACTCACTTAAACACATCACTCTGCCTCTCAGCCTCTTCCCTCATCCGCATATCAATACCCTTCAACACCTTACTCTCAATAACCTTTCCCAGCCCCAGAATCGTCGCAATCTCCTCATGCTGATGCTTCTCATACGGCTCCTTGAACTGATCAATCACAGCTCTCAACTTGGCTCCATCAAACTCCTCCTTGAGAGTCGTCTCCGCGTATCGACGGAACGCTTCCATGCCTTTGTCCATGGCTTTGTGTTGAGATAGGTTCTCGGACATGAGTTCCTTGATGCCGGTCACACGCTCGATTTCGGGGAAGTAGTGCGATTCTTCAATTAGTTGGTGGTGGTGCATGAAGTCGTAGGTTATGCTGCAGTAGGAGAGGAGGTGGGTTGCGGAGTCGGTGGAGGGCTGGACATGGTAGGAGTGTGCGTAGATGCTGTTGAGAGCGCGGAAGATGGTGTTGTGGGTTTGGGCCATGAAGCGCGCGTTGGCGATACAATGGTGGTTTTGGGGGATGTTGGGGGTGGTGAGAGCACCGGTTGTGGAAATGAGCTTGAATGGTGTTTCGGGCCTGGAGGTGTTAGTAACTTGAAACTTATGAAAGGAGATGGGGACTTACCATGATGGAAAAGTGCCAGTCTTGACAGGACCATGATTTTCAGGCAGGAGATACCAGTCCACCGAGCCTTTCAGAGCTTCCTCTTGATTGGCATATGGCTGATCCTCCCACGGTACAAAACCAAGACGCTCACGTGCCTTCTTGATGGAATATGTGCGAGTGTACAGAATGAACTCCATACGTTCCAGAATCAGACTCGTAGGACGCAGCTTTCCCCATGTGGTAGCCCAAACGATGTACTCCGCAATGTGAGCCATAATCAGAACCAGTATGGGAGGAATATACCAGATGCTGCTGAGAGGTGTATGATCACCAGCCAGAGCCCAGTATTTGCGGAAGAAAGTCAGAGGGGGAGAAGGTTGGTCGTCTGTGATGTTGAATGCTTCACCTGCAACCTTTGGGGCTTTTGGATCGCTCATCTCGACGAGAAGACCTTTGGCAGCGAGGACTTCAGCAATGGCAACATGACCGACATAGACGACGTCCATGTCTATATCATTGTAGCCCATCCAGATACCTGTTTGGCCAGCCTCGAGAGCATCGATGACTGGGCCAATCATTTGACCATCTCCTTCGCCGTACAAGGCTGTAGGGCGGATACAACATGTTCGGATTCCATGCTTGCCATTTGCTTCAAGAACGATCTTGTCGCCGAGAGCCTTGGCAACGTGGTATGGATCTCCTTTTCTGATGGCTGGAACGGCGAGTGTTGGGAATGTTTCATCGGCATGATCATAGCCGCCTCCTGAGCCGGCGATGATGGGGCCTGAGGATGTGTAGACGTATGCTTGGATGGTACCAGTTTCAACAGCTGCTTCGAGCAGGTTCTGGTTGCCGTTGATGTTGACCTTGAAGATGTCTGGGACATGTTCGTGGTCTTTGTAGGCGTGAGGCGAGGCTGTGTTGAAGATGACCTTTGGACGGACTTGGTTCATAACATGGCGACAGTGTTCAAGGTTCGTGACGTCTCCGATGTAGTAGGTGACGCCTTCATAACGGTTCTTGAAGGGCGATCGACACATGACAGAGATGGATGTGCATGTGGTTTCTTTGAGAAGGAACTTGACGACGTGATGGCCGAGGAAGCCACAGCCGCCGACGACAAGGACGTCGCCTAGTTGTGGGCCTGTGGCAGGAGGGTGAAGCTCGAAGGATGACATTCTTGTGAGAGTACCTGAAGGAGCGTTGGATGTAACTGGTGAGGGTGTTCCACTTGAACTCTCATCCTCATGAAGAGTTGCCATGCTGGCCTGTGCTTGTAGTGTAGCTGAGGGCTTGTACAAACAGTAGTTAAAAAGTAAAGGGGTATGAAAGAATGACTCGATGAAGTGGAGGTGTTTAGTCAAGATGGATAGCGGGTCGAGATTTTGTGGAAGTTATTGAGGGAGGGCAAGCTATAAAAGGTGGTCAAGTGAGAGCGCAGCCTTACGTATTGATTAACCAGACGACTGATCGATCCGTGAATCAGTCGGCATGAGTCAAGTGCGATTATCGGATAGCCAACTACGCCTCATTCATTGGGGGTTTCTATTGGAGCCTCTATTCGCTCCACACTTCTCCCTGGCACTTGCCCTGACACTCGCACATATTCCTTGGACTTGCACATACTTGAATAAGTCAAGTTATGTTGACCTACCCAACGCATCGTCCGACAATCGGTCGAACACGAGCTGCAGTGGTCGCCGTCCTTGCGTAACCGGTACACCCGTTGGCAAGGTACATAAAAGGTAGGAGAAAACAAAGACTTGCGAGATCGAGTTTCACGGATGGCAAACCCAGATTGGATCCCCACAGAAATCAGATCTGGTACGAGGGAGCAGATGTGGATCCTGTTCCCAGTCTGATATTTCCAAGCCCTCCAAAAGGCCACAATAGATCTTGTAAGCTATCGAAGTGGTGCAGATCTGCAAGTCTAGGGAATACTTGGCAGTGTATTGACCGAGATGCTTGTTCGGACGGAGCTTGCAAGCTGTTGACCCATGATCATTCACGGGCCGAAGTAGGGTGTATCAGGTCTAGAGGGTATCAAGTCAAGTCTTTCCGTCTAAAACTTCCATTTTGATATTTCGAGTCAGCTGAAGTGAGGGAATTTCTGAGCAGAGCTGCCTCCGTTGTCCCAAAGTGGTGATGCTTTGGGCTACGATATCGCGCTAGTTCATGATCGCGGCAAAGCAAGGATGGTCAGCGGTAGAGATGTGTCCTGGCGGCTATGTAGGCTTGGACAGAGCGGGACAGGATCCTTGAAGAGCAGGTCTTATCGAGGGAATTGAAAACGGTCGGGTCGAGAACACAGAAAATGGATGGTGTCAACTACCCTTGTCCCTGGAACCCGGATCATGGATACCGCGACGGAGAAATCCTGCAAGTGTAAGCGTTTAGATATGATTGGTGTAGCTGGTACGAAATGACCACCTTTCTTGAGCTTCACTGGTCAGATTTGGAGACGTGAAGTACCTCTCCAGCTGATAGGGAGATTAGTTGAAAGAATAAGCAAGACGAGGCTTTTGGTAATACAACCACACTTCTTACTCGACTGCTCCCAGCAAAGATCTATCAACCTATGCTTTCTCTCGGACTTCTTTTGCACTTCCCACTTTCCCACGCACGATCGAGATCCACTGAATGTACGCAGACCAGGAAGTATACGAAGAAGCCAATGAGGAGTGCTACCATCAATATGGAGACTCTTCAGCCACGGGCCCCCAAATAGATGCAGCACTACGACATCCTGATACTAGGCGAAGTCTTGATAGCAGCTGCAAGCAGAGACACAACCAGGATTCTCAGTCCCTCTCGCATGGTCGATGAGTTCGCGCCAGACAATCCTTGAAACCAAACTCCAATTCCCATGTGGCAGAGTCGCATGCAGGGCTGACACTGGCTTACCCCTCCACTCGACTCCACCAGCCTCATCCAGATCTAGATCCAGGTAATCAATATCCCAGCTGCATGCTGACTTCCCCAGACGGGTTGGAGTAGTGAGACGGGCCATCAAGAAGACTGTGCCTCTTCCTTCTAGCCAGCCAGCCAGCCAGCCAGCCAGCCAGCCCATCGACGGGCCGGGCAGGGGACCATGTGCGTGGTGTTGGTATCTGGTTGCTTGGGACGACACGCCTTCGATGTGCATGCTTGGGTACGTGGTGGGGTCTATGCGCGATGGATTGGATTGATGTCCGTAAGCCTATCTATCGAACTTTCTCAACCCGTTCGTGCGATTGGATGAGATGGGATGAAATGGAGAGAACAATCGAGCTGGCGATAGCACGAATGTACAATTCGTCAGCAGCAGCTGCTGAGCTGTGCCGTGGAGGTGCATCGTGCAGCTTCTATCTTCGCGAATTTTGTGGCTGTTTCTCACGCACTCATCCTGAAAATCAAGAGCGTCTTTGATAGTCTTAGTCTTAGTAACCGTGGCAGTGAATCATCTAGGATGCAGAGTGCGACAAAGCCAAAGACAAGGACAAAGATATACCAGTATCAGGGATTGGATGCAAATCGATACTGATGGATGGATAAGCAGCTGCAGAAATCTCCAAAGGAGAGGGTGTGTAGTCCGAATAGCCCCAAGTCCGTGCCGCGCCGCTCGATCTTTAGCTCATTTTTCAGGGTCCACTCCGCTGTGGCCCATGGGCTGGCCCGCGTGAAAACCCCCGACCAACGGCTTGGGATCAGCGCTGTCAGCCAAGCCATTCTGACAAGCACTGGGGGCGGGATAAAGGGTGAGCATTGAGCAGGCGAGGCAGGGCAGGGTTGTCGGCGCCTAGGTACAGTATGAGGGAAGGTCTTTCTAGCGCCGCTTACTGTACCTGGGGCTGGGATCGGCTTGGCTGGGGCTGGGCTTGGCTGGGCTGAAGGGCTGTGGTTCGTAGCTTAACCATATACTTTCTTCCTTTTCTCATCTTTAGACAGATCTTAAACTCGTAACGAATCGCCAAGACCACATGGATTGAGGGATTTAGGTCTCGCTCGTAGGTACATGCGAGAGCGAGATGTCAGATGGGGCTTTAGATACTTACCCACAATGTCTTAGCTTTCTTTCTCGCTTCCTTTGTTTTTTCCCCACTTGGGCAATTTATAAACCCACTTCTTTGCTACCTACCTACCTACCTACTCCCACCTCATCCTCGCTGAAATACAGCATCTTAGGTACCTTAGCTACCTCGTTCCTTAACCTCCCAGATGCGACCTGACCTATCCAAGCCAGCTCACCACACACATCATCCACCTACCCTTGACACGCGTCCCTCCAGTCAGTCCACAGAATCCAGAACCCAACACTGTGTGCCGGATCAAAAACTCAATCGTTCCTCCCGCCCCGCCCGTCGCGCGGCCGGGGAAATTTCTGCCTGCCGATGCCTACGTGCATACCTTGTAACATACGGAATTCATTATCCAAATCAAATCAAATCAAATCAAATCATCAAAGACAAAATTTAGGGCGTGACGGAATAGAGTACTGTGTTGAAGTACAGTTCATGCGACCAGGCTTCTTCTCCTTCTCGGCAAGATGCAGGATCTGTGAACGTCTCGTTTATATCTGTGTCTGTGTTCTGTGCTATGTTTGCGTCAAAGTTCTGCAGACTTCCTTCTCTCGGTCATTCATTCATTCATTCAGCTTAACCCGTGATATCTGTCTTTCTTCCTTTCTTTCTTCTATGTTAGGTAGGCTTTCTGTCTTTGTCTCGGCCAGAATCAAAGTCTGAGGCTAAGGTATCAGGGCTTGCATGAACCTCGCATACTTGCATACATACATACATGCATACATGCATGCATGCACGCAGGCAGGCAGGCAGGGCCGCGGAATATATTATCAAGCCGCTAGTCTGCTGCAGAAACGAAACTCGCATATTTACATGTAGTTATGTACCTAAGCGCCGAACAGTACCTACTTACTCACTCACTCGCTCGCTCACCAAAGAAAGAACTTCAATGTCACTAGCTGTTAACTCTAATCTGTTTACTCCAGGAAGAGTAATAAAACGTGAGATGTGGAGTGGATACGGTCGTACATAATTTAGATCGGAGTATTCTCCTTCTGTGAACGGAGGGGGATGTCCGAGGCACGATGAGGTAGGTATCTAGGTAAATTATGTGGAGGTCAATGGGTGAAAGGGACAGGGACAGGGCTGAGGTTCCTGGTATGGGTCTTAGATCTGTGATTTGGGGGTGAGGTGCGTTGAAGTACTGTGTGTGTGTGTGGAAATACGAGGGATCCAATCGCTGTGCTTGCTTGTTTGTTTGGTACAGTACCTTGAATATTTTCATGTGAGAGAGGCAGGGGGACAAGGTGTTTACATGTGGAATAGTGGATATTTATGTTTATATTTAGGGGAGTTTTTAGGAGATAAGGGGATGTCTACCGTACTTACCTTACCTAGGTAGGAATCACCTGTGTCGTAAATCTGCCTGCCGTGTTGGTGGCGTGTTTTCTTTGTGCATCATAGCCCGCTGCCACCAGGTTCTTTGGACAGGATAAGACTTGGCAAGAGGGGTCTATCAACACCACTAATCGAAAGAAGTTTACCAAATAACGCTCACGGAGTACTTGTTCATACAGTTTTAGAGATTCACAAAAATGGAACCAAATATTGATAACTGGTGCGAGGAGAAGAGCATTCATTATTCCCAGCACTAAAACCTATTTATGCCTGGCTCCCACCAATGCGACAAGAACCACCACATCCAGCATGGTGATCATATACCGTAGCAGACAGCAGATTGAAACACCAAATTTCTTTTTGATCTCGTTTCTTTCCTGGTTTCTAAACCCGTCATCCAATTTATGCCCACCAAATTATCGTTCCATCAATTGATCTGTCCCTTTCTTTTGTGACACCCATTGGCCAAATTTGATGACCCCTTTGCATGCAACTCCAAGAATGCAGATGAGCAAAAGGAAAAAAAACAAGACAAAAGAAAGTTTGGATGATGTGAAGAGCGGTGATGGGGGCCTTGCCATGAAAGCACCAGATCAAGCACCCACATCAAAGAATCTCTCGTCCCCTTTCTTCACAAATCTCAACGGCACTCTTCCCTCCTCAGAAAGCTGCACAGTAATAGTACACTTCAACTTCCCCTGCCAGCTCTCTCTGGCTTTCTCCGCCGCCTTCTCCCAAACACCCTTCTTCTCCCCCCGACTCATCCCCTTGACCTCCTCATCACTAGCCCATGCATCGACAGCTAGCTCAACGGAATACTGACTGAAGATCACTGCAAGCGCAGTGATGATCTCAATTTGGGCGAAGCGACGGCCGAGACAGGCGCGTTGGCCTTCGCTGAAGGGTATGAATGCGCCTTTTGGCGGGGTGAAGAGTTTGCTTGCCAGGGGCGTGCTGGAGGATGGTAGTTCGCTGATGGGGGTGCCAGGTTTGGAGACGTAGCCTTCGTCGATGGTGTGTTGATTGAGATGGGTAGAGTTTGATGGAGAAGAGGATTTGAGGAGCCAGCGTGAAGGCTTGAATTCTTCGAGGTCGTTGTCTAAGTTGTCGAGTGGGAAGATGGGAGATGAGGGGTTGCTTGGCGGTCCTGAGGGCCAGAATTTGGGGTTCTGAGATGGGTTAGAGTTTGTCCTGGGTAACAAAGGGTAAACTTACGACGTGGACGGAAGGAATACAGAGCCGGATCATCATGTTGGCAGGTAAATCCGTTTGTCTTCCTTCAACGATAATTCTCTGAGGCCGAGCACACACCATCTTAGGAACTGTAAGGATTGGAGATATCAATCGTAGCTCTTCATTCCAAACAGCTCCCAGCATTGAGTTCAGCAGCCGAGGGAAATCCTTCTCATAGTCCCACTTTGAGGGTGGTCTTCCATTCAGAATCTGAGCCAAGTCTTTCTGCAGTTCCTTTTGTGCGGATGGATGTAAAGCGAGAAGCGTGATTGCCATGTGCAGGCTGCTTGCCGAAGTTTCGTGACCAGCAACAATGAAGACAAAGAGGTTACCCATGATCTCGCTGTCAGTCAATGGTGTCGTCTTCTTCTCTGTGTCTGACTGTAGAAGTTGCCCAATGAGATCTCCTGCTGAACGTTGCGTTGAGTCTCGAATACCTCGCTTCTTAGACTCAATCATCTCCTCCATGTATTTACCCCAATTGTCGTAAGCTTGAAAAGCGTCCTGTACAAATTTCATTGGTAGCATTCCTGGGAAACTGTCAGCAGTGCTACAGAGCTGTCTGTAGCTCGAGGACTCACTAGCGAACCAAGAAGGGAGGGCCATGACGGTGACAAGCGCGAGGATGTTGTGGGCAATGAATTGAAACGATGACGAGAAGCTCATGGTGTGACCCATTGGTAGAGCCTGAGAATCGTTACCATCGTCCCAGTCCATCTGCTGACCCAGGCCTGCCCGACCGATAATTTCGAGGGACAATCGCATGGTGTCCGGTGCTACTTGAGTTGTCGTTCTCGAGGTGCCCGCACCGCACCATGATGAAACCATTGCCTGACTCAGATCCAAGGTCTCCTTCCAAACCAATTGGTTGTTCTTTTCCGAGAAAGCTGGGCTGGTCAACTTTCGATGGTATCTCCATGTTGCCCCTTCTGAAGAAACAATGTTCTGGCCATAGATGCTGATGGGACGGTAGATGTGTGTTGGCTTTGGAAAGTCTGTTCCTCTGGAGGTAATCTGAGCAATGAGATCGGCATCTGCTGTATTGAGTATGATCCCGCCTGGAGAGACGGTCAGGAAAGTATCGGTTCCTAGTCTTGTGAATGGCGCATGTCTGAGTCGCAGTGGCCAAGTTGCAGTGACCAATTGTCGCCAGGAGTCCACAGCTGAGGGAGGTAGAACACTGTTGAGAAAGCGTAGGACAGTTCTGCCAAGTAGCAATGAGATGAGGGAGTTGTAATTGAACCAAGGGACAACAACACAACGGATTCCTGTAGCCTGAGCAACGCGAATATTCTTCAGCAACGAGTAACAGTTGCTCAGGAGAAGGAAGAGCAACAAAGGGGGAACGACGTAGAGGAGCAGCATAATAGCTGTGTGACCTTAATATGTCGAGATTGAGACTAGTGGTACATTGACTGTGGATGTTCTCTCCTCAGCTAGACAACTCGAGAGGTGCCGGGCCGTAGTGGGAGCCGGCTCGGTAGAATAATTTTCAAGTGGAGGTAAACGAGAGGACGGCGGCAGCGAGGTCGAAAGGCAGAGAGGGAGAAAAACTCAAAGGGGATGCAACGACGGTAAAGCAGGACCAGCAAAAGGGGGAACGTTTAAGACATGCAAACACGACCTTAGACACCGAGTGACCATTGTGCGACTTTGTGTCACGGCATCAATCAGAAGTGAGAGAAGAAGTGAACTTGGTCTTGGGGAGGAGAAGCACGACCAGCGAGAGGCACAATTCAATTCCATGACCAAGCAATAATATCCTACCTAACTTTGGCGTAAATTATCGGGGATAACAGAATACAGCGGGTGTCTGGTAACGTCCAGAGTGACTGTAAATCAGGATTTTAGCTCGTAAAAATCCAAGGACGTGGTTGCTCAGATGAGTCAGCTTCAGCCAAGCCACTTGCAACACACCTGGGCACCTCACATCCACCCGCAGATTGGAGCAAGGACACTTCCCCGCCTGCTCCAGCTCCAGCTCCTCTCCCTCTACACCCCCGCGGGAAGTGGCAGATTTGGGGACACTTGCTAACAGTTGGATTCTCTACAACAAAACTTGATATCAAATTACTATAACTTCAATAGCTTTACTAGAGACCTTGAATCTGTTTAATGCTTTATTTTGAAAGAAAATACATCATTAGTCGTGCAGATAATACTACTTTATCACCAAGGACCTTTTGATATTTTGGTGGTGGCCTTTGCCCTCGAATCGGCCATTTCCCGCGGGGCCCGACAGTCTCCTCATCTCCCTGGCATTCCTTCCCTGCCCATGTCTCATCCACATCCACATCCACATCCACATCCACATCCATCTGCATCAACAAGGATCCGGCTGACTCGTTAATCGTCTGCTACAGTATCCAGGCCATGTCTGCTCACTTGTGGCGTTCTTCCCGTCCCTCGACAGGCTGGTACAGTAAGGTTACTGTAGTGGAGGGCAGAAGCGCCTAGACGCCTTGCCCTTGTCCTTGTCCTTGCAGAAAAAGCCACGCCGCACCGAAGGCAAACCCTTACCTATCCTTTCAACCTCACTTGTCAAATGGAATTCCTACTTCTGCATGTTTATGCTAGCTGGCGGCGCAGGCTGAGCCAGACATCATGAATTCTGCACGAGCTAGACTATCGATAAGTGTATTGTATCTATCTTTGTCTTCTTTTTTGACTTTGTGGTTCCTCGGTCTGGCCCTCGCAGCAGCAGTCCACGTAAACATCATGCCTGTTGCACCGCCGCGGGGACTGAGGTACAATGATGAGACGAATGCCATCACGCGATGCAGCGCCCGCTTCTTAGTCATGCCTACAATGATGCCTCGCGGCGGATTGGAACAGGATATGGACGGCACAGCATCTTGGTCCTACAAACGGATCGAGATGAAGCAACGGGATGGTACAACATCGTTACCAGATCCAGGGTAGACATTGGCTGTGTCTTACAAACGGGTCTATCCCAAACATTCGAGGCTCAAGCCCCTGTGCTGCTCGTCTCTGGGTCTGATCATGTCAAGGGCAAAGCACTTCCAACTGTCCAACTGTCCGGCTACGTGCTTACTTGTCGGATTCTGACATCCAGCCCAGCTGCTGCAACTAGAACCGTCCGCCCCATGTCCACTTCCTTTGTCCGCACAATGCCTTCTTTTGCCTCCTCCGATTGTTGTCCGTAGTGCTGATGACTTTCTCTCCTAGGAGTTCTGCTCTGCTCTGCCTCCTTTGATACCTTGCAAATGTGATGCCCCTCTGGTCTCTCGCCCACCCTCCTAGTCTTGACTACTCACCTCAATGGTCTCCAGTATCTTGGCTGACTTGAAGAAACTGCCTTTAATCGTTTAAAAGGTGAAAAGAAGTGAATCGAGTAGGAAAACACGTGGTGGCCTCACTTGGTCTCTTCAGGTTTCCACCTCCCGCTTCGGCTGTTTGCCCTCATCTCCCACTAGCTCGGATGTGGCCATCTCGACTCACCCAACCTGAGCCTCACCATCCTCGTCTTCAACTTCGAAGTGTCAGACGCGTCGTTATTCTCTCATCAACCACAAACAACCTTTCACTCATCTCTCATGAAGCAGCACTCGTAGACATCTTTCACAATGAGAGTGTATACATTGGACCCCTTTGAGACTGAGTACAACGGTTTCCGCCATCCATTCATTGGTCATCCCCCAGACTCACCTTTGGACCCTCTTAGTCCGAACTTCAGCGCTCATGCTTTCTTTTCGAATTTGGCAGGCTATACCGTCCATGCCCCTGGAAACTTGTTACGCAGAAGCGCTGGTGTCTCTTTCACTGACCTCAATGTCTCTGGTTTTGGCAGCCCAACTGACTATCAAAAAAGCGTTGGTAATGTTTTGCTTGGAGTAGCCAGCTTGTTTCGTCGCATGGCAGGAGAGAAGAAGCAGGAGATCAATATTCTGCGAGACTTCGACGGTCTCGTTGAAGCTGGAGAGATGTTACTTGTCCTAGGTCGTCCCGGAAGTGGTTGTTCCACCCTGCTAAAGACGATCTCTGGTGACACCCATGGCTTGCTTGTCAGTCCAACTTCGAAGGTCAACTACCAGGGTATTCCACCACACCAGATGCACACACAATTTCGAGGAGAGGCTATCTACATGGCTGAGAATGACGTCCACTTCCCTCAGCTCACCGTTGGACAGACCTTGTTGTTCGCTGCAAAGGCGCGTGCTCCACCTACTGGTACCTTCCCTGGTATCTCTCGAGAATTCTACGCGGAGTATATGCGAGATGTTTACATGGCAACTTATGGTATCTTGCATACGATGAACACAAATGTCGGTGGTGTCATCATTCCTGGAGTCAGTGGAGGAGAGAGAAAGAGAGTCAGCATTGCAGAGGCAGGTCTAAGTGGCAGTCCTTTGCAGTGCTGGGACAACAGTACTCGGGGCCTAGATAGTGCGAATGCTCTCGAATTCTGCCGCACCATCAAGCTGTCAACTCAGCTGGCTGGTGCTACCGCGCTTATCTCCTTATACCAAGGTTCTCAGGATGCATATGAGGTCAGTCCTTTATCTCTCCCAGCACGTTACCGTCTAATTCCCCACAGGTCTTCGACAAGGTCACAGTTCTTTATGAGGGGCGTCAAATATACTTTGGCCCTTGCAGCGACGCTAAAGCTTTCTTCACAAACATGGGCTTTGACTGTGCTCCTCGCCAAACCACCGCAGATTTCCTCACATCCTTGACAAGTCCTGCCGAACGTTTGATCCGTCCTGGGTATGAGAATCGTGTCCCCCGGACCTCTGGGGAGTTCGCTTTGGCTTGGAAGAGCAGTGAGGAGTATGCAAAGCTGATTCAAAACATCGAATTGTACGACAAGAAATTTCCCATTGGTGGTCCTTCGGTTGCAATGTTCACTGCCTCGCGTAGAGCTCAGCAAGCAAGAAAGCAGTATTTACACACCATTCCTCAAAGTAGAACTGCAGCTGACATGGTTTCAGACGCGTTGAGTCACCATACACACTCTCTCTGTACCAGCAAGTTGAGCTATGTGTCGAGCGTGGATTCCAACGTTTACGTGGAGATGCCAAAATCACAGTAAGCCGTGTTGTTGCAAACAGCGTTTTGGCTTTAGTAGTTGGTAAGGAACATCCATCTCATCTTCTGTGCATTCATTGACAAGTTTCAGGGAGTATGTTTTACAACCTCGACCAAACTACATCAAGTTTCTATGGCAGATCTGTTTTGATCTTCCTTGCAATCTTGCTCAATGCATTTGCTAGTGCGTTGGAGGTAAACTTTCTTCCCCCCACCTCATGCCCACCCTCGAGAGCTGACTATGGTAGATTCTCATCCTGTATGATCAACGTCCCATGGTTGAGAAACACGATAGATATGGTCTATACCACCCATTTGCGGAAGCCATTGCCTCCTCGATCTGCGACTTACCCTTCAAGGTTGGAAACTCCATCGCGTTCAACTTGGTCCTCTACTTTATGTCCAACCTGCGACGAGAACCACCAGCATTCTTTACATTCTTGCTGTTCTCTTTCTCAATCACTGTATCGCTCTCGATGGTGTTCAGATCGATTGGAGCAAGCTCTCGTAGTCTTGTGCAATCTCTGTTCCCATCTTCGATTCTGATCCTTGCTCTCATGACATACACCGGCTTCGTTGTTCCCATTAAGAGCATGCACCCTTGGTTCCGCTGGATCAACTACATCGACCCAATATCTTACGCTTTCGAGAGTCTGATGATCAATGAATTCCATGGTCGTGAATTCGAGTGCGGCGCCTTCGTTCCTGCTGGACCTCAATATGACGCAGTTGGGTCTCTCAACCATGTGTGTGGGGTTGTTGGTGCTGTTCCTGGATCGACTTTGGTTTCTGGCACCGAGTATATCAGACTGACCTTCAACTATGAGCCCAGCCACCTTTGGAGGTTTGTAATCTGGGACTTTGGAAAGCATGACTAACATGACTAGAAACTTTGGGGTTATCATTGCGCTCACAGTCATCTTCACTTTCACCTATTTGGCAGCCTCGGAAATTGTTACCGCCAAGAAATCGAAGGGAGAGATTCTTCTGTTCCAGCGTGGTCGTCAAAACCGACGAGACCTTCATAGTGATGTTGAGAAGCCAGCTCAAGAGGTCGCTTCGGTTTCAGGTCCATCTCGACCAGTTTCTGGTACGATCCAGAAGCAAACCTCAATCTTCCAGTGGAAGGATATCTGCTTTGATATCAAGATCAAGAAGGAAGATCGTCGTATATTGGATCATGTTGACGGTTGGGTCAAGCCAGGGACATTGACAGCTCTGATGGTAAGTTCTTAAATTCGCTCAGTCTATTATTCTGCTATTCATTAACTCTAAATCTGTAGGGCCCTTCAGGTGCAGGAAAGACTTCTCTTCTGGATGTACTTGCTACTCGGGATACCTTTGGCGTTGTCTCTGGCGAAGCCCTTGTCGATGGTCACCCTCGAGACATCTCGTTCCAACGTAAGACAGGTTATGCTCAGCAATCCGATATCCACTTGGAGACCATGAGTGTTCGAGAGGCTCTTCAATTCAATGCTGTTTTATGCCAGCCAGCAGGTTTGGATAAAAGTGAGAAGCTTGCTTATGTTGAGGAAGTCATTCATTTGTTGGATATGGAGAGTTACGCTGATGCAATCATTGGAGTTCCTGGTGAAGGTATGTGATCTCTTCTTCCGATGGTGACAAATGCTAACTTGGACAGGTCTGAATGTCGAACAACGTAAGAAGCTGACAATTGCTGTCAAACTTGCAGCTAGACCTCAACTCTTGCTCTTCTTGGACGAACCAAGCTCTGGTTTGGACAGTCAAACGTCTTGGGCTATCCTAGATTTGCTACAGAAGCTTACTGCTCATGGTCAAGCTATCCTCTGCACCATCCATCAGCCATCAGCTATGCTCTTCCAGAGATTTGATCGATTGCTGTTCCTTGCGCCTGAAGGCAAGCCCGTCTACTTTGGTGAGATTGGTCCGGATTCGTCGACTGTAGTCAGCTACTTCGAACGCAATGGTGCTCCCCCATGCCCTAACGATGCTAACCCTGCCGAGTGGATTATGGAGATCATCGGGTGCACTCCTGGCTCACACAGTGATATCGACTGGCCTGCAGTTTGGCGTTCAAGCCCTGAGTATGTTCAAGTTCACCAAGAGCTCGATGATATGGAGAAGGGATTGAGCCAAGGTGCAGCTGTTCCGAAGGCCACACTTGAGGATAATTACAAGGAGTTTGCGGCACCATTCTCAGTTCAGCTCTGGGAGTGTGTGAAGCGAGTCAATCAACAGTCAGTGCCCTTTCCACCCTTGCATCCGAATTTACTAACACAACTAGATACTGGAGAACTCCATCCTATATCTATTCAAAGGCTGCTATGTGTCTAGGCACTGTAAGTCATCTGTCGTTTTCATCCGAGTTTAACTGACTGGATAGGCACTCTTCCTTGGCTTCACTTTCTTCAAGGCCGACAAGAGTCTCCAAGGACTTCAAAACCAGGTTTTCAGTATCTTCATGCTGCTGTGAGTCTACCAACTCCTCTTTATGGCCCTCTAACTCTCTCACAGCACTCAATCCTCCAACCTTGTCCCTCAGATGCTTCCAAACTTCGTCACTCAACGTGATCTCTACGAGGCTCGTGAGCGTCCCGCCAAGACATACTCCTGGAAGGTCTTCATGCTTGCAAACATCTTTGTTGAGCTTCCATGGAACATCTTGATGGCAGTCTTGATCTTCGTTGGTTGGTACTACCCTATCGGTTTGTATCGAAATGCAGAATATAGTGGTACCGGCTCCCAGAGCGCTGTCACCGTTCTTGTCTTCATGGTGGTCTACATGGTCTTCACTAGCACATTTGGCCACATGGTTCAAGCTGGTGTCGATCTCGCCGAGATGGGCGGTAATTACGCCAACCTACTCTTCATGCTGTCCCTGATCTTCTGCGGGTAAGCCCCCCATCCTCCACCTCAATCCACAATCTAACCCTCCGCAGAGTCATCGTCGGTCCCGACGCACTTCCCGGATTCTGGATCTTCATGTACAGAGTCTCTCCCTTCACCTACCTCGTCAGCGGCATCCTCTCAACCTCCCTCACCAACGTCCCCGTCGAATGTTCCGAGATCGAACTCCTCCGTTTCGACCCCCTTCCAGACCAAACATGCGGCACTTACATGAGCGAGTACATCCAGACAGCTGGCGGCTACGTCACCAATCCCGAGGCTACATCCAGCTGCGCATACTGCCCACTCAGCAACACCGATGCGTTCCTCAAGCTGGTCCACAGCGAGTACGGCGAGCGATGGCGCAACTTTGGTATCCTCTGGGTTTATGTCTTTGTCAATATCGTCGGTGCTTTGTTCTTCTACTGGCTCGTTCGCGTTCCGAAGAAGAGCAAGAAGACGCAGGTCAAGGCTGGTGAGGTTGTTGCTCCGGTTGAGGAACCAGTTAAGGACGAGGATAAGGAAAATGATGTTACTGTTGATGTTCGTGAGAATAACGAGCCCGTGGGTGAGAAATCTCATGAGAGTCATGGTAACAGTCAGGCCTGAATTCTTTACTCGAGGGAAATGTTGACATTGACCTTGGCGTTTTGGTGGTGGGCAATCAATGGTCGCTGGCTTGTATTGGAGCTCATTTCATTACATTTGAATTCCCATTTGCTCACAAGATTTGTTTTGACTTCGAAGTTGGAGCTGTTTCTGCATGGCACGGTAGTCAAACTGTTGATTTGTTTGGAGTACGGCTGGATGGTTGATTCTTCTTATGGATGGATGGTTTCACAGCCTCTACCACAATTTGTCTTTTCCTTTTCTTTTCTTCTTCTAATCTCCTCTTCTCATTACCTTCTTAATATTTCCTTTTCCCCATCAAATTCGCTGATAGATGCAATTCTGGGATCTGAATCATGGTGGTGGTGGTGGGCGTTTGGTCGTCGTGGCGGGATGGTTGCAACTTGCTCGATTAACTTATGGATGGAGAGGCGTCGTTGTGGACAGACACCAAGTATCAATCAAATGGGCTTCAGTGCTGCTGCGATCAATGCTTGATGAATACTCTGTTCGATCTGTGTGCTTTGCATTTAGTTGCGAGCTCTAGAATAGAACACGGATAGCTAGCTTTGTTGTGCTGGGTTTTTGAAATGGGGATGCTGGGATGCTGGGATGGAGACGCTAGGTTGTGCGTGCGCGTAGCCTAGATGGAAATGAATGAATGAATGAATGAACTTCATTCGCATTAAGTGAGTCTCAGTAAATGTGAGTCATAGTAAATGTGATTCTCAGAGCATTGTTCCGTTTGGTTTATATGGTAAGGACAAGATCACGCACAGATATCCGTCTGAACCTCGAAATGAAGCATGCGCGTGTTTGCTATTCTGGGATATTGATGTATTCCTAGTCATACTGATATTTTACTTTTCCATGACGCGAAACCGACCCGGTATACTACCAATTTTCCTATCATCTCAATCATTCTTCTTACTTGTTACCTTTCCCATGCCTTCCATTCCGTCGAAGTGGAGCCTACCCTTACACCCCTCTCTCACATTCACTTCCACTTCCAGCACCGCCGTTAGGAGGCGTGGTAGTAGGAGATACGAGAACCCATTCGTTTCTTTCCGTCTCAGTATCTGTTTCACTTTCATTCCTACGCTCTTTGCTGATTGACGGCAGAGGCGGAGACGCTGAAACGGAAGAAGAAGGCGTAGATGTTAAGATTGAAGCCGAGATGCTGGCTGGTGCTAAGATACCGATAGGTCGGACGTTGTAGGCGTCTGTCCACCAATCTCCTTCCGCTGTTGAGTGTTAGCATCACCTATTTTCAAGTCCAAACTCAGGAAATAGAAAAGAAATACAGAAAGAAAGTGACGAGGGACCGTCAAAGGTACAGTAGGAACAGCAAGGAAGCAGTTTAGTATGAGAATGAGAATAGAAGTAACATACTCCTCCAAATATCCGGCCAGCACTGATTCGTGATCCCATCCGCTAGATGGAAGTGCCCAAACGCGTTATACCTATTCCCGTACGCTGTGACGGAAATCCGATGCGTGCCTGCTGCGAACTTGCCTAGGTGGAGGGTATGTGGTTGGAATGCTATGTGACCGAGTTTCTTCGCTTTCGCGCCAGCATCTGGCTCTGTCAAAGTGGGCAGGGAATGTACGACTAGCACCGGGGATGAGAATCTCGGTACAGAAAGTACGATTTCTTGTGCTGTGCTTGGAGAGTTAGGGAGAGAGAAAGTGTAGTTGTAGATTATATTCCCGACGTAGAAGGGGAGGCCTTGTGTTGTTATGTCGCCCCATGTAAGGGACGAGGTGTTTAGGGGTGAGAGGAGGGTTTGTCCTGGGCTGGAAAATGTGACGGCGAAGGAGCCGAGGATGTAAATCCTCTCGATGTTGGTGAGGATCCCGAATGGGAATGTGATGGTCAATGTATTCGTTCCGGCTTTGATGGTGTACCCGGGGATAGGAAGTGTGCGAATCGCTTCGTCGACCCACCAACCTGATTTCCCCTTTGCTGGTCCGGTTCGTGAAGATGACGATGGGATGGATGTGTTGTTTAGACGGATGTTCATTGTTTCGGGATCTTCGAGAGCGAGGAGCGTGGGTTTGGTGATGGTGAATGTTGAGGAGAACTTGAAGATGAGTGTTACCTCTGTAAGGGGTTTTCGTTCTGAGGGAGGGATTGTCCATGGTTGACGCCAGGCCATGCCTTTTCTCGGGATTTTGAGATCTGAACGGATGAGGTTGTCGATTCGTAGGACTTCTGTTGGTGGGGAGAAGATGTCACTGGGAGAGGTACTGTGTTTGTAGGATGCATAGTCGAGGATTAGAACGTTGGGTTCGGTGAGAGTAATGCTTTCGAGGGTGAGGTCTGGTGGTGGGAGAGATTTGGTTGATGGCTGAATGAGTTGAAGGGAGGAGGATGTGGTGGACGGCAACAGCCGTAAGAGAAGACTAGCGCAACCTTCAAAACGGTATGGGAATGATGTCCAGCCGTGCTTTTGATGACTAGATATCACACTCTCTTCTCCTGAGAAGGTATCCAGTTTATCGACCCTCCAAGCACCCTTCAAGGATACTGTAGTATCAACCGGATTCTGGCGATCCGTGTTGCAGATGAATACAAATCTTTCATCACCATCTTGTCGCATCTGATACAGCAGTTTATCTGCAAGTACGTTTGGACCTGTGGTCACTCGAAGTTCGCGACTTGGGTCTAAAGCAGACAGAATGCTCTGCTCACTCCAGAAGATATTATTGCTCCGTTCGATGCTGGGACCTAATAGCGACACTTTGGCATCCACAAATTCGGGAGCGCTGCCTGCTATAATGACTTTTCCGCCTCGCTTGGTGAAGTTTTGGAGGATTTTCAAGGTTGAAGAGCGGATTGTACGAAGATTCGGGACGATCACTACCTCGTACTCGCATTTTCCAACCTGTAGTGTGGTTCCGTTGGGTTTGTTGGAGACTTGGCTGGGTAGGAGACTTTCGGCTATGAAATCGAAGTCGATGAGACCATGGAGTAGCCATCTCGTCAAATCGGCAAAGGCCTGATCACGACTTGAGAGTTCATCTCCGCTGCCATTTGGTCCAAATGCAAGCCAGTAGCTCTCGATGGGATGAACGACAGCGACTCTTGTCACTGCTTTACCTCTCGTCATCGCAACACCTACACGAGCGAAATGATCCTCGACATGCCCATACTCCTTGTACCAGGGACTTTGATATCCAATACAGGCAGGATAATCTCTCTTGCCTTCCCCTGCCATACTTACCCAAGTGAGATGGTGAACTCGGAATGTGATCCCAAGCGCTGCTTGCCAATCTCCACAGCCTTTGTGGCCTTCAAACGTAAAGGTCCAATGCGTGACTCCGTAAATTTCAGACATTGTCCCTTTTGTCCCGTTCTGCCGTGAGACACTAGACGCTTGCTTTGCGGTGTTGTATTCCACCCAATCAACCAGTAAATCCATACCAGGCATCTCCTGGTTTCTGTAGCAGCGCATTGCTTCTCCTAGAGCGGTAGTCTGGGAGTACAGCGTAGGCTCTTCCATCATGTGGCCATTCAGCATTAGGTTGTTCTTTCTACACCACGATGAGAGTTGGTCCATGAATGCCGTGACGAATCTCTCTGCGACATGATCATGGAATTGATGCCGGATTCTGCTTGGGCTTCCATGAGGGAGATTCCAGAATATTTGAGGTAGGCTGGCGACAATATCCTCATCGTAGACTTTCTTAAAAGAGACTGGAAGATCAGCTGTCCAAGGTAAGAAGACATCCTCGCCTCCTAGTGGACTTGAGAGCTGGGTTTTGGTGGCGAATTGAGGCTCGTCTGTGAAGATACAAGGAACAGAAGTTCCAAACTTGTGGCCAACTTTGTCTTTGTAGACTTCATGGGTCGTTTTGATGAAGCTTGATATTGCTTCCGGGCTGAGGGTATCGACGTAGGTTTGATCATTGAACCATGGTGAACCAGTATTTGTCTCCATATATGCGTACCAGACATTGTTCCCAGTTTGGCCTTTTTTCAACATTCGGCTGGATTTGAGACAGCCATTCTCATCGACTGCCTGAAGTCAGTATTGCTCATGGTGATCAACTCCTCATTATAGCAGCTCAGCTGATGTAGTGAAACTCATCACAGTCTCAACGGAACGAAACTGACTGTGCCATTTGGCTGCTTGGAACTTACGAGTAACATCATATGTTGCCAGTAGATGGCCGTTTTCACTTCGAGATGCTCTCGCAGATGATGGTGAATCGTTTCTGAAAATTAGCTTTGAGATTGATCTGAACTCTTCGACTTACCCGCCCAAGTCCACAGTCCCATAAGGATGGCGTGTAAACAAGACATGTTTACCCTTATGCTCTGGGTTCTGCTTGATAACCTTTCCTCCAGCACTTCCTGAAGGCCAGCGGTCATCGTCGTAGCTTGAAGGGTAAGCAATTGTAGAGACACAGTCTATACTGCAACTTACAGACATGCCAGCATGTTTTTACTTTCTGCATATTCAACACATGAGAGGACGATGTCCATGAATTCAGATCCTAGGTACTCTGTATCCAACCCTGTCCGAACATGCATATGGAATCCACCCAGTCCCATGTCAGCAAAGTTGTCGATTTGTCTCTTCAATTGCTCTTTCTCCAATTTCGTGTTCCATGCCCACAATGGACATCCTCGATATTCTGAAGTTGGATTCTTGAATAATTTCTTACTGAAGGGCTCTGAACTCTTGGGATATGTCAAAGGGTTGACCTTCTTCACCAGGTCCAGGTTATCTGCCACTTCCGGTTGCCCGTGGGCAGCATTGACAATAGTATTCAAGTAATCCATGCTGTAATTGGGAACCTTGAAGAATATGGCAAGGAAAAGCACAAGTTAGAAGACAATACCTTTTTCACATAGCTTGCATGTAGTTGAACTGAGTTTCATAGGTAAATGAGGGGCTTCAGAGACCACCACGTGATCTATGACGCCAAGAAAACACGAGCCGTGAGACAGCGCGAATACCAAGTCGACGACGCGCCGAATATCAACAACGATATCCAGCATTCTCGCATCATGGCTTGTAAGTGGTATGACATGGGAACTGAATTGCTCGTGCTAATGATGACAGCTCGCGAGGATCGCGTCCAGTCACGGCTTCGCGGTGCCCAGTACGACCCATCCACCCCCTCCGAGTTACTTACTTGCTAACAAATACATAGGAGGCGTGAAATCAAAGAGGTCGACTTCGGCCTTACCTTCCCAGCTGTACCGGCAGATGCAAGTCCTCCAATCGATCCTCCTCAGAACGACTTGCCACAGTCCGACCTACCTCCCCAGCGTTCGAGCCGAAGAACTCCTGCCAGACCCCCACCACCAGTTTCAGTAGTGACCCAGGAAGTTGCCCGCATATCCCAAAGCACAAATGATGCAAATACATCTGCGAAGAGAAGGAAGTTAGATACAGATGTTCCCCCTACCTCCTCGCGAAGTACTCGTTCACAGAATCCTCCTCGACGCGATATCTATGCCATCGAAACAGAGAACAATGCGGACCCGGAGCAGGAGCAGGAGTCCTCAATATTGGAACCTGTATCAGCTTCAATCCACCGAGGCGGGCGCGATCAAACCGAGGGACATCCAGATCAATCCCTTCTGGATGCCACCCAGCAGTCAGTCGAACAAGAAGCATCGAATATTCTGGAGCCAAACCAGCCTTCCGCGATTGCATCTCCAGCGAGAACAATTAGAACGCCATTGGCTTCCCAGACATTTGATGAGGTTACCGAGAGTCCAAGAAGTGCACCTGGTAGTGGTCGTAGGCAAAGTGTTGCCATTGCTGCGACTCTCCAAACAAGTTCGCAGTTGCAGCAGATACAGAATGCAGACGCGGATGTAACGGCAACTCCTCCAACTCGGAGAAAGCGTAAAAGGGGAGAACCGAATGTCTCACCACAGATTCGAGAAAGTCAAGAACCTTCGGCCATTGACGAAATCGATGAACTATCACCAGAGCAGCCCCGACGTCGAGGACGCAAACCAAAGACTATTCAAGAGCCTTTGCCCGAGCAGGAGAACACGGACGATGGTGAGGACGGCGAGGCAGAAGCCATAGGTGATGAGGAAGCTGCTGTTGTGCTAAAGAAGAATCGTGGTCGACGAATCTCTAAACATTTCGCAGCTGCTTCTCCGGATCTCGACACGTTGAACTCATCTACTTTGGTGAAAACTGGACGACCAAGGAAACGACATCGAACAGAATCTAGTCCGGTGCAACAACGAGATCCAAAGAAAGTAGCCTCAAAACCACAGACTCTAAAGAAGACAGCCAAGAAATCCGGACAGAAGCTACATGCCGTTGGAGGTTCCGTTCCGGTTACAGTTCACCGGTTGACCCTTCCCCCTCTTTACGATGAAAAGGAAACCGATGCGGATATTCTCAACGCGGAAATGCCTCACATCAAGCGATCAGGTGTCAGTGCTATTGATGTGCTGAGTTCAATCTGCCAAGAAATCATTGGTACTCAACTTGACTCGTTAGAGCAGATGGGAAATAGATGCGAGGATTCGGCATCGAGGCGAGAGTACAAAACAAAGTGGAATGCCGTCGAAGCATTTGGAAAAGAGCTTCACTTACGACTTCTCACACAGGTAATTATTCCCTACCTCTTGTATTACAATTGCTGACGATGCTGGAGGCCATCAATCTTGACAACGCCTATTCTCTAGAGCGTAGACTTAGAGACGAATTGAGAAGGAAGAACGCATTACGTGAAGAAGTCCTCCAGGTTCGGAAAGATCGGGAGCAAGTAGCCCTTCGTATGGATGAGATTCGGGCAAAACATGAACGCGAGAAGACAGATGCACAGGTTAGTATTCAGATTGCAACTCATGAAACCTCATGCTTACTTCTTAAACAGAGTAGAGACAGTCTCAATACTGCATTTCACGACATAGAAATGGCGATCGAGATGGGTAAATCAAACCAATCATCTGCAGGGATCGATCAATCCACCGACTTGATTGGTACGGAACTGCTCATCAAAAGGGTAGCCGGCGAGGTCAGCAACAAGGGGGACTCGGGAGGCATTTTGAAGCAAATCAAGGATTTCAATGCGTTCCTTGAACGAGCGGCATTGGCCTTGGAGGCCAAGAAGTGAGGAAAGAGTTGACTATGATACCCATGGAAATGAATTTATGACACCAAAGCTCAGATTGCATTATTCCTTTTCCGCTGGCCACACTCAGTTGTTGTTGCGGCTCTTGAGTAATGCTTTGATACCAAATTTGGCACACATCGACTTTCACGTGGGGAAAGTCCTCTTTCGACTGAAAATGTTACGGTCAAGTTGATCGGCGTGGGGGATAAGATCGGAGATGTTGAGTTGAAGGCTGACATCAATGTCAGCTTTGTGTTGACAGAGTAGCCTAGTGTGAGCCACTTGAAGGATTGGCTTTTTCTCGTATTTGGCATCAAGAGATTCTGACCTTATGGCTCTAGTGCGCCAATATTGATTTTGATCATATTCTCTTCCCATTTTACAGTTCTTCCTCATTCTGCTATAATCTTTTGCCACTGCAATCGCCCTTCGCATGTGGGCCTCTGGAAAGAGAACAAGGATATCACGTTTTGGCTATTTAAAGTTTAGCAAGTGCTCATCGTTTTCGGGAGGCTGGCTTTGCTGGTACAACTCCCCACCATATAAGATGACAGGCCAAGTGCAGCTTCAGAGAATATTACCAGAAAGTACAAGCTTTAGGTTGATTCATGCTTCCACTTTCCGAAAAGCAAACTTCTGAATCTTGGTCACTGCTTCGTTTACATCCGTGTACTAGAAAAATATTCCAGGAGACGATTGACGGCGAAAAACTATTTCCATGTTTGTCACTGGTATTATCTAGGACCACATTTATGTCGTGTGGGTATCTGCTCTCTGAAGGTAGGAGTTAAAGCACATCACATCCCCGTAATTCGTTTGAAGAAGCGAGACTTGGCATTGTTTTTGTTGACTTTCTACGAATTGCTCCATGTACTTCGACCCAAAGCTATTAGATAAGTAGGATACAACAGCATATGTTGTATATGTCTGGTCACAGATCGACTTCAAGTTCGACGAGAGATGGCGGCATAAGATAAAACGAATGACCGATAAATAACATGTGAGCTCATCACATGTCCCTCTCCGTGAACGAAAGATGCAGATTCATGGAAAGCAGCGAAAGAGTGCTTAATTCGATGAACCATTCAAGTTTAATCAACAAGCACGAGATTTACAACCAAGGCTATTGAGTGGAACGAAGTCGTCACTTCGGAAATTGGAACTCATAATATTCATCCTTCGTCTTCTCATTATCTAATCTGAATTCGCTTTACTTCTCATGTACTACGTCTCAAAATCCCCCGAATTGGTAAGACCAATTCCAATTACAATACATCTTCATCAATCCCCCTCTAAGAAAAGTTCAAAGGCTGATGATGCTCAACCCCGTCCAAAGTCGTCGTCAGCGATCCATTCGCAGAGAAGATGTTGATCATGGCATCAATCTCCGAATGGAATCCACCTGGACTGGTCTTCTTCGTGCCAAACACCTTGCCTGTCTGAATGATATCCGAAAACCAAGAGACACGGACGAGGAAGAAATTTGGAGGGCTAACGGACGAGGTAGCGTTTTCGTACCCGTCGAGAATATGCTTATAGTCGTCGCTGTAGTTGCTGTACCTGACACTCACGCTGTCTGGTGCGTAGACCACATCCGCCGAGCCATGAGCTTTGCCGTACAGCGTATAGTGTCCAGGGGCGAGCGTCAAATCGGCGGGTACCGTGGAGCCTGGAGGGAATGGTGTTGCCCAAGGGATGACGTCTGGAATCTTGAAGACTGGAGCAGGATGCGTGGGGGCATGACCGATTCGTTTGGCGAGCATGACACGATAGTTGGCACCACCCTCAGTGGTCGAAACTGGGCATGGGAGTGGATTGACACCGCCGCACGAGGGAGCAGTGACGAGTGCTTGCCAGTAAACAATCTTTGTTCCATCGAGGGAGAAGCCTCCGTCTGCCCTGCCGTTCCAGTTGGGATCGTTGATGGAGCCACTGCTCAAGTCACCTGCTGTGTTGATACGCTGGCCATAATAGCCGACCTCGCTGCGATCGCCGTAGTGGTCGAGGAGAATTGGCTGGAAGAATCGACGCGGTCCATTGTTTCTGGTCGAGACTGCAAGGAGAACAACAACCAAGTCGAGGATCGGAGGAATGGCGCGCATACCAGACATCCACATCTGGCGGTTGGAGCCACGAGTGTCCATGATGAGATAGTTTTTGTTATCAGCAGAAGATACGACAGGGTCAACATATTCGGGGTGACTGGTGATACGACGCCTGACACCAGTGACTACGTGAATAGCCCAGAGGTCGACATTATTCGCTTCCACATTGGTTCCCAGATAGAGGATCTCTTCTCCATTACCAGACCAACCGCGAAGCTCACCGAGTGAGAGAGGGTTGGGATTGATCTTGAGTTCGTTACCCTCGGCATAGATCGCTGGAGTGCTGTTCGCTTTGGCAAGCAGGTTGACATCAACAAGATCATAACGCGGGACGCGAAGTGAGCCACTGGTTGGTTCAGCATTGAACTGCAGTCTTCCCGTGTAGGTAGACTGTCCATTGGCCGACAGAGAACTCCATAAAATGTGTCTGTCATCTGGATGAAGACGTAGTTCTCGGGGTACGCCACCTCGAGCCGTCGCGTTGGTTGAAATAGGCCAGAAAATGGGATAGATGTTGGTGCCATTGGGGGTGCACGAAGAACCAGCAAGTAGTTCACCATTGCAGTCGAGGACATTGTGTCCCCACAAGATCTTGGTTCCGCCTCGGTACACATGAGGGTAGTCAATCACAGGGTCGAGTGACTGCTTGTTCTCAGCGGGTACGGCGCAACTCATACATTTCCATGCATCGCCATTGGGAAAGTTGGTACCATCAGCCGTGATGAGAATGACTTGAGCACCTGAATAGATGCTGGCAGGATCGGGTGCTGCAGGAGCTCCAGTGAAGTTCACACTGACAACAACATGTTTACCATCTGGGGTGAAGTCACCAGACTGGAAGTCGTAGTTCTCCTGGTAGTAAATGCATCCCGTGCGGCGAGGATTGATTGCTGCGGTGCAAGCGCCTGTTGATGTGTTGCTGATAGCAGGTGGGAGCGTGAGTTGACTGATATCGAAGAATTCCGGGTTTGGAGGATCAGGAACGGTAGTGGCTCCCACAGTTGCCACAAACACTATCGCTTTTGCAATCTTGAAAAACATGATGTGCCAGGATCTGCTTTCGGTCAGTGTTCAGTCGAACACAACCCGGAATTCTCACGGACAACGTACCTGGGGGTGTGGCTTTGTCGGAAACACTTACACACGTCGCGTCCAGATCTGATGTTGCAGTGATGTCTTTTATGCGAGGGCCTTCGTTCCTTTTATATGTAAATCTCACGTACAAAATCCTTCATCTGTTTTTCTCGCTTTTCATTCAGCCGAGCTCATACGCTTCTGCATGTTCATGACGTCCGTGAACTTCGCAACGCATGCCTTTCATCCCAGCATTTTGCCCAGAGCCTTCCCCAGATTCAGTACACTATCGAAAAAGTTCGGATAGAGCTAAGTAGTTTGTGGGGTAGAAGGCCACAGTTGCGGGGTATAAGCCGCTCTGTGATATTCAATGTCAACTCAAGTATTGCTTAAGCGAGATCCGCGATCCATGAGATGCCTGTTACATGAGAGATTATGCTTAAAGGATCCGGGCTAAGCACGGTGCCAATACCCATCAATTTACAATAGGTCATGTTCCTGACTTCGGAGATTTCTTAGACTTCCTTCTCTTAGCTACATGCGTGCTGTGCCCGAGTAAGTGGTCACACCCACATCCCGTGCTCGTATGCGTATACGTATACGTATTCACAAGCGAGCACCCCACCATCCTGTTATTCCGCGGATCTACTCTCTAGCGCTGCGAGTCCAGGAGTGCTGAAGTTCAGCCATGGTGCGTCTAGAGGAACGGATAAACTGCAGATGATGAGTCTTAGTACATCGGATGTTATTCCATGGCCATCTCTTGCGGATAAATCGCCACACATGGCGCTTGTTCCGACTCAGGACTTGCCGTGCCGCTTGTTCCATAGCTGAGTGGCTTTCAAAAACCTGAATGACAGAGCATCCATGTCTCTCAATCTTCACGTTGTTTGTCGTAGAAGGGGCTGTTATTGTTATCCCGAGTTGGCGTTTGTGGAGGCCTAGCGCCGCCCTCTTCTTCCCCGCTCTCCATCCATCTCCGCATTTTGACGCCTCTGCAAGGAGACTATGGTGCCAGACTGACGGTTCTACACGGACGAAACGTCTAGATTCAGAAGCCTGGCGATAACAAAGCTGTCGTTCTATCTTTGGCCGAAGCAAATTCCACAGTACACGGCGAGGCCCATAAAGAGTCCAAGATTTCCACCTTGTCAGAAACAGCAGAGCATCATTCCAAAGGATCATTCATCAAGATTCCTCCTTGACAATACTTTCTGAGTCGGAGCTCACTCTAAGGAATTCAGTGTCCACATCCTCCTCGCTGCACCATTCCCTCCCATCATCACCATGGCCACTCAGCCGATTACCGAGAAGTCTCCTACCGTCACTGACCATGACGAGTATGGCGACGGAGACAATGTCAAAACCTCAGATGCAGTGGCCGATGCTGCCATTCGAGGTCAAGCCATCACAGGCTACGAAGAGTTGACACCATGGCAAACTGCCAAGCACTTCAAAATGGCGACGGCTATCTGCTTTTTCGCTGCCTTCAGCGCAGCCACCGACGGCTACCAGATTGGGTAAGTTTTTGAATCCAACTGCAATTCTTGCTCTGAATCTTTGCTCACTCTTTGCTCTAGTATCAACGCCAGTATCATTGCCAATAAGGGATTCGTGAGGCAATTCGCTACAAAGATAAATGCCAAAGGCGCACCCTTTCTCGAGTCACCTATCCTCAGTGGATGGGCTTCTATCATGTCCGTTGGTCAGATCATTGGTATGATAGGATTATCTTTCTGGACTGTCCGATTCGGTAGGAAGATCGCCATGTACACCTACTGGCTCATACTTGTTGCATCCATTATCGCGGAGACGCGTGCGCGCAGCTGGGAAGGTTGGCTCATCGGAAAACTCCTCGCTGGTATTGGTGTTGGTTGTCTTCAATCTACGATCCCAGCATACATCTCAGAGTGTGCTCCGCCGCGCATCCGAGGTGGTCTGTTGATGCTTTACAGCTTCTGGTGGACCTTGGGCTCTTTCTTCGCCCAGGTCGCCTTGAACAGTCTCAACATGAACAACCCCTACAATTACCTCAATCCCCTTTACTCTCAATGGGGGCAGATCGGATTGATGATAATGATATACATCTTCCTCCCGGAGTCTCCTGCATGGTGCGTCACAGCTGGCAAGATGGAGCGTGCCAAAAAGGCTTTGTTGTATCTCAATCGCGGCCTTGAAAACTACGACGTCGACAAACAACTGGAAATCATCACCATGAATGTTGAGCACGAGCGTGCTCTAGCAGTCGAGCAGAAGAGAGAAAAGTGGTACAATATCTTCCGAGGAACTGATGGTCGTCGTACCGTAACCACCTTGTGGACCAACCTCACTCAGCAGTTCATCGGCCTGTCACTCTTTGGAACCTTTGGTACCTACTTCTTCCAACAGGCCGGTCTCAAACAGCCATTTAAGATCAAGGTCATTACGTCCAGTATCCAAATTGCAACTGTCATTGTTGCCGTTTTCAGCGCTGATAAGATCGGTCGCCGGTATATCGCCTGCTGCGGGACAACCCTTTCCTGGCTCGCCTGTGTGGCTATTGGTGTTCTAGGTGTTGCACCCTCCACTAATGCCTCAACCTACGTTTTCATCCTTTTCGCCTGTCTGTGGAGTATGTGCCCCATTATACCCTCTCTTGCTCTCATCCTTTATGAAAACACTCGCTGACAGTCTGTAGATGTTGGGCTTGCCGCCAATGGTGCCGCCGGATGGGGTTTCATTGGAGAAATTTCCTCTCAGCGCCTCCGTCCTTATACTGCCGGTTTTGGCGCCGCAACAACCTGTGTCGTTGGTGTCGTTATGGGAGTTCTTGTCCCATACATGACTAATGCTGAGAAATGGGATTGGGGCCTCAAGACTGCCTGGTTTTACGTTGGCGTCGGCGCCCCATTCGTGGCTGGCATGTGGTACTTGATTCCAGAGACGAAAGGGTAAGGACTGACCATATTCCTTGTGCATTTCATCTTGATCTGAATCATGACTGACCTTTCTATAGTCGCTCTAGTGCTGAGTTGGACGAGCTCTTCGAGCGTGGCATCAAAGCTTGGCGATTCCATAAGACAGAGACCGCAACCCAACGTCTTATCAAGGAGCAAGAGACAAATTAAATGGGAGGGAATTTGCAGCTGCTCTTGTTTGCGAGCCCTGTTTTGAAAATTTGGCTTGGTAGCGAGACAGTGAGCCTTTTTCTCAGACCTTACGTTTCCGAGAAATAGGTAGCGAGAAGTCAATTGGAACTTAGCTTAGCAGCGCAAAGTCTTTTATTGAAGTTTATGCCACTCTGTTCTGTTCAAAATATACAAGATATTCTGAAACTCTGTTCTGAAAATATGATTCCAAATCGTGCTCACCACTATGGTACTCTATTGCAATTTTCCTGCTGGTCATCATCATCATCATCGTCGAACATTGAAGCCGTGATGCAACAGATAGCCTCCATGAACACGGTCGTTGACAAGATGGTGTCAATTGAGAGGGGCGGAGTATTTGCCCGACACAGAAACTCTACAGTGGCTTTGATAGAATCGCCAGTATTACATAACATGCTGAGTTGTTACGTCGAATTATTCCAGATGTTAAAATCACTCTAAGAAATAAACTACACGATAAATGACCAGAGGAGCAGAATCCAGTAGGGCAAATGCATTTCCACGCCTCAGCTACATACACAGGTTTGAAAGCTACCATCACATTCTCTAACACTCTATTGACCGCGCTCTCCTATCCTTAAAAGTTTTCTTCAAATATGCCGCCGATTTCTTTGGCGTTCGCACCTGAGTGTCGTAGTCTACATGAATAATGCCAAACCGAGCGCTGTATCCTGCGGACCATTCTGCATCAATTCTGTTAGTGCGGGTACTTAAATCAAACATCATCAGCAATAATTCAATGTCAACGTACCAAAATTGTCCATTAAACTCCAAACATAGTAACCTCGAACTGGGACCCCATCTTCATAGATGGCCCGCGAAATCGAATCCAGATACAGTCCGAGATACCGCAAGCGGAATTGATCATCTACCGCTTGCTCCAATGTCATTGAGTTCTCACCCGGACATGGACACCCATTCTCTGTCACGATGATTGGTATTTTGTAACGTTTGTACAGCCAGTTGAGCAGCTTGCGAAAACCGTCGGGCGCAACTCGTAACCACAGCATTCCAGAGACAGGTCCAACTTCCTCTCCTCGAACGTTGAATGAGCCTTCTTCAACATTTCCTGTAATGTCGTCGTCGGCGGGTGGATCAGGAAGAGCCCGCGCAAACTTTGTCGAATAATGATTCAGACCAAAGAAAGGATTCAGAGAAACCGAGTCTCGTAAGAGTTTGAGCTCTTCTGGTGTGAATTTGGGCAGACGGTCGCCCAACTGGGCACGCATCACGGCGGGGTAGTCCTGTCCCAAAAAGATTGGGTCTGCAAACCAACCAAAGTAGAATTCCATCCTGCGCGGTGCGGCGGCTCGGTCTGCTTCGCTGTTCTCATCGAAAGGCTCATACATGTGACCGTTCAGAACAATTGCCGTGGTACCTCCCTGAGATGGCTGGAACTCGTTCGCATATATTTGCGCAACAGATGCGTGTGAGAGGATGATTGTGTGTCCGACCCGCCAGGGTTCAGTTTTCGTATCGAATCCTGTCGCCTTGTTGTGGCCAGGAGCAAGTGAACCGCTGTGGTGTCCAAAAACCGAAATGACATACGGCTCGTTGAAAGTGATCCATTCCTTGACACGGTCTCCAAACCGGGAGAAGCACAAACGTGCATAATGTTCAAAGTCGGCCTTGAATTCGGCTGTATTCAGGAAACCACCATATCGATCGTAAAGAGCTTGAGGAATATCCCAATGGTAAAGAGTGACGGAGGGTTTGATATTGCGTGCCAGTAAGTGGTCGATAAGGTTGTTGTAGAAAGCAATGCCCGCTTCGTTGACTTGGTCATCACGTCCACCGAGAGGGATGATCCGTGACCATGAGATGGAGAAACGATAAACATCGAGATCCAATGCGGCCATCATCTCTACATCTTTGGGCATGCGGTTGTAATGATCACACGATACGTCGGCATTGTCGCTGCTGGTACGTGAAGGGACCAGATGAGAGAAAGTGTCCCAAATCGAGGGGCCTTTGCCGTCCTGATTTGCGCCACCCTCAACTTGATACGCCGCCGTAGCAGCACCCCAAACAAAGTCGTGAGGGAGGGGTAAATCTTCAACAGTCCTCTGTTTGTTCAAGTCACCGTTCTGTGGAACAGCGTCCACAACCTCGCTTCGTTCGAACATTCTGGGTAGAGAAATTCGAGATGGTAATTTCAGCTAAACCGATTGATGTCAACAAGAGAATATATTACAGTAGAGAACAGTTCTCAGGTTAGATTTATGTTTGATCTCTAAAGGCAATTCTGAGGACCCAGAATAGAAATTCCATGTACGGGTAAGTGAGAGAACGAGGTGCGGAAAAACTACAATTCAATAAGCGAGAACAACAAGGATACAGCTGCCCCCTTTTTTCCTCGATGAGCCGAGGTACAATGCTAGTCCGATATCAGCCACTTGACATGAAGCCACGGAACTTTATAACTTTATTATGTACCGCGTGCCGTATACTCGGTACGGCAACAGCCATACGAGAGATATGACTGGAAAATGGCTGATAACTGCCCACAACTGCGGGACAATAAAGACCGGGTAGTGAGCTGGAGGGAAGGGCCAGAATCAAGCAAACAAGTTTATCCGTCGGAGACACTCCTGATTGGGTGTTAGACTTGCTCAAGACACTTCTGACTCGAGCAATTCAGCCCCATACCCACTTTGTGCCTCCCCCATTCTTGTGGAGTGTAAGCCGTCCCCGCAAATGTTGGGACCCCGCATGACCTCTCGTTTAGGATACGGCTACCAACTGCACTCCCTAGCGGCTGGCCAAGCATGGACCTTTAACTGTGCCGTGGATAAATTCCAGCCAGCCCCCCTGCGACCTGCCCTCTCCATTCCCACGTCCGCGGATCTCATTTTCTCGGCTTCTCTTTGATTGCAAGCAAAGCCATATCCACAGCATAGAAGCTTCAGTTGTTATTCACGACGGAGTAATACTATGCGCCATCTCGTTCACTGCATGCTTCAGCTCGTGCTTGTGGACCCCGAGACCCGAGAGCCCGGGTCTGGCGATTGACGAAGACCCGACGATGCCTCGTGAGCGCCCTCTGCAGCGCTTGACTCAGGCCTGTGATTATTGCCGCGTTAGGAAAATCAAGGTATGTGATTGTGTGCTTGAGGAAAGGAATGTGGAACTGAAGAGCTGTTGTCGTACTGGTACACAACAGTGGGGATGAACTCGTATGATCATTCCAGCACGCCACAACTCACAGTTTCTGGCTTCATTTCCTATCCGATCTATTGAAAGTGGCTATTCATCCTAGCCTCGATGAGAGATATTCAAGCTCTGTTTTCTTCTTTTGTTTGCATTGTGGCCGGCAGTTGTAGATCCGAGGATCTTGCATGTAAACAAGGGACAACTTCACGGGCATGATTTGTTGGCGCTGACTTGTTATCGTACTGATCGAAGATTTTGTCAACAGGCTAACTCTCCCTCAGTGTGACCTTCGGCGTCCTTGCTGCGCGAACTGCGAGAATCGGTCGTTGACATGTCACTTCACCCATCAGCAACGGAAACGTGGACCGCGTCCAGCATCAGGGAGTAATAAAGAGAAACGCGCTCACGGAAGCCCTCACCAGGCTCACTTAGCAACACAAGCAAACATATCAGACTCATCAACTCAAAGCGAAAGTGATGGATATCAACGGTCATACCCCGCCTTATTATCTCCCTTACCTTTGGACAGCCGACACGCTGCACAGCAGACGAACCCCGAGAACAGTGTGGAGACGCCGATAAGAGAACGAGAAATCCAGAGTTCTCCATTGAATGCAGATTCCATTTGGCCTCAGAATCAGCAACTATCTCCTTCGGCGCAATTCGCGGCTATTTACCATGATCTGGAAAAAGAAGTGAGCAGCCTTGCCCTGGGCAAAACAATGCACTTGCTTGCAAGAGATTGTGTGGATCACTACTTCGAATGTCTTTACCCACTCATGCCAATTGTATATCGACCAAAAATCGAGCTTGGATTATGTCTTCTACAACCAGGGATCGAACGACGGGAGATGGACCTCGAGGTTTTCACACTTACGGTGGCATTGTGCGCAATAACTGCAGCAGTCGTTCCCAGTACAATCTTCAGTCAAGGCTCTCTTGTCGCCGAGAAGTTCTATTGCACCTCAAAGCGGAGTATGGAGCTGTACCGTCGGATAGAAAAGCCCTCGTCGTCGTCAATTGCGATTCGGTACTTCCAATCCGGATACACACACTCTGTAGGCAAACCGCGAACAACATGGGATGAATTGGAGTCCGCAATCGAGCTTGCTCAGATCATGCGACTACACGAGGAATCGTCCTACGCTGGGATGGATGTTGTGGAAAGTCAGCTATGTCGACGACTCTTTTGGATTCTATTCACTGGCGACAAATCCGCCGCGATTCTTGGGAAGCATCAGATTACACTCGGCCGGTATTTACTGGAAAGCGGCATTACCGTTTGCTACTCGGAGAGTTTGGATGGCGAAGACATCAACATGCGCCTTGATTCAGGAGAGTCCGTACCGCGACTGGTCACGGGATTCAACCTCAACCAAGATGTCTGGCATGCAGGATATCTAGTGCTCTTAGAGATTGAAAAGCTGCGCGAAAAGTACAGAGGTCTCGAAGAGGGAGAAGATGGCCCTCGACGCTTGCCCACGCCAGCTGAGCTCTCGCATATCAGCGACCTCAACATTGCCTTTGAGACTTGTCTGGATAATGCTCCAACTTGTCTCCGCGCAAGCCCTACGCTATCACATTCACCCGAATCGTTCTTCTTCGGCCAGGAGCGGGAAGCGCCTCCTCTTCCTCGTGCGTTTGCCCTTCACCGAATCAATCTCCAAGTCACATACCAGTGCCTACGTCTTGTCATATTGCAGGCCATGGCTTCCAACATCACGCCTTATTACAACGTCTCGCATATTTGGGCTCCCTTCTCACCATTGACCTACATGTCACCGGGAGCAGCTTCGAATTCAGACCATGCTTCTCCAACTCTGGCACGCAATATCAGCACTCCCGAGGAGTCCATACTGGTGCGCGAGCCCTCAGTGCTTCTGCTACAAAAGGTGCGGATCGCGGAAGAAATGTTACATATACTACATACGAGTTCTCTTGAGAATCTACGGCTGAATGGCGAGTCGTGTGTTGAGAAGATCCGGTTGGTAGGTGCGGCGATGCTGGAGATAGTTGATCATCATGGCGACTCGCCGGTCGCTGGTATGGCGTCACGTTTCAAGGAGTTGTATCCACATATTCTGGCGCATTTGCGGTCAAAAGCCTCGGATTCGTTAGCAAGCGATGTTTGAGGAGAAGGAAATAGAGTGACTATGATTCAGACTGGTAACTTGTTGATGTTTAAGCGAAGAAAGTCAACAAAGAAGTAACAGGCAGACAGGGTCTCAACTAATTTTGATTCCGCTTGAAATACCCAGGATTTCCTGCTTATAATTGATATATAGTAAGGCGGAATATCAAGCAAAAAAACCATATCTGCAGCCTTATTTTTTGGCGAATGAAAGAAAAAGAATGCGAACCTCAGCTTGTAGATTGCAATGAACAGAACCTCACACGAAGTTGGCTGCTCCGCAATTAGCTCCTAAAAGCACTGCTGAACTTATTCTTGCGGCTTCAAATCCCAAATCCCACCTTTAATATCGCTCTCAATTTATCCGAGCCGCGGGGTCACTGGGTCCTAATGGTGGGGCAGAAAAGCCGACAGGAGCACTCCAAGCCAAGACTCAACCTCCGGACAGGATCTTCTCCATCTGCTGAGTATCATACCGAGCGTCATACCATGCCACACGAAAGGCTCGGTTCAAGCTACTCCGTAGTCAAAAACCAAAAACCCACTTCTGGATTTCTGTATACCTAAGTACTACTTTCCCAAGGTCGAACAAATGTGAACCTCCATCTTCATTCTCTTTCCATCGTCCATCTTCTACATCCAGCCTACATACTAGGAGATACGATGGCATCAATTACAGACGTCCAATTTGAGCACTACCAACAACGCAACACACTTGGGATTCATGAAACCCACCCTCGTCTATCTTGGAAGTTCTCGAATGCACCTGATGGTTTCCAACAGGAAGGATACGAGATAGAATTTTCCCAGGAGGTAATCTCATCACATGATGTCAAAGTCTCATCCATCAAATGCAATTCAAACAACTCCACGCTGGTTCCATGGCCTCACGATGAACCCCTCACATCTCGTCAGAAAATATCTGTACGGGTAAGGGCCTGGGGAAGCGATGACAACACCACCCCTTGGAGTGATTATTCTCATCTCGAAACAGGCTTATTGAGTCGCGGGGACTGGCAGTGTTCTCGAATTGCGGCCCCATGGGGACCTGGTACCTCGGAACCGGACCCCGAGCAATTGTACAGGAAAGAGTTTGTACTTGATGAAGGTGCTGTTCAGGCTCGGCTCTACATCACTGCTCAAGGCATATACGAAGCAGAACTCAATGGCCAAAAGATTGGCAATCACTTCCTATCTCCCGGGTGGACTGCTTATGATGGTAGACTTCAGTACCAGACATACGATGTGACTGATCTGCTATCTAAGGGTACGAATTGCATTGGAGTCCGTGTTGCTGAAGGATGGTTCTCGGGACGCATAGGGTTTGCTGGTGGCAATCGCAATATTTGGGGTCCTTATACCGCCTTGATGGCCCAATTAGAAGTCACCTACCCGAACGGCGACATCAAAAAGATTCTCTCAGATGGATCATGGACAGTCAAGAAAGGTCCGATCGTCATGGCTGAGATTTACGACGGCGAGAAATACGATGCTACCGATGAAGTCCCAGACTGGTCCAAACCAGGGCAAGAGGATAATCTTGGTCCAGAGTGGCAGCCGGTCTTATCACTCTCTCCTCTACCCGATACCACTGAGCTCACTGCTGGCTTCAGCGAGCCTGTCAGGCGGATAGAAGTCGTCAAGCCAATCGAGAAAACCACCAGCCCTTCCGGGAAAACCATTATTGACTTTGGCCAAAATCTGGTTGGTTATGTCAGGCTGAGCAATATCAAGGGCCCACGAGGCCACGAAATCACTCTTCAACACGCTGAAGTCCTTGAGAATGGGGAGCTTGGAATCAGACCATTACGTATCTGCGACGCGATGGACAAGTACAAGCTAAGAGGAAGTGGTCAAACAGAGACTTACGAACCAAGGTTCACTTTCCACGGATTCCGCTACGTCCAAATCGATGGTTGGGTTAGTGACAACGACTTGTTGGCCTCGATAGAAGCTGTAGTCTGTAATACTGACATGAAGAGCGCTGGTTCTTTCTCATGCTCCGATCCTCTCTTGAACAAGCTCTATTCGAACATCGTCTGGGGAATGAGGGGCAACTTCCTATCAGTGCCCACAGATTGCCCTCAGCGAGACGAACGACTTGGATATTCCGGTGACATAGCAGTCTTCGCTCCAACGGCGACTCTCATCTTCGACTGCTTCAGTATGCTGAAGAACTGGCTCATTGACGTAGAATGGGATCAGACTGTCTTGGGAGGTGTTCCTGCAATGGTCACTCCTAATGCGATGCTTCCAGATCCTGTTTGGTGTAGGAGGAAACCTTGTGCGATCTGGCACGATGTTACGGTACTGTTACCGTGGACACTTTACGAGGAGACAGGAGATACGAGTATTCTTGCTCAACAGTACAATAGCATGATGACCTGGATGAATGTGATACCGAAAAATAACTCTGGTAAAGGACACTTGTGGGACAATTCAATATACCAGCTAGGCGTAAGTTCTTCTGTGTTTCATTACTCATAATCTCAGCTAAACGTTTTTCTAGGACTGGCTCGATCCCGCAGCTCCTTCAGATGCACCTCAAAAAGGAGTCACGGACGCCAAGATGGTTGCAAACGCTTTTCTCATCCACAGTCTCGACCTCATGATCAAAATATCCGCTATCCTGGGCAAAACCAGCGATCATTCCAATTTCGCAGCCGAGTCTCAAGCTGCCAGAAAAGAATTCCAGGACGAATACGTTACTCGTAACGGCCGTCTAGTCTCCGACTCCCAAACAGCGTACGCGCTAGCGATCTGCTTCGATCTCCTCACCCCCACCCAAAGATCTCGAGCCAGCACACGTTTAGTCGAGCTCGTCCGAAAGAACGAATTCAAAATCGGGACAGGCTTCGCAGGCACACCATATGTTACCGAAGCACTAGCCCTCACCGGCAACATCCAAGTAGCATACTCAATGCTACTTGAGAAACAATGCCCTTCCTGGCTATACCCCGTCACCATGGGAGCGACCACCGTATGGGAAAGATGGAATAGCATGTTACCAGACGGCTCCATCAATCCCGGAGAAATGACCTCGTTCAATCACTACGCGTTCGGTGCAATCGCCAAGTTCATGTATGAGCGGATTGCGGGTCTACAGAGACTCGAGCCAGGATGGAAATGCTTCCGCGTTGCACCTGCTGTGGGAGCAGAGTTCACAAATGCTTCCGCTTCTCATGTGACACCGTATGGGAACATTTCCTGTTCATGGACAACGGTTGAGGTGGGAACTGGGCAGGGTAGTACGATGAAGCTTCAGGTTTCTGTGCCTCATGGTACGAGTTGCGAGGTAGTTATGCCCGATGGTGAGGGGGAGAAGGTAGAGAATGTTGGTCCTGGAGATTGGTCGTTTAAGACTATATTCAAGAGGGGCTACGAGTGGCCTGTGTTGGCTCTGGGTCCGAAGAGTTAGACAGCAATTTTACAACTATTTTGCTATCTTGGTCGCTGCCCGCGAATCCTCTCAGTCAACGACATATGATGATCAATCTTCTTTGAGTTTTTATCTTCTGACTTATGAAATTTTGATGAACTTGAGCTGGTACATGCAATCTGGCTGTTGGTTGCAGTCTCGTGGGTCTAGGTCACGCGATTGGGCAAGGCTCGACTTTCTTTGATGTCCCAGAGAACATCAGCCAATAATTGACCTTTGACATTTCCCTCGGTAATGTAACTCCTGTGTTCCTTCGCAATAGCCCCTCTCAACCTGCCAAATTCCTCGCCAGACCTCCTTTCCAGAGCGAGAAATCACTCTCACAGAATTCTATATATATCCGGTATCCACAATATCGGGACAAAGAGTGACCAGATATGGAATATAGATGTTGATCAGTTTCCCGAAATACATCAGGTACCGTGAATGGTCTGCTGCTGATAGATGTTGTTGCGTCAATAGAACGGCTGCTGAGCCAAAAATAGATAAGTTGGAATTGATATGCGACGATGGGATACGATTCTTAAAATATATTCTTTGGCTTCACTTCAAGACGGATGATGACAGCCAATGCAGTGTGGGAAAGTTCTTTTAATAGTTGTGGGAAGAGTGCGTCATGGTTCCTTTCACCACCTTTCAATCAGCCTTTCCCATTTTTCTTTCAACTCAACCGTACTATTATTAGACGATCACGACAGCCAAATATATATCTCGATCAGTTCCCTCCGGATCATAATCTTCCATGTACGACAAACACACATGACTGGCATTTTTGGTATTCGAGGCAGTGGTTTGGCCAGGACGCATAAAGCTCTCACAGGATCAGAGGAGCACCCGAGCATCTTGATCGTGAACGACGGCAATTTGGCAAATCTCCCCCAGCATCTAAGTCGGATATGTCAGATACTACAACACAATCTCAAAATCCCAATCCTCTCAACGAGGAGCAGCGACTCCGCCAGCGCGAGGCCTCCACACCCGCGAGACAATTCAAAGCACAGGTAGAGGAAGAGAGGAGGCGGATTTTGCTTTCAGAACCTTTCGGTTGGGTGAGGATAACCCCACTCGACTTCCTGGACGAGGCTCGAAGAACGGTTAGGAAGCGCTGGGTCGAGCAAGGAATCTGGAATAAGAAGTGGACCTACGAGGATATAGGCCGGTGGAAGCACGAAGAACCACTTGAGCTTGAATCGGAATCAGAGACGGACACAGAAGTAGAATGCTCACTTCCACGTTTCTATATCTTCTCGCCCAGACGCCCAAAGAGCGACGAAGAGAAGAGACGGATTGCAGAGCGATTAGTTGTACGGGAGCGTGAACGCGAGGCTTCTCGTCCATATCATCAGTTTGTCTACCAAGTGTCGAAAGAGCGGGAACGTATCAAGGAGAAATCCGCTGATGGGGAAAGTGTTAATGCTGACGACATTAACACAAAGGCCTACAAGATTGTCAAGAATATCTGGAACAACCAAGGGATGTGGAAAACAAGTTGGGGTATGCTACCTGGAATGTCGTGGAAGCATGAACAACCTTTGGAGGAGATGGTTCGGGAAGAGATGGTCGATGATCCTGTTCCAGCGAACCCAGTTGTGAACGCCAGCCATGATGCACCTCCTATCCGACTCTTTGGGTCTTCTCCTATCCAACTCTTTGGGCGTTCTTCTCCCGTTCAAGTGCCTGTTGCCTTGAATTCTTCTCAACAAGGACCACCAACAGACGTTGCTTCAGACGAATCAGAGAATGCCGACGTCGAATGTTCTCCCTCATCGCCGGATTCATATCCACCCAGTCTAGGTAAACGGGGTTTTCGTACTAGTACGGGGCAGGCACAGCTGTCAGAGAAGAGAAAAGGCTCTCAAAAAGATGGGCAACCGGCAAACGCATCTCTTGGCCCATTCCATCCATCAAAAGTCACAAAAGCGTCTGCAAAACCTCAGGGCGTAGTGAAAAAACGAGATGCGAAGATCTCACGGGGGAAGGGAAGGAAAAATTGAACAGTTACAGGCCCAACGGAGCTTTCTTTTTTCAATGAATCGTCTTGTCGGTCTCTTTTAGGGACCATCTAGTTTCTGGACTTGTGGGTGGGCGAAGGGGGAGCGAAAATTACTTCGATACAAGATACCAGATCATTTAGTTTCATTACTGCGCGCATGTACACTTCAGCTCCATTGTCCAAATTTTTCACATCGTCAAATCATTGAAATCTCTCAAACAGTACACAACAACCACCATTTCCCCTTCCACTTCCCTTCCCTTCTTCCTCTTCTTCGTTCCCTAATTCACAACCCTCTCTCCTCCCTGCCATCCAGTCATCCATCACAGTTGGGTTTTGCATGGAAGGCGTTTATGGGAGTTCTTCAGTGGAGGAGTAGTTTGCACTTTCACTTACGTGGCGCACGAGAATGTAAGAGGATAACGTCCAAGAAGCAGATTTCTTCCATCAATCTCGTGTTTCCCCTCCTACATGAAACCCTCCAAACGGAGAACGGACTTCGAGTTCCGTTGTAGAATATCTGGTGGTTGAAACAGTCACAAAAACTTTCATTTAGTAATGATAGGTCACCAACAATGACAAAATACCACTTACATTCGTAGGTGTTAAGGTCATAATGGTATGTGCTTGTTTAACGGATGTGTTGAAAGTAAACGACCGAGGCATTGTTCGAAGTTTTATTCGAAGTTTTGTTCGAAGTTTTGTTCGAGGACTTGATAAGTGGGAATATCTCAGCCACGAGACGAATCTGAATACAATTCGAAAGAACCGAGTAGGGTTAATCTTGCAAAGTCCCTGGAATGCCGTCGTATAACGTCGATGCAGCTTCCCTGTTTTCCAACTTATAATCGCCTAATCTCTAGTCCATCTAAAAGCGATACAGTTATAAACCTAGCGAGATGGTCAGCTCTCTTTGAAGTCAGAGTTTGGGATCCCCGCAAATTGCTCCCTACTACTCTTTCCAATCACAAATCTTGACCAATTGACCTGATGCAGCCCCCTCCCGCTGCAAAATGTAAAGTTGTTTAGCCGTTTATGTCTCTAGCATTTACGCTGATGCCACTCTGGATCAGGGTTCTGACCAAGTCACAATTGTTATTCTGTACCGCGTGGTGGAGCTTCGTCATTCCCAAGTTGTCTTTGTCCTCCAGGTTCAGTGCTACCACATGTTCACTGATAGTCTCTCCGCTGTGTTCTTGTCTCAGATCTGCGGCTTCAGCATCATATTCTTCAGGATCCAGGTCCTCATCGACCAGAATGCTGTACATGGATGCACGTGTGATTCCAGAAGCCTCATTCTGTCCACCATCCTCCAAAGGTTGGTCGCTGGCCACGCTCTCCACGTCCTCGTCCTCCTCAATTGGAAGTTTTTGAAGTGCGAGTAGAGCGATTTCCTTCATATGACCAGCAACGTGAGACTGGAGAGCGTCGCTCGAGAAAACGGCGCTAAAATCGACTTGTCCCGTTGCTTGAAAATCGTCGCCAAATGGACACTCTGACACTTTGTCAACAGCTAGCCTCCGTGCCACTTTGCTAAGGATCGCGACGCGGTTTTCAGGCACGCCGTGCTCTTTGATTGAATGCTCCTGGTACCGAGCCTCTTGATCAAAGACGATTGGTTCGTGAGAAGGAGACCTGCACTCCCACATGTGCCCGTGAGCTGTCTGAAGGTGGCTGGACCAGGCTTTCGACGTTTCGAATGTGAGCGGATTTGTCTCGTGCCCTTCATGATCTGTCTCAAGGCAATGTGGAAAAACACAAATGAAAGGCTCCAGGTCCCCAATAACGTGATTTCTGATGTATATCAGCTATAACCCTGGGTAGCCGGACTGATTCACTTACTGCCATAGCAATGGTCTCGTATTGTTCTTGAATTCAATAATGACGCCGCAGTATGGACACTGCTGCGTCTGCGGTATGGGGGGAAATGACAGCTTGTTGTTCACAACAGCAGATTTAGCTCGGGGAATCTCAGTTGTTGATTTGGCATAGAAGGCAGCAACGGCACTTTCTCGAGCAGTAGTTGCGTTCGTTGCTGGCACTGGCGAAGGGCCTCGCATTTCGTCGGTCACTCCAGCCTTTGGTAATGCACTGGGTGCAAAGCGTACAGCTGGTGCAGTCCCGGTCACTTTCGGGAGTTTAACAACGGCTGATGTCGTCTCGGGGCTCTGGATGGTCAGATCAATCCGCCTTCGATGAGAGCGCTGATAACACAGTCGCCGAAGTCGCAATGCGTTGGCTTCGACCAATGTCGAGCAGAGGGTTTCCGGCGCCTTTGGGAATAGGAACTCAATATAGCACTTGGTGTAGAGACGTAACTCTTCCACGGCCTTGTTTACCTCTTCGTCGTCTCTGTACCTTTCAATCTTACGAGCCCGGTTGGGTTAAGCGGATTTTCGAACAGCATTGTGGAGACGGAAAAGCCGCGTCAATGTTCCATCGATTGTCTCGGTAATGTTCAATACGTTCCTTTCTACTGGATCGACATCGCTCTTTGAATCGTCAGTGTCGCTGTCGGCTTTCCTCATGGCTCCGGCATCGACATGCACTGATATGCGTTGTTTCTTTCTGCTCGAACATTGTGGTCGATTGTCAATTGGCTTCACTGTTTCCAGAGTTCCATTAACTTTGATCTTCATTCCAACCCAAGGGGGTAGGAGTAAACACTGATGAGACAGCAAGCCGTCGCATATGATGCTCAGGAGCTGATGTATAATATCGGCGGATATAGGACTGTACCGGAGTCTGTAGTCAAGCGAGACATTGAGCGGCCCGAACACGTCCATATTTGCTGCCCACAGAGAAAAGCGTGCAAGTTGGTCGTCTATGATACTAGGGTCTGGCACGATATCTGGCATGTCCATGTACTTGTGGAAAAGAGACTGGCATTGCCTCGCATGTTCTGCGATGGTTGAGCTCAGCTGATCATCTTGGAGGAAGACATCTTCCACAGACTCATCTCCAACGCGATCGAGACTTTCCATGGTTGGAGGGCGAATGGCGTTCGCGAGTCTACAAAGTCCCAGGAGTGAAGGAATTTCTAAAGGTCGTTGGCCAGTAATACAGTGTCGCATGAACTCAGAGTGGCAGGTAGTGAGACAAGAGCATATGTTTTGCATGCTGTCATGTTAACTCCGGACATTTTCGTGCGCGCCTCCTCAGCTTTGTCACAAATGTTTGGCTGCTGCATCCGGATACGACCTTGGGGTGATTGGTGTACGAGAATATCCCTCTGGGATGTGTGTGATGGAACAAAGATGGGGGGTCGTGAGGGGACTAATTATAACCCCCCTCCCCCGGTCCCATTCATCAGCTTTCCACACCCAGACTCTCTCAACACACTCTTGTTCTACTATCTCGATTGCTTTAACATCGCCCTAACGCTATATTGGGGCGAACACGTAGGTGAAGCTGGATATTGAAGCCATGTCATTTACCAAGATGTATTTTCTGTGTCCCACTTCGGACTTCATACATCCACCCCCAACAGGCCCGCTGTGTCTTTGGTCGATAATCCGCTCCACATCAACATCGCAGTACCCTCTGAACAAAGCGAGCGTTGTTACCGTGGCTGATACATTCCCAGCTGTCATAGAGACCGAACTGGGAGAAGACTTTCTCAGCCGAGAAAGGAGTTGGTGTCGGTGTCTACGCACAGTTCCTACAGCTGGCCACTGGTGGATTGCCGCTTGGCCCCGAAGTCAACCTTGAGCATTCGAGTAATACAACAAACACGTTTGCATTTGACGCGGTAACGATGCTGGCGTTCGAGCCAACCGAACAATACTTGCAAGACGCCATCAAGGCGCCAGAATAGAAACGCCCTCATCTACACTTGTGCAAAGTTGTTTTTGAATCTCTGCATTTCTATACGAATACGTGGCAGTCATGGTATGTGCTCCCTGTATTATTACACTGATTGCGTCTTGAAGCTCGTCTTAACAGCCGGAAATTCCTATGCACGGCATATATGTCTTCTTCACAGAGACGAGCAAGTAACATTTGCCTGTGCATAGCGAAAGGCATCCAAAAACCCCACCAACTGAACCACAGCAGCACATACCCCAAGACATGAAAAACCGCATGAGAGCCGCAAAGATCGAATCTGCCCCCATATCGGCATTCCGGAAACCTAGTCTAGATTCCCTTCATATTAAGTCCATATCTTCCTTTCGTGCCACCTTGGGAGAACTTACTGCATAAAACGCAGTCCCAGATAACAAGCAGCCTGCTTTTGCCATAGTATACGGAAAAGCCTTCTTCATCATCTGTGATATGCCAAATATCTTGAGTCCATGTATCACTGGCGCAACACCGCACAAGCCGGTCGCCACAAACATCAGTGCTCGGGCGAGACGATATTTTAAGCCCTGGAACTTGGGATGAGTTGTCATGAAGATGGTTAGTCCTCCGAAGAGTGCGATCTAATCGACAAGGAAGGAAGGTGTTAGATTTGATTATTAGATTCAAGTAGATCATCTGAGATGAGGGGAAATAATTTAGAGTAACTAACCATAGACCAAACACGGCGTGCAACAGGTTCACACCAAAACACCACGTGAATTCCCAGGACAAGGTCACCCATTATGAAAACCACTACGCCCAACATATCCAGTCGTAGGCATACACGTTCCACATGCTGAGAGTGATTCATCAGCGTATGATACACCGCCGACATCAACAAACAAATCGTAGCAGCTAGCATGAAGATCGAAAAGGCGATGAAATCAGCGGCATTGACTCCATCATATTTGACAGCGAGGTAGTGCATGATATAAACCTCGCCGAGGAGGAAGAGCATGCCGGGGATGAGGTGCGAATAGATGTTGACCGACTCATTGTGGATATATGACCTGCTATGGAACGAAGCACGAATTGATCCTGAGATAGGTCGATAGCCTTGAAGAATCCAATTGTTGGATTCACGTCGGAACCATTCCGGCATCTCAGCGAACAAAAGAAGTAGTGGACGACGTGCCATGGTGGCTTTGGATGCGGTTTCCGTTTTGCTGGCGGTCATCGGTGTGCGTCCTTTAGGAGTCGATGGTGGCTGAGGGATTGGGACTCGAAGGCGGGAAGTGGACGCCATAGATTTGATCTGCTTTCGCTTCTCCTGATGAGAAAGCGCCTAGGTAATGTGGGAGAGCTGGACTCTGAGATTGATTTGTTTTGGGACGTGAAAGGCAAGACGGAGCGATAAATTCCCCTCTTTCTTTGTTCTTAACACAGCTGCTCCTTTGTTCATTTTGTTTCACAAAATCCGCTTGCTAAGTCCTTGGCTATACCACTTTTGGATGAATTCGAGATCGAAATAACGAAAAGTAAACAAACCACGGGAGCTATGCTATCTAAGCGAACGCCTAGTTTGTTAAAGCACGCTAGGTAGGTAGCTATCTCGGGGAAATCATCACCGTGAGATTTTGTCGAGATGAGCACTTGCCATGAGAGAAGTACTTGTTCGATTGGTCCTTATGGCCTATTTTCAATCTTGATGCATCAGGAGAATAGTGGATCGAGGTTCGAGTGGGGAAGAGACAGGGGAACGGAAAGAAAAACTATTTGGGTACGGCAAGGAAACCATTGGAGAGGCTTGACTGGTTTTTCAGCAGATTGCTAGTTCGCGCACGTTTCGTTAGATATGGGATTTTCCGATATGGGCATAGAGACGCCTCCCTTTAACATTTGTATAGCTGGACTGGAGCAAGAAAGTAGTTAGACTTGTCGGAGGGCTTGCTTCCGGAGGGTTTATTACCGGAGGGCAGGCGGTATAGGATCGATATGGAGGGGTCAATCGATGAGAAATGTAAACGCGCATTGAATGTACCCATATAAAATTGAGAAGGAAGCTTTGTAAGTTCAAGCGTGCAAAAAGCTCCGATGATCGAACATTGAGATCGTGACTTTGATACTTTTCATTCGTTCCAGTTTTATTACATATACAATAGGGAATTTAATATATAAGAAGACCTAGCAGGGTAGCGCAAGCAATGCAACCAACACAAGCAGCATCATATCATAAACAAGAAAATCCTTCCTGTCCTCCCTACCCATATTTTCCTCCAGGTATCAAGAATCATGAAATCAATACAAATAATCCGGCCGTTAAACTCCCTCTTCATCCCAGCCACCCACCCATCCTCTCTCCTCCCTCAAACGTACGCATGTCTCCGCCCGGAGTGCGAGCTGCGATGGCTGCGATGGCTCCCACTACGTCTATGCCTCACATGCGTCTCGCGGACATACGTCTTCTCCCTCCTCCTCGTATCTCCATTCGTACCATGGAAGAAGGCCAAAATACTCGTAATAAAAAAGAAAATGGTATTCATAATCCCAAAGGCAAAGCACGCCTTCTTCATCGCGCACTGCTTATCGGCGCTGAAATTGAGACCCCGCACAGTCGCGGAGCCAAAATCGCCAAACGAGATGGTGTGTGGCGAACCCGCGGACACGTTCGAGCAGTTCTGGTCGGTGATGTAGCGCAGGGTGTAGACGCCGCCGATGAAGGCGCCGACGAAGAGGAGGTCGATGAAGGCGACGAAGCGGGAGTTGTTGGCGGAGCGGTGGTAGGTGAAGAGCGTGGCGATGGCCCAGGCGAGGGCGAGGACCGAGACGATGAAGAGGACGAGGATGTCGTCGGGGGTGAGGGCGTTGGCGCGGTCGTAGATGTGGACGAAGTAGGCGAGCATGCCCATTGTTGGGATCTGGTGGGCAGTGGTGTTAGCATGATTTGTTTTTGGGTTTTGGGGAGGCTGGGAAGGAAAAATTTGCGACTGAAAGGATAGAAGATGGAGTAGAACATACCAGTGTGATGATCTCCATGAAGCGCCAAAAGGCGAAGAAGACACCGAACAACATCTTGACTAAATTCTAGCTTTGCGCGATGAAAATTGTTGTTGCTGTTGCGATTATTGTTGTCGACTCTGTTTTCGCTGTCGCGAAGAAGCGAGGCTGGGAGAGGATTCTATCTTTCTCTGCAAGAGATAAGACGAAATGGCAGATAGCACTGGTCCGAGGTGAAAGTCTGTCGATGGAGGAGAACGAAATAGAGAGCGAGAAGAAGTGAGGCAGTTATGGAAATATATGAAGGCTGGGAGCTGACGGAGGACGTGCCCTGCCTTGGTGGTGATGATGGCTTATTGACAGGGATGATTCTTGTTTTCGCAAGGAGCTTGGGCGTGGGCAAGATCCTGGCGAGAGTGAAGATTGGGTGACGAGGACGAGGCTCTTGTCTTTGTGACAGAAGTCTGCGAGCTCAAGGGTGTTGGAGGGAAGGGATGCTTGCCGACTGCCGATGACGTCGATGAAGGCTTCAAGGTAAAATACCAAGATACCTGCCGAGACTCGAGGGGAAGAGACGACGAGATGGATGAAGGAGGGAATGATCGACGAGAGGAACGTGGCTGCGATGCAATCCGTGTGGCTGCTTCGACGACTTACTCGTTTCTCCTGAAGTCATAAGATGCCTACGTTTTCCACTCACCTGAGCTGCAGCTTATGATGCTTTTATTTTTGTTGGCCAATGCGAGTTGCAGTGGGAAAATGGAGGGGTTGGAGCCGTGGGGAAGAAAAGACGGTGGTTGGTGCGTCGTGTTTTCCTGCCAACCGAGCTGGGCCGTGCAACCCGCATCCTTGGTGCGACAGCGTGTGGTGTGGTGTCCTGCAGGGTGACATCGTTCACAATTCAACCGAGACATGGGGATTGGATTAACGAACAGGAACCTCATCCATCTTTGGATCTGTTCTTCGTGTGATCTGGAAGCTGGGAAAAGGAAGCTGGTGTTTTGTGTGAGAAGGAGGTTTAATATCAAGGGGTTCTCGTAAGATTTCGATGCAAGTACGAGATACGATGCGGGAACCCGGTTTGTTTCCTCAGCCTCCACAATTTGGACTCGAGATCTGGGACTGGGGACTTGGGACTCGGCATTATTATTGTGCGATTTCCTTGGTGCTGTGTTTGTTTCGTGTCACATCCGAGATCTGGTCAAAAAGGAAAAATACATAAAGCTGTTTACTTTATTCCTTATCAGGCCAGAGAGGACTCAACCAGGTATCGGTCCGGGCCGCAATTGTTTACCTCGTCGCTGTGGGACCGCTAAACAGATTTCGCTTTTCCTCACAAAATTCGGCCTTTTTTTTTAACTTCAGTCTCTCGTTGCATACTGTCTATTGCATTCTAAGCTGACTGTATCTTTTACTCCGCTTAAATTATTGGTTCCTGTCATTCCTCCTTTCTTTACTATGCTCTATGAAGGGCTTACTTCAGGGTTGTGGAGATCGACTGAAGTCAACTGTCACGGCATGATAGTGCTAAGGTGCTTTCCACACCTCTGCGAGGTTCATCTATCGCAGATTGTTCCAACTGCTTTCCTTTTGGCTTAAAAAGCTCGCTGGACAAAATGCAGAAGCTGAAGCAGCTGTTTACTATTCAGTCACATGATCACATGTCATGTGACGGCATGGACATGCCAATATCCATATTTTTTCGCAAAACTTTGCTCAACAACTTTATATCCAAAATTCATTTGTTCCGTCTATATTAACAAGTCTAGTTCCGTTGAAGGCTCTCTACTTAAGGTATATCTGCCCAGACATCCTTTCAGTGATCGTCATCACGGACCTGACTCAACTTCAGGCACCACTGCCCTGCCAAAAATATAAAGCTGTTTCTCCCCACCACAGCTACTCGCTCCTCACAACCAGTTTTCCTGGTCTCATCTCGATCATTAACCAGTATTTATCCCTCAGCATGGCACTTACCAAGCCAATCTTCCCAATATCCCACCTACCCAAGAAATCTACACCCCCAAAACTAACAGTCTCCCTCCTCACCACACACTCTCCAGCAACAATAACATTCGTCCTCTTCCCCACCCTCCCACCAGAACTCCGCCTTCGAATCTGGCGTTTCTGCCTCCCCAGCGCACGCCTCATCCGTCCAAACAGCAAATGCACCTGCTCAAATGCAATGGACTCACACTCCAGCCCTCCTCTACCAACATTCACCACCACTCACCCAACACTCTTATCCGTAAATCGAGAATCACGGACCGAAACCCTGAGACATTACACAATAATTTACAGCCTCGAAGACGCCTCAAGCCTATCTTTCAATCCCGAGAGAGACATATACTTCCCCTCCTCCCACTCACACACACACTCATGCTCCTCGCTCTCACCCTCACCATTCCCAACCTCCAGTCCTCCCTCCCCGCGTCAGGAATTCACCATCCCCTCTTATTCCATCAAAAAAGACACCCAAATCCGCCGAATAGCCATCCATGAATCTTTCTTACTAAAAAGCAAGCTGTCCGACCCAACAAGCCTGACTAGTATGGCGAGAAGCTGGAGTGATCTAGATGAATTGCTTATTGTTGTTATGCTGAATAGGAGGCTGGTGTGGCCGCATTCGATTTATAGGGAGCGGGAGAGGGTTTTGATTCTGGGAGAGGAGGTGGGATGGGAGGAGGGAGGGGAGGAGGGGTGGGGAGATGTGGGGGTCTTGGGTGGGCTTATGAGGGGTTTGGAGGGGGGGAGTGAGGAGGATGGGAATGATGAGGATGAGGATGAGGATGAGGATGGGAGGCGGAAGGGAAAAGGGAAGGGGAAAGGGAAGGGGAAGGGGAAGGGGAGGATGCCGGTGGTAAGGGTTGTGCAGCCTAGGGTTGTGGATGAGAGGGAGGATCCGTTTTGTGTGAGGGTTACGCCGCTGAGTTTGAGGAGGTAGGTGGGCTGGCTGGGTTGGTGAGTGTATAGCGTGCAGGGCAGGAGGAGCTCTCCAGTGTGGAGCGGCTTGGTATTTTCTGGGTATTTGCTGTGTAGCACTGTATTATATGACGCAACGGCAAGCAGCTCAGCATCACCTTCATTTATCCGTAACGCTTCAGACCTTTCTCCAAGGAACAAAGAAGAAAGCTTGGGCTGAAGCCCTCAGTATCGATCAGGATCAGCAGAGTATAGCAAAGCTCAATCTCGAGCGAGATCTTCAAATGGGCAACTCTTGTCCTCCGCCATCTTGGTCCCAAAAGCTAGCAGGAAAACGAAGCCATGGAACTCTCCAAGCAGCTCGGATCTATTTGCAACATGAGGGATATACCGAGCCTCAAGATCTCGTGCACCACATAAAGTTTCGAGAGCTTGCACAAGCTCTGTTCCATTTTCTTGGCTGGGACGACTGCGAGTGGCACTCTTGTCACCCCCATACTTCTGTCCGACGTGTATGCCTCAAGAACGTGCGAGCCATACCATTAAGTTTAATATTGCTGTCTGTGGAGGAATTCCGGATGATGATCTCACATACATCCATTTCTCTCCTATTCGCTACATTCGCCTCCCTGACCTCAGACTTCCACCAACAAGATTTCACGCACCGTGGTTGGTCTCTGCGGCATTTCTATATCAGAGGGAGGGCTAATTACAAGCTGCTTAAAACAATCGATGTTTCTTCGTCGCCGAGTTGGGATCGTTGGGCCTTGCTTGGGCGGTATTGGAGTATGATTTGAGATGAGGCAAACGGACTTGAGAATGATTGACTTTTTGTTTGTCTTTTCGGGAAATAAGTAAACAATGCTAGGACTCTACTTCGTAGCGAGTGTTTCTCTGCGAAACTTGGATTGCGCTTGACATCGAACACCGGGCTAAATGCAGATATGCCTCAATAGTCATGGAGATAGTGTAAAGTACGAAAATGCCGAAGAGTTCACACCATTGGCTTTGCCTGGATCTTGACTCCTTTGCTCGTCCAGGGTTTGGGAGATTTCGTTCCTCTCCGTCCTTTTCACTTTTTAGCCACCCTGTTTGAATGATGCCTTCACTGTGGCAAAATATATCATTCCCAGAGAGAAATGGTTTATCAACAGCCCCCCTCCCTCCCTCCCCCTCTCTAGAACTCAAACCGACCCATCCCCCCTCACCTAACGACCAAAACCCCCCCACCCCAAACCTCCAACACCCTCCCCTCCACATCCCCCTCACCACCCCCCACCAGCGGGACCAAACCCGGACACCTCCCACTCTCAAACCCACCCGCCTGATCCATAAGCTCCAACGCCCTCTCCATCTCCCTACACATCATCCTACGCATAAAGCCCACACTCACCCCACAATACGTGCTCGCCCCGCTCCTATGCGCACCCGGTCCAACCAGCATCAACATCTCGCGGACTTTGCTGCCGCCCGAGAAGAGGAATGCCGAGGAGGGCGGGAGAGTGGATACCCCGCGGAGGGCGAGGGAGTAGACTCCCAGCGGGGAGGGGAGGGAGGAGGTTATTTGCGAGAGGTGGAGGAGCCAGTTGGTTTGGGGGGTGGATGTGCTGGATGCTGCTACTTCCTCTCCATCCCTTTCCTCTCCTTCCTCTCTCCACCCTTCCCCTCCCTCTTCTGCACCGTCCGCAATATCTGCAGAAGAGGAAGAAGAGTATTTCGTCGAGGACGTAAGATGGATGGTGTCCAGGTGGGGATTATAATAAAACCCACTTTCGCCCTCCAGATCCCGGATTAAATGGTAGGACTGTAGAGCTTCGCGGCGGGCTTCGCGGTTTAAAGACAGCAGAGCGGAGTGTGGTGAGGGGCAGTGGAGGGAGGAGGTGGGTGTGCTGGTTATGGAGAGGACGCGGGGGTGTTGGAGGAGGGATTCGCTGTAGATTTGGAGGCGGAGTTCGAGGGGGAGGAGGGGGAAGAAGGGGAATGGTGTGGGGTGGTGGTGTGGTTGTTTGGATTGTGATTTTGAGGAGAAGAAGGAGGGGGGTGAGGGTGAGGGTGAGGGTGAGGGAGTGGGAGACATGTCTGTTGCGTAGATGACCATTTTGGTGGTTTTGGGGTTGACTAGTGCCGTGAATCGTCAAGGCGCTTCGACTGATACTCGGTCTCCTGCGAACAGATTGACGAGATGAATGCCTTGTATGAAAGTAAATATCGTGTCAATCTTCTATAAGTGAAAAATCAAGAAGAGTAAAAGAAAATAGCCAGAAAGTAGGGAGGGCATGCGCAAAATATGTAAGGTTGTGCACCACCTCGTCCACCTCTCCCTACCTATCAAACTCAAACTTCTCGACGTCCACCCATCTAGCCAGTACCTACCCAGGAGTCCAGGACCTAGGACCCTGAAATCCCGCGCCATGCGATTCTCCATGCACTGCAAATCCGGCCCACTTCCCGCATTGGGTGGGTTCCGTTTCGGCGACGGCACGCTGGGCTGGCTGGCTGACAACAAACAGCAAGGTAGGTTTACTACTACTACTGTACCAACTCTAGGTAGTGAGATGACATGAGACTCAATAATAATACCCGAGCTGACTTGGAACGCGCCTAGAGGTATGTCGGATCGGGTACCTACGTAAATAAGGATACACAGTCCATTATTATTCCCAGCTGTGCGGAAGTAGGTACCTGTATGGCCCAGCCCAGCCCAGCCCAGCCACTACTACTGGAGACGGGAGTTTGCATTTGTCGCAGGGCTGATGGTGCGGTGCGGTGCGGTGCCCAGGTGTGTGCCGCCCAGATGGGTGGTCCACTAGTAACTGTTCTGGTGCCAGTCCCGTGGTCAGGTTTGCGACCGTTCTGGTTAGCGGAAGAGGGGAAGGAGGAGCGAGAGGTGGGAATTCCCGTGCTGGTGGGGTGGGGTGGGGTGGGTTCAGGCTGCTGCAGCTGGTCTGGACTCTAGGGACTGGAAGCTGGAATCTCGAGTCTAGGCTCAATGCCTTTGCGGCAGGTAGGTGAATGTATGTAGTCCGTGTATTTTGAAGCAGAAGGAGGTTTGAGATTGGGTAGAGGAGCGAGATATGTTCAAATGATTCCCTATATTTATTGGCGCTTTTCATCCTCAGGGAGAAGAAAGTTTATTTACCTAGGTAGTAATTTATTTTTACCGCGTGAGTGGTTCCCAGCTTTGACTTTAAGTTTCCATCCCGTCGTTGCTCGCTTACTTGCAGTAACGAAGCAAACTCGGCAAAGTCACTACTCGTGGCGTCAACGTTGCCGACTGGTGGAGATGCCGAGATTTGACGTCTGGTGTTTTGGGATTTCTGGCAGTGCATAGGTACTCATGTTCCGCTCTGTTTTGACTGGATGAGGAGGTGTATTCCATCTCAATGGTACGAGAGGAGTCCGATGGCAAGGGCTAGCGATTTGATGTGAATACCTGGTCAAACCACAGCTTGCTTGATAATTGAAGCCGAAGAAAGACTGGAATATACGAAACAGTTCTAAAAGACAACACGAAAATAGCCAACGGGTGACTCAGTTGAACGTTGACTGGATGGTGCCTGATCCTCAGTCCACCCAATGGGTGGGGGAAAGATTTCAGGCCAGAATCTTTCAAATCCGCTCAACATATACACTATGTTCTAGAGTGAGAATAAGTTATTGATTCAGAAAGATGAATCGGTGTTGACAGGATTGGTACCACCCGAGACTTATTTTGGTGCTAAGAAACAAACCATAAGCCGAAGAAACGCAGAATGCAGCGGCACAAGAACCCTTTAGACTGTAGTTTCAAGCCGCAAATGCTCTGCGTGACAGAAACCTGACATAACTTCCGGCTGAGCATACACCTAATCCTTCTGCTTCACAATCAACTCCCGTACTTCAGGCAAGCCTTCCCATCCTCTCCCAGCTCCTCCAAAGACCACACTTTTCTCAATGACTTCCCTCCATCTCAAGCCTGGGGCAAGCTTGCCAGTGATAGTGTTCGGTCTCCTGACATTCGCATTGGTAGGCACAGGGAGAGCTCTACCGAGTAGGGCCTCCATGGCCTGCATTGCAAACCCAACAGCTTTCTTCGCATTGCAAGGTACGCCCGTTTTATCAAAAGAGCCAAATCTTGCACCTGGGAATTCAGTCTGTAGATCTTGGATGAGCTGCACGTTGAACATTCCGCGACCATCAACCACGATATCGGCATTATTTATTGCATCTCGTCCGGGTCCATATTCTAGCATTTGATGAGCTATGCTTGCTGATGTGAAGCGGGTCAAGGTTGCAATTGTATCCGCTGGTGTACAGCCACGTGTGGCACACATGTCAACTATTTGGTTGGCCATAGCATCGCCATAAATCTCCCTTGCTGTTGTTTTTGGTGGGCGAGTGCTCAGATACTTATCGTTGTTGATCAGCTCTTCCACTACTTCCTGACAGATATTCCCATGAAGTAAATAAGAGCCATGGTCTTCTGCTGGATCGAATCCAAATCGTCGGAATGCAGCATCGATCATCGAAGTTCCTGGCCCAGTATCCCAATCGTACATCGCATCTATCCCGCCTTTGTTGTCGGCGGGAATGAAACAAACAGTTGTGATGCCACCGATAGTGATACATATCTGCATCCTTAAAGGATGATGAAGGAGTAACCCAACAAGATATGCAAATAGAGGAGCGCCTTGTCTTCCGACTGCTTGCTCTGCTGTACGATAATCCGAAACTGTTGTAACTCCCGTCTTTGCCGATATCACAGCCCCTTCTCCTAGGCACATGTTCGACCGATGCTGTCCTTGGGGTGGGGATCCAGTCAATGTAATCAACTGTCCTCCAGAACCAATCAAGTCTATATCATCCACTGAGATTCCGTGCTTGTGTGCGAATATATGGATTGCATCTGCGAAAGTATGGCCCATCTCGGCATCCATTTGTGAGAGCATACTCGGCGGAGCTGCATCTTCTCGAAGCATAGACAGAATATCGGCTCGGATCTTTGAGGGCATAATAACAGAATCATACTGGGAGAATGTCAACTCGCGTTCCGCAATATAAAGTGGGCATGATTACCTGAATGATATCCAGACATAGCGGGGCCTCAGGTGAATCTTGTGTAAATCGACATAGAGCAAAGTCAATGTCATGCATCGTCGTTCCAGACGTTACTCCAAGAACCAGTAAGCTCAGTCCCGGGCCTTCCTCTCCAGATGGCGACGGCGAGCTCGACGTATCGGAGTCTGCATTAACTTTCGACTGCAACGCCTCCAAATACTTGTGTCCAACTGTTGTACGTACTCGCCCCTTCGGAGCAGGAATAAAGCCCTTCATTGTCCTCGCCATCGATATGATCTCCCGGTTCGTGACAGGTTCATTGCGCTGAAGGCTGCAGCTTCATCTGTCTCGAGTCGCGTGAGCGTATGATTTGCAGGTCTCGGATATAAGAGTTGTGTCGTAATTGAGAAGGGAATCAGTTCGATTTGCCGCTTTGCGCAGGTTTGCGTTTGCTTTCAATGCCGTGCTAGACTAGTCGTTGCATTCTCTCCACTTTACGCAAGGAAGTCGAGAGATCTGCGTCTTGTATTATCAGTACTAGAGGTTGCATTCTGTGTAAAGAGGGTTAGTCGCCTGCAACAGGATCGATTAGTCAATGATAGCAAAGGCGTCGTATAGCTATGGCGTGAGAGCATGCTTTTTCGCCGGCGGAACATTGTAAGCAAACTGCTACAGGCCGCGTGAAATGGATAAATTTTTGTTGGTTTCGTGAGGGAGAAAAGCGCCGAAAGAGGAATTCCCATCCTGCGTGGTGTCCTGAGGCTTGGAATTTTAACGCCAGGCATGAAGCTAGGCTATGTCGCTTCGTCAGAGTAGGAAACCGGGATGGATTGCAATTACTTTTGACATATCCAATTTGCAGCCGATAAATACTAGCTATACTTGTAGTCTATCAAGACAGAATAGAAAGGCTAAAGTGGTATGAGCCAGAGCATGCCAGCCTTGGTAAGTTCATCAACATCCGAAGTTCCGATACCACCCAGGAACATATTTCTTTCGCTGTTGATTTATGACTGCATAGGGTTAAGTGTGGGCGTTTCGGAGTCTTCGTATTTACTTCTCCTCAGCCCATTTCTCAGTCCATGTCCGTCAAATCTTAAATGCTTCTACACCACTACTCGTACCACAGGTCGAGCTGAGTTGGATTCGGGTTCGGGTTCGGATTCGGTCTTGACCTCTTTTTCCGTCAGACATAGCAGGTATCTCCCATAATTCCAAACCTGAGTAAAAGTGTACAGTCAATCATTCGTAAGCAGTTTCTTTTGCCGTGGATAGGGGTCCTCATGATCTCCTTCCAAGGATTCGTCCTCGCGGGGGATCGTCAGGCCCTACCCACTTCCCCAGACTGCTGGCTTTTCCCTCTCCCGAGGTTATTTGACCCAGTTTCGAGATTGCTGAAAATAAGATCGTGCTACAGCCCTTGTTTTCTTGGTTATCGGTATTGGTCAAGGAATCAAAATAGACTAGTTGTCAGCTGTTATGTGCAGGCTCGCTTGCAGCAGCTTTTGATTCGACCAGTCCATCCATATGCACATGTTATTGATAAGTGATATAATTATATAATCACTATTCTTGTGACGCTTACCTTCACGTGGTTATTATTGGTTGAATTTCTGGAGACTTACGATTCAGGTTGTCAGTCAAGACTTGGTGTTTAAGCGAAATATTTACACCGCGCTTTTTCATCGTGCTTTGACATCATAAAAATATTCAGATCAACCATCTAAGAGGTCTGATGAGCAAGGATTGGATTCTCAAGCCTGGGAGAACTATGGTCTCGACATTTCAGGAGTCGTGTATTGCATTTTTCAAGACACCCAGGAGTATCCATCGAACAGGGGCCATCTCGCCTTGGTGTCCAGTGCGCCCGGAAGTTTTCAGTAAGAAAGACTTCAACTTCGATACCTATTCTTCCAAACCTGGCGAAACCAATTCAAAGGCATGCGGTACACACCATATCTTATCAATTTCCTTCCCACTGAGGAATTTGCCACTAGATTCTAGTACCTGCAGGAGAAGCTCGGTCAAGCTTTCGTCCGTCAAGAATTAAGACCTCGCTTTCGCATTTGCTTGGGGACTAGTTGTTTATGCCGAGTACAGGAATTTAGAACCTGGACAATAACTTTGATGAGGATATTATTAGCTGTGGTTTTTGAGTTGGATGGAAGGAAGTCAGCAGGTATGTCAATCGTATCTAATGCCATCATAGCAGTTACTTTGTTCAAATAACACAAACGTGGGACGTACCAATAGCCAAACTCAAAGGGTCTGAAGCTTCTAGGAAACAGCTCTCCTTATTCCCAATCTCTCCGTGGTCATACTCAGGATAGATACTACCTTCGCATACCCATACGAGGTCCGAGTGTGTACGCGGATCGACTCAAGTCTTGAATCTTGATGCCTCAGCATGTAATCCAAAAGTAACTCTATTTGAAGCAGTCCATCACCTCAACTATAGAGCCGCACAACCTGTAGACTTCTCCGGCTTGACATTCATAAGCTCTCTGCATAAGGCTGACACGGCGTAGCCTCGTCGCCTCGGTCAGGTGTCAATCGGGTTGCAACGCCGCATGTCACTTCTCAAAGCAGAGCACAAAACTCGACAGCTTTGTTTGTATATTCGGGCACATTCTGCGCGTATTCGAGCTTCTTTATATATCTCCATGTATCGAACCATCCTTTGCTCTTCAAATAACTAGACATCGCAAGCTCCTAGAGCTCTCCTAGAGCTCTCCAAAGCTCCCCTCGCTTGCCACTTCGATCCACGAATTCGCCACCTCCTCATCTCCCCCACAACCACGCCCCTCAACCCCTCAAATCCCACCCTTTCAAATCCTCTCACCAGTCTCCCAAAGCCCTACGCCTTCAATCACCACAGCTTCCAGCCTTATCGCCTCATTCCCTCTTCTTTTGTTGCACATCGCAGCTGTAGGTGGCAAAATCTACAGCAATCCTGCAAACGGCGCAGCTGCAGTGCTGCAGCAGCCACGTCTTAGCTGCATGAGCTCCCCCCTGCTGGCTTTGGGGGTCTGGACCTCGACCTTTGGACTTGAATCGTGGAGAGGGCTGAAGGATGAGGCGCATTGGGGTGGGGTGGGTTGGGTAGGTTGAAGATATTGATGTCGGTGAGGTGTGATGATTGGATTTTGTGGAAGAGTTGATTTAAGAGCCGGGGCTTGAGTGTGGAGACTTCAGAGCCGAAGGATGAATGGCTTGGTTTTTGGAGAACGGGTGTATAAGAGGGACACAGAATGTCTGTCCAAATAGAAGAGCGACTGATCGATTGCAGAGGGTTCAGACAACACAACTTCGAGGGAATGCAGCTGCTTGAGAGAGCTTCAAGCTGAAGACTCGTGCGAGGAGATATGAAAACAACATAGATCAATAATTAATAGGCTCAAAGCCCGATAAGTTGGGGAAAGAAAGCATCAGACAAAAGAATAGTCAACGATATTCCCGAAAGAGAACTCGACTGAATGGTTGCAAGACTTGGCCATAATATATATCTCGAAATTTCAACTCCCAAAAGAGTCCTCAAAAGAATATCAACGTAGGACCGCTCGCCTGATCACAGGAAGCCTGGACAAACCGTCATCTACAAAGTTGGCGAGAAAAGGAGATGAAGCTATGAGAGATTCGGGGTGTAGGGTAAATGCTGACAGAACAACAACTAGCAAGGACATACACCACTCACTGTAGTACCTCCTTTAGCAAAAAAGCACCTGTTTAATCAAAAGTATGAAACCAAATCTAGCCAGTAGGATCTTTTCCATCGTGAATCTTACCGACTCTTCCACTTCTCCACAGTTTCCAGTTTTGGGGATATAAATGGGACGAGGAAATCTGACATCAGGTCAGCACGGAAATTTAGATTTTGTATGCATGGCTTGTACTGTGTCTCAAGAAATTCTGCGCCTTTGCTGACACGATATACCTGATAACATATAGGAGGTGATACGAGGAGATGTGGTGTGATGATGCGATCTATACTTTGTTTCTTGAAACGCCATAAAAGGGAAGATTCAATGGAGCGAGGGAAATAAGCTACATCGAAACGACTGGATAGAAGTCCAAAGGCTGAAGAAAATTAAGAGTTGAGATGGAAGGGTTGAAGAACGTTCACTTCATCTGAATCCCAACTTGGGGAACGGATTTTCTATCTTGTCGATCGAACACACTGACTCCGAGGAAGAGAAATAAACAGAACCGCGAAAACAGCACAAAATTCCCCCCCAAAAAAACACAGCTAAACATCAGTTCGGATCAAATTAAATCGCGAATAATCCCCACCCTCACTGTTCCCTTCCGAAATCTTCGGACCATCCGGAGATATCTCCACGTTTTGCCCTTGCCCTTGCCCTTGCCCTTGCCCTTGCCCTTGCCCTTACCCATGCCATGCCTTTCTGGTCGCCGATTCCCCGCAATTTTGACTTTTTCTGCCGAGTGCTACAGTAGATACTTGTAGTTCTGCTGAAAGTAGGTAGGGATTATTTGATACTTTACTTTACAAGTTCACATGCAGGAACAATTTACCCGGCTTGAGGGGGGAAAGAAAAGGGAAACAAAACGTCAATTTTTACATACAGTGCAGTGCAGTGCGAATAATAATGTCAGATTACGTGTGAAACTTTACTTTTGACTTTACTTGGAGTTGGAGATGTCTCCGCAGAGAGGGGAAATCGTTTGGGGTTTGAACTTATTTTTTTAACGGTTTTTTTTACGATGGTATGAGAGAGAGGGAGAGAGAGTATGAGCTGTAAATAATAGGGTAGGGTAGGGGAGAGGTACACGAGCTTCATGCTTTTGATTCCAACCTACATAAATTCACTCTTGTAAATGTACCTGAAACACATCCCCAATCAACAATTCCATAGATTTCCAAGCACGGAACAACATTATCCCCCGAGCGACCTGCCTCCCAATCCAGTATTTCGCAATTACGCGCCGACGCGGCGACGCATCACTACAAAACGGTCCTTCCCTTATCAACACTACTACCAACAAGACCAAGACCCAGCCCGGACCAAGACCCCCAACGGCGGGGTGGGGAGAGCCCGTCCAAGTCCAAGCCCGCACTGACTTTCTGTTCCTGGATGTGCCGCTGCCTGACGCTGGCACTGGCTCGGGATTTACGAACCGCACGCGCTGAGGTCTGTGAGGTGAGGAGCGCTGATCATGAATGTGTATGAATATATTTTTCTTTTTTGATTTGTTTTGCTTTGCATGGCGTTTGGTATTGAATTGTTTCGAATTTTCTCTTCTTATACTTGAGTTTGCATATAATTGGTCTGTAGCTGCCTCGATTGAAACCCAGTTATCGTTTTCCAGCTCTGAAATAATGTCGAGTCGTGAAATCAGCAAGGTACAGACGGACTTACTTTCGCGGTACCTTGGGGTACATACATTTCCATGCTTGCGGGCATGTCTCCTCCGCAGTCACCCCGTACAGTAAACTCAGCCTTTTCCGGATCTCTACGCAGGTACAGCGAAGTAAATTTAAATGCGAAGTAAAAGCGAAAGTGAAATGAAAGTTATACATTACTTTCATACCCTGCCCTGCCTGCTGCACATATGCAGACGTACAGAGGAGGTGTTTCTGGGCTTTTTGACAGGCAGGTCTTGGGAGGAAGCAGATTGGTTTGTTTTGAGTTAGTCCTTGGACTTGGAAGCTGCAGTTACAGTAGGAAAAAGGGCGCGCAATTGAACCTAATCCTGAACCTGGACCTTGCCCTTGACCTTGGTGGATTGGGAGGTCATGGGGACCTGCAGGTTAGTGTTGGTTGACCTGCAAATGTTGTGTAGGCGGGCAGGGAGACGACACGGCAGGAAGATCGAGAGAGGAGGGAAAAGGGGAAGGTACATATCAACGGTCTGTTGTTCAGGAGTGGCACAAGGGACGTGTCGATGACGGCTGGGCCGGAAATAATGAGGCTTGAGGCATGTGCAAAGTTCTGGGACCTGTAGAGATAGAACAGTCGAGATCTAGCAAAGAGGTCTAGACTTCATGAAGGGCTGCAGTTGATATGTTTTGAAAGCCATGTCAATGATAAGTAGCCTGTCCTGGGAGCTAGAGCACGTCCGTAGCCACCTAGACTTTGATGGGCTAGAGAGTCCGAAGCTTTCGCTCGACGGAGACGAACGGTATGGAGCGGACCGTTAGGAAAACCTACCTCGCCTACCTTGGAGACGAAAAGAGCGTGGCTTGGAGCTACTGTGGAAGCTACTGAAGCTATGAGCTGCTGTAGCTACCGACTACGAAACGTTGGACTTGTTTCTCCTCCAAAGCTTATATCGCCGGATCCAATATGGCAAGTCGCTATCGTGCGTCATATGCGGAGAGGAGAAGCGAGGCGAGGGAAGGCAGATGGTGGTTGTCTTGGTACCTGGATGTGAAGATATACCTTCCTCTTGGAGACGGGAAATGCATCCATTTTGGGCTTGATTTTGGGGATTGACAGGCACACAGACGATGGTGTGTAGAACCAGGTGAGATGGAGATGCGATGTGGTGCAGGTGGTTGCACAGACTCAAGAACACCCTGGGAGATGATGACTCTGCTCTGCCCTACTAGGAACGGAAGATAAGATCCAGGATCCACACTGGCAATTTAATATTAATATCGCCGTATCTTTTGTATCTCTCGCGAACGGGTGCACTGTTGTAATGCCATGTGGTAAACATGGTTCGTTGTTTGCATGAACTGGTCCTAGCCAGGCCTGCTTCTGTTAGTTAATTACAACGGTGTGCCTTTTCCTTCAGTAATTTACAATTTGCGAAACACACCCCCAGAGCAACAAGCACATGTCTGGCGGCCGATGAGTAAAATCGATATCATAAGTACAGTACCTATCATACCCTCCCCAGTCTGCACCCAAATCCTTATCTCTCGTCGCCATGCCCATGCCACGCACCTTGAGTGTAAGCGAATCCACTTGTATCGGAGCTTCAGTTTCTCCCCCTGCTGTCACTCCCTGGAAGCCGCTTGCTACGCTACTGTACTGCATATCCGGGCTGCTTTGCCGGGGGTGGCTCTGGCTTAGGGTTGGAGTGAGACGGCTAAGAGTTTGGTCACAAATGACCCCGAACGTTATCCCCAAGTCCAGGCCTGATCGCATCAGGCGAAAGAAACATCGGTCGTGATATCGACTCAAGATGGGGGGTGGAAGACCTCAGATGCCTTTTGTTCGGCTATATCTGTTCTCTTCGGCTCTACTTTCTGTCTTACCTGCTGTATGCGTGTTGCTGGAAGTACCGTCAGTCTGGTATCGGATCAGCGGTGTTCGGAGATGCAGGTAGTACTGGTGGCATGGCATGGCGTCCTGGTGGTATGCTAGCCTGTAAGACGTCGAAGGACCGGAGGATAACACAGGCTGGACTGGAGTGACAGCGGATCTCGACAGCGGCGGCGATGAGGTCTCGACGGCTGGATTTAACTTGTCTGGCCCACCAGACAGGGCTCTTCAGCGAATAAATGCTTCCTCCCCTGGGCTTGATCACCAATTCTACTGTACTTTACAGTATCACAAAGTACTCCACCATGTCCCGGATCTGCCAATCCTATTCTAGCCTGGTCCCTGTCCTGGATGCTTGACTCTGCTCTTCCCTTCCAGGCTGACTGCTGTTGCTGCTGCTCCGAGGACCGCGTGGGAAAATGCCTGGCTTGGCCCTGCACTGCACTGACTTGCCTTCCCCATGAAAGCATCTTCTCCAGTCAAATCCAATCCTCTTCCACTCTTTCTTTTGTATAGCTTCTACTCCCCAGAAACGACCTTCAATTGGCGCCTACCTAATATCAGAACAAACGACAATATTTAATACTGTACCTCAATTCGCTCCCTTCAAAAAGCAATTCTTGCCCTTCTGCTCTTGCTTCAACTCAGCCGTCTCTTGGCTTGATCCTCACCCCTCCATTCCATCCCATCCCGCACATGCTACCGTCCTCTTCTTCCGCTCCCAAAACCGTTGCAACGACCACTTGCTTGGCATAAGCTGTACATATCCCCAAGTTTGAGGTTTGTATAATCTCTTCATCTAAACGTTGTTCGTGGTTACTGTTGTAGCTTCAAGAAACATCGGCTAACATTTGACCTGTCTCGAAGTTGAACAATACAGCCTCGTCAAGATACCACAGCCCTGCGTCTCAAATCTACCCCCACGATCGTTTCTAAACCACTTCAAACCACATTTCGACAACTTCTCGCTATTCTCCCCTCTTCAAGATACATTGCTAGACCACTGGATACTGGATTTGCCCTTGCTCCCCTCCAAATAACTGTTATCAAGTCTGGCGCATTCGAGCTATCAAGGTCTCGAAGCATCTTGCTTCCGGATCGACCTACCACACTTTGAGTCGCATCTTCGCTGCAACACATGTCAGATCTCTAGGGTCGTTAATACTGCACCAAGATGTCTGGCAGGAGCGCATATGTGCGCAAGGAGAAGACAAAAATCAAGAATGAGCGGGACGCAGGAGGTGCAGTGAGCAACGATGGAGAGTCCGACAAACAACCCTCCGATAAGGCTTTGTCAATTGGCGACTTTCCCATGCCACAAGGCCGGCAGCCCCAGTACACGATAGACGTCCCATACAGGAGTCAGAACAATGAGATCTCCACTATCAGAACAAATGTCTCCGGGGGCTCGGACGACCTTGCATATGCGCGTGTCCGCAAGCCGCAGGTTCCCGTCATTGATGTATCCGGGATCGAGAAGTCGTCGTTCAGGACCAAGATGGATAAACAGAGTGAGAAGATTAGGGGAGTCTTGACTTTTGGAGGCAAGAAGAAGAAAAAGTCAGATGAGAACCAAAACGAGTACAGGCCAAACACTTCGGCGACTTATCGTCATGATGTTTCAGAGCTGGATACTGGCGATTATATCACTCCTGCGATACCAAGAAACCGAGGACAACAGTCCGGCGAGCCAGAATTTCCGCGCCACGCCCCACCAGCTGGTAAGCTTCCTGCAGTTCCTCAAGGACCACAGTTGAAGCGCTGGATGGGTAACGGAAGGCCTCCAATGCTATGGAACAAGCTTCGGAAGGATCCAGAACTTTGGGATCCCAATGGAGATACCCTGATATTCTTGGGCCACGACAACCACCATGCATCCAGACCACCACCTTCGTTTAGGTTATCCTCCCATGTTATTGAACAGACTGAGTCCCGGTTTCTGATTACTCTACTTCGTGAAGGTTCAATTGACGAGGGAAGCAATTTCAGCATGCCACCTTCTCCTATCAGCTCTCCAGGTATGCGAACCCCTCATTTGGCTCAAGGAGGCCGCCAACAACATCCAACGCCTCCAACATCAGAAGGCAGCGTATCTGGTGGATTTGATGGTCAGATCTCGTACGAAATATATTTCCCAGCTCCAGTGAATCAATCCAAAACCGAGACAATTCGCCATCAAGTTACCACTCGGAATGTGTTTGCTTTGCTGTATCAAACTTCCTTGGTTGGTCTGAATCTCTATCAAGCTTTAAGCGATCTACATGATCGTCTTGAGGTTTACATGCCAGATGAAATTGATGCAGCTGGTATGATTATCGATTATATTGTCAACAAGGGAATTGATGATGTACGAGAGAACCCATCTGCTGCGGCTGCTCTACTTGCATGGAGTGAAAGTGCTTCTGTTCGCTGGGAGGAGGGATGGAAAGAGGCATATGTTCACAGTTCTGGAATGTATCATCGACTCGAGAGTGCTCCTGACTTCAGATATGTCACTCCTATTACCAGAGCACTTCTCGAGCGAGCGAGCTTAGAAGTACAAGTCCGGATCAACAACTGCGAAAACCGCTTCGTTGACTTTGATTTTGGAGATATGTGGCCAATGATGAGTTCTCACCCTCCACCTGCTCGAGCCGCATTCGAACGCCTACGGAAATTTTTCCTACAGCACTACCAAAGTACTTACGAGTCATGGCCACCAAGTCAGCCTGCTGGGCATGAACAATGGCTCACTAGAGGTCTGGCGCAGAAGTTGCAGAAGGATTTTGGTTCGCTCTACGACTACTTGGTCAATCGAGAGGTCGCTTGGGATTGTTCGGAGGAGAGAAGTGGTCGGAAGTGGAATATTATTCATCCTACCAACAGAGGTTTTGATGCTGATACTCAAGATCTTCCCTTCACAGATATTCTTGTTGCATTCGATAACCGTCACAAATTCCCACACATTCCCCACCCTTACCCACTCGTCCCGGATTCCCAACCAGCTCGGACCGAGTCGAAGGAGAATCTATTCAAGTCGAACAAGAAGTCGAATAAGCCAGCTGAAGACAAGATGGCTGAGCGTAAGGCTGCTTTGGCATATACCGAGTCGACCAACATTTACCTACTTGGATCCGATTTTGTCAACAATGATCTGGTTGATGCTTTTGTCAGGTTTGAGAAGGGAGATCGTGCTGGGGATGTCGATCCATACGCAGCTCGCCGCGGTAGATGGGTCCTGATCTACGGAATCCTACAAACACTGGCCTCGGTCTCCGTCGATACTCCCAACCTCCGTTACACCAGTGATGTCTCGTACCACCTTAATCCCCGTCTAAGAGGTACACCGCCATGGAAAGGAGCGAACCAGAACGTCCAAGAGGCAAGCCACGTCGGTTCACACTGCTGGACTGTCCGTGATACATGGCAACCCGAGGCGCCAGTCATGATTTCCCGCCGAGGTCAGCATTCCCAATCTGTTCGATCTTCAGCTCCATCAGCTGCATCTAGCGATGCTGGATCATCCACCATGCGCTCTCCAACCCTCATCAATGCGAGCATCTCCACCAAATCCTCTGGACGTCGCAACAACACTCGCAAGGAGCCTGAAGGCATCAGCTATAGTGGCTACGCACCCGGCATTGAGAAGGTCGACGAATGGCCAATTCGCGAGGAGAGCAGAGATTACAAGGAGAGAGATGAGCGGCGGGAATACGGCAGCCGTGTTGGTCCGAAGAATGACTATGTCCTTCCAATACAGAAAGGTGGTTACACGATCAAGGATTTCGATGAATATAGTTTCGGAGACCGGATTTGATTGTATGTTTTGTTATACTGTGTGACGATATGTTTTCGATTCGATACCCATTCGGTTTGCTTCTTTGCCTATTTTGTTTTCAAGGCCAGGGGTGGTTTTTATGATTGATGTTTCAGGATGATGGATGCATGGTTTATGTGGAGGAATGGTAATGAGGCAAGATTTTATATGGAGGTGATGGGGGGTACATATTTGATGCTGGGTTGCATCTGAATTCTGCGAAGAGGGACAACCCACGGCTTGGAATTCACAATACTTCCGTTCGGTCTCTTCCTCTACTTGCTGGGGAGGATTTCATAGCGATTTCCTTGTTCTTCCTTCAAGGCATGGTCAGCTCAGCGATCGAACAAGCGAATGAGCGATTTGGTGAGCGAGCGGACACTGCTTCTCTGTACCAGTTCAATAATGGCAAGCCATTGCGTGGTTGCCATAGCGTATGCATGTAGCTAGCGAGTGAGCGATTTTGGCAAGGTATTGAAACGGCGCTAGGCGTAATGGAAAAGACTCCGAATGGAACTCAGAGTGTCTATTTCACAGTGGCACTGCTTTATTCCGTAGGAACATGATTGACTTGGTTGTTGACAGCTGGAGGGGCAAACGAGCTCCCATCTCTCTAGCGAATCACAGCCCTTGCAATGAAGCATTCCACCGCCTTCGGCAGAAAAAAGAATTACCCCTCCATCCCCAAAACCCAACTAAACATTGCGATATCTTCACAAAACTGTGGCCTACCTACCTAAACCAAACTATCTCCATCCGCCATCTCCCACCTCGCATTCCTTTCAGAATGACAGCAGCACCACCAACTCAACCACCAATCCTCTCCACCCCCGAATCCCACATCTTCGAAGACCCCACACCCGCATCATTCTCCAGCTCCTCCTTCACACAAAATTACGACGACGATGAATTCAGAGAGGTATTTGAGATTCAGAGGACCGTGAGGGAGATTAGGAGTGGTGGATGGAGGAGAGTGGCGCTGCAGTTCCCGGATGGGATGTTAGGTGTTGCGGGGAGAGTTGTTGGGGAGTTGGAGAGTGGTTGTGAGGGGTGGAGGGAGGAGGAGGGGAAGGAAGGGAGGAGAAATGATGGACAAGAGAAGGAGGGGGACGGGGGTGTAGAAGGACTGGAGACTGATTTCAATGCGCTGTCGACCTCGGAATCTACAGACTCGAAAGTCGTGCCATCGAAAAGTCACAACCCACAATCTGGAGGAGGAGGCAACAAGAGAGAGAGAATACGCTTCTACATCCTAGCAGACACGTCTTACGGCTCATGCTGCGTCGATGAAATAGCGGCTGAGCACGTTGCCGCGGACGTGGTAGTCCACTATGGCCGGTCCTGTCTCTCGCCCACGACTCGCCTCCCAGTAATATACATATACACTTCTCAACCTCTGTCACTCCCGCTCGCCGTGTCCTCGTTCACACAAACATTCCCTTCGCTGGAAGAAAAGGTTCTGTTGATGGCAGATATCACGTATCAGATCCACATACCACGATTGATAGCTTCATTGAGGGAGAAAGGATATACGAATTTAGTTGCGCCAGAAGTGGTACGAGATCCAGGGAGCGTGGTACCGAACCGTCTGGTTGAAGAGACTATCAAAGAGAGTCTTGGAGAGTATAAACTTTGGCATATTTCGGAGCCGCCGAAAGCATTACTCCTGACGCTTACAAGTCGAGTAAAGGAGATGTACATCTACCCCACCGACGCTCCCCAAACCTCCCCAACATCAAACGGACCAACCCCCCAAGCCATCCTAGCAAACACTTCCATGCTCCTCCGCCGACGCTACGCCCTTCTCATCACCCTCTCCACGGCCCCCATCCTCGGAATCCTCATCAACACCCTCTCCGTCTCCGACCACCTCTCTGCACTCTCCTCCCTCCGCGAACTCATCTCCGCCGCTGGCAAGAAAAGCTATACTTTCGTAGTAGGCAAAGTCAACGCCGCTAAGCTTGCGAATTTCAGCGAGATTGGCGGCTGGGTCGTGGTGGGGTGTTGGGAGAGTAGCTTGATTGAGGGAGGGGAGTTTTATAAGGGTGTTGTTACGCCGTTTGAGTTGGGGGTTGCGTTGGCTGGGCAGGGGAGGGGGTGGGATGGGAGTTGGAGGGGGGATTTTGGGGGGTTGCCGGATCCGAGGAGTATTAAGGATGAGTCTGAGAAGGAGACTGTTGAAGGACGAGAGAGAAATAGTGATGAGCGTGGGGATGGAGAAGGGCAGCAAGGCGGGGATGATGAAGATTCGGAATCGGAATCTGAACCACCTGTCTACGATCTCCGTACAGGTCGATATATCTCCAATTCTCGACCCATGCGCTCCTCAAACACCACCTCTACTACCCAGCCCTCTTCCAACCCCTCTTCCTCGACAACCGACCCAGAAACCTCTAAATCCCTCACCAAAAGAGCAAAAGGCGATTTAGCGACAATCAACGGCACAGTCAGTCCCGGCGCCGAATACCTTCGGACCCAGCGGACGTGGACGGGCCTAGGGAGTGATTTTGCGGAGACCGATGCAACCGAGGGTATTGAGCAGGGGAGGAGTGGGGTTGCGAGGGGGTATGTGGTTGGTGAGGGGGGTGGGGAGAGGAGGTGATGATGGCGGTGCTGCTTTGATGGATACTTGGAAGAAAGGAAGGAGGGAGATGTGAAGTAGATTAAGAGATAGAGTGGTGATGAATATGATACCCGGATGATTGAGGAATGGATTGGATTGGATTGAGTACATGTGGTGTTGATGCTTGCGTGAGTAAGTTTGTGAGTTTTCAATATCTCAATTTCGGTCATTTCACGGACTCCTTCGGTTCCTGAAAGTCCACTGAAAGCACTCGATCATGCTGTATCCAAGTAAGGCGTCCAACCAGCACCAAATTTAAGAACGCATTCATTATTCCAAATACACCACTGGAAATCTCCAACTCTCACGAACCAAAGCAGGTCCAACTGCTCAAAACAATAGTTTTGGAGAATGTTTTGTCGCTCCCGTTCAAGTGCATGTGACACGGTGTGGTTACAGGGTCTCGTATTGTAAGAGGCTGGTGACGGTTCACAAGCGAAGCCGCATTAAAAGCCCCTGAAGCATTCTCGAACACAAAAAACAGGACACGATCAAACATTACTGTCCATCAACTAGATTCCCATGGCAATGGCAGTCCAAATCATCTCAGACTTGCATTTGGAAGCTCCAAAGGCCTACGATATCTTCGACATCATACCAAAGGCACCGTACCTAGCACTCCTTGGCGACATCGGCAACGTCGCGTCACACAAGGACGATTGCCTTGCCTTTCTGACTCGACAGCTCAATCAATTCAGAGTTGTGTTTTTTGTCTCCGGAAATCATGAAGTTTACCACTCTAACTGGCCGGAAACATTGGAAATTCTTCATACCTTCGAAAGAGACGTTCGCAACAACGCAACGCTCGGTGACTTCATCCTGCTTGATCGCACAGTCTATCGCATGCCAGACACCAATATCGTCATCCTTGGGTGCAGTCTGTTCTCTTCCATCTCCGCTAGCAATTCAAAATCAGTCAGTGTTGGGCTCATTGATTTCTTCGTGACGGATGGCTGGGATGTCGACTCGCATAACGAAGCGCATAAGCGGGACATTGCATGGCTCAACACACAGGTTGCGGAACTTGAGCATTCTGACGTGCGTATCATGATATTCACACATTGGAGTCCATCAATAGATGCACGTGCAGTTGATCCAAGGCACGCTACTAGTCCGATTACGAGCGCTTTCTCAACCGACCTGTCTGAGGAGGAATGCTTCCAGAATGAGAAGGTTAAAATATGGGCATTTGGGCATACGCACTATAACTGTGACTTTGTGGTCGAGCGAAAAGAGGGCATCGAATCGCTGAGGCTAGTCACAAACCAAAGGGGTTATTACTTTGATCAATCTGTCGGATATGATGGAGAAAAGATAGTCGAATTAAACGATAGTGTCTGATCGCATGATTACATCCACAACGTGCTATACCACTGTCCTTGCCAAACAAATCTTCACACGTAAACCAATGCTAGATCTCGTTATATGCTATACCAGCCTAAAATACTTCTCAAATGACAAACAACGTGTCTAGGGCGTTCGATCATCCCATGGCTTGCACAGTGTGCTCTTCTGACTTAATCGGAGCAAGACCTCACATCTACCGACCTCTGCCCCTGCCTGAGCTCGATTGCTGGCCACTCGAAGACCCAGCTTGTGCAGCCCACTCATAAGACCCATCACTGTTCAAGTGGTAGTACCTCCGATATTCTGGGCTCCAAGTCCAGTATTCATTTGCCGCAGGAGTAGGCGCCGGAGTCGATTCTTGAGCCACCAGACCTAGACACTGCTTCCACCAATCCTGAGTCTTGGTGCTATTGGCGACTACGTCGGTGATACAGGGCTCAACAATTGCGAGCTGTGAGGCGGTGAGGCGGAGCGGTGTCGTCATGTTCTGTAACAGAAGCTGGGCATCTTGGGCATCGATACGTTTCTTGGCAACTTGTGCGCGTAAGCCGCAGGAGTATATTTTGAAGATGAGAAGATCTATTTGTGAGATGAATGGAACGTGGCCGGCCGGGATCTGACTCAGCGCCCGTGCCTCCGATGGCATATAGGGAGACTAAGTAACTTTGTCAGTATGTAAACGCATTATCAACATTTCCCAAAGGAAGTAGGTAAACAATTGAGAGCTTAAAACGAACCTGCCACCCTGGAGTGATATCAACTTGAATATTTACCGCTAGGGTTCTTGTAATAGAAGTATTGTGCCTGCATAACAAACCGGGAATTTGGAAGGTTGAGGAGTGTTTGCTTGACAGAATTTGGTGCAGTATCAATATTTATGATGAGATCAATCAATATTTATGATGAGATCAACATCCTAATTAGAATTGGATTTCAGTAAAGACGAGATAGGAGGGTGTGGGAAATTACCTCAGTAGTTCTGCCATTCTGGAAATAGTTCCAAAGTGCCAGTCCGCCAATAACGGCAACCCTGGCATTGGCGTATTCCGGGATGCCTTTCAAGATAGTAATAACTTCCGAAGCGGCGCTGTTTAGCTCGGCTAGGCTAGGCATGGTACTGGACAGTATGGGGCAAAGATATAGGAAACAATTCGGAAAGGTGATACTATAAAGATGGTGGATGCAATGTCGAACAGCAGAGCGAAAATGATTGTCGAACAGAGGTGTGATACAAGGCTTATTATATACTCCTATCGTGGAACGAGTTGGCTACTTGCATTTGCACGATCAAGTTTAACAGGGACGAACACTTTAGGCCAATGAAGACAGATACCGGCGTTTCGACTCCTTCAGACGCCCAGACTCGTAGGCGGCGTGACGCTGAAGATACTAACATCATAAATCAAGACCAGTATGAAGTTTTGGCCGAGCCTGGTGGTAGCATATGCAACCGGGGAGGCGAAGCACCAAAGTATGCCATGAGAAGTGACCGCAAGTAGTCGGTGTCTAGCCCTTTGTATCCCAATTCTGAATTGTTGCGGCTAGGAATATTAGCATATTCAGCGGCCGTTTCCAGGCTCAGGGATCTAGAGGAAGGACCGCCCGCCACGGCCCGGGCCTTGGTTTCAGCCTGATGAACAATAATCGTGCAAAGAGCCGGACATGTCCTCGCTAGATGTTGGCAGGCCCTGGCAAGCCTGTCAAATTGGGTCCATTCCAAAGCAACGTGCTTGAACCTGCATAGATCATCAGCATGAAAGCTGTCTATGACTTTCATCGTGTCAGAAAAGTCGCCCAGATATACGACTGTATGGTCCATATCCACCCAGTACACGCCGGCGCTTGGCCGGCGAATGGGTTTCATGTACGTTTGTTCCAGCAGCCGCCGAGCTTCTTTGGAAGATAGGCCAGCTAAGTACGGCGCCGGGCCAATGTAGGCCATGCTGAACTGTGCATGGTTCACGCCGGCCGGGTTGCGAATCGCAGCCCAGACAGTGCGAACGGACAGCGCTTCGCACCAAATTTGCTGGCGTAATTCAAGGGGCAGAGCCCCGAATAACGTGAAGCTATCTGCGGCCGACATATTTGGCTTTCCGGAGCGGCAAAGTTATTGAAGGGATCGCGCGCTTCAACTTTGACTTTCAGGATGTGAAAAGTGCTGTTGAGGTGTCGATATCATGGCTTGAGGATCTCGAGGAAGTTGAGGTTCACCACGAGTTGTCAAGAAGCGCTGACAAAGATACCACGCTAGCCTATTACGGTCGCTCTAGTTTCATTGGTAACAGGGTAATTCAGCCTTGGCTTCGCTATATCTGCACGACCTTTCGCCTTGAATCATCTCAGTTCGATTCGCAAAGAGACCACATGTTCAAACTCCACACTTTCCTGGACTGACGACAACATCAAAAAGTGCAGTATGCCAGATTTTTCGGAGGCATTTGTGGCATCCATTGCGTTCGCTCTCAACTCGGCCCAGATTCCTTGCCTTCTCTGGGGCCACTATCTGCTCAATGTTCATGGTGTGCCCTCCGCAATCGCTGTATGTATGCATCATCAAATTCCACCACGAAAAATATGCTAAATAATATAATAAGTCTATTGACTTCGTCATTCCGGATAAATCTATGTTGCCTGCGATTCAGGTCCTCTCTCACATAGATAGTCTTTTGGCCTGTAAAGATGTCAAGCTCTGTTCCACAAGCTCGTCTTCGAGGCCAACACCGCCACCAACCTTTCATGCACATATAAAGAGCCTAGAAGTCACTGTATGTCTCTATTTGCAATCCGAGACTCTTTGGTTTCTACCACCTTTGGACACTTCTCTCGCATCCCCAACGGGAAAAGAACTTCCATCACCTTTTGCCCTTGCATCCGATCAGACTATCCTGCCACCCTGGCGGCCGGGGCGAGGCTCGGGATCTTTCAAGCCAGGCTACCATCCCGTCATTGTCCCCAAATCTCATATTTTGTTGGAGGCATTTATGCTTCTGTACGCCAGGGACTGGGAGAAGCGCATTGGGGACTTTGCAATGGCCATGATTGCGTACATTGAGCTATACGTTGATGAAGACGGACTTCTAGAAAAGGAACGACTTCCGGAGCCCCTTTTGACGTTCTATAAGGAGCTTGGGAGGGGGGAAAAGCCAGTCCTGCAATGGTCAGAGGAATTGACGGGGGCTGTTAGTGCCTTGGGAAATTTCACATTTATGTCGCAACCTTCAAATCTTTGAATCACCATTGTACCTTTCGCAATTCAAATTATAGGCCCATAGCGCGCCCATCATTAGCTGCTAGCAGTGGGGTGCTGAGTGATGTACCACTCGACGTGATCTGCTGGAGCTTGTTGAGGATGCTGACCTGTTCTGGGCAGGTCTGCGTTTGGTTGCTGTGCTCTTGGAGCGCGGAGCAGTCGGGTTGTAGGTATAATTTTTGAAGATCAGAGTGGTCATCTCGAGCGCGTGAAAAGGACTGAGAGTGTTCGAGAAGCTCTTCTGCTGGCTGCTGGCTGCTGGTTGCACAAGTGGACTACGAAACCATCAAACGAAAGCAAATATTACTACAAACGAACGAATCCCTGTTCCCTGACTCCGATCAACCTGGATATCTACATACCGCAGCAAATGCGACAAGCGAAACAAACATGTACTTCGTCAAACAGGCAACTGACCAGCTACAGCTCAAATACAGCAAAGTCCGGAAACTTCGGAAACAAACGCCATTCTACTTCCGCTTCCTCTTCGTGGTACGCCTCACAGGTATTTCTCCCTCCTCGTCTTCCTCTTCCTCCTCCGCCACATTTTCAAATTCCTCATCCTCATGCTGTTTTTGAAGTTTCTTTCTCCGCCTGCCCTTCCTCCTGGGAACATTACTTGATTCCTCATCGCCCGCCTCAGTCTTGCCACCTACACTCTCAACCCTCATTTTCTTGGCATTCCTCTTACTCGAGCTCCTGCTCAAACTCGCAACCCTTTCACCACCTGCTACAACAGGCACCTCATTCTCACCCTCATCCATAGACTCCTTCTTCCGCTTGGATCCCATCGTAGCAGCGCGCGCTTTAGAACTACGCGTCTGGCGAGTTGTAGGAGGCAGTTCCTTGAGCGCCGCCTGTGGAGGAGAATTTGCAAACCCAGCTTGATTGGCGTCATTTGCGCTGCCTGTAAGCGGATCTGCAGGAATGGGAATGCTACTACTTCCTTCACCCTCTCCCCCAGCTTCATCAACACCAAGACCTAAAGACTTCTTCTTAGCATCCAACAGCGCAGCCGCCCGTCCCAACGAAACAGTAGCTTCCGACCTCCTCCTCTCCTCCTTCTTCTCCGCATCTTTCAGCTCTCGCTCAGCTTCGTCAACCTTCGACCTTGCTCCAGCAACCTCTTCAGTTACTTCCGATGTGTCGAGAGGGGAGTATGCGTCTTCGAAGTCAGCGAGTATTGCGCGGGCAGTGAGGGCGTTGGCGCGGAGGGTACGGATGTGCTGGTCGGCGGCTTTGCTGGTGCTTTTCTCTTTGGCTTGTTTCACTCTAGATCGGGCTTAGCAAATGTCTTGTGCCGTCGTGTGTGAGGAAATATGAAAGTGTCGGTTGCTTACCCTAAGAGATTGCTAGTTCTGAGAATAGCAGCTCGCTCTTTTTCTTCTGCTTCTTTCTCTTTAGTTCTCCGCGGACGTGGCTGGGTCTGTGTCTCCACTTGTTGGGACTGCATCACAGCACTCGCAGCAGTATCCGCAAACTTCTGCAGCGTTGCATGAGCTGCTCTGAAATAAGGCAAGCGTCTCTTGAATTCCAGAAGTGCTGCATTTAGAGCGGTGTTTGGGCAGGCTGGGCCAGTGGAAACCATTTCTGTGGAGGCACCCTGGACAGCACCTTTTGGTGGTACCACACCAGAATGTGTCTGGAAATGATCTCGAATAGCCTTTCGAGAATTGTTTCCAAGCCTGTAACCACATCCTGGAATAGGACAGGGTCCCATGTCCTGTATCTCCGTTATCCTGCCATTGTCGGCCAAATCATTGGCGTGCCATCTCAGATGTGCACCTATGGTCCGAGAAGTCGCTTCTCCAAAACTTCGGCCGCATCCTGGTAGAGGGCATATGCCCCAGCCGGGACCTTTTGCATTCATACCAGGGGCTCCTGCACCTGATGCGTCATCATACTGGTCTGTGGAAGAGCCGCTGGTCTTCTCTTGTGCATAGTCACGTCTCAACTTGTGTTCACGAGCCAATACAGCTTGCTCTCTAGCTCTAACTTCCTCCTGACGGTGTAAGATATCAGCTCGATCGATGGCGTTCTTGATTCTTTGATTTTCCACGACTAGATTTAATTAGTCTATTTACAAAATTGAACGAGGTTTAAGATGAACATACCTTGAGACATCTCATGAGTTTCTGCTATTGACGAGACAGGCTCCCGACGATAACATTCATTATTGTGGGACTCTAGTTCAGATTGGGATAAACTCGCAAGACGTTTACCGCAACCCTTACAATACTTTCCTGAGCCTCCGTTGGGAACTCGGCAGCGCTTTAAATGTGCTTGTTGATCCCGGAAAGGGAGGAGAGCAAGATTGAGCCCACAACGGATACAGTAATACCCATCATAACACGCTCTATGCTCTTTTCGTTTCTCCGAAGCTGCTGTTCGCTCTCTCCCACAGCTCTGACATATAACTGGATCCGGTGCTCCGTTCTCTCGGACAGGGGTCTTGTGAGTACACATGCGACCATGATGAGCTTTCTCGACAGGAGTACATGCTAGCAAATCAAGGCCACAGCGATCACAGAACTTTAGTGCGCCAGGAACATGACTTGCGATGTGCGTCGTGACTTCTTCTGTGGAGCTGCCTCTCAGGTCAAGGTTACAGATAGGACATCTGGTATCGTCCCAGAAATGTTTAATGTCATCGCTTTCTCTTCTGGAAAAGTCCGAGTGGAGATGCTGCTTCTTCTGTGCAGTGGTAAAAAGCGCCCAGTTCTCTTCACACATTGGACATTGACCGACAGAGTTGAGCAGGTCCAAGTGACCCTTGTAATGTGCCATCTTTGCATCATTGTCGTATCCCTTGAACGTTTCGGAACAGATCGGACAGCCTATTTCCCTCTCGAGCACATGGTTCAAGAGCTTTCGATTCTCCTTGCGAAGTTGCATAATATCCGTTGGTGTGAGGTGCTGGACGAATACTGTTGGCATGCTTGATCCGACACTGATCGCTTGCTCAAGGTTGTCACCGTATAGTGGAGCTGCTGGAGCAAAGCCTGGCTCTATGACTGACTGGTCTTGAGTCCAGGACTTTTGTTGCAACTGGTTCTTGGCTGTGTGATCGAGCATCCAAGCATCGAATTTTGGAACTTCCGATGTTCTAAAGATAGGAGGCTTTGCACCCGGTATCCGACGAGGCGTGTACGGAGGTTGTGCTACGGGTAGTGGTTCGTCGGTGCTCTCAATGTCATGATCTTCGTGATGGTGATCAGGAGTGAATCGGACATGAGGTGTGGCATGATGTTGCGCTTTAGTACTGGCTACTGGGAGAGCAACGGGAGGCGTATGGGTAATTGGCATGTCATAGATACCCCACGGATCACTGGAGTCGCGTACTAGAAGAAGATTAACAACCTGCTGGGACGTGTGCTCTGCGTCACTTACTGCATTGAATTCCATCATTGCGTATGATTTGCAACTCATGACTGTGCAAGTAGTCGAATATGTGTTTGCGCCACTCCTCTTCAGTTGTATAACTGTTTACAACAAATCGCTGATTTCGCTTAGCAATGATGAGTTCAAAATTATCCGTGAATGCAACATCGCCGTCGTAGGAAAGTGAAGCGAATGCGGTCCGGAAAGACTCCAGTGTCGCATCATTCGTAGCATCCCACTCAAAAATTAACCCATCTTGGTCGTCCAAGTCCATGCCGGCTGGGTCGCTGATGGCAAGCTCTGTAACCGTGAAATGTTTCCACTCAGGACGAAACCATATACAACTTGTCGAGTTGGTCATATCTTCGCTCCGAGCCCAGGATCCCAGAGCGCCCGCTAGATCACCACTATGGGCATAATCAAAGAGACGAGATCCATGGTTTTCCTCTCGCCACGTTGCTGAGATCCAAACTCTGAATTGATCCGGTAATGACAAAGCTGGCTGGTCAGGGTCATCGTGGTCCAGAAGAACAGTTCTAGACAATTCTCGAATTGCTCTAGCAAGGCCTGCAAAGTCCCCACGCTTGACAGTACCGTACCTCTCTGTACCAGCAAGGCGAATGCCAACCTCTGGAGTCGATGCTGCTGAACCAGGACCAGATAATCCATCGCACACAGCAAGTCCATCAGCGCTATAACTGTCAATCTGCTTTTTGACGGCATTGTAGAACTCCTCTGTGACTTCTACTCCTCCGAATCCCAAATGCGTGTTCAATAACATGATATCTTCAGCTGGACGAGTTACACCGAGAGGGTAGTGAATCATCATAGCCGAAAGAAATCCTTCCTGGATCTGATTCATTCCATAAAGGCCATCACGGGGAGTTGGCAGTTTCCAGTACGACTCCCTGTCTATACCTCTGAGTACAACGTAGTTCGAAACGCTTTTTGGGGGTGATAGATCCTTCGTGGAGATCTGGTTGCATTTGCGGACAAATACCGGCCACGTATACTCAGGAATTCCTGGAACATTTTTGATGTGCATTTCGAACTGTTTAGTGACTGTTTCCAAGGACACCTCGATGACTGTAGGAGGAGTGGTATGATGCAAGTCAACTGTGAAAGACCAGCCGCTGCCCCCTCTTGGAATGCCGAGAAGCACACGAGCACCAGCTTGAAAGGATTGGGCATTCTTTTCCACCTTGATCTTACCTCCGTATCCATAGATATATGCTGGACCGGTAGAGATAATAGGACTGGAAGGAGCAGAATATATGTCGCTGTTTGGCTTTAATACCTGTATACCATGGACTGGTGTGGGTATGAAAGTAGGCCTCGAATTTGGCGGTGGTAAAGTGGGTGACGCTTTGAAGGGGAGCACATCGAATCTTGTGAGGGTTGGGACCGGATCTTCGTCGGAATGGCGCACGACGACATTCCAATCGGCTTCGCCACGAAACAGGCGGGGCTTGATGTCCTCCTCGAATATCTTATCCAACGAATCCCTCGCAATTTGAACTGTGTGGCTATAATCGAGGGCACGAGATGGGCCACCAACAAGATCCACCTGGTTCGAGTAGAGATCAACCGCAAACTCCCAATCCGTGTTGGGATCGATGCCTAGTAGTCTCAAAGCTCGGGTGCCAAAGCTTTTGCTCGTTGCCTTGATTTCACGGCCCTCTCTGTTTCGATAGATTGTTACAGTCTCTCGTGTCTTCCTGGCCTGCGGTAGAAGCATGGCCTGTGAAAGAGATCGAGGCTTATTACCTGGTGGCCATTGGCTAGGTGGTTGTACGATGGTCTCATGCACAACAACAGTCCAACCTATCTCCTGGAAAATACGCTTCTGGATAGCCATGTATTGGTGGAAGTTTGCTGATAAAGGGAAGGATATCGAGTGGTCGAGTGGTGACCCTGGCCCAGTACCTGCGTTATCAAGCTGGCTCGAATACAAGCTTACCGTGACTGATCTTGCACCACCGGGTAGTAATGCTCTGATGGAATTGGTAAACGATTTTGCATTGTCCTCAAACGACTGTGAAAATCCACTTGGGTATGCGATTAGTTTGCCAGTTACTTCTCCTGTCGGTTGCTGCCTTTGCGCTGGTTCACCTGGCGCCGGAGTTCCTGATGGTACATGCGTAGCGTCCCTGTGGTTTGAAAGACGGTCCTTTGGCAATGTCGCCAATCTCAGCACATCAGTGTTGTGGGGACCTCGTGCAGAAATGGTGAAGGTACTAGCAAACTTTTCGGCAGTAGGTCGAAGATGGTAGTAGTCCACGGAGAAAACGTAATTCTCCTCGGGGTCGGAAATTCTGACTTTTACATAGGACTCGTATGTCATGTCGAATTCAGCTTTGGACAATATGAAGCTTCTTACGAAAGGTTTGATCGGTGTCTTCTTGTATCGCTCTGAGTTTTCGAATTGGTCAACAACAATGGTCCACTCGGAGTCTGGATGTAAATCAAGCGCCTTTAGCGCAGCATTTTGGAATTCATCTGCGGAGACTTGATTGTCGGTCGCTCTAAGCTTGATGCTTGCGCCATATCGACTGTAAAGATAGCGATAGCTAGAATCTGCTCCTCCGCCTCTCAGATGTAGAGATCCAATTGGTTGAATAGGCTTCCGACCGGAATCATGAATGCCAGAGCTGCCATGTTGGATACTGATTCGCTCAAGCTGACTGGGTGTTGGCTCGGCCGGCCGAAACATGCTTTGAGTTCTTGGCTTTGGCCCTGTCTTGCATTAGCTAATTCAAAATAATGTTTGAGATACAGTGGCAGAACTTACTGCGGAGCATTGGAAACCCATAACTTCTCTCATGATAGCAGTCGAGAAACTCGAGTGGTTTTTCTGACCAGAGAATTCTTTGGGTCCTCGGAATCTCAACGTCCTCGTCTTCGGGATCATCACCTTCGTCCTTGTGGCAGTTTTCAACATTAGACATTGTAATTGGTTCGATAGGTAAGCCGAAGTGTAACATCGCCAGCTTTGTAATGAGGTTGTCGTGTGTATTGCTGAAATTGCCGTCGGCTCCCAATGCCTGCTTGTAGAGTACGGTATTCTCTTTTTGCATTGTCAAAACCAAGTCCTGATCCATTCGTGGTAGCAGCTGCAACTCTTGAAAACTGTTTGGCTTGATCCCAAGGATCTGTAGGACTTGTAAGGGAGCCAACTCTTCCACATGGATTAATCTCACGATTTCTTCTCGCTTCTCAATCCATGCTTGATCGGTCTCTTCGATGTCTGGATCAAATGGATCATTCGTAGCCATGGCGGTTCGCACGATCCTCTTGACCTCAGCAGCTGCACTGGCCTTGTCGACCAAAATTGCTGTCCTCCTTTGCTGCTCTTCGCGCTCCTCTGCTGTTGGAGGTTCTGGCGACGGCGTTGGACTTCCGACGTCCCTATCGGGGTCGTAAACTGGCGCTGATGATGCGAAAGGATTCCAAATGGTTCGTCTCGATTTTTGCGCAGGAGTTTGGCCGTCGCTAACATTCCCAGCGCCTCGCTTCTTGCTTTTCCGCGTTGAACTATTCCCGGATCCACCTCGTCGAAGAACTCCCGCCATGATCGTTGATGCTATTGAGAAGGGAAAAGGTTGACAGATGGGACATGGGCGGGGGAGAAGAGGAAAAGAAACGGTACATAACTTTCTTTCACCGAGTCGAATTCGGTGACATTCTTGAGACCATTGAAGCGGGATGCTTAGTGCAACCTGGAGAGAGAGAACAAAGAAGGCTTCAGAACGAGTCGCACACTTGTGAGACGATTCAAAGAGCAAACAATAAGGTTATCTCGACTTCGAAATAGCCGAAAGCGGTTCTAATTGTCGCGATGTTTGCAGTCCACTCATCTCCATGATGAGGAGTGGTCACTGTGGCCTTCCCCATTCCAACATGGTAAGGAATGGTTGCAGGATGTTTGTGAGATGGTGGCTGCAACTGATCTCTTACTGCCTGTTGGAGTAACTGAATGGCTTCTGTTTTTGTAAACGGATCGAAGGGCATTGTCATCGATTGCCGTCCTATGTCGACTGTTGTTGGTGAAGAAAGGGGGATGTATTCCTGTTGCTGGTGAAAGAATGGACGTCCCGGCTGTGTCAGCTGAATGGAAGGGTGTGGTGCTCCACGTGACTCGCTTCTCTGGACCTCCCGCATTCCGTTCCCTGACAATCTTCCCCAGCTGTGAACCCTTTTCTTCTACCACCACTCACTCTGGAGCAATGTTTGCACGCACAACGGCAACCCTAGAGCCTCGATTGTAAAGATTTTTTAAACACGGCTACCTGTATCGCTTCATCTCCATCATCCGTCTCAATGAAGCCTTTCAAGATGCCTTGGTATACGCGTCGTTCATTTCGCTCATGCATGGCGATAGCCGCGTAAAGGAGGACTCGGTTACCAACTAGGGTCTTACGAGATACCCAGTCCCAGTGCGATCAATTTGCGATACTGCCGCCATGCGGCGTTGAATCAAGCATTACTCCACCATGAGCGGGTTTGTGGAGAGTTCAAGCCATTGTATGCGGGGTATTGTGCAGTGCCCTGCATATACCCAGCCGCCATCGTATGCCTCTCTTGAGAGACGAGATGCAGCTTCGGCCGTGCTTCTTGTATATGTGTACCTCCGACCCGTTCGCAGCCGCGGAGGAGCGGGCACATTTCTCAATTTACTTTCGTTTTTCTACATCGATGCTGGCGTTCGGGGAATATTTGAAGTGCGATCGATAGCCTTCAGATACAGGTGTATCATTTGATGAATGGGGCACAGCTGTCATCATTCAATGAATGCCGTAAGACTTACCGGCTCAGTCTCCCGTAAGCACCCAAGTCTTGAGGAGAGTCTGCTGGGAACCTGAGAGACTTTCGCATCCATGCTCCAATTATGTCTTTTCGTAATCTGCAGATCGTGCCGTTTTTCATATTGTATTCCAGGGTGCATGCAAATCAGTTGTACTACCAAGGTTGTAAGCGCACCATAATGGCCGCCTATAAAAGCTATCTACATTGTTGTCCCAACAATATCTCGTGTCTCGATCCAGCTTATCTGAAACCCATTGCTCATTCTCATCATGTTGAAATCACTTGTCATTGTGCTCTCCCTCTTCACGTCAACCACCCCGGCTTCTCCCCAAACTTACAGCAAAATCGTCCAATGCTTAACCATATCCGGCATTCCACAAGCTTACCCTGGCACATCCTCCTTCACTGAGCTCATCATCCCTCTTAACCTCCGTCTTAATTATACACCAGTTGCGCTTGCTCTTCCAACCACTGTTTCTCAGGTGCAAGCTGCAGTCAAATGTGCCGGTAAACTAGGCGTAAAAGTCAATCCTCGGTCAGGCGGTCACAGCTATGCATCTCATAGCATTGGTGGTGAAGATGGGCATTTGGTCGTGGATCTGAGGTATTTCAGGGACACCGTTGTCGATAAAAAGACGAATGTTGCCACAGTTGGAACGGGAGCTAGATTGGGAAATGTAGCTGTGGCACTCTACGAGCAAGGCAGGAGGGCCATGGCTCACGGCATTTGTCCTGGGTGTGTATACAGATACCTTACCCCTTTCATGTCCCACAAGACTGTTCATTGAGGAAAATATTTCATTTATTAACGCCATCCACAGTGTAGGAGTAGGCGGACACGTCCTCCACGGCGGCCAGGGCTACAGTACACACACTCACGGCCTATTCCTAGACTTCCTCCTCTCAGCAGACATTGTCCTCGCCGACGGGTCCCTCGTAACCGCCTCCAGCACTCAAAACAGTGAGCTCTTCTGGGCTCTTCGCGGGGCAGGCATGTCCTTCGGAATCGTGACCTCCTTCAAATTCCGCACCATCGCCGCTCCACCTGAGAACATCCTCTTCTACTATCCGTATCTCTGGAATCAAGATCAAGCTCGTGCTGGCTGGGAAGCTTGGCAGCAGTACTGTGGTGGATTTACGAATCCAATTATTCCTAGGGAGATGAACATTCGCTGGGTGGTGGTCAATTATGCCAGTGGGTACATGATTTTCCTGCTTGAGGGCGCGTATCATGGCTCTCAGGCGGATTTCTTGACGGCTCTTGGGCCGCTTCTGAGTGCATTGGAGAAAGTTGGGGGTTTGCAGGCTGATATCAGAGGCACGGGACCTCATAGTTTGGGATGGCTGGATTCGCTGCTTTATGCGAATAATAATGATCTATTTAATGAACAGGGAACTGGCGAAACTTTGGAGAGCCCATTGAATTATACTGCTGTAAGAGTTCCTCCCTTCCCCATTCTCTCGACCCAAAGCCTACAATACAAGGACAAGGCTAACTTTTAGATTACTAGCATTCAACATTCGTAAGCATCCCAAATATTACCATTTTGTCGAAATGAAGCAGAATGATGGCATCTGACGAGACCTAGTTCACCAAAAGCCTCATCACAGACAACCTCTCCCCCGCCGGAATCGACGCCTTCATAACCCAACTCTACACAACCGGTCCCACCAGTCCAGTCGTGCGTCACATTCCTCCTCTCCTCCCCTGCTTCTCCTCTTCCCTCATTTCTTTCTCCCCCTTCTCCCCTTCACCACCTCATCCACCCTCCAGCAACTAACCCCCATCCTTCCAGGGCTGGTATTTCATAATCTACACCCAAGGCGGCCCCACATCCATCATGACCCAAACACCCTCCCCCTCAACCTCCTACGCCCACCGCACCTCCCTCTACGAATGGCAACTCGTCGCTCAAGTCGCAGCGCCTCCATTCCCCGACGCAGGGATAGAATGGCTGAATAATTTCGTGGATGCGATATTGGAGGCTGAGGAGGGAGCGGGGGAGAAGAAATTGGGCATGTATTATAATTATGCGGATCCGAGTTTGGGGAGGAGGGAGGCGGATGGGAGATATGTGAGTTGTCTTTTCTTTGTGTCCTCTTTTTCCTCCCTTTCGTTCCTCTCGATAATAACCCAAATATTCCGCTACGATTTCGAGACTTGCTGTTGGGTAAGGGTTCAGGTGTCGAGAAGTCGAGACAAGCGGGGAGGGAGAGGAAAGCGAGCCTGGTATGAACGGAAAGCTAATATCCTCTCTCCTCCCATCAGTGGCTTCAGAATTACCCCCGCCTTAAAGCCATCAAGAAAGAGGTCGATCCAAAGTCTGTGTTTATGAACCCGCAGACGGTCTAGACTCTAGCGATTGAGACCATGTGAATTCATCCACTCGGTATTGGAGGCGAGACTTTAGATCCCACGCTCTAAAATGGAACTGGGTAGATTCAAGAGCAGCAAAGGCCAATAGAATGTGTGAACGTGGTACCAGATGATTGGTTCTCTCAAAAGGCTGTGTGTTTGCTGTAGACGGTTAAAGTCTTGCATCATATTCTATTGTATGCTCGCTTCAACTCAGATTAGCTTGTACTCGTGGTATCATAACATTACACCTTCCCTCTATTAAGCCATGAAATAACACATCGATAATGAAATCCTTCCGCCCTCCTCCCCAAAAAGTGGATTTACCTCCCAGCACAACACAACACAACACAACAGTTGCCTCGCCGTATATACCTATACCTCCTTCTCTCAGACACTACATCGCCACAAGCCGAACCCTTGATAATGATAATAGACCAGGCCGGCATCTGAATGCTCAGCGTCTGAACCCCAGTCAGTCTCCAAATCCCATGAGCCATAGCACATCTCACACCAACTCCTCACCCCGCACCATTCGCCCTCCTCGCAGCCTCCGCACCCGAAGCCCCCTTCATATTCACCCTCCTCTTATACATACTCAACCTATCCCTCACCACCTCCCCCTCCCACCCATCCCTCTTCACCGCCAGCCCCCCACCCGGCGCAAACACACTCCCCGGCCCAAAATCCGGTTTCCCGCCCAACGTCCCAAGCACATCCCCGATATAATTTCTCGGCCTCACCCCCCTCTCAAAAGTCTTTTTCCACCCCTCCAAAATCCCCTTAACCACTTCCGTGCCCGCCAAATAAATATTCTGCACTGCCGGCTCGAATGCTCCTTGGTTGGAAAAGAACAAATTGAACTCCGGACTCGCGCCTGGGTACGGACGATCAAAGTCCGATGCTGTGCGCATGATGATGATGCGTGCGAAGTCGACGGTCTTGTGCACTGCGAAGCGGAGCATGGCTTCGAGAGTGGCGTTGTCTTCTTGTGCTGTCATGCAGTAGACGCCTGAGCCATTAGTCCATAACCTAGTTGTATTTTCGAAGGTTTCGCCGAGAAGTGTGCCGGAGAAGTAGACGTCTGAGGTGGCGGTGTCGCATTTGATGATACCTGGTTTCCTGGTTGCTGCGGCGTAGATTCGAGTGCGGGTGCTGGCGTACTTGGAGCGGTAGGCGATTGCATCGGAGCTGTCGTTCAGTTTGGCGGCGCTGGCGAAGGTGGCAGCGATGTCGCGGAGGGCCTCGTTGACTTCGAAGACTTCGGTGCCGTAGATGTTTTGGGGGTACATGTCTGGAGAGGTTGAGCCTTGGGGGATGTAACCGGTGCTGTAGTTTGAGGGGATCTCGCGAGAGTCGAATTCGTATTGGAGAGCGACTTGAACGGCATACTTAGAGAATGCGATGTCGGCGAGAGTTCCGTGTTTTGGGTTGATGCCGGCTATTCCCCCAATTAGGAAATAGGTTTTTCTGAGATCAAAGAGAGGGGTCGTCATGAGCGCTGTCATGGTTGTAGCAGCATTGATTTCAGATTCGCCGGTAGTAAGTTGACACACTGAGCCATCCTTCAGACAATGCACATCTGGGAAGAGAGGTGATAAACCTGGAATGGTGATATTTCTCGCAAGTAGATCACCAATTGATCCTGTAGTATTGGCGTTGGCGTACCAGATATCTGCTTCTGGAGAAAACTAGCGTAGGTTAGATGAGTATTGTGCCCGTGGTTTGGGAATTACCATTGAGATGATAAACACTTTTGGTATTATCACTTCGGCATTCTTGTAAATGATAGTGACATCTCTTGATTCAAGTGTTTGCTCAACCCGCCTTTCTATCACCGGTGAGGCAGACGCTAGAGATCCTACTAACAAGCTGACCAAAACATATGCTCTCATAATGCTGGCCGTAGTTGAGAACTTCCAACAGACGTCAAGGTAAGTCGTCAACCAAGCGACAGACGTTGAGTCGGCGACAGGAAGTATTAGGCGAAGAAGTCAATAAAGAAGGATAGCAGGAAAGAAGTAAAAGAAGAAAACGAACGACTGGAAATGAATCGAAGATCGAGATAAGCTTCTCGAAGAAGGAATGTGTGGAGACAACCAGATCTGCCGCGCCGGTATCTAGACTTGACAAGCCCGGAAGAGATGAGCTGTGGAAGAAATAGAACTGGCCCGTTCTCGTCCCAAGCGGAGACCTACATGTGCCCTATATCTAGAATTGGCAGCGATCGTCCTGCATTGCACTTGCAGTGTAGGACTGGAAAAAATGTAGTCGTACAGGAAGGCGGGCAGGAAGTGGCTTGAACCATGTCGGTCAGCACGCAACACTCCCTCCCACTTCCTCACTTAGTCAGTCTTAATCTTCAGCCTCCTTCTCCCTGTACGATCTCCGAAGAAGCAAGAATCACCAACCAAATGAACAAGAAATGAGAACCGCCGACGGCCTCAACTTTTTTCCAAAATTATCTATCAGCTCGTCAGCTTCCTAACGTAAATATGCACTTGATGTTCCTTCCGCGCAGTCAAAAGGAGCTCGATACGAACAAATGTCCGAAGTACTTTTGACGAAGTCAGATCCGGCCAAGATTGATCAAATTCCGTGGATCAAGTGGAGACTCGACTCAGACTGAACCCGTTATCCGGGACTTCTCACTCGTGCGATACCTGTAAGTCGCCGGACTGGAACCCGACTGATTGGATCATCTTAGCCGCCGTTCGTTTATCGACGTTCCACGACAGGCCGAGCTGATATCTGGGACTGACCCGGATGGAATGGGCATTGATGATGATTTGAGTGGTATGACGACGTTGCTGGTATGGATGCAGGTAGGCTTGCTGCATGTATGCATGCATTCCAGGTTCGTTCGCTGGGACCAGCTCCCGGGGAATGGATTAGCTTCACGACTACAGCAGATCAGATGAATGCAGCAGCTGTGATATGTCGTGGAAGCGTTGTGTATCGCACTGCAGTCAGATGATGATACGTTGTACCCCTCTCTTCACTGTATCTTGCATCTGTGAGGTGTATTCTTCCCTCTACTCAGCGCCTATCTCCAAAAAAACGTGCGCCTTAGCTTCCTCTTCTCCTCAACATGCGTTTCTCGATAAGAAAAGCTCCATCTAGGCTCACTCCATAGTATGTAGCGACTTTTGCGTTCAAAGATAGGGTGGGTGGGATGGTAACGGCCGGCCCACAAGGAAAGATAAGAAATCAAAGGACAGTGAAAGTGAAAAGAAGCGTGGTTGAGAGCGCAAGACAAATAAATACACGCCAAGCCGGCTCTCGTCTTCCTACCCCAGCTCCCCATTCCGCTCCAACGCTCATGTACTGCTCCATTCTGGTAATATCCCGCTTCTTTGACGACAGTCGACTTTTACAAGAGGACTACCGTATCAGTGGAATGATTCTGCCCCCGTCTTATTAAGACTTCGCTAGTTCCTCGTTCTGATAAGGTACTAAGATTTACTCTGATCTGGCTGTCATCCAACTTAGATTTTGTCCTGTGGGCTTGTTTCAATAAGCCAGACACCTTCTAGCTTTATTTTGTCCTCATCACAAGTAGATCTTTTTCATTCTAGTTTGTCAACACATCTCAATCATAAAAATACATAAATCGTAACACAACTCGCCGTCCTCTCCTGTCCTCTCCGAGCCTGGACAAGTCTCCCCTGAGGTAATCTCACTCACACATCACATTTTCGACTAAGTTATGCCGAAAAAAAAACACACGAAAAACACGAAAAACAAATAATCGAATCAAGTTGAGGCCCCAGGCTTTCATTCTATCATCTATTAGGTTTTCAGCATGGTCTTCCAATGGCTTTGCTTTACTTTGCTTTGCTAAATCCATACGATCAGTTCATCAATCCTTGGGTTCCTGCTTCTGAGCCTGTCTCAATAACCCCACATTTAATCTCTATTACTGCTCCCGGAGATATCAGCTCTGATCCTCCTTTACTCTCTAGCATCCATCAATATTCATCTCAGAAATCATCAAATCGCTTCACTCGACATCTACATCTAACCCAAGCAAGTATATTTCCCTATCCCTATCCTAGTCATCATCAAACTCGCATCACAGCTATATCCTCTAATTCCAAACATAACCCTATCTAACCCCATCCCTCTCCCAATCCCCATCCACATCCCCATTCCCGGAACCAAACAAAACCCAAAAAAGCCACACACCTACTGCATCTCCCCGCCATGCATCTGCATCTACATCATCGATCTCGCGTCTCTTCTCTTCCCTCCCCTCCCCTCCCCTTCCCAACCACGTACCTACCGTGTCGTGTCACCAGTGCACCACATTTCCCCCGCCCCATGTAGGTACTCCAAGCAAACACAACATATCATACCATACCATACCATACCATACCATACCATACCATACCATACCATACCATACCACAGCACAACATAACTTACCACAATATCACGTTGCCTACTTGCTCCGCTCGGAGCTCCGCTCCGCTCTATTCTTCCACGAATGAATGAATGAATGAATGAATGGAACTCTCGGGTTTCCTTCCTTGATTGATTAATTAATTACTTGGCGAGAAGATAGAAGTAAGTTTCTATCTATCCTGTATCCACTCAATTCAATACTGAGAAGTTGGTTGGGAGGGATCTGGCACCTGTGTGAGATGGCTTGCGGGGGGTGGGTGTGTTTTGTGTTGTGTTGTGTGTACGGTACAGTGTGATAAGAGAAGAGAGGTCTCACTTCCATCCATCCATCTCCCCGTCCAAGGAAGGGACCCTGATGAGAAATCTAGTAATGCGCCAGATACGGCCAGAACGATATGAAAAGTAGAGTGTTTTGATCCGAGATCAGATATGTTCAGCGTCCACGTAATATGAATCGAACCGAACCGAACCGAACCTGTTTCCTTTTGAACAATGCGCCGCCTAAACCCCTGACTATGCGCCGCGCGCCGACTCCCTCCTTGGGTATTGATTGATTGCCCGCCCCCAACTGCTTACCAGCTTGCCTCCAATTTGATCAAAATCCCATACCATGCCATGCCATAAAAGAGTAGACCGAATCAAAGAACAAAAAAACTCCAGAAATCGAAATGCAATCACGATGCCCTCCCCAATGCCGATAAATGAAGGAAACAAAAACCCTTGTGAAGCCACCCCTCACTCCGTCCACCCCCAATTCATATCCCTCACACACATCCCCCCACCAAACCTGGCCGTAATAGCCAAGACCACAAAATGCGCAACAAACAGTCCCACCCTCACCCATCCAATATTAAGTCCAACCGCCAACTCGAATGAAGCCAAGAGTATCAGCGGCCACATCACCACATCTCGTGTGACGAGCGGCGCACAGGGTTTAATTACACTCACGACCTTGGCGAAGAAGATCGCCATTCTGAGAGACAAATGCAACGTCTGCTGATTCTGGTGAACCCATTCATCGGCGTAGTGTCCGTAAAGTGAGACTTGGTGCTTGAAACGCGACATTGGGGTCGAGGGCGGTGGCATCAATAAAGGCGTTCTATGATTCAGAGAGGGAGATTCATTTCGGCGGTGGGGACTTGGAGTGCGAGAATGAGGTTTGGCTTCGAGAACGAGTTGGGAACTGGGTGATGGCGTTGGTGACGAAGGCTCAGAGGCATCTTCGATGTATGCGCCTGATCTTACGCGTTTGCTTGGCTCTGTGTTGAATGAGAAGGGGAAATTGAAGTCGAGTGGGAGAGAAATACCGTTGACTGGTGTACCTGGTGGCATTGGAGAATCAAAAGACTGGATAATCCGGCCACCAAGTCCTGCGTTGCTGCCATTCCTTGTTCTTGATGGAGCTTCGAGACCCTTTTCAGTGCGAATGGCAGTGAGAATATCGTTCGCACTTGGTCTCTCGTTTGGATTAAGTGCCAAGAGACGTTTCAAGAACTCGTATAGCTGGTTTGGTAGCTCAGGTCTTTCACGTCGTTCGTCAACGAATCCGGACCAACCACTGATCTCTGCTCTTAACATATCCATGTCTTCAAACTCTTCCTGGATGCTGTCTGCACTCTTGTATGGTAGACGTCCAAAACACATGAAGTAAAGGATCATACCGAGACTGAAGATATCAGACTTAGTAGTGAAGTTCCCATACCGTCCAAACTGGTCCTGTCTCAAGACTTCTGGAGCACAATACGATATCGTTCCAGTCGACCCAGTAGACTTTCTTGCTACATTCTCGGCTTGGACTTCTCCAAAATCACTGATCAAACACCTGACCTCGTTGCCGTCCTTGTGGAGCAAGCAATTGCTTGGTTTAAGATCTCGATGAATGTAATTTGAGGCATGGAGATGTGCCAATCCGGACGTGATATCTTTGAAGAACGAATAGATCTCCTCAAAGGTCAGCTTCCGCTGGGAAGATCTCAGATCAGGTCGGTCCGCTTGTCCCCGGGATCTCCTTCTCATCTGTTCTTTCAGCTGTTCTTTGGCACTTTTAACTGCAGGGGAAGGACCGATGATGTAGTGAAGAAGATCCCCTGAATTGCAGTACTGTTGTAAGATGAAAGCGCATGGGACTGAGGGACTGAATCGATTGAGCTTGACATCTTCCAACCAGACGTGGCGATATGACACTAGGTTCGGATGTGACAGGCCTTGAAGGAGTTGTACCTCGATGAGAACTTGTTTGTCAGTGTTGTCCATAAGACTGGTTAAAGGACCCTACCTTTCTCAAGCCAGGCGTGATCGTCTCCAACAGGTACTCTTTTGCAGGCAAATTGACCTACTTCAGTCAGTATTTCTGCGCACACGACCCTCATTATGCGTACCCAAAGAAACGCTGTCCAGTTCATGGCGAACCAACAGCACCACTCCCTTCCCGCCTCGTCCGAGTTCCTTCTCCTCTGTGAAGAATCGCTTGAAGTAATTTGGACTGAATGCCTCCTTCTTTATACTGTGGCCAGTCTGCGGTGCTGGCGCACTTGTCACGAATTCCGCATCCGACACAGATCCTCCAGTACTACTCGCCGCAGACGGAAATGCTGGCTGGACAAGTCTCCGAATCGGACTGGAAGGTGGATTATGGTCGTCTCCTCCATCGTGCGCAGATTGTAGCATGCGAAAGTATTCGGGACTGATGAATGGCGACGATCGATGAGGAGACGACTGCCTATCGGGAGAGGAGGCTCGAAATGGTCGGTGGCATGCTGGACATTCGGAGGAGAAGGAGGGGGATGCCCCGCGCAGGATCAACTGTCTTGTCTGCGGATCGCGGATGACAATGGCGTCGTCATGACGGCTGGAATAGAGTAATCAGTACTGCTGTCCATAATCTACCTTCGCTGGAAATCTGGGGTATATTGTGTAGGGGATCCACCAAACTGTACTTACAGTACGATCTCGTGGCTATCGCGAGAGGAGTAGGGGACGAGAGACATGTTTGGCTTGCGAAAACGATGGTCGGTCAAAGGAACATGATGAAGATATTGTTCCTACATATCCAGGTGGTGAATATGAGGGGACGGACGTTTGTTTTGTTTGTTTGACAGCCAAACCCATGCAGCTGTTGCTGGTTGCAGTCGTCGACCATATATTTGTTTTGTTAGAGCAAACAAGGAGCATGGAGCACGGAGCGCATGGGTATCGAAGTCAGCATCACCATTGCTCCACTGAAATTCAAGGCCGGGCTTTCCCTACACCCTGGCTAATCCACCTTTCTTCAGCTTCACTAGCCGGGAATCTTCAGGCTAAGCCGCGCAGGGAAATCTTACCGAAGCGAAGGGCTGATCTCAATGGAACCTTAACCTCAACATCGACTTCAGATTACACTGACGCTCGTCCTTCATCCCTTCGCTCTCCCTCTATGCTCTCCCTCTCCTTTCTTCTCTTATCATTTCGATTCAATCCGAAGGTACCTCGGTAACCAGCCTCGTTTACTTGACTCTTCTACACCTACTCTACTCCATTTGGCTTCCCAAGCCCTGCGAGACACCGGTTGTCATTATAAACATCGTGCCTTCGAAACCACTTCGCAGAGCTGTCAAGGCCTCCCAGTCAAACTGTTCAGTGTCCAAGTTCTCCGAGTCTAGGAGAAAGGCTCGAGACCAGCTCTCCAACCAGATGCTCTTTGAAATCACAGATTTGGACAGCTCTCCATGCCAGTAGAAACTCACGATAGGATCTCTCGTCTATTACTCAGCCGAGGCGAACATAGACCCATACAATCTCTATCTATGAGAAAATGATAGGAGCCATGTATCGTATTAGGTCTTTACGGCCTCCGGCAAGGTCTCCTTCACAACCTTCACCTTGATGCCTCTCTCTCTGGCTTTTTCGCCCTCCGTGCCCCCAAACATATCATCTTTCACGCCTCGGAAGATCGTCTCCCCCATGTCCTCCAAGAAGCGGATCCTCTTCAACTTTGGCAACTCGAAAAGCCTCGTCATCGCCTCCACTGGGCCTGTTATCAGTGGTGCTTTTTTTCTGGATTCGTAGTCGAAGAGTTTTCCGTCTCGCTCAACGAAAATCGACTCGACACCCGTGAAATACTTCAATATGGAAGAAATCAACCCTTCAAGGTCTTTTGCGTCCTTTGTCGTCATGATATGGTTATGGTCTCCACCCAGATAGCCGTGGCTGAAGAAAATACCGATTTCCAAATGTGTGATCAAAGCGATGGCATGGTGCGGAACTCTTGCTAGGAAGGCTTTGAGTGCCTATGTACGCCGTTAGTGTCCACAATTGTAATATGCCAACACCCGAAGCTGCGCCTTGGGATTACTCACATGCCGATTGACATCCTGTTGACTTCCCCAGGGACCATTCCCAACTACCCACTTATTACAACCATAAAATGTCGTCCTGGCCTCGGCTCCAATATCTCGGCACACCGACATGAGACTAGCGAAATGCTTCCCCAGTCTCTTGCGGCGCTTTCCAGGTCCTCTTGGAGATACAATTTCAATAGGTTCGTCGGCTCGCAGTAACAGCTCGTAAATCATATTGCGAATCTCTCCCGGAAACGCCATGAAGTTCAGATATTTCTTCGGTGTCATGCTAAAGAATACTTCGAAGACTCCAGACGTAAATTTCATTTCCAGATCATGTCCAGGCTTTAGAAGGAGATGTCGTACTATCGTAATTCCAGACGGGCTGTGAAAACTTTCCTCACTTTGAGATGCCTCTCGCCGGGTTATAATATATTGGAAAACGTTGCCCGATGTACGACGATCTACTATCGCTGTCTTTTCCTCAACTGTCCCTGGTCGAGCAGGATTTCCAAAATCTGCGTTCCTTAGACTTGGATCGCGCCACTCTTCTGGAAAGGTGATAGTCAAGGTGACTGATAATGATGAGGCTGGGCCTGTACTTGTGTCCCAATCATACTTGTCTATATCGATATGTATTGGCAACATAGTGTTTGGAGCGCACGGCAAAAATTGCAAAAACGATCTTGTCGTCAAATTTCGGGGCTGGGCGTCCGATCAGGATCAGGATTCTTCGAAAAAAAGATTCGAACAAATGAAGGCTCACAGCTCAGCTTTATGGTATGTGTGATTATCCGAAGCTTAGGCGAAGTGCCGCGACTAAGAAGAGCCGCATCCAGAAGAGCTCAACTTTGGTACGCTACCTAATTCATAAATACCTGGTAGGTATCGCGATCTGTCAGGTGACTGGCAACTAGGGCTCTCTGTCTTCTCATTCCCTTTCCTTCGGATACAAGGATACTAAATACTGGACGTTGCCAGCAGCTTGATACTACCAAGAACCTGGTTGGCCAGATGAACATATCTTTCAACAACGGGCATTCGCTACTAATATCTTCCAGGTCATGTGAAGCCGAACCAGCCTCAAGTTCCATCAAATAAATCAAGATGAAGGGAAATAATGCTGACGCGGCGGTTTCTCCTCGCCCATCTAAGCGTGAGAAAAATGAAAACAAGTTTTGACAACACCCTTTCACAGAGTAGTGCCTCAAAAGTATTGCGACATCTCCTAATTTCATGATTAGATATCTCTATCTCAGGTTCAGCTTCTACATCCAAAAGACGATCCACGACATGCAACAACATGTATATTTCCCTCCCACAACGTCCCACTCCGACCACTGACTCCCCACCTTTCTGACCCACCATCCTCCCCGTTCCTTCACCCAGTCTTAACCTCCCTCGCCTCCTCCTGCTGCAAAACATCATTCTTCTCATCCGGCGTCTCCACATGTCCTCCCGTAGCCGAAGCCCTCAACAGCGCATCCAGTCCAATCTCCCTATTAATCTCAGCCATTCGCTCAAAGTCCGCTTGTGCGGTACCCTCGCTGCCGAAGATGACGTCCATCTCTTCCAGGGTGAGACGTTTGGTTTCGGGGACGAAGAACCAGATGAATGCGGCGCCGATTAGGGTCAGGAAACCGAAGAGGAGGTATGTGCCGTAGGAGATGCCGGCAATCATGTCGGGTGTGACCTGCAGACAAGAGAGATTGTTAGTCCTGAATTGGTAGAGAGTTTGTAGTGGGGAGGGGGTGGTAAAAGTGTGATGCAGCCTGACCTACCTGTCCGACGATGAAATTATTCATCCAATTCGAACTCGCACCCAACGCAATACCATACGGACGATTCGACAGCGGCCAAATCTCAGCGACGATGATCCATGCACACGGTCCCCAACTGTACCCGAAATGAACGATGAACAGCCAGACCATGACTACGGCTGCCCATCCTGCTGCTTTGTGCTCGGGCCAGGAGTCACGGTAGCTGGCCACGATGGCGGCAATTATGATGTGGCAGCTGGCCATTCCTATCGCTCCAACGGTGAGAATGGGCTTGCGGCCGATGCGGTCAATGTAGAGGACCGTGGGGATGGTGGCAATGAACATGACGATGCCGACGACCCCTGTTGCAAGGAGAGAGATTGTGTTGCCTGTCAGACCGAGACTTTTGAATATCGTAGGTGCGTAGCTAGAAGTCAGCCTTCAGTGAGTCACCGAGTAAGTCAAGCCAATGCTTTGAACACACGGTTTCGGGAGATGTTCAGGCAGAAATGAATCATGTCTCGGGCTCCGGGGCTAGCTGAGGAAATAATGGACTCACTATAGAATGGCGTTGATACCTGTCCACTGCTGAAAGAACATGGTGACTGTGGCGACGATGACACGCTTGAACATGGCCCTGGTGCGGAACAGGGAGCCGATGGCGACGAAGTGCAGCTTGAAAGTGTTCCATGTGGTGAGCTCGCGCAGGTGTGGCCAGTGCTCTGCGACAGTTCTCTTCTCGAAAAGTGATTGAGCTTTGATCTCGAGGAATTCCAGTTCGACAAGTTCGTGGTCGGATGGAAGGTCTCGGAGTGTTGCAAGCACTTTACGGGCTTCATCCTCGCGCTATGCGATGGTGAGTCTTACGAAGACATGTAGATGGAGGCAAAAAATCTGGAACTGTCTTGGAAGTGCCTGCGACAGCGGAAGGCACTTTTATGGTATGCTGGAAGATTTTGGCTTGCACTTACATTGTGGTGGACCAGCCAACGAGGCGAGAATGGCATAAATAGGATCCCGCCAAACAAAATTGCGGCTGGAAACAGCTGAAGACATATGGGGACGAGCCATGCCGCGTCACTTTGAGAGGTACCTGTTCCACCAATATAATTGGTTCCGTAGTTGATCCAGAACGAGATCATGATCCCAAAGCAGATAGCCAGCTGCTGGAGGGCGATGAGAGACCCTCTCACCTCAGGAGGTGCGACTTCGGCATTATACATGGGAACGATCATCGACAATGAACCAACGCCCATTCCTGTCACAAATCGACCTCCCAGGATTGCGTTGTGCCCGGCAGTGATCGAGGTTGCCTGGATCACAACACCGATGATGAAGACGCCAGTGGCAATCAGAATGCCATACTTTCTGGATGCTGCCTCAGCCATGAATCCAGAGAGTAGAGCGCCGAGCCAAGCACCAAGTTCGAGAATGGAAGTCAGCCATCCCTTCTTGCTCTGATGCTGTGGCAGGTCTGAAGCATAGACTCCCATGTGTTTCTTAAAAGCCGACATGACGAGAATTCCAGAAAAGACGCCTTGATTGTATCCTGGAATGCGTTAGTCAAAGTTTGGACGGCAGTGCATAGACGCACCATATAGCAGACCGCCAATGCATGCAAACATTGCAATCATGAAAACCCTGCTATTCTTGATTAGAGCAGCAGGCCCACTGGAACCCATCAGGGCTTGACGACGAAGTAGAGCCGCATCATAGATACCAGCTGGACCCGCGGCAGCAACCATCTTGCTTGATTCACAAGAAGTCCGAATTTTTGGTGCGTAGAGGAAGTCTCAGTATGATGGGCGCACGATCAAATTCATGTACAAGTTGCAAAAACTTTTGGGAAAATCATCGTGCGGACAGCTCAGACATTATAAGATCGACTGTCTGGGAACCATGCATCTGTTTGGAAGCTTACAGCTTGACAGCTCCGGGTAAATCAATGCTTGGGTAAAGACAGGGCGGGGATATTAAATTCCCATTTTTGACGAAGGTAGGGTCATCACTGCATAGCCATGTGGTACTTGCCTGCAAGTACACGATGCGAGGAGAGTCCTTGGTCGGTCCCGGGCAGCGTAGAGTGTGACCACCGGCGATGTACCTAGCCGTAAAATGGGGTAAATGGAGAATGACACGGCACTTGACGTGCGTAATTTGTATAGATTGTGTCAGCATGCTGGGAGATCCGCGAGACGATTGCCCCAATGGACTGCGTGGAGATGCTGGAGTCTCCGCATCTCGTTCTGCTTGGGTTGGCCAACGAAACATTCAGGCTGAATAGGTACATCTCGGTGCTATTCGTGTAATCGTCAAGTAGTGATTACCTCGAGAGACAAGTATGTTATCGAGGATCCTTTGTCCCGAGAGACCGTTTGAGCAATAGCTATGCGCTGGTGAGGACTTGAAACGAGCCGTTGGCGGAATCTGGGCTGGCTTTGAGAGTTGTGGTGCCGATGATGTCTGGCGAAGGGTTCTGCCGACACCCGAGACAGCTTAGAGGGATGCTCACGTGATGCATAGAGTTCAGCGATGAAAGACAGCAGTGAGTGTTTTCCAAGCACGATTCCTAGCCGCTGACTCTCGTGAAGTTGACGATCCATAATCTCATTCCATCCGCCTTTAGATCACGCATCACTCCTAAAGTCTTTTCAAGGGTGCGATGACGTTCAATCATGTGCATTCGCTTAGACTCCTCTCGAACCAAACATGGGCGCCAATTTCTACCATTGCTGGCAGCACTTTTCGGCTCTTCTCTAAAACCAACAGAGATCATGATTCAGCTTGTCTTTTTGGGCCTATCAAGCTTCGATTCTCTGCAACCCCTGCCAGCCCCTGCCAGCCCCTGCTTTGCTTTCTCTGTGCTTTCAGAGCCTGATACATGAGGTGCAAGTACCAGGCTCAATTGAAGAACAAAGATATTCGACTTTTCCACCAAATTCCTTCGCGGCTACTCGAACACTCGAGTATTTCGAAACGATCCTCAGACGCAGTAGAAATGCAGACTTACAGCCTCATATATTTTACTTCTTCATCTGCACCTCTCCCGCCCAGCACGTGAGCTAAGCGCTCGATGATCGTCCGCATCATCCCAAATTCCCTAAGCGAGAATATAATTAGACGCCCGCCAAACCCTCCATCCCCGCCATCTTCAACAAGGCCAACCACAAGCTCTGCCGCTCGCCAGCAGGAGATTTGCATGTTTCAAAAGACGATTGCCGATTCTTCAATGGGCGGCCGAAACATAACGAGATGGGATGGAACTAGTGGGAATGTTCAGCCTTACCCGACTCGGACTCGACAGATCAACCCCCCTTGTCTCTGCGGCTACCTACCCGACCCCAGGGACTGGCATTATTTTCTCCGCATGCCCTCCCTCGAGCTATTTTTGACGACGCCTCACTACGCCTCACCCGTGTCCTGGGATGTTGAGATGGCCCAGCCTGGTGTACAGCACCCAGCTTCTGTTTACCGCCGACTAGGTAATAAGCCTACGCGCCCAAAACCAGACCTCCCTCCCTTTCTGCCAAAGCTGTTTTCCAGATGAATCAACCGCCTCCAGACCCCTCTAGCCAATATGAGGGGCCGCCGTGCTACCAACAGCTCTCCCTCTAGACTCAACGGTGCTCCCGCGCCTACTCAGTCGCGACTGGGGGTTTCAGTCTTTCGACCCCCTCGGGCCATCCAAGTGACATGGCTGGGTGGATACACTGTACCACCTATCTTAATGCAGGCGGGTTTCGTTTCATCTTCATCTCCTCGCGGGTACCAGGGTCTCAAATTAGGTCTTGTTCGCGCGAGGAGACTCCATGAGGCGTCAAATGAGGCTATAAACATCTTTGTTGCCGCCCCCATGGCCGTCTCCTCTGCTGCATCATGTTTCGCAGCAGGATTGTATAAAGAACGGCCGTCCAGTCCTCTCCATCAGGCCTTGCGATCTTCTTGCTTCCTTCCCCAGAACCATTTCCTATTTCCATTTTTTGTCCTTCCTGTCGTCCTGTCATACACCAAAAAGATACCCTTCAATGCGATTTTCCTATCGTTGTTTCATATCTTCATCTCCTCTCGTTACCACCTCATTCGTTTGATCGACTCCTCCTGGCGAGGCCATCATAATTCCTAATCCGAATTCATCCATCCTCGTCAAGAACGCGTACACGTACCCACTTCTCTTCACTGCCCATCAAATTTCCACCTTCGTTCACCAGAGATGCCAAAAGGTCACCGCTCAGTCAGAAGCCAAGGTTATTACCGCCTCAGTCCCGGCGAAGCCTCAACCACACTCTCTACGCAATACGCCCCCATTTCCGCACGTCAAACAATACCCAACTCATACTATAACACACCACAAGAGCCCATCACCAACACTTCCAACATGTCACAACAATCCTATCAACAAGGCCCATCCAACTACTCCAACGGTGGCCCCGTCCAACTTCCCATCTCCACCCAGCAATACTCCCAGATGCCTCCAGCACCAGTATCCATCCGTCCCTCAAGCGGCGCCTGGACACCTTCAGATGACCAGACTCTCATGGCAGCTCGCGCACAAGGCATGAACTGGGCACCAATCCAGCAGATGTACTTCCCAAGCAAGACACCCAACGCCTGTCGTAAGAGACACGAGCGGTTGATGGAGCGCCGGAGTGCAGATGACTGGGATGGTATGAAGCTGGAGAACCTGGCGAAGAACTACATGGGTATGAGGCGCGAGATTTGGTCTACTCTTGCGGCCCAGACAGGCGAGAAGTGGAACGTGGTTGAGCAGAAGGTATGTCCCATCACTCGTCCCTTTGTTACTCGTTTATTCTAAACCCACATCCAACTCAAGTAAGAATCCACCACTAACACCACACCCCAAAGTGCATGTCCCAAGGTCTCAAGAACCTCCAAACCGCCGCCCGCTCCTGCGCCCGCCGCGAACGCATGCTCGACCCCCAGTCCTCCACCAACCACTCACACTCTCAATCTCAAGGCAGCTACAACGCCTTCGAATCACACACCGACGACTCAGGGTACGCGGACGAGCACGATCACGATCATGATCCAGACCAAGACCATGATCACGATCACGATCTCGAGGCCGAGTACGATGCTGACGGTAACTCAGACCGCTCCTCCACCAACGGCGTATATAGCCACCACTCCTCGTCGCACAGCAACGGGATGAACGGCCAGGGCCAGAGCCACTATCATAGCCATAGTCATAGTGGTGGGAGTAGTGCGAGTTTGGGCGGGGGTCTTGGGAACTTGGGAGGGATGGTGGGTGGTGGCATGGGTGGGTATGCGATGCATCCGAGTCAGCATGGTCATGGACATGGACATCAGGGGCGTTTGCCTAGTATGAGTATGGGGATTGGTGCGATAATAGAGAACTATGAGAAGAGATGAGATGAAAGAGGTGGGGCTCAACTGTCGCTATTCGATGCAGACGGTCTTTACAGCAGTCGGTGTGGGAAAAGGATAGAAGGAGGCGTCTGGCGCAAGCGATCGGTATTTGTTTGCATCGATTACTCATTTCCTCGCTCACTCATTCGTTATCTGTTTTTGCGTCGAACTTTTGTTTATTGTTATTTCTTTCAAGCCTCGGCTACGACCTTCGTTTTTGTTTCATCCTCGAAGAGGGATCAAGGGTCTAGAGAGATCAGAGATGAGATGAGCAGATTTTACGAGATATGAACCTTTCTTACCCTTCTATTTCTGTAGGGTAGCATTGTATCAATAATCTAGCACAGAAAAATAGCAGTTAGCTCAGCATTAGTATCTAAATACTAAATTGCATATCTTCAACCAATAATATATGAAACGAGGTCGCGATCATTTGTGATTGGAATTGAGAGACGTCGTATGGTACAAAGGACCTTCTTCTTGGCTCCTTGCTCCTGCTATTTGATAATCACCTGTGCTATTACTACAAATACCCGCAAATCGCTGCTCATACCTATATCTATTCCAACATCTCAAATCTCAGGTATTGCACCACATTCTCATCTTCCGTGCACAGCAATAGCAGTCCTTCTAGCCTCCAAGCTGACTTTACTCTCGTTAGCACTCAACACAGCCTCCTCCTCATCCTCCTCCAAGTAATCTTCTTCTTCCTCGTCATCTAGATCCGGCACACCCATCACAGATCTCCACACACGCTGCCACATGCCCTTCTTCTCGGCCAGAGCCAGAATCATCACCACAGGCAAATGCCACACACTAGCCCAGAACAACCCCCTTGCACTTCCCTTCTGACCTTCCAGCTTCCAGAATTGTATTGCCCCTCTTAACAGATATATATTGACCGGCGTGCTAGCAACCGCAAAACTCCACTCCGTCACATTGTAATAGCAAAGCCCAATGCATATCGGGAAGAAGAGCAGCGAATACCGTAGCGCCACTCTGCCATTCCGCGCGGGGTTGACCCAAGCGAGCATTCTGTACCCAGCATTCTTGTATTCGTCGCGAATGGACCAGGAGAGTGGCATAAAATGCGCAAATTGCCATGCGACCAGCAAAGCAGCCAGCAACCACCCGCCGATATTCTGTTCACCAAGCAAGAGCTCTTGCCAATCCCCATGGGTTGCAGATTGCCCCGCTGCTGCTGCCCAGCCCATCAAGGGAGGGATACCTCCTACGATTGCGCCAACCCAGGTATTGAGTACGCTGATGCGTTTCAGTGGCGTGTAGACTCCTGCGTATAGGGCTATGTTCAGCGCCCCTAGGAAGGAGACCGTCGGGTTAACGCCAAAGTATAAAGCTGTTGTACCACCGATTCCTGCGAGGATGGCAAAGATTGCTGCTCCGCGGGTAGATATCAATCCTCGCACTAATGGGCGATTCCTTGTTCTAGCCATCATGGCGTCCCATTTCGGCTCATAGAGCATATTTAAGGCATTTGCGGAAGCTGCGCATAGAGCCGTGCCTGAGGTGAGGAAGAGAAGAGTGAGGGGCGAGAGTGATGGCGTATCGGTCGCAGATGGTAAGAGGAGTTCTGGAACGGGGTATAGGGAATATGAAGCGCATGCTGTGAGGACAACAAGGACTGAGAGGCGGGGTTTCGAGAGGGAGAGGAGGACCGGGATTAATCGGCGTATCGAGTTTGAGGGAGCATTGGCTGCAGACGTCGAGAGATTCGAGGAGGCATTCGGTGGCAGAACGAGATCTGCTTCTTTAGCTGCTCGACGGGCAGCTTGTCGTCGTCTATGAGGTAGATCTTGAGTTGATGTTGGCTGTGGAGGGGAATTTGTCGTGGGGGCTTTCGAAGCTTCATTTCCTGCAGCGATTGGACTCGATTCTGATATGGAAGCTGTCAGAGCTCCTCTCTTTGTGCTCAATCGAGCCTTTTCCAACAATGCGTTCCCTGAAAAATATCCAGCTCGAAGCTTTGTAGTTGTTCCGGCCGCTGCCAGCGCAGCTTTAACATTTGATTTCTGCGAGAAACTCCGCGTCACAGCGCGCCGGGCAGGCTTCGCTGTCGAGAGCAAACATGATAGACATACGGTGCCGAGGCCATTGGATCGAAAGGCACTCGCTGGCGGCGACCGTATAATCATAGCTTGTCGTAGGTGTTGAGAGGCATTGGCACTGATATTGGCCTGGACATGTTTTTGGCTGGAGGTCCTCGTTTCGCATGATGGTCTCGGGAGTTGCCGGTTGTCCAATTAGGAGCCGGGGATTCAGGATTGAGTAAACACATGTCTGAAGTTTGATTTATGACTCTTCAAATCTCGAACAGCATCGAAAACAAGACTAAAAGAGAAGGTCCATTACCAAGCACGCCTCTCTACTGCTTCCGCGTTGATCGAAATGCTGTCACGTTTTGAGTTGTCGCAGCTGAGTTGGACCTCGGCTTGTGATTACTATTTCTCGCTTGTTTCTCTCTCGTCCGCACGGAGGTAACACACCCCTCCTCGCAACCTCGCATTCGTTTGGACAAATAATGGATCTTTGACCAAGCCACATTCCAACACATGCGATTTACCTTCGGAAGTCCTGTCGAATTGGTTGAGGTTACTCATATCTCCTGACGCCTCCTCGCGAATCGCTTGCCGCATTTAAAGATCGGACGGAGTTTAGCTACTGTCCTTTTGAGGCAGTCATGCAAGCCCAGACGTAGAAGCTCCTGATGCTATGTCACTTTCATATCCCTTTTCCATTGGGTCAAATCGGAGTCACTTCACACCGACTCTATCATGAAGCACCTCGGACTTCGCTTGTCTGTAGTTTAGTTACTCATCTTCCGCCTTGAGCCTCCCTTACCATGCCTTTTCCGTACCCGACCACTCTGTCGGTGCGGCGCTGGGCTCGGCTTGTTGAGAATAGAGCGAGCACGGGAGCGGAGTTGATTGTGCGTTCAGAGTCCTTGATGTTCTTATATTAGGATGGTCATGGCATATTCCTCTAGTTTTGAATTTTCTCTTCATACAAGTTCGCTAGCATTTACACACCCGCATATTCGGATTTCTTCAATATTTCAATCTATAATCTAATTTAGATTTCAGTAAATTCTCATATCTTCTTTTGCTTAAGTTTGGTACGATGGTCAACAGCCAAATACCAGAGAAGGATCTCGAAGATGGGATCATCCCGCCAAGAGCCTCAATAGCGTCCGATGTAGCCACCAGGGAAGGAGATGAAACAGACTCACCTGCATCTGGCAGTGATGTTGAGGCAGGATATCCCTTGGCTAAATTAGATTGGGACTCCCCAGAAGACAGAGGCGATCCTCACAACTGGGCTCTTTCAAAGAAAGTTCTCCATACTGCCATACCCGCACTCTATGGCTTCACAGTGTAAGTGTCTCTTTTGCAGCCCACCCCTCGCTCTACTAACGCTCTGCAGCACCGTTGCAACTTCAGCCTACTCACCAGCAATACCGATCATCATGAGGAAGTTTCAAGTCGAACGAGAAGTCGCCGTATTACCTCTCTCCATGTATACGTTTGGGTTCGTGCTTGGTCCCTTAGTTGCGGCTCCCATGTCCGAAATATATGGACGGAGAATTGTGTATTGGGTTACGATGCCCCTTTTGATTATATTTATTGCCATCTCTGGAGCGGCAAACGACATCGCAACGCTCACTGTGATGCGACTCCTCGCTGGTATCGGAGGTTCAGGAGCACTTGCAATTGGTGCAGGTAAGCTGCCGACTTGGTCTATTACTGCTCATATCTAATAGCGACAGGTACTATCTCAGATATCTGGGATCGTAGAAGCGCCGGTCGAGCAGCACTTTCTTTCGTCATGGCTCCGTTCCTTGGTCCAGCACTAGGTCCTCTCATTGGCGCATATATCGTCGATCAATACAATAACGATTGGAGGTACACGCAGTGGGTAGTATTATTCATCGCGTCCCCCATCTACCTCATATCTCTGTTCATGCAAGAGACGATGAAGAGTCGAATTTTGTATCTGCGAGCCAAGAAGATCACCGGCAAACCCCCCCACCAAGAAGGCGATACCCATCTGTTGTTACGCAAACTTGGCGCTGGACTCACTCGACCATTCATCATGATGTTCTTAGAAGTAAGTCTTTCATCCCAATGTCTTAGCATCTCAGCAACCCACTAACATTCCCTCCAGCCCCTCGTCGCTTTCCTCAGTATCTACACCGGCTTCTCATTCGCCATGATGTTCTCATTCTTCGGGTCTTACAACTACGTCTTCCAATCCGTCTACGGCTTCAACCAAAAGGAAATCGGCCTTACCTTCCTCGGTATCCTCGTCGGCTTTTTCTTCGCCGTCATCTCATTCGGTATCTTCGACGCTACGCTGTATACCAAAGCTTCGATCAAGGCGAATCACAATCCAGCTCCAGAGCATAGATTGTATGCTGCCATGCTGGGCTCTATCATGATGCCGATTGGTTTATTTTGGTTCGCTTGGGCTCCCGGGAAGGATGTGCATTGGATTGTGCCGGTTTTGGCTGGTGTACCGTTCGGGTGGGGCTCGTTGGCTATTTTCGTAAGTTTCTAATTACCTATTCTCCTTCCCCGTCTCCCTTCCATCCATGCCAGTCTCGTACTCAGCATCAGCACTCAACTGACACCCCGCAGATCTCAGCAACCACATACCTAGTAGACGTCTACATGACGACAAGCGCCTCCGCCATAGCAGCAAACGGCATCCTGCGCTACCTGTTTGGAGCCATTTTCCCTCTCTTCACCATCCAGATGTATACTGCTCTTGGTGTGCATTGGGCAGGCAGTGTGTTTGCGTTTGTAGGACTGTTGTTGATGCCTGTGCCGTGGGTATTCTTCTGGAAAGGAAAGGAGTTACGAAAAAGAAGCAGGTACGATACTAATAAATTTTGAGATTGGAGATTGGAGTTTGGGTTATTGGGGCTGAATAATTGGTATTTGATTAACTGCTCCGACATAAAGAGCAGGTATGGTGGGGTAACGATGGTTGGGTTTGCATTTCTGGGCATTGTTCCAGAGAAAAGAGGCGGGCTTTGAAAATTAGGCTGTCGACCGCAGAGAATATTACTTCCACGCTCTCAACACCAGACCATGGATGTTCAGGCGTATCCCCTCACATCTAATAGATCCCGGTAACTATTTATTCCCTGTCGAATGTCGACATGCTCCATCCCACTCATGTCGTCCAGCTTTTTCACAACATCGCGAAACACCCTCACACCCCACCAACACTCTCATAATAAGCCTCCAGATCAGCTTCAGAAACCAAGAGTGGTTTGTAAACACCATTCTCATCTTTCAGTTCCGCGCGGTGTCCTTCGACTAGAGTTGGAATATTTCCAGGATCTGTCCAATCGTGGGGCTGGATCGTCTCCGCCAACCAATTATCCTTATCCTGTCCATGGCACCACGCCAGCCGCTTCAGATCCTGCATTGTCTTCACGCCATTGACACCATCTAAAAAGAGACTAAAAGCAGCAGCTACACCATTTAGATTTCCAGTGTGTACTTTGGGACGGGAATACCAGCTGCGATTGCTTTTTGTGCAGTCGAAAAAAATTGTTCGAATCGTAATGTGCGTAACACTTGTGAAGTTCAAGCATAGAGTGCGGCAGAGATTCGCCAGCTGCTCGGCTTGTACCATAGAGTGAAAGTACTCCGTAGCTAGACCGCTTGAACTGGTGTAACTGCAACGTAATGGGTTGACGATTAAGTCGATTGAGGTTATGAAGAGACGATATTCCTTGGCAACAAGATCAATGAAAGCGTCCAAACTCTCTTGGCGTCCAAAGGTGAAGGTATTCAGTGAGTAAAGATACCCTTTTGCTTCTGAGTGAATAGTCTTGTTCGTTGCCAAGATAGCTGCGAAAGTCGAGAGCCGGGCACCAGCTTTTCGAGGGTCGATGATCTTGATGGGGCCCTTGTGCTTGAGAACTATCTTGTAAATGCGATTTCGTAGTTCGGAAGGTAGCTTTTCAAAGTACTCAAACCTGAGCAAAACACCGAAAGTCAGCATTTGTAAAGGTGAGGAGGCCAACAAGCTTTTGAAAAGAGGCTGTTTACTTACTTCTCGAGGTCTGTCCCCGTCTCCCCGATAGATGGCTTCCGTGCAGCTGTCAGTGCAGGTGTTACTTTGATGGCCTCCATATTCGATGTTGATGTTCAGTCTCAAAAAACTTGGCTGAGTCAAAGAAAGTCTTTGACTTAAAGAAATGTTGGCTTTATAGCAGGATGACCAATGGCGGGGAAGGCTCGCTTAACTAAATTTACGATCCCGCGCCAAGACTCAAATTCACTCGGCTTCGAGTAGATACTGCATCGCTTCGATGAATAGAAACGTAACTTTTCATACGACGCAAGTTTCTCGCTGAAAATAGCCTCGAATATGCACTCGGGGTCGCCATGCAAGGATTTTGCGAACGATTGGTTCAGCCGTTCCAAATAGGGTTGTTTCTTGGAAGTCAACAAAGCTTCCTCCCACCATGGGGTGAAAAGATGACTTCTCTACTGATACAAATTTTGTGCTCCGGACCACGAGACGATATTCATGCAGTTACCAACCAATCTTTTCATTACGCAATACAGTACCGCGACATCTATACAGGTCTGTGTATCAACCTCCAGCCTTTCTCAATACCCTGAACCAGAATTTGACATGATGTTCAAATCCCCATAGCTGATCCGTAAGCTCATCCTAAATGGAACAGTCAAATCATATCACACCCATCCTCTCATACATCCGCAAAACCGACTCTGAGTCATCCGTAATATCCCACGGCATCCAAACCCCACGACGGTCCTTCAACTCCGGTCTATGCGCTTCCACATACCCTGCAAAAGAATCCGTCGGATCCTGCCTCTGCCCATTTTTATCCCAATACCACTTAATCTTCTCAGACTAATACCACCAAAAGCGCCTAACACCTAACGGCTCAAACCCCTTCTCGCCCTTCTTATTCCCATCCAGAATCAACTTCAACGCATCACCCGCCGTCTCATAGTCGCCCATTGGATGAGTCTCCAAAGGACTCGGCAATTTGAATCCTCGAGGTCGCATCTTTAGCTCGCAAGCTTTGGTGGTGATGGTTTTGAGGCCACGGAAGTGCTTGAGGAGGAGCTTGCAGATGCTGCGGAGCTCTTTGCCTTTCTCCGATTCGAAGATGTAGAATTGGACGTGTCTCATCGCTTGTTGGGAGTAGCGAAACTTCTCGGCGCAGACGTTGATTTCGATGTGGTCAATCTGGGCGAGAAAACCTTTGTGTGCATATTTCATGAAAACTCGGAGACCGTGCAGATCGGAGAGGTAGCTGCTTCCCCAGACGTTATTCCCAATGGCGAACTGGAAGACCGAATGTTAGCAATGGCGAAAACAAAGCTTTAAGAGTAGGACGAATATTCGTTTCAAGAACTTGGGTTTGGGACCAACTTTACATGCAATGTAGATGGAGAAAAAGTATATACAGTATTACAAAGATAATAAAAGTAACGTGCCTCCTCATACGTAGCTTTATTAGCAAGAAGTAGAGACGCAAAATTCGAGCCAGCACCCCGTCTTCGCTTGCCGAGTGGAGAGCTGACCTGGATGCTACGGTTGGATGTGAGCACCATTGGGTAGATCATGTTGCGCATCTCCGCAGGCAGCTTTCGGAAGTAGTGAAAATCTGGTTTGGAGCAAGTCAGCATGTCTCTAAATCCTGAGGATAAATGGACGGCCGGGGTGACTTACTCCACAAGATAAACTCCAGTGTTTGCATTATAGACTGTTCTTGGGAGTAGAGTGATGACTTCATCGATGACATCTCCGGGTGGGACTTCCATTCTGCTTGATCGGGGACTTGACTGAGAGAAGCTTGAGTTTGCGAAATGAAGGTAGGAGGGCCGAATATTGACGCTGAATGAAACGAGAACATAGTTGCAAAAGTCATGAAAGAATTGCAGGAAATAAAGAATGCGAGGTCTCTCTCTTGGATAGAGAGTTCTGATCGCGGGTTCCATCTCGATGTTGCTTTGCTATTGCTTTGCTATTGTGTATATCGTTATGGTTCATTTACTATTGTGAAGGACTTTGGTATTGTGGATGTTCAGTTGCGCCCTGGGTCCGTTACCATTGTTTTTCCACAGATTTTATCCGCAGGTGCTTGCATATCCAACCGAAAGTTCATCATATGCTGAACAAGCTAAGCGATAGTGGCTTATTTTATGAGTCATTCGTCATTGCTTCTAAATCTGACATAGCGGTTTGCTTCTATCTACCATTTTCCAATGATCCAATTACCAGGATAAAACGACGTAGGATCAGGTTGGGAAGGAATTCGTTCTTACTTTTTTCCTCTTACTTACCAGCGAGAACAAGGATCTCCAGAGACCAATAACATCGACAGTCAGGAACAGAGTTGCGATTGCGATGACGGGAATAGTAGTCAAGAAATATACCCAAAGCTCAACATTCCCCCCCACACCAAATTGTTTGACATTCATACCAAAAATGGATGCTGTGAATGACGAGGGGATGAAGATAAAGGCGAGTCGCGTAAGCTTTGCAACTCCTTCCGCTTGCAAGACTGCCCGCTGAGACTCTTTGATCGTGGCGTTGTTCATGATTATCGTCATTCCTCTGTCGCATTGTTCGGAGAGCTCGTGGGCCCGCGATGCTAAAGCGCGAAAGTCATTCTTCACAGACTCGATTGTTGCATCAACTTTAGAACTTCTGGGAGACACATTTCTCTGCGCATCAATGAACTGGATGTTCTCGTCTATGCGCTGTAGATGACGCTCTAGAATCTGACGGCTGTGAAGGATGTTTGCGACTGTAGGGTTCTCCTGCTGTACGAGGCTTGCAGGATCCATTTCTTTTGCTACCTTGGTCGCCATCATGTTGAGAAATTGAAGCTCCGAGGTTGCGGCAAAACGGAAGAGATCGCTGAGTGTGTAGAGGGGGTTTGCACCAGCCGCCTCTCGATCGAGCTTCCGGCCGTAGTCGAGATGAATGAGCGAAGCGCTTTGGAAAAAGTCCCCCATTTCCTGACTTTCCCTGCAATGGGAAGCGGACGGAATCGCTGAGTTCTTCAGAGCAATCTTCTGCTTATACTGCATGGTCGGTAAGAACTCTATCTGGTCTTCCTTCTGCTTCTTTGATGGCATCCACGGGCCATAAGGACTTCTTTCTAAGGACGCTCCAATATCCAGCCACGCGATCGCTTTATTGTCGTCAGTACTCCTGCGCCGCTTTAATTGGGGACGAAACGCTTACCAACCCAGCCATGTCCCGTTCTATCAATACATATGGATATATCTTGCTCGATTGTGAAATGTTCCGCATCATGAATCGCAAAGTCTCGAACAATGGAGTCCCCAGTTTTCCACTTGTTCTCCATACTGAGAATATTTTCATAGTCTACCATGCTCTTCGTTGCTTCCGACCGCAGTCCATCCAGATACTTCTGTGGGTTTCTCTGAGCTGAAAGCCCAAGCCTAGGCTGTCGATAGCCTATAGTATTTATGCGGAGTTTGGTCATGGTATCCGAGGAAGACGGCAACGATGGCAAAGTGAAATAATTCGGACGACCGATCGCGGCCCGGAAATCGAGATGGCGGTGATAAAATTCCGGATCAACACAAAACTTCCCCCCTATGGCATTGAGCCATTGCGGCGATGGATGGCCATTGAGGAAGAGCAACTGCGATCGATTTCTGGTCTCAGGCGCTTCGTCAAGCTGTGCGAGCTCTTCAATATCTCGTAGATGCGAGACCTTCTTGGTTGCACTAGCCGAGAAGTCGTATACAGCGGCGAAGCATTGCCTTTCAGAGTTCGGCATGTTCATGGCCCCTTGCGTCAGATCACGAGCATATCTCTCATACGGTGATCGTAAATAACTCGCAAGCCCTGCAAATGCGTTGCCAGGATACAGCGAGTCAACAATGGAAAGGCTCGAGTGTGCTGCCACAGTGTCGGCGTATGCCCGTGGCTCCAAGCTATGTACTATTCACAACTTGTCAGCCCATGCTGTAACGCGTGCCTGCCAGCAAGGAATGGACGGCAAGGAATATGTATTGGTGCTCTATCACCATGTACAACGTCGTGTGGTGTGGGGTGGTGAGATAGGGCACGATAGAATAGTTGAGTTACACTTGCCTTCATCTTTGCGTCTCTGTCGGATTGTACTTCCTGTACCAGCCACATCTGGGGTAGACAGTCCTTGGACTGGACCAATTATCGCGGTGCTCTGAGAGCGAGGCTTCTGTTGGCAAGGTTGCTCCGCCGCCGTGGTCATTTCGTGGGTACTTGCATATGTTCATCGCCCGCTGAGCCAGGGAGCGTATGGTAAGTCGGGGGAAACATCCCATTTAAGGAATTTCCAACTCCCCCAAACTAGGTAGGAAGCTACCTGCCGTGCTTCACGACAGCTGGAGGTACTGACGACGAGGCTGGCGGCTACGGATTTTCTGTCTTGGATCTGCCCAACAGTGGTGCGTCTAGCTGTTGTTGCCCACGGCTGTGCAGTGTGGCAGTACAGGACAGGAGAGTCCGTCCCCATTGTGCTAACATACCTGCTTGCTCAGCAGTAGGCACAAGCATAGTCTGAGCCAGTCCTTCACCGTACCTCCTCTCGTTCACCTTCGCCGCTGGAAGCCAGCGCAGGCATCATGTTCGGGCGAGAATGGAAGGGAGAGTCGGTGGACTGCGGTCGAACGGGGCGTTGCAGGGGCGGCAGGGGGGCAGGCAAGAATACCTTATCATATTACCTCAACTGCCATATAAAAAAGAACACATTTTACAGGTTGAAGGAGTACCCTGCAATTAAGCGACGCCCGCCTGAAACATGGACGTGATAGGCAGCTTTGGTGACCTGATCCTCAGCGCTGCCCCCTGGAAAAGTGTGTCTTCGGCAGTCGAGGGGATGCATCGACATACACAAGCACTGTACGCACGCCACGGCAACCAGCAACCACCAACCACCAGCTGCCGCGAGCCACACCCACCACCTCACCTTCGCTCACCTCCCCATCCCCAATAATATCGCATCGTGCCTCGACGTCTCCTCTACCCCGCCCTCTCTGCAGTCTCCCAGCTGAACTGGATTCAACAACAGAGACAATTTCCTCCTCCTACCCTCCGGCCGGTGAGGTCAGGTAATCTACTCGCATGCCTGCTGTGAGTCCTCGTGCAAGAGAACGAGAATGATAATGAGAATGAAAACAAAAATGAAGATGAAAATGACTGGCCTTGTCAGCAACGTTCAGATCATGTACTCTTCAGCTCGATATCCTGGAACCCAGGTTCCGCCCCGTTTTCACCAATTGCACGACACGCTTCACTTCGAACTGGGCAAGGCTAGATACATTGCTTGGCCTTCGGTCCAGGTGAGGTCGCTTCCCTATAGCCGTGATTTAAACTGATAAATCTGATGAATCCAGACTTCTACGTTCTTGCCATCCATCGATCACGCGTCTCTAGTAGCCGTCATCTCCACTCCAGCGGAGAAGACGATGAACGCTGCGTGGCTCAAAACATATGTCCAGCAGCAAATGGAGGTTGACGATGTGTTCGACACTGCTTTCCTACATGGGATCATCTTCACAGGAAGCGGCCAGGAGCCAGATGGTCTAGTCGCTGCAGACCTGAACGCCCTTCTGACATCATGGGGAACTACTTGGTCAAAATACATGGCCGAAGATAGACCACACCGACCAGCTTCTGGCTTGTACGTATGGAAAGCCAATGCTTTATGGCGTGCTTACAGGTTGTTCGACGATCTATATGGATCTTTCATGACAGCCACGCGCTGGTGCCAGACCTCTCGGTATGTACACTCCATTCTTTTGCATTTGAGACTTTCTCCTGACACTTTTGAAGCAAGTATTTCCATTTGCGTGTCAGCGGTGAAGAATATCAAGCTTTGAGTGTTATGATTCCATCCCGTATAGGCTCATCTCATTCGGAAGCGGAGCCTTTGGCCGGACTTCGATTTGCCGTGAAAGACATGTATAGGGTCAACGGGTTGCGGAACACGCTTGGGAATAGAGCTTACTATGACGTGAACTGCCCTGCCATAACCACCGCGGCTGCTGTGCAAAAGCTCCTTGATCAGGGGGCTTTTCTGGTGGGATTGACCAAGCTGGCTTGCTTTGCTGCTCGTGAGGAGCCTGCCGAGTCGGTAGATTTTCAAGCACCGTTCAATCCCCGTGCAGATGGTTATCAATCTCCTGCTGGTAGTAGTAGCGGTAGTGCAGCTGCCATTTCATCTTATGATTTTCTGGACTTCACCATCGGTACGGATAGTGAGTTCATCCAATGCCTTCCCTTTGTAGTGAGGTACTGACAGTGGAAGCAACCGGCAGCACTAGACGACCGGCTTTTTTTAACGGTTGCTTTGCTTTGCGCCCTTCTCACGGACGACTTCCACTCGATGGGCTACAATTGACCTCTGAGTTATTGTCCTGTCTTGCAGTAGTTATAAGTGCTAATATATCTACAGGAAATTTGATGTGCCTAGTTTGTTTTGTCGAGATATAGATCTGTGCCAGAAGGTTAGCATAGCTTGGCTGGGCCCAGATCAAGTTATCTCAAACCTGGAGAAGAAAAAGGTATGAGATATCACTTGAATTCATTTCTTGATTGCCAAATTCTTGCTGATAGGAGGCTCAGCCGCCACTTCTTCTATACCTTCTGGATTATCTGCCAACGTCTAATGCCGATCAAATGGCGCTTCTAGATTGTTTCGCTACTGACTTGGGAATGAGTATGGGAACAGAGGTTGTAAAACTGTCTATTGCAGATTCTTGGAAAGTAAATGGTCCGGCCGAAGCTCACGGCAAGACGATCGATGAGTATTTTGAAGAGGTACCTCTCAATCACGGACTGTGGACTTAGCTGATCAGATTTCCAGGTCGCTACTCAGACGTTCCTGTTCGATTTCTATCACAGCTTCCAGCAGTTCCGGGATGACTACTTCAATAAGCATCACAAGAAGCCATATATAAATGACTTCATTCAATGGCGATGGTTTGTCACCTCGCCATCGTTCAATCTCTCCTAGCTGAAAGATGCGAACAGGGACTTAGGCAAGTCGATCACTCCAAGGCAAAGAAATGAGGCATTCCGTAAAGTGGATGTATATCGAAAATGGATGCTAGAAGAAATTCTATGTCAAGATCTGCGGGAAGCGTTTGTGATTCTACCCATTGCGGAAGCTGCACCGAATTACCGCAATGCGCAGCCAGGGTGAGCACAGCAGCATCGATTTTAGGGCGTATACTGATCATTCCAGGCCGTATTTCAAGCAGAATGCTTTCGATGCCTTGTTTCTAGCCCCAATTCTAGGTGCGCCCGAGTTTGTAGTGCCAAGTATACGCCACCCCATCATGAGACATGCCAGAGCTGATGCTTATTCCAGTTGGCCAAGTCCCATACGAGTCTCGCATCAGCGGTCTGGTCGAGCAGCTGCCAGTTGCTGTCTCAGTCCTTGGCCTCCCTGGTATGATTGGAATTCTATCACAACTCAATATGAATGCTGACATGCATGTGATAGGCACTGACACTCGCCTCATAGAAGTTGTGAGGCAGTGCCTCAACGAGACAGGCAGGCCAACAACTGTTCAGACTGGTAGACACATGTTTCCAACCGAACGAAATAACTGAGAGGCGACTAGGGGGCAGGGAATTAATTTGAGACCGTGACTGAGACTGAGGCTAAGACTGAGGCTAAGACTGAGACTGAGACTGAGGCTGATCTAGAGGCTCGGGTTCGAGCCACAACACTAACTTACTTTCGCGTTCGTATGCTATGATTTTCCGAACTTGAAAAGAGTGTCAGCTCAAATGTGACATGACGTACTGGACCGTGATGGCTCTCTATCATTTCCCACTAAATATACCCATGTGTCTGATATACACACTACACGAGGCGGGCAGGGGTACATGTGCGAGAGCCTGCGAGCTAAGGTACCTACCTATACCTTATGCTCTGTCTGCCCGCCCCGAGCCGCTGCCCCACAACAGGGCTTCTAAGGTACCGCCTCAGTCACCAGCACTATTACATGGGAAGGCAGCGATCACACCAGCTTATGCTCGGTACTCAACAATGCCTTCTTAGATTCGTTCCTTTCCTTTCCTCTCCTTTCCTTTCCTTTCTTTCGTTCCCCGATGAATAAACTCCCCCAAAGAAAAGCTGCATGTCAGATACAGTACTAATAGGTCACCGATACAGCCGACAATCGGGAGAGATAACCACCAGATGGCTTCTGCCGATACTAACGAGCGGAGTGCCCTATTGAACAGTTCAAGTCCCAGGGCGAGCAGTTTTTCATCATGCGACAACCAAAGCTCCACCTGGGCCACAGACACAGATTCCAGCCCAAACCTGAATCCGGATCAACGTCCAGATGAAGAGCCTCAGCAGAATAGAGGGCGTGCCGAAATCATCGAGCCTTCCAATGGACGCCTTGCTTTGGTTCTGGGCAGTATATGGGTATGTTGCACCTGGACCCATGTCCTTTGGCATCATTTCTGACGAGACTCACATGTATACAGGTCGGTGTCGTTTTGACAGCCCTTGGTGGGGACTTCCCGGTCTTCAGCTACTCATGCAACCCATATAAGCTAATTCACCGGGCAAACAGATTCCACCATTGTTGCCACCCTGTTGGCCCCCATCTCGAACTCTTTCTCGTCTCTCAAGACTCTGTCGTGGCTAGGAGCCTCCTATCTGATTGCAGGTGCTGCAACCCAGCCTCTGAGTGGCCGTCTTACAGACATCTTCGGTAGGAGGGCAGGCTTGATTGTGTGCAATATCGCATTTGGTATCGGGACTGTACTTTGTGGCATTGCAACTACGGAATGGCTCGTCATATTAGGTCGTGCAATTGCTGGATCTGGGGGAATGGCAATGGTGGCAATATCAACATTCGTTGGCTCCGATCTGGTACCTCTGAGGAAGCGTGGGGTCGTCCAAGGCCTCAATAATGTTGCTATGGGATGCGGTGCAGGCTTGGGAGGGCTTCTTGGAGGCTGGCTTGATAGTGTATGGGGCTGGAGATTCGCCTTCCTCGTTCAGGTACCGTTCATAGCCATCGGCACCATCCTCGTACTCTTCACCGTTCGAGTACCGGTCAAGCTCAGTAACAAGTCAGCCCTCCAGCGAATCGATTACCTTGGCTCGTTGACCCTCACAGCCGGTCTGGTCCTCTTACTATTAGGCCTGAATGCTGGGGGCAATATTATACCTTGGAGCCATCCTCTTGTGCGCATCACGCTGCCTCTCTCTGTGATTTTTCTCGCCGTCTTCGTGTATGTCGAGATCCATATTGCTTCGGAACCTATCATCCCTATGGGTCTTCTACTGAACCTTACGGTCGCTTCTGCATGTGCTACGTACGAATTTGCCTATATGGCTCAGTACGGGATAATGTTCTTCACGCCGCTGTACCTGCAATTACTTGGCAGCTCTCCCACTCAAGCAGGCCTTCGATTCATCCCTCAGAGTGCAGGTACAGCGATCGGAGCCCTCTGCACTGGAATCATCATACGAGCTACTGGAAATTATCGGTGGCTCAACATGGGCACCCAGACTGCTCTTATTATCTCTACTGGTTTGCTTGCAACGATGGATCAAAACACTCCTGCATGGTGTCCGTTCCTATACCTAGGTCTATACGGACTAGGATTTGGTAGCATGCTGGTGGTCGCCCTTATTGCTCTCATCAGCTCAGTAGATCATCAACATCAAGCTGTGGTTACGTCGGCATCTTTCGCTTTTCGCTCAACAGGATCTGCTATTGGATTGACCCTTTGCTCTGTCGTCTTCCAAAATATGCTCAGAGTTGGCCTTACGAGTCGACTTGTCCACATCCCAGGGGCCGAGCAGATCATTGAAAGAATTAGGGGGAGTTTTGACGAGATTTGGCTTGTTGATCCCGCTGTTCAGCCTGCCGTGAAAGAGAGCTACATGGCCGCGCTCAACGGCGTCTTCCTACTCATTTTTGCACTGACAATAGTATCGGCTGCTTTCAGTTTTTCGATGCGGCAGAACGTTCTTCACACAAATCTTGGTCGGAGGTAATGCAGCCTTCCTATCAAAGCATGTTAATATTCCGAGCCGTTTTGGATCCAAAATTCTGAGTATGCCGCAATTGAAAATAGATATTCATGGCTTGGAAATTGCTATATGCCGTTACGGTTATACTGTCCCCTTACTTCGATTGATCTCTAGACTTCTTGTCGACTACCCTATCCTTGTTTTTGAGACAGCTAGATTCACCTCCAGCTTGTCATACAACCACATATTTTCTCGCCCATGATTGACACATGTGGAGGCCAATCTCAAAAGACCACGTCTCGTGCCACCACACCTCAGGCTTCTCTCGGCCCGCGATATGAGCTTGCAATTTGGTCAATACTCGTAGAGACCTGGTCTTAGTTGCTCGACGGACACTGCAAGAAAATTAGGGTGCCAATCATTAGGTTCTGTTGACTGTTGGAGCCGCAGCTGGGTGCGTTGTGGTGCCAGGCTATGCTTTCTCTCGCGTTACACCAGCCAAATTGCATTTACGCCCGACGAATAATGGAGTCAACCCCCACACGTATGCTGAAGGGGGTAACCTGTTTCTCGTTGTCATGCATGAATTGATCTGCAGTCTCGCCCGGCCGGTATGTTCGAAATCCTGCCACCGATATGCAAAGGGAGAAAAGCGATCAACCTTGGCCAATTACTGACTGGCTGTGGTGGCCATGGATGGCTGTGGCTTTCCAGTTTATTGTCTCGCATGCGGTGGCACTTGTGACCGCCCATTTAAGTGTTCTATTGGTGAAATGCTCTTGAAGCAGCGACACATTCGCTCTATTCAATCCACATATGCTAGCATGAGAGAATGGTATTTGCTAAATCATCGGTGCCCGTTGATGTTGCGATCTGTACTATGTATCCATCACTTTTTAAAGAACACGTCATGACCACCTCTGCTAGGAAGCATCCCAAAGACCAAGGTACACCACCCATGAAGCTGGAAATTTTGTTCTGCGTGAAGTGTTAACGAAATGTGTGAAGTCTTAAAAGGCAGCATCAATGATATTGAAGCAGAAGTACACTTCCTATCTCGTGATCCTCTGTACCGCGAGGTAAAGCCATATAGCATGCGCTTCAAACCGATTGGAGAAGTGAAACAGACAAACTTGCTGCCAGAAAAGCATTCTATCAAGATTCGCAGTATACGGGAGCCGAATTTAAACCTTACTTTCGACAAGTGCGGGTTTGATGTCATACCACTTCAGTCAAACATGGCATACGAAGACTTTCGGGATGTGCAGAAGATTGCAGAAATATATGCACCTGAAATTAGAGCTGCGGTGAAAGCTAGATTGAAAGCTCAGCATGTTTTTGTAATGGACTACGCGGTATGGATGTGATTCTGGCTTCGCTGAGGTGGCTGAGAAGGTATAGGTACGACGGCGTCATCCAGATTACCCAGTCTCAACGGGAGAGAACTACGAAGCCGAGCAGCCTACTTCCATCGTTCACATCGGTTAGAAATTGAACTTCTGTTTTACTCATGTTCAAGGCTGACGAAGATAGACTTCACCCAGGAAGAAGCTTCAAGGATGTTACAAAAGCTGTACGGGAATCGAGCCCACGAAGTCTTGAGCTACCATTGGCAAGTCGTGAAGTGAGTTGCTCCATCTTACCACTTAGTTCTTCTCCATTAAACTGGCAAAAGTGTGTGGAAACCTCTCAAAGGACCTGTTCGCGATTGGCCTTTGGCTGTCTGTGATGCTGAGTCCTTCAACTTTGAGAAGGATGGTGAGCCCGGGGACATTGTTTACAAAGACTGGGTCACCGAGAATGTTCAAGTCAATTACGCCTCAACACAACGATGGTACTGGCTACCTGAACAAACAGTATCGGAGCTTATTATTTTCAAGAGTGCTGACTCAGATGATACTGCGTGTCAGGGTTAGTCTAAGTCTCAGCACTGGCCCTTTGTCAGGACTGCATTCTCTACCTTGGCTGACTTTAAACAGCATGTCCGCATACCTCATTCTTCAACTCGAGGGCTTCAACTGCCGACCCGCCACGGGAGAGCATTGATTGTCGGACTTTTGTGTTGTATGCTGATTCAGTGCCACCAGAGGTGGGAAGTTTGTATGGTAATAAAAATTGACTCAGTATGATTTACTATAGTCTGTGCCCCGTTGAAGTTTTTCGAGATTTTCAACTACGGTTGCACCACCACCAGAAGAGCATAGGCAGGATGATAATTAGATCAGATGGGGGAGAAAACATATTACAGATCACCAATAACGTTGATGCGAGCAGCTTGTGTTTTCAGCGAAGCCAGTATATTCGCTAAAGTCTGATTCGAATGAGCGACTGACAAGAATACATCCTCCAGCAGGAACCAGTTCAACATCACACTTTCGACAGATACGTGCATAGCTTTGAGAAGCAGAAAAAAATCCAACTGAGCCGTTACAAAGAACACCCAATTCTAGCCAGCAGAATCCCTTCAACGTCAGCCTGCTACTTGTCCTCCTCGACCTCCTCGAGCTCTTGCTTAGCGAGACCAAGTCTCGGGAGAGTGTTGCCATTGGTATTGCCATCCATGACGATTTCTTTGCCTTTTTCAAATCCATGAACCGTGCCACCATTGTTAGTGTCGGAAGCAGCAGTTGACTTGACTGGCCACTCGGTCTTCCATGGCTGGGCCTTGGGGGCCGTCGATTGAGGCATGTCTGCGAGAGCTTGGTGTTTATGGAAGACTATGTGACATAGGGAAGTCAGCATCAGGAAATATTAGGTACCGTTTACTTACAGTTTATTGGACTTTGAATGAATATTTGAGCTCCTCCCTGATTGTGTGCAAGGTCGAGTCTGGTGTAGGATCGGACTTGGCTGATTCCACGCCGAACATATAAGAACGTTACCATGCGGCTCCGTTCCACGGTTCTAGTGCTGTAAAACTGCTCTCTCGCCGCCCTTACGACAGCCTAGGCCAATCCTCTGATTTCCCCGCTTTGGACGACGGATGTTTTTCCCGGGTGTGGCAGGCTCACTAACCCCTGTACGACGTTATCAGATACCCCCACGCTTTGCTGCTCCAGCCAGGCTCAGGTAATATCTGAGCGGTCTTGGAGATACTAATGTGAGGCTCTGCAGTCCTTGTAAACTCTGTCCTCCTGAGTTGAGCCAGAATTATTGGCAAGTCACGGCTGAAGGAGGCCGGCACACTCTATCGGCCCCTTCTCAAGCCATGCAAGCTGGATTGTTATCTGCACACCGCTGACTCTATAGCTTGAACCATCTCTCGATCTCACGGTTCTTCGAGCCCGCCTCAGCAGAGTCCATGGCGAGCAGCAGCCGTAGTGGTAGCGGTGTTAGCCGCAATGCCTCATTGTCAAGGCTCACCACTACCCACCAGCCAAATGTCTGCAGGATCTTACCGGTGAATGGACAGCAGATAGGGAATACAAATGTAGAGTGAGTCTTGTTTCGTGTTCCTTAGAAGAACCGCAACGTGCTTACACAGCGGCTGCCTTTTTAGTCTCATTCTTATTCCAGGGGTGGGAACACCTGGTGTTGAGCTATGGAGCATTCGTTTTCCGCCTTGGACGGATATAATATCAACAGCTCTTTCGAGGCCAAGAATACTTACTTTCAACTACAATATCCCACTTGATGACCGCTTCTCTTGGCAGACTCTGTTCATCGAGGCCTCCTGCCTCCTGGAGTCACTGCATGAGATATGTATGGAGTCCGAGGTAGATCATGATCGAAAATTTGGCCAGAGATACACATACCGATAACTATGCTCAGACCAACGACCGTCCTTTGATATTTATCTGTCACAGTCTTGGCGGTATCATTTTGAAGCAAGTAAGTCGAAGTGAAAGACCTCGCCCGAGCCCATGAACAAGATATCAAGGCTAAAATCTTTACGAGGCACTATCCGTAGCGAACCAGCAGTCCCGAAAATATGTTGGTGTTCTCAATTTAATATCAGGGATCATGTTCCTAGGTACCCCCCATAGGCTAGATGATGAGAAGCAACTGGGTGAGAAGCTTCTACTACTGCTCAAATCTCTGCCCAACGACATTTCCAAGCAGACACTATCGAGACTTGAGGGCGATGCTTTGATACTGGCAAATGCGGCTGATAGGTTCAAAGATGTTAATCTGAGGGTTGACATTGCATCCGTTGGAGAGAAGAAGAAAAGTAAGGTTCGCCATGGTCGGTTTGGAAGAAAAGGCGTTGTTGTTAGTGATATTCTCTCTGTCCCCCGAGTCAACAGGCAAGCATGTTCTCACACGAATACAGGTTGTAGGTCCAGACCTTGCAAGGACACTTGCACCAGTCGAAGTTCTATTTCTAGTCCAGCAAGATCATGAGAATTTATGGAGACTGGACAACAGTGACGGTACACCTGACACTGAACTTGTGCAATGGCTACAACATGTTGTCGGAAATGCCACGACAGTGATACAAAACAGACTCGCGGCGTGTAAGTTCGCTCCTTACTCTTAGGACAACACAGTGAAACTTATCAAGTACCCAGATAAATCTCGAACACCCCCTATGGTCAGTCCTAGTACTACTTCGTCCGACGACTCTATCGATCTCGTAGTCGCGGCAGAGCATGGTGTGTTTCTCAGCAATGACCCCACCCTTTCCTGTTGGATTCTCGCTTATTTCAACCACAGCACTGCAATCAGCCCAAGGCGATAGCTCAGGAGCAGACGCCGATCACGGCTCCTCTACCTTTGGATTCGAAATTGTGCCTATCCTTGACGAACTCACAATTGTCCGTAGACAAGCGAAACTGCCATGCTTCATGATGGATACGTTTGTGAGAAATCCCAAGTTCTTTGGAAGGGATGATGTTATGAAACGACTAGATGAGGTACTGCTGCCCAACAACGATGCAACTGTGTCTTCGGAAGGCGGAGTTCTCAAGCACATTGCATTGTGTGGAATGGGTGGTTTAGGCAAGACCGAGATTGCCATTGAATACGCATACTCTCGCAGAGAAAAGTTCGACGCTATCTTTTGGATTCGTGCCGATGAAGAAGAGAACTTGGAACTTGACTTCAGTCGCATCGCAACATCACTCGAACTCGAAGACCCTTCAGACCCTAACAATCAACAAGTCAATCGCGAACTTGTAAAAGGATGGCTTGCAAATCCAAAGAAGCTTCTTGAGCAGACAAGCGACACGGTGGGCCTCTCCGAGGCGACCTGGCTGGTGATACTTGATAATGCAGACAATGCCGATATCCTGGACAACTTGAAGCCCATCTTCGGAAGTGGATCACTACTGATCACGAGTCGAGATCCTCTTACGAAGATGGCCTTTTCCTTTAACCCTGTAGGTATTGATTTGGAGCCGCTTTCAGAGGAAGAAGCTGTGCAATTTCTGAAACAATTGGTGCCCAGGGAAGAGGAAGAAGGAGTCCATGAGATTGTAAATACGCTGGGGTGCCTACCACTTGCTATTACTCAAATGGCAAGTGTAATACGGAAGCAGTTTCTTCCATACTCGGATTTCTTGAAGCAATATCAAGACGAAGCAGGACGCGACGAGTTACACAGTCTTCAGCTAGACAAGAACCCACGTGCTACGGCCAGAGGCACAATTGCGTCAATATTTGCCATCGAGCGGCTGTCAGTCCAAGCAAGGACCTTGTTAGAACTCTCGTCCTTCTTGAATCCAGATTCTATCCCGGAACGCATCTTTGTGGACAATTCTTCGATAACTTTCCCCAACTTCCCACAGAAAATTGCAGCCTGGAATGCTGCAAGAGGTGAATTATTACAAGCTTCTCTAGTGAAGCGTAACAATGAGAAGAGAGAACTATGGATGCATCGAATTCTTCAAGATTCTGTCCGCGCCAAATTGGATGGCGAGAAGGCCATCAACTCGTTCATGTGCACAGTGAACCTCGTCTCTAATGCTTGGCCTCGAGTGACTATCGACAAAAGACACACAACAGATCGTTGGCAAGAGTGCGAGAAGCTATTTCCGCACGTTTTGGCTCTCAAGAACTACTATGAGAAAAGATTTGAGGATGGATCTATCGAACCAATGCTTGAACTCGCTTCATTATTACACGAAGCAGGCTGGTAAGCTACTTCCTCACGACTCCATAGTCAAACTGTACCCTTTAGTCTCTAACAAGTACAGGTGGCAACACGAGCGAGGAAACTCGCATCACATTCGACCCTTCCTAAATCTAAGCCAAAATATCTGCGAAGCAATGAACTCTCCGCAAACTCGAGACCTGTTAAGCGACGTACACTACGCCCTCGAAGCTGTAGCAACAGAAACAAATGATCCTGAGGGATGCTTGCACCATACGGGTCTCTTGCTTGACCTTCGTATTAAAGCAGTTGCAGATGACGAGCCCCCGGGCATACGACTTGCAGTTGCCCACAACGAGCGCGGCATCGCTTGGATGATGAATGGAGCGTATGATAAAGCTGCGGCAGAGTTCAAAGAGGGAATATCAGTTTACAAAAGCCTCCCCAGTTTCTGGTACCAGATGATTTCTCTACCACTAGCAAATCTCGGTCTTTCGTACTGGCTTGCAGGCGACTATGAAGCGGCCTCAGAAGTTCTTCTAGAGAGCTTGCATGGAAGAGAGAAACACCTCGGATACATGGACAAGGATTCTTTCAGGTATTTTAAACTCCATCTCCCCATTCTGCACGTATATGAAGGATTGTGAGGCTCATATCATTCTCTCAGGACTGGCAGGCTACTACACGGGCTTGGAAATGTAAGATTTTCCCAGGGTCTTATAGAAGAGAGCGAGAACTACCACAGGAGAGCTCTGGCGCAATACCAAAGCACTATTGGTAATAACCACCACCGCACAGCAGACGTCTGTCACCGAGTTGCCCAACACTGTCTGCGGCATAGGGAACTGGAAGCCGCCATGTAAGCACAGATTCTGATCCATTCCCGAACAGACATGAACTGAAAATATTTCGTGCCTAGAAAGCTCGTCGACCGAGCTCTTAAAGTCTGGGGTGCCAATCAACAAATCTACATACCTGAACTAGCCAGAACAACTTTTCTGAAGGCGAGAATTCTCTACCAGCAGAAAGAGGCCACAAAGGCTACTGAGCTCTTCAAGGAGGCCGTAAGGCTGCGGAACTTGATCCCGAACGCAACGCACAAGGCAGATCGAGACCTTGAAGAAAACGACTTCGACTGTCTCGTGACATTTTGGTCAAGGTGATACCGAAACTAGATCCTAATTTATAAAAGAAGGCTTCGATTTAAATTTGCAGTAATGTAGAGGAGTGATCTTGGCATAATAAAAGACAGTTCGTCTTCTCTAAGAGGCACCGAATACGCCTTCGATTCCTGCAACACAAAGAAAAGAAGTTTTCCTGACTGATTCTGCAGCCCTAATATTCCAAGAAGTAAGCTCCTTTATCGTAGCTTCCGAATTATTACAAGCTTGTGTTACAAATATTATTGTAATCCAGTGACTTTAGTCTTCCACCGGAATAAGCGAGTCCACCTTTGACAGCTGACTACAGCTGGTGATGAAAATCATAAATGATTAATAACATCCTAATAGAAAAACATTTAAAATTATCTTAGTAGCATAACACTCAGTGCTTTAATAAACTTAAGTAGGTTACCGTGTAACGGATATAACAGCTTTAAGTACATCTAAGAGCAGAAAGTAAACAAATGCTCGGATTTAGTATAAAGCTTGACTTTAATCTAGTGAGATATAAACTAGAACTATCTCACCTTGTGATATATCCCAAGTAGATAATCAAGCAAGTGAAACTCTATAAGCCCATTATTTGACCTCTGATCTCGCTGTTCCGAGTACAAAATTCGATTCTTCGCGAGCGGGAGTTGATCACATGACACGTGCCAGCCACGGAGGGGAACAAAGTGTTAGAAGAAGAAGAAGCAGACCAATTGCCCTAAATTTCAGGACTCAGAATACATTTGTGTTATTATAAACAAAACACTCCAAATTTTAAGATCTTTGGCATACTTTGGCATCTCCATCTCCTCCCAAGAAGCCTTCTACCCCACTAGAAATAAGTAGAGAAGCCAATGCTATTAACCAAATCACCCACTTATTCCTGAATTCCAAATGAAGAAAATAAACCGCCATCATCAGACGGCGCATCAACCATCTTTTTAAGACCATTATCGCCATAGTAATCAGAGTCCTCTCCACCGCCATTATCATTGTATAGGTTCATCCACTCCTACCGTCATTGCCACCCTCATCAGCATATTCGATCTCCTTCATGTAAATCTGATCATCAGCCTCCTGAATCTCATCGTGCTTACACTCAGTCTTGTTGTCCTTCTTGTCCTCCTCCAAGATCTCACCTTCCTCAAGCTGAACTCCAGCCTGCTCCTCTTGCACTGTGTAAAGCTGCTCTCCGATATTGTAGGCAACACGACCTTCGGCTTTGTTTTTGAAGATAACATCATTGGCTATGTTTGAGAATTCAACAATGACGTCCAAGGGACCTGTGTGGTGGATGTGGAAATATTCGAGGAGGGGTAGGTCGATCAAGCCGTAAAGGGAACTGAGTTTCTCCTGGGTGGTATATTAGCATCTTCTCTGTCCGATTCGTACCCAAAGAAAATCAATTCATGAAAAGTCCGGAGTGAAGGAGAGGACATTGAGAAATTTAAAAGAAAGGACTTACCTCTCGACTAACAGCACTGGTCACCTTATCCCTCCAATAGGCTGGAGAACCCCAGGCATAATGCCCGCTTGGAAGGTAAAACTCGATCGCCACACGCGTTATGCCCCGGAACTCTGCTTTCAATAGGTCACCCAGACCATCCAACTTCTCCTGCAATCTCAACTCCTCGAAATCTCTATCATCGCCCTGAAAATACGTGCTCAGCCAGGCTTTATGGACAGCGATCCTCATCTCCATTAGTCTAATCATCGACTTGAACTGGTCTGGCACAATACTCGCGAAGGTCTGGAATCCGTGCAAGTTGGGTTCGAGGGTACAGCCCCAGCGGCCGTTACCGATCGTGAAGACATTGTAGGTGTAAAAGATCGCGCGGGATTCGGCGGAGATGAGCTTGTTGACGAGGAACACGGAGGTGTGGGCGGACGGGGTGTGTGGGTTTGTGCGACGCTCGCGGCGGTTGCGTGGGGAGGTGGTGCGGTAATAGTAAGGTGAGAGAACGAGGAGCTTGTAGATTGAGTTGCGGACTGTAAAGGGGAGCCTGGTGAACTTGAAGGGCGGGTGGGGGAAGTTGGGATCCATTGTGAGGGCGGAGAGAGAGCGTGAGATATCTATTGTAGTGTTTGTGGAAGTTGGTGGTGCGAGAGCAAGGTTTTGAGCGAGGGGAGCGGATATCTGAGGTGGTGCTGAGTTGATAGTCTCCTTAAGGACGAGCGAGTGGGTAGCTTGTGCGTTGTTTTGGTTTAGAAGCGCGTTTGGTGAAGCTGAGGTACCCTTCTCACTGCCGTCCTTGGCTCCAAGTGGAGAGTTGTGATCCATCGCAGCAAACGACATGTCGATGTCCATTTTTTCTGTGGTTTTGCTCTCGGTCGAGATCGCCGCCTTGTTTCCAACTTTGTTGGGGTTGTGCTCTGACTTTTTGTATGAAGTAGACTCGCCTGTTGTCTTTGTCAATTTACCGAACGAAACATTGGCGCTAGTGAATGCAGAATATTTTCGCTCGGTTGCCTTCAGTTCACTGATGCGATGTAGGGCTGAAAGAACAGGTATCGAAGCTGAAGTCAAGTGGCTGTTAACCTGGCTATTGTTCGCATATGACGCCTGTTTTCCATCAGTAGAACCCCAATTATTGACTCTCGTGTCAGACAAGGACTCCTTCTCAGCCTGCTCGATAAGCGACAGCTGCATGGCATACTGGAAAAGTGCGTCGTCGTCCATACTATTAATATTATTAGTCGACTTCTTCTGAGATTTCTTCCTTCCTTTTGATTTGTGGAACATCGTCAGAATTTTTGGAGTGTTAGACTTGGACTTGTAGCTATCGATGTCTGGTGGTGTGCCGAAGATATTTTGGAAATTCGACGAGACGCTACTCTTGTTATTGCTGCCACCAGCGCCATTGACTTGGTTTTGTGCTTGGCCAGACTCAATCGTGCTAGAACAGACAGGAATTGAAGTAAGAAGGTCACTGGCATAGCTGACTACCAAATCATCGTTGTTTGTATCAGCTGGATCAGGTGGTGCGGATGTATTGCTGGTGACCGAGATCGATGCCAAAAGACCAGAGGTCCAGTCAAGAAGAGCTTCGTCTCCTGACTTGAGAGGTGGTGCTGGCTTCCCGGCTGCCATGTTCTTGAGGATTGTATAGAGAGAATTCTCGATAGCTGGCGTGTGAGCCTTCTTCTTGTTGCGCTTAGACCTTCTCTTCGACCTAGATTTTGTCTTTACAGTTGAGGAAGTGGCGAACAAACTATCCAGGCCTCCTTCAATGGGCTCCAAGGAGATGTCGGAAGCATTGTCGTTGATATCTTCGGTAGCCAAGGCTTCTTTTGACTGAATGGCGTGCTCCGCGGATGCTGTTTGACTGGGGAAGAGGACGTTGCGGAGTCCATTGTTGATTGGTTCCCAAGATTCGTCAGAGACTCTGTCGTTGATATCACCGACAGACATAGCTTCAGACTCGAAGACAGCGCAATTGGTGGTAGAGACGGATTTAGCAGTAGGATTCGAAGTTGGGCTGTGTCGTGCAGGGACTCGAGGCGGGGAGGCCCAAGGCTTGTTGACGCCTCGATCTGGAGCTCTATTTGAGTCATTCAAGAGGTCCTCCTCCTTCATTTTGCCGCTTTTGAATACTAAACTATGGTAAAGTGTATGATGTGTTCGCTGTCGCGACTGGTGATGTTTCCTCGCGGTGCAGAGGAATGGAAGGGGAAACAAATTTCGGGACGTGAATTTCGAAGTAAGCAGACAGCTCTGTTCATTGCTAATTAGTTTGAGTGCGAAACCTATCAGACGCTAAGCCTGTATCGGCTCAAATGAGTAAAGCAAATCACAGCTTTGTGTTAGCGTGTCTCGGATTTGTTAACATGTAGACAATCAATCAAATCAACAACGAATATATGTGGTTGGCTAAGCGAGACGGCGTTGTGGTAAAAGTTAAATGGGGGTTTAAAAGCAGAAACACTATTCAAAGCAAAGCAGTCAGACAAAGCAAAGCAAAGTAAAGGACAATTGCCAGACGTAATAGCACGCAATAGAATACAGCGAGTATGCAAGAGAACAATACGCCCTTCTTGGCCACGATGACCCAAAACATGATAACCCATTTTCATAATTCGTCCACCTTTGAGTATGCCCCTTATATTTCTAGTCTTTCCATACGACTAGATATACCACAACAAAATCATCGCAATAGCAATGATACCAACCGTATCGACGCGTCTCAAGAAACCACAGCCAGAGTTGACAGGAGCCGGGGTGCTTGTGGCAACAGGCAATGGGGATACAACACCGTCAAAGGGCATACTTGTGGCCGTATGATCCACTTGTTCCGAGGCTGGCTCGGGGATTTTAGTTGTTTCCAATGCAACGCCTGTGACGACATGGCATGCTACTAATAGGCTCTCCGTCGTCTCAGCTAGTAAAGACCTCGTCGCTTCCGGCAACACCAAGCCACAAATTACTCCTTCGACACAAGCACTAGATTCCGAATTGGTATTCCATTCTATGGCCTGCCCTGTATAATCAACGCTGGTAGTAAATATTGGAATGGGCTGAGTGCCGCCTGGGAGGACGCACGAGCAAGTGCTTTGAGCGGAACATGGGAGGGGACCATTCCTGCCAGTCCACTATATCAAATTAGCTCATGGAACGTTTGGATGCCAGGCTCAACCTTACTGTAGATGTCTGCCCTGTACATGAAGCTTTGTGTGGACAAGATGTCAGGGTAGATATTGTCGCCAGTGGCACGTTGGTCGTAACTGGATATTCATTCTCACAAGGTTGTGACGTGGGGAAGCTGTCAGCCAGAAGGCCCTCCGTTTCGCTTTCTAAAGGATACAAGTCGGTGTCGCTTCGCGCCAGGAATAGACTGCTCAAACAAATTGTCGATATAGTAGTTTTAGTAACGTTGAGTGTATTCGTGACTTTCGTCGTCGCAGTATTCCCAGACAACTTGATGATGCTGATTGTGGTTGTATCCTTGACCGTCACATGCACCATTGCTGTCTGGGTTTGAGTTGAGTGAAAGAGGTGGGTTGTGGTCTTTGTAGTCATGATGATGGTTGAAGCACAGTTATATATGTCGGCCTGCCGTGATGTTGTGGAAGAGGACACAATCACTGTCGATGTCGTTATCGTACTGGAGAACAGGAAGGTTGAGGAAAAAGTGGTTGAACTGTCTTGGAAAGATATAGAAGAAGCCAAAGAATTTGAGAATGACGTCAGTGACGAAGTTGAGGACAATAGGGTTGAGGAGAGCAAAGATGATGTCGACGGGATTGGAGACGTTGGCAGCATAGAGGTCGATGACAGCTCCGCAGTTGAAGATAGCAAAGAGTATGGCGACATTATAGAAGCTGAAGACAGAACTGAACTTGACTCTGGCATAGAAGTTGAAGATAGAATAGACGTCAGGCTAAGTGAAGGCAACGAGGATGTTGATAGTGTTGAGCTTTGAGAGAACAAATCTGTTGACAAGGAGGAGCTTGAGACTGGAGGGCAATGGATTAGCAAGGGTCATCTGAACGTAGAAGACAGAACAAGATGGCTGGAAAGAAGATCTCGATGGACAATTTACCGGAATCCAATTGTGATGCTGAAGAAGGAAGTAACGTTGAAGAACTTAATAGCAAGCTACCCGTGCTGGCTGAAGCGAGCGTAATAGTAGACGTGATGCTTGGAGTTGACAAGCTGGGCTGGACTGTGACCGATGGCGTCGCGGTCATGGAGAAGCTCGTTCTTGACTCGGTGAATGGGGCTGTTGAACTCGGTATTTCGCTCAAAGGTGTTGAAGATGTGCCGAGAGAGATGCTGGAAGTTGAGGTTAGAAAGAGGCCAGATGACAACAAACTTGAAAGCGATGAGATCGAACTCTGCTGCGAAATCGACGTCGAAGATGATGCCACAGGGCAGTCAGGTACAGAGACAGCATTTGTATCCAATGTCACAGTAGCGGATAGCCCAAATGCTCGCCCAGAGAGTGAGGCCCCAGTACTGAATGTGACGGAGGACCCGGCAAGTATGGTTCCAGCAAAAGACGTGCCAGTTCCTAGTGTTACTGAGGATCCAACTGCCCAGTAGACTTGACATGCCAGTCCACCATTACTGAAAATGACAGCTGAGGCAGTCGCTGTTGTCAAAGCTTCTCCAATCTGGAAGAACCATAAATCATCTGGGGATCTTGTTCCTTCGAGTATGAGGGTGCCAGTGAGCTGAGCTGCATCGTCAAAACTATATGTTCCTGGTGGTAGAATCCTATTCCCGAGATTCTCTCCTGTGAGATCTTCGTCCGGGATCGAATTTGTGATGTTCGTAAATGCGGCGGACGCATCTGTCAACACTGCAGAGGTCGCCCCGCCAGTGACAAGGTTCCCATTGATGATTCCTGGGCCAAATCCAGTAACACTGGTCCCTCCAGTACCAAGATCGCCATCAATTATTGTTGATCCTGTGTTCGTCACGCTTGATGCGCCATAAATGCCATACGATGCAGCAGCACCCAAATTGATCTGAGAATATTAGCTAGGTCGATAGTTTCCTGTCCGATAGGGATATCAAACTTGAGCAGAGCAATTAGTAAATACTTCAGTCAGGCTCAGAAAAATAAACCATCTCAATATTGAGCTTGACATGATGGAACAATCAAGGCCTTACTAAAAGCTGTGTCTGATGGATGTAGAAAATGGAGAGAAGAAACGAACGAAAACAAATCAAACATGGCGTGGAATGGACTAGAACGTCGTTCTTAAAGCGCACCTAGACGCTACATGCCAGTACAAAAGAAATACCTGCTATGTATGAGAGACAAGAAACACCTGGCTACCTGTATGATAGGTTTGAGCTCTGCTTCCAAAACTGCTCTCGGTTTTTTTCAATCCAAATGAGGGACATATGATTGCAATATTTTGAGAGTTCCGTGATTCTCGATCTGAGGCAATATTGAAGCTCTGACCTCGTGGCAGAGTATCTTCGAATCTGATGCTCTCCAATAGATGTTCATGTCCCCACTGTTTCTTTGGCCATTAGCATTCTGTAAGGTAGCTGCAAAACAACAGGAGGTAGACTGGAAGAATGAGAAGACATTCTCAGTACCACGGAAAGATTTCGTGCAAATCGATCCAATTCGTTGAAATCAGAAGGCAGACGACTGGCCGATTGGTCCAGCTGGACTGTAGTCAGGCCATCACTTGAGGCGAAGAATGAAGTGCGTGTGAGGGTCGCACGACTGACACCAATTTTGGCTTGCCGTTGATCTCGATGGCAGATGTCGCAAACTCGTAGAATAAACAGGTACCATGTTCTCATACCTGCCTCATGATGTCACGATAGCCCGTTTTTACTGAAATGGACTGCTGGGGCACATCGAATGGCAGGGAAGGTTGAGACATCGATTTCTGGATATGGATGTATATTGGACACGACGCTGACCACTCGAGCTGAAGAGCGCAGATTAAATAAGGAACCAAGCTGAATGATGCGTGTTACAATAAGTAGAGCATGCGATGAGGGCGAGGCGAATATTGTGGGATGGATGATGTCCCGGATTGAAGGTTTGAGGACAAGAAACATAGAAGCGATGAAGATTACCTGACCAAACTACTAGTGCATAAAACTTGCATAAGTCTAGTCACATGATCTGTCCTTTCTCTCCTTTCTCTCAATCGGATGTACCGACTTCTGTATTTCATAGCGACTAATAGGTGTACTCTGATGTAACGATGGATGTGATTCGAGTGAGAACCGATCAATAATACGAGAGTGAGGATATGCAACATTACCTGTCTCCATAACTGGCCGCACAGGGCTCTCGCTAATCCACTGAAGCGAATTGCCCGCTCCTTGCTTTCCTTTCTTCACTTCACCACAAAACAATGGCTCATCCCTCAACATGACTCTCCCAATCACAAGGTCTTCTCCCCATTTCAGCATATGTACAGGGTTTCGCGGAAGCAGTATGAACCACATTCCGCACGTGGAATAACGAACAGCGGAATTCAAAGTGATATACTTTGAGGATCTCACCCTCGCCCCTCGCGTATGAAGACCCACCGCGAAAAGACCGCGACGTCGATGTGCAACAAATAAATGAACAGCGCCATTGAAAGGATTGTGAGTGATACCAGACAGATGTACCCGGGTTTATTAGATGCCTGGATCAAGTGGGCAAATTGCCTGTATGATGGTGAGCTGGGTGATGCGCAGTGTCACATTGGATGTCAGAGACACACCTCCTCAAGCCCGACCTTGATTGTCTCTGCGTCAGGCTTAGGTAAGCCTCAAGTCCTTCTCATCAATGATGACCGCAGGAAATGGAAAAAGGCAATCAGTGCATTGCCATCATACCAAGCTGTCCTGCCGTGATTATTTGGCAATTGTCCGTTTAGCCTGCACAGATGCAGTACCTGGCGGACATCGTGAACCAATGTCCTTTGCACTTCATGCACGTCCGGCCAGTGTAGTCGATAGTTTACGGCCGTTCAAACGACCCCGTTTTCGAGATTTTAAACTAACTAGCATTTTAAGCCTTAAAAACTAACTTAAGTCCGTTATATAAAGCCTAAAACGAACGAAACGGGGTAGTTCTTAAGAACGAAGTAAATAAACTATAGCGATTTATATAACGATTTAAGGGCAGGTAGCTAGCTCGGATAGCTCAGATAGCTCGGTTAGCTATTCCTATTCAGGAAGGTATAACCCGAGCTAAGCGAGAACACCTTCTTTAACCTCCTTTACCTTCTTTTTACCTTAGTTATAGATTTTAAAATAAGCTTAATTACTTTTACTTAATATCTTTAGTATATAAGACTACTATTATAACATGATTTTATCCTTCTATAAGGTAAGTGTTATAAAAATAGTCCGTTTTAAAAACGAACCCGTTTTACTATTAGTATATTAAACTAACTACAGTTTTAACTTATTATAACCAACTGTAGTTAGTTTAAGGATTTTAGTAACGAACGGCAGTTAGTGCTAGTTCTTGACAAAACGGCAAAACTATCGACTACACTGCGTCCGGCTCTTTTCGATTGCATGTCTTGATGTGAATACCTGGCACGAACCAAAGATGCGACATATTCGCACATCTAATTGTCGAAATCCATCGTCTCCCATTTTCCGATATCTTATCCTGCAGCTTACTCTATGACCCGCATGGTACTACGGCTTGGCGCCCTTTTGTGGGTTTGTGGAGCGAGACCGACAACAATGAAGGAATAATTCTTTACCAATAGCCGGTACGGTCCTGGATGTTGAAAACGGAAACAAATAGAGAAAACAACGGTTATTCGGACCGACAATATCATGGGTCCCGTCCGTGGCACCCGAGATGTGAGGTTCATTGACAAGTAGAAAGGTAGTACTGAGCTCTCTGCTGACCTCCTCCTCACATCATTATACCAAGACGTCGACCCTCACCAAATGACAACCAGATATTCATCATGTCGCCCATCATACCTTTCAAGATAGATGTCCCAGACGCATCTTTAGCGAACCTAAAGGAGAAGCTCCAGCTGGCTCGTTTTCCAGAAGGGGACCTTGAAGAAGCCGGTTGGGATTACGGTGTTCCTTTGTACCCATCACTATCTCCATAGACTCTGCATGACATCTAACACCAACTCAGAAAGCTAGTCAGAGATTTAACCAAATATTGGATTGAGGACTTTGATTGGCGAGTCGAGGAAAAGAAACTCAATAGTGTTCCTCAATTCAAGACGGAGGTCAAAGTCGAAGGTTTTCATCCTATTGATATCCATTTCGTGCATCAAAAAAGCGATATTGAGGGTGCTATACCACTACTGTTTCTGCATGGCTGGCCAGGAAGTTTCGTGGAGGTGACGAAGATACTACCATTGTTGAAAGGGAACAACGGCAAGCAGGCTTTCCATGTTGTGGCACCGAGTTTGCCGAATTTTGGATTTTCGGGTCGAGTCACGAAGGTATGTGAGTGGATCCGTGGAATTGGAATTTGCTGACGAGATTAGAAAGGATTTGGACTCGGTCAATACGCAGAGGTCGTAAACAACCTTATGCTAGCGCTTGGATACGATCAATATGGTAAGTTCAAATCCAGAGGATAACCCCGGAAGTTCTGTTAACAATATCCCAGTAACCCAAGGAGTATGTCTTATTGTCAATGAATCTTGACATGGGATTAACACGAAGCAGGGTGATTGGGGAGCTCTCATATCCCGTGTCATTAGTGCCCGCTTCCCACAGCACAACAAAGCTTCACACATCAATGTTGCAATCGCAAGCGAGCCGAAATGGGATGCAGACAACCCAAAACCCAAATACACCGAGCGCGAGCTTACCACCCTGAAAAACAGTGAAGTATGGCGCCGGGATGGCATTGGATATCTCGCACTACAGTCGACTAAGGTAAGGTCCAGAACGAAGCTGAGAATGAATGTGGCCCTTCTCATTCAAGACAACCAAGAACTTACTGCCACAATAGCCAGCTACCCTAGGCTTCTCTCTTGCGGACTCGCCGACTGGACTTTTAGCCTGGATCTATGAAAAGCTCGTCGCTTGGACTGACGATTATCCATGGACTCCCGACGAGATCCTGACTGTAAGAGCACTGCAATCCTCCTCCAAAACAGTCTCCCGATAACTAATTTCCTTCTTTCCTCCCACAGTGGATCTCAATCTACTACCACTCGACCGCCGGCCCGGCCGCCTCAATCAACATTTACTACGAAGCCAATGCCGCTCACAACACGGAATTCAACCTCCTCACCATCCAAAAATACGTCGACGTCCCGCTCGGCATCGCTGATTTCCCAAAGGAGGTTGCTAATGCGCCGAAGAGCTGGAGGAAGGGGCTGGGTCCGGTGGTGGAGGATGTGCAGTTTGAGAAGGGTGGGCATTTTCCGGCTTGGGAGAGGCCGGAGGATTTGGCGGGCTGTTCGGTGAGGATGTTTGGGAGGGGTGGGGGTGCGGAGGGGGTGGTGGAGGTGTGATTTGGAAGGTGGTAGAGCTCTGGACCGAGTCCGGACGGGACTTGCAGGATGTCTCAAGTACACGCTAGAGAATGAAGTGAATTATTCTCTCCTTCTCTTCCATCCAAGCTCCCTTTGTTGTTCAACATCAATAAAATGATATCCAAGAACTATCTAACCAGTTTCATTTTCAGATAATCTCACTTACTACCCCTCCACCCTCCGCATCCCACAAACAGTAATCTTCACCTCCCTAGGATCCACATCAATCAGATTCCCCTCCATAGCCGTACTTACCAACGAAGCCTTTACAATCTCTCTAATCTCCTTCTCCAACATCCCGGGCGTGATGATCTCTTCACCTACAGCTTCTAGATCCTGCTTCCACTCGCTCCAGCTGTCGTACTCGTTCTTGTCGAGCGTCGGGATGTTTAGAGAACCGCTGATGTAGACGATGCGGTCTTTATTCAGCTTTGTGAATTGCATGGTTCCTATGTAGGTATCCTTCACATCTATTCAGCCCTTCATTCTATCACCAATGTTTCGGGCAGAAGAGGGAGTTATCGGGAGCGTGATCTGAAATATAGGTAGAGGCACGGTCTCCCAAGAGAAGAAGAAAACAAAACATAGGTCAACATCCCCAAAATGACTCAACATACCATATCACCCCAATCATAAATCGGCAAAATAAGCTCTTGTAAAGATGGCAGCAAAATAAATAAATCATTCAGATCGCCCTTTCTCAGAGCTTCCCAGGTGCGGTGATCCAGGATGAGAGCTTTTAGAGTCTTTTTGCGGGACGGAGGGATGACTTCGTGCCATTCTAAAGGGTCCTCGGATTGGCAGTATAACGCCCGTGAGGGCGTACCGTCCGGTTTGAGGAACTGGATGCTTTGATTCATGATGCTTTAGTGCTGGTGGTGGTTCGGAGCTGTCTCCTGGGTTGAGGGGTCTTGGCTCGCTGGAAACGCCTTTCCTTCGCTGAAAAGTGGTATTGAAGCTGAGATAAAATGTTACAAAATACTTGATGAGCTTGGATAAGTGACAATTGACTGGTTTCTTAGATAGGATGCTCGGTTGTTGATGTTTTGATGTTTGATGAGAGGGCTGGGCAGCGCGGCAAGATCGGCCGGATGAGCTGACAGGAAAATGTCACGGTCACGTGGATCCATGTAGCTCGCGACTTCCTCGCTTGTTTAGTGCCCCGCATCGCGTCTTCCTTCACTCCCACGACTCCTCCCACCATCTACTTCTTCTTTCCTTCAACAACCTCAAAGCCTGGACATCATCGTCTTCCATCAAATCTCAACTCAACTCTCGAATTGAGGACAAGATGTCGGAGACCGATGATAACGGTAAGCAGCCAGCCGGCATGGACGATTCCGTTTCCGCTTCTGCCGATTTCAATGTCGCGGAGTTCAAGGCCAACCTGAACGCTTGCTTGAAGTCAATCAAGAGCTCAGGTACGTTCGTAACCTTCAGACCTATGAAGATGGCGCCGGACCCAGGTATCTACTTGATGAATGATGCGATGCCAATCTCGCTTCCTCTGACAGACGAGGACGCAAAGAAAATCAAGATTGCAAGTCAGGCTTCACAACCCCCGAAAGGCGAGAAAATTTCTCCCAATCCACAAGTCTGGGAGATCTTCGCAAATGATCTCGAAATCAGGAATGTTGATTGGGAGCAACGTCTGAGGAATATTGTCTTTGCTGTCTGTTCTGGTTTTGGTCTTTACATGACTGGCGATGATCGATTGTGCCCTACGATGATTGAGACGCGACCTAGTGACCTTTCTGCTAAACTTTCAAAGTTGGTGCTGTGTGAGGAGGGCGGCGCTCTGCATGAGTCCCTTGGCTGGTGAGTTCTCGGAGTGTTTCGAGGCACTTTCTAACCTTCACAGCTCTGCGAATATTCCTGGCACTTTTGCGACTATCTGCATTACGCTCCCAAGCCAACATTCTGGCGGTGAAGTCACAGTCACTCAGGGAAGGGAAAAGAAGAGTTTTGACTTCTCTCAGTATTCAAAATCTGAAGAATCTTGGATTGCCTGGTAGCTAAGAGGGAATAATCCTGCGATTCAAGCTTGCATTAATGTGTCAATAGGTTTGTGGATGTGAAATATGAAACGGATCCAATCTTGACAGGTCGTCGAATATTCCTACAGTACAAACTTGTTCATACTACGAACAACTCTACCATACTAGAAGAGAAAGCCAAAAGTAATGCCCAAAATTCTCAAATCCACGATCTGTTTTCAAGCTGGAAAGATACTTTCCACATTGAACACCATCCGAAGATACTGGGTTATGTATTTGAACACCGCTATCTCCGTTTCTGGGGCTGTTACACTCTGGAAGGGCAAGACTACCATATTGTTTCCCATCTTCGAGATAGCTGCGAAGAATACGGACTATCCCTCTACATCGCTGAACTTGAGATCAAAGTCTCTGGGGTTTGTGATGACAATGATGGGCCTGCTACACTTGAAAATGGCGAGGAGGCTGAGACAGAGCACGTCGGGTTCCACACCTTCGCGGAGCAACTTGATCGACACACCGTTCTGAGAAGAATATATGACCCCAATGGAAATGAAATCGACCGATGTTTAGATTTCAATGAGGAGTGCCTTATGCAGGAATATTCATTTGTGGACGTTCGTCCTGATGAGGAATATGTGGATCTTGACGAGGAGGGAGACCCAATTTTCGATGACAGCGGGGCTATCCTCCTGCACCACATCTACCGTAGAACAGTAAGAATTTATCCCTAACTGATTCACTTCGTGAGCTGATAAAAAAAAAAGATTGCTCTCATAATGCCTAAATCCCACCAAGTTGAGTTTCGCATAAATCCGTACCTCGACTCCGCAAGCCAATCTTACCAACAAGCCGAAAGAGGGACTCGAAGACCAAAAGAGGTTGATTCATTGATTGAAGAACTGTACGGTGATTTGGCTCAGAGCCCAGGTGATCCCGGTATCCTGCACGGCCTCGAACAAATCTGTAAATTGGTCATCCGACGATCGCATGATCTCAAGATCTCCGAAACACCCCATCTCCGGACTGAGTGGCATACAAAAGACACGCCATTCTTCCCAGAAAAGACGAGAAATAGAATATTGTCGACTTGTGTTGATATTGGTAATAAGGAATTGTTCCTGGAAGCATACGATCTAAGCCCCAAGAGGCTACCACTTTCCGCCTTTCGTGACATCGGCGTGGCGATCGCGCGCTTCGATATAAATTCGATACTGCCAGAGTATGTTTAAATCGATCCACTTCTGCGTGTTACAAAGGCTGACTTTAGTGAAGGTTGACTGCTCGGCTATCCCCGGATCTTGAGCTTTATGAACAGTTCAAAATCCTCCAGGCGATCTGGGATGGTCTGACCAGAGAAGCTTCGCGAATGGAGAAGCGACCGGATGATTTCTGCAGAAGCTGGATTAGGGACGCAATATTTCAAGCAGTCAGTCATGATAGCCAATATATCGGAACAGCAAAGCATGGATACGCGTTGGCCTGCTGCTGTAGGAAATTGGCAAGCTTTGCCCCTGATGACATAATTACTAGGTACGCACAAATCGTAGAGGTATGAGCAGTTCTAATAGTTGAGAAAAGGCTACTCCCCGTTGTTAAGAAGCAAATCGAGGAACACGATAATGCTACCAATACCGCCATGGCATTTCTAGCATCAATTTTCGACACCGGAGCTATCGGAACACTATCCACGGATCTTGTGAACGATGTCTACGCTGAAGTGATGCCTGTATTGGCGGACCGATTTAGCATTGGAAACCACGGCTTTTACAAGTATGATCGACCAGAGGCCCAGCAGATCGACGACTTCCTGGAGATGTTTGACCGCAGCTACCAGCTCGGGCTTTCCGATGAACTTTGCATAATTGTCTCAAAGCTAACCTCCAAGTCCATGGACAAGGGCAGTATTGACATCGAGCGATTTGACACCTATCTTCTTCCTTTGCTCAAGCGTCTCACCGCTTGGCTATCAAAGCAGATGGTCCTTGTTCAAGACTCGCTGGTCGAAGATCTTTTCCAGGGTCTGTTACCAGTATACATCCAAAGATTTGTCAAAGAGGAACCGCAGCCTCCTACAGATTGGGCTCGTCCAAAGTCACTGACAAGCTGCATTTGCTACGATCATGCCGCCTTCAACAAGTTTCTTCTGGACCCGGCTCGAGAAGTCGGCAGGTTTGTAATGAGCAAATGGCGGCAAAACCATATTCAGGCAGTGGTCGACAAGACCAATTTCTATACAGACGTTGACCGCAGTGGGAATAAGCGCGCTCTCATTGTCGTAAAGAACCATCAGGATCATTTCATTGCTGACCATGAGGCATGGCAGAAACGCAAAGCTACAGCAATAGCGAACATCAAGGGTCTTGGCTCAGAAGCGGAGTTAAGGGCTTTGCTTGGGGATCTTTATGAGTCGATCATAGAAGCATCGACTGTTGACAAGAGCGCTGCAGTGAGCATCGTAAAAGTGAGTCGTTCTCAAACAAACAAGGAGGTTCGAGGTCTTGAGAAGGTCGCCAAGCGAAGAGGAAAGAAGAGAAAGATCATCGACTCTAATGATGAGAATACTTGGTGATTGGCTCTTGTGTGTATTCCATCGCGCTTTTATTAAGGCAATGGCCATGCTGGAGCTGTGGACTCATCTCAACTTTTGGCGTCTGTCTTCTAATGTGCTGCACACACAGGTTAATGAGTAGGACAGCGGAGCACATTTTCCGTGCGAATGATTGATGGGGAGAAAAGAGGAGAATTTGCTACCAAGAATGACTTGCGCTTCATCACATTAGCTAGGTTCCCATCCATGAACTATTTTCTATTTCAGCTTTCTTACAAGTCTCTCTGACCGCAATTCTGGTGTTAATGAAAAATCACATCTGCATAGTTCAGTCCCTGTAAAGGCATGCCAACGAGAACATGCTTTCTATACATGACTTGCGATCCAGTGATACAGCAGAAATTTCATGACCCGAGCATTCAGGCTTAGAAACTGATAAAAACTATCCAGGTTACCTAAACAGCAGTACTAAGATCAGCTGACACAGCACGAAAAGGCGCGTCGTCCTTGGAGATGGTGTATGTAGAGATTCATCAGTCAACAACCACCAACTTTACAAGTAACAGCATCAGATATTTCTCAAGTCGTGTCAGCCACATTGGGGGCGGTAGATCCAGACCTCGGTGAGGGTCATCTAGAATACCTCTCAAACGTGTTATGAACGCAGCGACTTTTTCGCACCGCCGGAGTATCAGATATGCTGAGAGCCTGAGAAGACTTGTCCACTCCGACATCATGCTTCAGCTGTGTACTATCTAAGTTCTCATATTGACTAACGGCACGATAATGATTTGGGTATCAGCTAACAGTAAAGATTTCAAAAGACATCAGATACCATGCTCCGCTACAAACCATCCATCTCTCCAAACAGGTCGTCCCCATCCCGCCTCCTCTTGCTCGGTATTGACGCCTCACCTGGCTGCACCGAATTTCTCGAAGAAAGCGTTGAGCACTTCGCACTTGCCCACCTGAATGGCGTAGCACAATACCCACGAGTCGTGCCATCAAGTTGGTCTTCTGAGCCTGGAAACGCCACATAGGTACCGCCGGTAGTCCCACTCCCACAGCTTTCTCCAACATATGGACACAGATTCACACATCCCCGTCGAGCAACCTTCTTTCCGGGAGTGAGCGTGCTGCAATATGCGTAGAACTCGTCACAGATTGTATTTGGGTTCGAGCAGAAGAACTCAGAAGTAGTAGAGCTGACTTGGCACTTGTTGGCTCGGACTGGTTCCGTGGCTTTTGCTTGGTTGCTGGTCTTTTTAGGTACTGTCTTCACGCCTGGGTTCGCGGCTTCAATTCCTGATCCCGAGTTGGAGTTGAAGATACCATTGATGATGGATCCCAGCTTGACTTCTGACGTTTCGACTGTGGCAGGAGCGGGCAATACTGATGCTGGTGGCAGCTTCGTATCCGTTGCATCGGTATTCGCATGACCGGTTGAGTCCTTGACACAGAGTTCTGGCTTGCTCCACACCAGGAGAGAGGATGAGGTTGAAACGTTGCTGGGAGATGTGTCACTCTCCGCGCCTTCTACTTTCTTCCGTCCTGGCTTGGTTGAAGAGACATTGAGAGTAGGCTGAGAGTTACAATGCCCCAATGCTTACAGTGGGAAGCAGAATAATGTGGAAACGTGCCAAGTACCAAGAAAAAACGGCCTAGATACTGATCAAATTTGGCCAAGTCGATGAGGCGTGCGTTCTTGAGCTTTGTTTTAAATGCCTATGAAGTACTGTGACTGGATTTTATGCCTTCCCTATCATCATTCATCAATTTATCACTCGCAAATAGCTGTGGCCATTTCTGGACTGACCAGACACACGTTTTACGTCAAACACGATGCTCTCTGGATCTTCTGCTCCTGTTGAAGGTTTGCCATTTCCTGAAAAGCACCTGAAAAAGGTCTTCAAACACCCATCTACAACTCGTCCGCATAGCCCGAAATGACGTTCTTCAAACTCTCCGCCGATGCCTCAAGGAATTTTTGCTCCGTCTCCTTCAAATGAATTGGAAACGACGAAATAATTCCATCCCGACCCAGAACAGCGGGCAAGCTGAGACAGCAACCGAATTCTTCACGCCAGTGACTGAGCGGTAAGACTTGTCGATGATCGAAGATGATGGCCTCGCAGATCCGGGCAGATACAGCTGCCACTCCGTACGAAGTGAACCCTTTAATTCGGATGATGGTCTCGGCTTTCATGCGTGTCGTGGTGGCAATCTCGTCACGCTCGACATCAGTCAATGGGAGGACTTTGAGGAGGGGTGTGCCGTGGACAGTGGCCGTGGACCAGGCCACCTGGATATGGAATCAGAGCTGTCGTAACCAATAAGTGACATTTGACATCGTATCAAGGACTTACACATTGAGAATCGCCATGCTCTCCGATCACGAAAGCGTGGATGGAGGTATCTGCAACCTGGAAAGATTTCAGCCCTGGTCACTCTACTTTCTTTCTATTGCTCTGAATGAAGTCATGTAAATCAAGCTTACATTCAGCCTACTTGCAAGAATCCTCTTGAGTCTGATAGAATCCAACAATGTTCCCGAACCAAGCACCTGACTCTTCGGCAATCCTGAGAACTTCTGCGCGAATAAAGTAAGAATATCCACCGGATTGGCAACAATCAACAAGATTGCATCTTTCCGAATGGGCTGCAGTGAGCTCAGGATAGATTTCAGAATCTTCAAGTTCCGATCAATCAGATCGAGGCGTGTGTCACCTGGTTTCTGCTTCGCGCCGGCAGTAATGATGATGATGGCAGCCTGTTGCGCATCGGCGAGCTTGCCTTGACGGATGCGTACGTTTGAGAGGAATGTTGCGTCAGAAAGGTCTTGGACTTGAGCTTTGCACATATCATCGTCGATGTCGATGAGGACGACGTCTGGGACGACTTGGCGTAGGAGGAGGGAGAATGCAACAGCTGAGCCGACGGATCCGGCGCCGATCACTGCAATGGAGTTTCCGGGGGTGGACATGATGAAGATGTATGAAAAAATATATGGTTACTAGAGCTCGAAGAAGAAAGGGATTCTGAATTGCGGAAAATTGCGTTGATTCGCATGGTATTGACTTTTCATGATGAGGAATCGTACGACTTCTACCAAGATATGTATAGGTGCCTTAACTATGAGGGTGGAGCTACATCATTTTGGATCCACCTGAAGTTGAATTATCTGAATTAAATTCTAACTATCGATCGTTGTGGGAATATAAGAAGTTGAATAGGATCATAAAGATATCTACGCTATTCAGTTGAGCTGATCACATCGTTATGTGAAATATTTAAGTTCCCTGGGGCAGTGGAACCTTAGCGAGAAGCATTCCATTGAAGTAAGAAAAGTAATGAGAATCAAGGAAACGAAGAGAACATGGCATTTATGTGCCAAATTAATGGAGCAATAGGTTGTGTGCTCTCAAAGTAAGAAAGAGGCGTTGGTTCTTGAAATCGTGACGAAGGGTTGATCACTAAAAATATATCGACAAGAGAGAGACAGATCGATAGTGCCGCAGTGAAAATGATGAGCATACGAAGACGCGTGTGTAAAATTAACCGCCACTGATTGCATAACCTGAGAATTCATCCTGATCATACTCCCCAGCAACTGAATCAAATCCCCTTACCAATGCAAGATTACGACTCTACAACCGAGATTTGAAGCGACGCTCACGGCTCTCGCGCAAGAAAGGCTCAATGTACTGCTCCCAACCAGCCTTGAAAACACCACCGTTGTTGTTCGCCTCGACATTGATCGGAAGCTGACGGGTCCAAGCCATGATTCGACGGTACACATCGCCATCCTTGCAGCCCAATGCAGATTGCAAGCACGCATCAGTGAAAGAGAAAGCATCTGTCAGAGCAACTATATCGGGCAATAGCTCCTGGATTAGCTGATCGGCTTGGTCATCTATCTCACGGATCTGTGCTGCAGACAGATATCCATTACCCAGGAACGAAGCCGTAAATGGAACGAATGGGGAAGAGATAGTGCTGAGTCCGAACAGTGAGATGAGACGAGTGAGAACGACTCTGATGCTCTCGTCGGTATCCGCGGGCAGCGATGCCAGGTGTTTGATATTAGCCTCCAATATGTAGACTTCGATGTGAGCCCGTCCCGCGAGAATCAATTTCAATGCATGCTTGTCCTCCGATTCCTCACGACTCAGACCATGTCCTTTCTGAGCGCTGACAACAAGATCATGGGCTTCGATAATGCACTTCGCAGCACGTCGGCGAAAGATATCCAGTAGTACATGACTGTCGCGGAAATCTGTTCCCACGGGCTTGCAGGAGCTTTTCGAGTCCGCAGAGTATGTCTCGAGGTAAACAAGATCAGGGGGCAAAGTTTCGGCATCAAGTCCCTTCATCATGTAGTGAGCGACTTGTCCCCACATTACGTAGTTTTCGCCTTCGAAGGTAGGAGTTGCGCGGACGCTATTGACGATATCTGGCAAGCCTGAGATGATCAGGTATCCATGACCTCCGCACAACCTACGAGCCTCCTCAGCGCCATCTGCAGCAGTCTGACTAGCCCAGGCTTTGAGACCACATAGCAGCATGTGAGTGTACGGCAAAGTGGTATGGTTACCTGCTGCTTGTAGAGCCTGCAGACCTGAGTATACACCATTGAGGGACGCCCAGGCGAATATCGTGACATATGACATGGAAATAAGTGTTACAAGGCGCTGTTGCTGGTGAGTGTAGCGGATGATGGCTGTCTCTGCGAAGTTCGGCGGCTTGGCTACCTTTCGACCTTGAGTTCGGACAACGGAAAACGAGTGGCAATGGTAAGAGTCTAGGATGTGAGAAGTGAGTCTCTGGGTACAATTTAGTGGGATAGACGAAACACACCTGTGCTAATTGGAAGGCAGCATGACCAATGATAATCCGGCGTCCGTTCATCATGCCACCGTACAGAAGCTTTTGACGAAGTGGCACAGGAGTATACTTTCCTTCTCTTGAAACACTTGCATGCTTCATCATAAGATAATTACGTGGGATTCGCACGTTCTTGAAAGCGGCATAGCCATTATCAGTACCGTTAAACGACATCTTCGTACTGCATGATGTTAATCCTGGTATGAACAGAAGTCAGCAAACGAACTTACCCAATATCGCCCATTTCGATGCCTTCCAAGGGCTCGAAAGTTTTCAGGTCTCTCAGCTGCAGCACGAAAGGGTGAACACCATAGTCCTTGCCATAGATAATCATACGGGCCAACAAGATTGTGTGGCTCGCAGTGAAGCCCAGTGCTCCAGGCCAATACTTTGTCGCACTTTCCCGCGGTGTGTTGATGATGAACTCATCAGCCTCCTCGTCGAAAGTTGCTGTCGTCTCGATACCTGCAACGTATGTACCATGTCCAACTTCAGTCTGCGCATATGAACCAATGATTATTCCCTCCTCCGCAAGTGGCAGCCAGTGTTTGACTTGCTCCTCAGTACCAACTAGCTTGAGATATGGTGTAAAAAGGCCATTTGTAAGACCAAAAGGATTGCTGTTGGCTATGCGGAACAAGTGGGTTTTCTCTAAGAGAAGATCAGCTTTGCTTGCAAGAAGTTTGGGTGAAAGCAGAAAATAATAGATCGTGTGATGGAGTTACAGCGCTAGAATTCTCTCTAATTTACTTACCATGGAAGACTTTGCTGTCGGGTAAATCATCTTGAAAAGTAGCCTTGCCACAACGAAGCCCCTCAAGAAAGACACTTTGACGCGTCTCATCCATATATGCTGCAGGAAGCTTGAAGTTGTCCGTGTGGCCCAGAGTTTTCTCAACCCGAGCAAAGGCAGCCAGTGTAGTTTCGAGCTCTTCCTTGCTATAAGAAGAGGTTAGCGTTGCATTGAGACAGATTGGAGTTAAAGAACCTCCTTACCTGCCGTAGATGATGGCTGCAAGCTTGTGGGAATCAAAGCTGGCTCCGTCGCGTGCTTGCTTCATGCGTTCAACCTGCGAGAAGCCAGAGATCTCACTCTCCTTGGTTCTTTGTGTAGGGACTCGTTCCTCTGGTCTCTCAAGCTCCAGGGACTGTTGCTGGGACACCATCGTAGCAGAAGACAATACTGTCTGATCTGTTGCAATCTTCATTGTAACCAGTACTAACAGGTCTTGAGTTGTGTGCCTATGGTATGTTAGTTCGACAGGAGATAGACCTGATATTGTCCCCAGGCTTGTTTAGTTGGTATACACAAATCAACAGAAGGTGAGCGCGCCTCTTTATACTTGCTACAAGTTTGCTAACTCCAAAGGTTGTGTCGCCCATCAAAACTTCCTTATAGAAAAGCGGCAGCGGATGTTCAAAGGTTTTAAGAGTTCACTAGCACCGAGACTACAGCGAAAAGTGTGGGTCTGCATTTAGGAGCCTTGAGCAGAAATCTCACCTTCCACGTGGATAGTCACCTTTCACAAAGTCGTAATATTCTCCCAATAAAAGCTCTAGATTTTGAATTTCCCATCTGAAACTCTCCCAGGTCTATGCTATTTTGAGATTTGATTTCTCAAGCCACCTGTATTTGCTCGCCGTCTAGAACAAAGCTACGGTTTGCAGTATATGGGAATGGATGTCTTGGTTCATAGGCACAATTGGTTCAACAAGTACAAGAGCATTCCCTCTCTCATCTAAGGAAACTCTTGTTGCGGAAACCTAATGAGCCATAATTATCGAATAGCCAATAGGTAGCTGGTGACCAGCCAGCCGGAATCCCTGATCTCCAGCTGATCTCCCGAACCAACAATTTCCAACAATGTGGTGATCCAACAGTGTTGGTGGCGCTTCTGATTGGCGGGGATCTGTTCAGCTAATTCTGCCGCGGCGGCGGATCAACTCTTCATGACGGATGTACTTTCCTATGTATCTCCATATGTAGATTGAGACATGCTGGTCACGGTTGATTCAGGCCTTTCATCAATCCTGTTCTAGCTGGGTCCTATTATCGTTACCTCAGTATATTCTAAGTATCTCGTAGCAACAAATTGGACCTTCGACTGTTACACATTATGCCATATCACCCAAGGATAAGACAATCTGAACGTGAAGGTTTATCATCTAATACCAAATGTTTGTTCTACCAGTGACGTGTGTGGCTTTGAGGTTGGCTGCTGCTTTCTTATTATGTTGGTTCAAAATATAAAGGTTGGGATCTCGCTTAAGGGCCCAGTCATATGCGAATAAACAAAACCGAGAGCGAGGAGGATAAGGTCCTGAATTTCTTGAACTAAGTACAGCGAATTGAAGCGGCATTGACTGGTCCATATACTAAAAGTATCTAATATAAGCAAAAGGAAAAAAGAAGATTTCGATTGCTTTGCTTAGCTTTCAAAGACTAGTCTCTAAGCTTTCTTTCCATTCCCGGTAGCTGGAATTGTGGGGATGCGGCCGGGAGATGGTCCTTGCATTCTTCAGCAGCCTCAAGCTCGGAAAAAGGCGTCTCCACGGGAGCCAGGCTCCATCAGTGATCAGAGGAGATAAAATTCATTGAATTCGAGGATAGAGACATAAGCTTGATTCCATTTCAGTCATCTCAAGAACACAGTGATCACATTGTAAGCTACGAGCCCTCACTAATCTTCTTGAAAGTGCTCCACGAAAACCTCAGGTACAATTGTCCCATTTCTTGGATCCAGAGAACCATTATTTTCCAGTGATGGGCGAATGTGAGCTGACGGGACGCAAGTACAAGAGTCTTAGCTCTCATCTCTTCATCCAGGACGATGCGGGATCGGTGCGTGGAATTGTTTACGCCACCTGCAGATCCAAAAAACATTGCTCAAGATATTGCTCCGAGATATTCTCCTGTCGGGCTGGCAGAACTCTTTTCCAATGAAACAAGTCGACGACATCTTGCCATCTTTGCTTTTACTCATCTCAAGTCAACAATTCGCCATGTTTCCAGTATAACTGTCTGGGGCAGAACGCCACCAACAACAGCGGCATGAACTGAGACCTATTGTCAGCTGTACGTCGAAAAATGTGCTAGTAGCATGCCACTTCTGACTGTTACATTTTCATCCCATCAGTCAAAAGACCATCCCTCGCTTCATTCGACTCCTGTCATACGAAGAGCAAAGCGGATTCTTCTGAAGGTTCCGCTTAGAATAACTTCAGTCTCGCTTAACTCGAGACTGCGCTTCTCAACTGTCCTTATCTTTCCACCAAGTCTGGAATGCATGGTGATCTGCCTTGTGTCTCCGGGGGACCGCGAACAACGATCTCGAGATCCGATGTGAGAAGTGACAGGCATCCCGCATCGCAGGGCCAGATTCAAGCCACCAACAAACGGCAACCCGCTGAGATGCAAGAGAAACCAGTAGCTTCGATGATTCCCCATATCCCTCAGAAGTGCAACATTTACGCTACAGCTCTCAAAATCAAGGCGCTACGATGTCGATGACATCAAATATTTCTGCCGCTAGAGTGGCCGATCAGCTAATCAGTCAGCTATTAGCTGAGTAACTTGCTGAGCTGACTAGCTTACGTATAAATCACAGCTTAATAGCTTTAACTGAAGAGCTTAAAAGCTACTTAAAAACTGATTCTAAAAATAGACATATACTAAAAATCCCTCTTAAGATCAACTACATTAAATGTCGCTATAAGCTTTACTATCCCCCTTCTTTGCTAGTTTTTTAAGCACTTTTAATACTATAGCAATTGACCTAATAACTTTAAACTGTGTAGTGTAGTTTATATAGAACAAGACAAGAAAACATACTTATACTTAGAGCTTATAGTAGGTATATATAAAAAATCAAAGGCTATCTTAGTAAGCTATAGCTACTGGACTTACTTTAAACGTTAATACTTTAAAAGAGGCTGATCTGTTAGAGGCTCTTTAAGATATAAGGCTAATTAGTCTTTTCGGCTTAAAGGTTATAGAGTTCTTACTATGAAGGTTATACTAGTAAGAGGAAGTGCTAGCTTTTTTAATTAACTAGTTTTATATAGCTTTAAAAGCTCTAGCTTTAGAGTTCTTTTCTCTACTTATATAACAGCTTCTCTTTTATATTCTGTCTCTTAAAGCTTCTATAAAGATACCTTCTCTTTTCTTATATATTATACGTTATCTTTAGTCTATTATTAGTCGAAATACTGCTATTTCTAGCGAGGGTGAAGAACTAAAGCTGTTATCTACATAAGAGAGACGTTAGTTGTACTATAGAACTCCTTTGTTTTATTTTAAGTAAGTATAATCGACTTTTGTATATCTTAGTAGCTATTAAATTAACCTGCCTTTACGCTAGCCTTTAGAACCTTAAAGTAAGAGAGTAGAGCTTTAAAAAGAGGTAATAACTTCTAGAAAGCTCTATAAGATAATAATATAGGGTCGAATTAATTAGGGTTGCCTTTAAGGTCTTTAGTAAGACGGAAAAGAGGTTTTAAGTACTCTGCTATTAGCTAAAGAGTCTTTTATTTGTTATTATCAAGATAATCTTCTTAAAATACCTTTTGATTAAGAGTATCTTTAGAAACCTTTAATTTGATAGTGTAAGTATTAAGAGCCTTGCGGAGAGCTAGAGCGTGTATAATCATTAAATATAAGGAATTTTAGCGTATACTACTGTCTAAAATAACTTTTTATCTCTTTCTAGCGGCCTTACCTTAATTAAACTTATCTTATAAGCTATTAAAGGCTATACTATACTTTTTAGAGGTTATAATATATGCCACTAAGTTATGAAGCTTTTTAAGCTTTTTATAAGACCTTTAAAGTTATCTCCTTCTTTTAGGACTAGCTTTCTTGAATTTAGCTTTAAAAGATAACGTATCTTAACTAAATAAGTATTATTTAGCGATAAGATTAAGTATATAGCTTATATAATAAAGCTAGTGTTGTTTTAGGTTGAAATTAAGTGATTTTGAAAGCTTTAAGAGTATAGTATCGTTATTTAACGTGTTATCAAGGACAAACTAACTAAGGTTATATTCGTTGATTTCGAATCGTTAAAGGAGAGGGAGAATAATAGAGGCTTGGTTTATACTTAATTAGTAAAGGGGAGAGGCTAAAAAAGAACTAGCTTACTAACACTAGTTTTTTTATAGCCTAAAAGCTCTAGTAGGCTAGCTAGTATTATAATTACTTCTCCTTTTTTATTTATATAATACAGAACAACTGCAACTATATTAATTTTATCCTAAAGTGATCTTTAACTATTAAAAGATATAAAGACTTTTAATTGAGCTTTTATAACGTTTTATATAATCTGCGGCTTAAAGTACTTGAATCTTTAAGTTACTTAGATGTTACGGACCCCTTAGCGCTATAGTTCAGTTAGCACCTATATAATAATAAAACTATTAGTAGTACTATAGGGGCATTAGTACTAATAAGGGAGTAGTACTATCGATAGGGTAGTATTAGCTAGGGAATAATATAGGATAAGCGAGTAGTACTACTATACACTCACGCTTTAGTAGTAATAGTTACTTAGAGTATAGTAGATAATAAGTTATATAATAGATCCCTAGATCCCTAGATCCTCTTATAGGAAAACAGATCTAAGGATCTAAGGATCTAGTATCCTAAGGGATCTAAAGCAAACGAAGGTTCTATATAAGATTAGTATATCTATTATTAGATAAGAGCTTTATACTTAACTTTAAATAGTATTCTAATACTTAGTAACTATCTTCTGTTTATATAATATACCTACCTCTCGATTATTAGAGATTAACTGCAGCTTTCTGTATTTACAGCGAGTAAATACCGGACTATTATATTAGATCTCTAAAGTTAAATAAGAAGTAGGTAACACGTTAAGAGCTTAAATATTTACAATTTTAATAATTTAATAAAAGTGTTTAGAGGAGGCTTTATAGTGTTTAATATCGTCTATTACTACTTACTTAATAAAGGTATTCTTGAATTCTAGCTCTTAAAAAGGTATAATATACTCGTAACTATCTCTTATAAGACTAAAGGCTTATACAAGTTAAATTGTAGTTAAAAGAAGCTTTCTGATATCTCTATCTTAGTCTAATTAATACTCTAGAGCTATATAACGTGTTATGTTTTTGAGGGAGTTGCTATTAAAGACTGTAGTCTTGTTTTTAGCAAATTAAGGATCGTAGTGACTTAACTTTATTAGCATTTAGAGTATAGATAAAAGAAGTAGCTTATATAGTTTACACGCTTAAAAAGAGTGTTTTTTGCTTTTCTTAGGTTATACTAAAGTGTAGCTAACTTTCTAGAGCTACGATTGATTTAAAATACTTATTGTAAGTGTAAGAATAAAGCCTTAGGGTAAAAGTGACACGTTTGCTAGCTTATTGTTAAATAACAGTTCCTTAAAGAAATATAGAGAGTAGTCTGCTTTTAAATTATCTCTTAATAGCTTAAAAGGGTTATAGTTATTATTATATACTACCTTAAGTTGTTAGTAGCGGTCTTTAATTATAAATAAAAGCTAAGTTGTATTTACTAAAGGTTTCTTACTTATACTTATTATATAAGTAAAGGGATCGATTAGAGCACTTATAGTACTTATAGATGGAGATTTAAAAGTCTTTAAGGCTATATTCTTAATATTAAAAGGCGTAATTAATCAAGATATGTTTGCGGTGTCAATTTAGATAGAATTAGAGAGTTACTATATAATATAGATAGCCTTAAGACGAGCTTTGATTATTTTACTGTACTAGACTGCCTAATCTAGCTAATCGGAAATAGTTTTCCCGCTTTAAGACTTTTATTTTTAGTAAGTATAGTATTAAATTGTTATATTAAGTGCTTAGAACCTCACTCTAAAATCGTTAAAAATATAAGGACTAGCTTATAAGCTAGCTTATAAGCTGGCTATATTCTAGCTAACTGGCTTATAAATATATTCGAGCTGACTAGCTGACGTTTTTTTCCTAGCTGACTGATTAGCTTAAAAGCCGGCTGACTGATCGGCCACTCTGTCTGCCGCGCCGCTGATGTTCCAATCAAGATCTTCATTAAAAAGTCTAGCTCAAGTGTAAGAGAACGAAATATACACGCCAGAGATGCTAGCAAGTAATCAAAAAGCCCTCCAGCGGGAACAGATTCAAGTCAGAATTTCATAAAGATACTCAGATGTGGGCAAAATTTGGTTTATCATTCGTCTCTTGTGGTCTCTCTGAATGATTCCTCGACATGATAAAAAGAGCTATCACAATTGGATTAATGGGCACAGGAGCAAAAGCTAGCAAGAGCGAGCGCTCCTGGAGATCAGTACTGACCTACTTTCTGCAAACGCAAAGTCTACCCGGGCAAAGATACTGATGAAGTTGCAAGCCCTGACACACTTGACATCAGTCCGATATCTGTCGATATCTCAGATTTAACTCTTGAGCTCACTATATCGCCATTCATACATATCTTTTTGTTCGCATAGAGTTTGTCCGTGTTCCTTATGCCAAGATCCAGGTGAGTCCTCTCGATTAGCACTATTCACAATCACGGCATAAACTACCAGAATTTACAAAGTTCACCCGAAGGAGATATTACTCATCATCATCCTTGAAGAAAAACACCAGACCATTCGAGACACTGGAAGCTATGAACTCGATCCCATAACCCCTGCAGGATTCATTGTTTACTACCTTAAGTCATCGGCGTGGAATAAGCGAGTGGAATTTTCTGCACTTCTCGGATCATTTTTCGATCTTCTCAGTGCTATTACTACACATGATTCTTGCTCCATGAGGGTGAAGAGACAGTGGAGATAGAATGTAGATGGATACGTACTATTGCATTCACTCTTGATTTACTCTCTTGGAGCGAGAAGGTGCTGTGAGGAAGTGAAGTTAGGGGTGGCGGCGACGACCTAGATCGGCTGGTGGTCTTGTCTCAACGGAATGACGTGTTTTTTTGAGAAAATGTGCAGGTGCATGTGCTTGCAACACTGCACCCAAATGCTCGATTCGCTGTTATACATCTACATCTAGACTATTTCCCCAACCATCACCGCTCCTCCCCTCCACCGTAATCCGGTGGCATAATATTACAATCCCCTCCTGTCCTTTCCTCTCCTCTCGTCCCTCACTCTAATCCCAGCCATCTACAACTCATCCTCATTATCAGAGAAGTACTCAAAGTCCCTCGGAACCTCAGCCTCCTCAGCACCCTCCTCATCTTCATCAACAGCAGTCAAGACGCCCGCGGCAGCCGCGGCTCCAGAAGCCTCACCGGCAGCCTCTGCTTGACGGCGGAGATTGAAGGACTCGGTGCGCATGTCCTCAAGGGTTGTAGGCGCGGCAGCTTTCTCAATGGTGGCTTTCTTGAGCTTTTCTTCGATGAGGACGACTTCCTCGTCGGGCTTGGTATCGATCATTAGGATTACACCTCCAGTTGGCTAGGGCTATTAGCATTGTATGATGTATCTGAGGTTAGGAAGACTTACCTTCTTGACTGGCTTGTATCGGCCGGCTGGAAAGCTGATGAACTTGAGTTGAGCTGGAAGGACTCTGGACATGTTCTGCAGTTCATAGCCGACCTTCTCCTTCTCAAGCTTCTTCTTGGCGATTTCAGCTGGGGAGGCATCCTTCTCGTTTTCGTCCTTCTTCTCCTCTGGCTTTCCATCCTTGTCCTTGGCCTCCTCGTCCACATCCATCTTGTCTCCAGCAGGGGCGCTGATCTTTGGCGTGGTTGGTGTTTGGTCAATATCCATACTTTCACGGCGTTGAGCGCGCTCCTTCTTCTGAGCACGTCTCTTTGCCTGAGCAGTGGTGGAAAGAACGGCGGTGGCGATGAGTGTAGGTGCTTCATCAGTCTTGACCTCTTGCTCAGGTGGGTAATCGAACAAGCTTGGTCGTGTTGCGCTGTGGAACTCGAATGCTGGCATGTCGAGGTTGTCGTTGAGACCAATCATAGATGTTGGGGTGAAACTCAAGGACAGGAAATGGGTGAATGGGAACCAATACCAGTACTGGGTGAAGACAGCCATACCGACAATACCGGCCATGTTGAGGTTTCCAGTTTGTGTCTGTAATCCAATAGTGCAGTTGCGTCCACCAGCATCAATGATACCCAAGGCCAAGGCACAGCCAAACTTGGTCATAGCATCCTCGTGTCTGTCACCAACAATCTTCTTCAAAGTCTTGCGGATCTCCGCAACCTTGGGGTTCATGACCTCATTTTGCTGGACCATGATCATGGCAAGCGAGATCAAGGCACCTTGGCGGACAAAGTCAGTTGGATCCTTGACCATGGGCTCAAGCAAGTCAATGGCCTCGGCAAGACCAGTCCCAGCGCAGGAGATACCCAAAGCCATAGCTGCACCATATCGAACATGGGGATTGTATGATTCAGATAGTAGCTCGACCATGCGAGGAACACTGCCAGGCTTGCGGAAGAGGATGAAACCCAAACTCATAACCGCAATTCTCCGGACATCATCATTCACATCGCTAACAGCAACGTGAAGAAGTTTTCGGACAGCCTTATTGCTGCCGGTACCACAGTAAGCAAGAGCGACAGTCATGATACCACCATATCTGAGAGTTGGGTCGGGATCGTTCAAAAGACCCTCAATCAGTTCATCAGCACCTTCCTGTCGGCCATACATGATAAGAGCCATGCCGAGAGCGAGACCTCGGACAATCTTCTCATGCTGGGTATCGTGTGCATAGGTGATCATATCTTCCAAAGCCTTGATGTTACCGGTTCCCAACATAATGAGACCCATGGCAAGACCAACAGCCTCACCATTGAGAGCAGAGTCGGTGTAAAGGACATTCTTGAGACTTTCGTAAATCTCATCAGATCCAGTAGCCATACCTGCAATACCAAGACCCAAAGCTCCACCATGCTGGATAACTTCCTCGGTCGCATCCGTGAACTGCTTCTTCAAGTAGTCGAGAGCTTCGGCACCGTGGTTGGCATAGATGAGTCCGTATGCGTAAAGGGCACCACCTTGGCTGAAAATCGACCCTCCGATTGCATTTGTCCGAGGCAGATATGGCTCAAGAAGCTTTCTACATTGTGACAGATTTCCGCGGTGGATGACGCCCAAAGCTGCTGTTGCCGAGAATTTCGACCAGTTGACTGCCTTTCCAAGCCACTCTAGATTGTCTCGGAAGAACTTGTCATTTGTTGTGCCCTGGTTCATGAAAGCATTGCAGAAAGTGACTGCAGTATGGAAAATCGAGTTGCGGCCTTCCAAGCTGTCTCTGACCTTGTTCAAAATGCTCAGGTCTGTATGGTTGTTTCGGTAGAGGAATTCGAGGTTCAACCTGATGGTTTCGCTGCCATCCAAAATTGCGCGTATTCGTTTGAAAGTTTCGTACTCCTTATCAGAGATATTGACGGAGTCTGGAGCTGGTGCGCCTGCGCGCTCGTTCAACTCACCTAAGAGTTGGTCGGATTCGGTAGCTAACAACAGTCAAATCAAAGTCTAAATATTCTCAAAACTGCCCACTTACGATTCTCACTCTCGGGAGCAGGTTGCTCAGGAAGAGACTTGATGACTTTGGCGAGAAATTCCTGTGTCCCATTGTCGTACAAGTCGAAGGCAATTTGGTATGCGACCACGGTCGAGGTTTGGTCCTCGTGTGCCTATTGTAGTCAGCCACTGCTAACCAAATCCGAGTCAAGTCACTCACCACCAGCTTCTTGAGCATTGCTGAAACCTCCTCATCTTGATCCAGATAGACGGCGCACTTGGCAATCGAAAAGTAATCTGGCGTTGGAATATCGCTCAGCAGATCTAAGATCAACTTTAGAATCTTTGTTCGCAGACTTCGCTCTTGCACCACGCCCATGCAGATATCCAAAACATATTCCATCAGCTCCTCCGTTGGCCCTGGAGTTCCTTCGGCCTGCTTCCCCGGCGATTTCTTTTCATCATCGCTGGCGCGCTTGATGACTCTACCTAGAACTTCCAGATTCTGGGCTTCCACTGCAATTCCAACCACCTGTCTATACCTCCCATCCCGCATGCAGCTCTCGAATAATCTTTCGATAACTTTTTGTAGCGCGGCTTGTGTCTGTCGATCGGGGATATAGTCAACTCCGTCCGGTCCCGATGGTTCCAACAGGTTCTCAGTTGGAGCTCGAGAAAGAAGGGATTTCGAGGGTAAGGTAGCCTGTGAGAATGGGGTTGTGGGCGAGGTAAGGCCGGCAGTAGCTGAATCGCTTCCACCAGCCGCGAAAGAGGTTGCCAGAGTTAGGAGGGATCCGGATTTCGCAGAAGCTTGGGGAGCAGAATGCTTTGCGGCGTTTAAGCTGATATAGGTTTCCACACATCTCGAGATGATCTCGTCCTCGAATTCGCCCTCATTGTCGAGCTTGAAAAGATCACCAGCACCGAGAGCAAACGTCATGCTTTCATTGTAGGATTGTAGATGATAGTAGACCTTTGCGAGGACCAAGGACGCCAGCTGTCGTTCGGGGAAGGACTCGTCTTCGTAGAGAGCCTCACTGAAGGGGCGAGTCAGCAAGGCTTCGCATCATAGCTTTTGAAATATCCATTCCAGCAATGTAAACTCACATCTGACCAATCGAACCAGCTACCTCCGTCCACAGAGTATCGATATCGTCATTCAAGGTCTGCAGCGCGAAGACCTTGAGCTCGGGCTCCTCATCGGACAGGAAGCCCAGGACTCCGGACGCTGAGGTCAAGCCTGGCATTGTTGAAGGGGTATTCTAAGAAATAGAATATTGTAAAGGAGAGGAGGCTGTTGATGAGAGATGTGCAGAGGTCGAGGGGTGAGGAGGCTGATGTGTTGTGGATTTGGAGAAGAAGATGGAATTGCTTAGGACTTGGGTTCCGTGTTGATTTCACGACTCAGCAGCTCTTCACAGGCCAGGCACAGCTCGTCACGTAACCACGAAAGGCTTGGCGAGAGTGGATCGCATATAAGAGAGGCTATTCCTACTTTAGTCTAGTGGCTGCCATTAGCCTTCCCTCTCGCCTGAGGCCACCAGTCTCCTCTCAGGCACGCCGTCGTGAATTTGTTTGTTTGGTTGGAAGCACCGAATGAGAAGCCTCTGATGATGTTGATGTTTTCTTTTGCCATATTAAACTCTTTTGAATATCTTCATCTCCTGGCTACTCGACCAGGGTTCATGCTTACCATTTCCCTTACGTGTCTTGGGCACACGGTCTAATCAAGGTATGGCTGGTGCACATTGCTGGGCCTGCCCTATCTTTTAAGGAGGTGCACCGCAGTGCAGTGCAGTGGTCGGCAGCCGCCAAGATAAAATGTATGCTCAGTGGTAGGATATTCTGTTCAACCCAGAACATCTCACCGCATGCCTCGTCCCAGGAATTCCTCTGCCAACGCCATCACTGCCGCCTCCATGTATCTGTAGTTCTTGTCAATTGTTCCAGCGATTCCTCTCGATATCTGCGAAGCCCCTGACGCACGCCCCTCATAATCGCTATTCAGTCGTGTGTCCTGAATCCTTTGTCTCGAACCCCCCGTTTGCGCTTTGCGCCAGCATTAGATTCCCATCACTCGAGGACTGCCGCGCAGAGAGGACTGGATCGCGATTAGACACAAATGCACGCCTCGTCAACGAGTTTTTCGAGTCTCCAATAGCCTGGACAACAAAGGGCAGGGCGCGCTTGGTTGGGGCAGGTCAGGTCTGGTCATTTCACGGAATACAAAGTCGCAATCATGGACCTCCGTTCAATCATCAACACAGATGGCGGCGACAGCTCGAAGCAAGCTGCTCCTACACCTGTGACGCCAGTTCAAGCGCATCCTCAGCAAAGCTTCCGAGATTATAGTCACCCTCCACAAGCCTCGCCGGGCAAACATCCCTCACAGGACTACGGCGCACACCCCAGTGGATCAGTATCGTATGCTTCACCGACTCAGTATCAACAAAGCTACCAGGGACGACCTCCCCAACCACCGCCTATTCAAGCTCCACCTCACAATGACTTGCGATCTCCTGCCAGGTCCTTCTCTGTACAATCTCCGTATCAACATACGCCATCGTCTTCGAGTAGCCAGTATCCCTTCCCTCAATCTCATCAAACTCCACAAAGCCCTGCCCAGCACCACCCCTATCCACCTCACCTACAACAAAGAGATAGTTACTCTCAGCCCAATCAATCTCCGCAGATTCACCACCAGACCTTGTTCACTCAACCTTCGCCTACACCACAGACTCCGCCTGTCGGTCTACCAGGAGCTCCTCATCCATATCTTCAACAACATCACCAGCAACAACAGCAACCTCCTTCGAACCAGCACCAAAGATCTGTCTCGTCTCACTCATCAACGCCCACATCTGCCAATAGTCAGCACCAACAACAATTTGGTCAATATCAGCAAGATAGTCCAGTCTCTGCAAACCAGTACCCGTCTTCACAAATTCCCCAACACCATCGTCAGCCATCCCAGCAGTCTCAGCCTGGAACGCCCCTCGGCCCTCCTTTAATTCAAAGACAATCTTCTGGAGCTTTTGCCCAACCTTCGAGTCCCTATTCACAACGAAGCATACCTCCCAACCCGTTTCCACAATACCCACAAACTTCTCCCAAACCCCCGGCGCCCCCATCGCTACAAAGACAGCCAAGTACCCCTAGTGGCTACGATTCCCAAAGAACTTCCATTAGTGAACAACAACAACAACAAAGAGGATCACAAAGTGAAAGGGAAAGGAGTGTTAGCGTGAGTCCAAAGACTCGCCTGCCGAGCCAACCAAGGGGGGAAACTACAACTCCAAAATCGGAGATGGACTACAACCAGGGAAAGAGAAAGATGGATGATCGTGAGGTATCTGTCGAGGAACCTCGCCGTATCAACTCTACGGACAATCGATCTCAGGTCAATGGTAATCATCATGTCTCCGCTGCATCACCACAACAACCAGCGAAAAAAAGAATTCGGTATACCGAACCTCCAATTTGGGCGCAAAGTATCCGGAACAAGGCCATTGTAAACCGTGGACCAGCCAAAGTGAATGGAAAGCAACCACTAGCTGTACAACCAGTTCACTCGTCACCAGCTCAGCCAGAGACAAATGGAAATCAAGCAGTCACTCGGCCAGTGATGGATGGGAAGGTGCACCCTTCAGTGCTGTTAGGGAAATGGGAGGAGAGCATTACCGGCATCAAACCTGCGCAAGGAATGACAAAAGAAGTTGCGGACTTCCTGTTCTTAAATGTTGTATCTCGGAGTGATTTGGGAGAGCTTGCGAGTAGAGGTGTGGAAATCGAAATTGAAGCCAAATTAGGTCATATCGTCGACAAGGAGACCAATGAGCGGTACCGCATACCTGTAAAGTCCGAGTGTGTTCTTATGGAGAATTCCCGGGTTGGCTTCCAAAGTTCCATGACAGAGGTATGGCTGCAATTCTATTTCTATGTATTTTACTAATGTCCGTTCAGAGTCAACATCGGCATTTGAACGACTTTCTCAATGCTCAAGTTCGACAAGCGCATCCCAATAACCAGGATGCAATAGCCAAGAACCGAGTCGAGATCAAGTATAAGCATTCAAGAGAAGCTGACAGTTTCTACACACTTCCACCATCCATGCATGGCATGATACCACCTGCTCTCCGAGAGAAGATGAATCCCCGACATGGCATCAAAGTCCGAATAACTCATGACCAAAAGACCGGTGAGCCTCTAGCCAAGATCATCAAAGCCCGCATCATCGACCTCGACATCTACAGTCCCATGACACCTCTCGACTGCAGAATTAGTATCAATTTCGAAATGCGCTTCGATGGTGATGTTCAGGATTTGGGAGAGAAGACTTCCTCAGACAGGAACAAGGATCGACTGAGTTATACTCAGTCCATGTACCAAATTGATTTGACGCAAGTTACTCAGCTGAGTGTAGGTAATGTACGTACCACTTAACCCCTAAATGCGTGATGCTTTTGCTAACAGTTCCCAGGGCGTCAATCAAACCAGCAAAGAACACGAGCTTGAGATCGAACTCTTGACAGCAGCAGTCCGAGATCAAGGCCAGAAAGCAGCAGCAGGCGAGCCCAACGAATATATAGCACTTGTTGAAGGTTTCCTAGACAACATGCGCATTCTGTCAAGAGCTACTCCTGCTGTATAATACCTGGCTTTCCTCTTTGATACTCGATTTTCTACGGCGAGCAAAACAGCAAATGGAACTGGAACTGGAATTGGAATAGGTAATGGGAATTTTGAGCGTGCATATGGTCTCAAGGGTACGGGGACACACGGCGTTTTGGGGCATGCCATTGGATTGGTGGGTGGTGAACAACAAACAGGGTTCGGCTGCTTACCAGCCAGGCTGGCAGAGAGAACGTCAGAGAGGCGGATGCACTTTCTGGACAGAGTATCAAGGCGGATATAGTAATATGTATGATTTATGTGGGATGGACTTGAGCTGTCTTGTCTTCACTTGCCCTGATCTCACTTTGACTTTCACTCTCCCCACTCTCAGTCTACGTGTTCTTCGTCGTCTCCCTCGGTTCAGGCCCTTTCAACGCAGTTTCGGAATACTTGGCTATAGGTAGGGCATCCAAACACTCTTTTCGAGATTTCCTCTCATTCCGGTGCTCGGGCTCCACAGCATTCTCACGAGCTTTTCTACATACGAATAATCACTTCTCTCTCAGACCTCGTTGTTGAAAAAAAGCAACATTTCTAACCTGAATCAAACAACCCCTAAGTATTCTGAAACCACGTTAAAAGGAAATATAGTAAAATATAGCATATTCTTAGTGGTACAATAATAACAAAATATTCTCCTCAAGTCAGGATCCTCTTAGACGGGATAAAAGTCAGAAGAAATATCACACGTTTCGTTGGACAAGCGAGATAGCATGAACGCACGGACTTTCTCTCCCCGCAGGTCAAGTTGTTAGACGCGTTTCCAGCGCGTCTCCCCCAGACCCTCTTTAATCCTTTTATGTTCAGGATCGACCCCTCGTCTGCAGCCAGACTCCGTTATATCACATCGCATCACATCGCATCACATCGCATCACATCGCATCACATCACACCGCTCGCCCTGAGCCATCTCAACTTCCCATAGACCTCACTTTATTGTAATGCATTCCGCTGTACCAATGCAGCCTGCACTTTTGATTTGAATTGAGTTGCAGTTTGGCACTTTCATCTTTTTTCCCCCCATTTTACTTTCGGGGAGATTGTGAACGACGTAGCCTTGAATTGAGTCTTTTTGTCATCACTAGTGTTAAGAGCTTATCAACTTGCTTTACGGACTGCATTCTTGCTCATTCTCCCCTTCTTCTTGAATGACGTGCGACTGTCACGGTCATGGCGGATAAACAGGATATGAATCCGGCCATTGGCGTTGACCCAGGCGCGGTTGGTGGGGTTTGTAGGGCTTTGAATATCTCGGATGAGAAGCAGTGTACGGCTGTTGCTACTTCTGTCAATGGATTGTTTTGTGCTTTTCATTCAAGGCAGTGTCAAGGTATGATGGGTCTTTCCTATATTTCCCTCGTCGACATACTCTCCTCCTTCCCAGTATCTGTATGCGGATCCGGGAGCCGAGGACAATTGCACAACAAGTGCAAGTGCCAAATATTACAGGAATAAGAATACTTCAGAATACTAACGCATACCTCAGGACTCTACCGCGGCTACAAAAGCCGTAACGCTCGTCTCGACCGCCTCATAGCATCTCCACCAGCCTGCCTCTCCAATCCCAATAAGCCCCTATCCTCATACACCTTCGAAGATATCACGACGCCGTCTCTCCTCTCTGAGATCCACTCCCACCTCTTCACCAAGCTCCAACTTCTCGATCGTGTAATCCGAGCCCGTAAACTTCACAACTCCCGCTTCTACGCCTGGGACATGGATTACGGCCATGCGAAATACCTCGATCACCTGTAGGGCTTGCGGTCCAGCACCGTGGCGGCGCTAGGCCGTCTAGAGAGAAGAAGTGCGGAGGTGGTGTATAAGGATGAGAAGTGGTGGGGTTGGGTTAAAGGTGTACAGGACGAGGCAGGCGAGAGTAGAAGAGAGGAGAAAGAAACCAAGAGAGTCAAAGCCGAAGCTGCTATGTTTCGGAGGTATTGGAAGGCTGCAGAGTCAAGATTACGTGATCTCAAGAGGAAGGAGGAGGCGAAGCGGCAGGATGCTTATCTTGATCAAATTTATCGAGAGAGAATAGCTGAAAAAGCTCGGAATGGGGAGGCGCACGGTGGTGCTGAAGATGAGAATGAGATGGACTGGGATCCTATTGAGGATGTTCTGGATGATAACAGAGGGAGTTACATTGGTCAGTGTCTACTCTTGAGGATTGGTGATATAGTACTGACCTTGGGCACTAGATCTCATACAGAATTTCCTCTGGATGGCTGTGCTAGATGACAGGGTCGACGATCTAGTTCAACAAGAAAATACTCCCCCTGCCACGCCAGCCGAGGAACCACCAACGCCAGTTGAGACATCCCAAGAGCCAGCAACGCCTCAACCCATTAAACCCTCCCACTCTTCCAAAAAGGCGAAAGCCAAAAAGAAGAAATCCCAAACTCCTTCCAAAAAGCCCTCATCGCCCGAGGCCCAATCACAGAAACCCGACAAAACCCTCATCGAATCTAAATCCGAGATGTACGAACGTCTAACCCAAGGCGTCGACTTCGAAAGCAGCCGAGTAAAAGGCATGCGCATCGCCGGTACTATCGAAAACCCGGTCATAACAACCAAAACCATTACCTTCCCCGAAGATGAAACCGCGCGACTCCTCTCTGAAATCTCTGAAATCAAGAACTTGCTCTTCTGTCGTCTCGTTCTAGGTCACGCGGCGCTTCTACCTGCAGCACTTCGTGCGAATTCCGTCGAGGAATTCCTCGCCGACGAGGAAGTCACTGCTAGTGCGCTGCGAGATCTCTGCTTGAAAATGGAGAATCCCGGGTTACAGGAAACCCGCGATGCGTGCGCTGATCTCTTTCGTGCTGACGAGGAACCCGAAGAGGAAGACGTCGATATCGTGATGGCAGACGAGGGGGTCAAAGAGGCGGATGAATACGACGATATTTTCAAGCCGAAGAAAGGAAAAGGAGCGTTACCAGATAAATGGCTCCCGAAGCGAGATGTGAAGAAAGCTATCCCGGTCATGGGCGCTCCGAATGTCACGTACGACACTATGGTATGTAGCACTGAAGGAGGTGCGGTTTCTTTTGGGAAGGTGGAAGATAATAAGACGCCACGGAAGAAGATCCGGGTTAAGATTTGTGGGAGATCGATCTGGAATTATCCAAGTGATAAGGCGATGAGTAGGGGCGGGTGGTTGCATTTCTGTATCATTGCGAAGGATAGCGACTTGCATGATGCTATTAAGCTCTGTAGGCATTGGGATGAGTTTTTTGAGCTGAACATATTGGCTATCTGGGGATACTTTCCGGGCAAGAAGTGGGCCGAGTGGGTGAGGAATAGAGGTCGTCAGCAGATGTTGCAACTTGTAAGTATGGTCGATGGCCGACGGGGGCTTTATTCATTGCGTATCTGACTGACCAATACAGGGCTTCATCGCCTATTTCGAGACTCAGGATCCAGATGCCAAAGATCTAACCATCCATCGACAACAAGGCGGACGTCGCGGCCCAAATCGTCGTGCTCATATGGTATTCGAAGCCCGGAATTGGATTTGTGCCCACATCAAACGAGACGATCAAGCCAGTCGTCGCTTCGTTCAATACCTTGCCATGCAGCGTCATCGTCTACTCGTCCTAGTACGAGATGCCGAGACAGGCAACCTTGTTCTCAAGCCTCCAGAGGAAGAACGTTGGCTGTGGCGACAGAAGGCAGGGCTTGGGCGAGCTTCAAAGAACGAGTGGGATGTCATCAAGAGCGTTGGACCACAGTTCTTTGAGGATATGGAGAAGTACCGTGGCTGGAACTTCTCGTTCAAAGAGTACTACGATGTGTTTGTCTGGGATTTAGAGCCTGGAGAGTGCTTTCCTGTGCTCTACAACACTGTCCAAGAGGTATGCGATCAGACCGTCTCCGGTGTTGGAACCTTGCTGACGTGATATAGATGATGTTCAAAGCCCTTCGCTGCAGGAAAGGCGCCGATATGTACAACCTCGCAGCACCAATACTCAAGACCCTCTATAGCGACAAAATTACCCATCGAGTCCGAGATATCAAGCCCGGCGAAAATGCCATGAGCATCTACGACGACATCAATCAAGCAGAGACCAAATTCTTCTACAGCAAAATTGAGGACGACGCAGACATGGAAGTGCGTCGTGTGTATGATGAGCCCGACGTCTTCCCTCCCAACCTCCTTTACAACGAAGCAGATGTCCTAGAAGATGCAATTCTTTTCCCTGAAGAGCTTGCAGCCGACAAGTTGAGTCCGAAGGATATTGGAAAGATCTCGCCGCTTAAGGCTTGGGAGGATGAGGGCTTCTCGTTTCGGAAGTTTGTGGAAGGTTGGGAGTCGGAATATAGCGGGGAAGACTCCGAGGATGATGGTATGGAATGGGATACTGAATCTGGACTCCACAGTGAGGATGAGGAGGACGATGATTCCGATGGGGAGGATGAGGACGTGCTCGAACCAGGTGCTATCCTTTCGGACGACCATCATAGCGAAAATGAGGGCTTACCACTTAGTGAAAGCAATGGTAAAGCTTTCTCATTCCCAAAAGCTGACAGAGAGGAGATCATCTCTCGCCTGAAATACTCAGATGGATTGAAAGCAGCCATGCTGAAAAACTTGAAGCGACCAAAAGCTGAAGAGAGGAATCCCACAGATCCGCGGGTCATGCAGGAAGATTTCATGACTTTTCTCGACAAGGAAAAAGCCCAAAGTAACATATCTACTTCATCACTATTCTTCGCTGCCTCTGCTAGCCGATTCTTTTAGTTTTCACGAAAGTGTGGCACCAAGCTGATACCACACCACTTGCTCAGGCCCACTACATCGAAATGCTCGAGATGTGTCGCTCTAGCCGAAAATTCAACCACCGTACCTTCGACTGTCCAGCCACAATCCTCGCAATCAACCTCGTAGCCGACATGAGCGTTGATCATGGCGACTCCAAAGATCTCCATCGAGCAGTCGCCAAAATGACGCCGTTCTTCCACAAGGAATTCTTCGCTGCGGGCGCGATCGGAGAACCCTTCAAGTATTCGCTTATTTTCAATCAAGAAGCAAGAGCGAAAGAGTATCCGGACACAAGGTCCCATCGCTCGAACAAAATGCAGCCGGAGTCGTTTTGGGAGGACTTTGATAGAGAGATTGGGGAGGTTAAGGGGATTTGGGATTTGCCTCCTGAAAGGGATCTTACGATCCGGCCTATCATTGCACATCGTGAGTCCCCATGCACCATTTTCTTTGGGACATCAGTCCTTCACTTCACGAGTCATCGAGAGACATGACTCATCACACGCAGTGTACAAATCCGGCATAATCCGCAGCCGCGACGCCCACTTCGAAGGCCAAGCCATCGCCGCCGTCGAACCCCACCGCCTCAACACCCCAGACTTCTTCATCGACTGGCGTCTAAACATACCCACCGTCACGATGCCCCCTTCAACCAAGAACCCGCACCTCGTCCCTCCCCTCCTCACATTCGCGTCCTCGTTCGCCTCCCAGCACCCCACTGCCCGCTTCGCGGTCCTCACCCTCTGGAGCGCACCCTACTTCTACCCACTCATGCTCGGCCCCGAGAACCGCGACGGCACGTCCTTCCGCGACCTGGTTGGCCGAACGTACAATTTCATGTTCGTGCCGAAATGCATGCCATTTTCAGAATGGAGCATTCATCGCACTGCGACGTTGAGGCTGGAGCCGTGGAGGGAGTTCTTTGGGAGTAGGGTTGTGGTGAGGAGGGATAAGTTTCTGGTCATGGGTGTTGATGAGAGGGAGCTGTTTCGCTTGGCGAGTGCGTTGACTTTTGCGGTGCAGATGAGGCCGTGGAGGTTGGAGGTGGATCTTTGGAGGAGTTGGGTTAATGTTGATGTAGGCTTTTTGAGGGCGTTGGATGGGAAGTGGTTGGAGTAGAGTAGATTAGATTAGAGTAAAGTAGAGTAGGAAGGATTTTGGAATGGAGACCAGTATGTGTCTTCTTTCTACCACCTTACATCACAATGTGAGATCCAAAACTGCCAGTACTGGCCGACGATCAAACTTTATCAGAGTCGGAACCCAGCATAATTCCTCCATTTTGCCGCGCCACAGCCAGTTCGAGCCACACAAAACACCTCTCTATCAACTTCCACTCATCATCGTCACGAACTTAAACCTATATTCACCAACTCTCTGCAACATCCCTCTTCAATACACATATATGCTCCAGCGTGTCGTGTTCTTGTTCTTGTTCTTGTTTTTCTTTTTCTTTTTTTTTTCTTTTTGTTTACTTACTTACCTTACAGCAGCCACTACTCTCGCTAAATTTAGCCGAGAATGGAGATCCATTGATGCAGATGCGGATGCAGTGGTCTCTTGACACAGCTTTGTATTCCATGCAGGGCATTCCTCACCGATTCACCGATTTAAATCCCCTCTTTCTTTCTTGACCTCGCCTCTCTTGTTAGAGAATAGAACAAGTAAGTGTGGTCGATCTGCTACATCGCATCGATGAGACGAACGCGCGTCTAAAATTGCTGATGGATCGTACTGCGCTGATTAGGTAATAGGTATGCGAAAACTGAAAACATGAGGAAGTTGGTTCTTCCTTACTTTCTAGGTAGGTATTGTGACTTTGGGTCTTGCGCTGGTGATTGCAATAGTTCCCTTCTTCCGTTATTTTACAATCAAATCCTCTGTCAACAAGGCTATCCATGCTAACTTGAGTCGATATTTTGGATCACGATTTCACGACCCCTTCACTAACACTCTCCTTCTGCACCTCCGCCTTTCTTGATTGTATACGCTCCTGACCCTCCCCCACCATCTAGAATCGATATGCACAATTTTATCAGCCACATATCTGCCAACGGCCAATCGGGAACAGGAGTGCTATCCAACTGTAACAGTCCCGGCTACGGACACTGAACTCGGAGTCCAAACTGGCGCAGCGGAACTCGTGTACGTGACGTACAAGAAAACAGTTACGGTTTGCTGTACAGAATCAACGGTAAGTACAGAGACTATGACGGGTTGATGGTTGTCGTGAGTATTTATATGATGGAGGTTGAGGAAGTGATGAGTACAAAGTTTGAAGTTGAAGTTTGGTGTGAGTGCGAGTTGTTTTCTATTTCTGATCCCAAAGGTCTTTTTCATGTGACCCCTTTATTGGTGCTGAGAGAAGAGGCTGAGAATCGGTGTTTGAATGTGTTCACTGCCGACTTTTTGTGAACATATCACGCATTCTGCTACTGTTGATGAGACGAAATGTTGTGGGGATTAGCAGGAAAAGGGGCATGATTTTGGTGGTGAGCGTGGAAGGGGTGCATCTGACGATGAGGAGGAAATTTCGAAGTCTTGGGAAAGAGATCAATCTCATGATTGTACCACCAAGCCCCCTTGATTGCGTCTAGCATCTTACATTGGGTAGAAGTCTTTCCCAAGTACGCTGTCACGCGTAAAGCCAGCCATCCGGCGCGACCCTGTGAAATGATCTTCTCCTGCCTCCATACTTACAAAGGCCTGGTTCCTACTCCTTTGGGCTGCTTCCCAGATCTCGTCCATCCCGGTCGATCCATTTCTCACCATTCGTAGCTCGTAGAAATTGTAGACCAATTGATCCAACCTAACCCACGTGAACCCCTCATACCCTTCCACATACTCATGCCCCTTGACCGGGAAATCAGCTTCGATTACAAGAACGCGCAAGTCGTCGTAAAACGGACTTTGTGACAGCACAAGGTCGATACACGGAGGATCGATGACAAGGAAGGTGTTTGTAAGAAGTCCAGAACCAGCAATACCATTCTTCATATTTCCTGTGAATGTCTTCCCACAATATGGAGGATGGACACCATCGGACTCTTGGTACTCATCTGGATCATCCACGATTGACTTGAAAGCTTTTCGAAGGGCAGCGGCCCTTTGGTAGTTGGTTTCATCGTCCGTGGACACATTGTCCTCATTATCTGGGCTACCATTTGTGGAGGGCGCGAAACAGTTAATAGGCGCATTGAACGAAAGCAGTTGCCACTTCTCATCGATGATGCCCTTTGAACCGTTGAACTTTAACGCATCCTGGAAGAAGCCACCTAGAAAACAGCCAAAGTCGTCAAGTTGTGCAGGATCAAGTTGTTGAGCAGCAGAATCGTAGAGACATACATAACCCCTATCGGCTTTCCTTGTTCATACAAGTCTTGGATCCATTTCTTCGCGAAAGGTAAAGCGCCATTCGCAATAATGGCTTTCTTCGCATTATAGGCGGCACGATCTCTTGACCAGAACTCGTGCATGGCGATGGAAAATGCAGCCATCTCAAGCGGGCCAAGGTGCTGACAGAGTACACAATCTTCTTCTATTGCCTCTAAACTGATCCATTTTCTTGCTTTGAGATAAACTTTAGACTCCTCACGTGTCCTCGGAGTCCAGAACTTATTCTTCAGTACTGCAACCTCCTCACTCGTGAGGTCTTCGTGGTGAGAAATGGCTTTCTCAAGAAGCTGGTCACGTGAAAGATTGGTGGCAATAGCGATGTTGGCACTCTCAACGTCCTCGTCAGGCAGATCAAGAAGCATACGACGCTCTGCCTCAGTAACTCCTGGCGGAGAAGACAGAGCTTTGGCTTTCAGCGTGGGCCATGCGGCTATGAGATCTTCTGCCGTGGTAACATTTCGCAATGTCCTCATTGTGACGACGTATGTCGGCATCTCTGCCGTTTCAGAAGATGCCATCGAGGCGCTTTATCTCGCAGAAGAATGCTTAAGACTCAGCGGCTTTTGCTGAGACACTGGGCGGCAATGTTCCAGGGTTCTGGGTTCTGATTTGGGTGATAGAACGTGCAAGGCAAGGTGGAATATGGGTTTTCAAAACCTCGTACTCCGGTTCAAGTTGGTTACCTCGTACGAAAGGGGTGCTGCAGTGGGTCTCGTCTAATCTGGGCGGTAAGCGTCATCGGGCATTCCCGATTAGGGTAGATAAGCTTTATACTCATTTGATGAGCATCCCTCTATGATTTGTCTAGGGATATATAATGGTATAATGCCTTGTGCTCATAAACCCTAAGTCGAGTTCATTTCAAGATCTTGTCTCAGGTTATTCTCATCTCGCGGCGGCATGTAAACTTGGTATCTTAGGTACGCTCTTTAGCTCGATTTCCCTTGATAGGTAGATCTGGAGTCAGCGAGAGATACTTTTTGTGCTTGATACGGATACACCTCTGGCATTTGGATTGAAGTGGAGTATATCTTCGGCAAGGTGTCTTTGAGTAATGTCTGGATGACCTCAACCTGCCGCAAGTGTTGTAGTTATATCAAGGCACGTCATTATGGATCACGGACTTTTTGACAATTATGGAACTACGACATTCTTGCTCTAAATATGATAGTCTTGACATTCCTTGGGCGCTTTCTCTCTCATAGAGGAGCTAGTATCAGGTCCAGCCTTTATTCATAAGCGAGATTTTGATTTGGTGGAAACCACATCTACACTAGGCCTATTGCTTGGACCTTCAATTTCAGGATCACTGGTAGCAGTCGTTGTTTATTTCTATATGAATGTGGCTCTTGGTAGGAAAACATCAGGATCCCAATGGCTGGCAGGGTTAGATCGACCAGTGCTGACATTCTGAATACAGGGATTTTGTACGTCGGAATGTCGGCGGCTTCCTTTTCTTTCCTCGAAAGCTGGTGAGGATTGACATGAATGTAGAATACCTTGTTCTTACGTTTAAGATATCTGGCTGTAACTGCCTCTCATGTAATGTGCTCGCTTCGTTTGTTGATATTGCTGATTGCGCAGGAAAACAACGATGAAAAGGGTTGCTCTTCTCGGAGCTGAGTGGATTTTGCAACACTCAGTTCTCGAGCACACTGAAAATAAGTGGTCGCAGAATTGGAGGATCTCGAGTTTCAACATATCACAATTGCAAAGCCTGTACCAATTTTGTGTTCAGAGGGCAGCGCCACAATGAATTCAGGACCATATCCATACAAGGCGACAACAATGCAGTGCACTGCTTGACATTATATTTAGCTTGATTTCCTTGGGCTTTACACCCACCCATATCGGCAATGCCGTGATCAAAATTGGCTCTGAACTTGTTACTTTAAGCTCCCGAACTCAAAGTATAATTTCATCTTGGCGAAAGTATGATGTTAAACGGGGAGGCCAAGATCCAATCCCACTCACCATCGCACATATATCGCTGTAAATACTGACAGTACAGACCTTTGTCACGTCAACATAAATAGATACACATTTGTTATTCTACATATCCGAAACCTGAATATCACCCGCTTTGCACTTTCAGATTAAAATTGCGAATCGGAATCATAATCATGCCCGTTCCCAGTTGAGCAGCTGGATGTCGCTTGAATACCGGATCTAGCCTTGGCAGACAACAACACAGCCAATCCCTGCAGAACCTTATTCTGATCATCGCCGGAGCTCGAGTTCATTCAGAAGGTGCTTACGGTAGATCTAAGATAAAGAATTATGCGACAACACCTCGATTTAGACAGGTCTTTGCGTCAATCATGGAGATCTAGTCTTGGCTGCTCGGGCAGCTCCGATGCGAAGTCTTCGACGGAGTACCGCGAGGAAAGAAATCCTTCACCGATAAGTACAAATTACAGGACTCATGGAAATACAGTAACGAATAAGTCGCCAACGAAGCAGAGATGACCTAGGGTCTAGTGTCTCCAGAAAATAAATTGTATGACAACGATTGGGGCCCTCTCCTTTGATTTCCTATCTAAACCTCGGCTCGGCAAATGTCCCAAACCGAAGTCTGGGGAAACAACATGTCGATAGCAAGACCGATCGGAGGGACGGAGGTAGATATTCGAGATATTCCAAGATACGGCATTGTTTTGTTTAGTATTGCAGTCTGGTGGTCCTTTTTAGAGTCAGGGCCAAGAGCCGAGTTGGGCCAAATCCCGCGAAGTGTGGAGAGAATATACGGGTCGCAGACGGCACCCTGCTTCTGAACGTCCGATCTCTCTCCGTAGATCTAAGCATTTGTATTGCAGGCAAGCTCGCCTAATTGGAAATACCGAAAGGCTTGTATCCAGAATTGTCAACTGTTTTGCAACCAAACCCGAAGGACAGAAGCAACATTGAACTGTTTGTAATGGGCAACGAACATTTTTTTCTGGGATGTTTTAGGATCATTCATCTCACTCATCCAAAACGTAGACTGAAGATGCTCATCAAGAGCATACCGGACTTGTACTTCTCAATCGCGACCCGGGGCATTTCCAGTTAACACCCGGTTTCTCTACTTGGCACGGCTGTAGATCTACCAGATTTGCATGACCTTCTATTCGGGGTCTCTTGGCCCTTGATTGCATGTCTTGGAATTCTGCTGTGGAGATTTCTAAACTAACCGTCGAGATAACGACATCGACGGACTTGACACATGTAATCGAAACATCCCAACCCCAGAAGCCAGACAGCAAAGTACAAATATCTCTCCCATCGCCATAATGTGAAAGAAGCCACCCCTCTCAACTTCAGCCCCACGCTCTCTCCTCCTTACAAGGTCTTCTTCATCATGGTCCGCTTCACTCTTCTCGCGTCCCTGCTCGCGGGTGCCATCACCACCGTCTCGGCCCATCCCCAGCAACGCGATCCATCTCGACAAATTGGTTGCGGTACCGAACCACCTGCGGAGTTCCTAGAGGCAGCATCCCAGATCAGCGAATGGGAGAAGGAGCACTTCACCAACGCCACCAGAACTGAGAGTGCTCGTGCGGCCACCGTTACCATCGACACCTACATCCATGTCGTGGCTAGAAGCACTGCCTTGTCAGGAGGATATGTGCCTCAATCTCAGTTGACGAACCAGATTAGTGTTCTAAACGAACATTATGGTGTGTTAATTCCTTTCTGTTGTGATGTTGCAGGGAAAAGTTAACACTATGAATAGCTCCTACTGGTTTCCAATTCAAGCTCATCTCAACTGATTACACTGTCAACACTGCCTGGGCTGCTGATGTCAATGGAAACGACGTAGCCATGAAGAGGGCTCTCCGCAAGGGAACTTACAGCTCCTTAAACATCTACTTCCAATACACCGTTTCTGGATTTCTTGGATACGCTCAATTCCCTCAAGTCGCTGCTGTTGGATCAACTGCTTACATGTAAGTCATTCTGTCTCTGAGATACAGAGACTCTTGTGCTGACTATTCTACTCTAGCACTGATGGTCTTAACATCCTCTATACCACCACCCCAGGCGGCTCTCTCAGAAACTACAACCTCGGTGGAACAGTTACCCACGAGGTCGGTCACTGGCTTGGACTTTTCCACGTCTTCCAAGGAGGCTGCTCTGGCAGTGGAGACATGATTGCCGACACCCCACCTCAGCTCACCTTGACCGATGGATGCCCTGTCGGACAAGATTCTTGCTCTGGTGGCGGAGTTGACTCAATACACAACTACATGGATTATTCTTATGAGTACGTATATCCTGTTTCCAACCGCTCACTTACTCGTGATTTTTTGATGTTTTTTTCTTTGGGCGATAGCTAATGTTTTCGTAGTACTTGCTACGAGTCTTTCACTCCAAACCAGATCACCAGAATGACCAACATGTGGTCTACTTACCGTGATGGTTTGTAAGCTCTTTTGAATTGTGGAAACTGAAGGACTGGGCTTGTGTTGTTGGACTGAAGTTGTCAGCGGGGCATGCTAAACCGGTTTGAGTAACAGAAAGTGGCTTTTGTTGCTTCATAAGCTCCGTCTTGAACTTAGACATTGTAAATCAACTCTTGTAACTCCCAATTTTACGTTCAATACACTTTTTGAGACCTGCGTTATGGAAGGGCATTGTTGCCTGTTCAACCAGATCACAACTATTATCGCCAACCCTTGGTGGCAAAAGCCCATTCCTCGTGAAGCTGGGCAATAATCCCCCAAGAGAATTGGCTTTCTTCCCAAGTCATATACCTGGACGTCATGACTCTTCAGCAAAGTTTGCCTCGTAAGACACCAAGCGCTTCCAAGCTACATGCCAAAAAAGTATTGTCACCAGGTCTACATTTCATGCTTCTCGGAAAGTTCGGGGATGGACATCTGGAGTGTGGATATCTTGGAAAAGAGAGCCCGAACACTCTACCTGTGATTGCAAGTGGCAAGTGCATGATGCACACTTGACCATTCGGGTCTCCTCGCAGTGTTTCCATGTATGTGGAAGTCTCAAAATCCCTTTTCTTCTGCGAAGGCTTCCAACCTCATAGCATAACAATCTCCGTTGTTTAATGCTTAGCATCATCGAACTTGCTATTCCTGACTTTCCAAAATCAATGTTTCCCTCACTTGTGATATGGCAGTACATGGCGAAGTGTATAGTACACCTGTGCGACCTGCAAAACCATCTTGATTCAAGTTGTCAGTACATGCAAACCAGATGTCGGAACGGGCGAAGCTTACCTGGAAGATTCCTAGTAACATAGTTGCTCCTCCCATCATCATCACTGCCTAAAGTACATGTTCAGCTCATGAATGCCATGCTCGAAGTTACGATTTTCTTACCCAGAAAGTCCACCACCGCGAAATATCACGTTTATCGGACCACAACTGCCACATGTCTTCCGGCTTGTCTCGCTGTACGCAGTCTTGAAGCTTCAATAAGCGAGTGCCTAGAAATGCGAAGCTGTCCGAGTTATATTGCGAGACTGGATCTTCGATATCACATTGATCGAAAATGCGCGACACCTCTGTGCTATCCCATCTCTGCCCGCATAGTATGCGCAGCAAAGGGTCGAGTGGACCATTCTGACCTGGTAACCGCACACCTTCGAGTTGATTAAATGCGGTATATGAGCCTCTGTCCATGCCAAATATCAGACGATACGAGGCGAGGACTTCTCTCAGATACTCATCTGCGTAATCGGTCTCTGGTTGGCACCACTCATCTAGAGCGTCACTAAATAGCCTTTGATTATCAGTCCAGATTGCAAAGTAAGCAGTGATGGAATGCTTACTGATTCAATGGCCCACTCTCCTTGCTTGGGGTCATGACGATGCAAATTGAGGGGAATTGGAAGAGCTTGAGAGTTTTTGTATGCAGGTCGAATTCCAAATGTAGACTCATGCAATCAACCCACTCGATTTGTACTTTGCTCATTTTGGAGAGAGCAGAAAAGCTAATGTTCGTCACATCGATCCACCGATCATGAGCATGGGTGCGTGCCACCTCAAACGTTTTGTTGCTCCCTCCCTTCCGCTCAGGAATTATTGCTCCGAAGTTTCGCAGCAAATCAACCAATGATCGGTCTCGATATTCTGTGCTTTGTTGATAAGTTTTGATCGTATGGCTTCTCTTTCCAAGTGATTGAAGTGGGATCCGCGTACCCTCGTATGCATGGATGATTGGAGCTCCGTCGGCGGGAAGAAAACTATCGTGTTTGAACAGCTCCAGCAGCATGTTGCTTCCATTAATGCTCGGCGTGTAGAGGAGAGCTGGAATATTTTAGCGATCAGAATTGTTTATGCTCGATTCTACATACTTATCCAACCAATGGCTGCAAACACTAGACGAGTTACGACGACGCGGTCATCATAGACTTCTTTCACCACTCTCAAGTTATACAAATCGTCCACGATGTCAGTCAAAGCGATTTCCCTTCTTTGAAGAGCACCGACGACTATTGTTAGTAAGCGCATCGCTGCTTCAAAGTCAGATTCTACTGGGAAGTACGAAGGTAGCTTAACGTTGTTCAACACTTGACGAAAGAGCGGAATCCAAGCTTCACGGATGCGGGATTCCAGAAAGCTGAGATACCAAGTCCAAGCTGCTTCAGCAACAGTAGACCGAACGCTTCCACCGGTCACCGCGAATATAAAAGCCCCCTGCGCAGCCGAGATTGGTCCTTTCATGTCTGGGGAAGCAGATTGGGAAGCGAGTCTTGGCCATGTTGACGACGGGAGACATAAGATTTGCCCTAGTTTGCTGTTTATTGAGCCCGAGGATCTCGTACAGCTGCTCCCAACATCCGAATCCACAATTTTCGTCAATCGGCTCTAGATACCGTCAATATGCAGTACATCAATTCAAGTGTGGACTTACAGAATTACTCCATTTCGAACTGCCAAACCCAAGCATTGCCCTTTTCGGAGGGTCGCTTTGAGCTTCGATGTCTTGAATATCAAGGAGGCCTGTCGTATGGGTGGATTGATTGTTGGATTCTAGGTGTACTCTCAATTGTTCCAATCTTGTGTCGCGCCCGGCTTGGTTCTGTGCAAGTCTTCTTAAGGAATCCGAAGTGAGCAAGCCAAGGTCAATTCCTCCATTTGAGGGATCAGGAGAGACGCTCGTCATAGCCCTGTCCGCAGACAAAATAGCACTTCTATGGGAAGCCGCTGCTGGGGCCATTCCCTCGGCGTTGTGCACTGAGCCGATGCCATCATACTCGAGTGAAGAATTTCTGATACGGGGTACAGTCGGAGAAGAGTGGTTCCTTCCACCATCCATCACCCTTTTCAACTTGGGTCCCATCACTTCGTGTCGTGATCCAGCTTGTGGTGCTGCCAGAGACACCGTTCTAGCACCTCTCGAAGGTAATCGACCCAGCCGCAGTTTCGCCCATGACGATGTCAACACCCGTGTTCTTTTCTTCCTAATATTCGCGAGGGTCGAATTCAGGCTATCTCTTCGGTGTATTGCAAGAGCATTGCTAGGTATCGTTCCTTTCGTCAAAGTTTTGGCAGAGACTGGTGTCTGTTGTTTCAACTCAGCAAACTTGTTTCTCGACGTGATTGGTCCCAAGCAGAAAACGGCCGGATTCGTTGGAATATATGCGTTCATTGCAATTGGAACCGAGATTATCACGACCGAGGAGAAACTGTTGAATCCAGCCTCGATTTTTACCTCCTGTATGCCTATTAAAGGGATCATTCGCAACCATTCCGTCATCATTTCCGTCGACAACTCGTTTGGCTGAAAGCTTTCCTCAAGCCGAACCGCAAACAAAAGCCTGGGCACGAAACTCTCCATCACTGGTTTTGGTACCAGGGTGGGTAGTAACGCGCTCGACTTCACAATTGTGTCTGGTTCGTTTCGTGAAGAATCTGCTGATGACTCGTTTAAATCGGACTCAGGTGCACCCAATTGCTGCTCTGGTAACGCCAAATTATTTTCTGTCTCCATTCTACTTCGTACGGACACTTGAATACTCCGCGGGAAATGCGACTGCTGGGTGAGCTGTATGTGCATTGGTGCTGGTCGGTCTCTTCCAAGATCAGGTATATGACATTGCGCACGAATTAAGATGTTGCTGTAGAGTTCGCCGACTGAAAATGAAGGCTTCCGACTGAGCTCTAGGAGCTCGGTCACAAGGGCATTTGTGAATGAATATGGCCCGACTCCATTTGCTATCCCGTTATATGGACAGGCTGCTATAAGTTCTGTCACACCACTGCCTCCACCAGCGTTTGCAGTCCCAGCAGCGCAGCAGTCCAGGAGAATAAGGACATCACTTTCCGCTTGCTCGAGGAGTACTTGAATGCCGCTCCATTGGACCGGTTTATTACGAGACTGGGCATGAGATCTAGATCTGTCCTGCAGACTGAGTGAGAATGTGTCAGCGAAGCGTTCAGAGTACCGAGATAACATTCTCCGTCTGATTTGGGATTGAGAGGTACCCTCTGGAAGTGGGCATCGAGACGGGGAGATAGTACCTCGTCCACTCAAGCAGTCGAGTTTTCGTCAACCTTCCATGCCCAGCATAGTACACGATTTTTAGATGCTCTCTATCATTAGGAGCCGGGTCCACAAAGGCCATGATCCTCCGGTTCAGCGCTAGATGCGAGCCCAGTGAAGGAATTTTCCATTCTTCGACATTATAATTGTAGACGTCCCGAAATACTCGAACTACTTCGGCGATCTCTAATGAGACTGGAAGTCTCGGGTCTTCATCCTGCCAACTGAGCACTAAGACAGAGACGCAAGAATATCTCGACGTCTTCTCGTTCGGGAATAATGCTTTTGCTGCATCCCGAAGGCCGGCTGTAAAATCTTGAAACTTGATATGGCGATTCCAGGAATCGATTTGGTGAGGGGCCGGAGGCGGACAAGTGCTCGTGCTACTTACGCTGGGTTGGTCGCTGGATGCATCACTTGTACTTTCCGACAGGCTCGAAGGCCTGCTATTCGGCTGGTCTGATAGTGATTGAGCATCCGTCATTTCTGTTAGGTTGACATCGAGCCTCTTATTTCTCGAAGGGAGTCCTTGATTGCGACTCTGGGCCGGTAGCCTTGTCGCTGTTTGCCAGACACCACTGCACCAAGGATGTTGTTAGGGAAGCGAGTGTCATTCCAAAGTACACCAGGGACTCCAGTAGAGGCTTTTACCTACTAGCTAGACGATGCGTACAGTTTCAAGAAGAAAATCTGGCAAAAGCTACGTTCATGAGGAGTTTGAGGTGGAGAGAAGCACGCGAGACTTTTGAAAGACATCCACCAATTTTCAAAAGAGACTGTACGTAATTTTCCATCGGCCATAAGATAAGAGGCAAACAAAAGAAATTTCAGTCCTCGTTGTAAAACCGGAAGTGAGCCTGATCGGTGAACCAAAGAAGACTAAGGCGAATCTTTGTGCCCGAGAAGGCTGAAGGCTTTTCATGTTACTGGCTCGACCGTCAATGTTGCGCATATGCATACACGCCTGATCCAATCAAGCGGCCCATCACAACTCGTGAGAATTCCTCAGCTGCTCTGCCTCACTATTCTCCCAATTGAAGCCGGGATGATCAAGGAGAAACCGGTGAGTGCTGCTGCATGGCTGGGTCTCGAAGCTCAACTACAATCTGACACACACAGATCTGCCACCCTCAAATCGTACCACTCAACGCCTTATTATTGCCGTGTTTTAATCCAACCTCCACAGGATTGGCATGTGTGAATAGCCCAAATAATGGTGGCCACAGTCTCATGATAATGCAGCCCTTGTAACGTTTTCTTGAGTCGTCCTCGCTTCGGACTTCGCCTCCAGTGCACTGGATCTCAGTTTACCTCCGCCTCATCAACAACTTGTCTAGCGAATGTATACTTCAAGACCGGGATAATTCCCCGATGAGTTTACCTCTTTTATCTCTCAGAATAATATCGAGATGAGCTACACAATGAGGAGCTTTTGCACCTCAGTCTCCTCGTTCATGACCTCCCCATCCATAATCCCATGCACATAACACTCGCCCACCAACTCATAAAAGGTCTCCCCCGTCCCTTCATGACCCTTCCATGCTTTCTGTCTCAGCAACAAAGGATATCTACACCCGCAAACGACCGATATCACATCATCCACCTCTGCCAACGTCGGCAACATTGCCATATGCCCCTCTTTCGTAACCGCAAACTTCCTCATCGAAGCGCACGTCCCCAGCGCCGTCCCCCATGTAGCAGTATCCTGTACAGTCTGCCAATAACGCTCATCAGTGGGAAGACTATTCCTCTCCTTCGCTAAAATCTCTCTTGCGATCTGATCATTATACTTCGACAATTCAACCCATTGTTTGTAATCCCGGTACAAGATATCTGGCGCAGGTCTCTTGAATGGCGTTTGATCACCGACAAGAGTTCGCCAGAACGCGTTCTCGATAGCATCGTAGTCGGTTCCGTACTTTGTCCCGTGTTTCTGAGCGAGGTTATGAGCTTCCTCATACCAGAGATAATTACCAATGAACTCCTGTGGCCAGAACCTATTTCCCACTTCATCCACTACACACCCCTCGTCGTCTTCTGCACTGTAATCAAATGGCTTCCCAGCGAAAGTAACCTCATCAAAAATGATGCCATCAAGGCCTAGAACATCAGGGCTTCCAGCATCGAAATGAATTTTCGCTTGTGTATTTCCGCATGCCGAAGCCCTTAAATCAGGCGAGAAATCGTCGAAGTAGCTGGGATGCGTGAATGGTGCGCCTGTTGGCGGACTCGTCCAATCCGGCACCCATGATGGTAACTCCAACTTTCTTTTACTACCGATTCCTGCGCTCGATATCACGGAGAATGGCTCTTTACTTTGGAGAAGGTATACCGCTGTATCTCTGTAGACCTTTTCGACCGACTTCGAATAATCTGGAGCGAATGCTTGATTCGGCTCGTCTGTCACCAGACCAGTAAAAGCGAATATTTTATCCCGAGGATCCGTGGATTCGAAATCGCCAAAGTCGGTGAGTAGAAATGGCAGTGTAAGCGGCATGAGCATAGCATTGATATTATCCATCATACTCGGCTCCCCAGCTTTACTTTCAAGATCAGGATTTCTCTTACTCAAAGCCTTCATAATCGCGTCCGCTCTCTTTAAAGTCTCAAGATTCTTCCGCCACGAAGCAGTTATCTGCAGCCTTCGCTGTACGGTAACGATAGAATTGAAGTTACTGATATTCCTCTTGGCTTTCTGGCTGGACTTAGTGAGACCCATCAAACCACTCATCTGTGGATCCCTGAATATCTCGACCCAGCCTTGCAACATAGCCCACGAAAATGTCATGCCGCCGCATATGAAGAGGACTTCTTTTGCGACGGCGACTTCTTGCACGATCCACACGCGAGTGAACCAGAGGAGGGTGAAGAAATCTACCATGGCTAGCCATTGCACGGAGCTGGTCAAGTGTTCGTAGCGACGGTAACTGTCGATGCTGGATGGTAGCGTAGCCATCTCATTTAGGAGAGTGATAGCTAGACGAGGACTGAGGGGTTTTCCTAGCCAGACAACAACTCTAGTTGCGCTTTCGTATATCTCTGTCATCATCTTCACTTGGCTTCCTTTCTCGACATCATTTGATTGGTCAATACAGATATAATCAATCCAGACAACTCGTGAGCGGAACATCGAGCTGCGTCCGTGCAAAGCATTGTATGTTGATGTGGATGTAGCAAACGGCTTGCCATTGATCATGAGCTCGCGCTGCTCCTTGGACGTACCCCAAGTATATGATATGGCTTCGTAAACAGGTTTGTCGCCGACCTTGACGGGATAGAGAACGGCCCTGACTCCAAAGAAGGGGATCCACCGCTCCAACCTCAATAGTCGGATCTCGCCAGGCTGGAGAGTACGGTCATCCTTGTGCTTGTACTGCTCATTTGGACTCTTGACCAACATATGCAGTTGGTTGAGTAGTTCCCAAAAGTGATGTAGCACTCCTCGAGACACAACTTTGGTCAAATCTAAAGTCGTCAAGCAAGTGTTCCGCAAGAACCTCCAACATCGAAACCCCATCTTCCAATCCACCCATACAACCCCAATCACAACAACCAAAACAGTCACCACACCCTTCCCAGGCACCAACTCCTCCGGTCTCACCCTCACCACCCACCCCACACCCCTAACAAACCCCCTCACAACCCACCAAAACCTCAACCCCGCCCCCAACAAAACATAAAGCACCCTAGGCCTCACATCCCTCACAAATGCCCTCTCCCTCTCGGGATCAAAAACCCCATCCCTCCTCACAAACTCATCCCCCGCCTGAACACAAATCGTAAGAATAGCAACTAGAAAGAACGTAATATTCAGATAACCGATAGCATGGTGCAGGATAGCTGCTGAGACGGCGGCGAATTCAGGCGTGGATATGAGAGTGCGGAGGCGTGTGGAAAGGTCGGTGGGCTGAATGTCGAACCAGTTGGGTCGGACGAGGCGGTGGGAGAAGCCGCGAGAGTCGACGTCCATGGTTGGGGCTTGAGATGGATATGGACGGGGAGACGAAGTTGAGGAGGAAGGAAAAAGGGTAGAGAGTAGCTGGAATAAAGAAGGGCGCGGCGCCAGATATGTTGCGATCCTGCAAATGAGGCTTTTTCAGCTCTTCAGCCACGTGAAGTTTGTCGATGCTCGCTGTACTAAAAATAGCCACAGCTCGCCTGGCGATGTCAACAAAACCTCTGGCTGTCAGGCTGTTATCACCGTGCCGGAATAGAAAGTCACACCAAGAGGCATTCAAAGTCAATATACTGTATGTAATGCATTCAAGCCAACAACAAGCGCATGCGGTACTTCAACAAAGCAGTTCAACCAAACAATCAGAGCAGTACTCCAACACCACACCCCAACCCAATCCATCAACCAAGCCAGTAAACCAAATCAAATTCATCAAATCGTCTCCCTTAACCTCCCTCAAAGAATGAATAATACTCCTTCCTTCCCATGCACTCCACTCCCCATCTTCACAAATTCCAAAAACAATTTAAAACAACGACCCTCTCGCAAGTGGACTTCCAACCTTAGGAGCAAACTGCATACTCTTCCTCCTCGCAGCCATCAGACGCATCATAACAGTCTCATCCTTCTTCTCGCTCAAGAAACCCGCTCCCATAGAGTTTCTACCCTGGGAATCCGTCTGTTCAGTATCAACGTACCGTCTTCCAGCAGGAGCAGTCTTCTGGACAAGCTGCGCGTTATGAAGGAAGTATGGAGTCTGGCCAGCTGGTGTGTCCTCACCATAGAGACCTTCCTCGCCATACGCGGAGATGGTCTCTGGTGCTGGAGTAGCCGGGACGGGAGAGAGGATCAGAGTCTGGTCGTCAACATCACCTGACGAGGATGAAGCTGGGGAGCGAATCCATTGAACGGACTCGCGTCTGCGGCTCTTGCTGGTTCCTGGAGTGTCTGGGAAGTGAAGAAACTCCTTGGTGGGCGACACGTTGCGATTTGGAGTCATCGACGAGACGAGCTCGCCGTTCATCTTGGCCAGAGCACGTGGCTCCATGCTCTTGCGGCGACGATGGCCACCTCTTGGGACCATTCCGGTGTCGACAGAGTACAGAGACTCATCAAGCCATTTATTCTCACGTTCACAGCTGTAGAGACATTAGTAAGGTCGGTAACTCAATCGATAGTGTAGCTTACTCTAACACCCATCCAACACCGACACAAGAGACAACTCCGTTAGTCTCCTTGGCTCGCTCGAGAGTTCTCTTTCCGCCATCCTTGAAAACAACATGTGTGATTCCAATCTTGCTGGTGTCCTCAGAATTGCCATTCCAGTTCCAGGTCTTGACACATCGAGCACCCATTTGAGTGAGAAGCTCAGTGAAAAGAGCGCTAGCATCTGATCCTTCGCTCGTGTGGACATCGACGAAGACCACGGCACCTTTCAAAAGAGAAGTATTGATGTCACGACGTGGCGTGCGAGCTGGAGTCCCCATCGTGGACCAGCCCTCTGCTTTCGAAGGTGTCGTAAGTGCCCCTTGCATGTCAACTTCTTGGCTTTGCTTCTTGGGTTGAGTTCTGGGTGTGTTCTTGGTTGGCGAGTATGAGATCACTGTGTTGTTGCGAGTCAGATTGCTTGAAGGTCTTTGCGATGGCAATCGAGAGATACTGGCACTTCGCTTCTTGGGAGATGGTCTCAATGGGGTGTCCTCAGCAGCAGCTTTGAGAGGAACCTTTGAGACTGTGTGGCATACTCGCTCACCAAGAATGCGCTTTGGTCTTGGTGTCGCATATGAATGTTCTGGAGACTGAGGTACCGGAGCTGCCATCAATTGAGGGTCGATAGGTATGGCATTCTCGTCCCCATATTCTTGGCTGGCCTCTGAAGGTGCAGGTTCAGGGGCTGATGGCATGTCGGCCTCGTCAGCCAACTCATCAATGTCGGATTCTTGCATGGCTTGAGGCTCCGAGATCTCCGCATGAATGACTTCCAGAATGTTCTCCTGCTCTTGCACAGTCTGAGGCTCGGCGTCCACAATTTGTGCTTCCGTAGTTGGCTCACATTCCAAGAGCGTTTCGACTGTGGCTTCCAAGAGAACATGCTCGTCAGCAGAGGTTGGCTGGACAGTTTCAAGTTCCTCCTGGATCATCTCGACGTTGATGAACTCTGATACAGTTGGCTCGGCGACAAGGAATTCATCTTCCGAGGCTTGTGCCACCCCCTCCTCAGTGACTGGAGCTTCCTCGAATAGTTCTTCATGAACATGAACTTCGACTTCCTCAGGCTCGAGCATGGACATCTCATCAGCCTCCATGGCAAGAGCCATATCCTCCTCATCAAGTTCAACAGGCTCAAAATTGGCATCCAAAATGTCTTCCTCCTGAGCGAGAAGCTCCGGTTCAGCAGCCAGTTCATCACGAATAGACATCTCATCCTCAAAGAATGTGCTCTTGGCAGGAGATGGTCGTGGCGTAGCATCTTTATCTTGTTGTGAGATGAGCTTAATAGGAGAAGTTGCTTCGTCAGAGTTGGTCTCCTCAGATTTTTGTGGGCTTGCGGCCATCCAGTCACTCAATTGTCTGGCAAGAGGAGTAAAGCCAATCTTGCTCTTATGAGCAGATTCAAAACATTTTTGAGTGGATGTTGTCTTGGGTGTCTTGGCAATTGCCTTGAAAGGACTTGGAGTCGCTGGCGACGATGCAAAGTCGTGAGAGATGTTGAAGCCTGACATCGGGACAGGCGAATAACTTGGAGAGCCTGAAGCAAGTTCATCCTCTGACTCCGAGTCGTCGAATGGATTATTGTCAGTTTCGCGAAGAGCAAAAGCCGCCGAGAATCCAGTGCTGTCCCTCGGTGGAGAAGCAGGAGGAGTTGTGTTGTGATCCACGATGTCTTCAACCATAACATCCGGCTCATCAACGGCCATGATATCGCCGTCTTGTCCATTGTCGTCAATGGTCAAAGTGTCAATCTCCTCGGCGATTGGCTCGGACTTTTCGAATGCCATGTCAGCATCTCGAGGCATGATCGACGAAAGACGACCAGAGAATGTCAAACTCGGCTCAGCTACCATCATTGTAGAATCGGAATCGTCCTTGGAAGCCGGGCTACCAGTAGCAGCAGGCATACTTGGAGGACCCATATCTCCAGTCCGCACAGCACTCTTAGTGACCGTTCTTGGAGTAGCAAATCTCGATATCTTGAAAGTGCTGGCTTTTGGCGTTCCAGCGAACAAAGATGCATTGTTTGCGGATCTAGAGGGAGAACCATTTTCGCCGACCTTGGTTGGCGATTGTGGGCGTCTAGCTGGCGATTGAAGCAATGAGGCTTTGAATGGAGAGTTCTCAGTGTTGGACTTTGGAGCTGGCAGAGATGGCTTGAAAGGCGATTGGAACATCGAATTGCCCATTGTCAACTTCTGAGCAGATGCCTTGAAAGTCTCCTTGAATGGGGATTGCGGGGGTCGTCGAGCTGGGCTTGCCATGATTGATCCCTTTAGATCCTGTGTGGCGACCCTGTTGACAGTGATGGAGTTTGAGTTTGAGAAGTCCAGCTTCTTCGCAGTGCCAAAGATACTTCCGGGGGCCTTTATTGGACTCTTCATGAGTGGTCTCATGGGTGTCTTCTCAGATGTAGCCAGCTCATCTTCTGATACAGTCTCTTTCGCCGTAGCCACCTGTGTTGCCTTCTTGGGACTCAATGGTGATGACTTTTCCTTCTCTTCAACAGTGGTCTTTGCACGTCCGCGGGTAGCTCGAGTTGTGGTTGTTGCGGCAGCCTTTCGTACTGGCTTGGCTCGTAGACCAGTCGCAGGCTCAGCAGCTTTCCCTTTGCCCTTGGCATTTACCTCGATGGGGATGATGTTTTCTTTGTCAGGTTCTTCGAACTTGACGGTCTTTTTGGGGGCTGCCACCTTGCTGACTGTAGTCGCTCGTCCTCGAGCAGGTCTCTTCGGTGGATCCTCAACGACGATTGATTCCTCTTGAGGTACTTCAATTTTCTTCGCGCGTCCTCTTGTAGCTCTTGTGGGTTCTGGAGCTGGAGTTTCGACCGGAGCTGCAGCCTTCTTGGGGCGACCTCGAGTCGGTCTAACTGGAGGTTCGTTCATTTCTGGTTCTGGCTCTGGCGCTGGGTCGGGTTGGACGGTCTTCCTTGCACGTCCGCGTGTGGTTTTTGGTTCTGGTTCGATTATGGGTTCTGGGTCTTGCTGTTCTTCGATTTCGACATCGTCGGCTCGGGTCTTGCGTTTTGTCGTCGAGACAGTACGAGTGACTTTCGCTTTTGAAGCGGCAGTCGCGATTTTGGTAGTCTTGATACCCGTGTCTGTTGTTTTCGCTGCCGCTCGGGCACGCGTGACACGTTTTGGTGGTGATTGATCCATGATAGTGTTTGTTGCTGGAGATTAGTATCGAATTGAGGCGATAGTGTTTTCACATTGACGCGATGATGCTGTTGTAGTGAAAGCAGATTTGGAGCTGTTTATCAGAGGTGGAGACTTGTTTGTTGTCATCCCGGCGATTTAGCGTCGTTGTCATGTCAACGCCCACGTGATCGACATCGGAACCTTGGAATCCCCTCATTTGATCGATCGGATCCACTTCTGTCGATTGTTTACGACTAACGACGCAGCCCAAAACTTTGCAGGTGCTGTGATACTGCACTTGCGGTGAGCCGTCTTCGGGAGAATGATGCTCCTACCCTCAAAATACCGATAGCTATCTATCTATCGACTCTTAATGTTCGTGCCTCCTGTCGGGGTCATGGACAATCATCCAGCACTCCATCACAGACCTTTCGCGATCCGAACATCACAGTCGTCGATCGACCAGCCAGTGACGTGACAGCGACGCCTCGCTACACATTATCCACCGCCTACATAGTATCACCATGATGCACGCAACAGATCCCACGCACAACAAGGAACCGACAGTCAATGTTGTGTCACGTGAGTCTATCTCAACTCTGTCTCCAAGGCCGTCCGGCTGCACGTCTTACAGTGATCAGAGTCAGAAGCAAGCGGCCTCTCCGGTAGAGTTGATCGCTTTGGGTTTGCCCGTCCCGTGTATTCAACATCTTGCTTTCCCCTCTCTTTCCTGCACCTGTTGTCCCGAAAACCTGGAAAGCCAAAACTGATCTACCTTTGACTTCATGCAAGGAACATGACAGACATGCATATCGATCAAATCATGCTTATTCTATCTTTCAATATCTCATGTTTTTCTGGTTGTTTCTACCTGGTCATTGTTCTCTACTGCACGTTCAACCTGCGAACAATAGTTACCCCGTTATGCAGAGGTTTTTTGATCTTCCTCAGCTCTCTAGATATCTTCTTCAGTGCCACGTATTGAATTCAACAGGAGCATACATTGTTCTTACTTTGGCCTGAATAAGTTTTGAGTTTCGGTTCTGAGCAACACCAGATCCCTTCATCTCAAGTCTCATCACAACCTAACTTTCATTCAGCGAGTCATGCTTTTCCACCCCCTTCTTCCCCCAGACTTGCACCTTTTGATCAGCCAGCACCTCGAGGGTTGAACTGGACTTTTTTGGATTATCGTCAATTTCACAGACCTCTTTGCTGCCAGTCCGCTCAGGGCACGTTCAAATTCCAGGCCAAAATGGACGACAAACATCTACACCCAAACAACTACCTCCAAGCAAGCCATCTGCACCCTCTTCATCTTGGCTTCAGATCGACTGAGAAACTCGATCTCGAACTTCGTGATCCAAGATTTATCGATTCAGATGGCAAGGAGAAAGATGGCATTATTCTGGATGGGGAACTTGGAGTAGAGAAGCCGGTGACGCCACAGAGGACCATTACTGGATGGCGAGTGCGTGCCTATTCCATACTATATGTGTTTCTTGAAAGATGGTTGACTGATCACATCTCTACAGTGGCCCATTCTTGTTACTTCTGTCATTTCAGCTGTGTTTTTGTATTGTCTCGATACCAATTTGACGAGTATTTTGATTCCTGTAAGTTGTCACGCTTCGGATGTCTCCTTTACAGTCTCTCAAGTCCAAATTGCAAGAGACTATTCAATGCTCAAAACAAAAACAGGTACTCCTCGCCGAATTTGGGGAAGCATCTAAACTTCCATGGATATTTGTCGGGTACCCTACCCCTCCCAATCTTGCCCCTCCCGATCTCCATCAATCCTCGCGTCTCATCCACTAACATCTACCAAGTTTCTCCCTCGGCGCCATAGCGCTCGTCCTGCCGGTCGGAAAAATATACACCATCCTCCCAGCTAAGCACCTTTGCCTGCTCTTTCTCATGCTCTTCGCTCTCGGCTCTGGCCTTTGTGGCGCCGCACAGAGCATGAACATGTTGATCATAGGACGTGTAATTGCTGGTGCGGGTGGTGTTGGGCTTTATACTGGTGTGATTGTTATCTTGTCGAGTGTGACCACGCCGCAGGAAAGGCCGACGTATGTTGGGTTGGTGTAAGTCAAGTTTCTTCTCGACATAAGTCTCCTCTCGTTGTCATTCACTTTCCTCTCCATACATTCTCCTCTTCCACATACAACATCAGCTAATTGGTGTATTATCCAGCGGAATCTGCTGGTCTCTTGGCCGCGTCCTAGGCGCCCTCTTTGGTGGTCTCCTCGGTCCCCGTTCCTGGCGCTGGGGTTTCCTCCTCGACATCATCGTTGCCGGTCTCTTCACACCCGTATACCTAACCATGATACCCACGCTCGATCCTCTCTCGGCCTCCTCCGCTGCTACCAAAACCACACCCCCACCACTGCTTACCCGCCTCCTAACTCTCGACATCCTCGGCACTCTCCTCTCAGTCATCTCCATCACCGGCCTAATAACAGGCATCTCCTTCGGCGGCCTCTCCTACGCATGGGATAGCATCCCAACCATCCTATTTTTCTCCATCGCAGGCACAAGCCTCATTTTCTTCTTCGTGCAACAAAAAACCATCTTCCTAACCACCGCCACCACCCGACTCTTCCCCATCTCTCTGGTCACCATCCCAGAAGTGTGGCTCGTGTTCGCCGTCAGCTCTTGCTGCTCTACAGGCGGCTTTCTAGCCCTCGAGTACATGAGTTTGTATTTCCAGCTTGTGAGAGGGGAGAGTACGCTTGGTGCTGCGATTAGACTGTTACCGATGATTGGATGTATGGCGTTCTTCATGCCGCTTGTGGGGTGGGTTATACCGAGGGTTGGGGGAGGGTTATGGTGGACTGTTGTGGGTGCGATTGTTGGGACAGTGGGAGCTGTGGGGTTAGGTAGGTGTCTTTCTCTTTTCTTTTATTCTACCTTGCCATTTTCGATCCTTGTTGTTTCTGTCCACTCTGGTCTTAATCTGAGCACCTGGTATTTATCGGAAAGGAACGGGAAAATCGAGATTTGAGTATTGATGTTTGGGTCAACTCGAATATTCGCTAACGCGGGCCCTCTCCAACATTAGCTCTCCTCCAACAAAAAACTCCACCCCTCGGGATCTACATCCCCCAAATTCTAGTCGGTACAGGCTTCGCTCTGTATCTCCAAATGGCATATACAGCCATGCCAGCCTGCGTCCCGGCTGATCAAAAAGGAAATGCCATGACAATGGTCATAATATGTACGTCCTCTCTCCCTCCTCTATCTCAATCCTGCCTCTACTCTCACTTCCCCTGAACTCATAACCAACTCCCAAACTACATTTACCTTCCTCAAACTCATTCTCTACCCCTCCCATTCTCCTCCTGCCTATCTCCTTAACAAATATCTAACACCACTCCCCAACTCCAGCACAAATGGGCAGCATCGCCTTCGCCCTCGCCACCGCAGGCAGCATATTCACCAACCTGTCCCTCACCAATCTACAAACCCTGTTCCCGCTAGAACCCCCCTCCGTCCTCCAAGAAGCTATTTCCGGTACCAGTGGGGAGTTTATCAGGGGATTGAGCACCGAAGAGAGAGGGTTGGTGTTGGGGGTTCTGATGAAAGGGTTGGGCATTATGTGAGTCCCCATGCCGTGTGAAGAATGGTTTGCAGTGATAGGGCTGATGAAAATGATAGATTCACGATTGCATATATCGCTTTCGCAGGGAGTTTAGTTGCTGCTATTGCACTTGTGGTAAGCTTCTCTTCTCTTCCCCAATACTTGTCTTTCCTCGTTTTCGCTGCTTTTCTTCGTTGCTCTTCTTCTTGCAGCATCCACAATATGTTCTAATAATGAACGTTTTGACCAGATTCTCACCAAATGGAAAGCACACACCAAGACGAAAGATATGGTTAAGCTTGAGGGGTAGAAAAGAATGGCATATCCTTCGCGGCACAGTGATGCTAGAGTCGGAATAGGAGACAGAGTGTGATTGAGAGTAGACATAGACAAAGAAATAGGAGCGGGAATATACTTGATTGCCTTACAATCCATAAACCCGAAGAATTATCTCACAATTATGGAAAAGGGACACCCTTAAAGGTCTTCAAATAATCGTAACCGGAGTTGTTGCTTATTCTCGGTGCGGTAATACTAGAAAGAAGAATCCATTTGCTTAAAACTCTCTTCACCTCGTCTGGAGACCCGAATCTCGCCTCTCGATGAGTTGAGTTTAAAATATTCAGTTCTCTTCTATAGTCTCACCTCCATAAAAATGTATTGATACAGGGCACATACTTACCTAAGGCATTTTCACCAACTTCCCCTTCCCAAATTCTCACTCATTCATCCCCAAACCAGTCAACAGCCACAGATACACACATAAACACAAGTAAGGAGAAGTGAAAGAAAACCGCAATTCCATATTCACACTCTCGGACTTTCCTTCCGCATACCAGAAATCCCAGCTAAAATCGTGATTCTCCATAAATTTGATACTGAACTTGGAAGTTGAGATGGCCAGCTGCAACTCAACTCAACTCAACTCAACTCATCTCAATTCTCCATTTATCTCCTATCTATCTATCTCTCTATCTATCTATCTATCCACATATCCACCTATCCAACCTCAATACCACCAAATTCCTCCATGAACCGTCCCATACCTCCCTACCTCTCCTCGCCAGCTAGCCAGCCAGCTAGTCAGCCAGCCAGCCTCGCTTACTACCCAGCCCATCTCAGTTCATCTCAGCTCACCTCATCTCATCATCACAAGCTTGCGAACCTGCATACACACCCCTCCGAAATCCATTTCCATCCCATTCGGGGTCGTCGCTGCGCTGCGCTGCGCTATTGTCCATACAGTCATCGTCTATCACATAAGATACCAACCCGTGCTCTTCCCATCAGTCAACCAACCCAACCACGCCACCGCGCGAAGCTAGGTAGAAGGAAGAACTCAGCCACCCAGCAACCTAGCCATCTTAAAGAACGGAATAATGATAGGTAAGATATGCACCTCGCCAAGTAGGCAAACTGAGCAATAATGCCCTGAGCTCACAACAATTAACAATCGTGGAATAATTCTCCGAACAGAGCGGCACAATGGTATCTGCGGGTATGGTATGGAATTTAATAGCATACTCAATATCCTTTTCAGAATCCGTCCGGCGAACGGCCTATCTTTCATCTTCAAAATTGATTACTGTATACGGCGTGTACTGCAGTGCGAGATGGTTTTCTTATTGGGATAGATAGGTAGGTAGGCTGGTTGAGCAGGCGCCCAATCACGTGCCACCCGAGATTTCCGGGCGGGCTTCCAGTTCTGCCGAAGCGAGGTGCATAAAATACTTATGCAGGAACAACTATCCTCATCATTACCCACCCACCCACCAACAGAGAGGGACCTGGCTGGAGGGTTGTGTGTCAGCCAAGAACCCTCCCTATTTTACCTTAACAACAACCATTCCCACCTCCAGTCCAAGAGCAGAGCAGAGCACGACAACGTTTCTTTCTTTCTACAACCATTTATTTGATTTAATTACTTATTTATGATGTACCTGCACAAACAATACTGTACCTACTTATCAGTTTAGAATATTTCACGTAAAAATAAACATGACGTGCCGCAGCCACGCAGCCACGCAGCCACGCATTACGTGCATTAGTCATCCCACCGTCAATCAGCCACAGCCACTGCCGCGTCGATCGATACTCTCTGTTGTGCCCTGTCTGCGTGTGTCAGGCCCTGTCGGCTTGGCCGGAACGAGTAAGGGGTAACGTCGACGGTCGGTGGGAATAGAGTTTGGATCGGATGGTTCAACGTCTCTTGTGCCTTGCTTGTGAAAAAAAAAATTATGAAGTAAATATTAAAGGTGTGAGGTTGGATATACCTTAGAAGGTGAGATGACTGTGATGGAATGGAATGTGGTAAAGCGAGGGTGCTTGGGAGTGTGGGGTTTGTTATATGAAAGGATGTACATTGGATTGCATAATGTCGGGGTGGATACCCCAGGAATGCCCGACCGACCATCGCTGACCCACCTCACTCACTGCCCACCTCAGTGCCCAGCGAGCCCCGGGCAGCGATCCCAGGGCAGAGAGGTGGGTGGGTTCAGGTTGGGTTTAGAGTGCATTTCTCCTGAGGTGCCTTGGAGACTGAGAGGTGAAGATCTGATCAAATCTGGATGTGTTTGTTTGGTGCGCTCGTATATATGTATTTATGTATTTATATTTACATGCAGTCATCCAGCGACGTCGACATCAATGATAAGCCCGGGAAAGATCAACACACCAGCTGGAGCCTCGATGCTGACGAAAATATCTGCCTTGAAAGCTGCACAGGGAGGTCTTGAGTGAGTACGACGCAATTGATTGATTACTGCTGATGAGGAGGCGAAGCTGTTGATTTTCGCCTGTCCTTTTGGAGTAGTACATCAATTGGACTCTTCCGTGTGGTATGATAAACGGAAACAGTGCACACGATAATCGGCTTATATCCAATTGTACCATCTATCTACCTAGGCGCAATTAATAGGTCAATTCCTGTCCCCTTCGACAACCTCGCATTGCCCTCTCACCAACAGCGGCTGGACACTCAAAGTCAATCAACCCTATCATTCTCACGATCACAAGAATAGTGATAATCTCACCTACACATCCCTTACCAAACATAAGATCCTGGACCTCCACCTCAAACAGCGCCTCGGGTCGCAAAAAACCTTCACAACTCATCAACAAGATCTAGACTCTCGAAACTTTTCGTTCGCATCTACACCGAATCAACTTCGCACAGCGTATATCCTCGTACATCTCGCATCATCTTCGTTGTACTCAACATCGGAAAGTAAAGTCCAACGAAACATCACCATATCCCCGTTCAACCACCCACTCGGTGTCCACTGTTCACCCTGACCCTGGAGATCTCCCGCCCAGACTCAGATCCACTCTGTACTGTACTGGAGAGGTGGGTGGATACGCCTTCGCCCCCTAACTCCGCCTAACGCGACACAGAGGTAGCTAAAAGCGGTGCTGCGCGCGTGCGCACCCGTGGCCCTCACCCTCCCTTTCGTCATACCCTGCTAAAGTAAAGTAAAGTAAAGGAGCACTACCGACGACCCCGGCGTCATACAGTAATATTATACTTTCCGGCGCATCCTGCACCTTTACTACTGTAATCTACTTCACGACTTGACTTGACTTGACTTGACTTACTTCACTTCGCTTCGCTTCACTTCACTCACGGTCCTTCGAAACTAATTTCCTTGTTCACGTTCACGTTCACGTTCACTCAGTCACTGGGCTTGGCTTCATTTCACTTCAAATACCCCGCCGTTCTTTGATCGGGGAAATCTTTTGTACATCGATCCACTTCTGGTGCTTGTACTTCATACAAAATGAAGGTCTTCACTTCTCTTCTTACTTCAGTCGCAACATTATGTCTATGTGAAGGTAAGCCCGGGCTTCCGAATACACTTAACCCGCTAACAGTCCAGCGTCACTCATCCTCCCACGAGATGCCTCACCAGAAATCCTCGCTGCAGAAATCCTCCCAATACCAGAAACCGCCCTAAAAAGAGCTCTCCCCAACAGTCCCTCCGGCAATTACGCTCCAGCCGTTGTTGATTGCCCCTCCGAGAGACCCACCATCCGCTCAGCAGCTACCTTGTCACCAAGTGAAGTATCATGGCTGGAACTACGCAGAAACAATACCATCGAGCCTATGATCTCGTGGTTGACTAGGATGAACATCACAGATTTTGATGCTGCGGCTTATATTAATGGCATTCGGAATAATGCCACTGCTTTGCCAAATATTGGTATTGCTGTGTCAGGAGGCGGATATAGAGCTTTGATGAATGGTGCTGGTTTTGTCGCTGCAGCCGACAGTAGGACCAGTAATTCGACGAATACTGGTCAGATTGGTGGGCTGCTTCAAGCTACTACTTACCTTGCTGGTTTGTCTGGAGGTGGTTGGCTCGTTGGATCGATGTATACGAATAATTTCAGCTCAGTCCAAACTCTCAGGGATGGGAGCAAGGATTCCAATGTCTGGAGGTTCGACAATTCCATCTTCGAGGGACCGGATGGTGATGGAATCAAGTTGTTGAGTACAGCCGATTACTACAGCACCATTATCGACGATGTGGAAAAGAAGAGTAAAGCTGGTTACAATACCTCCATTACCGACTACTGGGGACGAGCTCTCTCCAATCAACTCATCAACGCCACAAATGGCGGACCAGCATACACATTCTCCTCCATCGCCTTAACCGACAACTTCCGCTCTGGCTCCATCCCCTTCCCCTTCCTCATCGCCAACGGCCGCGCCCCAGGCACCAAAATCATCTCCCTCAACTCCACCGTCTTCGAATTCAACCCCTTCGAAATGGGTTCCTGGGACCCCGTAATCTACGGCTTCGCCCCCACAGAATACCTCGGCTCCAACTTCTCCGCCGGCGTGGTCCCCAGCAAGGGATCCTGCGTCCGCGGCTTCGACCAATCCGGCTTCGTAATGGGCACCTCCTCCTCCCTCTTCAACCAGCTCATCCTCCAACTAAACAGCACCTCCGTCCCTGATTTCCTCCGCACCATATTCAGCAACATCCTCACCGACCTCGGCGAGGGAAACGACGACATCGCACAGTGGAAACCCAACCCCTTCTTCGCCTACAACAACGCCTCCTCGATCTCCACCTCCCCGGAACTCTCCCTCGTCGACGGCGGCGAGGACTTACAAAACATCCCCCTCTACCCACTGATCCAGCCGCAACGAGCAGTAGACGTCATCTTCGCAGTCGACTCCTCAGCCGACACAGCCCACAACTGGCCCAACGGCACCGCCCTCGTAGCAACGTACCAGCGGTCCCTGAACGCCACAATCGAAAACGGCACCGCCTTCCCATCTATCCCTTCCGTCAACACATTCGTCAATCTAGGCCTCAACAACCGCCCTACTTTCTTCGGATGCAACTCTTCAAACATCACCAGCACTGGTGCCAATTCCAATTCCAATTCCGGCTCCAACACAGCACCCCTCATAGTCTACATCCCCAACTCCCCCTACATAACCCACTCCAACGTCAGCACCTTCGACCCGGACTACAACAACACGCAGCGCAACCTCATCATCCGCAACGGCTACGAGGTCGCCACGCAGGCGAACGGGACGCTGGATAAGGAGTGGCCTGCTTGTGTCGCGTGCGCGGTGTTGAGTCGGAGCTTGGAGAGGACGGGGACGGGTGTACCGGAGATCTGTAGGGGCTGCTTTGAGAGGTATTGTTGGGATGGGAGGGTGGATGATAGTGTTCCCGCGGGGGGGTTGAGCTATGAGCCTGGGTTTAAGAGTGCGGAGGTTCCGTTTTCGGGGGTGGGGGGGAGGTTGGGCAGTTCTGGAATAGGGATTGTTGTTGCGGCGGTTTTGGCGATGTTTTTGTTGATTTAGGATGGGATTTTGGGTAGTTGGGTTGCCTTTGTTCTTTGGGTTGTATGTATGGCCGTAGAGGAAGTCAAGGTTGTACAGTACTTGCGTATTTTCTACGGACAGAAGTAGCTAGCCACAGGATTGATTCCATCTATCTCTGGGAAGTGCAGGCACTAGGTTTCTAATTCCCATTCAGTTTTCCATTTCAGTATTTTCCACATTTTTTTGGAGTATCATTCATGGACAACGAGAGAGAGCATGGAAACAAAATAGCATAAACACTAGAGAGAAAAAAAAGAAGAAAAAAAAAAGAAAGGAAATACTTTTAAAGCTCGCAGATCTATACAAAAGTACCTACAAAGGTAAGCCTAAGCTAAGCTAAACTATAATATAATATAAAGGCAGGCAGGCAGGCAGGCAGGCAGGCTACAGATCTTATCACATCACATTGCATTGCACTGTATTGCATTGCATTGCATTGCATACTACTTACTATCTTGAAGTTCTGGAAGAGAAAGAAAGAAAAGAAGGAAAAGAAGGAAAGAAACCGAAAGAAATAGGGTTTTGTGTAAGTGATACTGCTAGTGATACTGCTTGCTGATAGTATTAGTATTATTTTTATTATTATTAGTGAGTGTAGGTGGTGGGCAAGGTAGGTGATTGATTGATCGATCGATCGAATGACTGATTGATTGATTGATTGGAAGGTATATTTTCGTATGCCTGGATAGATAGATAGGTAGGTAGGTAGGTAGGTAGGTTTCATGTTGGATGTTGCTTTACCTGTAGGTACATAGGTAGGTAGGTATGTACATTCAGGGCGGTCACATCATGTGGAGTCCACATTATTAGGTTCTTTAAGGTACCTTACCTTACCTTACCTTACCTTACCTACCTATTTACCTTTCTCTCTCCCTCTCTCTCTCTCTCTCTCTCTCTACCCATCTTCTCCTCCACCTCTCTCTCCCTCTCTCCCTCCCTCCCTCTCTCCCTGCCTACCCATCTTTTCCCCCTCCAAAGGGGGTCTCCAAAGGGGGTTTTCCAGGGGGGGTTTCCAAAGGGGGATTTCCAAACTAGAAATCCAAAAAAGGAAAGATAACCCAACTCCCCATCCACCTGTGAGATACCTACCTACCAAGCTATGAATGAGATAGCAGAGATAGCAGAGATAGGATAGAAAAATCTGGATCTGGATCTGGTTCTGGGAAGGTGGTTTATATATATATATATAGAAAGAGAGAGAGAGAGAGAGAGGCGATTAGACGGGTTGTTTATGTATGTATGTACGTATGTATGTAGGATGTATGGGATGTATGGGATATTTAGGATGTGTGGAGATTGTTTTGTTTTGTTTATGTGTTTGATGTGTTTTGGTTTTGGGTTTTGGGTTTTGGTTTTGGGTTGGGCTTAGGTTCGCGGTAAGAAGCTGGAGGTGGAGGAGGATAGGATTAGATTGCTGGGTGGGGTGGGAAATTTTGGGGTGGTTGAGTAGAACTGAGTGGTTACTTGTGATAGAGTGGATGGGGATGGGAAAGAGGGGTTGGTAAAGAGGGGTTGGTAAAGAGGGGTTGGGAATGCATTCTCCAAACATGGAAATTGAGAGGGAATTGCGAGGACAGGAAAGAGGAGAGGAGGGTTTGAAGACACTGCTATAGCCTATAGGTGACGAGAGAGGAAGGTAGTTCTCGTCTTACTATGAGAAGGCATGAGTTGGGGTTTTGAGCTAGGGTCCTGGGGTCCTGGAGATTAGAAATCTGTAAAAGTCAGGGGGTGGAGAATAGAATGTGGGGATAGAGAGAAGATCTGCTTCCATCGTTCGCAGTACCACGTTTTAGGTACCGCTACCCCAGTCCTGCAGTAGGTTTTCAAGTATGTTATATATCGTTAGAAGAAGGAACGTTATATATATATATATACAGGCCAATACTCAATCTGCATACAGATACTCCCCACCGTGAGAATCTGGTAATACTGACATTAAACATTTTTTTGACGGGGGATTTGGCTATAGCTCTAATATCTTATGTCTCATCTCGTTCAACCGATAAGGATATCCATAGTATAGTATCCAAACACAATAGTTAAGAGATTGTATCTCCCAGCCTAGCTGCTGGTCTACAGCGAAGGATGGGTGGTTGGTATGTGGGTGTTGTATCTTACTCTGTCTTTCTTATATTATTCCGTTAGATTTTCTTTAGTACCCAGAAAGAAGTACAGTAAGGAGGATGTACATACTCGAATTCATCACTTTAAGAAGAACGTGTAACGCCGTTTCCATTTGTCAAAGTAGTGTGAGTTTGAGGTGTGGCATAGAAGACACGCACAAATTGTCTCTTGTGATAAGAGAACCTCAGTTCTCGAAGCAGCAGGAAGTGGGAAATGAGCCAAGCCCAGAAACACATGTCTTTCTACTTCTTGTCGGAGTTGATGTGAGCAGCTCTAGTACATATGCCTTCGCTATCCCAGCTTTTGGTCTGTTTTTGCATCTCTTATCAACGTGGCCGGGTCCAAATATTGCTTGAGATGTATTCCATTCCGAGTCTATGGTGTAGATAACGACTATAGTATGTCTGTGTTCAGCTGTAGTAATAAAATACAGATAAAGTTTAGATAGAGCCTGCAGTAATAAAAAAACAAATAAAATATACATAGAGAGGGAAAGTAGAGGAAGATAAGGGGGGAAGGGAGAGAGAAAGGGAAAGGGGGGGAGTAGATTTGAGGAGGTGTGTAAGACAGAACGTACTAGAGACTTTTCCTTAATCAGGGGGAGACTTGGAGGAGACCTAGAGGGAGAAGAAGATGAAGAGATGGAGAGATGGAGAGATGGAGAGATGGAGAGATGGAGAGATGGAGAGATGGAGAGATGGAGAGATGGAGAGATGGAGAGATGGAGAGATGGAGAGATAGAGATGGAGATTGAGAAGGAGTGATTGTCAAGGGGAATCACTAAGGATTACATCAAGAGTCTAGACATTAGCTTTAGTCAAAGAAAACCTTAAATAGCAGGGGAGTCTAATACAGACCAAAGAATCTAGCGTAGAAAAATAGAGACAAGTGACTAAATTACAGATAGCAAACAAGTAGAAATCGCCTGTTTACAAGTAGGAACTGTAGCAAGTACAGTCTGTTTCTGTAAAAGAAACACACGTAGGAATCATTCTGAGCGAAGAACGTGAAGTAAACGTGGCGTTGCGCGTTGAAGCACAATTAGCCTGGAAAAGCTTCTAGTCTTGGATTGCCCCCGATCCATCTTTGGATCTCAATTCCACAATCGTCAACGTTACTTCTTATTGTTACTAACGACACAATCTGGAGGAATTCCCTAAGAAGAGTTCGAGTCAGCCCGGGGTCTGAAGTATCCCATTGCCCAGACGTGTGTTTGATACCTTACTCTGATTATTCACAATCATGTTAACGAGAAGCCTTTGGTAGAGAGCAGGGCATCGACGATTAGCCTACTCTACTCTTCCATCCCATCGGGAAAGCTGGTCAAAAATAGAATATTGCATCATAGAAGAAAGAAAAAGTGCTCGTAGACCCTCCATGTGAAGTTGAATTCCTTGATCTAACCGCAAAAAGTTTCTTTAGTCCGAACTTCACGTTGTCAAGCCCGCAGAAGGATTCAAAGGAAGATGTCATCGGCCGGAAAGGGAACCAGCCGCTGTCACATCTGACGTTGTGAAGTTCAGATAAATGAACCTACTTGATTCAAGACCGACAGCCGCAACCGATACTGTTCCACTAGGTCCTACAGACATGGCAGAAATTCCCCTTTCTTTTTTTCTTCCCTCGCATCAGCGCTGGAAGAATTCAGATAGGCAGCTAGACTAGACGCCCCTTCAGTCCGATGTGTTACTAACTAGTTGTAGCCCCAAACAATATCCTCCGAACATCTTGACAGATCCGATATCCTGCAACACGCACTTACGCTAATCCATCTACACACCGGGGGGTAAAAAAGGCGAAAAAGAAAGGAGCCGTCAGACTTACTTCCAGAACGGAAAACCTCGCGAGGACATGCCAAACCCACCCACCTCCCGCTAGAAACACCCACCGTCCCATCTCCAAACACGCACGTGACAGGATCAGCACGGGCGGCGAAGCGAAACACCATCGAACTGTTTACCTCAGGTACCTACGAGTACCATATTCCTTCTCGCTTAAGCGAGCAATCAGGCGCCGTCTCAACACCCGACCGATTCCCAAACAAAACATGTCCCACCACATCCTGCCAAGTTTCCATCCCGTCTGAGCACCCCCACTACACAACCCTCGATACCCACCACAGCACGACATCGACATCGCCAACCCTTTTCCCCAGTCTTAGCCTCCGATTTTCCTCAAACAAACAGGATTTTCCCAAGGCGTGGCTGGGTGTCATTTGGTATCTCGATTAATTAAGGTTAGGCTTTGGACTTTGGCTTTGGCTTTGGCGTGGTCTTTCCTGTCTCTACTTCCCCATCGGTAAAGGGGAATCCTGGTACAGACATGTTATGTTGCAGAGTCCGTCTGGAGTTTTCTTACCCACGATTCGATCAAATACTGCCGTATCGAAATCTGGGTTTTGGAATCCCCCCATCCTTCCACCCACTAACCCGGAAAGGGGGATTCGTATTTCTATTTTTGATCGATCTGACCCCCTGTTCTTGGCTACTGTAAGCTTGTTTGGCGCAGGCCAGATCGCGTTTGAGTTTCCTTTGTTTTGGGGATCCATCTGGCTTGGGATGGTGCTAATGTGGAGTGGTGAAATGCTTGGTGTGTTAGGGACATATTTGATGTGACGTGAGGAGTTTATTTAGCTGGGCGTTCACCCGCACTTTTTTGCTTGGAAGTTTTCCTGGGGAGAAGAGTGATGTGAAGAGAAGATAAAAGAGAGGGCTGGATCATCTTATCTTTTTTTTGTTGTCTGTCATTTTCTGGGTTGCTGTCAAACTTTAACCTTCCTTAACCTGCCTTGACTTGAAGTCGACATTGGCCTCTTCTCGCTATTGGTGTATCGAGTGCTGGACATTACTTCTACTTTCTTTCAAGACATATTCTTTTCTTGACAGAGTACATGTACTTTGATTGATTTGACATCAACACACATCATTCATCACCCATCATGAAAGTCCTCGTCGTCATCGCCTCCCTCGCTATCGGGGCTCAAACTTTTACCATTCCCCTCATCGCTAAAAGAGAAGGAATTACAGGTATGATTCTCTCACCCCTTCCTCTTACACTCATCCTATCACACACATATACACAAACTAACTGCACCTCTTAGTCAAACCCGGCGGTGTTACCAACGTCGGCGGGGAATCTGGAATAACCACCAATCCTGACGGCAGCCAATCTGTCGGTGGAGAATCAGGAATCAACGTCGCTGCTCCAGCTGGTGGTGAAAAGGCCAACAAAACTGCCGGCGCCGAAAAGGCCGCACCCGCCGCAGGAGGCGCCAAAGAGGGCGGAGCAGCTCAGGGTGGTGCTGGAGCAGCAAATGGCTTAGCAGGTTTGCTTGGTGCTCTCCAAGGAGTCGGTGCTGGGGGTGCTGCCCAGGGAGGAAATGGGAATGCGGGTGGTGCACAGGGACTGGCGGGTTTGCTTGGTGCTTTACAAGGAGTCAATGCTGGAGCTGGAGGAGTTGGAGGAGCCGGAGGAGCCGGAGTGAAAGCTGGGGAGGGTGCGAAAGCTCCTCCAGCAGAGGCTTCAAAGGCCGTCAAAGCCGCAAAACCTAGTGCTGCTCCCCCTCCACCACCTACTGCCTCGCCCCCAGCACCCCTAGCTTGTCCACCACCGCCTCCAGGAAACGGAACCGCACCACCTCCCCCTCCTCCTCCTGCGAACGGTACAAAAGCAGGCCCAAAAGCAGGCCCAAAAGCAGGCCCAAAAGCAGGTGCCGCTCCAAAGCCGCTCGCGGGACCAGGAGCCGCGCCTGGTAACGGCACGGCGCCGCCTCCTCCACCACCACCAGGAAATGGCACCGCACCACCGCCACCTCCCCCATGTAATGGAACAGCTCCTCCACCACCAGCGGCAAAGCCAAAGCCAGCCGGAGGCGCGGGAGCAGGAGCCGGGAAAGGGAAAGATAAAGCTGCTCCCGCCGGGGTAGCAAAACCAGCTGCTCCCAAGGCATCGCCCCCTGCGCCTCCAGCTGGTGGAGCGAAACCGGCAGCTCCAAAGGTATCATCTCCTCCCGCAGCGGCACCGAAACCTGCACCGACAAACGGCGCTGGAGGTGGTGCTGGAGGGAGACCTGCTGAGGGACCGCCAAGTCCAGTTTTGGTACCCGTTGATGTTGCGCCACCGAGAGCTACTGGTGCGCAGGTCTCGGCTGAGAAGATGAGAAGAGTATTGGAGGGTGAGATGGGGAAGGAGTTTGTGAAGAGGATTGTGAGGGTGAATAACAGGAATATGCATGATTTGCGGGATTGATTGTATCACACGATATGAGAGGAAGGAAGGGGATGGAGCGATTGGTGGAGGGGGTTTTGAGGTCGCTGGCGGCCTGGTGAGGCTGGCATTTCTTGGTGGTGGGATGTTTTTTGGATGGTGCTGTTTTGTAAGTATAAATAGACTTCTTGGCTTCTAGGCGAGGAATTTTTGTGGAGAGAAAAGTATGGAACAACAGTCTTTGTGACTTGTTGAATAAGTGAGACCCGAGACGAGAAAACATCAGAGACAAAAAGAACTTATAGTGATTATGTGCGATTACAGAAATAGAAATTAACAAGAGAATATGAATATGAATAGAGCCAGAAGCATCAACGAAATAAGCATAGAGTTTGCAATATGAATGCCGGGCAGTGAGTGTTCCTTGACATGAAGGATATCAAGTACTATCTGAGAACTGCTTGTGTCATGTTCTGTGCGTGCTAGAGGGGAGCCGATTATTAAGTAGTGTCCACGTCGGACCAAGTCTGAGTGAACTCAGCGAACTTCATCTGAAGACTGCGCTGCTCTCTTGTTCGCAACAGAGAGATGGTATCAGTAAGTTCGTAACCCCACCACAGGTGGATTAGTTCTTCCAGAGGGCGTGTGTTCCTAATTTTATGGAACTTTGTTTGAAATGGCGAACACTAGCGTATGATACCTGGATGGTTGATATGGGAGTCGACTGTTGAGGTTGGGCGGTGGAAAATATCGAAAGCGAGGAAAGGAAATCCTTGGGTCGGATCAGCGCGACCGCAGCCGATGGTAATGGACAGAAAATTAGATGAGCCCTTGGTATTGTCAGAATAATACAGCTGATAAGAGAATTCTTGGCACCGCCAGAGAATCAAAGCTCTAGGAGTGCTTGGAAAGTGTTTCTCACACCTGTGAACTTCAATCAGACCTGTGCGCAACCGAAGTGGAGATCATACAAATAAAGGTCTATAACTTTTACAAGCGCCATTTGACTAGATAGAGAGTGAGTGGTGTGAGCTTAGAGTGGTGCCGGGCTAATAAATAGTCAGAAGGTTCGTTGTTGGTATGTTGTGCCTGCAGTTTCCTCGCTTAGCAACTAACGTCGTGCCTACCTCGACGGTCTTGGCACTAAGCAGCTCTTTCCCAGGAAAATGTCAAAAATAGTAGGTACACCTAGAAAAGCAGATAAGAATCAGGCGTAAGTACCTCAGTTCAACGTAACGCCAGTATCTTATCGAAATCCACATGTACGGACTTATCCAATTGCAGAATGATACAGGGTCTCCACTTCGACAAGATTAGAGGCCCTTAGGGGCACGGCAGTATTGATATCCCATAAGAACAACAGAACCTCCAGTATTTGAAAGATGGAAGACCGAAAAGAAAAGGTGGTACGACAAACATGGAGGGAACGCAACAAGCAAACAAGAGGCCAGCCTCACCAGGAGGTTTGCCATACACGACAAATCATGAGAAGGGACAACGTGTTGAAGGGGCTTCTTCTTTTCCCACCCCAGGGCCGGCAACACCTGAAGACGGTGAGCGCCAGCCAAAGCGCGCGAGACTATCTCCTTTGCAATTGGCTACTCTGGCGTATGAAGCAGAGGGCTCGGCTGAGAATGGAACCCGAGACGAGGTGATGGAAGAGGTTGAGGATGGGGACGAGAACGAGAGCGAGGATGATACCCAAGATGATGTTGACAATGTTCCACAACTTCCAGAAGAGCCAGGATGGGTCCCACAAATCGAACAGCGCGACATCAACTGGGCCGTCAGTTTCCCGGAAGATCAGGGAGATGAATACCCTGAAGAACTCAATGAGGAAGCCGACATGCAGAAAGCCGGCAAAGAAGAGCGGAAGAAAAAATATAGGGCGAAGGGCAGCAACAAGAAGAAATCGACCGACAAGAGGAATAAAAAGAAAACAAACGGTCGAATTATCCAAGATAAGAGCCCACTGTTCTGGCTTTCTAGGGCATGGAAGGAGGAGCACAAGCTGTCAGAAGTTCCCTCTGTGATCCGATACACCATCTGGCGACATCTTCTCAAGTCCAAGGACGGAATCTATCTGGATCGCAACAAGCGACCAGAAAGGGATGGCCGCCAATACTTGCACTTAGCAATCATGTCGACGTGCCGCGATATCTATGCCGAAACACTTCAAGTGCTCTACCGAGAGAATCCGATTCTGGTCTATTCAGAGGATATGTTCCAGCTGGAAGAAAATTGGGCAAATATTCCATTATATCCTGGACTGGAATTGCCAAAAAAGAGCATCTGGCGACATAATCCATTAGGAGGCGTTGGAAGATTGGTGAAAAATGATTTGGTTCCGGAGTATGACTCCCCTGTCTTGGATGGCTACATGGAACCTCATACCTTTGCTAAATTCCAGCAAGTCGCTTTACTGATGAAAGGTTAGTACCTCTTCCTGTCTTTTTTCATCTCTCCAAAGTGAAGGCCTTGAGTCATCGCTCAGATGAAATCGGCACATTCCCGCCCGCTTCGCATCGGTCAATACTGATATATGGACTAGTTTCGGAAATTGACTTTGGCGAAATCAAATTCATCCCTGGCACGCCAACAATCGACTCGATGTTCATTGACAAACCTGACAAAATGAAGGTGCAATTTTTGCACCTCATGGGCAAGGTCGACATCGTGCGAACGTTTAGCCGAATCCTCGGAAACTCCCCATACATCTCTCGATTGCACATGACGATCCAGATTACCGGTTTGCCTCTCAATGTTATCGATTCAGCAACGGCTGGAGCGCTGAAAGAGGCAGCTGATATTGCAACACAACAGCTCGGTGAACAGTTCTTGGCGTTCCAGAGCTTTAGACCATTGATGGATTTGACGAACATCCAACAATTCAGACCATCAATGTGTTTCTCGTATGGGGTGGACTCAAAGACAAAATACAGCCCCTCTCCATCAATGATCGAAACGCTTCATCAATGGAACGACGAGTTGAAGAATAAATGGATGCCGCCTCGTGTGAAGAAATGGTTGAGATACGTTCTCGAGGCCACGGAACTTCCAAGAAGAGCTTTCCCTCCTTATACTATGCCGTTCGAAACGAGACATTATGGACTGAAGGCAAAGAAGATCGGTACGATGGTGATGGATGAGAGATGTGGTAAATTGGAGTATGAGGTTCGAAATAGATCTGGGCTTGGATGGAGTCCAGTTGACTTTGCCGAGGTTGAGAGGCTTGGCAGACATGGACATGTCTCCCACCTCCCGTTCGCGTCGTCACCACCACCACCTCTCACTCCTTCATCCATCCTGCCTCCTTTCCCTTGTCTCCCATTATGTCCTTGCGATAGCTGTCTTTCTATCTCGTCAGTACAAGTCTGCTCGTCGTGTCCCAAGCATTGCGACGACTGTTTTATCCCGCCAGCTCCTATATCATGGCTGGGCCAGCTCTTTGAAGAGAACGCTCGAAGGAGGAAGGAGAGGAGGGAGGGTGGTAAACGATGAAATGACGGAGGAGGAGAGGATGGAATGTTTATGGACAAGAGGGTGATAAATAAGAACCTGCAATACGAGAATGTTTGTACAAACCAACCGTTTCTATTTGGATATACTTGGGTGAACGGTGACGGTAAGTAGTATTATATTGATAGCTTTCGTGAAACAGGTCGGTCGCTTAGCTCTCGCTCGACTTGTCTGGTTGATTATCATACTGACGTTCGGTAGAGCAGAGCTCCAGAGTTATATATGTCCATCTAAGCAACAGCACTTGTAGCCCCAAACACCATACCTGCAAAGGTACCCTCATCGAGATACGCGAGCATGCCAGCATCCCAGAAAGACCTCCTCGAAGAGATATGTTATATACCGATGGAGAAATGATTACGACGCGCAGAGAAGATTCGAAGTTTCCAGTGGTTTTCTGCCCAGCCTGTGTTGCTCCTGGCAGAACATCACTTTGATCTTCCAACCATTTCCTCTCCGAGCCTGCCGGAAGCCATCTACACAATTTTACAGCATGCTTGAGTATTTCAAGCATACGGATTTCTGTGAAGCAGGCTTTCATGCGGTATCCGGGGTGAAGACATGCCTGCAGGGACAACCTCATCACGATCGGCCTTCAGATCCAACCTTCAAGTTACAATCTCGTTTGTCCCATCTCGGCATTGGAAAGTTACAAGAGATTTCAATTTGAACACGTGGGTTGAATTACATATTGGCATTCTGCTGTCTCCATCAATATTTATCAGTCGCGGTGTATGAACACGGTGATGATTTGATTCGCGGGTGCTTTGGTGTGGTTGGGATGGTTCAAGTACGGACGTGCCTGGTGGGTTAACGACTCAGGTCAGGGGTCTTGACTCGCACGATGCAGACCTACGCACCACTGGGATTCTGATGGAGATATTTTTGCCAAGTGAAGGACAAGAAACTTGGCACCTTTTTGAAGCCTCTTCCGCCGCATTCTTGACCAGACAAGCAATGCCATGCCCGTCGCGACAGAGCCTCATCGCAAAGATTCAACCTCATCCCATTTTTGATATAAATGTACAGATCCTGAATTTGCACCTTCTCTCATGCGCGTTCCTGATATGCGACATGTACCAATTTTTTTTGCAGGGACTTCCCCAATTATCCAAGATTTCTAGTGTATCCACAATTTGCCGTCTTACAAGGAACGCAACTGGAGTCTTCATCAACCCCCAAAGAAAAAACCCCGTGGGTTTGGAGTCTCCAGAAGCTCACGAAACATTACATACTGGCTCAACTACGGTCTCGGTTGGTTTGCCGTCTGCTACTCAAGGAAAGCGGAGCGGTCTTTGCGCCGCCATCCACTTTGGCCTGTCTCTGAATTTGACGGACCGACTTCAAGTGGATCATTAATGGATCTTCAAGATCAAACTTTTTCTTCGCAGGGCAGACACGCTGATAGAGTTGAAGTGTGGATGTTATGGAGGGGTTAAAGGATTTCTGCGAACCTTGTACAGGGCGTTTGCGCCGAGTCTGTCAGATCCCTCTCACACAGGGTGCTGTGAGCTTGGTCCGGCAGTTGGTCGAATGACTGGCAGAAGCTGGAGGCTCCAGTTGTCAATGCCTCACCGCATATTCGCCATTGAAATCAGTAGTGGAGTCTCCGAGGAGAGAGCCGCAATGTGCCAGGCATACCTGACATGATCCAGGGGAAGCGGGGTCGGTGATGATGTTTTGAGCGCGAGCTTTGGTGGGGTAGTTTTACAAGCTTTTTGCGAAGAATTGCTTTAAGATCCGACATTCCCTCCCAATATTCTTGAATATTCCTCCTCTATCTCTGTTGTTCAGTTGATATAGGAAATAATCATGCCTCTTCGTGGTCATAAGTTGTCTGTTGCTCAAATCGGATTGGTCGTTGCTCCCAGCTTCGTCCTCTTCGGCTACAACCAAGCTGGTGTTGGAGGACTTCTGTCTGTACGTTGACAATCCATCCGACAGCTCTGTTCGAGACGACATAAAACAACTGTGCTGACCCCTGTAGCTACCCAATTGGACCAAAACCTTCCCTGAGATTGACACTACCACTACGAAAGGCGCCGTCAAAGCCCACAATGCGACAATTCAGGGGACCGTGGTCGCAACCTTCGTACTGGGAGCTCTCGTTGGATCTCTGGCATGTATGAAGATTGGCAACATTCTCGGACGCCGCAAGAACATTTTCCTGGCTGCCACGCTCACTCTGATTGGTGAGGCGCTGTGCACTTCTTCATTTGGACTTCCGCAATTTATCGTCGGTCGCACAATTATCGGACTCGGTATTGGCATCCTTTCAGCAACAGTTCCAGTATGGCAAGCAGAGTGCAGTTCCGCTGCAAACCGCGGAAAGCATGTTGTGCTTGATGGACTATTTATGACGTGAGTAACTGAACCTTTGTTAAAATTGAGCCTGCTGACAAAAACATAGATTGGGATTCACCCTTGAATCATGGATCAATCTCGGTGCATCGCAAATCAAATCAGGACCAAACATTTCGGCTTCATGGAGAATGCCGCTTGGCATTCCACTAGCCCTCTCGCTTGTGTTGATGGGAACCATTTTCACCATGCCCGAATCCCCACGATGGCTCATCAGCATGAACCGTGTCGAAGAAGCACGCACGATTCTTGCTAACCTCAAGGACACCTCCGAGGCTGATCCTATGGTCACTGCTGAAATTGAAGGCATCCAGTATTCACTGGAGGAGTCAACCGTCAAGAAAGCAAGCATTAAAGATATGTTCACCATGGGTCCTGAGAAACTTTTCTATCGTTTCTGTCTCTGCATCCTTCTCCAATTCTATCAGCAAATGTCTGGATCGAATCTCATCTCTGTCTATGCTCCCGTAATATTCCAACAGAACCTTGGTCTTGATGGTCAGACCTCGAGAATTTTGTCTGGTGGAACTTTGACGTGGAAGTTCTTGTCGAGTTTCGTCGCTTTCTTCACAATTGATCGGTTCGGGCGACGTGCTCTGTTCATGTTCAGTGGTGTTGGGTAAGCTTTCTACTCTCTACTCATTATGGAGAATAATAAACTGACAACAAATAGAATGGGAAGCTGTATGTTGGCTTTGGCCGTTGCCACTTCCTTCCCCAAGTCAAACACTTCGGCTGGAATTGCCAGTGTCTTCTTCGTCTTCGCTGTAAGCACATCCCAAGATATACAAAATACAAGGACTGATAGAAATATTCACAGTTCAACTTCTTCGTCCCAATTGGTTTCCTCGGTGCCAATTTCCTGTACTGCGCTGAAGTCGCTCCCGTCAAGCTCCGTGTCAGCATGGCCGCTATCTCAACAGCTAACCACTGGCTCTGGTAAATTCCATACCATATTTACTCTCTTTAGCCTCCTTCTAACATAGACTAGGAACTTCGTCGTCGTAATGGCCACCCCAGTAGCAATCGCCTCTATCGGCAACTATTACTTCATCCTCTTCTGCGTCATCAGTTTCTGTATCCCGCTCTCCGTCTACTTCTTCTACCCCGAAACCATGGGCCAGAGTCTCGAGCAGATCGATGCCGTCTTCCGCGATAACAACACGCCGCTTGCTATCGTGCGTGCTAGTAAGTTGTTGTCGAAGGGTGATGTGGGTGCCATCTATAGGAAGAAGCAGGAGGAGAAGATGGTGGAGAATGTTGTTGCTGGTGAGAGCGACAAGGAGATTGTTTAAAGAGTTGGAGAAGAGACTTGGGGATGTTGATGTTGAGTAATGAACGATTGACTTTATGTTCTGCTGTTTACATTTCTGCTTCGCTTGCGATTTCTGTTGTTTGCGCGCCAGCCTGTGAGATGCGATAACTCTCTCCAGACAAGGGGCATAGAGCAAGGGTTTTCCAGTTGGTAATGCTTCCAGTTACAACTCAAGCACCTAACACGTTTGTCAGCATTTTTCCTCATTCTCGATTGTGGAGTGCCTTCATTTTATGGACTCGGATTAGACAGAGGCTGTGATCACGTGATCTACATGGCTTCACGATCTCGCCTAGGATTCCATGCCAAACTGATCGTTTTCTCGTTTATCTCAGATCTGCGATGTAGGGAGACCCCGTGTCTGGAGATCTCCCGAGATGGAACTCGAAGCCGGATTGTGCGGAATCCGCGTCATCAGTATCCCAACCATCAGCACATTTCGATCAACCCAAAGTTGTCATGAGTCGTAACCACGACGCCCACCCAAATATCGAGTCGTCGGCAGGGAATTAGCTTGTGCTAGCACCATAAGCTCAATGCCTTGACGCACTGAGTTCAGTTTCAATGCGAAACTATGATATGCGAGAAAATCAACTCAAATCTTTTGAAGACATAAGCTTCGAATTTCCTAGCGTTTTTCCGAACTGCTAGAGAGATTTCTCAAGATCACCACGGGAGCTTCATATTCGGACAGTCTTGAAATGTCACTCTCAGTTTTGGTACCAGACCATACAGGCAAGTCGGTATACGCAACACCACCGCAAAGTCCCACTGAATTTCCAGTCCACGATCCTTTCGCGAACCCTGAAAATGAGAATGGATACGACCCAGGATTGAAAGACGAACAATTTAAATCAAGTGCCGACGCTATCTACCATCTCGCGCAAATCAGCGCCAATGGCTCACCTCCACGAGCAAGCCCACCTGATATCCCATCAAAGATTCCACAACGACCACCGGAACGACCCGCGCCGACTGTGGAAGACGATAAACCATCCATTCCTCCTAGGCCAGTTGGAAGAGAAATTCCGCTGGTCTCTCAGTCTGAGAAAGAGCCTCCACAGCTTCCAGCAAGACCACCAAGCCAACCAGAGCGTCGTGCTCCCAAACCAACCCCAGATCTTCCGACAAGAGCTGCGCCTGCGCCGTTCAAGCAGAGAGTTACGCTGCCGCCGCCGACAATTCCTGAGGAGACGAGGGAGCAAGTTCGAGATCCGGCGTTGAAGTATAGTAGACATCCAGAGAGATTGGTTGCGTACTTGATACCGCTGCCGAAACCGAAACTTACCAAGCAGTTGGAGAGAGCAGATGAGTTGCCTGAGGTACGGATTTGGATGTGAAGTAAGAGATCTTGGCACTGACTCTTGCAGCGATACTTATTGTACACTCCGCCAAGACCGCATTTACTGAAGCCGGTGAAGGGTGTCAAGGAGAAGAAAACGCATTGGGGGAGGAGGAAGTTGCAGGAGCAGGTTTGATTCCTTGAAAATTGTGAAGTTGCTCGAGATAGCTAAACGTAAGAACAGGTGGAGCAAGCAAAGAAATACGATGGAAAGACTTTCTCTTGGAGGGGCTTACATAGCAAAACAACGAGGGGCGTCATGTGGGCAATTCACCGAATCCGAGCTACAGACATTGTGTTTCTGGGGCGTATTGAGAACAAAGGTAAACACAGCCACACCTCATCTCGCTTGACCAGCACCGGCTAAAAACAGTACAGAAGTTAACGAAATCGTTCTCGTCTACCCCAACACCGTAACGCACTCCATCCCCGAAGTCCGCGACGAATTTATCGCTCAGATAACACGTACCAAACGTCGCGCCGCCAAAGAAACCGCCATCTCCACATTCCTCCTCCCCGTGACCCTCGTAATCGACACCTTTGCAGCAGTCTTCTGGCCATTCGGCGGACTCCTCGAAATCGACGCCGTATGGTGCTACGCGGCCACCAGAGGCTGGTACACATCCCGCAAGATAACCAAGCGTCTCGGAGCTCGCGAATCGAGATTCAAACAGTACGGCAGCACGGAACGAGATCTGTTCTTGCGGTTTCACCAGGACCCTGAAATTGAGGTGCTGCAAAGGTATGTAGCTGAAGCGTGCCATAAGAAGAATCCGGATATGTTTGATAGCGCTGGTGTGCCGCCTACGGAGACGGATGTTGCCAAGGCGATTGGTTGGAGGCCTGTTGTGAGGGGAAAGGCGGGTGGGATGAGGGCTGAGGGGGAGACGGGGTGGGCGGATGAGGAGTGGCAGAGGGTGGTCTTTGCAGATGATTTGAAGGCTGTTTCGGAGAGGGTGGCGATCAGTTGGGGACATTGGGGGAAGAAATTCGAGAAGAAGCCGGATAAGGCGTTGAAGAGGTAGGTTGGAGGACTTGTTGCCACAGTTGAGAGGATACGTCTTGGGGTTTGGCTGTGGGTATTTCGAGTTCAAGGAGCACCAGTTAGTCGTTAGCTAAGATAAAGAGAGGAAATCTCATGTGTGAACACCAGAATATATTTGATACGTGACGCGCTGTCATGGATGTCCCTTACCTACCTACCTTAAAGGAAAGTGCTGGCCTGGGTACACTGTCCTAAAACAGTCAAATCAATTTTAATTGCCAACAGTCACCTTGAAAAGTATTGACAATCCCTAGACAGTAACTTACTTGTCGACTGAGCAACAACTGTAGGTATAACAGAATACTCAGTCCCGCGCTCCCCTCTACAGGTAGGTAGCATCTCGTCAGTTGACGATGTCACGTGATCAGACTTTATTGAATCTGTCTTGGTAATTGCTTGAACAAGCGAACAGGAGCATGAACAACAAGTATAGGTACTATACATCGCGAAACATATCCGCAACTTCATAGTAGTAATTCTCTCTTGGTTCTCTCTCGTGATCCCCGAAACCCGCCAACAGCGCCTTCACAGGCTCGCAATCCTCAGGGTTTGCATAATACACGGCGCCATACTTCTCCATAGCCATACACCTTTCCTCCATCGTATAAGCGTTTCTCCAGACCCAGCCGTGGTTCGAAAGATCACCCCAGTTCTTCTCATGGAAGACCCAAACACCCCCCTTATCAGGCCATCCGAGGACGAGTGTTTCTCTCTACTTATCTGACATAGAGAGATCTCTGGTGATGACCGCCCGTTCATACGTTAAGTAGCTCTGCCACCATTTTCCACCTGTCCGGCTCAATTGTAGGCAGAAAGAATCTTCTTCGCTGGGGTCAGAGGAGCGCGGGGTGTCGACGAATCGCGAGATATTGAGGAAGTCGAGCTCGACGCCTGTGAGGTGCCGGTTGACGATGACGCCTCCAACGCTCGGATAGCAAACGACTTCATTCCAGCCTCCTAGACCCAATACTCGGCCTGTAGGTTCGTCGTAGACTGGTACGTCTACAGGCGGAGCGAAGCCCTCGTCTTCATCTTGTCGCGCGCCGATTGATCGTGAGGCGAGGGGAGTAGTGGCATACTTGAAGACGGAGATCACGCCAATAAAAGAAAAAATGAGGGTAATGAGCAGGAACACTCTCTTTGAAAGCCCAAACATGATGGGATATGGATGTTGTCGGGAATTTTGTAGGTCATCTAGAGAAAGAAAATGAGGTGGGAATGAGACGTGGTGAGTGCGGTTGGACGTATCATGCGGGAAGTAAAGAAATCTACTTGAAGGACGTATCAAAGCGGGGCCCCTACAATATTTATTCACCAGCGCTTAAGTTGCAGGGTAACCGCATTCCATTCATACAGAGTTACATTTTGGAACAGACCAGGCGCAGTTCCGACACTGCTACCTTCCTCATTCTGCGCCGTCTAACAAGCAATGGACGCCCCGTGTGCGGACAAGATAAGCTTCGGATATGCCTCTACCACAGACTGGCCCCCGCCCCCCTTGATCCATTATCATCTGGGCAAGTACCTCCGTACGAATTGAGTATGTATAGACGTTCCGCGAGGATCATTTGTAAAGAATTTGATAGAGTGGAGTATGAGCTAATATACACTGCCACAGGAAAAGTGGCCGCTATCCACAGTCGCGAAAATAAGTTCCGTTTAAACAAGTCAATGATTCCATAATAGATACCCGATTTTGTCTGAGAACAAGGTACCCTCAGGACAAAACTCGGTCCTTCCAAGCTGAATAGAAGCGATCCCTTTGAGTATGATCTCCTTCCTTGATGTGGAGCTGGCAATGAAATCGCCAAGAGGATGAAGCACTTCAGGCCTACAGATGAGTGCGGAACATCTCTTCTCCTGCATCTCCACTCGCGTGAACGACTTTCTGCCGCACTGATGATGCCAGTCTGTGCGGTACTCTACTCCCCTCATCCAGTAATCTGCAAATGGGGCCTTTACGCTACGTGGTTCCTGAGGAACCAAATCGTCTCTTTTCCCTGGCTTTGGCTAGCCCTATTTGTAGATCAGTGAATAAAGAGGGTACAGTCTGTCTGGCTCATGGAGGCCTTCCGCTCTCCTTTGTGGACCAAAGTGACTCTACTCCTTGGCAATTCTTGAACCTATTTTTCTAGAACCGAAGAATTGCCATTGAAGATCTCGGAGGAGAAAGGCTTCAAACCGCAAAAGACCATTCTTTGCCCTGAGCGATCCTTGCGCTCGTACAAAACGAGGACCCACTCTATTGAGTTATTGTGCTTTTTAAACCGCACCTCATGTTTTTTTCTAGATCGCAGAGTGTAAACTGATGTTTCTCGTTATTTTATGTTTGATCTAACTCCACTATATCAAATTCCTTTCGGGTAAGTCCTGGAGGAAGGCCTGTGATCTCCACCTGATTCCCACATTCCAAGGATGAGTTGATAGGTCCTCTGGGCCCAGTCATACAACTGTCATTTCAAGCGAGCTTAGCCATTCAGAGTGGAACTTGACTTCAATACAACTTACTACTCTACTCACGAGGTAACTGTCAAATTATTAAGACATGTGGACTATACGATAACATCAAGAGCCCTGTACTCGTTATATATAGTCCCGGAATATGTTGGTCTGATCGGAATGAAACATGGCTGGACGAGTTCCACTTGGATGCAGTATCCGCTCGCAGACCGTGAAGCGTGCGGGCCTTCCATTGGTATCACCCAGCTACAATCTATTACTGGTGAAGACGCTCTTGTTGTAGCCTCGGTTTCCATCTGAAGCTCTCTTCAATGCCGTTATGCTGAAGGTGTTGAGTGTAGAAAGACTTTGAACAGGCTTGCCTTTTTGTACAAAGAAATTGAATAGCTCCTACATCGATGTGAGTTCGGATCTAGTCGGTCTCAGACGAATAACTCCTACGAACCTCAGTGGATCGGCCTGAAGCTTCATGGGTCTAGCCGCCTGCTATCTAAATCGTACGATGTTTCTCATTCTTTCATTGTGATTTCCTGCCTTGTCTCAAATCAGTACTTCCCCGGGCGGCGCTCTACACTTGGAATCCGCCATCGGGGGAGTCCTACTTCAGCTTAGTTATCTCGTTGCTCAAGCAAGTACGCCCCAATGGGGGGGAGATACAAGACTAAGAAGCCTTCCCAATACGTGGAAAGCTGTTTGCTGTATATTTCCTGAATCCATCCATGATTTACAAGTGTACACAGAAATCTCTTTTAACAAATCATTATGCGGACCTCCAAACCTTTTCTCCAAACAGCCTTCTTGTTGGCCACCTTGGTGAATCACTCTATCTGTGATACCTTCACAGTTCAGGCAGAGAAGCTTGTGGACTGGGTTGGGTGCAATAAGCAAACCACTACACAGCAGGCTATTCGAGATGCGTGGGACTCTGTCATGGACATTGCATATGTTGTCAGTGGCAAGATTGAATGGGGCCATCATCCGTCCAAAGATTTCCTGGCAGGCCCAGACCGAAATAGAGCCTATCAGAAGGATATGAAGGGTAAGATGCAAGTTATCAAACTTTCCAAAGACCTGCTAACCATTCTACAGCGGTGCTTAATAATGCTTACACGTTCAGACGAAGATACTGGTGGAACCCCCCAAACTGGACAGCTTGGAAGGTTTCCATTCGGTGCGATGACATTGATGGGACTTGTGCAAAGCATAAGAAGGAGGATAGTTTTGTTCCTGCGTATACTATCAATCCAGGAAAGAGACCCGGCTTTTCTTTTGCAGCGACAAGAGACACTATTGTGATCTGAAATGGACCTTTCAATGATCTGAAGCCGTGTGATGTCGCTCTTAAAGACGGACAGGGCGATAGGTTAAATCTCAATGATTTCATATGCAGAGGTAAGCCAAGCTCTTCGGTCGTTTGATGGTGTAAGGGAATCAAATTCCTGATTTCTGAGACTGGGGGTGGAAAGGTATACTAAACATATTTCCAGGCTCTGCGATGCTGCATGAGATGTTTCATCTCGATAGTCTATCCAAAGTTTCAGCTGAAGGCCATATTACAGATATAGCAATGAAATACAAAAGAACGGGGACTGAATATGGTTTCCAAACAAAGCCAGCCTACGGCGCTCCATGGACAAAAGCTCTCGCTCTTTGGGAAAAAGATGATGTGGGAAAATATGTTGTTACGAACGGTTCGTTGATACATTCTACGAAGGTAACATTGCTAAATGGGTTGTAGCCGACAACTTGGCTCTCTTCTCGCTTTCGACATGGGTGGACCACAAGAATGGACTGTAAGTTTGGTGACAAATGTCTTTGGTCGAAAGAACATACGCTGACAAACCTATTTACCTAGATATCCAAGCTGGCCCCCAGCCAGACCCGTGCCTGATCCGACTTACGCCCCCCAATTCTTCAGTGAAGCAGACGCTGCAGCCAACCCCGATGTTCATGGCTGTGTTACCGATGACCCGAACGGCGCAACTGGTCCTGCTTTAGATATACCGGGCCCCTCAAACACAGAAAATTATATCGATTGCAACAACAATGGCAATATCGAGTGGGCGACCGCGCCTTCGGTGTCCCATGACTTCGCTACAAACTCATTGAGGACATTCTGCGATAATGTCAACAGGCAGAGAACAGCAACTTTCGCTGTACCAAACACCGCCAACAGAAAATTGTTTCTCGGAGCTCTCCTTCAAACTGATGATCCGGCATGTACTGTGCTAAATGTATCCCCAAGTGAATGCATGTCGCAGATGAGCAACATATTCGCCAGTTGCGATTCGAGTTCACCCAGCAGAAAGTATGGCGGAGTCAGTGTCTCGGGGTGCGTCTCTTGGGCAGCGGGTGTCGATGGCAAACGGGGTGCTGTAAAGGATCCCGAAGCTCCATTCTCTTGTTCCTTAATGGTTTCGGGGAACTCCTTGAACTGTGCTTGCACAGACGGCGAGCTGTACCCTCTGCTAAACGAGACTTGTGGCTATGTCGCACCCCCAAGCAGCCCAAGCTCGAACGTTGGAGGTCAACAGATTGCTATTGCCTCTTACACCAACCCACTTGGGGATCCAGATGCCTGGGAAAGACTGATCTCTTTCGACTCGGGCAAGGTCAGTATATTGGTCGCCAATGTCTTGAATGGTCCAGACTACGTGGTTGATCCATCTTGGAAATCGGTAATTCAGAAAGCCGCTGCTTCTGGGAAAACAGTGATTGGATACGTTCGAACTGGTTATCTTGGACAGGCGCACGATTTCAAGACCAGATTAGGCTCACAGGATCTAGCAGACTGGTACGTAGATCCCACGCTCCTGAATTAGCAGATCTGTGCTTGATTTTAATACGCCTTGATACGGTGTCGAATTATGTCAAAAACTTAACAATGTACTGATACGTCGAATAGGGCCTCACAAATTGAACAAGATGTTGACAAGTGGTACGAGCTATATCCAAATGGCATCGGGGGGATCTTTTTCGACGAGGGCTGGCCATCTTGCGGCCGTAATAATATCTACTCCGACCTTTATACTTACATCAATGCCTACACTAAAAGAAAGCATCCTGGAGCATACACAGTCCTGAACCCCGGATCAACTATGGAGCAATGCTTTGAAGATACTATAGACACGCTGTTAACTTTTAAAAACAGATATGAGGCCTACATATCATCAGAGTATGCTGATAATACTTGGACACCCAAGGACGACCGCAAGATCTGGCACATTATCTACAGAGTTCCACAGAACAAAATTATAGAAGTTACTGAACTTTCTCGCCAGCGCCATGTAGGATACTTGGAGATAACAGACGATAACAAGGACAATCCTTACGACAACGTTCCTAACAATGCATATATGAATACAGCAATGAATTCTGTTCCAGGTGGCAGTGTTCGTAAAGATGTGGCGACTGCACTCAGTGGATCATATATCGCTAGTGTCCCTAGCGATGCTAATGTTATCGCCTCGGATTACACCTCAGCCACTATCACTTGGTCCCCAGTACCTAACGCTCTTGGTTATGCTGTATACTAAGACGGTGCTTTGGTATTAGAGATGCCTGCTTCTCTGACACGAGTAACAATTGGGATGTTGAAGCCTGGACCTTCTGGTATTATCTTCGAGGTCAGAACCGTACTATCGTCAGAAAGTAGCGGAGTGTTTCGGTTACTTAGGGCAAGTACAAAGGAGTTGCCATCTGGCGGTTCAATCACAAACGTCGGCCACACAAAGAATGGGAACACCGTGGTCTACACAGCTGATATCTTGGTTCTATACGCATTTGTCCGTCTCTTTATTGGCGGACCCCACAAGCTAGTTGGCGCTTCCGCGGGCTGGCTTATCGATGTAGGTCTCAGTACTGAAAATGGTGGCGGCGATCCTATTGCATAGTATAAGCTTGTCAACTACATGGTCGAGGGTAATGATTTTTATTCAGGCTTCTACTAGTATACCGGCGCGTATGTTGAAGGCAGCACAGCTAACGCCGATTGGACCTGGACTTAGCACGGCGAAGCCCCCTAGTCACAATATGGATACACTTACACCTGGAATGTCCCCTTGGGTAGCACTGATGCGTTACTGGATGAATATACAGTTCAAGGTTAAGGCTATGCCCTAATTCAGAACGCGTTTGGCGGTTCTCTACGAAGCTACAAATGTGCAGGGAAACCTTGCGATGATAATACCGACTACGACTGCAAGGGATCGACACTGTGTATAACTCCTAACCTCCTTAAGTGGTGTGGCATTGTAGTCAATAACTTGACTCGGACAGATGCGCTTACCTACGGAACGTCGTAAGCTGAATTCAATTCTTCCCAACATTTCACACCATCATTGACATATTCCCAATTTTCGTTTCCGAAGTTGCTTTTTTTTGCTCATGCACAAGTCTGTTTTACTAACTGCATCTGTCTATAACAGCGGTGACTCCAAAAGTGGAGGTTGCTATGGTGACGGCACTCGATTCTGCGGCGTGTTCCTCCAGGGAACCAACTGTGCGATGAGTGGTAACGACATGTGGAACAACTATCAGAACATTCGCAATCTCGGTGAATGCTCGAAATGTGGCTCTTACCACCAAGATAACGGCTGCTTGCTTACCGTGAACTATGTCTCACACTGCGATGATACTCTACAACAGCCAGACAGCCCCTTTTGATAAAGGAAACCGGAAGTTCTTAGGAGATAAGAAATTAGACTTTTGAGATGACGTTGGTATGAACCGTGATGTGTGATGGAGTATAGTGTGTTGTCAGAGAACTGTGTGGGGTTGGGATATATCAGTAGTGTGGGCGTGTTTTGCTAGAAACTCAATGTGCAATTGCTGAGTTATTGCAATTCACAACAGCTAAGTAAACGCATCCGAAGGTACTCACCATAACGCTGTGGACATTTTTGGGTCGACCTTCCACTATCAATCAAATCTTGAACACGCTCTGCTATCAATGTATCGTCCTGCTGTGCCTGTGTTACCCAATAAGTTCTCTTCGCTCGAAGCAGAGTTTAAGAGATCTAGGAGAGCAGCACCACCTCGCAGAACGCCGCATCGTCTTCTCGGATCAACTACTTGATTTATGAGATCAGGCCATTATTCTAGAAAGATGATTCTCGTGACACTACCTAGGTACGCCTACTAACTATTGCACTGTCCTGAAAGCAAAAAATGCTGTATTTTTACCAAGTATTAACTTTAAAAGACCACTCGGTCCACTCCCCAGTCCTTGGAAACATTCTCTGAATCAGAAAGTTGTGCGACAAATCGCTTCCTGTAGCCTGTGTACCTCCAGACTTCATTTAATCATGTCCAGTAAGGCGTCAAGATTTACCCTTCCCACAGCAATACCCATATGTTTTATACATTGAAAAAGCAAGCTACATCTGCCATGATGGCTCTGATAGGCATGTCACGTGAAGATGCCTGCCCAGGTAGGTACCTAGGGACATACTTGAACATTCTCTGTCACTGTACAACGAAAATCGTGTACTTCGATCTAGTTTATTAGTGACAAAAATACACAAACAAGTTATACAACTGTTAATAATTCTTTTGTATATAGAGGTACATTTGGCTTATTCAAATACTTATAATCTAGTTTATGAATATCAAAACCGCTTTAATTGCTATTTATGATTATGTAGTAGGAAGAATTAGGCATCCTATTTGCTTTGCTCTACACAAATTCCAGATCAATAGATCGGTAATTAAACATGTTATTACTAGCGAATGTGAATTGTTATGTGTTTTTTGCTTTTGCTATTATCCTATTCTGAATCTCCCTACACGTGTTGTCAGGTATCTCTAAGTGTGGTCCTTTCTCATGATAGCATAGCTAAATAGTGCAAAAGAGCAAAATTGAGTCTTGATGACTGACATTACTGTACGGATGGCTTGCGTGTCAAGCGACGAAATTTTCTTCAAAGTGGAGACCGCCCGTTGAAGTTTTCACGACTTCGCAATTCTTTCCCTTTTCCCCACTTCACTACCTGGTGAATATAATCAATCAAACAACTTGTCGACATAAATTAATCTGATCCGAAATGGTGTAATGGTTAGCATTTCTGCCTCTCAGCTGTGTAAACAACAGTAGCGTTCGCAGGAGATCGGGGTTCAATTCCCCGTTTCGGAATACATTCTTTTTTAGACTTTAATTAGGCTACGTAAACATTTTTTACCTGCCTCACGAACTCTATTTTCTTCTGTTTTTGATCTGGTCGGATTTTAATGTGTTGTTCGCCTGGATGGTCCACGCGGTGAATTACTGCTCTCTCGAGATTCTATTTTCTTTGTCCAATACAGCCAAGAGAAGAATCACTTTGGTACTTAATTTTGGGGCTTTTGTAACTCCTATGTTCTGTCTTGAGCGATTCTATTCATGAAAGGCGAATATGCACATATTTTTCTCGGCACCTTATCAAATTTCTTGGCATGTCTCGCTTAAGATGTCTAGCAACAAAGCAAATCAAAACATTGCGAACTGAAGGCCTGAGCGGCTGTCAACTGCTTATATAGAGGGAAGTTTCACCCTTCAGGGAGGATGAAGTGTGATTTCAAGTTCATGTTTTATGTCTAAAGTCCGAGGTTCAGTAGCTTCACGGAGGCCCAGCATGTTCCAATACTTACGAGATATCCGCATCTCAGAAGACAGGGTGCGGGTAAAGTGCGGGGTAAATGCCTATTGAAATTCTGCCTCAAAGACCTTAACTTTCTGACCCAGCTTCAAACGCCACCATCTCATCCCTACGACCTATCTTTTCAACTCTCCCATTATTGATCCACACCACAGCATCCGAGCTTCCTGGAGGTGGTGTACTCAATCTATGCGAGATGGCAATAACAGTGTGCCCCTTTTCTGTAAACTCCTCACGGATCACTTCTTGCATGATTGAATCCGTTTCTGGATAGAGCGACGATGTCGCTTCATCCAGGAGAAGACTTCGTTTTGGTTCACTGGAACTAGTAGACAGTGGTAGCTCATCCGAATACCTCCCCATAAACTGTGACCGGAGAATCGCGCGAGCAAGGGAGAGGAGTTGAAGCTGCCCTGTGGTTAACACGGGAAACGCTGAGAGTGGTAGATCCAGTGCGTTGAAAGTGCTCGGCACGGCGCATTCACAAACATTCGAATCTTGCTGTTGTTTACTGTGGATTGACAAGTGCTCCCATAAATGTGTCTTCTCTAGAGCAGTAACGATAACATCATCATCTAGAGTTTCCGATAAGTCGATATTGAATCTAAGGCTGGCATCGACAAAGACAAATGGATCTTGAGGCACGGTTATGAAACACTGCTGGCGCAGTATTGATCGCGGAATTTGAGCTATGTCGATGCCATCGATTTTGATGGAACCTTCTTGAGCATCCAAGAGGCGGAGGAGCGTCAGGAAAATAGTGCTTTTGCCACTGAAGTTGAAGAAAAGTCAGCCATGGTGTCAAGGGCTTATTATTAGATATATGAGACAGTCTCACCTTCCGGATCTTCCGCATATGAGAAGTTTCTGGCCAGCTGGAATCTTCATGCTGATTTTCTTAAGAGCGACTGCATTTGGACTATACCATCAGCACTAGTGATTTGCTGATCCGAGATGTTCAACTTACTTGTAGGACACAGTGATATTGTCGACTTCGATCATGCCTGTGGATGGCCAGCTCGCGGGCGGCACGAGAGTTTCCCACAGCTTGTCCTCCTGGGGTGTTTCATTTATCGTCGATCTGAGTCGGGAGATAGCACTTAGTGAGATTTAGCTAATTCTACTACCATCCTGCGGATTTGCTTCCACCAGCACCTGAAGTATCATCCCTACGACCTCCACCCCTCTTCCCAAAAATACTTTTGAAGAACTGGCTACTCTTCTTCGCTAGTTGTCTAGCAGTTCCCGGTTGTGATGCTTGTTGCTGAAGACTTAGACCACCTATCTGCTGATGCAGAGCAACACCCTTTCCAGATAAGAAGTTAAAATATTGAAGTTGCAAGATCATCGAGAATCATCAGAGTTGGAGGAATGAGATCGAGAGGGTTGAATCTTGAAGTGTTATAGAGCTTTATGCTCCCTCGCTAACCTATACTGCCGGCAGAACTAAATTCACCGCCTCGAAGCTTTCCGTTTAGAGCTGACCGCCAAAATATGCCCACTAACTGGAATCGGCAAGCAATATAAGTCATCTGCTAGCTAGATGCTTCAATTTTATTTTCTATCCATAGAAGGCACATCCTACATTTTCACTACCAACCCTTCGACTCGGGAGCCCCTACGAACAGAACGACAACTCTTACACACACCTACTTGTTACCCCCTAGGACCACCTTTCTTACGCCAAATACACTTACCACAACTCTCTACCACCTCGCCACCTCGCCACCTCGTTTATCTTCCATCATCTCAAAAGCTGCGCTTCAACATTCCCTTACCTAAATCCTTACTTAAAACAAGATAATCAAGATGACCAAATCGAAGGTACCTGCTACTACGAGAAAGAAGCAATCTAGTACCTCAACATCAACTCTGTTAAGCCTCCAATCAAACTCGGAGATCTGGTACAAGGTAAGCACGCCTCTCATCCTATTAACATATATGCTAATAGTAGCAGATTCACATCCTACTCTATGATCTCTGTAACATCGCCAGTGACCGAGCCAGTGAAGCACGTACTTTAGCCACAACTGATGAGCTATACATTAGCGGCCCTTACTTCTCACCCGAGGAAGCCATGATGATTAAAGCTACACTGGTTTCGCCCTCATCGCTGAACGAGATCCCAGAATTCGAGTCTCTCTGTATAGATAATCCCAACGAAGTCGATGAAAGCAGCAAAGAAGTACCAACACCCGAGACAATGACCATCGAAGCCGCTATCAAATCCTATCTCCAAAATTTCTTTAAAAAGCGCAGAGCAAGTGGTGATGCTCGACCATGTGGACCCCATGACATGGGCCCAATTTATCAAGCAGTCTTTGGCATTACGAAAGAAGATTTGAAGAATGAGAAGTTCTTGAGCAGGTTGAGGAGGACCGGTCTTGGCCAGTCAAAAGAGAAAGAGAAGAATGCGAGTGAGAGTGTCTCTGGTAAGCAGAAGAAGAAGAAAGGACAGAAGGGCTAGGCTTGGAGAGTTTGAGGTAATGGAGTTTTATCTAAAGCTTCCTAAAAAACAATTGACCGGAGGAAAGAAAATTTAATCATTAGATGTGGGTGTTCTTATTCTGGAGTCCAAAATTGGGAGTCTCCGACGTTCATAGATTAGTCATTGGAGAGTTCACTTACCACTAGCATTGTAAGCAACCATCATCCACCTAAGCTTCTTCGCTGTTTGGATCTCTTCTATCCGGAGAGCAGTAATTTTCGACTTGATCTCTTCTGCGAGTCCAAGCATCTTCATACTTTTGGCAGATCCTGTTGTGGGTCACGTGCTTGCACTAGCTTAGTTACCTACATTGGGAGAGCCCTACGCTCTCTTTCTCCTTTCTCTCTTTAGACGTACCAATACCATACAATTCAGCCCCTGAGTTTCCTCTGGCCGCTGAGTGTGAGGTTTACAGATCCCAACATTGCGGTTATCATTGCTAAGCGTTTCTGAATGGCAACATTCCAAGCCTTCTGTCTGCTACGAAGATATTTCGCGACATACTTGCTCATTCTGGAACAGACTTTCTCCAAGTCAGAACAATTGTTCCTGGGCATGAGTCTGACAAACTACTTACAGAATACGAGGACTAGCGGCACGGGAGAGAGCCAGCCAATTTGCCTGGTTAGCAGCGCAGTCCCAACCACTACTTCAAGTAGCTGCGCCCAAGTCTCATGAAACATCTCTCCAACTGTATCGATGCTTTCTACGTCCGAGTTCAGCAAGGTCACAACGTTCCCGTCTTCGTGTTTGCCGCTTTCGCCTTCAAGTGCTCGATGATATATCAAGGCTACGCGAGAGCCTCTGATAATGACTTTCAATCTATTCAAACAGTGTTTATATACCGCAGTGGAGATCTTGACTATCAGTAAGTTCGTATCAGGAGCTGATGGAGGGAAAACCTACCGCGAGGCCAACATAAACGAACAAAGCAACAAGCACAAGCCTGAAGCCACTGTCTCGATCTGTCCGAGGGTTCTTGACAAATCGAATGGTGAGGCTGATTAACACTGTTTGTGAATAACGAAAGATAATGAGACAGATACGGGGTAGAATGGCAGCCGTGAAAGATTTCGACAAGCATTTGAGTAAAACCAGCGGCAGCGTTCTGATATCTTCAGGCTTGGCTGTAAAAACATCAGAAAATGGACCTAGCGGTCAAAAAATGTGGTTCGGGATTCTCGTACCTCTCTGGTCCCATGACAGCAATATATTTCTTCGCAAAGAATTCGAAGACAACTTCCTATCAACGTCTGAAAGGTCCGTCTGGGTGAGAATCTTTCCATGACCTTTCACCATTACGGCATTGATCCACCCAAAAAAAATCCTGCCGAATATACTCGACAGTTTTTCAGGCGATAGATCTTGGTACTGCGGCTTCAGGATAGATTTCTTCGATCTGGACTCACTGACCAGAAGAGCGAGTTCCACACATATCTGGGTGAGCTGAGGTCCAAGATTGCCTGGATTTGGCTGTTGGTAGCCAAACAGCCAAAGTTGAATGGCATGCGCAACCACCGAGATCGCGAGGAACCGTAGTATCAGCGATGAAGGGCGTATCGAACGGACATGCTCAAGGAATGACAGGAGAACCAGCATGCATGCAGCAGCGAAGGAGATGCATGCATTTTCCAAGTATACTCGGGAAGATGCTTCAGGTGCGAGAATCGTGGAAAGTAATAGGACAAGCTTCAAAACGATATATACGAAGCTCAAAGTCTCCGTAAGTCGTCAGCTGGAGATGCAGTTGGACGCAGCACGTGATCTTACCAGCTTTGAGAGGTTCTGGCGCTTGCGGACCACTTTGAGAGACTCGCTGCGCAATTTCCAGATACGGACGGGAGATAATAGGACGAATAATGCGGAAATGATTGCTAAGAAGACCGAAAGGTCGCGTGAAGATGGATTTTTGAGGTAGAGTTGTGCACCATCGAGAGAAATGAAGTGATCGTCCATGCTGCCAATATGAAGACGCTGCTAGATCAACTTCAACGGGTGCATGATGAAAGTAATCGATCGTGAGCAACTCAGGTTCAATATTTATTTTTGTTTACGAAGAGACTTTCCAACAATCAGAAGATAAGGAAGGTACAACGGATGTGTCTATCCGTACCTTACCTAAGCTTGTACCCCTGACCAACAGTGACTGCAATATGGCACGATGCTATCACACGAAATGGTCTCACAAATGAACTTTGGGAATTATTAAAGAGAACCGAGATTGTGAAAAGACTGAAGATAGCAACGGAAAAGGTTAAAAGGTGCGGAACAGATGTATCTGCACTGTTGAAGCTGGCGAACGTTCACCACGATCACGTGTGAAGTAGCCCCCTTCACTTGACTATTATATGCCATTAGAGCCGAAAATAAGCTCACACACACTTTCCAGATCAAGATCTCGAGAGTATGATGCTCTGCTCATCAGAAGACCGTGGATTTGGATCAGAAGCAAGCCAAGACATTCGTGGATACCAATCCATTATCCATCCTTGACCAGTCCATTGAAAATCCGAATAAACATGTCATATTGCACCACTACGTGCCAAGAAAGCACAATTGATACTATATAAAATTCTGACTCCTCTAATGAAGGCCAGTTTTAAGTACCTCGCTCTCTTTCCCAGCTGTTCCCGATCGCTCGGCTAACCAAAGGGCAATTCAAAACACCATCCTCATAACCAACTTCCCACCCTCAACAATCTCCTTCTCCCTACTCAAAAACTCCGGCATATCCCATCCACAATCCACATACCTCCCCGCAAGCCACTCGCGTCTCTTCGCCGTCAGAAAACACATCGTATCCGACGCAATCTGCAGCGTATCCACCAAAACTACTCATCATCAGCCTCCACTATTCATCACTTTCAATCCAGAAATATAAAAAGCACTCACGATGATGCGCCCCCTCCGGCATCCCCCTCCCCAACTCCGTCAATGCACTCGTCGGATGCACACTAAACGCCAACAGCCCCCTCCCCCCATACTCCACCATCAAAAACTCCGCAACCCTCAACAGCGCAAACTTCGCCGTCTGATACCCCCCACCCCCAGGGAAAGTCATATGAGCACCCCTACTACAAACATTAACAACCGTCTTCTCCCCCCCTTGCAACATCAACGGCAAAAACGCCCTCGTCATCAAATACACCCCTTTTAAATTAACCTCAAAGTTCCGCCAGTGGTCGTCCATATCTGCTACTAGGAGTGGGACGAAGGGGCTCAGGTATCCGGCGTTGTTGATCAGGATGTCGAGTCTGCCGAATGCGGTCTCGGTTTGCTTTGCGGCTGCTTGGACGGATGAGGGGTCTGTTACGTCGAGGGTGAGGGTTAGGATTTCAGGGGGAGGGTGTTTGCCTGCTTTGAGAGCTGCGGTGAGGATTTCGTGAGAGATGGTGGTGCCGAAGTCTGAGCGTGCGCCGAGTGCGATTCCGGATGCGCCGGCTTGGGCGAATGAGATGGCTGTGGCGCGACCTACGCCTTTGGAGGCGCCTGAGATGAAGATGTAGTGGCCGGTGTGGTTCACTTCGGTGGGGTCGATGAAGGGGTAGGTGTCGTGGTGGAGGATCTTGGTGAATGATATACCTGATTCCCGTTAGCGAGTTGTTCTGAATCATCTGGAATGTAACGAACCATTATTGATAGGAGGACCGGAAGACATCTTGAGAAATCAAGCAATAGCTGACAGTCCTTGTCAAAGTCAAAATGAGGACTCAAATGTGTAGAACCAAAACAATATAGACAGGCAATAATTTGGTAGGCATTTGTAGCTCTTCCATTAACAATAAATCTTAGGATATCTGGGACTACGTTTCGAATTTAACTTTAATTGACAAAAATCAACTACACAAGGAGACCAAATGACGTTCCAACATTAACAGCCGGCTCCCGCAATATATGATCCTCGGAAATAGCGGCGTTAAAATGTCATCCAACAGTCGATGCTGACATACGGATTTCCCACATTGGTATCTAAACCCAATCGTCAGATATTCAAACCTGGTTCCTAGGATCAAGGAGACCTTGTATATCGAACGCCAGAGATAAGAGTGGAGTGTAGATACTTTTGGAGGTGCGAACTGTTTTCGTATTGCTGTCCAGGGAAGAGGTTTGGACTGGCTAGCGGCCACGACTCCTTGTGGCAGAGTACAGAATAGGAACCACTTTTATTTTACTTGCAGAAGCTTGAAGAACTCCCAGAAGTTTTGTCTCGAAATATTGTTTCTCGTCGTGTTTAAGCAAGCATTTTTGAAACCTGCCTAGGTACGCTCCCCCTCTTCACCATCCCATCAAGCAAAACCGCGGCTTTAAGCGAGATCTTGAATTGAGTTTCCGCGTATCAAAATATCAACACTGCATAGCCGTAGAACGAAAACGCGATGTTTCCTACAACTTATACTAAAATGCTCCTTGCAAGATTAAATTTTCTTCCTATTTCCATCCCAACCAGTCTACTCATACTTAACCCTAATCCCCCCATCCAACCTCTGCCCCACCACAACACTCAACGCCTGCCTCTCAGCATCATACCTCCATCCCCCCTCCGGACAAGTAACCCAAACCGTCTTCCCCTCCTCCCCATCCTTACTCCAATACGCACCCTTAGGCTCCTCCTCAACACCAAGCACAATAACCTCATTCAACCAATTCCCCTCCTCTTCCCCCTCCCCCTTATACCCAAAGCTCCCACCAACACACAACTCCTTCCCTGCATACCTCATCTCAATCTCCGAGGTCGCGTTCTGAACAATACTCACCCCATCATCGAGATACAGCTCTCCCTTAGCATCACCACCCGCAGAGGGCGCAATCAGGAAATTGAACGGCTGTTTACGCACTTCGGTAGTCGTGTACGCCGATGCATTGCGTAAGGGTATAATCGAGCCCCCTCGAATATGCAGCGGAATCTCCGTGAACGGTACATCCGTAAAATTAACCTTCTCCCCCTTGCCCTGGACTTTCTCATACGTCTTAAAATCATAGAAAATATCATCCGGTAAATAAACCTCCACACTCGTGCTATTCTCCTCCGTGACAGGCGAAACGAGTAAATTCTCACCATAGAAGAACTGCAACTCGATATCAAACGTCTTCGAATCATTCGGGTACAGGAAAAATATCGGGTTGAGAATCGGTGTGCCAGTTGTAGATTGCTTCCGCATCGCCGTATAGATATAATCCAACAACCTATACCTAATATCAATCGCGCCCCTCGCCGCCTCAGCGACACTCTCCCACAGAAAGAACTCCTGCGGGATACTCGAATCGCCATTATGATTCCTAAAGAACGGATTAAACGCCCCCAGCGTAGCCCACCTCGCGCATAGCATCTCGGTCGTGTTCCCGCCGAAGCCGCACACGTCGCTGCCCACCATGGGCATCTGGTACAGGGCGGCGAAGTCGAGCATCCCCTGGATGGAGTTCCGGTAGAGCGGCCAGGTGGAGAGGTTGTCGCCGAGCCATTTCCCGACGGTGTGTCCGCTGCCCGCGAAGGTGGAGCGCGTGATTACCATGGGGCGGAGGCCTGGACGGCGCGCTGACATGGCGTTGCGGGAGAAGGAGGACATCATTGAGCCGTAGAGGTTGTGGACGTCGAGTTCGACGTGGCCGTCGAAATGGACGATGTCGGTGTCGAGTGTGAAGTTGGAGACTCCGCCGTATGTCTCGACTGTATTTGCGTTATCGATTTGGTAGGGAGGTTCAAGCAAGTTGCGATTCGGGAACCCAATAGGATCTTGAGCTTGTACTTGTCTCTTCTCCAGAACTGGATTCGAGGCAATTCCTCGCTTGGTATTTGGTGATGCTGGAGGTGACAACCACGGTGGTGCGTACCCAAGACTATCAGGTGGATAAGGCGAGTTTGGATCTGGCTGAAAGGCCTGCGGGAATCCTGGAATAGGACGAGGAGCTGATCTCAAAGCCGGTCTGGTAGGTGGGAAACCACGTTCCTCGGCGCTCTCTTGAGGATCTTCGCCAAAGTAGTTGAAATTAGCAGCTTCATTCATATCGATCCAGAGAGCATCAATATCGACTCCGATATCCGCGTCAAAAAATTCCAGGAATTCGTTCGTCCAGTATTCTTGCGTGTCAGGATGGAACCAATCCGGGAAAGCAGTAACTCCTTTTCACAATATTAGCAGCTATTTAGTCCTCATCTCTTCAAATTGTACATACCAGGCCAAACAACACCCTGATAAATACTCCCATTCTTCTGCAACAAGACCCCTTGGTCCCTCCCCCTCAAAAACGTCTCATACGGCAACCCACCCTCCCTCTCCTCCTGAAACGCCATCGCCGGATCCACCATAACAATATACTTCTGCCCATGCTCATGCAAATAATCCACAACCTCCCTCACCCTCGCAAGGGGGAAGCGATCCGGATCCGTCGTCATGATATACCGCTCATACATGTAATCGATATCCGTCCACATCGTCTCGAGCGGGATTCCAGACGAAGAGTAGTTATATATCACTTCAGCGATGGAGTAGAAATCCCGATACCCGTACCGGCATTGGTGGTATCCGAAACCCCAGTAGGGCATCATGGCGGCTTTTTGAGTCACTTCTGAATACTGCTGCGCGACTTCGTTGGGGGTCGGCCCGGAGAGGAAGTACAGGTCGATGATGCCGGACATCATGTTGTACTCGAGGTATTGGCCGTCTTCTTCCGTGCGGTTGATTTTGACGTCCATGCCAGAGCTGGAGAGCATGAAAACGCCGTGGGTGCCATTCTCGCCTCGGTGGTCGAAATAAATAGGGTGGTTCCCGTAGAGGTTCTGGCCGGATGGTACGCCATATGAATCTCGAGACCAGAGTGTACGTGTGTAATCCGTGGTGTTGAGACGCAGAGAGTCGGTATGTTCGCCAAGCCCGTACAAATTAGGGTCTTCCGGCAAGGAAGTCCGGAGACGAAGATACTGGTCTTCGAAAATGAAGCTTGCAGCAGAAGTGTCGAAAAGTATTTCACCACTTGACTTCCGCGTGACTTTGAAGCTGAATGGTGATGTCTCATGAGAAAATTCCAAGTCGGACTCATCCCCCGAGACAGAGGCGTTGGAACTGGGTGTTGGGAAGACACTGGTAGGGACTTGGTAGGCGACTTGGCCTGCGTCTTCGATCTTGACGTGCAGACGAGATTCTACATTTCTCATTATCAATTAAACACCCCAAAACGCCGCATGGGGAGCAAACTTACCAGTATCATACTTAACAATTAGTTTCAACTCCGGTACATCAGTTCCATAAACATTACAAGCCTCTCCTGCCAAATTCAGATTCGCAGTCAACCCCGTCCCCGTCTGCTGCACATCCGAAGCAACATATCCAGGACAACTCTCTCTCGTAGCACCTTCAGCCTGTCTACGCGAAATAGAAACAGCAGCTCCCGAGGCAGAGCTCGCCAATACAAGACCCGTAACAAATTGACGCAACATGGTGACGATATAAGGTCTGTAATTCTCAAGTATCGCAATCCAGTGCTGGTCGTCCGGTATTTATACTTTTCTTGTCTGGTCGACCCGATGCAAAGGTAACCCGCCACTGGATGGATACCTTCACTAAAAATCCAAACTCGAAAAAACATGGCATCACTTTGTCATACGTGACACTAGGACATACTTCGGCTCCTTGGGACACCATTAAGTAACACCGACATATCCAAACCCCATCCAAAATGACGTCCGTCCGTCCCAGGGACAGACAAAAAGTGGCCTGCTTGAGTGCTTGTGCAGTAGTACTCGTAGGTAAGACGCAAACCCCGCCCCCGCTATCCATCTCCATGTCCATCTCCACATCTAAAACTACCTTAGGTAAACCCATCTCCCAAGCGTGGGCACATATGGATCAAGCAACGATAATAAGTCCCCCGAGCATAAGTAGTTCCCCTCATCCATAATAATAATAAAACCCACACAAAACTCAATCTCACTCACTTTATCTTCATGGCCAGCAGGGTAAGGGTAGGGTCTTAAACCCAGGAAATCGAATCCCGTTCCACCAAAATAATAATCATAATAAAAAACTTGATGATCTTCACTTCAGCCAACCCAACCTCGCCAACCCATCCATCATACACTTGGCATGACGCTCATCCTCCCCATCCTCCTCATCCTCCGCCTCCTCTCCTCTCCCAGGCGCCTTGGCACACCCCTAGCGCTCCCCTCCAGCATATCACAGGCTTCACAGCACATCCCCATCAAGCCCCTAAGCCCCTCCCGTCCCCCCCCCCCCTTCCACCATTCGCTTAGGTACTTATACCTACAGAATAAGCCCCACCCCGCGCCCATAACAAGAGTTGTGGGGAACAACAGCACAAAAATGGGATGAGGAGAGGACCTCGAGTGAGAAAGTGAAGATCTGGGGTCGAAAAATCCTTGGCTGCATTATTTCACGACGCTTAACGGGCCTTTCTTTCTGACAAACGTCTTGGCCCGAGGGAATCGCCATTATTCTCGCCGAAATGCTTCCCTTCTCTTTCGGGCCGCATACCTGCGTTAACTTGAATGCCTTGCTTTGCGTTTGTGCAGGTGCATACGAGTACGGGACGATGTTCAAGCTCGAGCATCGGTCAAGAATCACTCAATCAATGAATACTCTACGCAAAAATAAAAGGTTCAAATGAGAATTTGCACTTGGCAATGCAAAGTTGGCATTGGTACGTCTCAGACGAGCACAATCAAAAATAACATATCAACAAAGCAATCAAACTACAAATACACCATCCCAACGAAAACACACACTTTTAATCAATTACCCCACCCCCTCAATCCCCTCAAGCCTTCTTATTAATCATCAAAGTCTGCGAATTGCACAACGCCTTCAACCCACCAGTACCCATCTCCACACCCAGACCACTCTCCTTAAACCCACCAAATGGAGCCATAGGCGACAAGTCGAAATGGTTATTAACCCAGACAGTACCGGCTTCAAGCTGTCTCGCGATTTGATCCGCCTTCGCAGTGTCTTTCGACCAAACAGAAGCGCCGAGACCCATGTTTGTGGCATTGGCTCGCTCAATGACTTCCTCTTCGGTCTCCCAGGAGAGAGTCGGAACGATGGGACCTGCAAGTGTCAGCTTCTGCTCCAATTGAAAGTGGCAATGAGTGTTTACCAAAAGGCTCCTCAGTCACGATTCTAGCATTATCAGCTGGATTGTCGATAATGGTAGGAGTGATGAAATATCCATTTGTCTTGTCGACCTTGCCTCCACAAGCAACATTCCATTTCTCCTTTTCGATTTCAGAGAAGAATCCCTTGACTCGTTCATACTGCATTGAATTTTGAATGGGACCGCAGAAAGTACCTGCTGCAAAACCATCGCCAACTTGAAGCGTCTTTGCATGACGAGCCATGGCGTCGACAAAAGGGCGATAGATGGATTTGTGGATGAAAATGCGCTTGATGCAGAGGCAGATTTGACCGGAGTTGAGGAAGGCAAAAGTTGCGATCTGTGATTATCAGCAAAAAAGTCTGTCACAGCGTGGTGAGCTTTACCTGAGGAGCAACTTTCTCAATATCAACGTCTGGCATAATAATTGCTGCATCATTGCCTCCTCTGAAAAGGTTGTCAGTGGTGATATAACAAATGAGCAGAAGATACTCACAGCTCCAGCGTCACACGTTTGAGAGTTTTCGCAGCACTGGCAGCAACCAACTTTCCGGTACGACTCGATCCCGTGAACGAGATCTTGTCAATACCAGGATGAGAAGTGATCCAAGGTCCAAGATTATCATCACCAGACAAAGACTGAACGACACCAGGAGGGAAGAATTGCTGAGCCATCTCAACCAGTTTCAATCCGCTGTACGGCGTGAAGGGTCTAACCCAGTCAGTATTACACTTCACAGCAGAGAGATGGACTTACGATGGTTTGACAATAATGACATTACCAGCGAGGACACTTGGGGCTCTGATGGATCACTGTCAGTCTCGTTCACTATCAGGAGATGCTTCAAACTCACATCTTCATCATAGCCAACAAATTCGGGAAATTCCACGGCACAATCCCAGCCACGACTCCTAAAGGCGTAAACCTATTAACAATCTTCCTCTCCTCATTATCCTCAATGACCTCCTCTGAGAGCGTCAAATTCGCAAAGACCCGACTCCACGCCACCGAAGCAGCGAGTTCCTGAACAGCTTGGAAAGTCTATTTCGAATATCTCGTCAGCACCACTCATCTCATCTCATCCACCTCCCCGTCACAACCACCACCACCACCACACAACACACAACCCAAACCCAAACCCCTCACTCCCTCCAACAAGACCAAAAAAAGACTCAACTCACCGGCTTCCCCTGCTCCGTAACCAACAACCTCACAAACTCATCCTTCTCCTCCTCCAACCTATCCACAAACGCCAAGACAGCCCTCTTCCTCTCCTCCCACGGGACCCTCGACCATGACTTGAACGCTGTCCTCGCTGCCGCGACGGCTTTATCGAGGTCTTCTGGAGTGGCGACGGGGACGTCAGGGAGGGAGGTGAGGTTCGAGGGGTTGATGCCGTGGTGTTGGGTTTTGGTTGAGAGGAGGCTGCCATTGATGCAGTGCTTGAAGGTGGTGAAGTCGAGGGGGGAGGTGGTGGTGGTGGTTGTTGCGCTGGGCATTGTGACGGTGGGTGTTGTGATTTGTTTGTTTAGCTTTGGATATTGTGAGTTAGACGAGAAGTTCCTTGGATGTACTTTACTACCAGTACCTAGCTGAAGTAAACCTTCAAGGTGAGAAACAACAAACAGAAAACTATCCACCCACTGAGGGGAAGCAGCGACCTTCAAATACTCAAGTCTCACAACCATCGCCATTCGCACCTCCCCCGCCCTGGTTGGTACCACATTGGAACACCCAAGCACAACCCCGCACCTGAAGTCCAATACAATCCAGACCCTCGAGTTTTCCAACCACCTCACCTCACCTGCATACGGGATGGCAATACAAGGAAACGCATCCATGGATCTGGGTAACTCTAGTCCAAGCGAAGCCAAACAAACACTACTCAGCCAAACCAAACCCTTACTCGCTTATGCACTATCCCAGCCCGTCTCCTCTTCTCATCCCATCGCATCTCACGTCTGGTAGGTAGGTCCACCACATCCTACCCTACCCTACCAGCGCCGAGCTAAATAAATGTCACTGTCACTCTTAACTTAGCGAGTCAATTAACATTACATCTCCAAACTCTACACTGCAAAGTAGTTTTTTTAAAGTAGGTTCGCCGACCACTTTACTTCGTTGGCTGATACTGTACAGTATCATATCTGAACTTACAAGCCCTCTCGGGAATCGAATATCCAACATCTCACCAAAGAGCCATCGCGACCCTCAATAATCACACGAGGGGTAGGTTAAGGTTTGATATGCCCTCCCTAGCCCTGCCAGGCTGACGTGACGTGTATCCTTGAAAAGCCAAGGCCAAGAAAAGTAAACAAACCAACCAACCAATAGATATCTGTCGCTCGGAATATCAAGCTTACAAGCCTGCTTGCTGCTTACATGAGCTGCATTGAATATAGCTACATTACCGTGGAAATAAATTCCTGCCTAGAAAAAGTCCAGAACTACTAGCTACTGGGTGTACGATTTCGTTCGCTGTTGGATATTCCTTTCTGTATGTGGCCTGATCCTGATTCTTGGGTCTGGTTAGATACCTGGATTTGAGACATGGAGCGGGCGGAACGTGGATGCGAATAATGCGAAATCTACGGAGGCTTGATGGGAGTGTTTTGATTACAGATCTAGATCGTAGCCTTTTCGGCGCCACTGATTTGGTTGCGGGCTTTGAGATGTTGGCGTTGGCGCTTGCTAGAGGTAAAGCCACCTGCACTGCACTGCACGCCGACACGCCGAGAGCCTGAATAATTCTGAAGACGGCCCTGGACATTGCCCTCGACATCTTTTTTACATTTGCACGTACAGACAGCCATCGAAGCAACGCGACACTACAAAACACGTCCCCAACGCCCACATTCTATCGCATTAGCAACACAATCCCTTGTCACCAACCCCGCGACTCGACCTAGTTCGGCCCTCAAAGAAACACACCTGCCCCCATGGCTTTACTTATAAATCGCCTCTAGTATAATAGCGACTCTAATAGACTAAGTTATAGAATAACCTAAAGTAAAAGTTAAAAGTAGCGGAACCTTGATATAAGATAGAATACTAGCTCTTAGAGCACTTTTAGTTATGATCCTTGAAGAAACGTTTGGAGCATGAAGCTGCAGGGAGGGTGAAGCTATGTGTAAGTGATGTCCTCATTTGAATCAATCTTTCAGCCCACCGGAAATTCAGACTTCAACAGGGCAAATAACAGCGAAATCGTGGGGTATCAAATGTTGAGATTTCATTTCCTGTACACTGTATTCCTTCCAAACCTATCCAACCATCCCATCCCATCCCATCATATCATAACATATCACGACCTTCCAAGTTCCCACCTCCAGAAGCTAAACCCCCTCCCCAAAACCCTAGTGTGTTGACAAAAGGAACTTTCCGCCCACACCCCTCTACCGAACCATTCAGCACTTAGTGGCGGGAGTTTAATCCCACTCCACAGGACCCCTTCCCCGCTTCAATGCAAGATGCCTATGCACGCCCAAGGAGTTAAGCATTAACTATTATTCCACTTCAGCCCTGCAACACCATGTCCTAAGACTACTGACTCGAAGCTGGAGTCGAATTCGACCCTGAACTCGACAGCTCAATCTTCGTCTCCGTATCTACACCCATCATCTGTTTCGGCATCGGGAACAACTTCTTCTCCTCTCCCAGAACCACTATTAAACATCACCAATAATCAGCGAATATTCATACCTCACAAGACCCTGCCCTCTAAAAATATAAAAAGAAGAGAAGAAAATGTAACAGGCGGGAAACTCACATCTCTGATACAACACATAACTCGTCACAATCGCAATCGGCAGCGCCACAATCGCCATCGTGACCTTCCTCGCAACAGGCCTATAATTCTTCGGCAACTGCTGGCTTCCCGCGGTATTGGGTCGTGCTCCCGCTCTCGCCGCGATATTGGAAACGATCGCGGAATTGAGTTCGGCGATTGGGACGTGTGGTGGTTTGGGTGTAGGTTTTGCGGCTGAGTGAGGGGGTGGTGGTGGTGTGGATTTCGAGGGAGGGGGAGGGGGAGGGGAAGCTTTTGTCGGGGCCTTTGGATTTGGTGAGATTGGAGAGGGAAATGGTTTGGGTTGTGAGGATGGAGGGGTTGGTTTGGTTGCCATTGTTGGTTGGGGTTTTGATGAGATCGTAGATGGCTTGGTACTGGATTGCTGCTGTGACCTTTCGACCATTTTAGCTGACTCTGGTGTCGATTCTCCCTTCAGTTTGCCGTCCGTCGGTGCTGTTCCCTTTGCAGACTCTTGTGTGACATTCCCCTTCTTCGCTTCCAGTTCCTTCACCTGTTCCAATATCTTCGACGTCGTCGGGGAAGTGGGGGTAGGTTTGGCGACAATTGCCTTCTCAACCGGTTTCGCACTTGGTGCAGAACTCTTCGTCGCTATCTTCGACACTACAGGTATCTCAGCAGCTTTTGACACACTCTTCTTCACGACAGTAGCCTTCGCAGGTGTCGCCGGAGCTGCTTTCACTCCCTTCGCGGCCGTCTTTGTAGATTTCGCCCTGGTTGTCGCCTTCTTCGCAGTCTCCAGAACCTCCACCTCTACCGGGTCAGAAATAACCTTCTTTGGCCGCCCTCTCTTCTTTGCGACCTCTGCAGACATCTTATATGTCGAATTGGTGCTGTGCGAGGTGTTGTTGAGGTGCAATACCCGGAGGGGGAATGTTGAAGATCGTGGGGCTATTTCCGTAAAATCCTGGACGGAGCTGACGCGCCTCGGCTGTTGGAAGACGCGCTCAATTTGACTTCGTCAACTTTACTGGATATTGAGGACGGGACAACGACAGAACGAAGAGTTGGATTCTATCGAAGCTACAACTTGGAGGTTTTGATTGAGAAGAGCAACAAAGAAGTTTCTTTGCCGTTGTTCTCCCTAATTGTGGGGTAGTCCCGTTTGCATGAATTTCACGAAATTGACGCGAATCCCTGTTGGAGCATATCATGACTCCTCAACACGTCAACGATTTCGATACTGCTTGCTTTGTCTACGCTTTGAAGTTTTTGTTTGTTATGATCGCTTTGTCGCTGTTAGGTTTCTCTGCTCTCATTTCTCACTAATTGCCAGGCTCGACGGCTGTTTTTGGAGGACTCAGCATGCGGAGCCCATGGACAACGCAAGGAGCATTTGCTTGCCTTCCAAGCAAGGCAGAGCATGGAGGAAGCACTTCTCCAGCTGTGTTTATGTTTTTTCGTCACAGATCTTTTTTTTTTTTTTTTTTCAATTAGGTCATCAACTCCACGATGATCTTCTGAGTACTTCCCTAAAGGTCAGGTTCTCATAGATATATCCCGTCACGTGATATCACAACTCCCTTCCTCCAGCAAGTGCTGTCATCGTACATGTTTCCCAGAAAGCAGGATTCTAGTTCCTGATGGCCCGGTCCGCATGTTCTCGACCGCATCTGCAACTTCGTTTCAGATATCTCCCTCATCAATTTCATCATTCCCATTCGTCGTCATTCTCGTATTCCTCACAACCCCGCCTCATCTAAATTTAGCGAGCTTTCTAAATACGAGGCCCAGAGTCTGTCAACGCAAGCACTCACCGTTATCTGCCTTGCCCTCATAGATAAGCATGTTTCCCCAGTTCCCGCTCCTTGTCATGGCTTGTGTTTGATGATCTATACTGTTTTGGAATCGCAAATATGAGTTTCGAAAATGAAATCTACGTTACCTCGAGAAGTCGAGCGCCTTCGCTTATTGATGTTACGTCCCAGAACGATCGCGTGTTTTCTCAGCTGCCGGATATTATACAGGAGGCTGCTGTTTCTACCGAGTGTACGTTTTCCCGCATTATGATTCAGTGATACTCATTCTAAATACACTTAGTCTCAAGTCAAAGATTGAGAATAAGCCGTGTCCAAGATGGAACGATCGACACCAACTTCATGACGGAACCAATGTTCTTCATAACATCAAGAACTGACTCTGGAATCGACATACCCGACCTCGACGTCAACGATGAGAAGTTTCTTGGCAAATATGGGTCCGACCTGACTGCGAACTTCGCAGATATCAGAGTCTACGGCTCCAAAGCATTTGTCCAGAAACGCAACATCTCCAATGGATCACTCTACTCCATCAGCACTTGCGCCACAGGTTATATCTGGGTATCTACAACGCTCACATACGAAGCTATCGATCAAGCTGAGTTCTCAGACATCGAGATCCAGATCGGTACATTTGCTCTCAAATCGCGAGCGATTACCACTGTTGAGTTTCCATGTCGATACAGATACTCGGGACGGGACGACCCACTTGATGGTCAGCTCTCCCTCCTCTGCTCAACAGTTCTAGCAAAGTATCTCCGCCTCCGCATGATCGGCGCACAATACGAAGAAGCCGCTGAATCTGCGATCAAACAAAGCCGCGCCGAATTATCACCCCTACGGATTGTCGATCCAGGTAAATTCGACAGTCTGGAACTGCTGCTGCGGCAAGTCTGCACGAATGCACCTATGCCGCCACACTCGGTCGTCTCGCTGATATCACGATCGATGATCACGAGGAGATGGCAGTGCTGGAGAGATTCGTCGATTTTGCGGAAACGATATAATTTGCCACAGAGGATTATACGTTGTTTTAAACACTCGAGACATGACTCAATTGATTTACTAAGTGGTTGTTTCAAAGCACTCGCACCAGAAAACAAACGCGCGCCTGTACTGCGTGCATAGTCAATTTATCGCCTTCAATTCCCCCACTCCTTCAAAGCCCTATTCACTTCCGCCTGGCAATACCAAGCAGTATGTCGTCCTTATGAAACAGGCACCATCAATCGATCAATATCTGGACCTACACAATATCAGCACAGCCCCCAAATCATAAAAACTGGGAGATATTGGAAAAAGAGAACAGAAAACTCACCCCATCCCCCATTATACCCCTCAAACCGAATCGTATTCGACCCCTTATTCAACGGCACCGTCAACGTACTACTCATCGGCGTGCTCCCCACAGTCGGCACAAACGCCACCACGGTCCCCACCCCATTCACCACCACATTCGCATACCGCTGCGAACTATCCCCATTGATATACGCAATCCTAATCGTGCTCGTCGTCGCCACCGTGCTCGACACCCCATTAAACGTGAGCGTGCCGCCCGCTCCACCGCCAATATATCCGACATCCTTCGAGCCAGAACAGCCGGAGCAGTCGAGGGATTTGGCGCCTGCGGAGAGGCTGTTGCTGCTGGATTCGGCTTCGGGCGTGGTTTCGCTTGGGCCGGGGGCCCAGCTTCCGGAGCCGATGTTGAGGATCCAGTTTACGCGGTTAGCCTATGAGACTAGGGTCGGCTCCTAGTTGATGTGGTTCAACGGTGGGAAAGCAGAAGCAAAAGTCATACCATTGATGCAGACGTCCCGGATAGTTCGAGAGGGAGCCAGACATAGGTGGATGTCATGAGGTTATCTTTCTTCCAGCGATCACCCATGTACCTACATGATTATCATCAGCCACAAGCCCCATTTTCATTCACTTATCTATATTTCCCCTTTCCTCTTCGAGATTGGCAATATCGCTTAAGGAAGATGTGAGAAGTAGCGGAAGGACTCACATCACAACCCCCCTAATATTAACCACTGCCGCCGTCTGCGAATTATACGTCTTCGACCCCGACGTCGCAAACGTCTTCCACGACGACCAAGGCCCACTCAGACTCGTAGCAGTACAGTAAACATTATCATTCGGATCTGTCAAGTTCACATCAGCACATTTCACCTACAACGAAAGAATATTCACGGAATTTACAAGCAGATTTTAGGTTAGAGAGAAAGGAGTACATACCCCACCCACTCTGATGCGATGCAAACATGAAATACGTGTTCCCATTCTTGTATATCGCCGATGCTTCGTATTGGTATAGGTCTGGCCAGAGGTAGACGGTGGATACGGGCTTGAGGTAGTCGTCTGAGAGTCTGTCGATGCGGAGACCGTTGGCGCGCTGGATGGAGGGAGGGTGTGTTAGTCAATGACTCTGGGAAGTTGTGGTTATGGTTGAGGAGGGTCTGGAGATAGAGGGAGAAAGGGGGAGGGTAAGGACTTACGTCTTCGGTGAGTAGGTAGGCTGAGCCATCGGTGTCTAACATGTTTCAGTCATTAAGGCCGGAATATGTATTATTTCGAGGCAATATTTCGAAATGGTTTGGGGAGAGGGAACAAATACCTTTAAACAGATTCAAATCTCGACTCTGATACCCAAGCGGTTGAGCCGATCCCCTATCCACACATCAGCCATCATCCATCCTTTATCATTTCCTTCCCATGCCCCTCACCCCTCCCCCTTCACACCTACTACGGTGCCTCCAGGGTAAAACAAGGTGTACGCACAAATACTGATAACTCCCACAAACACTATCACTCACAGCCCACCCAGCCTTCGCCTCCCCATAATTACTACTATCAATATGCATCCACATGACATATTTCCTGGTCTTCTCATTGTAAATCACATGTGGTCTCTCGACGACACGGTTGGGTCCGAGATCGCCGGAGCCTTGTAGGGTGAGGAGTTTATTGACGAATGTCCAGGTTACGAGATCCTATTTCCATTTTATATCAGCTGCCGTAGATTTGTTTCGGCTTGAAAATTGAAAATTGAGGATTAGAGGAAGAGGTGAAGATAGAGAGATTGGATGTGGAAGAGGAGAGTAGAGAGAGGAGAGAAATGAAGGGAAGGGGAGACGGACCGTGCTGGAATAGCAATTGATGCTCTGGAACGCAGAGCCACCTAGTTTGTTCTCACCAATGAGGTAGAATACATTGTTGACTTCGATGATTCCACCACCGTGTGCTTGAAGGTGTTGATTCGTTCCCTTGGCAGTGATAGTTGCGCCTGGGATCTGTTATGACAAGGAGTTGAGTTAGCTTCAAGCCTTCAACTGCTTCTTGTTGTATAATGACAGTCCCCGGAGGTTGTCAGAGAGGTTGAAGTATGTAGTGAAAAGAGGGAATAAAAATAGGAGAGTGGAAACATACAATCTGCACGCTCGCAGAGACAAACCCTACAACCAGCGCGAGGCAGGCACTTAGAAGCGAGGAGGTAAACATCTTTCCCAGAACTGTACAAGAAGATAAATTTCCAATCCAGGTTTTTCAGATTGCGAATCCGAGATTCCAATTCTTCCTAGCACGCAAAATCCAGAAAAAAATCCAAAACATCCACATACCCATCCCCCCTATATATCTCATCATCCGGCATCCACAAATCTTCCGTTCCAAACCACAACGTGAATTTTACCACACCGCGTGCCTGACTCCCCTAGATCCTTAAAGCCCTACCTCAATCAAATTTCATACTACAAACCCCTACCTCACATCCCCCGCATCCCCAGACTGCAAAAGAGCAGGCTAAACCCCGCTCCCGCTGTCATGTGGCTGCTTGAAAAGTGGATTCCTACCCCCGAGGGTTCATCCGGATTCCGAAGCTTGGTGGTAGAATAACCATAATGTGGACGGCATGACTTGTTTGTTTTTAGGATTAGGAAGGTGGTTCGTGAGTCAAGTGGTGATGGTTCGCTGCTTTCGGGCAGCAAGCTGAACTTCAGCAGCCCCGGTACACCCGTTAAGGTTGCAGCATCAGGTACGCAAGAATAAGATGCACCAATCGGGTGTTTGAAAGGTGACATGAAAATTAAAATGAGAAAGGGTTTGGGCGGTTTGGGAGCATTGGTAACACGCTTTTGTGTTCAACTGCCGGTATTTACGTCGCCGCTTCTCGGGTCTGACTTTTCCTCCGATTGGTAAGTCAACACACTTCCCATCTCATCTTTTTCCCACTTTTACCATCACTGTAAATACAACACCAGCGCCTCCGAAGCCAGCACCGTAAATCTTGCCTTCCCACCCACCACACTCACACTCTCCACCACGTCACTCCCACCCTGAACACACGTCCCCTGCCCAAAAGTCTTTCCCCCAAACGTAACCACACCCCCCGTATCAACCCTCGTACTCGCACTCGCAGCCGTCAATCTCCTCCCCTTCACCGTAGTACTGCTCCCAACTAGCCCATCCAACACAAAAGTCTGACTTCCTCTCGTCCCACTCCCCGAATAATAATCCGAATTATACAGCACAATCTTAACCGGCTTCCTCGCCCCATCATAGATAGCATACACCGCATAGTTCGTCGTCCCCGCATCAAGAGCAGAGATGTATTTCCCACCTGCCATCGCCTCCGTAGCAGCGTATGCACCGTAGTACGGCGCTCCCATACTATACCGCCCCCACCAACAGTAATAGCACAATCCCACGGTCCCATGGTGGAAATACGTGCGTTTGATACCGGCGTTCGATGCGCGCAGAACGTAATCCATTGTCCAAAGTGCAGCGCCAAAAAGCGGACTGACATCCTTCGCGCCACCACCAGACACGGAGTTCGTCTCTCCAAGGACGTATTCCTTCCCGACTGAAGCAGCGGCAGCTATGTCAGATTTGAAAATTGCGATGTTAGACGAGATGCCGGCGTGAGACATTAGACCGGAGACGCTGCCGCCGGGGTAATTGTGGTGCGCGTAATTGTGGACGTAGGATTTGACGGTGCTGTTCTGCGTGGCGATTAGTTCTTGAGCACCCCATTTGGGAGGCGCATCGTTGTGGTTTCCGGCTTGGATGAGGTTTTTGGTGTTGAGTGATGTGCCGACTGAGAGAATCCAGTTGTTTTGGGAGGCGGCGTCGGTGGCAGGGTTCCACGTGCCAGCTTTGATGGCGATGGGTTGCCCGTCTTTGGTGTAGTCTAGACTTGTTAGACGGTTTCTTGCTTTGATTCAATGATGAGAAAGTTCTTACATTCTGGTTCGTTTCCGAGCTCGATTGCAAGGAGATTCTTCATTCTGTCTTTTGCTACTTTTGCAGCAGCAATGGTGTTTGCAATATTATCCTTCCCACGATTGAGTCCTACAATAATCAACAGCTGCTCATCATTTGCTGAGAATAACTTACCAACTACCACGGTCCCAGGATAAGTCGCAGCTAAAGACATAAAAGAGGGTCCAAATGTCAGACTCGCCGGCGCATCTGTGGGATTAGCCACAGAATACACTACATATGCAGATGTTGAAGCATCATATTTCGCCCGATCCCTATTCCCTTTAGAATTCTATTACACGAAAAATGAAGTAAACTCACTGTGTGGTTCCTCCGATTCGGATCGGTGGCCATGTCCCTGTCCTTTCCTGGAAGTTCTTGAGGCATTGATTCGTCGCCGTCACATTCGTGAAGTAAGATGGGAAGGCGAAGAATTCGAATCTGGCTTTGACTCAGTCTTTAATCTTTCAAACATGCTAGAAAGAACCCACGAAACTCCCACTGGTGCAGGATCAAGTGGTGTTGCCCCAGTAGGAGCAGATGATGGTATCGTGTAACTGACAGTTGCTCCTTGAGCCAGAACCGGCAATAGAAGCCAACCGACTTGCTGAGAAGAAAGAAACATGATGAAAATTTGAGGGAGCTCAAGTCGTCGAAGAAGAAAGGGAACAGTCGAGAATCCTTACCCTACAGCTGTATAATATATTTCTCTCTGCCTATTGCCTTTCTCCCGGCTCAGCGAAGTCATTCAGATTAGCACCATTTCTCGTCCCCATGGTCGGCGATTCTTCAAACCGATACTTTCCACCTCAATCACACTCTCTCCTGCATCTCTCCATTCATTCGTGGAATGTTCCACTGTTTCGGAAACATCCTGCCTACGACGCTGTCATGCACAGCATGATGGAGAATGAGGGGTAGATATTTTAGCAGAACCCTTGTTCTCAAGCCGGTAGTGATAGTCAGGCACGCGACCCGTGTCATTGGTGCTGTTACATCGGGGGCTGATGCATCTCGATTTCACCAGGAAAAGAGGGTTTTCGGTAATGCGGCAGTCGATGAAATGTCGGGGATGCCGGGGATGCTTGCATGGATTGGGGAGTCAAGACGGGAAGAAAAGCTTTGGACATCTTCCTAGCCTGAATATGTCAGGATGTACACACATCACCAGACCCTCCTCGGCACCGAACATCACACGCTTTGCCGTAGGTATGAGTCGGGCATGCAGATGTTGCTGATGTGAAGGGGGATGAGCGCATCACCGCTATGGCTTGCTGATTCCAACGCAGCCACCGAATCTCACGTCAAAGAAACCCACACCCAAGCCCAGCACGTGCCCCCTTTTCACCGACACGTGACCCATCACACCAACAAGGCCCCCCCCCCCCCCCCACCCCCGAATAGCAGCCACCATTGTATTGTCCCTCCCTTTGAGCAGGCCTCACGACCCCTAAGTACTGCCTTGCCAGGATCTGCCTCCAACAAAAGCTCCTTTGCGGCCCCGAATCTCATTCCCATCTCAGCATTCCTTTGAGGCTCAGCACCAAAACCGGAGCCTTACTCAGCCTGCGCAGCCACCAGCCACGGCCGACGGAGCAATGGATGCCAACCAACGTCGTGATGTTGCGACTGTATATGTATGAGGGACCGCTCCGGCGATCTGGAGGGCATTTTAATTCCAATCGATTTATCGTAATTTTGTCACGTTGAAACAAGGCGCTTTCTGCACCTCCCCACGATTCCCCTTCCGCCACCAAACATCGCTAGATTGTTTACTTTGTTCACTAGCTTTCCCCGACTAAACGAGATGGAGGAATCAATACAAGCAGATCCAAATCCACCACCGCCTTTCCACCCAACAAATCCATTCGCAGACGTGAGCTCCATTCCCATTCATTCATCACTCTACCCCCAACAAAACACTAATTGTCTTTTGCACAGTATCCCACAACCCCACCCCCAGCCTACAACTTCCACATCCGCGACCCCGAAGCCGGTCTCCCACCCTTCATCCAATCACAACACAACTATCCCCACAACACACCCATCACACCCCTTAAGACCGTAGCTACAAACATCACATATCGCTCTTCGCCAAATTATCCCCGCTACGTGTCCACGAATAAGTATTCCAACCAGAAAAAGTATAATCGCAGGAGGATTATGTGCTTTTGTTTAGCGGCTGTCGTGATAGTTATTATTCCGCTGGTGATTTTGGGGACGGTGTTTCACTGGGGGAGGGAAAATAGTTTTTGTGTGAGGTGGAGTGATGGGAGTACGAGTGGGGACTGTTGATGTGGTTTGGAACTGGAAAATTTCCAGAGTCGAGGAGTGTATTTCATGAGCCTCTGGATCTAAGGGGTGTGCATAGCGATGGAGTCTAATATTTTGGAAAGAGTATTCTTCATCGGCTAAACGAGGATCGATGGATGTTCCAGATAATTGGAGGTTGTCAATACAGGTCTTGGGCATAGCGACGGAGTCTATTTTCTTTGTGGTGGATATACCAGTGCAATATAGTACACAGAGGTCCAATCAAACGAATCAACCAAATCGAACATAAGAAACATTCTAAACCTCATCGCCCAGAAAGCTCACTCTCCGTACTAAAGAATTCGACCCCAGCAAACGACGAGCACGAGAAGATTATAACTTCTTGTGGCTATGCAGAGAGTAAGGGAGAGACATTCTGGAGTGACGACGAGGAGCGGATGGGAAAAGCGATTATTGAAAGCTACCAAGCACTTTGGTGGAAAATTATACATCGGGACACAAATGAGTTCCATATTACTTAGTTCCTGAGAACCTCTTTATTCTATTAGTTTGAGATATCGTGCTTTCTTGCAACTCTATTCCCAACGAGTGGTTTTCTATGTTCATACGCTGTGGCGAGGATTCATCAGGCTTCCTGCCAAGGAGACGAGAGCTGGTCCACAAAGAACGTTGATTGTTCCAGATTGGGAAAACACTGTCTTTTCCTGCGAAGGCGCGAACGAAAAGCAATGATCTATCACGGGCGTCGAGGCCAGTCAATCAATTGTATTTGGCATGAAAGCGAGATTTGGAGTGAAGCGAAGCTCGGACTAGGCCATTACTTGTCGCGTTGGTCGTCGTACAGCTTATGCTACAGCAATAAGATTAGACAAACCTTTTAAAAGTCGACTTCAATGTTCTTTCGAGTTCATAGCTTTCCATGTGACTCTCCTCACCGTGAACTCCTGGCAGCGTCACTCAGGGGACATGCAGCCCGAAGCGAGACCCAAACACGAAACTCCAACACCCATCTCAAACCTGCCTGCACGCGCCGCGCCGCTTCAAACCCAACAATCCATCCAACGCCGTGATCGCACACAAGAAACCGATGTATTATCAATGCGATCCAGAGCACTGGGAAATCACCAAACTTTCATTCGTCTGAGACAGTGTTGGATGATGGGGAAATTAAAGATGTGTAGGCTTGTTCTCCGTTGATGTGTCAGCCTCCAATCTGCGGCCGTCTAGACTTTGTTGTTGAGATTGGACTTTTGAAGGGGCTGTGAGGATACAAGTAGAGCTTCGTCGCTCTCTACTACGATTGCAGTGTTGTCCTCAAAACTTCACTCGTTTTCGTGTCAACCTGACGGTGCAGCGTTGCTCGCTTACTGTCCACCATCACGACTTGATTGTTTACACCCCTCGCCGAGCGAGCTTTGCGACCAAGGAGCGGGAGTTGGAAGGAACTTTCATTTGGCGGCGGAAGCGGAAATCGGAGACAAGATCACTGAGGCTTTCAAGGCGGATTGATTCAGTCGGAGGGTCAATATTTGCAAACAACCGGTGTCACCATGGTTGACCCTTTCCCACCACGACCCGCTGTCGCAAAGGTAAACATACAACCAATCCCTAGAAAACCCAAAATACTAAGACAATCACCCAGGTCGCAGCCTACATCCCTATCACAACACCTTCGCCATCTTACAACCCAGCACTTTACACCGGTCAAGGACAATCCCGCCCCTCCGACCTAGAATCCGCACCTGACGATCCTTTCATCGCTCGCAAACCGATACCTTACGCTGGTAATCCGCTCTACCAATACCCATTACCTGCGCAATACACGCAAACATGCGACAAGCACCATGAAGAAGAGCGGACGAGAATTACAAGGACGATTTTGGCTTGTATTAGTATGGCCCTTACGGTTTGCGCTATCATTGCAGTGGTGGTGAAGATGAATTGAGATAGTAATAACTGAGGTCGAATATCCATATTTTTCTTGGTGCTTCAATATGTTTTACTGAACTCGGGGCTGTGAAGAGCCCTCAGCGTAAGAGCCTAAAGTTTCATGCTGGTGGAACAATGCCATTACAAATTTTCAGTGGAGAAACAGGTTTTGGAATATATTCTGAAAAAACATCGATTGGATACGTATCAGCTACAGATTTAGATACTTCAGTACAATTTTGCGTGACTTTAGCCTCATGAAACCAATCACCAGCATTCAGACTCGGTTGCATGCAGCAGTCAGCAGCCCCTAGAAAAGTTCACAATCTCATCCAACCCCCTCATCCAACCAAACCATCTAACAATTATGTCTCGAAAACTCAGCACTTGCGTACTCTCTCAATCAATGCACGTACGATAAACGCCTCAGAAACAAGCTGAACAATCCAAACCACTCCCCACGAAAAACCCTACACCCTACCGAACCCTTCCCGTCCCAGCGCACTCCCGTTCTCAAAATAACAGCCGCCAACCCCCGCCCCTTCGGTACCCGAGAACACAGTTCCTGGAACTCCCAGCATCCGAACAGGGGACCACCAACCCCAGGATTCGCTCGCACCCAGGGCTCCGCCACCCAACTGTGCAAGCGCCGCTCCAACAATAATCTGAAATGCAATTCTGCCTACTACCGTGCTGCAGGTTACAGATGCGGTGGACAATAATAATTGTCAGCATAAAACCTTGTTAGGCTCTGAGCGATCTTGCGAATTGTTTACTTTACAATACAATACGGTGGATCCCACCTGGATATGAGATGGTTGAGTGGCAGTGGAGAATTTTCAAGAACATTTCTTTTTTGTGACGGCCTTTATTGAGTTTATTAGAACTTGTATCGCGAGATCGTTGTTTGTTTCTTCAGATGCGCAGCTTCGAGACGTACTCATTCGAAAATCGACCTTACAGCAGGAGGACATGAAATAGGAACCGTATCAATCAACTTGCCCGTTACAACCCGGCCTTCAAAAATCCAGTATCGATGAGCTACAGGCCGTTCGAACGCACGACAATCTTTTTTTGAGACTGTGTTTCCAGTTGGGGATTTCATGATCTTTTTTTCTCTTGTATCTCCCCGCTTTGCATCGGGTGTAGGCAGGAATAACAAATGGCAGACATAAGATCAGATGGGCCTCTTGTAAGTCTCCTCACACATTTTCATTATTTCTCTCTTGATGTCCAATCGACCTTCAAGACTCGCCTTGAATCTTACACGGAAGCCCAGCCCAACCAGATACTTTCAGATTCCATCCACTCCGTACTTTGGCTAACACATCTCAGCTCCCCCTCTACAAACTACCCTCATCCTCCTCCAGATCCAGATCCACCTCCCAACCACACCCACCAAACTCCTCCTCCCCACCACCACCATACTCACCCTCTCCCTCGCCCTCACGCTCACCCAGCATCGACCTCCCCCTCCACCAAATCTCAAATCCAAAATCCCACCACGCCAACCCTCAAGAATCAGAACACCGTCGAAACAACAAACGCAAAGCACTGATCTGTATCTTCCTGGCTGTCATGCTGCTCTTGATCATACCATTGGCGGTGTTTAGTGTTATTGTTTCGAAGGCTAGGGATAAAGAGGGGTGTGTGGGGAATGATGGGGAGGTGCTGGGGGGAGGTGCGGTTTGTGAATGAAGACTGTGGGGAAGAAGAAGACATTGTATATATGGAGTGCTCATGAGAATTACGGTATTTAGTGGTGTTTATGGCCGGTGTTGGGATGGTTTGCATACTTTGGGATGGAATTGGATATTGGATTGTGGTTTGATCTTGAGAAGCATTCGTCATCGACATTGAGCTTGGGGCAGCACATTGTTGATGACCACTTGATTATAACTCACCAAGTGTTATACTATCTGTCTACTAGAATTAAATGAAATTAAAACTTCCCAATCTTGGGTCCCCCTTCCCTTGTGGAGTCCAAGACTGGCATACATCTCAATTCAACGTCTCCCCAAAATCTCAATCGACTCACTTGCACAATCATTCATGAAACCAAAGTCACGGCCAGTCAGCCTAGCATTACGAGACTCTTAGGCATCAGACCTCTTCAGAAGAACAACAACAGGAACCAACGACTGTGCCTCTGCTCAGGTTTCCGCCAAAAAACACGAAACCTCACAAAGGCGCATACACAACACCACCAACAGCGAGGCAGACTAAAGCCAGCGCATGCAGAGTCATATCATCGGAACCGCTCGAAACACCCTTCTGTCACACTGAACTATCTGTGCAGAGAATTCTTACCACCGGCAGCACATCTTACTCGTCAGTGATTGTTTGGAAACCCGTCCGGAATAGCTTGGACAACGCATAAACAGGATCTGCCTGCCCTAAAGATGGCATATCAAATTGCCTCTCGTCCTTATTTATTGGTTCGAAAGAGTTAGGCTGTTTGGGGAAAGCAATGCAGAAGGAACCATTTCCAGGACCACAGCTTAGTGAACTTTTGAGTCGTGATGAGATGAACCTATTCCGAGGCATGGTTTTTCTATCCATTTCGAGAAGTTCGCATTCGGTACCATGCAAGCAAAGCACGACAGAGGAAATTATACTTTATTTCCGGACGGTTTTGTTTGGACATTGTTCCACAACTTCAAGAATTCAAGGAAACCGCAGGCTGCCATAAGGAACAGAATTTGGTAAAACGCTCCAATTCTATTCTTCGATGCAAAAGTATGTATTCCAGAACTGCTGCATTGAAACATCAATATCGCTCAGAAACCAAATACCAAGGTTTATCAAGTGCGGCCCAATCACACTGCCTTCCGAGTGCGCGGGGCAACGTGAGATGCAGTCATGATTGTTATTACCACTGTTGAAATGAATGGACCCCAAATACTATCCCACCCAAACCACAGCATCGTACCAGACTTCGGTGTTTGTTCTTCATGGAAATGTAACCCGAATTGCAGACGCCACTATGCACGTCATTTGAGTAGGGTTACAGCAATATCGGACACAGATTGCGTACCGGCGAAATGGACATTTGGTGTCTGCACGCTGCAGTCACGCTAAGTTCTTGACAGCTGGTGGAGATGTACCTCGACAGAAACAGACTGGAATATGAGTAGTGAATGCGAAAGAAAACATTAGAGTATCTAATTATGAAGATTATGAACAAAGTCTCCATATGTACCTCTCCTTATGACTGCATGCAGATGGCAGAACCGTTCCCACACTTACGGACCCTTGACAAAAACACGACTTGGGTCTCCAAATCTTAGCTGTAAATGAGTGAGCCCCGGATACTACTTGTGTTTCCACTCAGGCCTAGCTGCACCTTCAGCGGATTTTAGATGCTCTGTTCAAAGGGATTCTGAAGCATTCCTGCAGCCGAAAACTATCGCGGAAATAAACAACAGCGAAGTAAAACATGAAGGAGGCTTCAGAAACCGCGACCAAGGGATTTACATCTCAACGTACCTGGAAATGATGTCAGATTACAGTTCAAACTTGGAGAAACACAACCAAACAAAATCGAATCTTTAGGACAAGTCCAGTATCAACCAGGAAGCATGCAAGCCAGAGTAATGATGCGCTGTCTGTCAGGGGACTTCCCGCTCCAGCGATCCTCGCTTAACCCTACGATTCGTAGCGTGCCATCCCACGCACGCTAAAGCGCCTATAAAAAGACGCTGACCACTGAACTGAACCAGCCACTACTCACCCCTGGAACTTTCAACACAGCACAGCCCTCCCAAAATAGCCGCAGCCCGCCTCGCCCGCCCAGCCCACCGCATCTTCACTCACCCGAGAGATCCTCATTACTGGTAAATGTACCTACCTACCTACCTACCTACCTATGCAAAAAACAAGGAATCAAACCAAACAAGCTCCCAATTAGCCGCCGTCGGATCCCCAGATTGCTTCTATGCCGAGTAAAGTAAACTTTAACCATATTAATCTGGCTTCCGGGATATCTCGGCTGCTTGGCTGCACTGCACTGCGCTGCGCGTCATCTTCGCGAGATTAATCTGCACGCTGCCTGCCTGACTGACTGCTGGTATTTATGGCAGCATGCAGGGTCCAGCACTATGGTGTTATCCGTCTTGGTTAAGGATTTGAGGCTCGATGAAGCTGAATACTTGCTGCAAATGTATGTGGGGACACGAAGAAGGAGAAAGGATGGTGTTTTCTGTACCTTAGCAAGGATCATCGATAGGATACGGTAGGGCAGGTAAGCCTTGGCTTAGTCGAATGCTTGGTGGAACCACATTCCAGATGCTCTGGAAGCATACCAGCCAGTACTTCCGAGTCTCGTTTGTTTTTTAGTGCTATTCGTGTCTTCGGTTGCCGGGAGAAGGAGGCGTTGAGGATGTTTCTTGAGTTTCTTTGTCTGAGGATCCCGTGCTGATGTGCTATTCATGTCTTCGGCTGCGATACCAGAGAATGTGTCTGTGTATCCGTGTCTGTATTGCTGTGTATTTTCGGAATCGATGTACATCCGGGGATAGTGGATAGTATGCAAGTCAATATACTGACCTCCTCTCGGTGAGCTCTGCATCTCAGCTTGAGGACTTCGAGATACAAAAGCTCGAAGATATCCGGTGTAGTTTTCTTTCTTCATCCTCATCTCATCTCATCTCATCTCATCTTCTTCTACATCCAAGGAGCTCTCTCCCTCTTTCCTATCTCAGCTTTCCTCTATCTCTATCATAGATTTCTTCAAGTTACAGCACCTTCCTTGATCTCATTTCAAGCTTTTCAAATCTTAGATCTCAACCCAGCCTCAAACAGTAAGATCCTTATCTCCATTCAATCGTCTTCTCATGCTAACTCCTCTCTAGAAATGGTTTCATTCTCTCGCATTGCTGTTGCGGTTGCTTTCATTCTTCCTGCAATTCTCGCCGCTCCACTTCCCCTTGCTGAACCTGGCAATCGTCTCGGCATTGGCGGTACTTCTACTTTCGTTCCAATCAGACACAACAAGCGTGAGCCTACTCCAGAGGCCGACCCTGGAAACAGACTTGGTATCGGCGGAACCTCAACCTTCGTTCCTATCCGCCACAACAAACGTGAACCAGCACCCGAAGCCGAACCCGGAAACAGACTCGGCATTGGCGGGACTTCTACTTTCGTTCCCATCCGCCATAACAAGCGTGAGCCAGCACCAGAAGCAGATCCAGGAAACAGACTCGGCATCGGTGGCACTTCAACCTTTGTCCCTATCCGACACAATAAGCGCGATGCAGAGGCAGAGCCAGAAGCAGAGGCCATCATCGAAACCCGCGAGCCAGGCAACCGTCTCGGCATAGGTGGAACCCCAACATTCGTTCCCATCCGCCACAACAAACGCGAGCCTGAAGCCGATGCCGATGCCGATGCCGAGGCTGAAGCTGAAGCTGCTCCAGAGTTAGAAGTTGAAGCCGAAGCTATCATCGAGACCCGCGAGCCTGGAAACAGACTTGGTATCGGTGGAACTCCTACCTTCGTTCCTATCAGACACAACAAGCGCGAAGCTGAAGCTGAGGCTGAGGCTATTGTTGAGACTCGCGAGCCTGGAAACAGACTCGGTATTGGTGGAACCTCGACCTTTGTCCCTATCAGACACAACAAGCGCGAGCCAGAGGCTGAAACTGAGGCTGAGGCCGAGTTCGAGACTGAGCATTGACTATCTGATGATGTACATATTTGAGCCTTTGTGAGCTCTACAGCAGTTTGTGGGACTTGAGATATCTCTTCCTTCTTTTCCTGTTCTTGGGCTTGGGACTTTCGTTTTCATTCCTTGATGGATTCATGATTTTGCCTCTCTTCTTTCATTTCCTACCTTCACTTTTTTTTGGCTGGGGATGGGATGGAATTGTATATAGGTCAAAGGACATACTGAGACAGATTCTCTGGATTCTGTTGATGGGATGTTCTCAGGAGGACATGAATGATATGATGGGGTGGGATTTTTGCGAGGACCATTTTCACTTAACTTCAGTTCTTGGACATTAAATTCAACGCTCGTTTCTTTCAAAAAGAGTCTTCTCCCTATGATTTACATTGAACATTTCGAATCTTGACTGCCGAAGAGTGACATACAAAATGCCCTAATGATCCACTCCGCACCCCTGCCAGCCAAACAATAAGCGAGTTACTCCCCTCCATCCACTCCAACCAACCAACCAACCAACCACTGTTCACCTAGACTCTCGACCGCCAAAAACACCCATCAAACAAACCCCCCTCTAGTAAAACATCAAAAAACATAAAGTCCCAAAAAAAAGTTAAATTCCCTCAGGCGCGAGTCGAACCTATACAGCTGTTAGCAGCTGTCTGAGAGAAACCATCTTTTCCAACACCTGTGAATGGAGGCACTTACGCGCGACATTCGGATGAAACTGAATAACCCATTACAGTCCGACGCCATAAACCAACTAGACGACCGAGGGTGTGTATCTGATGAGATGTCAGCAGAACACACTATTTGGTTAGATGGAGGGGTTAGTGGGGTGTAAAATTTTTGATGTGATGTGGAGTGGAGATCGACTGATTGAATTGAGCGGGGCTCAGGCGAGGAGGACTTTGACTCTCGACACTTTAGATACTTCTTTAGAATTTACTGGACTTTTTAGTATCACAGTATGAAGGGGATTTTGGAACAATTGTAGAGTAGAGATCCATCCATTCAGTTTTACAATGAAATAACGTATAAACTAGGTCCCCGAGCCAAATAAACCCCACTGCGAAGAAAAGACGCAAGCTATGCCTGAAATCCGAAACGAATCCTCCCATAATAATAACCAGACATACCATAGCTATGCATCGCTTTGTCAATTTATTAGATATCCCATCCATCAACACCACATTTGAGACCTCTCCCTATCTCTTCTTCCACAAATTCAACCTCCATCCGCCATCACCATTCCCATCCACCCATCCCATCAACCCACAAAGTCGACCTAGTCAGCAACAACCTCCGCCTTCCCACTCTCCACCTCAGTACTTCCCTTCTCCTTCTCCTTCCCCCTCCCAAACAACCGTGCTAGTCAAACCGAAATCGGCTGCGGCGCCGCATGCGACGCAACAGGGATATCAATCGTCTGCTCATTAACAGGGTTCTCGGTAGCAGCAGTAGTGTTCTCCTCTTCCTCCTTCTTCTTATCCGACTTCTCTTCTTGCGCCGACTTCAGAATAGAAGTAGGCTCCTCGACGATCGTAGGCTCGGTTGCTTCAGTGGTCGCTGGCTCGGGGGTTGAGATGGTCTCGGGAGTGGGTGCGAATGTCACGTGCTCTGAGGATGAGGGGGCGGGTGCTTCTTCGGTCTGTGGATGTTAGTTGAGGTCTTGAAGAAGGGTGAGGACTGGGCCTTACAGCAGGAGCGGAGGCTTCTTCGACGGCAGCTGGTGTCTCTTCGACTTGAGGGGTCACTTCAACGGGCGCCTGCTCGACAGGAGCTAATTCCTCGATCTGTCTCACAGTCAGCATCTCAGCTCATACCAGATTCGCTTGCTTGGAAAAGTTTTACACTTACCACAGGCAAAGTCTCACTCGCTTCAGCCTCAGTAGGTTTCGACTCCTCAACCTAGGGTTTGCATTAGTCATCCAAAGAATCACAGGCTTGAGTCGATTTTCGATACCAGCAGTCCGAAAGAGACATATTGATTGCTTACCGGTGTCTCCTTGATATCCTCTTCCTTCACCTCCTCCTTTGTCTCTTCAGGTTGCACAAAAGTAGGCTCTACCTCAATCGCAGCCGGGGTCTCAATATCGGTTATCGGTGCTGGAGTTGGGAACTCATCGGCTGGTGCGAAGGTCTCTTCTTGGGCTTGATCGGCGGGAGCGGGCGTCTCTTCAGCGGCAGCAGGTGTTTCGTCGGCAGTTGAGGATGGCTCTTCGACATGTGCGGCTATGCTCTCCTCAGCTGGTATGGATTCTGAGACCTCTTTTGGCTCCTCGGTCTGTGTCATGTTAACGCTGTGGTTTGGCGAGGAACTTCGGAGTACATACCGTTTCACTGACTTCAGGCTCTGCCTCAACAGCCTTCACCTCCTCAACTGGAGCTGCCTCTCCGGTTTTTCCCTCGGTCTTTTCCTCACTCTTGCTCTCCTCCTCAACAACAGGCGTTACTTCGTCACTCTTCTCCTCCTCCTTGGTCTCTTCCTCCTTGATCTCCTCTACTGGCGTACTCTCCACAACGGACTCCTCCTTCACGTCATCCAAAATGACTGCGGGTGGCGCATCGGGAACAGCTGGTGGAGTCAGAGCTGCTTCCCGTTCTACGAGTGATGCTTCTCTTGCGTCAAGAGCAGCTTCGCGGGCGTCGAGGGCTTGGGCGCGGAGATTGAGCTGGAGTATGTCAGTATGAGTATATCCTTGGCGACGAATTGTACTGGGAGGAAGGAGTTTGGACTATGTAGTGGGTTAAATTGGAGTGGAAGAGGGAAGTAAACTTACCGCAGCTTCACGATCAGCGAACGACTCCGTGGAAGGAACTTGTGTCTCAGTAATGTCGGCCATTTCGATCAGTTAAGATGAAATGCGCTGCGTTGTCTGTACTGGTATACTGAGATGTGGTGAGGTAAAGAAGTAAGAACTTCGAAAGTGGGGACTGGGTGTGTATGTGGAAATATAAAAAGCACGAAGCTTGACTTTCCACATAGATTTGCGTGGGGACACAGGATATATAGCTTTCCTACCAGCCCACTAGTGAGCGGTGAACTTCAAGTACCTTCATGGACTCCTACCCTGGTTGTGAGACATGGTCCCGGGAAACAGACTTGGATCTGGAGGTACTGTACGGCTTGTCCCCTACGGACGCGCACATCGCGTCACCTAGGAAAGCCTTGACTCGCTCGCACAACAGACTGTCAGTAAGTGACGACCGCCTCATATCCTTCCGAATGCAGCACGTGTTCCGTACAAAGATACCCCATTAAGTATTTTCACCTCATGTCTCTCTTCTCCCATGCATTGGGTAGTAGTGCATGGTATTGCTTTGCCACTCCCACGCTACTCTTCTTCAACGCAGAACCTTTTTTCCTCTCATTCGATAATCACCCACGCACAAACTTTGATTCGGTGAATATTCTCGGACAACATATCAAACTTAGCTACTCGCATACTTCTGTTCTCAAGTTGACTAGTAGAACTAGCGATCCTGAACGCCACTTCGTGATCTGTGCAGCCAAGAACATACAGTAGCATACATGCGGGGGACGGTGAACAAAGCTCTTTACATGGGTGTGGCGTGCAGGAACTCCTGCGAGGTGCGGTGAGTTGAAGCTAGCTGAGACATAGTACGGACCGTATATCCAATACTTACAGGACATACCCCCGTTATCTCCCCGACGCGTGTCCTCGTGCTCTTTTTCACATTTCGGCTCTTTGAAAGAATGGACGAAAAACAGGGAATTGATATACTCGAAATTATGAGATCTCAGAACAATTCTTTCCCGTACTTAGATGCTGTCTGATGACTTCCATTAGCCTTGCAATCACTTGAGGATATTTGACTGAAAATCAGACAAGATAACAGTTCCTCGGCCTCGGCCACATCCAAGCACGCGGTCCGTCTACCCCTCCAACGACGCTGCACCGAAGACTTCTCGGTGCAGATATTCGTGCATGCCATCACGGCGCAGGCAGCACATCAACAACAGAAAAGACATCACGAGGGTAGAACTCATGTACCTTTCATGCACGGCGCGCCATGCACAAATCAAATACTTGGGTAACGTGGCACGCGTAGGGTACCAATCCCAGCCAGCGCCAGTGCGGGGTACTGTGCAGAATTGTTCCCATTTGTTTCGCCTCGCTTACACGACTCAGGGATAAGAGATCTGCGAATGGTCGGTGAGAGGAGAGTTGGATTTAAATTGTGGAGAGATGGAAGAAAATAAGTACATGGGTGATTTGCGAGGCTGAAGAAATGTATTGGATGGGAATTGTGCGTGGTGGTGCTATTGTGCTGTGATTGGAGCTGCAGATACTTGAGGAACTGGGTTTGGTCAAGTGAGCATTAGAGACATTGCGAATGACTTGACACGAATTGGGCTCCGCCACCAACAAAATCAAATGAAGTGCAGTACACCGAATCAGAGCTATACGGGAAGGTAGAGGCGACCTGTGGCTTGAGTGAGAAAATGCGGCTAAAGCGCATTACAGCAGCTGTCACCATAAGAAGGTTTAGCTACGAAGTGCCAGTCTGTGCTGTTGTAGGTTCAGCCACTTGACCATCCTGGGGTTACACAACGCCACCATGGCAAGAATGCGTATTAGGTTTCAATGAAGTGTGACGGTTGCGAACGTGATCTGAGATTCCCGAGGACCCTCAAGGATCATCCCAGATAATCCACAAACGGCAATGTCACTTCCCTCTTCACGATCTCGAGGGCCTGGATGACTTTCTCATCTTCATACCTGTAGAGTATGGCGTCAGTACACCGCCGGCTATGGTTTTCAAAATGAGGCGAACGCCTACCGTCTGCCAACAAACTGTAAGCTGATAGGGGCATCCTTGTATCCCTCAGCGCCGAACTTCTCCCATAGATCCCAGGTGTACTTGTCTTTGTCGTTTCGAGGTTCATAGGTGACCTTTTCACCGTCTTTCTCAACATCGACTTTATCGACGGGAAAGATCAGAGCTGGATAATCCAGCAAGTTCCACTGACTCGTGTATCCCCACCACTTCGCGGTGTCAATTTTTGGGGCTGCTGATGGACCAGCTGGACTTAATATGACGTCGACGGTGCCTTCAAATTCTCCGTTTGGTCCTACAGATGTCGCAGTTTCGTTCCATACCGCGTTATAATCGGCTCAGTATTTATCCCGTCGCTTGGTCGCAGCCCACATGGATGCAATGGTATGGTGCTCCATATGAGGATTATCATGGATTATATGTCTTGTTAGAGGACGCAATGGTTCTGATGATGCATCTGTAGCAGCCTTTTCTTCTCCGCCGCCGTCGCAAAAGTAGAGATTTGCCTAGAAATGGTCAGATGCATTTTCAACGGCAAAACCCAGATACTTGCAATGATCTCCCAGGCGATATTATGCTCGAAAGGCTTCCACTCAACGACCTCCACATTTTGGCTCGCCTTGAGCTTTTCAACAGCCTGCTTCAAAGCTCTTGTCACAGGCGGATGTGGCTTCACGACACCATCATCCCAAAGTACAGCGACTTTCAGTTTCCTACCTTTGAAGAAATCCTCTGACTTCCAAGGGAATGGCAAGAGGGAGGGTTCCTTCGACCATGGCTTATTGTCGATCAAAGTTTTGATGAATAACTTGCAACCTTTGAGACTCGTGGAAAGTGGTCCGACAGTAGGAATTATGTGCTCTGCGCTGAGCATAGTAGCAGAAAAACCCGCCATGGGTAGTCGACCAGATGTAGGTTTCATGCCATAGACTCCTACACTGACAGTCAATCAAAGTTCCAGACAATGCCTAGGAGCGCGGTCAAACCATTATTTGCAGCAGGACTTCGAATCGAGCCTCCGATATCCGTCCCAATACCCAAACAACTGCCTCGAAATCCAAGCAGAGCTCCTTCGCCACCCGACGATCCACCACTCGTTAGAGTCGAATTGAACGGATTTGTGGTAACACTTTCTGGTATCAGCATACCCCAACCCTTCTTTCATTCCGAACCCAGAGCAGATACCTACCCGTATAGATTACTACTCGTTTCTAAATGCATCAAACTCTGCGGCTGTGTAGTCCTCGCATAAAACACCGCACCCGCCCTCCACAATATCTGCAGGATATGCGCATCCTCCTCCGCCACAGTCCCGACCCAAGCAACGAATCCAGCATTTAAGTCCAGCCCTTTCATACCAACATGCTCTTTCACACTGATTGGTATACCATGTAGAGGACCAATAGGCTTCTTGTGTTCGGCAATATACTTATCGAGGAAGGCTGCGCGCTCGAGGGCTCGTGCGGGAAGGAGTTCCGTGATACAATTCGTCTGGAATAGTTAGTATGTGAGTACAGAAAGAGGAATTTGGACAAACAGCTTTCTGTGCAAGTGCTGCACGGCGAAGAAATGCTTTGATAACAGTTGTAGAACTGATCTCTCCGTTTGCAAGCTGAACAACGAGATCTTCCACATAGCTCTCGGTGATCTTGATCTCTTCTGCCGTGAGGTACTTCTTCGCCAGCGGAATTGTATTAATTGGAATATCGTTGATTTCTGGTAAGGGAGGTTCAATGGCGACAATTGTTGCGTCTCGGTGTTTCTGTCTGTCTGCTGCAACCTCTTGCCATGTAGCACCAGAAGCTGTGGTTACTGTTGCTGCCATCGTGAGCAATTAGCTGCAGATGAGACTTTCCAAATTGATCTCGTGGAGGGGAAGGAGAAGCTTGATGAGGATATATTGAGTGCTATTAACATGGCCAAGTGGGAGTGCAGACCAAGCCGCCAGCGTGGGATAGGAGAGGGGAATCGTACACAACGCGGGGTTGATGATAAGAGGCTTGACGGACTGGGACTGTTGTTATCTTTAGGAAACGCAGGGCGGAATTACAGCTTTCACAGCTCTTCGCACTAAGGCTGAATGAGCAGGTACATGCGAGTGTCACGTGGCAGCTTTTGCTCTTGCTATTTGTCCCTTTCGGGCTTCATTCGGATACCATTCCGACATATGTATTGGTATTTATATAATCGAGTATCAGTTCATGATGAATCGATACTAATGTGTGACATAAAAGTACAAACTTGCGCATGGTAATGCCGATCTATAGTCAAGTGTTGATGCTGACTTCAGACCGCTGAAGCTAGTCTCGCACGAATCGAGGTTGGGACTGTCGCAAATGAAACGGAAGCATCATTTATCAGCCAAAATCTTGGAAAATTACCTCGCAGTTTAGACGTCCCTGATGTCCTTCACTTGCACGGCCGATTTTGTTGTCGGACCTGGGCTTTAAGCGAAGTCAACAAGGTGGTCCCGAAGCAAATCTTTGGCGAGAATATCTTTATTATGCGAGACTCATTTGTGAGATTGGCACTTCGGCGCATATCATGTGAAGAAAGACCGCTGAAGTGGACCATTCACTGACAGTAGCATCGCACTACCATTGCAGTTAAGATCTCCAAGATGTCAGCTCAGCGCCTGTTCGGCCCCGCTTCCAAGGTAAAACATCTCGATCCCCCAGTTCGAGCCTGAGTTGCATGGCTCGGAATTCTCGCTCGATGCGATCCAGTCACAGCAAAGCATCACTGAAACATAATATCCACCAACTCGCTCTCATCCACAGGCCACTTCTCCCCATACATAACCCCATGCACATATGCTTGTCCTATCAGCCTATATCTCTCGCCCATCCTGCGAGCAATCAAAGGTCTCGAAACACCTGCCACGAGAAGTATTTCATCACCTGCTTTAATTCCTTGCAAACCCTGCCCCATGTAACCCTTTACCGTAGTGGAAAAAGAGGTTTCTTGGGTACACATCATCGCTAAGTCCTGAAAAATGAGTGCATCCTCGTTTCCTTCCAAACTTGTCTGCAAATACCACGTCTCCTCATCCGTTTGGATAGATTCCATAGCCTCTTGCACAATTCGCTTGAAGAGGCTGTCTCGGATCCCTGTGACGAAGAAATTCGCTTCTCCCTCATGATTTCTGGCGTCAGAATGAGGCCACTCCGATAGATAGGAGAGCATCCAGTGGGAGAATCCCTTGCCAACGTCGAATCCTGGATATACATCCTGCCAATACCAGTTCCGACTTTGATCAAAAACCAAGGTGCGACTAAATGCCTGAAGTGCATGCTCTCCCGTTGGATATAACGAGCAGTCGCAGATGGCTGTCATCCAGGCTTCGATCATTTTGTACAATACATCGCGTGTAGAGGGGTGTCTAGATTCATCTGACAGCTTCTCCGAGCTAGAATCTCTCCGAAGGTGTTCGGAGAACATTACGGGAGCACAGGACTCCAGTCTATCAATGCTAACACCTCTGACGGACAAGATATTCTGAGCTCGGCGAATCTTGTCTTTACCGCTGAAAAAATGGAACCAGCCGGCGCTACCGGCACTAGCCTTGAAGATATCAACTTCAGGCTGGTATATCTGGAGCCCATGCTTTCCTTTCGATGACCAATGCGTAACCCAGGATGGAAGCTCGGTCAGCACTGTAGCTTGGGAGCACTGCAGGAGTACATCAAGTGCCTTGTCATATTCTATTGTTGCTTTCGTGGCTTCTGTAAATATAACCTCAACTGTCTTTGTGTAATCTGATGGGGGGATTTTTATTTGAAATCTCTCAAATATTCCATGGAACCCGAACACAGCGTCTTTTGCATGGCTCGCCTCCAGGGCTCACCCTGCGATTAGCAAGTTGGTGAGCCTAATAGATTCCATGCTACCTTCGTGAACTGCGTCCTAAACATCCTGGAAATGCGTTGCAAAGGCTATATATGATGGTAGGCCGGGAGCGTAGTTGGGCTCACCATTACTCGGTCGTATCTTGAGTATTGAAACCCAACCCTCGAAGATATAAGATATAGGCATTTGCTTGGAGCCGCAAATGATTCGTGAGTCTCGACTCAATGTATATTCCTAAACTGTCCAGACGCGGCAAAACCAAGGCTTTCCAATGAGTAAATCAAAAAGGGTGGCGCATTCTACGCCATAGAGTCTCCGTTCCTCTGCTGCATCTGTATTAACTCAAATGTCAAAGTATGATAATGGTATCTCAGCACTGACCTTTCAGTTTCTCTATTTCTAGGAGGAGTAAGTTATCGGTAGACCCGGGAAAATAATCTTTCGTCGCATCCAGTACCTTGTGATAATCACCGAGGAAATCTATCATGAAGTCTGTCTCTGGCGTGCTCTCTCCCAGCCAGATCCAAGTCCTCTCGGCTTTCGAGTACACACCACACATCAAATTCACTTGGTGTCCTCGCTCACTTAATGATGTTTGATCGATACAAATGGCATCGATCCATAGCACCTTCTCCTCAATCGTGTCTCGTAGCCTTCGTAGGGCAGCGACGCAGCTCTCCGAAGCCAGCAATTTCTTTCCATAGCACGAGACCGGCGTCGTGTGGGGAGGAGGACCCCATGCGTAAGATAGCGCGCAGTATGGTGGAAGATCATCGAGACTGAAAACTTTCAGCCGAACATTGATAACATCGTCGAACTGGCCAGGCTGAAGAAAGAGCAGTCTGATTGATCTTACATCTGTGAAAGGTGCATGGTGGTAAAGTTCAGTTGTCGAAGCCATGGTGTTCATTGACAAACAATTATAAAGCCGATTTAAAGAGCGGACTCCTGGGTTTGAAGCGGTGATGACAAGAATAACAGTTTGGAGAGGAGGAAGAGATGTAGGAAACCTCACGACGAGACTCCTGGTGTGGTTGGTGATGATAAGAGGCTGAGTAATCTGCAACCAATACTCGACAATTATTTCGGTGAGGCTGCGATAGGCTGACAGCAGCCTAATTGCCATTGCAGGGAGATTACAGCCAACATTGTTTAGGGGAACCGAATCACGAACTGTTGCGTCAAGACGAAGAAACGTCGGCAAGAAAACGCTTAATGGCATAGAAGCTGGAAATGAGAGGTAAAAAATGCATTTTATTTCATTTTCTCCCAGCCCTGTTCCAAGTCTTAGACGAATTCCCCGATTTAAAAACTCCAAACACCATGCGCTCTTCGCAAAAATCCCAGGGTATCAATATCGACAAATCCGCAAACCCGTATTTAGCTCGGCCGACCCCAATTGAACGCCGTTCCCACTGCCGCTATCGTGAGACATATCAATAGCATTGCAACAACCCACTTCACCATCTCCTCCGTTTGCTCTGCAGGTGTCCCATCCATATCAAATTGCCGCATTATTCTATCCATCTCTTGCTCATTCTGGCGGTATAGCTCATTGTAAGAAGGTGGCGGAGGTTGTGTTGTATCGTTATCACCGATCGCTACGATATACGGCTCATCATGATATTCGTCTTGTGGAATTGACTGGTCTGAGGTATTCGGACATTCGCGGTCTGGGAGAGGTAGTGATATTCGTTGATGTGATCGCAGGTAGTCATACATAGGCTCATATCCCGGTGGCTGGGAGGGCGAATGCTCATCGTGTGCGGGGTCATCGTGGTATGGGATCTGGGTAGAGATAGACAATTGCGGAGGCTGAATGAGATCGTTCATAGGTAGAGATTGTGGGAGAGCAGATAATGTCTGCGAGAGTCGAGCATGAGGTATTGAAGGATCGCAATGATGCCGTTGCGACATAGTCCTTGCCTTCCTTTTCTCTCCTTTTCAGCCTCGCCAGCCTCGCCAATTCGGGTCGCGCTTTCGTTCGGGCTCGGCAAACCTCTCAATCAAAATAAAGGACTTCAATGGCAAGTGCGACAGAAATATATTTTTTGGATGAGGAGGAGACGATGTGCATTTGTTTTTTTTCTGTTCATTAAAGAGAATGGGTGCCAGCAGCCTATTTGTTACACCTGCTGTGCCGTAGAGTCAGTGTTGGTTTCGAGTGGCTCAGGCGAGACGGCTGCCCGCACCGACCAGTAAAGCCCACAGCCCCGTTGTTGCAACAGGGTCTGCAGGGTGCATTTTCCATCCCGTGCGTATCAATCTGATTCTATTCTTGCTTCAGGATGAACGAATGTTGGTTTAGCAGTTCATGAAATGTTATCCGAAAGGAGCCGTTATTAATGCATGAGCTTCCGCTATCCCGACTGATCACATTTAGCGTGGCAAAATCTGGATAGAGATTGATATTGAGTCGTAAAAGCTTCATTTAAGTGCACGAGGTTCGTGAATCTTACTGCGCAGGGTAAGGGAGCTCTGCCTTGGGTCACTGCAGCAGCATTTCTCTAATCAGCGAAACAGGCGGATGAATGTAGAATGAGCTTGCCTCCTGTGTTGGCAAGGTCTTCCTTGGAAGGTCTGGTACATTGGGGTAATCTGTCCAGTGGTCGTCACTTCCAATGCCGAAGTCCAATATCGCACTTCGCTCTATGAGTTTCGCACTGAAACAGTGGGATAACGATATCCCCCACTATTTCTAAACATGTCAGTCCCATACGACCCCGACGCCGCTCACCAGCCCAGGCTCGAAAATGACAACAGGAGTCTATCTTCCAAACAAAATACATAGTCTAGACCTTTTATACTTTTGATGCCACATAAATCAATCTTTTTCTATAGTTTGTGGGTGGATCAAATCAACCCCCTCGCTGACCTCCTTGCTCACTTACTTATCCGAAATTGAATATTTCTCTTCGGATTGTTGACCTGAAAGTGTATTGAATATTGCAGTCATGTTACATCGATAGTAATAACAAATTTTCATGCTATGGAGAGGAATGCAATTTGACGAAGCGTACCAACGCCTGCAGGATTTCAGCGCCAAACGAAAAGATGACAAATCTTTTCTTGTAGCATTCTAGCTGTGACTGCGATCCTGCATAAGAAAACCGACTTGCTTATCTTAGAGTTTAGCTGCTCTTTTGGCTTTCGATTGCCATCAAGACTGAATCATCGGCATGGTTCCTCGAATGTTTACATTTAGGCGAGGCCGACAGACTAGCCCTTTCAATTTGCTACTACTTGCTACCAATCGCATAACACCTCAAATTCCGATTCTTCACTTCATACACGGATGACTGCGAAGCAGTCAGCCCCTCTCTCGAGAATTGCCCCATCGTCAGCTCATACAGTTTACGATTCGTCCTCATACTCGTAGTATCCTGAAACAAGAACGCGCGAGGCAACAAATTCGTCGCTGTCAATAGCTGCGGGGACGTCAGTGCGAGACCCCAATTATCCCTCTTCTTAACAGCCTTACTGAATGTAACATTCTGAACAAAAGAAACACAGTGACGCAGATCCACACTGCCGCCCAACAGTGAGTGAGCGACAGATGGACAACTGTAGACTTCTCATCTGGTATTGTGGCGTGTTCACAGAGCGTAATTTACACTTGAGCTAGCGCAATGTCATGAATACAAGATCATCGAAGACTTGAAAAGTATATCTGATGTTGAAGGAAAGTACCATCACTGTTTTTCATAGAAATGATCATTCAGAAATGGTCTGTTCATGTTTCGCGCCACTTACCCCGCCCCCGTTTTCCTCCGCTTTGCACGTCAACAATGTTTTTCCCAAGCTACAATCGAATGAACCGGACCGCGATGAGATGGCCGAGGAGACTAACTGCAATAATATGAAGGCTCAAAAGACTATTTGATTTATTACCCACTAGTTTGAAGCTCTATCTCTAGCTGTGGCCATGCGGCGGCTCGATGACTATTCATCAAAGGCGCCAGGCACTTCGGCCCTGCCCGCAGCAGCTATCACAACACTTCCTCAACTTCTTCCACGAAATAAACTAAGTCGTAAAAGAAGACATTCGATCCTAATTCCTTAAATCTCTGTGATCTAAAATATTCTCAACTGATGTACATTCTCCCGAGCCTAAGCACCCGGCAGAGCCGGTTGACCAAGCCCAGACGCTATCAACACCCAAGCCCACCATTTGATGTCACCGTATCTATTTATCGGATTCTATCCACAGAAAACCCAAGCCAAGATGGTTACTCCTTAAAAGAAGCGTCATGGAGCGCTCATGCAACAACACTACATTTCCAAGATCAAATACATTCCACTGATTGGTGGCCATCGTAGGGCTGGAAGGTTGGCACTGCATTGCCCCACAACCCAGCCATACAGGAAGCCTCTTGGGCTTGGCTAGAGATTCCGTAACACTGCAGAATAAGATTCGGGGAATAAAAGCCGACTCTATGCCCGCTCGCTGTGGCCTTCATCTCTCCTCGTGATATCAAACACATAAGACGATAATTATCAGCAACTCTATTAGACTGGGATTCTAATGATCGTGAAGAACTAAGAGACTTACGCGATACTCAGGAGGAATTTAATCAGAGCTTCAAGTAAGTGGAGCTCCAACACGATGCCTACCAAAACATTCACAGTTGGCCTGGCCAACAAAAGCCATACCAAAGCCACTATCACACCAACCGGCTCCACAAGTCCATTTTATGAGCTCGACCTCAGCTGGTTCACCAAAGAACTCTTCACCAAGTCTACCAAACAAAGCATCGTGATGCGCTCCGCATCCTCCGCACCAAACTCGTTAGCTACATCCAAATCCGATGCTTCCTCACCCTCCTCAGACGCAAATCCAAACCCAATCCTCGGTACCTGTATCCTCCCCTTCATCTCCCTTTCCAACCCCATCCAAATCTGCTTTGGCGATCCCGACTCCAAATCCTCCACCTGGGAGTCCATATTTTGCCGGCAAACACTCAAATCCAACTGTTTCGAGCTAAGTATCGATCTCGGCGGAAGTCTCGGTGGGAGAACATTCAATTGGAAACGCACGCATGCAATTGAGGGGATGGGAGTGTTGAAAAGAGAGCTGGATTATCTGCATTTGAAGATGACAGAAAGAGAGACGGGGAGGGTGCTGGCGAGGTTTAGACATCATTGCTGGTATGGGGGGAAGAGGGGGGAGTTGGAGATCGAGGATTATGAGGGCGGTGGAGATGGGTGGGAGGTTATGGTTGTTTTGAGTGGGATGGCGGTGCTCGAGTATTTGAGGAAGTTAAGTGGATATTCATTTTGATGTGAGAGAGAGTGGTGTGATTGTGTGTCTCTTTTGGCGTTTATCCCTCCCCTTGATACGGCCGCGTTATGATCGTATAGTCGTGCCTTGATTTCATAGAATATGACGGTTGTAAGAGCAAGTTCTGGGATAACACGTATGATCTGGATGGATCCTGAATTAATCATTACCAATACTTCAACCTCACTTTTTTCTCTCCCTCCCCTCCTTTCTCCTCTCCCCTCAAGCATCATTTACCCCAGTAACAACTCCACAATACCCATTACCCACCGTATATCCCTCACCAGGTTTGTATCCGCCACCGGTGTTAACACCCAATCCATAACTTCCCGGCGCTTTACATGTTCCTGGATTTAATAGCACAATCAAGCATTGCTGGCCCTTCGGCGCAATCTCCTGATACACATAACTCGCGCAGTCTGCATTTTCGAAACAAGATGTGCAGCACTCGATGGCGGTGCCGGCGTTGGTGTACGGGACATTGGCGGGATCGGCACTGCCGCTGCTGATGTGTACTTCCCAGATTCCTTCATTGTTTACCCCGCCGGCGATGTTGTCTGCTCGACAGGCAGCGTATGATGTGGAGAGTGCCCGGGTTTCGGTTGCCGTTACCTGGCGGAGTTAGTTTTGAGGCAAGGATAAGAACGAACATTACTTACGGTCGTTGTGGTAGTTGTGGAAGCAGTATAGTATGTAGTCGTCGTACCATCTGAGCTGATATAGACAGTAGTAGTCGTCGAGGCTGATGAAAATTAGCGAAATGTCCAAAACAGCTAGCCATTGTGGAAAGCAAAATACCATTTGGAACAGTAGTAGTGATAGTCTCATAAGACGTAACACCGCTAGTCACGACTCCCGGTGGAAGAGTAACAGTTGCCGGTATCCTCGCCGTTCTAGTCACGTATCTGACAGTATACACCGTCACTACTTTGTAGCATGTGACGGAGATTGGATGTAAGAATGTCAACTTTGCTGGAGTTTTAAGATTCTTCTTTGGCAGCGCAGGACAAATGGAGAAAGTCCGCTTCTCAAGTGGCGAGGACATGGTTCGCCTGATTCGGGAAATTGGTGCGGTGTCTCGCTTCTTTTGAGCTGATCCGGGGAGAGTGGATTGCACGGGCTTGAACCCATCGGCTGTGGGAATCTCGGTTACAGAGACACTAGTTGTCGAGGTTGTGATAGATGTGTCCACCTGAGTACTTGTTGCTATTGCTGAGGAGATTGTGACGATTGTTCCTGTGTATTCAGTTGCTGTGTAGGTGTTCTAACACTTGTCAGTAAAACTCTCACGTGGCGATTATGTTGTGCACATACTGTGATTTGAGAGAGTGTATAGGTTGATGGCTCTGTTACTGTCGTTGTGACGGTCACTGGTGGAGCTTGAACTGTCACGGAAGGAGTGTATGTCTTTGAGCGAAGTCAGCGAGTGTGGAATCCCAGAAGAGTGATTGTGGTCTGCTTACAGTGGTTTCAATTAATTGCACATTGTTGGTTGCAACCCTGTTGATCGTCTTCACAGTCTTAGGAGGAAAGAATCCTCTTTGTGTGTAGCAAACACCTTTAGTACTTGGAGGTGGAGCTTGAGCAGAAGCAACATCCCAGAGGCAAGCGAGCGAAGATAAAATCAAGATTGAGGACTTCATCTTTGTAATTATGAACCCAGTAGAATTTAGTGAACGAGTGAAAGAGGGATGAAGAGGAGAAAATAGAAGGGAGGTCACTGGAGGTCTTTAAGAACCATCCCCATCCTGCGCTCCAACCTTTTTGACCCCGCTGTTGACCTTGGCATCTGAAAGACATCTCCTTGAGAACAGCGCCAAAAATACGCCCCTGCAGTCAATACCACCTCTCTTCGGATCTCGGTTCAGTAGTTTGCTCATAGCTGAGGCTCTGACCCTGTCAAAGCCAAGAAGCTTAAACATTCGCGCTGCCATCCCGTCTTCTAGCTCAGGTACAAGACGCCATTTAGCGGGGACCCTGTGCACAACACCGATGATGATTTGATGTGCTCGAGCTTTTGAACCTTGGATTTGCCTGATTAAGCTACTTCCCGCATCGATAGTCAGCTGGGGAAAATTCCGCAATGCTCGAAGATCTCCCGCAGAGCATGGTGAAGTCCCCACATTCTTGAGGATCATGACCTGATCAATAGTCAGGGTGTATAACTTGAGACTGGTCTCGTACGGGGCTTTGCTTTATACAGTAGTATTCTGGTAAGTAATACTCATGGTTATCTTCGCTGGTGTTGTGTCCTTTCGAAGTTCAGTCCATGAAGAGCCAACAGAACGCAAGTCTGGCGTTTTCGCTCTGCGCACAGCAAAAACAACATCTGAGCACCACAGGGACCTCTAACCTACTGGCATCTTCGCAGCTCCGAGAGCTCGTATTCTCTCTAGCTTGCGATTAGTTTGTGGCTTTTCGTCTGTTGCATAAGCCGCCGTCAGACTTGGCAGGAGGTCTGACCTGCATTAGCGAGAACAACAAAAAGTCTTGCGCTGCACGGTGGAAATCAACGCCTTTGATAGGTTGGAGTGATGCATACTCTGAGAGTAGAATTTGCGTTATAGTTGTACTAATTGGTTTTCTGCGGCGAGAAATCGAAGCCATTTTTAGCTGGCCAGGAGCTCAAAATGCAATCCATCATCGACTGAAACTCGTCTAGGAAAGCTGGAGTTGAGAATAAGCAAGAGTCTGGTACCTAGTGGGCGGTGAGAACAGACTTATTCCTTTTGTCTTGTATCATATTTTTCTTTTGTCATCTTAAAACTTGCTTCTTAATATGACCAAAGTAAACGACTAAGGTGCGTGATCCATAGATACGTTTTGATATTTCAGTCATATTACGGTAGACGCCAGATATTTTATGTTATCGATCCCAAAATGATATCCGGTAGAATAAATCAAAAGATGGCATCCTCCGCGCCCGGCATTCAGTACACGATACACAGAACGCTCTATTTCATAGTAGGGGTTGTGGTAGACGTATTCATATCAGCGACCTGGCAAGAACAGCCAGTCAACTGCTCACCCAGCTGACGGCAATGGCAGGAAATCTGGATTTCTGTAACCTTCCCGGTACTCATATTCTTGAAAAGTTTGCGTTTCTATTTATCTACACCTCTTTGTAATTCCCCTCGATTGCCATTCTCAAATTGAACTGCTATCCCCCCCTCAAAAGTCAATAAGTACAGCAGTGTTCCGCTCCCATACGCTCAATACGGTCTACTCTACCGCTCACCTTCCTCTCAGAAGCCATGCAGTCAGCCAGCCGGTAGGAATAGTATGCAGTACCTTGGCCGTTACCAATATCGACGACCTCTTCGTCCTCGGAACTGTCTTCGCTGAAGCGACCACCAACGCAACACTCATCCCTCTCAAGAGCACCATCGGCAGACATCTCAGCTTCACAAAAGTCCTTACCATCAGTATGTTGAGGTCATTAACATCTCACAACATGACTTTGTGATTGTTGAGGAGATCATTTCCCAGCCACTTTGAATTCAATACAATACCCTTGTTCCCCTTCCACCCAAATTGGTCGAAGATATGCTCTAAGTACTATTTTCTCACTCTCACAGTTAAGAAATGTTTCTCTAGAACGATTCCTCCAGGTTGGCTGCCGAAAATAGTCATCGAAAATGGCCCAATTCCGTCCAGTTTTCCCAGGTAGAGTCTTTTGACGATCGACGAATGGCCCTAAAAGTCTGATTGAAATCTGAAAATCCACGACATTGAAGACGAGGAAAATGCATTGGCTATCCTTGTTGCTGAACATAACTGCGGCTGTCAGACCACTCATGAGAAGTGATACAATATCGAATCGTATTGCACCTTCGAGTTGTGTCAGCTTGTAGCGATCCTGCATGAAGAGGCTTTCGTCAATCGAATAATCACTGTACTCATAGCCTTGAAGATTGAGTTCGCCGATGAATAGCATGATTTTGAATGGTCCTTGGAATGGTGATTCGTATCGTCCAAGTTGGCGTATGTAGAAGCTTTCCCAATCATGAAGGTGTCCGCCCAGAAGGTCTTCTTGCTCACTTTAGCTCAACGAAAGCAGACTGTCTGAATTTGTCCTTACCCACTGTTTTCTTGCGGCATTAACCCTTTCAAGGCGTAGACACAGCAGTCTACCATGTCCCAGCGAAGTGTCTGTGCAGTGAATAGGGACTGTTGCAGAAGAAAAGTCCTCGGATTCAGAATGTGTCTTGTCGCTCCGATCAAAAATTTTCAACGCACGACCTGGAAAGTGAATTCCCTTGTTGGTCATACTGTAAGGTGGTCGCTCATAGGACTGCGAGTTCTTTCCTCCACCCCGAACAAGTGGATGCTCCATTCTTTCAACTCCGCCAGAGCATTGGAATGCAGTTACAGAAGGTGCTAAAAGACTCCCGCTAAGATCCTGAGGATCTGCCCATGCAAAAATCGATTCATCGTCTGTTTCGCGGAGGATCTCCAGTTGCAATCTGTGAAATGCCCTAGGTCCTTCGCCATAAAGAGGAGGCATATTGACCCCAAAAAGTCCCATCAAGGCACGATCCTCCTCTCTCGTAGTGGATCGACCTGCTGCCCAAGACATCTTGCATGCCACGGATGCGTTGTTGTAGCCAGCCAAGTTCTTGATCCCAGTTGCCTGCTCTATGAGCTTTTCGAGCTTGATGGTTGGGTCCTTTGCTTGCCAGTCATTCCGTGCGCCGATGCAATTCCATTCAGAGTCAAAGAACATCAAGTACTTCGGTGCAAGGAGCTCTTGTAGTGTCCAGCCTCTGGTAAACCACTGCGAAGCCAAAAATTGGTGTCCACCCGCTCGTATATCAGACACCCCATCAGACACGTCTGCAAGATAGGTATAGCAAATCCTCGAGCTCTTGTACCATTGGAACATAGAGTTGATCGCTTCGGACAACTCGGCGCTGCTCGTTTTGTCGATACAGCACGAATCAATCCACGCCCATTCCAACCCTTCGTGCTGAGCTTGATTACAACAACCTCGTATCTTGGAAAATCCAGGCAACTGATCGCGGTCTTCTCGGTTCAGATCTTGCAAACTAAGCTCCGTTTCATCCCATCGGTGGGACAGTATAGCATATGGCGGGATGCTTTTAGGTGCAAATTCGAATATGTCCAGAGATGAAGTGTTGATGAGGCGCATGTTGAATCTTTGCCGCTTGTCTCTCATTAAACTAATGAAACGGCGATCGTGGAAAGGCGGGCTGTCATCACGACTATTATGAATCAGGTGGTTGATTAAGTGATTAATGATTCTGTCAACTCGAGGACGGCTCCAGCACCCTCAAGGTCGTACATTTGGATCGTCCCAAACTTTCCAAACACACATAACCGGCGGTGCGGATCTACGTACCGTAAAGTGCGTCACTTATCGCCTTGTCCAACACAATTACCAGGGTGGGACAACCAACACAATCACGATGGTAGGACAACATGAACAAAGCCAGTAAGAGATTGGGCGCAAGGCATATTTTGTCCATCGCACCACCTTATCTCCAATGCCGTGTTACTTGTGGTTAAAGAATGAAAGGAAAATTGAAATTCATGTAGTACGTGGAGGAAGATGTCCATGGCATTGCAGAAGGATGTTTCTTGTGAGCCCAGAGGGCGGCGATGATGTGAATGTTCCTTTCGGAGTTGACATGTTGGAGTATTCGGAGGAAGTTTATGATACATTGAAATGAGAATGACTTGATTTCTATGAAGAGTTGGACGATTTGAAGTTGCTTGAACTCGTGCTACTTACGATCAATCTCGCTACGAGATGCGTCTCTGGATGTAGGGATATATATTAGGTACTGACAGGGGGTAAAAGACTGACTGAGAGAAGGGTAGGTTTGCTACTGTAGGACTAGCTCCGTACTCCGTGCTACTCGAGGATGGGCTCTGCTTGATAACCAAAGTGATTTTTGCGCTGTATTCCGTTTAGTATTCTCCCATTAATCACTGTGTATTTCGAGTCTCATATGCAAGTTTAAAGTGTTTCTAGTCCCAAAAGGGGGGCATTTAATTTTCCGTCTATTTCTATGAACTCTGAAGTCCTGTTCCCAAAAGCCCCGTATCAACAAAATTATTTAGGAAAGATTCTTTGTACAATCACGAATGACAGTTTGAGGTCCAGCCTCAAACTTTACTGTCATGATGGGTATCTGTGAAGAGGACAAGCACGACCATCAAAAGACACGCTTAATTCTTCCGGGAGACATTCACCCCACGACCCCGAATCTTAGGCGCAGCGCATGTTCCAAATGCCGGCTGACATCCTGTTCCGCAGTGAGCTGGAGAACTACCGCAGAAGCCTGATGAAGAACAGCAGTTCATGCCCGCACACTTTTGGCCCGTGGCGCCGCCGCATGTTCCGTCCATGGAGATGCCTCCGGCAGGAGCTGTGGAGCCAGAAGATCCTGCAATAGGGGTGATCGTGACTCCTCCTGCGGGAGGTGAGGCTTGCGGGCCTGATGATACGGATCCGGAAGGACGTGATCCTGCGACGCTGGTGGTTGACTTGAGAATGGTCGTAGGCTTTGGACCAGAATCTCCAGCCGGCGCACCGGTTGGTGAGGGAGACTTTCCATCGGCTGGTGGAGAGCCTCCTGAAGATGCACCGCATTCTCCAGAGAGAGAATCGGCGTCTCCAGTTCCGGTGACATCAGGTCCTGGATTTGGAAAGCTGGCTTGCTTTCCGGCGAGAACTTGGCAGGTGTTTGTGCCAATGTTCGCGACGAACAAGTTGGGACGACTGGAGAAGGGAGCAGCTGATGATCCGCCGCTGCCCTTCTGGATGTCGACCGCAAAACAGTTCATGTACATCTCGCGGTTGCCGACTTTGTTGAACCATGTCCATGCGCCGAGCGCTGTTCCCGTAGGAGCGTCGCCAGGTACCTTGAATGATACCGATGAAAGAGGACATCCGCCTTCCCAGCTATGAAGGACTTTCCATGAAGCACCGGAGTCAGTCGACAGTGCAGCTTGACAAGATCCGCCATCATGCTTGGCACCTCCGCTGAAAGTAAAGGTAACATCCTCGCCGGTCTTCCAATTTGCTGTGGGCTTTCCCTCGCCTGTAGGATCTGCGAGAGCTGCGGTGTGAGCGCCTTTACAGGGGAAGGCTCCTGCACCGGAGAGCGGCGATGCAAGGTCAAAGTCGACGTTCTTGGAGTTTGGGTTTTCCTTGGCGCGGAATGGAGCTGGGCTGACAAGGTATGTGTGTCCGGAGACAGTAACCAAGAGAGAGGAGAGTAGCAAGATGGTCTGAATGTACTGCATGGCTGCGGTATTCAAAATCGTCTGGTGGTGGTGGTGATAGCAGTAGAGTATGATGATTTCTGAAGCGCTAGAAGTGGTCTGAAGAGAGTAGACAAGTAGCGGTATTGTGTAGTAGTATTGGTGGAAATTGAAGAAGAGAAAAATCTATTAATGGAAAACTCCAAGTTGTATTATAGAAACGTGAATGGAACTGTTCGGATCTACCAGAACAATGAACAATAACCTTTATTTGATTGAAGAAAGAGGGTTTTATTGTTCCGAGAAAACAATGACGGGCTGTTGTCCTGGTCATTAAGACATCAGGGCTGTAAGATTGCGGGTTGACCAGAACAAGGGTTGCTCTCGCTTGTCTTGCCAAACAAAGGGGGTTTCCTCGCTAAGAGTCCACATCCAATGAATTTGCCGAGATCACCAGCTCCGCATACTGAAACAAGGGGATCTTGAGCATTAAGGACAAAACAATGAGATAGCGATAGGGATGGAAGCGAGCTTATGATTTCGAGACAGAGAGAACAATAAAGAGGTAGAGGCGGGTAGACTTAGAGCATACTCAGCGGTTAGGATCTAGCCGAGTAGAAGTCCGCACCTTCTACCCCCCAGACATCTGTTGTTGAGCATGAGTGTTAACACTTGAGAATGGAAATGACTGACCACGAGATGAGTCAACCTTGACTTCGATCAAGGAACGGTACTGAAAATTTCGTGGGCCCCAAGACAAAGAATGTCTGAATGTGGGACGGAGGAAACGAGGATCTTGACTTGAAAGCACTTTAACTCTCAAGCTCATACCAGAAGATTATTTTCGTCCCCATCCACACCTGCGTCATCTAAGCATCTCATTGACTAAGATGTACTCGGCTCGAGCGGCTGAGAGCTACGAAGAACTTTTGCTTCAAGAGTGCGCTACCATGACCGGGAGAGTCGACAAAGAGAGGAAGGTATGTAAACAAAAAGGAAGAAGCCGATCTGGTGAGTATGAGCACTTGCTCTTGCTTCACTCTATTCTGCTCGATTAATACAGAAGCGGGGAATCTCTTGGTGAGGGTGCCGTATTCGCGAACGCGAGACAAATGGGGGGGTCAATTCCCATTATTTTCAACGACAGAACAAAGAATCCAGACCAAGTCACTTTACTGGAATCCACCACTTCGCATTAGTGAAAGAATAGGTTCTGCATTCCGGTCAGTCATCTCTTCGCTCACCTGACGCATGATGTTATGACTGGAGATTTGAAATGTCTGTGAATATGCATCGCATACACTACGGTGGCAACGGATTCTATGAATATAGGGATTTTATCCATAAATTCCTATGGATAAGATCCCCATATTTATAGAGTTCGGCCACTAACGTTTATAGGAGAATTGTAATATTTATTACAAAAGTGCCATACAATAATAAAACATAAAATTCCATATTTCCAAAGATATGGAAGTTCCATATTTCTATAGATATGGATATTTCTTCTTGTTCCCCACCCTCCTTTTCCCCTCCTCTCCTTCTACTTTCCCTCCTTTCCCCTCCCCTCCTTTCCTCTTATTCTATAATTATCGTCTTACCTACTATAGAGAGACCTACCTACTGAGAAGAGACCTACCTACTGTGGAGAGACTTACCTACTGTGGAGAGACTTACTGTAGAGAGACTTACCTACTGTTAAGAGACCTGTTGTAATATAGAGAGACTTACTTACCTTAGAAAAGAAAACAAGGGAAAAGTGAGAGAGGGGGAAAAGTGAGAGAGAGGGAAAAGTGAGAGAGGGGAAAGGGCAAGAGAGGGGGAGGGGCGAGAGAGCAGAATCATATGAGGTAATAAGGTTCAACTGTTACAAGTTACTCCCACACGAAACACTCTTTTACTTTTTACTTATAAACCTTAAAAATATAGAGATTTTGTCTATATCTATAGAGAAACTTCCCATAATATAGAAAATTCTACTATAAAGTAGAGGCTTTATCTATAACAAGATCCCTGTTTATCCTATCTATTGATAGGTATAGACAAACCCTCCATAGGCATAGTAGAATCGTCCATGGATATGGTCACGTTGCCACCGTAGTGATATCCAGGGCGGTTTTCAAAGGGCACGCTGTGGTGCCGAGCACCTCGAACTGCAACAGCGCATATTCGGATCAGACACACAGGAGACCTCAATCGTTTCCTCGACGCTCGTCCACATGCTCTCGTAGGAATCCTATTAGTTAATAAAGCTCCAGACTGATCGATCAGCGTTGAAACACATGAAGTAGAATTGGAAAGAGAGATATCTCACGTGACATCTCACCCAACCAGAGACACTGGGCAGTTCATCCAGTCTCAAGCCCATCTGTCAAACAGGATCACCAAACACCATCTCAGCGACTCGCTGACATCTGAAAATATGTGAGACCCCTCCACCCATTGACGTAGCCAAGATCCATCATCTCACAAACAAGTGTGTTTCAGCTCGTCGCACTCTCCGCGACTCGCTCGCGAATGAGGAGGGCTCTTCGCGATCGCATGGCTGAGACCCTTGTAGGGAGATCCGCTCCGCCACACTTTGGAGCCAGGACCATCCAGAGTTAGGTATGCTGGCGATCGCTCGTGTGGATAATTTAATCAGGACATCCCTTTTTCTTCATTCTGTTTGCTGTTGAATTTTGTTGCTGGATTGCTGAGCTTTTGAATTTGTGAATCCGGCAAATACTTTCTTTTTCATAGGCTGACATCATGGCCAACTCGTTCAATTGTTCGTTTGTCCCTACCGAGACGGCGACTGATGCTGGTGTGGCGGGCACAGGGGTAAGTTTCTCAAGATAGCAATTCTTCTCGACACTGTAGGAAATCGGCTGACTGGTCTTTCAGGTTCTTCTTTCATTTATCGTCACAGCCGGCATCTCTCTCATCATGTCCATTATCATCGTGCTTCACGAAGTACGTCGAGGATCAGAAGCGAAAGTGCTGCGGAAGCTCCTCCTGTCCCTCAGTGATCAACAGGTCATCACTGGTATTGGTATCCAGAGCGTGGCTCTGGCGAAGATGAAAACGATGGTTCCGTACCACTTCTTCATCGTTTGGATGTTGTCGCTACTGTCGACGGCAACGCATGTTGGGACTTTGTTGGCGCTGGTGAATGATTTCAAGCGTGACTGGGTCCTGAGATGGCTGAGACAATTCTTCATGTTTGTAAACTTGGTCCTGTCTATCGTATCTGGAATCTTCATCCTCATGTCGGTCATGAGAGATGTGAAGCCGACATTGCCTATCGCCTGTGTTTGGGAGGTTGAATCCACCGGAGCGCCATCGAATGCTGGGACATCGATTGCTGGAACCATTGGTGTGATGGCTGGCCAACTCGTCTTCTTCCTTGTCGGAGTCTGGTACTTGCATGTGAAGAATCGGAAATGGTTGAGGGCTGTTCAGTTGGTGGGATTGCTGGTGTTGGGAGCTATTGGAATCGGTGCTGCGATTCGAGTCATTCTGTTGTCACAGGCTTTTGGGACTCCGTCTGTGACTCTGGCGGATACGGGAGAGAAGGATTGGAGTTTTGGACAACTGCTTCCTCTGTTGTTACTTTTGTTGCCTTTGGTCTCGGCTGTTGAGATCATGCGAGGTATGTTCCTGTCCAGCCTGGTAAGGGAGGACTGTGTTGACTTGAAGCAGGTGAAATGAAAGTACCATCCCCGATCGTGGATGACCACTCAGCACCTTTGCTGATTGGAGGGGAGAAGCTTCCTGGTGATCGATCATCATTCCAGCCAAATCCATTCTGGGGAAATCAGAAGAGTCGATTCAGTAAGTGGTAGTCGGACAATAAAAAAAACCATAGAACGACAGGAAGACAACAACGACATCAAGTTGAAGATGCATGATTGATATACTGCGGTGCCATAGATGGCCCGAGAGTACCTGGAGCATATACCAGGAAGTATCACCTCCTCTCACAAGGCGCCGAGAGACCTTCCGCGCCAAGAGTGATATTGGACATCGTCTTCTGAGAAAGTCTGATGATGCACAGGTGCAAGACTAGGATACTTCCTCGCTATGGCCGAAGTTGATCCTACCACATAGATTCAAGTAGTAGGCAAATAAAGAATGATAAGAACTTCCATAAAAGGCACGAGACTGCTCCCAATAGAACCTTAAGCCATCAAAACTGCCTCCAAGGAGGTGGTAGAGGAAGCTTTTGTGTAACGCATTTGAGTTTTATATCAAGATAAACATTGAAAACTATTAAGAAACAATCCGTCTGTTGTTGCGAGGCTGGCAGATGATTACTGAAGGGGGAGGAGATCTTGCCAATGACTGATCCCAAGAGGGGGAAGTGAAATGAAGCCATCCGCATCACGTGGCAATTTCCATATCCTTATCGCGCTGACGCGTCTCTGCCGGTGTTCTAATCCGCTGAACTCAATACACCATCCAGCGATAACCTCTGCAAATGGCTATTTTCGGAGTTTTCGACTGCTCTCGCAGTCATCCTGACCGCTTTGTGCAACATGATATTCCTTAGTATCACCACTATCGTGTGGTACCTCGCCCGCTTCACTACAACCACAAACACTCAGCAGCAACACCCACTCCTCAACCACGAAATAGAAGCCGTAGAAACAAGTCCGTGGAAGCTCAACTTCTCTTCCGAAGCACCCCACTACTTCGCCTCGGTATACGGCCTCCTCCAACAATGGCCAAATACGTTCTTTCCCAACGGCCACAGCATCGTGCCATGCGAGGTACCGGCATTTACGAAGCTGTATCACGGCAGGATGGACGCTGAGCTACCTCCAAGCCCGGAATGGTTCGCTTTTGATATGCAAGTCTACCCAATACCACGATGTAGCTCTGCTAACACAGACCAGAGGAATGTCCTACGGGATCATGGGCGGAAGTCAGAACTCCCACATGCTCACTTACCAAACAACTCGCCGCATAAGATGTATCTACCTCGATGGCGAATCTGCGACTCTTTCCGGAACTGGGCAGTTGGATACGCAGATGCTGCATATATGGGGGAACATATCTGGACCAGGGAAACAAGATGGTGGATTCAACCCCTTGTCGAGCGAATATGCTCGCGCGGTAGGACTGTGCAACTGGATTAGGGATACGGAGTTGGGTGGTTTGGGGTGGGGATATGAAGGGATTGTGAGGATGAATGCGGGGTTTGAGATGATCTGGTGTAATTTCAGCAGTCCATCCGTACGGCTGGTATCGCATTTGAATGTTTCTGCGCCGTTGCTACCGCCGCGGGAGAGGACGAAGATCACAGAGGAACTCGAGTCTAGGGATCTTGAGGAAAAGTCGAAATTTCCACTACCTACAAGAACAACGCCCGCGAAGTCTACCTCGTCTCCGCCACCTTTCTACTTCGACTGGGATCTAAAAATGCGGGACCCTTTCCGACTAACCAGGAACTGGGGCTGGTATACGAGCAGCACGTTACATTACGGATCTTCAGGCAACGGACCAGGTATTGGAGAGTCTCGTGTTAAGCCGGACATATGTGGATTCCTGAGTTACTACAATCCTACTTTCGAGCGCCAAGGTATTGCCAGAAGGTTAAAAGAGCAGAAAGTCCTCAATCTTACAGCAGAAGGTTTCTGGGCTGGTCCTCGTCGGGGAAAGAGGTCTACGGCTTTGGAAGCTTTGACACGACGACGGAGACAGCATGTACTGGATAATGTGACTTCTTCTGAAGCTGCGCTTCTGAGGACCAATTCAGAACGTGTGATGCGGGATCGTTTACTTGGAATTGAAAGCTGTAGCGGGGTCGATTGGTTGGTTTTGACCAACAGTATCGTGCAAACATATTCCCGTCCGTTACTCAAGCTTTCCAAAACTCTAGAGAATTACGGAAATCACACGAGTAATAGCAGTCTGCTTCAGGAATGGATGAGCGATGTCCACCAACAAACCCATATGTTTGTTATGCCTTTCTTCGAATATCCGGAGGATGCAGACGAGGAGACATGGAAGCCGGGCTCGGAATTGTTTGAGAAAACATATTCTTTGTGTCGATTTCAGCATACTCGTCTCCTCGACCCTGAAGAGGGGATTGTTCTCGGTCCCGAAGAAACACTCTTGAAATGGGCAGTCGAGGAGACAACGGGAGGAATCTGCTCCGTCATCATCGAAATCGGTCTAGCAGTTAAAGGACTCTGGCAAGCCAAATTCAACCGAGCTCCCATCTCAGATACTGAAGCTCGTCTTGCGAAGTCAATAAAATCTGAGGTCCACCGCTGGACAAACGGCATCCAGGAACTTATGGCTTGGCTAGGCTGGGCAGGGGAATGGATCGGCTGTGAAGAGAAGTGCGCTTGGGATGAGAGCTGTTTCATTCCCATGTGGCCGCTCCTAAAGGGCAGGGATCGCTCATTACGTCGACCACCTCCAGGAAACGGGACGAGATATGGATATCCTGGAGGAAGATATCCACCACCTCCTTACTACAGCCCTCCTGGAAACAGAACTGGTCGACCTGGTAAAGGGTCTAGTCGTTGGATGCCGACTGAGGAAGATCTTTGGGAGCCGAAATGTGTGAAGTCGAACTACCTCTACTCGTGAAGTACGGCGAATTCGGCGCTTCACACTTCATTTGAGGGATTGTCGGTTTCATTGCATGGCAACCCACAGGTACGGTACAGCCAAATTCCCCGAATAATGTGACGATGAATCAGATCGCCGCACATCCTGCGCCGCTTGGATACGACATGACCCACCTTTTCTACGAGATCGATGAGACGGATCTCCAACCTTGATTTGACTCCTGTCTTGAAAGAGACATGAGACATACTGGGTAGAGGAGAAGCTTGTTGTTTCTTGGCAGGGGTCTTTTGCCCGAAAGAGCATGACACCACAATGCCAGGGAGCCTTCGTCTAGGACCTTGGTGGTAAATCTCCACCCAAAACAGTCATTTTCACGCGTGAACAAGCTTCGCCGATTTGGCGCCATTCAACGCCAATCAGCGCACAATATTCTTTACGAACAACTCCTAATTCGGGTCCAGCACTTCATTGATTGTCAATTTCTCATTCAAATCCACAATGCACATGACTGGCCAAAATTTAAGGCATATATGTTAATATCTTATCTCTCATAAAAATCGGCCTATATACCCCACCCCGTTTCTCCAAGATGCAAGGTTCCCAAAACCAATCTACCAGAATTGCCAAGTGACAAAATCTCCCCGGTTTCAAGGGGCCAATGTACAACTCCCCTATCTCAGTCTAAGTTTTTCACATTCATCTCAAACTCGTGTCCCTGCTCCACAGCTATTGAAAACATCCCCCTCTCCTTTTCGACATGCATCTAAATACGGTAGGTATTCCACATGCTAAGCATACGCGTAGCTTGGTTAGGTGTGAAGTTATCATAGCAGGCGCTATCAACTCATTAGCCCGTTTCTCTTTCTTTCATCCCTCACACCTCTTCCATATACACAAAGTCGGACAGGAGACTCACTCATAGGAATAATCCATATAATTGTGGATAGGATCCAACCCAGCAGCATTTGGGCACGAATCACGACCAGTTGGGCACCCACTGGAGGCAGACAATTGTTGTGGCGTATCGGCAATACTGTCGCCGGTGCCGGTGCACGAGTTGCCTTGGAAGGTGTGGAAGAGACCCATCCAGTGGCCGACTTCGTGCGTTACGGTCTTGCCGAGGTTGTAATTTGTTGCAGAGCCGCCGGGTGCGGTGCTGTACAAAATGGAACAGCCGTCCAACTGTCATTTTCGCAGTCAATATTCTGTTCACTTTGGTAGAAGTTGTGCTAGGTCTAGGAAGCTTACGTAGAAGTTGTTGGAGCCAGCTGGGGCAGAGGTGGGGAAGTAGCAGTATCCCAAGTTTCCGCCGATGTCGTACTGGAAGTAGATGTTGAGGTCCTTGTAGGTTCCCTTGCGGAGAGCCTTCTTCATGGCGAGCTCGTTGCCGTCGGATGCCCAGATGCTGTTGATGGTCCAGTCTGTGCCGGCATTGACGAACTGGAATCCGGAGGCGGCTGAAGTTCTCGTTAATTCGAATTCATTTTCCAATTTCCAGAAGCAAGACAAAACAGTCCCTCACGCCCAACCCTGCTCGGACTTTTTGAGAGATTCGAAAATTCAAGACTTGTAAATCATCCAAACTCACCATAGTTATTATTCATAACAGCCAACTGCTGCGTGATCTGACTCGCGGTCACATACCCCCCAGACGCAACCGTCGAGCGAGCCACAACATGGAAATACACATTCACCGTGATCACCGCAGCAGCCGCCCCTTCAGCAGCTAGGGCCGAAGCTCCCAATGCGGATTTCGAGGCGGCCTCTTGGTCAGCCATGTCCTTCGCCACGGCGAGGAACTCCTCTGTGGGGACGACGCCACATCCGAATTTGGTGTCGCGGGGTCCGTTGGTGGGGTGGGCCATGATAGGGGAGATGGCTGCCAAGAAGGACAGCAGAAGGGTGAAGCGTGCCATTTTGGGTGGTGGGTCAAGACCGAGGAAAGTAATCTGGAGGTTGTGTTAGTTTGACTTGGATGTATGGTTGCGAGTTTGGATGAACTCCGGCTAGGTGGCCGGAAAGGCAAAGGAGTTCATCCAAGTTCCCAAAGTAAAGAGAAAAGCTTACTTGTAAGTTAAATATTAAACAGAGAATGAGACTGGTTGGGTAAATGGTGAGATGAATAGTGCCCTGGATAATAGAATATCTTTTGCCAACAAAGGTGGTTATGAGGACTTATATATACATATCCGTCTCTCCTCTATCTGCTTGCCCCTCATACCCCCATGTCATAAATGATCATCTCCCGCTCGCTATCTCTTCATCCAGCAGCAGTACCGGCTCATCCATTCTTACCTACCTACCTAACCCCATGTTACCCCTCCTCCGAACGATCAGCATTCAAGGAGAGACACATCTCATCCAGTCCAGAAGTAGAAGCTGCTTGCCACTTCACAGCACACAAGATGCAAAGCAAGTGCATTTTGCTAAAGGGCCAAGAGCCCCAAGGAGGCAGGTAATGAGATTGGATGGGGTATCTCATCCACTCGGAGACACTTGTTCGTGTGTCCAGTGTCGACCGTCGGCGAGTCCCTACCTCAGCCTCTCACGTAGCTTCATGCCTTGAGAGTGTAGTGTGAAGTGCACGCACGCCGAAGCAGGATGTTAGGAATATTAGAATGGTATATGGTGGCTTGGCGACGCATGAGTACCTGTCAGTGCACCAAGGTGCCGATCAGGAAGGAGTTCTGGAAAGTCTAGTGGGCGATCGATTGGGTGGCGGATATCAAGATGGGAGGTGGACGGTGGGGACAATAGACGAGTGTGCAAGGAAGTGGAGACCCGTATCTGAGCTTTGAGATTCGGCGCGTGCAGATTGCAGGACGATATCTACGTCCTGGGCGATTGCGATTATGTCTTGGATGTTTTGGAGGTGGGGGCGGGATGAGGTAAGTGTGAGGCGTTGTGGGGTGGAAAAGGAGGGGGGTGAGACATATGTCTTGCATGTTTTGTTGGTTGTCTCTACCGACAGGAGATGAGATCTCGGCTTATTTTGGCGACATACACTTCAGTGCGAAGGATACACCTATTACTCTAGGATAAAACCCGCTGCAATATAATCTAAATGTTTTATCATCTTTTTCATCAGATAGTCTGTATCGCCGAAGTACTACATGGAAATCAGGTTGACGGGTCTGATATTGCCCATCATTGATAGGGGTCGGGACCGTTGACCCTTAATGAACGAGTTCCGCTAGAATACCGGTCTGATACAGGAAGGGTTCCTTTACCTCCGAAATCAAGGAGTTCCAAGGTATTTTTGTTAGCCAGTACATGAGCCAAGGTGACATCTCTTGAAGAAGTTGACCTTCCTTTTCCTCGTTAAGTCGTGTCTTACAGACTCTGAAGTAGCCCTATGGGATGTAAGGGATGTCGAAGCTTGTGGCGCTTGTCGTTTGGCTGGTAACGGCAGACTCCGCGATCTACAAACGTTGCTGATCATTCCATACCTTTTTTGATTTTGACACATTAATTAACAACAGTTTGATATCTTATCTTTTGGTACGTGCTGTGTTGAAATTTAGAAATACCGACAATAACGCATTCCATTGCCCCATAAGATGAATCACATCGACGTAATTGACAGATATCAGAAATTTCCACCCACACGCCCTTCATCTTCTCCCCTCCCACCGTTGTTACAGTTTTTTTCACAAGTCACCACCGCCACAAGCCTTCGGCTCCTGAACTCTCCCCCTGCATACCAAGCAATGCCAAGTTCGCAGATCATCAATGACCTTCCTAAGCGAGATAAAGATAAGAAACACAAACTTGGCATGCAGGACAAGCATCAAATCATCGAATCGACACCTCATCTCATCTTGAAGTGTGCCCAGGTGAGCAAAAGGCCGGTTGTTTGTCTCCGTGGTTGTGGTTGGAATGGAGGGGTTTGAGACATGGGATGGGATGACGGAGGGGCGACTCAGGTGAATGGCACGTGTATGTTTATTTTGTTCCGCCCCACTCTCGGCTCCCCTGATCGTCGCTAACGATGCGAGATCTGATTGGCTGCTTCGAGTAATTGGAGGGGTGTGCCAACATGACCGTCAGAAAATATAGTGCATGCCAGTGAAAGGACGATCATGCGAAGTAGTGTTCTGGAAATTTACTGGTTCGGTGGTCGGTTTGTGGCGTTTCTTCTTCTTTCGCGGTCGTTATCTTTCCCTTTTTCGACTTACTGTCGGTGTGTGGCTACCATGGTAAAGAGAGATTTCCTTGTGACCTTCTAGGTTCATCCAGATACAGGAACTCGCCACATCTCGACAAAGCATTGTGGAAACGTCCCAGTTGAAAGTTTCGACCTCCTTCCTGTGCGGCACTGAGGAGATCCTGCAAGTGTACGGACGTACTGTTGTACGAACAGGTACGGGGAGGATACAGGGATGATTGACGAGGAGGCAAGCCGAGGCTTACGTGCACTTTGGACTTTGCAATGCGATCCATCACCTCCCAGAAAAACTTATGGTCTTTCAGTTATGCATGCATCTTCCGTCCATCGACCTTCTGATATTAGTATGCGATCCACGAAACTGGGGCGGAGAACAGCTCATCTGTGGGTGAGGCCACTCTTTCTCGGATCGAATATGGAAATTTTGCTTGGATCAGTAATGAAAGAGTATGAAAGAAGACGGTAAGGCTTGACCTCGGTGTGGCAGAGGCAAATTCTCCCCATCGAGATGGAGGACCACCCGAACCTTTTCTGTTCTTTTCTTGACTTCTTTCCTTTTTGCAATGAGATTATCTCTGCTTCTATTTTTGTCACTGAAGCTCATGATGTTGATCGATTCAGTTGTGTCTGTTCAATTATGGTACATCTTATCTTGCTTGTTTGAAATTCGGAAAAGAATCAAGATCAGAACGTCGAAAGGAAATTGTATGGACTTCGAGACCTTGTCAAACGGCTGGCGACGGGATAGTACATCTGAAACTCGGCGGGTGGCATTGCTCAATAATCTAATGATCAATGACGATTTATTTATCGCTACGTGAATCTGCACTGTGTTCCGCCCTCTCAAACTCCGTCTTTTCAACAATGCAAAGCCTTTTCTACTTCTTGAAGTTGGATATCGAGATGATTGAAGAGGTAAGAGGTACTCGTTCGTTCTTGAACGACTGGACATGATATATGTGAATTGACTTGCGAGCTGCCATTAACATCACGTGCACAGCGCCCCGTTCTAAGACTCTCTTTAAAACTCAATAAGTGCTCTAGTTTTGTATCTTAGAATACATATAATTCTGCATCGAGTCTTATTTATAGTGGGAAGCCGACTAGGATTTGTGAAGGCACTTGTGATGCTGTTTACTACGATACAACAAGTTTGTGATATCGCCATTGGTTTTACTAACAGTAGCACGAAGATCATAGGTGTGTACATTAAAGTCAATTATTAAAGCATGCAGCATGATGACGAGATTGAGAAATGCTAACCTCCCCAGCACTGTCTGAGAGTAAATAAGTTTCATTATGCGAATCGCGGGTATGGAAAGATTGATTATCGATGAGATTCCCACTCGTTTCCCAGCAACACTCGTAATTCTTTGGGGCCAGAGATGCACATGTTCTAGGGGAGTTCTAGCGTCCCACCATTCGTATGGTTAACTAAGCTTCAGTGTTAGGTTGGCGCTGTCAGCCACGTAGGTAAAATTGTTTGCAGCTGGTAATGCAACTGGTTGTGGCGTAGGTAAACTATATAGTCTATATTTAAACATCTAGCAGAAACTTCGTCGTAACACGATTTGAATAGACCAGAAACAGATCCAACTGTGGAAGTAATCTTAGCAAGCAAATCAAATTTTGTGCAAGAATGGATGCCTGCGAGAACCGAAAGGGAGACCGTAGGTGAGCGTCTTCAAGATCGTGCGATGTAATCTATCAATACAGTGGCACATATAATTGAGAGTCCCAAAGCTGTCATGTGGCAGAGATTTAACGCTAAGAATAACACTGCATCGAGGGAGGCTAAACACTAGCACAATTTGAAATTTGATTTCGTCTGTCCAAGCCGGTGACAGCGGGATCATGCAAAGCTCACATGGTTATCTTATCTCTACGCAAATCAACCTACTCAGGAACTACAATCTCATATCACCTTCAAGTTCAAGGCCTTGTGTTCGAATCCGACTTCGCTATAGGCCATATCGTGCTCTTCAGAGTATCGGCCGGTCTGGATTTGAGGTCCAAGAGTTCCAATCTCAAATCCCTACAGAATCCAAGTAAGCACTAAAGATCAAACTTGTTTTTCTGTTCGGGTTCCAAACATAGATACTAATTCGTCTGAACTACGATTAAGTTCGGATAGAGGAGCTATGCCGAGGACCTCCCCTGAACAATGGGCACCTAGCGCTGAACTGCCGGGCAATTAAGCGCTAAATCTCAACGCGCTCGCTGAAAAAGGGAAAGTCGCATACTGTGCCACAAAATCTTACAGGGAATGATCGCAATGCCATGCGTTGCCTCACGAATTGGATTCCAGATTGATTCTAGCTCCAATACATATTGGGTTAGATGTAACTACCTTCTATCTTTTGAGTTTCGCGTAACTGCATCATAATATGGGAAAATAATTAAGCGAGATGTAATGTCAGGCGAACATGAGGAAAGCAAACAGAATTAGGAGCCTAGAATGACTTGGCACTGCTACCCTCCTCCTCGAAATTTCTAGCCAGAGGACTCCTTGTAGCGATCTAGATTGTGATAATGAAGCTATCGTGAGAAGGTCATCATATATAAGTACCATGCCCACTGTTTCCTCATTTCCGATCCAAGACTTACTCTGTTGACTTTGCCGACGATGAAGTTCTTTGCCAGTACGCTGCTCCTGGCAGTTCCAGTCTTTCTGGAACTATCAGTCCAAGTCTCGGCGTTTTCAATTTTCAGAAATGAAGAGAATGATCCTGTTTTCAACGCCACATTCCCCACAGCCAGGTATGGCGCCGCAGCCGAGAAGCGTGCCACCAATTCTCTACGAATCTTGAGTCTTGGTGCCTCAATTATGAGCGGTGTTGGATCAAGTACTGGAAATGGGTGAGCAGCCTGATATCTTCTCGGCTTGAGAAATCTACTTACTCTTTGCAGTTGTCGAAAGTACCTCAGAGATGCATTCAGACAGCTTTCATATGAGGTTGACATGGTTGGAGGATTGCACAATGGTAACATGAAAGACTGGGTTGGTGAAATATACTCTGCTCAGTTACATTCGGGATATTGAACAATCTTAGGAGCATGAAGCAGTCTCTGGTGATGTTCTGACGCAGATCCTTGCCAGAGTACCGAGATCTGTAGGATTCAAGGTTCGTGGCACTCCAGAATCTCGTTAAAGATACCGTTGTCTGATGGAAATTGCAGCCCAATGTCGTTATTATCAATGGAGGAACCAACGACGGTAATGGTGGTGTAGACATTGGAAATGTCGGCAATCGGATGAATGACATCCTGAACGCACTGGCATGTCATCTCTAGCGTCTGAGACATCTAGGCTTCTTCGGACTAATAACTTGTAGTGGAATGCCGAGGACATGAGTAGCACGTGCATAATGCTATCGACCCTGCTCCCAACCACTAACGGAAATGGTGCTGGGAATCGAGGATCCATCAATCAGCAATACCGAGATCTCGTGACTCGTCGTGCTGGTGAGGGAAAGTGCATATATCTGGCAGATATGGATCCTGGGTATGTGTCCTAGATGAAGAACAAAGGACATTCTAACAAAGCTACAGTGGTCAAGTCTGGTTCAACTTCCAGACCGATTACATGGAAGGGGAGAGCCCAGCAGTGCATCCCAATGTAAGTACCAAGATCGTCCCTTCAGCCGATCAAGCCAATCTGACATCCTAATAGGACAAGGGGCACAGAATGATGGCTGCAGTCTTCTACCAATCAATCATGAAGGCACTCAGCGATGGCAGAGTCGTGGCACCTGGTCCATTTACTGTTGGTCCAAGCACTTGCGATAAATTTGCTGGCAGTGGCAGGGATGCTGGTGGGTGGACCCAACGAGGTTCCGGGTATGACGATGGTCTCTACTTTCATAGTTCTCAGGAAAAGGGTGTAAGTAGCGTTCTCGACATTCCCCCGGTCCTCTTGGCCATCTCTTACGAGAATTCGGGGGCTTCGTGAATTGAGACTGATACGATGGACAGATCCTCTGGAGTGCTACAAGTTCCTGGGACAGAGATCAATGGCGATTTGCACGATTATTCAACAGGAATTACGATGACCTACTGGCTTGGATCTCTAACAGTGCTACTGAGCAAGTCTATGCCGTTTGGTAATTTCCATCCAGTGACAATTTCTTTTGTGTATAGAGTCTGATATTCAAACAGGGCAAACTCAGGTGACGGAGCCGGGAAATTCAACAAAGCCAGCGACATGAAGCCCGACCTTCTCTGTGAATCAGCGGGCCTCTACTTCGTCGACATGAACGCCGATGGACTTGACGACCTAGTTTGTGTTGACTCCGCCGGTAATGCGTACCTCTCAATTAATCAAGGAGACGGCAACCGCGCAGCTGGCAAGTCTCCGACTTTCAAGCGAGTGAGTTCAAGTGCTTTGATCATGTCAAATAAAGGACTTGGTCGGGCTCGCGTTCGCATTGCTGATATCGACGGCGATGGAAGAGGTGATTATTGTGTTACACAGGACAATGGCGACATTCTTGTGTGGAGAAATGGCGGGATAGGCCCGGCTCCTGGGTATTGGCAGGCGCTGGGAAAGCGCTTTACTGGTAAAGGTATGGGTGATGTGAACGATGTTCGTTTCGAGGATATCAACGGAGACGTAAGCCCAACTTCTCATTCATGCATCAATTTTGCAGACACTGACTAATAACCAGGGTCGTGATGACTGGATGTGGGTCGACACAGCTGGCGTGACTACAACATGGATCAACAGCCGAAGCTGTCAGAAAGGTGTCGAAGGTGCAGGACTTAATGTGGCTTGGAGACAAGCCTTTCTCACAGGCAAGACCTCGGGGCCGACACATTTGGGAATGGGTGCGTACCTGACGGACACCGAAACAAACCTGAGAGGCCGAATCCATTTCGCTCGTATCTATGGCGAGGTGACAAAATTTGGCACGCTACCGAAGCAGGACTATATATTCATGGAACACAAGGCAGTCTCTACCACTTCGCATCAGTTCCAAATGCGAGTTTGGAAAAACATTGGAGCCGGAGGCACGAATCTCAAGGCTGATGGAAATAAATTCTGCAATATGCTGTAAGTCATCTCATTACTTTGAGTATTCGTTGCTACAAGACACATTGACACGCCTGTTGACATTGTTTTCTCGGTTAGCGGTCACTCCAACGGAATGATGGATTATGTTTGGACATATTCCGGTGGCCAAATGGAACTGTACGCCAATCGTGGCAAGGGTAGTATCAAAGACTCAGATCCCGATGGGTTCTGGCTTCCTTCGGGAGTAATCTGGACCCCTCCATCTCTCATGGACCGCCGGGACCTGCATCTAGCTGATTGGGATGGAGACGGAGACTGCGATATTATTTACACCAATCCTAATGGCGGTGCTGTCCAGGTGTGGTTGAACAACTATCCCACGACTAAGAACTGGAATAGTTGGACTTATCTTGCGAATCCTGCTCCTGGTGTTGGCTGTGCAGAGAAGCGAGGAGTTGGCATTGAGGATTGTAAGTGAAACGTCAGCAGACAGTTCATATTCCCTGCGGATTTTTCATGCTAATAGTGGACAGTGGCTGTCAGGATCGCTGATCTGACTGGGAATCGCCGTGCTGATTACCTCTGCATTGGCCTGGATAGCAGAGTTACTGGCTTCGTTCAGGGTGACAATGGTGGCTTCACCAATGTTGGCCAGATCAAGGTTTCAATTGACAAAGATCGTGCAAACATGCGTTTTGCCGATGTGAATGGCGATGGGAAAGCGGATCTACTGTGGATCGAGAAATTCTCCGGAGATACATTTGTTTGGTAAAAACCATTGTCTCTTGTCGAGTTCGTCACTAATTGTCTTAGGTACAATGGCGGCCGGGCAGACCCAGCTCAAACTTTGGGATCCTCTTTCTCATGGCGTCAACAATCCGGCGTCGCCTATGCTGGACTCGCTGCAGGCGGATGCCTCTATTATCCCGATCTCGATGGCAACGGCCGTGCAGATGAGCATTACGTACTTGAATCTTTCAACAACAAAGCCATGACATCCCTGAGTCCGGATTGTGGGCTTGTGGATGTGACTGGGGACGATGCTTCTTTCGATGGGTCCTTGCCAGCTGTTCCCACTGGGTCTTCGACAACGACTGCTGCCCCCAATCCTCCGGGAGAAACAGCTGCTCCAGGCCCAACTTCTCTTCCAGATTTCCCATCACGTTATCTCGCGGGAAATCCAAATTGTCCGAGAAAGCAAGACTTCATGGCACCGCTATTCACTGTTGGTAATGCTGACGGTGGAGAGGAGTGGTGTATGGGACACTGGACCAGGGGTGTCTTTCCGCTCCTGATTGAAGCTCGAGCAACCACCAACGCTCTTGCGTATATCCGAATCCAGTACTCGGACGGCTCTATCGAAGCACATGGCGAGGCTGTTCCAGATCCTGACGATAAACATCGGTATGGCACAATTACCATGGACGCACTTGTCAACACGTTCAGCCACTTCGTTCTGTCTGGTGATGGCTGGGATGGTGGAGTGGGTCGTCTTGAGGCAGGTATCACAGGGAAGCCGGCAGACGACATTGATGCGGGAAAGTATTATGGCGACAGCTCACCGCCGGTACTTCGATATACGCGTGGTTTGGATGGGAAGGGCATATTGCTTGGTTTCTACGGACGATCCGGTATGTGAGATTTCTGGAGAAGGACGAGGATATTCCACTTCCAAAATCCTTTGATCTCAGTATTTGAGTCATTGTACTCATCTGACTGCCGTATCTTATCGCGTAAGAAGAATCATAACTGACCCTAGCTCAAATAGGCGACCGCATCGACATGCTCCAGCCGTACTGGACAAATTCCGGTCTCGATAAAGTCGTTCTGACAGACGAGGTCTTCAACCCTAGCTTCGAGAGTTTGAACAAGAAGCCTTTCGAGTAAGCACAATCAGTCTTTCAGCTCCATCACCACAGTCTCTGACATTTTTTTACCTAGGGAGCGTGGCTTGCAGGCTGTTCAGGACACATACGTCCTATTCAACAACCGAAGCAGCGAGGACGTCACCATGACAGCAGACATCTGGCTCGACGTACAAACACAAACTTCCATCAATGTCGGGTCCGAGAACTCCTCTGAGTTTGGCTGGGCCATCGGTGCAGCATTGAAAGGCGAGATTAAATTTAACTCGGGTTTCCCCAAGATAGCGGAGGGCAGCTTTGGCGCGGAGCTCAAAGGAGAGTGGGAGAAGAAATATGTGGATACCGTGCTGGAGAGCAGAGAAGATACCGAAACGAAGAATGTGAGTTGAGTCTTTCTTTGCCGATGTGTAGACAAAATATGTTGGTGGATTGAATTAAACTTGGATTGAAGAGCTGACATCTTCTAGGCTCGCGCACGGTATACTCTATCAACAATTGTCAAGCCTGGGCAGAAAGTCAGATGCGATGCGACTGCGTTCCAGGGTAGGGTCAACATTGGATATACCGCCAAAGTACGTGCTCTTTCTTCCTTCTCGTGTATAAACAGGAGAAAGGCAAATCTATATTTATCTGACTGACCGTGAATAGGCGACTGTTATGTTTCTCGACGGGACTTCCTTCGAGTACCCCGCCAGAGGCACTTATGTCAACGCGCAGTACTCAGCAGCCTATGCCAATTGCAACGATATCCCTGTCGATACTTCCACTGATTCCAGGACAATTACCGAGAGTGGTACATACTGCTACGGACGACGTATTGGAGGGACCGGGCTGACAGATGCACAACTCGATCAGCTCTGTCCTTTTGGATCTGCGTGATTTTTGTGAGCGATTCGATGATGTAAAATACCGCTATTTTTGGGGAAGAGAATAGAGCTGACAGGTATTTGACCTTCCGGTCTTTTCATTTTGTTTTCCATGTCCGTACATTTGTATATAATTTACCATTCTCCGAGTAAGTACATTTCTTGCCATTAAATTGCGGCTCTTTAGTAGTGAGATTGATATGCCAAGAATTGAGCCTGAACTGGCACAAATATCTTCGATTTAACCTCTCCTTGTGTTGTAATGGCAATTCTAAGTCCGAGGCCATAGTAAAGTATCTCTCTAGTCTCTGGTTCAATCACCTCAACATCTATTTAAACACCAAAAAGCACCAAAAATAAAATCATCAGGCCATGCTGAAGGCATCGTCAATCGACGGTAGAAAGCAAGGATTTGAACGGAAAAATAAAAGCTGATGTCTTTACAACACACATTTGACAGAAGACATGGCAGGAACGAAACTGAAAATGAAGCACAAACTTCAAACAAACAGCGACCAAAAAGAGCGTCCCCACAATTCTGCCTTCAATTAAGCTTGTGCAAAAAGTTGTCTTGTAGCCAGATATTCATTCCAGCACAGCATAGACAAGAATTCACAGTACACATTTAAAAAAAAGCCTTTAATGACATGCAGGTGCACTTGAGATCTTATGCGCTGCTGTATGTGACTTGCTTTGCCGGCGTGTTAGGACTGAGTGTCGTTTCGAAGTTTAGCCGAAAGGTTGTGAAAATGTCGATAATAACAATTCGAATTTGTTCCTTCACCTTTGTCATTCCCTTAGGACTTATCAATCCACAGTTAATTGTCCGATGATGATGAATTTTATTGCACAAGTCATTGTTTCTAAGAAGTCAAACAGTCAAAAGGCCAAAATATGTACTGAACAAGATATCGAGGTGAGATTTCACGTGTACCTGCGACGAGTCAAAGAGCTCAACCCAGGACGAAGCGAAATCGCAACTCAATACCCGACAGTACATGGTACTAGAATCGCTTATTTGGGTAGGTAGTTATTCGAATCTATTCTGGTTTCTAGGCTTAGAGAATGGGGTGATATGATTTAATTTGCTGTGATTCTAGTGGGTAGGGATTCGTCTCCAGGTTTTTTCAAGGGATTTGTAAGGAAACAAAAAATACAAAAACAAAAAACAGGCGAAGACGCAGTAGCGCTCAGTACAAACAACACATAGTCCTGCAAGGACGCACCAAGTTATACAGAGATCCAAAGGGGCCAAGGAAAAAAGGAATAGTGTACTACAACTTTAAGGCAAAATACGCTGAAATTATAGTCCCCAGATCGAAAACTGAACAATACTACCCTCCCATATGAAGCCATTGTATCCTTCTCGAAAGGGCTTCTGAGGCCGCAACAAAATACAAAAAAGCTATCATCAAAGCCACACCTCCCTTCCTCCATTTCTCAAGCAATATTATGCATCGACCGATACATAATCGCCGGCCTCGCATCATCCCCATCCCTCTCCACACTAAACTGCGTATCCCTCCTCCTATCATCCCACCTACTCTTCCTCTCCTCAAACTCCGTATCATCCGTCCCCATCGTCACATCATCCCTCCCATCCCTCCCATCCCTGCCACCATACCCAAACCCAAACGCACCCCCACTACCACCACCACCAGTATGACCACTCGCGTTCCAAGATCCAGGAATTCCACTTACCGAATCACGAGCGCGGTGAGCGAGTCGGATCAGTCTGTGCCGAAGACCGTGGTTGTTGGAGACGACGCCGTCGTCGGTGATTTCGAAGCGTGTGTTGGAGAAGGAGCGGAGGTGGAAGAGCTTTTGGAGGAGCTGCCAGCAGCAGATTAGGTTGGCGAGGGTGATGGATGTGGAGGCTTCGCGGATGTACCAGAGTTGGTGGATGGTTGTGAAGGGGGAGGTGAAGTGGTAGTACCTGGAAGATGCTGTCAGTATTTGAGAATCTTGGAGGCTGGGATATTGAGAAGATGGAAGGAGGGGAGAATGGCAAACTCACTTATCCATCACAGCAGCCATAACCGTGAAACAGGCCAGACCACAGATAAGCATCAAGATCAATTTCCCCTTCATCGGCAACTGCGCAAGCCAAATCATAGGGATCGGCGTCAGGATCAATCCAATATCAGAGGAAACATTGAACACCATCTGCACGATCGAGTAGTTGTGGTAAGTGGCACACTCGGAGTTCGTGACTGGTAAGGCCCAGTATTGATTGAATGGCATGCAGGATCCGAAGTAGTAGATTATCTGGATGGTGAAGAGGCCCGCCCAGAGAAAGGCGAATTGGAACCAGAGTGCGAGCTCGAAGCGGGGGAGGATGCGGCTGGGGATGGAATGTTAGTTGTGGTTTGGGCTTCTTGCAGATGAAGCTTTGTGAGTTGGGACGCGGTGTAAGAGTGATTCGGGGAGACAGAGGAAGAGGAAGGAGAGAAGAAGAGAACTTACTGGAGACGAAGCAAGAAAGTCCAGATACAGATCTTAACAGACCAAGTGACACCAAGCATGCATTGCTCAAGAGCAACGACAATCTTAGACCCGAAGATACGATTGGCAACGTCAACTGGATTGGCAAGAATCTGAGCTTCCATCTCCTTCGGGTAAAGATTGGTTTCGAAGTGAGCAAAGACGTTGATCAGAACCAAGACGGCAGAGTAGAAGATCTGTTGATTCTACGTTAGCGAGAATTGGAATGGACATAAAGAGTCGGCTTTGCTTACCATGGCAAGACACATAAGGTAGTCTTCAAAGTGGAATTTCTTCAGAACCCATACCCGGTTAAGCCTTCGAAGTGTTAGTCTTGATGTCAAAGTCCAAGATCGCTATTCCTTTCTTCATATCTTCGAATAAACAAGGAGAACTCACATCCTCGCCCCAAATGCCACCAAAGCAGGAACCCCAAACGCAACCATATTCCACATCAACTCCTCATCACTCGGCGACTCCATCCCCCTCTTCTCCACCACTCTACCCAATCCCTCCCCACTCGATCTCACACCCGCACTCGCATCCTTGGCCGTAGCCTTCTCCACTCCACCCCTCGAAACACACAGCGCGAACCCCACTCCCGCAATCATAGTCAAGACGCCACAGAACGAGATCACCACGTAAGCGAACATTTTCAGACGCTGCCGACACGCGATGTTGTAGTCTGTTGTGCGGCGCGGCTGGAACATCACTTCGAGGATGGTGGCACGGAAGTTGAGGAGGGTTTCCTTGGTGAGGTGGAGGGGGCGGGTGAGTAGTTTTGTTTTGAGCTTGTTGAGGGAGGGGGGCATGGTGAAGGTGTGGGTGGGTGAAAGGAGGCCGAGTATTGTTTGAGGTGGTGAGATGTAAATAATGAATTGATAAAGAGTGAGGAGCTCTACTTTCGAAGAAGAAGAGCGAGGTGTGGAGGGATCAAATCTCAGGCTTGAAAACGCGTTGTGGAGACGGAGAGAAACATGAGGTAGGCTGTGTTGTTGTGGAAGGCAGATCGGGGGAGAAGAAATGAGGCGTAAAATGCTGCGGCGGTGGCCTGATTAGTTTCGATGTGTTGTTTTTGTTGTCGTTCGCGAGGTTATATTGAAATACAAAGGCGAGGCGTGGTTTGGTGGGTGACGAGGCGGAAATTGGGTATTTTGTCGCTCACCTTTCGAGAGGGTGTGTTCTCGCTTTCATGGTGCTATGATACATACTTGGATTCACCTTTTTATCTCTGGGCCTCCAAGAGAAGTTGGTAGCGAGGGCCAGTGCAGAGTCATGTAGAAGCTGGACATTGGACGTTCTGTTTGTACGCAGAGCAGTGGACAAGACCTGAACAACACAGGACAGGATATGGCGTACATATCATGCTGCATGCAGGTAGGGCACGCCCTCGTCTGATCTGGTGTCATCATCTCATCTAACCTTATCCAAGTCCCCGTTCTTTCTGCGGATAAACGAGAAATTTGTGACCGAACTGGAGCCTTTGTCCACGCAGCTTGGCAGTTGAAGATGATATTACTCAAAGGAGCACGACTCTACCCATTAGCAGGTACAACTTCAGTCTTACTCTACCATGTTTGCCTTGTACTCCCAATCAATGTGACAGATCCCAAGCAAATGGTGCACCGCCCCATCTTCTTTCTTATCAGCACTTTTTACCAGAAAACTACAGTACCACCTAAAGCAGTTTGATTCATCCCAGCAGAATGAGCCTGCCCACCACATCAAACACTTAACCAAAGACAACCCATACCTGCCTCTTATCACGCAGAGCATGTTTGACACAATACAGTCATCCAAGCCCTCAATGCATGGCCCAAGCCATGTACCACAAAGTTCAACATTTGGAGCGACCAGACATATTATCCCAATGAACGTCGTGCTACACTACCCATCTCCCAAGCTACAAGAATATGCATACTCGTTGTGCAAGGTACAGATGCATACGCTCCCGCAGGTACCGTTCTTCTTTCAGAATTCTTCTGGGGGTCATGGTAGCGAAGGGGCCATTATAACTTAATATGCGACTGTGGTGTGTTAGTTTTATGGTATGCATGTCTTGTCTTATTCATCCTCATGGCGCATCGCATGGGAACGGTGAAGACTCGCGCGACAGAGAGTGGAGGCGGAGGTGGAGGGGCGTTATCATGCAGTCTTATCTCTGCTCTTGATTGAGTCTTTGAAATTGAAATTAGAGATCGCGCATAAATTTATTTAGTAGAAGACAGAAGGAAAATGGAAAGGGAAGAGAAAGAGAAAGAGAAAGAGAAAGAGGAGGAAGGGTTATATATACAAACAGAGAGAAGGAGGTTTGAGAACCCTCACAAAGCATTTCCTTCTTTTTCAAAGAGCAAAACCTTGGGACGTCCACAAAGAGATTCGCGAGTAACAGGCTCAAACTCCTCCGAATACCTTCGGACTGATCGATCGCCAGAGAGTTCGGAATATCTCCGATTTGAAGAAAGATGCCTTTGCTGGGAAATCGTTTGGTTCATTTTTCATAGCTACTGGGCACTTATCTCCAACTCCTGTACGACGCAGGCATGATGATGGTGTTGTGCCATGGAACGAGCAGATTGTGATAGAAGGAAGCAGGTGGCAAGTGAGTGAACACCGCCAAGAAAGCGAAAAGAAGGATTGCAGAAGAGACTTGAGGGAGGAAATGATATGGTGAGCAAGTAGGTCAGTGAACCGTGCACTTGCGATATTCTGGGTTTGGATTCGATACATGTCTGGAGGTGCTCGACAAGGGGACTCGTAGATATTGTTGAGGGATCGTGATTTGGCTCTTACTCCCAGCTGGTTGGATTGCATTTCATTGCATTTGGCAGGCATGCCTTTCTCTCCTGAACATAAATGCTTGCTCACTGGGGTATGCCAGCGTGTGTCCTCCGCCCCTAGTTCTTGGAAACAATGAGAGACCTCTATGAGTTCCAACTGGCAGCCCTTTTTATGTCCTCTCCACTACACAAGATGCTCCATGCTCTTCCAGCATCTGCATCTGCACCATCTGATATACTTTCCTTCCTTCCCTCTGCCGCAATTTTCATTTTCTTGTCCCATGTTGTCGCCCCCGAAAAAACTCCAATGCTATGCCCCTATCCATGCAGAAAAATGATGTTCATCATCTGCTTTCCCCGTGCCCGTTCCTGTAGATTTACTGCCATATCACTGAGCCTCAGGACCCCGAGCCTTATGCTGGTGTGATGTACGCCCTCAATGCTGCTTCTGCGTTTCCATCGTGGGCTTTTAGCAGGTCCGTTGCTTTGGGCTTGGTCAATTCTAGCTCGTCGATCTGAAGAGAGTATGGTTAGCCAGGGCACTGGAAAGAGTTAAGTTATGAAAGAATAGATCCCGGGGCAGAAGAAATAGTTGGCGCTTGCCAGCTACCCCTCGAACCAAGAACATCGTGAACTCCTCCTCCCATAGATGCTCTCTCCAGCAAACATAACTGCAGAGAAACCCTCCAGCGACTCACCAACAAAGCTACATCCGCCGCATCAACCTTAACCACCTTCTTCACCACCTTCTGCTCATCCTTCTTCGCAACCGCGCCATTCGTCACCGTCGCACCACCCAACCTCTCCATCGCCTTCCTCACAGCCTCCTGATCGACATCCTTTCCCGCCGACTCCTCGTCTCTAGGTGTATCGAGGGAGGAGAGTGCCGCAGCGGCTTTCCTGTCTTCTGCTGATTTGGCGACGGCGGGGATCTCCTCGTCGATGTCACCGGTTGTTGCGCCTTCGATGATGTTGGGGGGTTGGGCTTCGGCCATTGTGGGAGAGTGTGGTTCTTTCGTGGGGGTTTCAGAGGAGGAATTAATAAGTTAGAGGTGTTGTCGAGAGAGTGGAAATGTTAAGTAGGAGAGGACGTCGGATTTAGCTGCTTTTGGTGGGGGGTGATAGTCTTGGGGATTTAGCCCAGTCGGTAGAGTGCTGGTGTCCACTAACAGGATCCATTAAAGCAGCGGCGTGGATCAACCCCTGTCAACTCGGTTGCCCACAAATGACTCCCTCCATTCTGAAGTTGTGTTGACTTTCTAGCTTGAGCATCCATTTCTTTAACCTCTATTAAGTTTGATATTTTAGCTTTTTCGTATTTAAAGGTTCCCTTTAATATTAGTCTCTATATTCTAGGTAGTATCTTTTACTATATTATTTAAACGGAGTCATCTACGCAGCAGTCCAGCAGATCATTGCGTCCCCAAATGGCAGGTACTTATACAGACATGGAGATTATGTCCAATATAATTAAATCTCTTTACAACTAGAAATTAGATCGCCAGTAGAATTCTCCTAATATCTTTTCAAATCCACTCAAGCTTCCCGGAATATCAAATTAAATCAATCCCGACATGAGCTATGGTGTTGCAACAACGGGAGGGGGCTCGAGAGTCAAACAGTCCAGTCACCCTCCCGAGGCCGACAATCCAATTCCACCTTCCCGCTGCACGTAAATTGTCAAAACCTGTCGGTGTGCACAATCAATACTGTTTCATTTATACTGGGACGTAAAGACAGGAGTCGAGTCCTGTACACTATGACCTGCCATGTTGGGTTCTTTTTACCGAACGTTGCTGAAATGAACAAGGGATATGTTGTTGTCACTTGCCTAAAATGGAGCCAGTGCTACCTACCCCTTGGCGCCATATTGGCTGCCTCGGGTTTTATATTCGGGTACGATGCTGTTGGAAACAAATACGGACAAGATACAGTCAGATTTGATGGCCGCACAACCGCTTGAGCTGGATGATCGAATCGAGTGGGTGTTATACAGTAAGCATTAAGAGTTGTCACGCTTCGACAAATTGATGCACTTTCCCAAGTAGGCATAAGGTAAACATCAGTGTGCTATTGGGTCTACCTTAACCAACATCAACCAACACCTCCGCAAGGGCACGCAGTCTTCCCCTTCAAGGCAACAGTACGAGAAGTTCAGCCCAGTCAATTTCCAACACCAGTCGGCTCTCCGCCCTCAGGAATTGGGAAAGGAAACCCTTTCTCCCTCAACTCTGCCTTCGACAAAGGGGTCGAAAATACAACCACGACCGAGTAGGTGCTGACGTTCATGCTGATGACCGTGTAACAGTCGTCCGCCACGTGCTTCGCCACGGTAGCAATATTGGATTTGAGGCTGTGGTTGCTGGAAGCTCGAAATGTTATGAAATCCGAGCCAGCGTGCATGTTGTGGTAGATGATATCAATTGGAGGTGTGGTTGGTTGGCTGGCTGCTGGAGCAGTGTTTTCTGTTGAGGTAGCCATTGTTTAATGCCTTCTGGAAGTCAATCCGAGTGACCGAATCGAAGTGAGAGGTTGATATGGTCCGACTTACGATTGTGGCTGGCTGGCAGTGCACTTTTCGATTCTCGTTGATGTATTATTCAGCTGCTGGGACTGAGAACAGAAGTTGACTGACTTGTCGATGAAAAGCTGATACAGAGCGAGGTTGGAAAGAAAGCGTTTTATTCCTTAAATGGCCCGAGATAAGGGGCCACCTCGGTTAGCAGGCTTGTAAGCAGCCTGGCCTCGCGTTTGGTCTCGGGTTTTTCGATTATGGCAACAAGGAGGATTTGCTCCGGCCTGCGACTTTCCATTTTGGTAACCATAGAAAGTCATCGCATCTTCGGATTCCGAATATTCTTCAATATTGCTGTATCTCAACCTTTCGTCAGCATCGGGCCAACTTCGCCGCTCCTGTTACTTTCAGATGCAGTCATGTCGGTACATACCTGGCGATATGCTCATGCAAAGCTATCAGAAACCATTAGCAAGGGCCATTGATTGGAAGGCAAGAAACGACCACAACAAGCTGAACTTACTAACAATGTACAAGAGAACACTCTCCTGCTGATACAGGTAATCCATAGCTTCTCTTCATCAAGGACATTGATCGAAAATCCACTTACTCTATCCTCCTTTCCAGTGACTCTCATTCAGCCAAGCTTACCAAAGCACAACACTCCGTCCATCAAGATGAGATCTTCCATCACTGGTAAGCAAGAAGCTCCTTGGAAATCAAGCTTTTTCATTCTATCAGTCATAGTAATCTACTTGCTATCAAGCATAGTCGCCATTGCCGCCTCTCCTCTGGATACTGCCGCAATGTCCAAACGCGCAGGGTACACCTTCTCCTGTTACGATGGATCTCAGACAAGAGTCTGCAAGGGAGATCCATATCACTATCGCTGCAGCCTGCAAGGAAACTTAGGCTACGACGTGCCGAACACCTATTGTTCTGATAATTCCAGGTGTGGATGCGACTACAATGGGGGTGGTGGCGACTGTCACCCTAGGTGCACTAAGACTTCTGGTGCAGGTAATGAGATTGAAGAGGCTGACTTGGTGACCATTGCTGTGGTTGAGTCGGACGACTCGAGTGAAGGCGAAAAAGCATGAGTTCTATTTATGGGGCACAATGTGGAGAAATCCAAGCAGAGCGACGCAGAGTGTCGGAAGGGTGGAACCAGATATCTGCATAAAACGAGAATTTTTTTAAGAAGCTGTACTGAAATGAAATGTTACAACGTGTATCACACAAAATAATCAGCCGCATCATTGCATGACTGAGATAAAATTCTTCCCCTGGTTCTCCCTTGCAAATTCGCTAAGCCAAATTCACTTTCCGTGTTGTTTAATGGTCGTTATAACCAATGGCATGATGTCCAATGTTGATCACACAATGTTCTTTATCAACATCTATCACCCGTGGAGAACTTACAACCACCACAACGTGGTATCAATACAGATATGTATCAGAGGTGAGGGACGACGATCAATGTTGTACCGACTGTTTTTCGACCTTCTCGAGATGTCTGTCTCTTTTGTGGTTATGTCTTGTGAACGAGAATGAGAGTGGACGATCCGCTTGATCATCACTAGTCACCGTTCCTTCCTTCCAAATTTCGCCACGAGATTCTACAAATCCTTTCCTGGGGAAGGAACGAAAAGGTAATAAAGCGCCACGAGGTGATCGATCACTTCTGATTTCAATTCACCTACTTCTAACCGCATCACTTCACTTGCTGACATTCTTCTCCACCAGTCGACAACCCCTCGGTCGCTTCCACAGCTCCACATGTCCCTCTGCGGAGCTCTGTCCGATTCTTCTTTGAGACAGATTTCATCAACCATTGGCCATGGCAAGCGGACGCATACGAGCACGAAGAGGAAGAACACACAGGACAACTACATGCGTTGATTGCAAGTCCGTTCACCTCCGCGGGAATCGACTCGCGCCAACAGCCATCAATATCTGCCGGTCTTGACAAGAGACAGATTGATCATAGATCATTGAGATACCAAAGTACCTGCTTGAAGTGAAGTGTCCATCAGTGGCACACTTCCTAATGTTGGCGCTGCTGGCCGCTCCCATCTTCCTCCAAGAGATGCTGCGCCCTCGTTCGCTCATCAGCCAGTAAGTGTGGTTTCGTCGATCGTCTTCACAATGCTAACAATCTATTCAGCTCGCTGACTAGATTTTATAGCCAGTTGTGGCTGCCTCTCGTGCTCTCTACTTGGATATTGCAGGTAGTGGTCAGATTTCTGCAGATTGTCCCGAGAATCGCGGATATGGAAAGTCGTGATAACCAATAGATGATAGGGAGACGGGTATGATGAATATGCCCTTGTAAGCAAGAAATACTTATATCATATAGGCCTGTGCTAGATGCGACACCTTACGAGGAAATGCTCAAGCACGGAGAGGGGCGCTTGGCTCGTTATTGACTTTTCGGTATTCGGGCTGGTCATCTGCAACAACTAGTGGGGGAGTGTTCGGTAAGAATCAACCTGTTTTCTCTGGCTTAATAGTCTACTGATCAATTTCAAGCAATAAAGTTCTGGTGCAAAAGATCGGGAAATTCTAATACGATTATTTGCCTGCTTTACCACTGAAGAAGATTGGATTCAAGATCATCACAGCGCGCGACCAGCGGCTGCATAGAATCTTTTTCCACTTGACTCTTCAACGGTCTTATTTGAAAATTTGGTACCACCTCGAGAATCAGTCCCACTTCGCTCAAGGTTACGAGTACCGTGGTTGTTGTCGTTGTCGCCTGGAGAATTTGGCTCGGATACTGAAATAGCCTCTGATGGTACACCTGAAGGATATCTATCGGTACTGTGGCTAATCTATTGATCCATGGTACTGAGGATAGTAACGAGTGGTGTCTGATTTAACACATTGGGTGGAAACGGAGAGTGTTTAGGAGGGATCTAATTCGAGTTCGAAAGAATCGTTTGGATGTAGACTATCCTGGATGAAATCGCCTAGTTATGGTAAGAGACAACGAGTTCAAAGAGTTTAAACATGAACCGAGCGACGAGGTTACGCGAGCTTACTCGTACTTGCTGGAAGATGACCCATTGAACTTTCTTGTTTTCTTCCGCTTACATCCTAGATGTAAGGGATGGGGGCTTTGACTGGTCGATATTAAAGCCAGCTGTTGACCATAAAATTTACTAGAAGATGTACTTGAGTATTAAGACCTTCATAAAGCCATCATTTGTACACAACGTCACGTGGTTGCCATTGCATTTCGGAAGGAAAACGTCGGAAAAAAAAAGGCGCCGTTTGCCAAAGAACAGTAATATTCCAGTATACCGCATCTTCCCAGTCAGCAATTCCTCGATCCCATTTTCCGAAGATTTGTCCCGAGTTTCGTTGAAATGACAACTTTTCATAAGGGGCCTCGTTTGAAGAGAATACCCATGCAGCACGGCAATCCAGTCTCGCAGCCTTGCAGCAACTGGAAGCTGAGATCCAAAGGCTGCAAGAGCCCACTTCACTAATGAGGTAGAAGAACGCTGGATATTGCAGTCCTCTCCGCTACGAGGAGCACATGGATCATCACTAGGAACACTTGCTCTCTCCAGAACCTACTGAGACATCAGGCGGGACGGAAGCGTAGTTCTAAGGGACGCAACCCCACCTGGTCGTAAATTCAAGCAAGACATTTCAACGGGTACTGTAAGCTTTGAAGCGAGGTCAGTGCTTCCAGCTGTTTAAAGCGTGCTTGTCAGCGTGATGATTAACAATGGAAGTTCCTGAAGCACCGGCTAGTGAATGGGATGTTGAGAATCACTTGGCTCAACACTGCAAACTGGAATCGAGTAATAATATTAGAAAGTTCTTAGGTGAACCCATGGAGGAACAATGTTGATTTTAGGTTTGAAAATCCATGCGATGCTTGGCTACCCCGCTATTGATCACCAAAGGAAGAGTGATCAACAAGGAGATTTCTGAGGGATAATATCGTGAAGTGCAACCCTTTCAACTTCTAAGGTGGATATGTGTTCAAACATCGTGGCATATTGCAACCGTTTAGTACCCGCTCTTGTCATCTTCGGGCCGTAAAGCTCGTCTAAGATCAGATGAAGAGCCCCCTGTCTACGTCGTTTGCATTTTAATAACTGGCTGAGTTTTTTCCTCATGGGCTTTAGGAAAACGCAAGGTAGAAAACTATTTCGACAGGATCGCCGATCCTACAATCGTGGTTCCCTGGAGCGAGAAACATATGCACCAAGCTGCGGCGCATTAAGTGGCGTCGAATTATGTTTCTTCAGCTCCCAGTCATGCGACTGAAGATCCTCACACGTAAACGGTCCAGTTTCCTTGAACTTTAAAGCTCAAGGGAGCCGTCCACCACTACAACTGACAAGCTGGACGGTCATCATTTAGTCTGCTCCGCTTACCGCACGGCCAGTACGCTCCCGAGTGCCATAATCCTGTTCTTTCCGGTATCCCGGTCAATAACAACAACATATCTCGCCCAGTCTTTCGATCAGTGTGCCTGAGAAGCAACTGAGACATATTTCATCAGTGGCTGTGGTGACACATCCCCAGATTCCAGCAGCCACAGCACACATCTGTGCTGAAGAACAGATCACGATGAGCCACGTCCTCCAAGGGTCCGAAAGATGTGTTCTATTAAACGAGCCGAAATCAAGGCGGGTTGGGTTCGGATGCCTCTGTTCATCAAAAGGAGGTGTCTCTCTTTCTCCAACAGTGAAAGTAACGGCCACTAATTATGCCTGACGTACGCCACACTACTTAAGGCGTTGCGCCCTCGAATCAATAGAGTTCGCTGGGTCGTCGATTATTTGGTGGCTCGCATCACTGGAGCCCATTAGTTTCAGGGGGACCGGAAGATGGTCCCAGACACTAACCGCCTTTCAGCTGAAGATCGCTCGACGGTTGACCCCGCGGCCAGCAGCCCGGTTCCTGCGCTAGCCGAAAAGTAAATAAAAGCCAGGTTCAACCAAATTGGGATGGGCACACTGTAGCGCAAGCTGGATTGGGAAATAGAGCTGCTGTCCTTGAGTCCGAGCGCATGATTTTGTCAGCAATCTTGAAATTGACAGGATCCAATGACAGGAAGTGGCAGAATTAGATTTCAGCTATGTGGCCGGGTTTGCTCCAGTGAGTGCCGGTTTATTGGTTTATCCGAACTCATCGGTACATTCCTAGGTTGACCCGGCTGTCAAATATTTTATTTGATATTTCTTTTTGACAATAGCTTGGCTGCTAGTGATGTCGGGAAATGATAGACAGAAGCTGGCGGGGGAGAGCAAACTACCATCAACAAATGCTGCCCTTATCAGAAACAGTTTCCTAGAGAGTTGCCCTCCTACGTAGAAGTTGAACAAACATACCAAACCTTTACCATCAATTCTTAACACCAATCTATGATCTGAAATCTTACTTCTGATGTCTAGATCTCACGCAACCTAACTACACCGTCAGCATCCTCCTAGGCCTCAATGCGTTCCGTCCGAGGCCTTCTAAAGCGAAATAAAAGTTCTCAGAAGATTGACGAAGAAGCGTCCAACGCTAGAAACGGCGCATCATTGTCATCCAGAGACATGGGCTCAGCCGAGCGGGTCTTCCCTATTCGCAACTTGAGGAGCAATGTAGATTTATATCACCAAGCAGCCATCGATTCGAACAGTGTCAGAGAAGGAGTAGTGGCCACAGTAAGTATAATCTTTGGAAAGGAAGAAAATTGATCGCTCACAAGAATCCAGGCTCAAGCACGACCAGAATCTTACAAGCAAGAGCATTATCGCATAGCTCCGTCAATTACGAGTGACGGCTCGAGGACTCCGAGACAATCGAGTAGTGGGGGCTCATTATCTGGCGCGGGGTCACCGAGAGTATCCGCGAGATCGCAATTTGTTTCGTCGAAGTCAGGACCTCCTGGAGTACTTCATGGAATAGATCCAGATATGGAACAGTACAAGAATCTCCCCGGATACCGCCGTTGCGAGGATGAGGTATATTTGTCCACTGTTGCAGAAATATGCATTGTCCACCTGCTAACCAAATACCTGAAATCAGCCCATCCATACACCTGGTGCAATCCAAAGTTTCGGGGCAATAGTCGGACTGAAATACAACGATCTGGGCGACCTTCAAGTCCGAATCGCAAGTGAAAATACGCGCAAAATCATAGGGTGCGGTCCCGAACAGCTCTTCACGTTAACTTCCTTCCTCGATGTCCTCAGAGACGACATCCGCGACGAAATGGTCGCGCGGGTTAACCACACTCTCCATGCTGGTGCTGCAGCACAAGAGGAAACTCGCTTGGATATCTTCCAGATCATCCTCACCTTTCCATATGAGCCTGAGATCCGTCTCTGGTGCGCAATCCACCTCGCGTCGAAGCCAGAAGGACTCGTCATCTGCGAGTTTGAGGAATATCTTGATGCTTTCTCCCTCAAAGATATCAGAGCTACTAAAATGCTTCCAGAGTCACCGATCAGCTCTATGGAGGTCACGCCGGAAGAGTTGGAGAGAAGTACGACGTCAAAGAGTAAGCCCCTGCCTGTGATTGATGTTGCGCGCCAGAGAAAGAACAAGGAGTTTTCTACTCTGGATCTGTTCAATGCTCTCGCACAGGCTCAGAAGCAGATCACAAATTGTTCTACTGTTCCTGAACTGCAAGAGGTTGTTGTTGGACTCATTGCTGAGTTGACGGGCTTCCATCGAGTCATGTTCTATCGCTTCGACTCACAGAAGAATGGTCGTGTCGACGCCGAGTTGTTGAACCCAAAAGCGAGTACTGATGTCTGGCTCGGTATGGAACGAAACATATCGCTTTTGAACATATCATTACTTACTTCGATTTCAGGCTTGAACTACCCGGCATCTGACATTCCAAAGCAGGCTCGAGACCTATACATCATCAACCGAATCCGTATCCTGCTCGATCGTGAAGCCGAAACGTCTAGACTTGTTAGTAAATCCTTTCTCGCTTACTGTGCTATGTGTCTCTGCTGATGATCAACAGGTCTGCCGAGAGGCATCTGATTCCGAGAGTCCTCTCGACCTCACACATGCTTACCTGCGAGCCATGTCTCCAATACACAGCAAATATCTCGCTAACATGGGCGTACGCTCGACCATGTCTATCTCGATCGTAATCAACAATGATCTTTGGGGTCTTGTTGCATGCCATGGGTATGGTGATATCGGTATCAGAGTGTCCCTCCCGATCCGAGAGCTTTGTCGGAATATTGTACGTGAGGGAATGATTCTTTCATCGTTGCTTACTGACAACGGATCCAGGGCGAGTGTGCCGCATCCAAAATCCAACAAATCCTCATGCAACAACGAATCGACGCGCGTCGTGCACCAACAGCCACACCCTCCTCCCAGCACAACGTAAGTTTCATCGCGGCCTCCTCCAGCGATCTCCTCAAGCTCGTAGAAGCAGACTTCGCTCTCCTCAGCATCGATGACGATGCTCGTGCAATCGGTCGCCTTGATCCATATTCTGAAGCCATTGCTATCACATCGTACTTGCAGACATGCAAGTTCACCGAGATCAAGTCCAGTGACAATATCAATCGTGACTTTCCCTTAATTGCACAGAGACACGAGATCAAGACTATCGCAGGGTTGCTATTGATTCCGCTGAATTTTGGAGGTGGAAATGATTTCTTGGTGTTTTTCAGGAAGGGCCAGATGAGGCAGGTCAAGTGGGCGGGGTAAGTCGTTTGTTTACTTACTAGCGAGCCGAATTTCTCGGTGCCGCCAATAGAAGCATCAACGCTACGGCATCAGTTGATCAATGCTGATACATGGACAGAAACCCGCATGCCAAGAAGTACCAGGCGGGAAGCGAGTACCTTGAGCCAAGGTCCAGCTTCGCACGCTGGGTAGAGACCATCAGTGGAACGAGTCACGAGTGGACAGATGATCAACGTATGTTTGTCGACGAACCAATACGTACTTTAAAGCTAATAGATATGTAGTCGACACCGCAGCCGTGTTAGGTTTGCTGTATGGACGATTCATCGAGGTCTGGCGACAGAAGGGATCTGCCAAGCAAAGCCACCAGTTGACACAAATCCGCGCATCTTCTCGAGAATGTGAGTAACCACGCAAACACCTGGTTTATTTCATACGATTGGCTCTTCGTATATTTTGGAATGAAGATGCAGTGTCTGACGTGCTGTACAGTGCGAACACCCCTCAATGCAATTGTCAACTATCTTGAGATGGCGTTGGAGAACCAAGTCGACGATAAGACTAGACACATCCTCGATCGTGCACAGGATGCTTCCACTTCCTTGGGAGACGTGATGAACGAGCTCATGAAATTGACCAAGCTAGATGATAGCCCATCTCCAGGGTCTGATGAGACATTCAATCTGAACTTGACAGGTTCGATCCCGGCATCCCGAGATACTAGCTTCGAAGATCATGCTAACAGTTCTCAGCTGCAAGAGCCATGAAAGGTCTCCAGAAAGATGCCTCGCGCAAAAATCTCGAGCTCAGTGTATCTGTTAACGAACAACTTCCCGCAATGGTCAAGGGCGATCCTGATCGCCTCAAAGATGCATTGCTTCACCTGACAAGCTACGCCTTCAAGCAATCCAATCATGTAAATGTCGAAGTCGACCTGATCCGCACAAAGAAGAAAATTTCCACCATTGGATTTACGATCCAAGACAACGGCCCCGGGAAATCTGACTCGGAACTCGACGTAAGAATTATTCATTACCCGCCTCTATCCATTAAGCGAGGCATAGTAACAGAACTGACAACCTGCTCTAGGATACATTCCAAGAATTTGAAGCCGCCCAAGATGACGATGACTGGCTTTTCGCTACCAATGACAACAACGCCGCCCCATTGACAGCAGAAGGCCGCTCTACAAAAGCAGACCTAGCACTCATCGCTCGCTATCTCCGCGATACCAACGGACAGATCCGCCTCCACAGTGAAGCAGGCAAAGGCACTATCTTCACTGTCGAGATCCCGTTCGAGCAGGTTCAATCCAGTGACTCATCACGCTCGCGGAAATTGAGGAACCTGTTCTCGCCGAGTCTGTCTGGAAATCGCGGGCTGAGCCCACCGAGTCCCCCTCCCAGCACCAAGACGCCCAAACCAAACGGTGCTGGTGAGAAAGCGAAGACAGCTGCTAGCACAAATGGACATGGAGACGAGACTTCAAATGGTAACGGCAATGGCCATAGTAATGGCCTCGGCTCTCCAACAACTTCGCAGTTCCCTCTTCCTCCTCGCGTAAGTAGCGTTCAGCATCTCGAAGCGCATGTCTCCCAAAATGGCAGCGCGCCGCAAGCGAACAATCGCTCTTCGGCTCTGTATATCGACAGCGATCCTGAGTTCTTGACTTCGGGATTGAGATTGAATGTGCTGGTTGCCGAGGACAATCTTGTCAGCCAGAAGATGCTGGAGAAAAGGATTGGGATGAGAGGTCACGAGGTGGTTGTTACGAGTGATGGGCAGGAGTGCCATGATCGGTTTGCGGCGGGTGGGGGGAAGGTGGATGTTATTATCATGGATCTGAAGGTATGTCTGAGTTGCTGTCCGGGTGGCGGAGCAGGGAAAGATAATATAAATAATGCTAACAAGGACAAGATGCCAACCGTCGATGGCACCCTCGCCACCCGCATGATTCGCTTCCATGAAAAGGAAACCAATCATCGGAATCAGCAAGCGAACGGTGGCGAAGTGCAATCACCTCGACAGCGCGTTCCGATACTCGCCATGTCTACTGCGCTGGTCGAAGAAAACAGGTTCGAGTACATCCAAAATGGGTGAGTGTTTCCAGACTCTCTTTCCTACGAGACTTGAAGCTGACTCTGATAGATTCGACGGATGGATCATGAAACCAATCGATTTCCAGCGTCTGGATCTCATCCTTCAGGGTGTCAAAAATCCTGAACTAAAGCGAGACTCGCTTTACGTTCCTGGGCAGTGGGAAAAAGGAGGATGGTTCTTCCCTTGAAGTTCGATTCTCTCTAACTTTTAAATATCCATGTGGATATCGAATGAGCGACGATGTGAAGGATCTGGGTGGAAAATCTGACGAGACTCTTGTTTCTGATGTTCTCATTGCATCGCCTCTCGTTTGGTAATTTCACCACTGTATTCTACAGTGTCTTTCTGGTGTGGTGGATTTTTTGTTGTCTAGGCGGCACTCTTCGGACTTGGGATGGCCTGGTATTGGCTTTGTATATCAGTCGTTACAAAATGAATGTATCTATCTCCTTTGTCCGTCAATAAACCGCTTCCAAGACTGTACCATACATTAACCCAAGTGGAAGAACAAAAAACGTTCAACTCACAGGAACATTGCTCTTCCTCCTCACGTTATCCATAACCTCATCATCTATTACCGGTCCCTTATATACTTCCCGTCCCTTGATCCAGTACCAAACTACACTAAAAATGATAACTCCTCCTGTGACCAAGACGCTATAATTCATCGTTGCGGCATCCACAGGTGTTTCTGGGGGCCATACGCTCCAGAAGATAACGAAAACCATATACAGACAGGCGTAGGCGTTATTGATAATACCGAGCATGCCAGGGATATGAAATGGACCCCATGTCAGTTGAGGTCCGGAAGACCCGATATCGATTTCCGGTGCTGTTTGGTCGTCGCCATCGTTCGCTCTCGACTCTTCTCCCTCGATCTCCGGCTCTCGATCAGGTTGACTGATATCGGCTCCCATGTGCGCAACAACGAAACTTCTCGGTGCAATATTGCTTCCAATTCTATGGTGTAACAGAAATGCACAAGGCAGAAAATACGAGCCATAGAACCCGGTAATAGCCAACGAAATCACATCATTGAATGCCGTCTCGCTGCCTACATAGATCAAAGTCAGCAATGCAGCAAATCCAACTACAGTTCCGACAACCACTATTGGTACCTTGGTCCTGGGATCGACTTTGCTGAGAATTTGAGAAAAAGGCGTTCCACGGTCCCGAGCAAATGACCAAGTCATGCGTGATGCAGTCGTGGTTATACCTATTGCACATGCCCAAGTCAGGCATAGCACAACAGCTGCCATGGTAGTAACGCCTCCGACATTGCGTACGCTGTCGTTAAATATTTGCAGGAAGGGAAAGCCGGTGGGTGAGTTTAGGACAGTGGTGAGGTCGCCTATGGAGAAAAGGACTGTGAGCATCATTGCGAAGCCGAGGAGACCGTTGAGGAGCATACTGCCACATATTGCCCTGGGTATTTTAATTGCTGCGTGTGAGACTACAGTTTTTAGTTCCTATTATGATATGCATAAGTTGGATGTACTTACTCTCGTCTGCCATGTGCACACTAGCATCTGCGCCGACGAATGTAGCGACATTACCAAGAAAGCCAACACAATAATAAGACAGACCTTGAGTCGGCCACCCACCTTCATTCAAACTCGTAGTAAACAAAAACTTTGCCGACCGATGTGGAGCACAAACCCACAGCACCGCGAGGATACTCATGAACCCGACCAAATGGAACACCAAAATAAAAGTCTCAGACTTTGGCAGTAAACCAGGAATCACCAGTTCACCACATTAATAAATACCGCAACAGCCATTACCAACCACGCAAAGCTTTGCCTCATAATCGGGATAATTCATCACAATCAAACCCTGAATGATCGTCCCTGCAAAAATCGTCTCTGTAGCCACTGTCGCAATCAAGGCCAGACTCGTCAACCACCTAATGACATAGCTGCAGAATTTCTTCCACTCCCTCGGCGCCATCATCGCACACCAGTAATACTGTCCACCTGCTATAGGTGCTATTGATGCCAGTTCCGAGATGACGATGTAGACTGACAGGGTGGAGAGCCAGGCAATGAGGAAGCCGTAGACGAGACCCGCTGGCCCGCCATTGTTGAGTCCCTGGGCGAACAGGGCTAACACTGTCTCCCAGGTTATGAGTTCACTGATTGCGAAGGAGAAGATTGAGAGTAGGCCGAAGCGGCGTTTGAGGACTTGTTTCTTGCCGAGGAGGGCGAGTGTGTCGCTGTCTTTGTCTGTAAAGGGTGTGCGGGCCACTCCAGGGATCTGGGATGCCATTTATATTGATAATTTTTTGCCAGGGAACTTTCGGATGGATAGGAAGTTTGAGTTTGTCGCCTGTATGTTTACACTCCGTGCTTCGGCATCGCGTTGTGGCAACCTGGACCTGGAAATCAACGGAACCTTCCTTACACTTTGTTATGAAGTAATTTATTCGAGAGATGAAGGAATTAGCAAAACTGAGAGGTGGCCAACTTAAATTAGACAGACTAGTCGGATTTAGGCGTCGCTAGACGCCATGTCAGACGACAATGCCGATCGAGGTGGAAGTATACAGCCGACCGCTGCTGGTATTATGGAAAGCTAACGAAGACCTGGTACTATTTACCGAATGACTCCTCATACAATTCGGCAGAGACAAAAAGGGTGCAAAGAGACAAGGAGTCAATATGGAAATAGGGACATATTTAGGGACTTCGCTAAAGAAGTAAGCTTTCAGACCCGAGCCGCCCCGCTCCCAATCAAATACTCAGCACGTGGGTCCCACATTACATTCAAAACTTCACAATCTGAGCCAGAATTGTCAAGATAATTCTATGATTGTAGGTAGAATGATAGAATATAGATTGTTGAGTAGTTCTAGACATTGGACCTCCTGTCTACTCAACAGGATACGCTTGCGCAATACGATTTCCAACCTTGTAGTGCGTGCCAACCTGAGCAGTTATACTCACATTACTCTTTGCTTCAAAAACCAAAACGATATCCGACCCTCCGAACTGGAAATACGAAATCTCCTCTCCCTTCCGCAGCGTGACTCCCACCTCAGCAGTGATATTAACCGACGACACTTGAGCCATACCCATCGGCAGGACAGCGACCAGTCCAATGGCCGTGTCCAAAACGAGAAGCCCGCGAGTCTGGACGAACTGGTAACCTGGATTATCAGGGGCGTCGAACTCAACCCCAAGCGGAGCAGTCACATTTTTGTGATCGACGGTATTGTGGAGTTTGCGCTGTGGACTGAGCGTCAGACGGCCGTCATCGTCTCGTTTCGGGTTGACTTCGAGATAGACTTGTCCTTGGATAACGCGAGCTTCGAGTACTTTGCCGCCAATAGGTGCGTGCTGACGATGGTAGTCTGCTGGGCCAAGGAAGGAGTGGATGAATAGTCCATTGTTGAATCGATCACTGTATGGAGATCCTGCGAGGAGTTCGCTGATCGGCCAATGGATATGTTTGATATCGACGCCTGAGTCGGAGCGGACTTCGAATTGTCCACCGTATGTGCAATCGGCTGGAGAAGTGATAACGGTTGGATCTGAGATAGCTGCAATGGGTCGATACCCGGGCTTGAAGTCCCGTGCAAAGACAGCATTGAATGTCTTCCATCCGCCCCGAGGCTGGATGTAGTCTCCCATGTTATAATCTGGAGCCGCATAGAACGAGTCCAAGCTAGCCTTAGTCAAAGACTCAGGCGTGTCGAGGAACTCGCCAAGTTTGATGGCGTAGCGGACCAGCCAGTCTGAGAGCCAAGTGAGGGGTTTGCCGCCTTCGCCTGGACGAATGGGACTCTGGAGGTCGCGGACTGCTTGTTGCTGAAATACGAAGTAAAAGAGGCAGAGTTGGAAGTACACTTCTCTTCCGGTCTCTTTCTCCGTAGGTACCCAGAAGAGCCAGTCGTTACAGTACTTGTAGAAATCGTCCATGTTGGCGATTTTGTCCATCTCCTTAATGCCGCTCGCTTTGGCTTGTTCGATTGCTGTATCGAAACTCTCCTTCCACCCAGGTTCTATTTCGATCTTGCTCGCAAGTCTGGGTTATAATTATTAGCATGCTGTGTTTGGGGTGAGAGTAGAAAACCAACTCGATTACGATCGGTTCGTATTGAACTCCTCGGAGTGGAAGAGCTCGTTGGTGGGACATTTTTGAATCAGCCTGGCGATGAAATGCCATTGAGGTCGCCGTTATTGTGCAAGGTTTCGTCGACACAATGACAAGAATTTTGGATACTCGTGGGGAAGAATGCTCTTATGCTGACGCTCTACCCCATGTATGGTCTGTTCTTGCAATTACATATCTCAGGTAGGACATACGGGAGCATGAGTAACAACTGTTATTTCATTGCATGCGGTTGAGACTTACATTGGCCTCAAAGATGTCGATCATCATCTCGAGGCAGGGGAAGGTCTTTTTGGCGGCTAAGCCTAAGATGTTCCAGCTATGGAGCGGGCATTTTTGAGTTGATGGCAACTGTTGACGGAAGGGAACATTTGTCCTTCACAAGTGGCGGATAAGTAAATAGAGAGGTGCGGATTTGGAGAAAACGATACAACTTTCTCGTGTCAGACTGTATGCATGTTTCGGAAGCTGTCGAAGATCTCAGATCAGCTGTTGCACTACAAAAGAGGGGAGTTCCACCATGTTACACACCCGAAGATACAACAGATCGGGTGTATCCAACATGACATGGGTGAGGAGAATAGAAAAGGTAGCAAGACAAGAAAGCGAGATGTTCTGGCAGAAGACAAGCTGTCCTACGAGCATATTAACTGCTTCTGTGTTACTTGCCCTCTCGAGTCGCTCACGCGTGGGGAGTTTCTTCATGGAAAGGCAATGCGTCTCCGCCCAGAGAGGTAGACATCACGAGAATGGATTTTCTTTCTAGTGGCGTGGACATCTTCGTACCATTTTACTCTAGAAAAATAACGGGAACAGGGGTCAGTCCCTCAACTGCACTTCCGAGATCACGTGTGACCTCCTCCCCTAGCAAGCGGGTGGTGTATCCTTTCCGATGAGTCTATCAAAGCGCCAGATAATGCTCACACGTACTGGTTTAATCAGTATCTTGCTGATCTTCATGGCTTTGTAGAAGGCTCGACAAGGTCTGTTAAAAGTACGTCGCTCGCTAAGGTACCTAGGTGAACAAGAAGGACAGGGAATCGCCATTTTTGCGGGGAAAGTTGATGTTCTAGAACGCAGCCGTGTTTTCGCAAACAAGTTCAAATACGGTGTTCGAGCGAAGAGTACACCTTTTATTATGGAGAGCTCATCTCGCCTCCGAAAATCACCCCTGAGAAGGGTCACCTGATATTAAGTCGCCAAGCCCAGTCATGTTTCAAAGAAGATTCTACTCCCAACTTTATCTCCACCTCTTCATTAATATCCAACACAGTCTATGCAGCCTCCTTCCCAACTTCGACTTCCCCGTTCCCCAAAAGATCGAAGTCCGCTCAGACAAGGCGAATTGATATACCCCATTCCGCCGATATTCCCCAAAACCGGGCTCCCGCGCCAAAAGATGTACCAGTAGCAAAGTATCGAGATCCACGAATCGGCAGAATTACCCCACACTCAGAACCTCTTTAGCCACCAGCAAGGGTCCGCCCTGTATCCGCAGTTAGTTTACTGTATCCCGTATATTGACTTTTAATTTCAACGCCCCAATCTTAGATGGCAGTGCCATTGGTGGACCACCTGGAAAGTTCCCTTATGAAATGGGTTCCCCATCTCGTGATGAGTAGGCTCGGGATAAGAACTGGCGACGTCCATCACGAAATTATGATTCACTCCGCAGGAAAGTTCCATTCATTCAACCTTTATAAGAGCCGGTCTTTACTCCCAGAGATTCTTTATCTCCTTACTTTCGCTACCTTTTGTTTCATCTTCACTCCGTTGTTGCAGTTCTGCACATTGTTAAGAATCTGATATTTGTTGCTATCGTCCGTACACCCAGCTGTACTTTATATCTTCCACAATGAAGGCCTTTTACATCACCTTCCCAGCTCTGCTGGCTGCTCTCGCTTCAGCTGCTCCAGCCGAGGAAGTCGAGAAGCGAGCGATTCCAAATATCTACATGGTGGGCGACTCAACCATGGCATATGGAGGAGGAGGAAGAGGAACAAATGGTGCGTGCACTCCTCCAACTTCAAGAAAATGAGAACCCAATACAACTCCAGGCTGGGGTGTCTGGTTGCCCTTCTACGTCAAGAACGCCCAGATCGTCAACGACGCCATTGCAGGCGAGTCAGCACGCTCCTACACCGACCAAGGACACTTCACAGCTCTCGTCAAAAAAGTCGTCCCCGGCGACTACGTGATCATCGAGTTCGGACACAACGACAGCGGTTCCCTCTCCAAAAACGACAACGGCCGGTCTGACTGCCCCGGCTCCGGCACCGAAAAATGCGTCACACCCGCAGGTGTCGTCGTCGAAACATATATCACATACTTGACCAATGCAGCCAAATCACTCATCGCTAAAGGCGCAAAAGTCATCATCTCCTCGCCGACTCCGAACAATATCTGCGAAGGAACGACCTGCTCGTATGCTCCTTCGCGCTTCACGGCGTATGGAAAGCAGGTTGCCAAGAATGCGGGGGACCACGCTAGTTTCATCGATCATGGACAGTACCTTGCCAATGAGTATATCCGCCTTGGAAAGACGAAGGTCGATACCTTCTACCCTGTTGACCATACACATACCAGTTCTACAGGCGCCATGGTTGTTGCGGATACTTTTGCGCAGGCTGTGGTGTGTGGAAATGGTGTTTTAGCTCCGTATATCAAGAATAGTGTCACATGTGCTTAGGTGGAAAGGATATCAGCACAGGATGGAGGGACTCGGTTAGTCGCTGCATATTGAGCTGGCAGAGTACACTGAGCATTCGATTGTATATATTCAGTTGTACAGAATGTACAGAAAAGAACATTTAACAAACACATATTTTCTGTAGTCGACGACATACGCAGATTTGTTGCTACCGGGCATTTGCATCTGTTTATGCCCCTCCGCCAAGTGACTCACTCGGGATATTATTACTAAAATCTTTTTACTATGCGCTCAACAATTCTTCTTGTCAATTCTTCTTGTTATAAAACTGCTGTATTGTCTTGTCTAGCGATCTCTGGTACGAAAAACATAATTGTATCAAAATAACCGAACTCCATAAAATCGATCTTCCAGACCAAAATAAAAAACACAAAACAAAAGAAAACTATAGAGATCTCTTCTATTAACACTCCCATTTTATGCAGGCACTGGGTCCGCTACAACAGGCACTGGGTTCGCTGCAGCAGGCACTGGGTCCGCTGCAACCCACTCTGTTTTCGGAGACATGCTCATCTCTGCAAAAAGCCTGTAGTTGTCCGGATTGATAAGCGCCGCTGCTTGATCCTTGTCGGCTAGGTTAACACACTTAGTGTAGCCATAGTTCATATCTTTAGGGTCTGCTTCAAGTGGTCCATCCGCATCTAGAGTTTAGGTGTAAGCAAGATCCACTAGGACGTCTGTCATTTCAGACCTACAATCAAGGTACCTGCTTAGACCAACCACGTGAACCATCTCGTGGATCAGCGTTCCTGCAACAGAGGTATAACTGGAGCTAGTTATCCCCTTGCTTGGTGACTCGTGACGTCTGGATAGTCTTTCCTACAAACGATTTCTTGCCCACCTCTGTACAAGGCTTCGGTGAATCCACTGCGCCATCTCTTAGCTTCACAGATTCAAAAATCGCATTAAAAGGGGAGGCGGAGTGGTAGTGGACAACATACTAAGCTGAGAATCTGCAGGGACAAGATACACATTCGTACCATCAACATCGACGGGGGCATGCCAGACATCGCTTAGATCTACTTTCTCGTAAGTAGCGCGTTCGCCTCGATGGATTAGGTGTTTGCTAACAAGCACTGTGGGGAACAGGTCCTTTCTCAAAGGCTTTACCACCACAAAATAAATACGCATGCTGCAAATCGAAGGTGGTTGATCCTTCTGGAGTAGTGGTTGTTGCTACCAGCATCCTCGACATAGCTTTCTCAATATTCACATAGATATCTGGAAATCCAGCCAAGTCAACTAGATATTCACTCTGCGAGATAAGCGACTTTTACGTACCTTTAGCCTTTGAGACTGCACGTTTGACACTGTTAGATCCAAGACCAGACATGAGCTTGTGGTCGATGTTGAACATGAATTTTCCATTGGCCATGGCAGTTTCCTCTTCCTTGTTCTTCCAGCTAATCTTTGTCGACGGGATGGCATCCAGTCTTTCTTTAGCATTTTGTGTCATTTCGACGGCATTGTTCCAGATCTCGTCGATGTTCTTCCCGTCCCAAGTTCAGCCCGTGCAGCCGATAGGAGTCCAAGTGACAGCTGCATAGCAATGTCCGAAAGCAAAGAAAGAGAGCAGTACTCTCGCCGATGAGAGATGCATAGTGAGTGTGGACAAGTAGGGACTTTTGTTGCGAGAAGAAAAAGAAAAGCTGCGCAGCGATGTCAAGTAGGAAACAAAATATATGGACTATCTGTGAGACCGAGATGAGTGGTGGTTTTGATATGTTCTGATTGAAACTACGGTCCCGTTGAGGGCAATACTGTAAGTATTTAAGCAGGCGACGTCTTTACATTCACATTCATCAACGCCGCTGATATCTATTATTGGACGTACTTTGCTCCTGTGTAAACTATGGATTCCAACCTAAACCTGCTCATTCTAAGCGGCAATACACTCTCTCTCTTTCGTATATCGAGTTCAAAGCGCTTGGTAAGTAGAATTCAGTGTCGGAAAGCCTCACATGAAGGCTGAGCTGGGTAGAACCATGTTCAAATCACCCAGGGCTTCCATGGTCTCTCAATGTAGCATCCATTTTTGTAGGAGACACTAGATTTAGTAGCTTGCACAGGTCAGAAATGATATAACAAGCTCTTGGATACTCATACTTTCGCAAAATCCTTTTTCGCTCCCGCACAAATCTCACAGCTTCGCCACAGTTTCGTTTAAAACCCCTATCACCCGCGATACTCTCGCGTCTGTATGTCCCGTACAATGGTTACGACTTAGAGGTTGGTGACACAGGCGCTTATCTACCAATCTCCTCGGGTAAGCTAGGCCAAATCGCAGGTTGAATTGAGCGGCGGTGCAGATGGGTTATACCCATGACCTCGCTCTCGCTTTCGCATCGGAGAGGCTGAGAATGAGATTGAGGCCTATGAGATCACAAATACATCGGAAATAATACAGTGAGGATGAGAACCTAGTTTCGAATGAACCTGTCTTTTAAATTCGGCTCCATAAAAGCTATGAATAGTTTCTTGACTGTGGAAGAGTGCAGCAGATAAGTACGTCGTGCTTCCTTTTCTTTGAGACAGTAGAAACCCATCAAACTCGCATTTCAATCATTACCTCAAAGCTTTCAAGCTATAACACAATCTTCATCCTTTATTTGGTCTCTATATTACTCGTTGCGAAGTTGCAACTAACCACAAGAGCTACAGTAACTCTACAATGGAGTTTTGGATTTGGATTCTCTTGCTCTCAAGCAGCTCCATTTCAATTTCGGCAGATAGTATCTTTCGTAGGCAAGAGTGCGCTGTTCCTTGCGCCGGGGCCTGTGGACTGGTTGGCGACACTTGCTGCACTACTCCATCTGGACGTCAAAATCTCTGTGGTTATGGTAATTCAACAGATCTTAGTAAAACTTTTTCTTACCTTACTAACTCTCATGTTCAGGAACCTCTTGTTGTAAGTGTATCTTTAAAATTTGGAAAGAGGAAATGCATTGCTGCCTCCCGTTGCTTTTGCTTCGCTTAGAGACTTACTTGTATTATCGATTGCTTACTTTGACCTGCAGGTTTTGAGGGATGCTGCAACTATGGAAGCACTTGTCAGCCAGATGGGACCTGTCTTCCAGCGCCAGCAGATCCAGGACCAGTGCCACCACGTCCTGGTAGTCCAGGTACCAGCCAACCAGGTACAGTGCCTGTCTTTACAATAATCACAAATCCTGATGGAACCGTTACAACATCTGTCATTGGTGTCCCGGGAGGTGCTCCCGGGGGTCCAGGGCCCGGATTGTCGACCATTACCAGCCCCCACGGAACTGTTGTGACATCTACCTTCGGCGTTCCAGGCAGTGAGCCGGGCAGCCCAGGACCAGCTCTGACGACAGATACGAATCCTGATAGAAGTACGGCCACCTCCACCGTGAGCATTCCAGATGGTGCGCCGGGAATTCCAGGACCTATCTTGACGACTATTACAAACGTTGACGGGAGCGTCACAACATCTACTGTTATCCTTCCTGATCAAATGGTAGTCACTTCCTCCGCAGGACAGCTGTTCTGGGGCACATTCGTCGTTCCAGTACCTGCTGACCTATCCACGGCATCTGTTGTTACCACGAATGGAGAAACATTCACATTCATGCCAGCAAGCACCAGAACATTTCCCCCGCTACTATCTACTACTAGCTCAACCACAAAAGAAGCCTTAGTTACATATACAAGCTGGCCAGATATCGTGAGGATCTTGCCTATCACTACGGATGTGCCGAGTCCCAAGAACGATGATGGGAAACCTACTAACCCCTGCAAAACTTGGTTCTTCTTCGTAAGTGTCCTGTGATTTGACTCGCAAACGGAGCCAACCATGACTGACCCTATGCTGGCAGGTCTGTATCTCGTTCAATTTGCCAAAATTGAACATTCAGGGATGGGCATTCCCGAAATTACCAACAGAAGTCTACCCACCGTATGTGACTACAATCTCTTTCTACATTCCTCTTATCTAAGATTTTGCTGACAATAATTCCAGTGGACCGCCTCCAGGACTTAAGTTCCCTCCTGGCTTCAAGATCGAAGGGAAACTCCCACCATGGCCAAGACTCACGTATGTGTCCCATATCATACATTGACATCAATCAGGCCATCAGCTACTCAGCAAGCAGAATCGGTCCCGATGGGGTTCCTAGTTATTCGGAAGAGCCAACGTCCTGCGAAACCTCATCGGCAACTTTGTTCATCACGACTAGCTCATTTGGCGTCAACGATGCCAGAACCACAGCAACGCAGGTACTTTCCACAAGTAACGTTATTGTGGGCTGCGACATTACAGATTCAACGTCGATGACTACAACGACCTCGGCTTGCCCAGCCACGGCCACTGATTGCGGGGGATACCTACAGTGTTTCGATGTGTCTAGTGACCCTGCACCCGAGAACTTTGAGAACGACAGCAGTCCTCTGGCTACATCCGTTTTCAACTACGTGAACAGTATTTGGTCTTGTAAGCTTTCCATGTTTACCCTCTGCTCTCTTTCTGCCCCACGAGACAAGAATATGGATGCTTTAGTGAAGCCCAGATGCCTCACGAAAAGTGCTTGTGCTGCTCAAACCCCAGTCTAATATGAACATTGAAAGACCCATTCACTGACGTATGACTGCACATAGTCCTGGATGCAGAAGGATTTACGACAATGAGTACTGTCACCGTCATTCCAGTAGCTCAACTAGCGTAGCACCGCCGGCTCCAACCTCAACTTGGTACTTAGCAGTATATGATGCCTCCTGCAAGGACAGAGAGAGACAAACCAACACTTCAACTATGTGAGTCATACATCAAACCTAAAGCTTTCTCTCGTTCTTGTAAGCAAATGCTGACGAAATGCATCATAGTACGCTTTGCAAGGTACAGCTGAAACCACGTCGAACTCTTGCATCACTCTCCGGCGCAATGCCCCGTCGGGGGTTGATTACAGCTACCAATTCTTCGACGATGGCGGGCGCAATCCAAATAAATCTTGCTCAGCTAGCACGTTCAATGATCCAGCATCGTTCAGAATCCGTAATGGCTTCTGTACGCTCCACACTGGTGAAGACTGTACTGGAGATACCCAAGGCATCGATTCACATAGGCGAACGGGGTGTACGGATATCAGCTCCGACAAGTTCTTGCCGAAGACATGGGGCTCTATGAGCTGTTTTGCCGTTCCCAACTAATGTCACGGAAGTATATGTAAAGGTTGATTGATCTTGAGTGATATTGAGCAGGCGGCGTGGAGTGGTTTTGATTTTCTTTACTTTGGCTTTTGAGATTTAGATGCGCTTATGTATGGAGTTTGGAAGAGATGGTTTATACAAATAGAGAGCTCACAACACGGGAATTTGGGTCAAATTCAATTAGATCAGTTACTTTCTCCTTTGTTATGCGTCATTGCTCTCTTGCAAAACACAGAGGTTGAAAGTGGCATAAATTGCCTTACACTTGCACCAAATGACTTCCCATGTTCAGGACCTCTTTCTGCTACCTTTTTCTTGCATCTGTTGGCTCAATCTCTACTCACTTTGTCTTGCGCGAAGTGCAAGTGGAAACCCAAGTTGTTTTCTAAAACCTGGCACAAGGTAAACAAATGGAAAGCTTTAGCCGAGGTGATGTTGCACTGTTACAGGAAAAACCTCGTCCCGACACCTGGAGTATGTCATGACGGCATCTCCAGGTCTGTAAAGAAACCAAAACCAGAAATCCTTCGAATTTTCTGCCTGCTAATAATGGAATCAGATGCCTCAGTTCGCATTCGCACTCGATCTGATTGCTGACTGTTTTGCATCCGCTCGCTTAAACATGGCCGTGCATTCTGCCTGGTGGCGCCCATGGTGATCCCTCAACAACCAACCGCACTTCTTTCATCTTACCCCCAATCAACCTTCAAACCTCCATTCTTTATATTTCGCCATTAGATTAACAACAAGTCCCAATCTTGTCTCTTGACTCTATGGATATTTCTCGCATCCGGCGTCTTCTTGGGAAGCGTCAACGCCTTAGACGGAAATCTCAGCCCATCACAGCACGTGCAGTAGCTCCGACTGACTCGACACGGCCATCAATCGCACAGCTGCCCGACGAAGTACTGCGTCTCATCTTCAGCTTTCTCGAGGAAATCTGTTTGCGAGAACTATCCTCAGTCAGTTCCAAGTTGTACGTGAACGCGCAGTATGTCATGCATCACACGATGACTATCGATATCGGTCACCACAGTCAAGCTTTGAGCCAGCTCCATGTACTTGAGCGCCAACACCTTCAATCCGCAGTGCGCGTTATAAAATTGAGCGGTGGAAGCTGCGATCAGGAAGAAGACATTATTTTGGCCCACGCAGCATATTCAATGTCGGATATGAGCGGGTTGCGAAACATGCACTGGAATTGCAGTGGGATCTTCCCCCACGTCCTGAATGATGGACTACTTGCCCAAACCCGGCTTCACGTTTCAATTAGCGGTAATGGCAGAGTTGATGATCGAGTTCTGGAATGTTTCAGAGCTCTCATAGGCAACCAGAACCTGTTCTCATTATCCGTCCACCTAGGAATTCAGGACTACGCTGTTTGCAAAGAAAAGATGCTTGCTCTGAAGGAAGTACTTCTCACATGCCCTCGGCTTTCCCGAATTCCTCTACTATACGTTGGCCACATCGTCACAGCTGGCTACAGTAGATTTGAGGGCCCATCTTTCGGAGCGCCATACTGCGGATTAGGCCTATCAGGTGGCGAGAAGCCTCCTGCATTGGAGGAGCTCGGCCTCAAGCAATATCCGTGGGGTCGAGAACCCACGCCTCCCTTGATTTCTGTGGAGGGTGTCTACTGTGTTGGGTATCCTGAAAAGGGTGATGAAGTCAATTACTGGGCTCAGGAGTTTGATTGGTCGCAATTACAAAAGCTGAATGATATTCCTAGCGAACTCGCACTGGAGATAGCGTCGAAATTTGTACGGTTGAGAGAAGTTATTCTCGATGCGAACTATTGGGATAAATCCGAATTTCTTGAGAGACTCCCTACAGCTTTGGAAAGCTTGAGTATTTCAAGCTGGGGCCATGTTTCGAGCCACCCAGGTCCCATTATTCGCCATGGAGCAGCGCTGCGCAAGTTGACGATTCATCACAGAGAGTCTCGGCACAATGGAAAAGTTTCCTCACCGATACCGATCTGATAACTTTGAGCGGAAGCCTCCCGCATCTCGAGGAACTGAATCTCGATCTCAACAGGGACACAGAGAAGAGTGCCTGGCCTCACAGTTCCCTCGAAGCTCTCGCCAAGTTTCCACGTCTCAAAATTCTTGAACTCTGGTTCGAGCTTGGTGATGGGTCGACAGCTTCTCCTAAACCACATCTGACCATTTCCGCATCCCGAGAAATCTTCAACTATCTCCGCCATTGCAGCAGCAAAATCCTGTCCTTGGAATTTCACGCTGGAATACCCCTCTCTGGTGTCCCCGAGCGAGCCAACAACTTAGATCCAGCTCCTTCTTGGCAGTGGCAGAACTCCGCACGCCTCTTGTGCAAGGTGTCGATACTTGATGGCGACGCGGCAGACGAGTATGTCACGGTAAAGTGTCCGCAACTGAGTTCTAAGACGAATGAGAAACTTACTCGCTTATCGAAGCTCCCGAGACATGAAAGATCGCCAGCTAGGGATGCGACTGCATTGGCTATCCAGGTTGCGCTTGACGGGCCGCTTTCCATGGAAGATTGGAAGGGATGGGGACGTCTGCAGGAGTTGCTTGCACAAGAGGCATACGAGGCGCAACGCAAGGAGAACTCTGCAGGGCGGAGACTCGTGAAACGAGTCGGAAATGTTTTGGCATGGAAATAATGTTGATCTTTGCTGATTGGTCTCCCATTGCTAGAGATACTGCAGCACTGGGAGACAAGAAGATAGTGATTGTGTGTGAAGGAGGGACAGAGGGCACACCACTGCCAACAGCGCTCCTCCTCTACACTCAATAGAGGATTACTCATCACCTAGTAGAAAAGCCTTGTGTGTACATCAAATGATGAGATGAAGACGGAGATAATTCATCAACAACGAGAAATTTAAGACTGAATAGAATTTCGAAAATACCCACCTGTGTCAGTACTTGGACAAATGGTGTTACTCAGGATAGTCTGTCTCATTCCTTTCAAATCCATGTAATCGTATCTCTCCTCACCTGTAGACTTCATCAATAAGAATGGCTTGCTTTTTCAAGTCTATTCCACTTTCAGCCCTGTTTTAAACAATTCTTGAATGGCTATATTTAAGCAGAGGTCAAATATCTTCAACACTTGAAAAATTACATTGCCAGAACCATCCCACGTGCCTACCTTCCCTTCTCAGCCGGCACCGCGTACCATCCCGCTGTTGAAAATAGCTCATGCAGCCATCCATCTTCTCAACCCATGAAACCATCCACTGCACCCCTGAAACAATCCCGCCCGCCCCAGGCCAGGCCTCTCCACGTGCCTAAATACAACGCTATGACTCGCTACAGCCCCCTGAAAGTCAGCAAATTCAGCGACAAAAGCATCGATCCCCACCGCTGTCAAAGGGAGGGATTTTACCTACCTGCAGGATAGTTGGATGCAGACATGGGATAGAGGTAGCGTTTCCAATGCCAGGGACCGGGACTGGACCAGCGAGGATTGGCGCACCTGTTATGATGCGATTTTACCTTTGATGACTTGATCGGGCACAGCTAGGATGCAGGAGACTTTACAGGAGATCTCTTTGTTTAGGGAGTTTCTTTCTTGGAACTTGGTAATCTGCGGTAAGACTTGACTCGTACCTGATTTTGTCTTGGTATCTTGATCTACAGAGCAGAGCACGTCAAGTATGTCGATGAGTGAAGGGACGCTGGAGGATTATTTCAGGATCCGGACACCTCCGAGTCGTGGTGCGGAAATCATCCGGTTCTGGGAGGCGTTGTTTGATCTGCTTGGTGAGCTGAAAGGGTGCCATACCAGCGGGAGGTATGTGCTTCGTTCTCGGTGTTGATATGACTGTGTAATCTAGCGCTGATGGGAATAGTGCTCATCTGAATATTGCACCGGAAAGGATACACAGTGTCGAGGATGGTCAGGACGGACACTCACGGTGGGGTCTGGACTTTCGGAATTCAGACTCCAACATTACAGGCAGAAAGCCTTCGCAGTACGGTAAGTGCCTCTCAGACATACAGATCTTTTCATATAACATCTCATTTTAGATCCCCCGGAGCTGTCCATGTCCCCTGAACTTTCATCTCATATGTCATGGACTACCGACATATGGTCACTAGGATGTATTTACAGCGAAGCCGCCATCTGGCTTACAGATGGATATTCGGGACTCCAAGAGTATCGATATCAAAGGCAAACAGAAGCAAGTTCTGTTTTCCCGATCTCAAATCACAGCAAAACATGCCCCTTTCACAATGGCATTGAAGTCATGAAATGCGTTCAGAATGCCCACATAGACATTGAAGCCCGTCTGCGCCGGTCCGATCATATCACTAAGAATGTGCTGGAGACCATGGTCCAGGAGATGCTCTGGGAAGAGGACCGCCCTAGTACGAAGGCTTTGCTGAGGAAAGCGGATGTTGTGTTATTGAGAGCGAGGCAGAAAGTTGGTGTGGACTCGGAATCTGGAAATAGAAGCGGAATAGTCAGCCAGGGAAGCCGGCATAGGAGGGAGTATCCTCCGCCAGCATTCCCGTCTCCGACTCAACCATTACCGCCTCTTCCGAAGCGTGCTGTACCAACTCTGAAGTCTGTCTCTAGAGCAGACAGTGCAACGATCACCGAGCGGGAGCAGATGTCACAAAGGTCAGAAAGAGACTCAACGATCCAGCTGCGAATAGCTCATATGTCTCCAAACGTTCCTCACAGACCGGCTCCAAACCAAGGACGACCACGAACTCTTCCAAAACAGGACTCAAGCGACCCTAGATCTAAATCAACACATGACCAAGTCAACACATCTACTCGCGAGCCACATGCAACACCATTCATTCTACCGACTCTAAATAACTTCCATCCAGTAACGCAGACCTACGCACCAGATGTATCCGCTTCACACTCAGAGATCGCACCAAGCTGCATAAAGCCAGAGGATATCTTGCCAGCAAGACCACCTAGTTATTCAAGGAGTCATCAGTCCAGCACATACTCTCAACCACTCTCTTCATCTACTGGTCAAGATGACAGTTTCCTAGATGCTCTATCGTACGTCCCGACAGTAGAAGAGACTCGTCCCGAATTCAAACTGCCAAAACGAGGAATTGGTTTCTCCCTTTTCCCCTCACGATCAAGACACGAAGCGTCTCCAAAACAAAGTCGCATAAATGTTCCGTCCATACCACGCACACCATCATTAATATCAGATGATGCACCAAACCTGGAGTATATTTCGCTCAATACCTGCTTGGAGTGGAAGAAAGCGAATAAGAAAGTGAAGAAACAGGCGAACATTCCGCCTCTATTGAGCGTTACGATGATGGAGGAGTTGGGTGAACGAGATCATGTGAGTGGACCTTTCCGTGTTGTCATAATCGTGGTAGAAAATGATTGACAGAACGTCGTCCACTAGGCATTTATAATTGACGACTCTGCATCTATGGCACCTGTCTGGCTTGATGTCCAGCGAGTTTTCGAAGCACTTTCCTACCTCGTGAAAGGCATGTCACCAGAAGGGACAGAACTATTCTTCACCGTATCTTGTACGCCGCCTCAGTAGCCTCCAAATCTCGACTACTTTTGTCCAGAGCAGAATAGCTAACAGTAAGCAGACTCCACATACCGCCGTCGCTCCACCTCCGAACTCTGCACCCACCTCTCCACCCACCCCCTCAGCGGTCAAACCAACATCCTCTATCGCCTAAACCTCCAGCTGCAAGCTTACCGCCTCAAACTCCTCCACGCCAAAACACCGCCAAACCAAAAATCCAAATCCAAATCCAAGGAACCCGTCCGTCCGCTAAGCATCTATATCCTCACCAATGGAGAGTGGACCGGCGAAGGCGATAGAGGTGCCGAGGAAGTGCGGGATGCGATGCGTGTGATGGGAGAGTTTTTGAGGGGGGAGGGACTGGATGAGGGGAGTGTGAGGGTGCAGTTTGTGAGTTTTGCGAACGGAGGGAGTGCGGGTAGGATGAGTGGGTTGGGGAGGGAAAATGGTGCAAATAGGGGGGTGGCGGTGGATTGTGAGAGGTGGATGGGGAATGTGGTGAGGATGTTGAGAGGGGTGGTAGATGCTGGGACGGATGGAAGAGGAATTAGTGAGTTGGCTTGATATTAACTTAAGATTAACAGGATAAGGGATCTCTGGTATTGACTCGCATCTCGTGTTTTTATAGTTCTTGTAAGCGTATTTCCTATTTTGTATGCATCATGTATCTAAACCATGTAGACTTCTAGCCTACCATTCTAAACTGACAGTCTCATATGCTTATCTCATCTATGTTGAGTGGCTCTCACCCTTTCGGACACATAATTGTCAGTCCAGTCAGGCAACAGTCTTTTTCATAAACACAGCATCCAATGGCCAGATTTTCCCATTGACTTCCTGTTGGATATGACCATCTACAAACTTCCATGGTTTGTAACCTCTCCTCTCATACCAATCCTGGTTCGAGAACTTTTCAGACAATTAGTACCATCCATAAAAGAACACCCAGATCAATAACAAAAACCAAAACCAAAACCACAACTCCACTTACCGAAGGCTGCTCAAGCCCCATCTCCGTCCACATATCCTTCTGCTCCAAACTACTATTCGCCAACGTATCCAAACTCAACACCCTCGCCCTCAACGGCTCACCCACCGCCTCACTCTCCACTCTATCCATCGCCGCACTCCCCAACCCACCGCTCTGAATAGCCCTTGAGATGTAAAACGTCGTGATGTAATACATACCCTTCGACGCATCGGCTTGATCAGGGTTGGCGCTCTCGGAATCCAGTGAGATGTGGCCGATGGGAGTGAAAGGCTGGTGAGTTGGCTGCCGTGGTTTGGCGCCGAGGGTTAGAGCCGTGTCGAGGATAGTGGTGTTTTCTTCGGGGTATTTGGTGAGGTGTTGGGTGAGTTTTGCGGGGGAGGAGGGGTCGGTGGAGGACATTAATATTGGTTTTTAGGTTTGGTTTCTTGGAGAAAGAAATAAGCTATCCTTGGAAAACAACAACATCATTCCTCAAATCACGAGCCGGTCAACGTCCAACACATGCTTCTCGAATCACCGCATTTCACGACCAGGATATGTTTTGAAGACGCCCCTCGCCAGATCTCATGTGAAACGAGCTGGGGATCCGCAAATCTGAAGATGCAAGAATCCAACTAGGGAAATGAGAAGTAGGACTCACCACCCACTGAATAGCCATCTTGCCCCCCCTTGCAATTCCCTCCATTTCTCAACATAATCCGACTTCCATCCACAAGCAATCCGCTGCCGGAACATCCGCTCTACATGCTCCGGAGAATCAGGATCCCATGCAATGAGATCGACTTTCGCTTTCGGTCTTGAATTCGGTATGAGCGGCGTGTCGCCGGATATCGGTGCTGACTCTTCGGGTATTGATGACGGCATTTTTTATTTTTAAGGTTTTCGGTGAGGGGAAAGGACGGAAATTCTGCTGGGAGTGGGGATAGGATGAGATTTGGTGGGGGATAGAATGAGATGAAAAATGAGAAGGTTGAGGACTAGGAGTGGGTTTTATATCTTCAGATGTTTCTAGGATGGGTTGGAGTCATTGACTGACTGATTAGGTGGGTCACACGATTGGCGGGCGAGGTGGGTTTGCTGACTCAGCTTTCGGGCTTAGTGGGACAAAAGGACCTTTGACTTTGATGGATAAGGTTTCAACAAATAGAGGAGATGGATTATCAATCTGCGAGATGAAATTAAAAGAATTGCGAGATGGTATTTCTGACCAAGTTTTTTCCTTTGGCGACCGCTACGAGATGGTTAAGCGAAGTAAACACTGAAGAGATCAGACAGAGAAGATACGCAATGGGCAGATCTGGAAGGGACGATCTTCCTCTCACGTCCATGCCAAGAACGGTCCGAGATAGCCCTCGACCCACGGAGCTCCGATGAGCTTGAACATCAATACTTTCCATCTAACCAGCGACGTAATTCTCAGGACAGATTTTGATTCTGGGTGGCGGTAGTACAGCCATTATCTCTAACTTCATATCTGTGGAATCATCATGTCGCCAGGACGATACCCTATTGGTCCGCTTCCATCCTCCAGCCAACATGCAGCGCTTCTGGAGCCTCATCTCGCAGACTTCAACCTCACATCTCGAGGAGACTTTCTTCCAGCCTTAATATCGTCGTGATTGCAATTCAGCCTGTGGAAGCTTCGACTGATTACATCGAAAACTTCCAAGCGATAGTCTGATTGAGCACTTTGATATCTCAGCCTCATTCTCCAGAATCATCCAGCTCACGGACAGTCACTTCAGCCTCGTCGTCATTCGAATTAAGATTGAGAGCTATGGCGGAAGCATCAAGCTACCAACATCTTCAAGCTGGCGAGATACGATTGATGGTCCTTCTGCCTGGGAATGCCCGAGACCAGCTCAGCGTCAGACTAGTGACATCGAGTCTTCAGGCAGATGGGAGAGCAGCTGCAGCAGCATACGAGGCTTTATCCTATCAATGGGGGCCGCCTTCACCAGCACGGATTATCACCGTAGATGGGCAACCTGTTGAGATCCGCGAAAACCTTTATATGGCTCTCATTGCCTTGAGAGATAAGCAGTTTCCTCGCTGCCTCTGGGTAGATGCTCTCTGTATCAACCAGCGAAATGATGTAGAGAGGGGTAGTCAGGTTTCGATTATGAGCAAGATTTTCCGTCAGGCAGCGAAGGTCCTTGTATGGCTTGGAGCAGCGGACGACGATAGCGATCTGTTGTTCGAGCTCATGGCTAAAGTTGAAGGAAGACTTGATCGCTTGGATAGCCTGATCACCGTTTGGGGCCAAGCAGGCGTGGATGTCTCTACCTTGACAAAACAGAGAATTCAGTCAGCATTCTTGTCTGTCAGCCGCCGACCTTACTGGACAAGACTTTGGATTATCCAGGAAGTGCTATCGGCTTCTTCGATCGACTTGCTTTGTGGTTCAAAAATACTGCCTTGGGCGCTTTTCTCTTCCGGCCTTGAAGCTAATGGAAATCTGAAGATTTCCCCAGATATCGAGTCTTGCGCATTGACACCTGCCTATGCCATTGCGGCGAAACAGTCATATCACAATCATGTCTATCCCATCAGAGACCTCGTCCAACTATGCGATATTTGTAATTCACAATGTGAAGATGTTCGAGACAAAATTTATGGGCTGATCAGCATCGCGAAAGACTTCGACATCGCTCCTGACTATACCAAAAGTACAACAGAATTATGTTTAGATATATTCAAATACCTCAACCAAGATCACCTTGCCGAAAGCACCCGCTCTCGCTATCCGAGTAACAAGTACTTAGATGAAACTTTGTTTCGGACCCTTCAACGCCTGCTGATGAACCCTTTTTGGGACCCTGTGGAGTCATGTTATCCTGCTGTGGATGAAGGTGTCATGAGCACCTGGGCTCGATCCAGTCGATCATATACTGTAGTGATTCACCAATATAGCGAGATACTGAAAGTAGGCTCGGTGATTGACTATACGAGAAACATTACGGAATCCTCGATAATCCAGCCTAAGCCCCAACGGCTGACCAATGGCACTATGCTAACGCAAGACGCGATATCACGAAAGCTTTTATCTCTCGCAACGCACGAAATTCATGAAACTACAGCTATGCGGGAAGTTTACACGAGATCAGGAAATACTGATGAGTATATTAAAATCAATGGCCCGACTAGGAGCACCAATTCGAATGGCAAAGTGAGGACGTTTCTGGGATCAAATGACGAAGATGGGATAGCATTATGTGAGATTCAGGAATCTGACATGCTGTGTCTCGCCAATGGCATTGAAGAATATTTTGTCATCCGGATCGAGACTGAACGCAAATTTGTCTTGATCGGGCGAGCGATACGGTTTTTTATCGAGGGGCACCGACACAAAGCTCGCGATGACGCATATAATGCGAGGACCAGTGAGTGGACTGACCCAATACGTTTTCAAAGGATTTCGACCTGACTAGCTATTCCAGGACCATCTTTTCGATGCAAATTTAACTTGAACACTCTTTTCCTATTGAATAGATAATGCTTAGTGAGAGGTTCTGTGGCACACGTCGCTGCTCGGTCTAACCTCTGGTGCTTCATCGGTTGACAAACTTTGCCTTGCGTCGGCACATGACAAGCACTGTTGGGCTGTATTTGCATGGAACAGCCCGCTTGAAAGAGATGGTTCGACGAAGCGAACAGAAATCCGCAGAGCATCAGAACGTTCACGCGTCGCATGCAAGGCCCACTTGGCTATGTTCAAGACTGTTCCGTGAGCTTGTGTGGGATGGCAGCTTAAGAATGCTCTGGATTGCTCGTCGAGTAGCTCAATACTTACGCTCACCCAGCTTTCTTTTTTTACTAAATCTGTCTCAAATCAATACGAAAGACTACACAGGTGATAGAATCTGTGAAGTTCCAAGATGACCACAGCTACTTCTCTACGCCGTTTCCTCCTCTGACCAGGGCATTACTACAGTCATGTGATATCCGATCGAACCTCGGCATTTCTCGAAACGTCATTAGGGAACTTTTGACCTCGCACTACACAAGAGCTTCTGATGATGCGCGGAATATAGCTGCATGCTAATCAATTGCTAATGCAGGCAGATAAAAATGCCTCTCCTGGTTAGCAAAAAGCAATTGCACGAGAAAGCCACGCCTCCAAGTATCAATTTCCGCTATCCTCGACCCTTGGGCTTTCGGCTGCGCGCACGGCACGCTCTTATTGCTCTCCTACTTCTCTGCATATACCTTTACTCCTCGTCCTCCCCCTCCTCCTCAACTTCCATATTCGCACCAGATTCAGTACCATACCGCAACAGCAGAAGCCCGTACAAAATCCAAGCCACATTTCCCATCGAATTTCCGGAGGCGAAAGCGCTACGATTACAGCGGCGGGATGAAGTCAAAGACGCATTCAGACATGCCTGGAAGGGGTACAACCACTATGCGTGGATGCACGACGAGTTGATGCCGATTTCCGGCAGATATAAAGATCCATTTGTGGGATGGGCAGCGACACTGGTAGATTCGCTGGACAGTTTATATATAATGGGGCTGCAAGAGAAATTCGATGAGGCACTTGAAGTGTTGGAGGAGATCGACTTTTCGAAACCGAACGCCGACAAAGTCTCCGTTTTTGAAGTTACGATACGATATTTGGGAGGGTTGCTGGGTGCATGGGATGTTAGCGAGCATAAATACCCCGTACTTCTGAAAAAAGCAACTCAATTGGGAGACTTTCTTGTCAAAGCTTTCGAGTGGGTATTCGAACCATGCGCTCCATATCCCCCGCACTTTTTCCCTGGAGCATCGTAGCAACGTCCATATTCATGTCGCCCAATGCCTCTAAATCTCTTTACGAATATCAAAGCTGATTCTTGAATTTGACAGAACCGAGAATGGCCTTCCTGTTCCATACTACTGGTGGAGGAACGAGACGTCCGGAAAGTTGCCTGGCGAGGATGGTGTCGTAATCGCACAAGTTGCAAGTCTGAGTTTGGAATTTATTCGATTGAGCCATGCAACAGGGAACAAGACATACGCTGCTCGGATCCAGACAATCACAAATCAGCTGAAGAGCACCCAGAACAATACTGCGCTGCCTGGGATGTGGCCCATGATCGCCGATTGCTCCGGGCCAGAACTCTATTTTTCAGACCAGAGATTCTCGTTGGGTGTTCTTGCAGGTAATGCCCCCCATGGACTCTTCATGGAGACTATCATACTGATTTAGATGCTGTAGATTCTGCCTTCGAATACCTTCCCAAAACACATCTTCTCAACTACCGAAAATCAAATCAGTATCTCGAGATGTATCGCTCAGCCCTCGCCGCGTTCAGTAAGAACCTATTCTTCCGGCCATCCGTCCCTGGAAACCCCGACATCCTCATGACTGGCAACCTCGATATGTCCACGGAACCCCCTGTACTCGAGGGCCAATTCCAACACCTAGCATGCTTCGTCGGTGGCATGGTCGCCCTCGGATCTCGGCTCAGCCAGTCATCCGAAGAGCTCGAAACAGCTGCAAAACTCACAAATGGCTGCGTGTGGGGGTATGATAACACGCCATCAGGAATAATGCCTGATTTCTCTCACGTGGAGGTCTGCAAAGACCCTGCGCTGTGCGTCTGGAGCGGTGAAGGGGACGGCTTCAAAAGCGTCGACGATCCATCGTACCAGCTCAGACCAGAGGCTATCGAGTCAGTATTCATAATGTATCGATTGACAGCGGATCCTGTCTGGATGGATAAAGGGTGGAAGATGTTCAAAGCGATTCAGAAACATACGAGGACGAGTATTGCGAATGCGAGAGTTGTGGATGTCATGGAAGCTTGGCCAACACTAGAAGATTCTATGGAGACTTTCTGGCTGGCAGAGACTTTGAAGTATTTTTACTTACTTTTCAGTGAGCCGGATCTGATCAGTTTGGATGACTATGTGTTGAATACTGAGGCTCATCCGTTCAGATGGGGATGATGAAGTCATACTTTTGATAATGATAATATTTTGCAACTTTTAAGCTGGTTACATACTGGCTAAGTTTTGTGGTTCGCATTCTCTTCCTAGAACCCTGCGTCTACTTGGTCTTCCTGTTTTCTACATGGACAAAGACTATCAGAAGCAGGCGCTAACCAAGGCAAACCGTCTTCTTCCGAGTCTGGGTTCCAAGGCCAGGAAGCACTGTGTTTACATAATATCATGTGATGTCCAAAAAAAGTCACGTGGCAACATCAAACGCCATCCCCATGTTGCAGCGAGGTTCGATTTGGCTGTACGGAGATCTCTTCACTGACCCAAAACGAGTTGATATATTCATTCCGTTACATGTGAGTCACAAAATCAATACATCTACCAACGCTAATATCCAAATACAACGAGGTGATTTAGGCAGACTCTGGAGCCTGGCGGGTTGCTACATCCCGAGACATCTAGTTGGTCCTGCTGCGCCGCATATACCCAATGACTCCTCGCTTCCAAGCAATTCTACGGCACAAATCAATCAGGAAGACGTATTAATACTGAGCTTCTTTGGCGTTTTTCAGGACTTTGCAAGCTTGCAATCTGCATAGCTAAGCGAGGATATTCTTGGCTGCCTTCTTCGCCGCGCCTCAAAGTCCTCAACGATGGCACTCAATGTATGTTTATTGATTTTATCTTCTTGTTTCCTGTTGGCCTCACTACATTCCAGAACTATTGTGAAATAGGGCAATCAGATACCTGCATAGTTGCACTGTTTGGGTTAGTATCCATGTTGAGAGTTTGGGAGGCTGGCACGCTGCTTCCTGCGTGGCTTAGCTAGTCCCAAAAGAGACTTCCAAACTCGTCACACCGAGACTGCCAGCCATGTTCGTTTGCTTAGATATATTTCGTCACTTAACTGATATTGTTCAGAACCAACCGTCGAAGCTTCGCAAGAGAAAGTCAGAAGCTGTTGACCCAGTCCCCGAATCCAGCAAGACTCCCGCAATGAAGTGGAAACGCACACGAAGCAGCGTCGCAGCAGCGGGTGCGGCAAAGGAGGTGGAAGACCTTCCAACTCCTCCAGATTCGACCGTTGATGATGAGGTTCCTATGCCATCAATAATCCCAGGCAAAGATGCAGACTTCGGTACCAGCGCCAGCGTGAAGGTCTTCTACGAAGGAAAGAAATCTCACGGAGGACACTATGACTGGGTTGAGACTCCCCCAAAGCAACTGAATGAGAAGGTCGCCAAAGCCAATAATCGAGTTGCCATCAAGATCTTCAAGATCAAGGACCATGAACAACCGACCATCTCCGGCAGAACCCCACTCAAGGTCCACTCCATCGAGCTCCAGAGTGCCATCCTGGTAGCCGCATTGAAGGACATTCTCAAGCCTCAAGGCATGTACCTAGAGACATCTGAGCCAGCAAGATTCCAGGAACCATTCAAGCCACTGTTCTTCACCTATGACAAGATAATCGCTCTACATGGCCGAACCAAGTCAAACGGCGTCTTGAAACAACATCTCAATCTCCTCGTTCAAGTCATGGACGAGATGTTTGGAAGTTTCATGGAACATCTCAAACACCTCAATGCCAGTGGACTCATCTCGTACAAGCTAGCATGGACCTATTTCCCCAAACACACCATGATCTTCTACGGCACTAAGGACTGCGAACGCATTTGTCGAGTCACTGGTACAAACTATGTGTGCCATCCTCATCCTGCGCTGAACGTTGACTGCGAGGAAATTGCTTTCGATGGAGAGAGTTTTGATTGGATGCCCGTTCAAGTCCAGACCCCTGCTTTTGGAGGCAACCGTCCTGTCACTGATCTTCCTTGCTATCCTATCTCGTTTCATGACAATCCGGAAACAGTCAAAGAGCGATTGACTGCACGTGCCATCAAGGCTTTGGAGTACCAGGGGCTGACCTATTGCGATTACACTGGCGTGGGTCTGCTAGCCACTCAATGTGGACTTCAGAGACACAATGTAAAGACTTTCTGCCCTGAAATTTGAAGAAAGTACTGACCGATTTAGGTTACCGGTCGTATTCTCATCGACTACTTCGGCTACAAGAAGCATTTCGAAGGTCTCCAGAGATCAGACAGCAATTCTCGCAGGAAACAAGGCTCCTCACGACCACCATCAACCAGCGGAGCGTCGACTAATGGAGGTTCTGACGAGCCAAAGTATGTGCAGACACTGTCCAAGGAGAAGCAAGAGGAGAATAAGATTGAGATGCTGGGAAAGAGAAAGGATGGGCTTGTCTATGTTTCCCCTCTGCTTGAGGGCTTCGCATTGAAGAATAAACAATGGTGTAAGCTTGTCTCAAGCAAAAGTCCTGAGATGCATTTTCTGACAACATCCTCACCAGTGAACTTCTACGTGGATGACCTCCAGCCTGTTACCTGGAATGACGAAGCATATGGTCACCTGGTGTATCCCGAAGAGCAAAAGAACCTCGTCTTGACATTCGTCGATAACCATCAACGCATGAAGGCGCGAGTTGATGATGTGGTTATGGGCAAAGGCAAGTTGAATCTTATTCCTGTGTACCGCTGGACTAACAATTCAATCTTAAGGCCAAGGCTTGATCCTGCTACTCAGCGGTCCCCCTGGAACAGGAAAGACTTTGACCGCAGAGGCAGTCGCTGACAAAACTCTCCGTCCTCTTTATTACCTCCAAGCTGAAGATCTGGGAACTGATGCGTCTAAACTTGGTCCGAAAATCAAGAAGGTGTTTGAGATGGCCACCGAGTGGGATGCTGTGATTCTACTCGATGGTTAGTAAACTTTGTAACACTATGTTCGAGGTGCAAGACTGAATCTAGACAGAGGCCGATGTTTTCATGGCAGAGCGAGATCCAGGGGACATCGCAAGAAACGAATTGGTGTCAAGTAAGTTTTCCCCAGCATTACCCCACACTACCCCGCACTTCGCTTCTCACCCAAGCAATCAACAAATACGAACTAACAATCCTTACCCAGTCTTCCTCCGTGAACTCGAATACTTCAAAGGCATCATCTTCCTAACCACCAACCTCTACTCCACCATCGACGTCGCCTTCCGCTCCCGCGTCAACATCCACCTCGTCTTCCACTCGCTGCCCTTTTCCTCCAGGCTTGTCCTCTGGCGCAAATTCTTGTCACGCCTCCCTGGTGAAGATATCGAGAGTAAATTGCAGGAGGGCGACGTGGAGGAGTTGGCAAAGTGGGAGTTGAATGGGAGAGAGATTAAGAATGCGATCAAGACGGTGAGGACATGGTGTCTCTGTAAGGGGTTTGACATTAGTTTGTTGAGATTGGAGGCTGGTATTAAGGTTACGGCGCCGCAAGCGGGAAAGAATGAGGATACAAGTCTCTGAGGAGGCATGGAGAAATGGAACCTTTGGATTCAGTAACCCTTGGGCGTTTGAGTCAGCTAAACTGATTTCGTTGGATCATACTCACAATTATCACACAGTGTGAACTTACAGAGTTTGAAATATTTTGCATTATGTAAGGCAACGAGAACATTTCTCGGGGTCAACTACAATTACGTATTTGATAACTCACTTTATACAATGAAAAAAAGTGAACAGCAAAAGACCGCCAACATCGCTCGCATCAGACAAGCGCTGTCCCATTCGCGCTCCCAGCGACCACAGACTCCAAAACACGCCTCTGACTCTCGCCACCTAATCCATGAGGTAGCAAGCCGAGCAAGTAAAAAATAACAAAGAACATAATAATGAAGACTCTCGATATGAGTGTCCTTATTGATAATGATACAACGGATGAAAGTATCCTTGAGACGATTTGAATCAGCGGGAGTATGTTCTGAATGTAAATCGGGCTTGACTGAAATTTCTGGTCGACAGTTAGCAAGAGACTCCTGGTGCGCCATGAAGATACTTACAGTCAGATGCGGTCCCAGCCATTTCTGCAGGACAGGAGGAAGATTGAAATTCCGATTTGATGACTGATCAACGTCGTATGACAGCTTCCAGGTCAGTCCCTTCTCCAAATCTCGATTCCCATCATTCTCAAAGTCGACATCCTGCCTCGATTCATCCTGCCAAAGCAACCCCCTCTTCACTACTCTTCTATCCCTCCCTCTCTCCTCTACACTTTCAATCGTCCTCTTCGCAAAGGCATTCCCGCCCCCAACACACACCAAAAAGCTCTTCGGACTCCCATCATTCACAAACCCACTCTGATCCACTCTCCCCTCCGGCGTAACATCATCATAGGGAAAACAGTACCCTCTCCCATCCACATTCGCGGCATGCACGATCCTAGCATAATGATTTGTCACGGTATGCCCATAATACGTACTCACCACCTCCTTAGTCGGCTGATCGGCGTTGATCAGCAACGTGCTCCTATTGAAAGCCGCATCCAATCTCGCGCCAATATTGAGCAACTGATCTGTGTTTGCATCCTGAGGCGCGAAAGCCCCGGAATTGGCGCCGAATATGTCTTTTGCTGAAGGTTTGGGAAATGATCCGACCCCGGAGAATGTGAGAAGCGTGCGGTCGTTGGACGTATATCCTGTTGCGGAGCCCCATGTGAATTGTGTGTTGATCGTCAAGGGCGAGGAAATATATTTCGTCCAGACGGCGTCGATGTACGAGTCCCAGTAAGTGGAGAAAAGATCCGGGTTGAAGAGGATTCCGTTGGAGGGAGACAGGGCTCGAAGGTTGGTCCCGTTGTTTGTAATTACTAGCTTGTCCCAGCCGGCGCTGTCGATAGCGTTTTGGGATTGCAGACCAGTACAGATTGTTTCAAGGCCGTTAGAGGGAAGACCTCCTACGTGTGAGGTCGTTCCAGAAGTTGATGTCAGAGTTAGTGATATTGGCAGGCAGACGAAGTCGACATAAGTGATGTTTGCGTACAGCTGTGCACTGTTGTACGTGAACTCGCAAAAGTCCCAGGAAAGATGGTAATTGGGATCTGCAGTGTTACTGACTGAGGGTTCGACGAGTCCTGGACCCGCGGGGCTGGAGTTCAGGAGGAAAGTGAGTTTGTTGTCGACGCAGAACCAAATTCTTCCACCCGCAATGTACGGAATTGTGACGCTTCGTGTTATTCCAGGAGCTCCCAGAGCTATTGCACAGTCTGAAGACAGTGCGGAGCCATTGGAATCTGGATTGGTGGGATAGTATGGTGTTTCTCCATCGGCTTCCAGGAGAAAGAGGCAGTGGTTGTTGGCAATTGCGAGACCCGTGATGTAGGCGTATACATTGCTGGAGGTGGTGGAGTTGAGAAGCCCAACAGTAAGAGTATTTTCCGTTACTGCTTCGATTCTCAGGGATGCGGTAGTTGGACCGGTGATTGTTGGAGGGTAAAGAACATTGTCTGTCTTCTGACGGGAGAGAACATCGTCGAGGGTTGACATCGCTAAATGAAGGGATGAAAGGAAAGTGCGCAAATAGAAGGAGCGTGTTGTATAGGAAAGAAATCCGGAACTCTGAAAGACTAGTAAAAGTTGTGGGAGGGGTGTACGACATATATCATCAAAACCCGGGACCTATAAAATAAGCTACGAGGCACTGGTTTCTAATATGATGGACGAGAAGCACACTTTTCGCACTTGTGATGAGCTATCTAATGACAGTACTCCCAGCGATCATGTATTCAATATTTCATTCGCTCGAAGATATAAATGAAGTTCGCCGATCAAACGGTCTCCATCCCCAAAAGCAAAGCTTGACTCCACTTCTTTCCTATAGTCAAATACAAAGCAGAGTCCATACTGGGCAATGTGACATGAATTTGAACAGAAAGTTCTTTGCTAGGCGTGTACCCGGAACTATGGACCCTTGATTATCTGGCTTATTCACTAGTCGCTCATTCGGATGCAGAGAGCGGTCGTGCCGGAGTGTGAATGACGGGTGGCATCGCCTCGGACCTTACTTCATACCCTGGATTGGATGAGGTGAATCGGCTACCAATTATGGCTTCGGGCAAATCTCAGAGGCTCAAGACCCGCACAACGAATCGGATAGAGAAATAGCATTCCATCTCGCACGCTTGTAGTTTAGAGGCGTTACTTGTAATCCTCGAGATGAATTTTCTCCCGGGATGAGGGGTAATACTTCACGATATGCTATGATCAGATCACACTCAATGTTGGACCAAAGTTCGATAGGATGATTATGTAACGTACTGGAAAAGAACATTTCAGTGATATCTGGAGTTCTTTTGCTTGGAGAAGGGACATGCCTCTGTAAGGTTTCTACCCCCCTCCAGTGCACTGCGAATTGGTGCTCAGCAAGACATGTACACTCTTAGCCAATCACCCCAAAATCATAGTCAAAAAAAAAGGATCCCTCTACCCTAAAGCCATACTCGCTCGGAGATAGACTTCCTAGCCTGGCGACATCAACGAGAATCAGCGAGGCAGAAGAAAACACTAGATTCGCTAATTAGCTCCCGCTCTTAGTAAATACCCCTGAATTACCCCGCGAACCAATAAGCGATGGAAGCCTGGGGGTTGATCAGTCAGTCAGAGACAACGACGTTATTAAGCCAAAATACTATCATCGTGGTGGCTGCCCCCTTTCTTCCGGAATACGATTGTGGGGGTTCTTGTTCCCGTTGCCCCCAATTGCTGCACGATATGACAATTCGAGAGGCTATTTTCGGAAGCAGTTAGTCATGCCTTTAGTCTCTTTTTCTTTGCTCTTGGAGTTCAATGGGGTACAATTGTTTCGCAATAGTATACCATTTATTCAAAGAGACACAGTGTTGTCAATATAGCTGATTGCTGATTCTTTCCTGTACCGTAGCTATGGGATGGATGCTGACTGACGATGCAGCGGGCGAAGACTGGCAGCAAATGCGAGATTATGTCATCCTGAATATCGCTCGAAGGAAGCGTAGCTACAAGAGACAACACGAAGCTCAAGTAAAAGGCATTGTGGGAAAAGAAATTCACGAACCCATGAATCCTAAGTTGGCCCCCTTTTCGGCTCAGTTAATGGGAAACTTGCTTGACTGCGATCGTAACGTCTTCCGCCCTTCTGCATCGTCATCGCTGCTCCTGTTACTCAGCTGACCCCCAAAACCCGTGATATGTGCCAAAGAACACTGTCCTTTCATCAGGGCAAGTTATATATTCTCCCTATGTCGATGTCGACGGAGAGAAATCAATCAAAACATCCAGTTCTCTGTTTATTGAATAACTTGCAGAAACATCCGCCAAGATGGGTCAAACACTGTGCTGCATTCACCCTCGTCCCAAGCCTACCAGTGAAATGAAACCCGAAATCTATGTCGAAGATATTCACTGGAGCAATGTGATCACTAAAGTCGAGGAGAAGCGTCATAAGGTGCTTTCAGGTCGAATAAGCAGAGCTGAGACACTCGTCGACGCGTCTTCGAAATCTGTCCTCCACAACTCCCCAAGGATGGAACACCCATATCGAGTCAGTGAAAGCCAATTGGCATTCTTTGAAGAAAAAGGCTATCTTATCATCAAAGACTCTCTTTCGGCAACGGAAACTCGCCAGCTTCAAACCTGGGTTCAAGAAGTCCATGACCTTCCCCGCACCATGGATTGCTCATATATTCCCTATGAAGAAGTCAATACTTCAGGGCAGAGGGTTCTATGTCGCACTGAGAACTTCGCCAACACCCATCAAGGATTCGGAACTTTGCTTCGTGGTAAAATGCTTTCCGGTATTCTGGAGCAATTAAATGGAAACGAGATGTTATTGTTCAAGGAGAAAAGTATGTTCCACAATAAACCCAAGCTAAGAACACCAACAACACTAACATATTCTAGTCAATTTCAAGTTTGCCGGCTCCGGTGGTTTCCAACCTCACATCGATCGAACCGGCTATGGCGACTTTAAGAAGCTCCAGCATCTCGCTATTCTGATTACTGCCGATGATGCCGCTTCACTCAACGGCTGCCTTGAAGTCGTTGAAGCAAGTCACAAAATGGACGTTCCAATTGGCAGTGATAATTGCATCACTCCAGAATGGGTGGCAGCTCAGAAGTGGGCCCCGGTCGAGATGAAAGCTGGTAAGTCTCTCTTACACCCCATCTTCGTTCTTCGAAGCAAGGCAACTTTATTTTCTGAATATAATTAGCTGACTAGATCTCAGGCGAGATGATGATATTCGGCTCATCCCTCGCTCACCGGAGTGGTCCCAACGCAAGCTCCAAAGACCGCAGAGCCGTCTACGCCACGTACAATTCTATGAGCGAAGGCGATCTCCACGATGCCTACTACGAGAGACGTGCCAAGCTTTACCCAGCGACTCATAAGCGAAAGGAGGGGGTAGACTACTCAAAAGGAGCTCAGAACTATGCATATGGGACTCCGATGCGTAGCATCGAATAGGCGAAAGATCGTTTGTGAGGTTGGGATTTTGCGTTTTGGTTCCTGATGCCTAGCGTTTGGAATTTCTCTTGGCGCGTATCACTCTGGGCGCTCTTTTGGTGCATTTCAGGTGCATTTACTGGTGATGGGAAGCATTGGGGCTGGCTAGGATAGACTTGCATACACGCGGAAACACAGAACGCAAAGAGGCTCACGCCACATCAGCATACATAGATAGCACTGAACTTTTTTTATTTGAGAGACGACTGGCTCGATCTCCGGATGGTCCATACGTGGCAAAGACTAAGCCTACAGTCAAGGTTCCGCTGATCGTTGCTGTTGCAGATTTTCAATATTGTGGCTGCCGGCATCGCGGCAAGGGCCGCTGGAGATCAACCAAGTGAAAGACCAATCATTGTGAGTACGTGGTCAAATGTGGTTATTTTGTGAGTGAATTAGTGGCAATGCATTAAGCGAGCTGCCAAAAACATGCGAGTACATGATAGGTACCCTGCTTTGGCATGCGGTGTATCCTTGGTCGAAATATTGATTGCCATTTCTCATGTTTGGTGCAGCATGATAGGATGGAGCTTCGAGTTGGTTGCATCCATGTGTTCTCCATTGGGAACGAGGTACCGCACCCTAATATTATCTCACACTGACATGCACAAATAGCAGTGGGTCTCCAGAATTGATGTTGAGCCCCCGATCGTTTCTTTGTCGTGAGGAACTGAATTTGCTTCTTACGATTTGAGAACGACTTCGACCGAAGGATAACTGTACGCCCGAGTACGGTGCAAAACAGTTCGCAAGTATGACCATCATGACTGCAACCCTCGTGGCGCTTTTGTTGCTGTATATTGTCTCTGCGACTTACGTTGTGATTTGGCGACTCTACTTTAGCCCTTTGGCAAAATTTCCGGGTCCAAAGATTGCTGCCGCCACACTTTTGTATGAGATGTACTACGATATCGTAGCAGGGGGTCAATATACTTTCAAGATCGGAGAGATGCATGAGAAATACGGTAAGATAAAAGAAACTCGACTTACTCATTAGGTCTTCGCTCACCGAGCTTAGGGCCGATCGTCCGAATCAATCCATGGGAAATTCATATTAATGACCCTGAGTTTTATGATGAGATATATGTCGGAGGATCTAAAATAAGAGACAAATGGCCATATCTGTGTGGCCAATTCGGAATCCCCGAGTGAGTATGACATGTTATTGAAACTACGACTGACTTAGATCAGTGCTGTGGTTGCAACAGTTTCCCACAACCTACACCGACTTCGTCGAACGCCCATGAACAAACTTTTCTCCAAAGCGAGCATTACGAGACTAGAGCCTCTGATCGAATCCACAATCGATGGCTTAATTACACGACTACGCGAATTTCAAGACACAAACACTGTCGTCACAATGTCGTTAGCATGGGGCTGTGTGACGATGGACATCATTTCAGACTACGCATTCGGGAACAGCTACAACTACGTTCAAACGTCGAAAGGATTTCATTCTCATGTCCAAGCCGGGTTGAAGGGTATTTCAAAATGGGGATTTATTGTTAAACAAGTCCCTTGGATCATGCCTTGGATGAGCAAACTTCCGCACTCGGTGATGCGAAGTTTATTTCCAACAGTTGTTGACGTCCTCATCTTCCGAGAAGTATATTTGTATCTTACCGATACTGAATCGCCTATGCTAACTTGCACAAGGATATCCAAGCACAATGCGAGGCAGCCATACATGAACAGAAGGGAGACAATAAAAGTCTTTCTGGAAGAACAATCTTCCACGAGATCCTGTCGAGCGATTTATCCCCACAGGAGAAGACTTCCAATCGGCTCATGCAAGAAGGCGTTGCACTTATCGGAGCCGGTACAGAGACGACAGCCTGGATTTTGTCTGTCATAACCTACTACGTACTCGCAAACCCCCTCATAAACGACAAGTTGAAAGATGAGCTAAATGCAATGTCAAAAGATTGTAGAGGTCATCCAACTTCAACCCAGCTGGAACAGCTCCCATATCTTGGTGGGGTAATTTCAGAAGGTTTGAGATTGGGTTTTGGAGTGACGGCACACTTGCAACGAGTATCCCCGGACCAGGATCTGATATATGGGGATTGGGTGATACCAGCAGCAGTAAGCTTACCACTCATCTTGAGGAGCACCAGCTGACCGAACTAGACTCCCGTCAGCATGTCATCCCTTCTTCTGCACTTGAACCCAGAAACCTTCCCGGAACCGCACACTTTCAGGCCAGAGCGCTGGATCGAGAACCCTCGCTTATCGAAGTATCTCGTTAGCTTTACGAAAGGTTCCAGACAATGTCTGGGTATCAATCTGGCCTATGCAGAATTGTATTTATGTATTTTCAAGGTGTGGATGTCCTTTCCAGATATGCATCTGGTTGACACAACCTTAGAAGATGTTGAACCTGTAGCTGATTATTTTATTCCTGTCGCGAGTGGGAGGGGAGTCAAGGTTTTGATGGGATGAGTATAACTCGATATCTGTGTCTTGTGGGTCGCTGGATATCGCGGTACAGATCGAAGCTAAACGGGGGTGTGCCAGCAAACTGTTGTTCTCGCTATTGTCTTGAGAACTCAAAACAGATATTGCTGTTTCACCGTAGCAGATAAACGAACTTAGCCTTTCCGTGTACACTATTCGCTGTGTGACATATAACGTGGGACAGAAAAAGCACTCGATGATGTACACTCTACATGAGAAGACGCAACGAATGCTCCCACTGATTCGAGGAAAGTTAATTCCGGCTCTCCCCAAACAACACAAATGTCTACGGCTTCTTACATGTTCCAATCACTAGAATTTGATTCCGTGACAACACACAGACCGTTCATCGCCCCCACCAAAGATACGCGCCATCTGCCAGACCATCCTCCGCTACTCACCAACCAGAACAAGCATTCAGGGACCTCTCAATACTGCGGGGTACGTATGTCAATACACCCCAAGCCCACGTTTCCCCGTATGTCAATATACTCCAAACTGGTAGGGTGCCCTGGCGGCCCTTGAAAGTTCGCTTCCAATTCGTGGACCCCTTTTCTCCACAGGATAATATACAGGTCTTGGCGTGGCGAGCCGCAGATCCTAAAGCTTAACCCTATTTTCCGGCACATCTTGCATGGACTAGCGTCGATGCCGGAATGCGTGATCGGGGCAAGCTGACTTGGAACGGGCAGTCCTCGAGCCGGTATTACGAGATTGAATGAGGAGATGGTGTGAGTTAGTTTTAATGAAGGGGATGGAGGATGGATGAGTGTGACCTAGAGAATCACTGCTAGATGGACACGGAGAAACTCAATTTCGGACTATAATATTCCATCTAATGGTTGAATGTCTTCTCGAACTTTTCAAATTGGTCTGTAGATATCGGGGGTATATTGAGTATATAATAGAGGATGTTACATCGTCTGAACTCTTCTCTCATCCTCAAAAAGTCTTTCAGATCCGACTGTCCAAAGTACCTCGTTTTTTCTGTAGCATCATGAAGTTTTCTCTCATCGCACTTGGTCTTTTGACCGCGGCTACCAATGCTCTTCCTACTGCGACCTCAAATGAAGATGTCGCTGCTCCAGTGAATCTCGCCAAGCGTGCATCTATCACTGATGCCGCGAACGGCTATGCCAGGTAAGCGGTTATCTGAGCCCCATTACTCCACCAAAACTCGACAATACACTGGCTCCTCTTGTATAAAATTGAAGCAACGCTGATACAATAAAGTCTGAATGGAGGCACCACCGGCGGTAAAGGAGGAACTACAACCACTGTCTCCACTTACGCTCAGTTCACAGCTGCAGTGTCCAGCGACAGCGCCAAGATAGTCATTGTGTCAGGGACTATCTCACAGAGCGCTTCTCAGGTCAAGGTTGGAAGCAATACTAGCATCATCGGGAAGAACTCTGGTGCAAAATTGATTGGTTTCGGCTTGTGAGTAGCAATTTTGGCTATAAGTCAGCACTAGCTAATGATAGCAAACAGGATTGTCAAGAGCAAGAAGAACGTCATTATCAGGAACTTGACAATCCAGAAAGTTCTCGCTGACAATGGAGATGCTATTGGCGTTCGTAAGTGATGTCAGACTGACTTGAACTGCATAGAGCTGATGATAACTAGAACTCTCCACCAACGTCTGGATTGATCATTGCGATGTCTCCTCGGATCGTGACCATGACAAGGACTACTATGATGGTCTGATCGACGTAAGACACCACTTTGTTTCTACTTCTAGGCATCCCAAAATCTGACTTCCCAACCAGCTCACCCACGCTGCTGACTACGTGACCGTTTCCAACTCATACATCCACGATCACTGGAAGGCATCATTGGTCGGACACTCCGACTCCAACAAAGCCGAAGATACCGGCCACTTGCGCGTGACCTACAACAACAAGTACGTGTACCACCTTGCCCTACCATCCTCAAACTTCAAACATAACTAACATTCCCCAGCTACTGGTCCAACATCAACTCCCGCACACCATCCATCCGCTTCGGCACTGGCCACATCTACAACTCCTACTTCCTCAACTGCGCCGACGGCATCAACACCCGCTTGGGAGCCCAAGTCCTCGTCCAATCCAACGTCTGGGCTGGCACCGTCTCCAAGCCTTTGTATAGCACTGATGATGGGTATGCTGTTGAAAGCGGCAATGACTTTGGAGGAAAGAGCAACACTGCTCTTGCTGGTACGTTGAAGAGTGTGCCGTATAGCTACTCGCTTCTTAGGAGTGGGAGTGTTAAGTCTGCTGTTGTTGGATCTGCTGGTGCCACTTTGTCGTTTTAAGATTTCAAGACTATGAATGGATTGTCGCCATACCGAGGAATGCGATGGACGACATGAAGAAAAGTGTATATACTGTGCTGGTAGGAACTGGTGGTGGAATTTCCGAGATGGAACTTTCAGCCGTCGGAAGGTTTGGAGATCCCGATTCTGATATCGCAACGCTCTTTTGGCAAAATTGAAACGAATGAATGGATGAAGCTCGAAGATGCACTCAATTAACCAGGCATGATGACAGGAAGTTTAAGCCTAGTGTCCGATCCTTCCTCAACCATGGTCCACCTCAAACTTTGTTCTAGAAACACCTTTTTAAAAGTGATCTTTCCAAGCCGCTCCTCGAACAACTTTAAAGGATGGCACGCCCCATGGCCAACTTGGGGGGTTCGCGTAATTATCATTCCGAACCAAACGAGCTCTCGGAAACTCCTCCACTGCATGTTCATTGCCCCTGAACAAAGGACTCGGTGCCAGGGGTTCCGCCTGCATAGATTGCATTTCATGACTATCAATATGAAATTCATCATCAACCCAAATGTGTCTTAAACTGGAGTATCCCGGAAATCTTTGCCACTCTGAAACTTGACCGTTGATCACTTCTTCCCTACAGTTCCTCATTGTTTCCAGGATACTGATCAAGTCTCCTCGAAGAGCAAGATTTTTGATTTGGGACACATCCTTTGGAAGATGATGCATAAACAGCCGAAGAAACTCGTGCAGTTCCGTTCTGTTATGCATAAGTTCGAATTGAGGTTTTGTGTTAAACATGATGGTATCATGCTCAAAGTCGATCCAGATACCTTTTCCCGTTTCCGTGCCCACGTTGACTGGTTTGAACGCCAGAACATATCCCTTTCGAATTGCAATCTCCCTGCTCTCCCTACAAACATTCAACGCGACTGGGGGTCCAGGACTCTTGAATTTAAAATTCTCCAAATTCCACTTCGATGGCATATCATGAGAACGCTCGTTTCCTTTCTTTTGAAGGGACGCAATGATCTCCTTGGCATACAGTGCATATGCTTTTGCTGGCGTGGTAGCGTGAGAGTAGATCAAATAATTGAATATAATGGAAGTCGTTCTCTCCTCATCATTCGGAGTCGGCAGTCCCTGCTCCTCTAAAATCTCAAGGTTCTCAGGCTGCAGTGGATACACTTCATGGTGATGTAAATATATCAGTCGTGGTGGAAGCGTGTACAGCCATATCTGCTCGCGAAGTTCGAACGGCAGTGAGGAGAACGATACCGACTTGGCCATTGGATTATGGGCGGTCAGAGACAAAGGGTTTTGGAGAAAGTCCCCAGGAGAAGGGCTGGGATCTGCTTCTGGAGGTTGAATATTACCGCGACTGAAGGGAGTAATTTCCATTGTCATTTGTTGTCGGCTCCTACTTGTGCGAGATAGCTCCTTTGATCACAGATTTGAACTCTCATCGCCACGTTGTGCTCTAATAAAGTGGGTTCGGTGACGAGTCAGCATGTTGCATGGATGTTGTCTCTTTGGCGATGCTGACGTGCAGTTATCGCTAATCAGAGTTCACGTGGTATTTACACTGCTGGAATGGAGTTCGTGAGATTACATCATGCGCTATTTCATAGTAAGAGTCCATGGTAGAAAGTCAGATGCTGACAGTTCGTCTCACTCGGATTTAGGGCCGACGACGGGAGGGGTAGGAGACCTGGAGTGTTTTCTGATCAACCTAAGTCAATTAACTGCATCAGAGCGTAGGAGAACTTACGTTGAAAGTATGGCTCTCTGTAAAGTGAGGCCCATTGTCCATCGTCTGTACATCATGAAATGTGTTTGATCAAATGCTTGTTGTATTAGTTGTGCTTGCCGTCAAGAGTCTCGTATTAGAGGCGACAATCCAAGAAATTCAATCTTATTGTTGGTTGCCCCTACGGAGAGGACTCGGTACTAGAGTTTGCGCCTGTGTGTTTTTGTTAGAAATAAGTGCAACAGACAGGTGTGCCAGGTAGTAAATGTAACGACTTTACTGTGTGTTGACAGTGTTGAAAATTGGGTTCATGTGATTACAGTTGCCTAGGCGATCCGCTCTAAGATTTCATGTGCCAGGAACGATTTAATCTGCCCACCGAAAACATCCACCACATCTTGATATAGTTAGAACAGCAGACAAATTTTCTACGTCGATATCTCAGTCGATGTTGCCGAGAATGCCGTAGCCTGTGGCTGCATCAAAAACTCATCGAAAGCCAGCTCCTCTGCAGCAGGCCTCTCCTCTGGTATCCAGCATAAAATCCTACGTAAGAACTTCACGAAAAGAGCTTGATCCTCTCCATGAAGCCACTGTTCACGGATTTCGAAAGATTGATCAGGAATCGGAACAGAGCCTCTCCAGTTTCCTATAGTAATATCAGCAGATTATTACTATATAATAATACTGAGCAGAACAAAACTGAGCACAGGGATTTCAGTGCAATACCTTGACTGTCCCAGTATTGATAACACTTTTCACTCCGCTTCAAGAATTCTAGAGGCGGAGGCCCCAAAAGTGAAACCATTTCTGCAAGGTGCTGTTCATCATCTAGCATTCGATTTTTCTTTGCAAAGAATAAATGACTGCCTTCAAGAAAATCCCACGTCTAGGTAGATTAGATAAAAGTTAGCTCAATTTTAGGTTTTTCATAGCCTAGCTGTAGAGGGCATCTAATCTTGACTTGAAATGTCTTTGCTACTCCAGCCAAGTGGTGTGACCTAACATGTGGGATGTTCCAAAACATTCCCATCATAAGGTCAAGCAACACTGCGCGGGTAGATTCAACCCCGTTGTTATGGAAATACACTTACCATAACACCAATCGCCCAAATATCCACTTTAGAATCCCAGTCCATTCCCAAAATCACCTCTGGTGCGCGGTAAATTCCAGGCATAATATCACCTCTGTGCTTCTGGGTACCAAGTCTAGCTTCCCCAAGATCACAGAGAAGCGGTGGGCCTGTACTCAAAGGCATTTGTTGAGATTTGTAGATAGTACGATTGCTAAGAACTTTTCGGGCAATGGGTTGTTCCAGCCCTTTCTCAATCTGGGAAATGATTAATTCATCTTCAATCTTTTGGAGTACGTTATCTGGTGAAATATCTGACAGCGCATTAGCATTGATTCACTACATGAGGACCACTATTATCACCCAGAGCTTACCAGTGTGAACTACATGGCACTGATGTAAATAATCCAGGGCTATGAGGAGGAGTTGTACGCTTCTTTGAGTAAGATCTTTTGGAAACTTGTTATGAGGAAGAAGTCTCAGAAACTCAGTGAAACTCATTCCAAGAAGTTGATAGAGTACACATTTGTGATTTCCATTAAGACTAGTGAGTTCAAATGAGTCAATGACACTTCGGACCATGTTTTTCCCAGGATGGTCGATGGGATTACTTGTCAAATGCTCATTGATTGTGATTTCGCGATCACTCTGTAAGTCCACAAGCTCATGCTCTTTGGTTCGAACACGTATTTTAAGCGTCAGATATCGGTGTTTCCTATTAAAATATTAGAAATCATTGTGATTGGTTCAATAGATGTAGTTTAAATCCTTGCCTAAGATCTCTACACAGCCAAACTGTAGAATTAACTCCGAATCCTAACTTTGTCACAACCTGGTATCTAGACTTGAATACCTCCCCAATATGAACTGGGTAGTAATCTTCTGGGACGTAAGATGGAACATCTTCTTCCTCGATTTTCTTCGTAACGTCTAAATCCACAAACCGGGAGGGAAGCTTTCGGAGAGGAGAGTGAAGAGACACAGCCAAAGTTCTGACGAATGATTGAGGCAGATATGGGAGAAACCGGTAGGAGCAGGACGATCGGTAGGTGAAGGATGACAGTGACGTCTTGAGGCTTAAGTAATGGCTGGCCATTTCAATTTGAAGGGAAACTTATCATAAGATTATCTGGTCTGCCAAACTGAGGTGTCGCGACGACGAGTAATCAATGATGGGCGATCCACGATGGGACGCTGCTTGGCCACCTCATAGCCGTCACACTAAAGTAAGATTGCGCTTGAATAACCGCTCAGGTATGGTTTCGATGCGTTGCATTATATACGGTTGTTGCTGACAACGACCGTTGGATGAAAGAGTGCAGAAATTTTCTCGCCTGAGGTTCTTGGGAGGTTGGAGTGCGAACGTCACGTGCCCATCGCCGATTGTTTGTTTGTTTAGTGACTGGAAGTCAATGGACTAGATCAGAGCGCAGGATTACTTAGAAGGCCGCTCTGTAAGATAAACATCAACTGTCTATTGTGTATACTTAATGAGACGTGTTTGATCAACGTTTGTTGAGTTCATTTGGTCGTGCTTGCCTTCATAGGACGAGCATCAAAGAACTTCAATTGTCATGTTCGCTTCACCTTACAGCTCCAAGTATTCACTGCTTTTGTGTCTCTCTTGCATAGCGTAATTTTGAATATTTTATTTCTAGGCCATACTTTTCATTGTCCTGCGTCCTCTTTTCGTCAACTCCATCTCCGAGATTCCCTAACCAAGGTCGATCACCATGGATCGACCACCTCAGACTCTCTACACCCCTCCACCCCAGAGATCTGCTGTACAAGAAGAAATGCGCGAAGACGTTCTCGACGATAGCTTCGACGATAGCTTCGCTGACGAGACTCCCCAAAGCTCGGCATCAGACCACGAGGAGGAAGTTCAGCCCGCAGAAGTCAAAGACGAACTCCCCGCCGAGGTCCCCGACTACGATATCACCATGCTCGCCCTCGCCGCCCTGCAAGTCGATTACGGAGAGACCTTTGCGGACTTGGATGTCCCAGTAGCCGAAGCTTTCGCCCAACGTAAAGCTCTGAAGCACGAGATGGGAATCGAATACCACCGCATGGTCACCACCGCTATCAAAGCCTTCCACAGCCGCACTCGATGCCCAAACTGCAAGCAGACCCCTATCACCATCGATTACTTTGCCATGAACCATAGTATGCCAAAGGGAGCTTGGGCCCAGTGGAGACAGCTGTGCAAGAAGATGGAGCAGCAGAGACCGGAGATCTTGGATGAGCAGGAGTGGATCGAGTTTTTGGGGGAGATGAAGGTGAGTCCAAGACACAGCATACGCTCAGACACAAGCCTAGGATCACATACTGATCTTTGAGTTCAACAGACAATCGAGATGTGGTACTGGGAGGACAACACAGCAAGCGTTGAATGTGGCCGAGTCAGCTGGAACGGCAACTTCGCACCAGATCCTCTTTTGGATTTAGAAGATGATGGTAGTTTGATTCCAGTCAAGACCCCGTCGGCTCATCTACCTCGCTCATATGGCAAGGCCTTTGCTCGACATGGAAAGGCGACCTGAATAATTGGCATGCAGATTTTGCAGACTCGGCGTTATTGGGGCAATTTTCGGACTGTTGGGATATTGATTGGTGAAAGAAGAGTCTGATTGTTTAGTTCTTGCTTGGGGATGACTGTGAGACACAGCGGTTATCATAGCGTTTGCGAAAGCAATGTGTTCCGGCGAATCTCTGGAGATGTGACAGAGTCTCCTCGTGACTAACACAACCCCTGTGGTTCAGGCAAAGGGTGATTGTGCCTCCTATCCGTTCATTTCCGGACTCGACATTGTCCTGCCTTATTGTGCTGCTCCATTTGAATTCGATGGGATTTTGTAACCCCCACCCCTATCAGTTGTGTTTCTTGCGTCGGTATATGTTGTGTCCATCTGTCTCGACGAGTGTCGACATGAGCCTACCTCCTCCTCCAGGGCTGTAAAACTGCCCAAACTTTCGTTTTTACATAGGTGCTTTCAGAGAAAGTATATGGTCCTCCTTTTACTTCCATTTCGTCACAAAGTACTCATCCAGCGGGCCCACAATGGTCGCAAAGACCGCTTGCGTGAACAACTTGTTCCCCCAGTCCGACTTCTCCTCGAAGGGTTGAAATAGACAAGTTTTGATGATCGGATCAAGTTTCGGCTCCTCCCCCATACATTTTCCACCCAGTCTCGAGCAGTCAAAAAGTCGGTTCCGGGGTGTGGACTGCCATTGACGAAGTGCTTCTTGCGTATTGCTGTTGATTCAATCGGTTGACCGAAGCAGAGTTCGAGGAGGAGGATGCCGAGATTCACGAGGCTGGCGCGAGTTGCGTGTCGGAGTTCAGTCTCGGATTGTGTGGTGTTGGTGGAAGGGCAAGATGTGGGAGTGAAGGAGTGTCGGACATAAGGGTGATCAAGACATATCTCTTGACCGTGACGGTAGAAGAAGATATTCTCATTCTCGAAACTTCCCGTTAACCATGGAGTAGTCTGCAATTGTAACAGGGAAGATGCGAGAATGGTCGCCAGCTTGATACGTTTCTGCGTACTTAGCTTGCAAATGTCTTCTTTTATGTCTCTAAGACTGACAGATGATACTCTCTCCAGTGCTCCGTCTGTCGATAAAGGGAGGACGTCGTGCAACCTCTCGCCGTCACAGAGGTAGCCGAGACATTGCTTGTTGGCGCTTGAATCTCGGATGATGGAACAGAAATCTTTGATTTCTAGTACCTGGACGGTCTCCGCTACTTGTGGTATAGTAGGAGAGGGCGGCGGTACAATGAATACTGGGATATTCGCGAGTGGCGCAAATCGAATCTCCTTAGGCGTTTTGAGTCGTTTGGTGATACTTGAGGTCCTGTTTGGATTATTAGTTTAGTGCATACACACTGCTCACATGAAACATACCTGGAAAGATTCTCCTCTCCCAAGTATTCAGTTCCATTGAAGCTGGAGTTTCTGAACATGGATTTAAGGCTCGACCTTGGAGATTTTGCGCTAAGTGTCGCGGCAGAGAATGATGAAGGAGGCCGAGAAAGGTTTTTGATAGGAGTAGATCTCTGTTCAAAGTTCTGGCGGATAGCATCCAACCCAGCTTGCGTCTTATCCGAAGTATCTCTCGCTACACCGTTCGGAATCTGGCATTCACTCAGACCCATACCAACAGATTTGAGTTTTCTGGTTTGTATCTTAACCTCCCGGCGAACGATTGTCTGCGGATCTTGTGGCACACTAAATGCCAGATTGAAGGTCGAGTCCCAACCTCCAGTCTTCCTCTGTTCCAAACGAAGCGATGCAGTATGTGGAGCACACTGGCACGACCAACCAGCTCGAAGGGCTGTATGTATACTACTCGCGTGCCTCCGTATTGCCTCGAATACATTTGCCCAGGTTGTGTCCTTCTTTCCTTTGGCCTTCAAGCCACTCAGCTTTTCCGTGCTGTCAAGCAGATGTCGAAGAGTTTCATTGTGGGATTTGAGAGCTTCGACAGCTCGTGGACCTCTATTCCCGAAGCTATGACGAAGACGTTTCAATTGATAGTCCATATTATTGGAGCCTTCATTCGACCATTCGACCTAGAACAAATACAAGTAAGCTCCGGAGGGCTTGTCCAAGAAGCACGAGTCATTACCTGGCCATTTTTTATACCCAATATTACCTCCAAGTCGTGCACCAATCCATTCATCGTCTGAATGGTACTTTTAAATACTCCTAGGGACGGACCAAGCCGAGTCGCAAGTCGCTCGGACAGCTCCGGACGTCGCCAGCCTTCATACCCGCCATCGCCCATGCATCTCTCTAATTCGTCCTCTTCAATATCAATGGACCTCAAAAAACACTCCAATGCCAAATTAAACAGCTGTTTCTGAATGTCAACCGCATCAATGAATGTAATGAACTGCGTCCGGAACTTGTACCATTTCTCGAGCGGTTCGAATCCCTTTTTGTAGTGCTCGGCTGCGGAAATCAACAGTGGGAAACTGCCTAGGACGAGCCCAGCGATCTCAATGCCCGACATGATGAGACGACAATGATTTCAGGCGAGGCTATCGTGAGCAGAGAGGGAAGAGGACACCGTGAGATGGCGAAGATGGGAATTTGGAGTTCAGCTGATAGCACCCTTGCTCAAGTAGTGCGGGGGCACAGCTGTTGGCAGTGCCCAGGGATTAATTGATTGGCTTCAATCAGCAGGGTTACTCAACACAAAGAAAGCTGTCAGGCTGTTATCTTGAGACTGGGGTTACACCTTAATTTCGTGATGAATCGTTCTTTGAGAGTTCGACATCACCCGGGTTGACATCCTCATCTGGAATCAGATGGCGACAGGACTTCCTTTCGAAGGTTGTATGTCACGAGAAAGTTCACTGCAAACTTGGCTGACCTCGATCAGATCCCCAGAAGGCCGTTGAGGAGGGCAAGGCCCCCAGCCTCGTCTTTTCAAGCACGAAAACAATCTCATACCTTGCTAAAGAATGCGTCAGAAGATACGATAAGCTGAGTACAATCCTGATAGATACTACTCCAGAGAAGGCGATAGCCAACGGATTTGTCCACGATGATGTTCTCGACAAGATCCAAGATGCTCGACCCAGGTTCAAGGCTTGGGCAACAAACATCGCAGCGCTCCAGGACGGCCATTTGAAGAGTTCCTTAGACTTTCGACTCCAAGAAGCGAAAGAAGTGCGCTCACGAGTGATGAAAATCCTCGAGTCTTTGAATGAATCGCTAGATGTGGCGGAATTGATTGTGTCAGGTATGCGAGAAAACGAAACGTGGGAGCTTGGTGCTATGAGCGACTCCAGCTTCAACTCTGACTTTGAATTGGAGACCAGCGCGGAGAAGAGCGATGCAGGGTCGACGGATGAGAAAATCATGACATCTGAACTGGATGAGTTGCTATCTGCTATCAAAATGGCCAACTCAAGTCTGATGGATATCTCGATTGTGATTCGGAATACGCCAACTCGGGATGACTATGTCAAGGCGGCAGCTCGGTACAGTATGGATTCGCGCTGGGACATCCGCCACGTTGAAGACAAATTTGGATCTACAAACCCAAGAAACAAGTGGTTGATTGACCGACTTGGCAAGTCGATCACGAGAAGAAGACAGTTTTTGATGTACCGAAAAGGACATCACGACAAACTTTCTAAGGATTGGGATAAGCCAGCGAAAGAGGTTATTACAGTGGAAGAAGAAGCAGGAGTGAAAGCACCTCAGACACTTGCTCTGACCAAGGCGACCACATATGTTGAGGCTGTGCCTGCACCGCCAAAAGATGGAAGTGAAGTTGGATCGTTCGAGACAGAGACGTCATATCAACAGACTGTTGCTGGTGAGACAGAAGAACATCTACTCAAAGTACCTCCACCGCCCATCCAGGCATTTGAGGGTGTGCCATTCGAGTTTGGACATCCGTTTCAGTGTCCATACTGTTGGACCGAACAAAACGTGAAGGGGAGGAATGCTTGGAAGTATGTCCCCCTTTAATCAAGATGCTCCGGCAACATGAGCTGACCATAGCAGAAAACACGTCTTCCGAGACCTCAGGCCTTACGTGTGTACCTTCAAAGAATGTAACCTCCGCATGTTTCGCAGCCGGAACGAATGGTTTTCCCACGAACTTCAAGTCCACCGCCGAGAATGGACATGTGCAACATGCAGTGAACTCTTCACCACCAAAGGTGATTTCAAAACCCACCTGCTTTCCCATAGGCCATCACTTATCGGGTCCGAACTCGAGGCTGTGATCCTCCTAGCCGAGGAGCCTATGGATCGATTTTCGGCCTCAGCCTGTTCGTTTTGCGACGAATGGAAAGACCAGATTTCGAATACAGATCGCAACGAGCGACTGGCGTACTTGAACTCTGGCAAAGCTGTCGCACCTTATGGAACGAAGAATCAATTCCGAAGACATCTTGGAAGACATATGGAACAGCTTGCTCTTTTTGCTTTGCCCAGAGATCATTCAAATGAGCTTGAAGATGATTCCGAGAAAGGAGTAAGAGATGCGATGGGTATTGATGACTCTGATGCGAGTTCGGGATCAACGGCCTTTAAAGATTATCGCGCAGAGAATGAAATCACAAGAGCACCGGTCGAAGACGATGAATTGGTAGAAGAAATCCACCGGCTTCAACGTGAAAGGCCCGAACTCAGGATTGGACAAATCAAGATTGGAGCGTCGACCGCGAGAAAGGAGGACAGTTCTATCACTGCTATGATTGATGGGCCCTGGGGCCTGAATGGTGCCAGCACTGTCCTCCTCGTTGAAATAAGCTTTCCTCCTGGATATCCTGATTCCATTCCGCCATTGTTCATGTTCTTTGAAGCAGATATTGAACATCCGTTAGCAAGAGAGAGTATCAAAGTGCTAAATCAAAACTTGTCGAAGTTGTCAGAGACCTTCGCTGACCACAAACAAAGCTGTTTGGACGCTGCGTTCTCTTATCTTCTTGGAGAAGTCGACATCAGCGACGGCCATATAGTACCTATAGCCATTAGAGAAGTAGACCCCTCAGATTTGACCATTTCTCCAGCACCAGGAAGACACCCTGCCGTTTCTAGGGCTGATGGTTACGATACCGAACCGAATACGCTTGTGGACGAGAATACAGATTTTCAAGAACGATTGCCACAAACCGACATGACTATCGACTTAAACGAAAAGAATGCGAGCGCCACTTTGCAAGAAGTGGTGAATAGAATTGAGAAGACCGCTGAAGGCTCTGCTGCCTACAATTCTTGGCAAGTAAGCGCTCTCGAATGTGTAAGTGAGATGCGTGTAGGGGAGCCATATGTGGTGATACTGACGAGACAAAGTGTACATGTGGCGCATATATTCACCCAGGGCCTCGGAATATACCTTGTACACGTTGTGGACATGCCGCTTGTGCAAATTGTATCATGTTTCACTCTGAGGCGGGTGTCAATGAACCTACAGCCAGGCCGGCTTTGGAACAATTGGAATGTGGCACAATAATCGAAAGCTTCGACAATGTTCTCAAACCTTTCATGGAACCCACTGAAGAGGGCAAAAGTGACATGAGTGATTTGAGAGCAAACGAGGACGAACGATTGAAGTCTCCGGAGGATCATCCACAGCCTGATGAGGATGAAGATATCTCAGCTTTGACTGATAGCCAAGATGATTCGGAGTACGATTCGACAGATGGAGAGTCTAATGCGCTGCCTTCGAAACACTCTGACAATCCAGATTCCACAGTCCAAGTAATTAGAGTCGATGGTATTTTCGACGCAGCCAGCGCAATTGACCTTCAAACTCACTTTCAGCCATGTGGAACTATCACCGTCGTGAATGTTTACTCTCCAGAAGGTTACGGAATCGTCAAGTTTGCTCAGCCTGCTGATGCCCTACGAGCGATTGAAGACAAAGATGGATCTATTCTCTCTGGGTCGGTCATTCGTGTTAAACCTGGCCAACTCACTTCCACCCACTGGTCTGTCTCCGAGCGAGCGGACTTTCCATCGCTTTTAGCCCGCTTTGGCTCGGATTGGCATGGTATTGCGAAGTACATGGTTTCCAAAACACATATCATGGTAAGTCCTGCAGCAGGCTATGTCACAAAATGGCAAGGTATACTTCGTTGCATCTGAGCTGATACTGGACAATAGGTTAAGGACTACTATATGCGCGAAGTTCAAGAGAATGGGAAACAGGAATGGGTAGATATCGTCAATCATGCTCGTGAAAGGCGTGAGAATGGACTTCTTCCACCCCCTCTACCACATCAGAGGAGGGTACCAAAGAGGCAACCCGAAATGCTTATCTTGGGAAACACGAGCTCGAGTGTCGATCAATCGGCAGTAGGGAGAAGCAAAGCTGCCCCTGAGGACATCATACTCGGTCGACCTCGCAACTCGTTCAAGAGCTCTGGCGTAGAGGATAAAATGGCACATGCCAAAAGACCAGAGTCCAGTGTCCAAAGCAGCGATGCGAGTCCCGTCTTTGGGCCTGCAGAGGAGCCTTACACTATTAAGTGCATCTGCGATTACCTTGACGACGATGGGTACACTATTTATTGCGAAACTTGCGATACATGGCAGCACATAGAATGTTTCTATCCCGGCCAGGTTGATGAAGCTTCGGCAGAGGAATTCGATCATTCTTGTGCTGATTGCAAGCCGCGGCCGTTAGCATTAGACCGACAACATGCGACTGAGCGGCAGCGAACACAACGGCAGGTCAAAGTCATTAATGACAGCCCGGAGAAAGATGCCTCACCAGCATGTGACAAAGTTACTGGAAGGATAGAAAAATCTCGGTCACCGGGCAATGAAGCGTTGGACCCAGTAGCAAATGTACCACGAAATGATGAGGCATCCGTTCAAAACTTGAATATAGAGCCGCCGAAGGACAACGATCGAGATCCCCGGAAACTGCATGCTCAGGGACACAACAGTGGCAGTGATGTGGTCATAGAGGATGAAGGTGGTCTCACAATAGAAGGGGGCTTTCCCAGAACTGTGATGCCCATAAGTTTCGAGATCGAAGGGCCGTTGAACGCTTCCAGTAACATGATGGTGAACCAGCCGCAACTCCTCCAGGATAATGAAGCCGAAGTCAACCCTCAGCAAGGGAAAGACGAAACTGAAGCAAGAGAAACAGAAGATGAGATCCGATGGACAACCAAAATTAGCGAAGACAAAATGAGCTGGGAAAGGGAACTTCGGCAAGCCGAGGCCGACGCTGCGCTGCGCTTTCAGGTTTTACTCGAGGAAGTCGCAACATCTTCGGCTGAAGCTATCGTTGACCAGGTTACGAATTATAGAAATAACAGAGCCGCGATAAGCCCATACCTTATACAATATGCAGATCTTCATTCTCAGGCACTGAAGGCAGGCAAGGACGTCGCCATTCGAGATACATGGGGAGCCAGACTCAACGATGCTAGGAAAGAGATTTCCCATGAGTATAAAACTAGCCAAGAAGCATTTTTGACGATCCAGAAGCATAACCTTAACATAGAGAAGACCCGCACGGAACTCCAGGAGTATAGAACACAGAAGGAGAACCCAGAACAGGAAGAAGAGTATCAGAAACGACTCCAGGAGGATCTGCGCAAGTCTGGCATGGATGAGACACAGGTGGCAGCGGTTCTCGAGAAAGACGACCCAAAAAGACTATCATACACTCGACTGTCGCGCCGTGATATCTCTGTCGAGACCCTCAATCGATACAAGATTGACCACGAGCTTCACCAGGTAAGAAAAAAAGTCCACTCGCCTGCCAGCGGGACCAAAACTAACGTGCAAATTTAGGATTTCGATTCTATTTTGATTAAACGCTGGGTTCCTGAATACGAGCAGGACTTCTTGCGGTCTCATACCAAGGAGATCAGGGAGCATAGACAGCAAGGAGGGCCTGGTAGTGGGGAAGTAGATCAAGTGGCGAAATCAAGCGGGTATGAACCGACTGAAGAGGAGATAGAACGCCAGAACCTTGACTCCTTCGAGCATGGTCCCCCAGAGCATGGAAAGCTAGAAGGCGAGAAGTCCAAGCTCGAGCGCGTACTTGCACCTCATCAAAAGACTGAAGGCCCAGGTTTTGATCGATATGTAGAGAAGCGTGCACAAGAGCTGAGTGAACATTTCAAGAGCTCACAGGGATCCTACGAAGAGTCGTCGTCTGATCTTCAAAGGGGTTCTCCTCAGGCAACACAAGATCCGCAGTATGATACCCAAGAGAGTCCTACCGACAAAGGCATCGAGTCTGACGCCCATCGTGAGCTCCCGAATGCTCTTAGCGAGACCACTACTCCATACAAAGGGCAGGGTCATGTCCGTTCCGGGACAGAGCTATCTATGCTGTCACGAGAGGAAACCGTCGAGGTAAGCATGCGAAGGCAGGTCTCCTGGAACTGATCTAGCTAATGAACCTTATAGCCAAGTTCGTTCGGGGAGCTATATGCCAAAATGCGGTCTCCTGACTATGTCGCTTCCAATCCAAAATTAGAATCGGAAGCAGGAAATGTGATAAACATCGCCACTGAGGAGCAAGAAAAGTCTGACATCGACAAAGAAGTGGAAATTTCTTCATGGCGAGCTCGAATGAAAACCATACATAGAAGGTGCACAGCGGTTCTCCGGATCGAGGTACAAGAACTGCGCTTCGTATACCAAACGAAAGCGAGAACACCAGGCTTGAGCCGCACCCAAATCTCAATAACTAAAGAACATGAATGGAAGGATCGAGCGGAAACAGAGCTAGCCAAGGCAAAAAGGCAGCTGGATAGATACTACAACTTTGCGCTGGAATCTGGTAGCGCATCTGAGGCTACAACGAGTGAAAGAGAAGACCTTGAAGAAACACTCGTCACAGTGGCTGATGTGTGGAGACGCGACATGGTTGTTGTGCTGCGTGACTTTTTGGCAGAATATATTGTTCTTGGCCGACGACAGGACACTGATTCGGGGCCCCAGGATGTATCGAGGGAGACAAAAGAGCTAGAAGACGCCATTGCTGAAGAGCGGCTGGATTTTGCTATAGAGGCGCGATCGAGAGGACATTTGGTCAGCCCGCAAATTGAGGAGTTCAAGCCTCTAGAGGTCGAGGATGCTGCATCCAAAGCCTCAGATCTAGCCATGAGCGACTTACTCAAGGGAAAAGAAGAAGCCGGTCAAACAAATACATCAAAAGGTAAAGCACCAGCTGCTTCAGACGAGCCGTCAGCTACAGAACCGCCAAAAAGACAACTCACAGACCCTTCAACCTCCTACCCACCATGTAACACTCTGTCTGTAGGCAGGCTACCACTCGACGCATCAGAAGACGAATTGAAAGAACTCTTTGGCAAACAGCGAGGGTACAAACGCCTGGCGTTCCGAACAAAACAAAATGGTCCAGCGTGTATTATCGAGTTCGACGATATCGCAACCGCGACGAAGGCTCTGTACTCACTTCAAGGACATCCGCTCCGAAGCAGCGACGAGAGAGGTGTCAGGCTGGGATTTTCGAGGAATCCTCTTGGAGTTCGGTCAGGAACACCGACGGTAGTTGGTGGCAAGTCGCAGCCTCGCAGGGAATCGTGGCAACAGGAAACTGGAGGTGATACAGGTGCGGTGCAGAGTGACATTCCGGCAAAACCGACTCTTGGTCCTGTTATTAATGCCATGTTTAACAATGGCAACGAAGGTACGATGAAGTCTGCTGCCAAATGAGGGTATAGATAAAGACATTAAACCCTCGGGTAGATGTTCAAGTATGAAAAGATATTGCAGAAACGCTGTACCGTATTCAAACTTACATGCCCCATCAGAGCAATGGGACTTGAATTGGAGGGAGATCCCTGAGCCCAACGTTTAAGCAATAATAATAGTAGTAATAGATTTCGTCTTTGCCCAGAATGCTGGCGGAGGTGAGGTGTCAGAATCGCAGTTGCATAAAGGTGGTGAGATTGAGGCTGTGGAGCTGCAGAGATGTCAGATGGTACTGTCAATGCTGACTGATTCTCAGATATACCCCGCATATGCATCATATATAACAGCTGGAATCCTCTTATTTCCAACAGAAGGACCACAATTCTTACTCAAATCCTGACCCCGCACCACAAATCCGCGCTCCCTCAACACCATATCCCCCTCTCCGTTCTTCTCCATAATACCTAGAGATGGCGTCAGGAGATGATCCACTTGAACACCTAAGTGACTCACAAATAATCCAACGCTGTTCAGCCCCAGATTGTCAAACTATCGGTGAACTTAAGAACGTAGTGAAACTTTCCGAGGATGTGATCGTGAAGTTTGGCTGGAACGTGACCGCCGAGGAGGCGGACAACCAAAGAAAGGCATTCGAGCTCCTCGACCGCAGTATCGTTCGCGTTCCAAAGCTGTAACGGGTTTTTACTCGGAGCTACAAGGGGATTATGGGATATATAGTCATGGAATATATCCACGGGCAGATTGTTCCATCACCTGATAGCGACCAAATCGACAAGATCGCCCAAATCCTTTCATGCTTTTCAAGCATACGAAGCCAGGACCCTGGCCCGTTGCAAGGAGGCGTATCGCGTGGACTACTCTGGCAAGATAATGGGGAACCGGTCTTCAAAACGGTGCAAAAGATGGAGAGCTGGTTGAATTTCAGATTGCCAGATGTCGAGACTAAATTGACTCTCCAGAAGTATCCATTGGTATTTTGCCATTTGGACCTTGCCCCTCGGAATATTATCTGGTTGGCAGATGGCTCAGTGTGTCTGATCGACTGGGCGTCGGCTGGCTTTTACCCAAGATTCTTCGAGGTGGCTCTCCTTAAAATTATGGAATATAGTCACGGCAACTACGAGTTGGATTTGATTGAGCGGATGGAGAAGTTGACGGAAGATGAGGAAATTCAAAAGACACTGTTACAGCGGTCATTCTACAACGGAATCAAGTATTCCTTTGTAAGTCTATCCTTACCATCTGCAACTCTGTACCTGCTAACATTAGCTAAGTCCGCCATTCATGAGACTCTTGGATAAAGTCAAAGAGTGATACGGGCCAGTGATCCATGGTAGGAAGAGTGGTGGATATCTCTCGTTCATGCCATGACGAAGTGAAGAATGAAGTGCATAGCTGGATGGAGACTTGATGGCTTTCTGTAGAACGGTGGTACATAGGCGTTAGCTGAATGCTTTGTGTAGGGCATCTTATATAGGATTATATAGGAATAGATGCTTGCCTTTCGGGTAATGGCAATCTGCTGCCCACTGTGGCATTCCTTTGAGGGGATGCTTGGAAAGTGATGAAAGATATGATGGATGATGTGATTATGACAGCCAACGGAGGTGACAAGAATATAAAAGACAAGTTCACCGACTGCCTGTGAGGACACTTGAACCAGATTGCTGGATCGCGCACTTTGGAAAGGAAACCATGAGAATGGAGGAATGAAGAACAGACAAAGGTAGGGACTGCGCCTGCAGGCGATCTACAATCATACTCCAACTCAGTCGAGAGGAGTGGCGCGACACCATTGCCGATGAAGCTGATGGCGTGAGGCAACCTACTGCGCCATGGTTCGCTGAAGTCCACAATGCTGGACATGGGGTGCTGGTTGAAGATGAATTGATAAAGGACGGTCGGATCTTCCTATGAGACAAGAGGAGGCTCATTATAGTTGGAGATTTTAAAAGCACTCTGAATCATTATTGCAAAAGCTGGTAAGTATGAATCAACTGAGTTGGATCGACCCGCCATTTTCACCATAAATCACAGGTACTAGCCCCCGGATCACGTCTCTTCCCAAACTGGAAACGTCTCAGAACCGTCCATATTGGTTCTTGCAATCTCCATTCACTCGGGATTGTACTCGAAGACCTGGAGAGGGTAGGAGGTCGGATTGTTTGAAGAGGAAGAGCTGGAAGGAGAGTACAAGAGTGAAAGGGAAGTAAAAACCGGCGAATACGTCTTGATTTAGGACCACCATCTCGCACGACTCTTCTGAATACCTTCACAGCAGACAATCTGCCTGGCCGTGCTGATTTACCATCCGAAGCTATTCACTAGTGCCGATCCCGCTTCTTTGGCCTTTTGAATGCCGCCCCTTCAATCCTCCGAGACAAGGAAGTGTCCGGGGTAGTATCCCCCGTGGCAACACAGTTTGATTGACTGTCGGCATCCTCTGGCAGAGATGCAGCATCGGCGCTCGAGAGATTGTGACATTCTAACCCCTTTAGAAGTCCAGATTCCCCCGGCTCGGTTTGCTGCCAGGCCTCGATCATACCAGGTGGCAAAGTATCGATAACCGAACCAATTCTTTTCAAGTGACCCGGCATCCAGATATTGTACACGCTCTTAGTGAACATGTATGATATCCATTTCTTCTCTCCGTCTAGTTCCGTGAAGTCGAATTTACGGATAGGATGGCGGTAGAAGGTGGTCTCGTTCCCATCAATCACAGGATAATGACCGTAGATCCTAACTGTTTCGTGGTCATGTGAAATTGAGAAGGCGAGTATCTCCCGGTGAAGCTCCTTTTCGCGATTTACAAGTCTAAAAAGTTCCACTATACCTCTCATTGCAAGAGTCATGCTGTGAGCATTCTGCCGATCGGCGACATCAAGAGCCGCAGCACCGCACTTTACTTCACACGTTAGGAACGGAAAGTACATCTGCCAAGTCGCCATGAAGATAGAGGTAAAAGTGTCTGCTACCTCGCCAACGAAAGGCGCAAGCTTCTCGAGTTGCGTACTCGTGAATGCAGATCGGCCGAATCCCACAGAATAATCAGGTTGTGGGCGAGGGCCGCAGATAGGTCTCGCGCAAGTCCAGGCTTCATTGACACTCTCATTCAAAGGCTTTAGATGACTAGCACCGTAGATTCTGAGGACTTGCGCGGGTGGACATATCAGTGGGGAGATGTCTCGAACAACCAAAGCTTCATTCCTCGCTCGCACACTCTCGCAAGTTTCGTCGAATAGATCGTCACGGAACAGCGAATCTTGAGGGACTGGTTGTTTTGCACCAAGTAAAGTTTGACAGAGTTTCTTGCTCGTATCTGAGATGCCCAAACCGAACTTGCCCATGAAGCTACCCTTGGTGGCGAGGATGGTCTCATAGCTTGGACGCGCATAAAGGGAAGTACTGGACTCCCTCGGTTTTTGATCGCTTCCGGTAGAGCCAGCTTCCGATTGCTTGCCACGAAGAGATGAAGAAGATTTCTTTATCGCAAGCAGATAACTCATGTTGGGCCCTGATCGAAAGTACTCCTTAGGCCAACGGAATTCCTCGATCCCCTCACTAATGTCGGCCTCTTTGAGCTCGCTGATTGTGTCCTCGAGAGGAGGGGACGTCCGCAGCCGCTTTCGAGACGGGGGAGGGTGGGAGGCTTCGTCTTGCGATCGTTCTCGCTTTCGCTTGCGCTTCTCGGTCTGTAGATAGTTGATTTGTTAGCTTTCTAGCATACCCAGAGAAGGGTATCATGCCTCTTTGCCAGTAGCGTTGCGAGTTGTAGAGAGAAGTGAGTGCTTGGGTTCAGTGTTCGTGCCCTTGGATACAGTTCGTTCCTGTAGACGTGCGCTTCGACGAGAATGAAGTTGTGGTCGTTCTCTCTTGATACCTTGTGGCCGTACTTCTACTTATTAGCTCAAGTACACGGCCGGTGTGAAAGGGTTACTTACTTTCGCCTTGCGAGCGTTGCCGCCCAACTTTCTGGCTGTTTCGCATTGCTGGACGAGGGGCCATATCGATTGGGCGGGGGAAGGTCAAGAGGGGTGCTTTATATGGCCGCCGCTGGGGCCGAGGGGTTGCATCGAATGCATGAGAGAGATATGGCGCAAGGCGAGGATGATGTGACGCGCAGCATCCCTCTACCTGCAGCACTATGTTGGAGATGTTGGAGTTGGGTGCTTCGATGAGGAGGAGTTGGGGGACGCGCTCAAAGGACCGTGTCGATATTGGTTATCGGCACGTGACTCGCCATTTTATTCAGGACGCAGCCGCAGCCGCAAGCGCATCGTAAACAGTCTTACCTCCGTAGATTTTGGAGCACAACCCTTAGGAGCAAGGCACTCTGGCAAAATCCTCTTCTTACACGCACTCCTATTCGTATAGAAAATCCGATCTCAGTAGCATAAGGATCTGGGGTGTTCTTGATGATCAATGTTCGCAAACCGAAGCAGACTTGATAAAGTCTGCTGCCAACTAAGGGCTTAGACAAGAAATTATACACTCGGAAAGATGTTCAAGTTGACTTATTGCAGGAACACTGTTTTCAAACTTCGATCGCCCTTAAGAATGATGGACTTTCGTTCCCCTCAACCACAGACCCCAGTGGAGTAGCATTCGCATCTGAAGTCCCAGATATCTCTTGAAGTTGCCGAATATATGATTGTGCCACGTTCAACCAGGACGCTTTCTCACCTCTGCTTGCCCCAAGCCCACGCCAGACCCAGATAGCAGTCCCAATATCCAACAAAAAGACATCATTGCCATCCAAATCGTCTCTTTGCAAAGGCTGTCCGTCCTTGACAAGATCAAACGACAGCTGTCCAGATGCATCACTGAGACGGAATAACTTCTTGTGCCTGCTATTGGAGTCCTTTGCTGACGTAGATACAGGTCGGGGAGCGCTAAACTCGTGTTGCGACACACCTTCTCCTCCAAGCAGTTTGACGAAGATTCCAGATCTAGAGTCGGTCTGCGAGAGGACCTCCACATCGACATGTTTCGCCAGCGTCATGTCATGAACGACTTGTGCACCCTTAGCTTTCTCCATAGGGCTACACTTCTTGCCTTGCCAAACCCAGATCTTGTCTCCCTTATCCAGAACAAAAACATCATCGTCATCCAAACTCTTCCATGTAGGCTCCACCTCCACCACAATCACCGAGTCAGCCCTGCCAGAGGGATGTTTGAAGACCCGTAACAATGTTGTTACTTCCTTCGGCTGCTCCTCTTCTACATGTGTAAATCCCGAAGCCACTCCTCCAGATAATATCTTCAGCTTCGGGAAAAGCGCCATGAACTCCTCTGAAGGCTGCATCTGCACCTCTCTATGCTGTGTCGCCGTCCCCTTCAGGAACTCATCCAATTCCACCGTCTTATATGCCGCCGTGCCCGCCTCATCCTGCGAAGTCTTCCGTCCCAGCCAGAAGAATATCTCATGGACCAGCTTCTCCTGCCCCTCCTTCTCCCCAACTTTATATGAATGCAGCACAATATAGCTGTCTCCTTCGTGGAACTGTCCCGTCTTGTTCTCAGGCCAGGGAATGACTTCGAAGTCTTCGATTCGCCATATGTAGAGGCCTGCAAGGCGGCCTACACAGCCATCGTTCCAGGCAGGCTCGGTGAGGGCGGAGCTGTACTTTACGTGGTGGTCAATGTCGGTGCCGATTAGTTCAACGTTGCTGTCTTTTATATCGTATTCTTTGAGATGTGTGAGACCGTGATTTGGTGGCATTTTGGGGATTTCGAGGTAGTGACAAGGAGGATGCTTGGTAGTTTTGATGTTGTTGAAGCTTAAAGCTTGAAGCTGGGGATGGCGGGGTAATTTCAGGGGTTCAGACATTCGCTGATTTAGCGCTCCACCGACTGCTGAGTCAGCACGTCTAATGTAAACAGCATCTTCGCTTCGGACGTACGTGGGACTTTTAAACCATGTTTGAGGTGAACAGTTCTCCGGTTTGCAACACTGCAGCTTATATCTAATTAATGAAACAGCGGGTATTCGGGGAATTAGTATTAGATAGTGGTTAGCAGATTGAATGAATACCAGTATGATGCAGGATATGCAGCCAAGCTATCAGCAGAACCGAGAGTGGAAAAACTCCAACTCCGGTCCACCATAAAAATGGCAATGACTTAGGTTTCTGATTAGAAGTGATTCGTTAAATGTCCCAAAAACGTCCAAGATATCTCCGGTCCTTTCTTACGCAGCAAGGAGGTCTTCGGCGCTCATTCCTCTGCCCTCTTTTCCCTTGCTTTAAATCGTCATCTTATGTCAGCTCATAGCTGCTGACCCCATTTAGCAGGAAATAGCAGGTTTGGAAGTATCCGGGAAATCGATTTGCATTTGCAAACTTAACATTCTTTCACTGTACATGTCATAATTGACCACAGATTCAAATACCACGCTCAAAAAAAGACTTGATGATCCCCGCATTGCTCGCCTCGTATTCTCTGATCTCCACCGATCCATCAGGGTTGATGAACGTGTTGGGTTGCACGAACTTCCACTTCGGTTCATAATTGGCTGCGACGACTTGCCTCCATTTCTCGAACTCGCCATCGACAGCGCTGAGATCCTCGTAATACGGTCGGCAAGCCTCGATATCTGCAGTCGAGCGCCAAACATGAATCTTGCACAGCATCCGACCAATGGAAGGTTTACCGTGAGACAGGATCTTGGAGCGGTCAACTTTCACAAAGAGTGTTTTGGCAACAGGGTCATGTTCGATTGCCATGAAGCCACCGCTATCACGAAGAAGGTGTTTGAGGACTGCGAATTTTGCCTATTCTCAGAACTGATATTAGCAGCTAGAACAGTTTCCCGTATTTCTCTATAGATTCGGGTGGACAGTTCGGCACTCACCCGATCATGGTCCCCTCCCCAGGTTTTATCCTTGGCGTTGAAGCTGGATAGTGATCGAAGACCTTCAACTCCAATCTCAAGATAGGTGTAATAAATTACTGATCCGTGTCAGCAGTAGAAAATAACCCTAGAGCTTCTTGTACCTACTGTCGTCTGCGGATGGAGAACTGAGCTCATTATACCCAAATAACGCTAGGATACTCTTGTTGTCTGTCAAATAGTCCGCAATGAGAAATGCTCTGCACTCTTCCACCGTTGGAGCTAGCTTCCCAAAAACACTGATCCAAGACTCTCCAGGCTTGTACCAAGTGTTCACAGGCATACCTGTGATGGGACTAATTGGAGGGCTCGTATGGTCGAAGTTGTACCTATCAGACTCTATCTCGGCCAAAAGCTTCCCGGTTCCGTGGCCGATGAGCTCGTGCGTGGCTGTTGAGATGAGGCGGCATATGTGAACCGCATTCATGAAAGCCTTCGACTCAGAGACTTGAACGTAATAGCACGGACGGCCTGGCCTACTGTTGAGATTCATACGATTGCCGTACACCATGTTTTTAACGCCATGTCTCTTCCCGTCTTTGTCATCCTACGACAAAATCAGCTATACTTTCCACCTCCACGAAAGCCATCTCAAGACAGAAACAACCTAGAAGTAAGAACTTACCAGAGTGATGTTTGTAGCTTCCCAAACAGTGCTTGAAACGGACGCGAGCGCTGCAATAGGGTTAGAATGGCGTGGCGTGGATTTTGTGCCTGAGAAAGTACTGACCATGAATGACGGCAAAGTCGGGAACATCTAGTTCACTTGGTTCGAACGGGCCTTTGCCATTGTTATCGCCTGGGACGGCCCAGGGGAGAGTACGAGTAATTTCTGTAGACTTTTCAACGAGCAAGCTCATTTTCTTTGCCTCACTGGTGTCAGCAATACCGGCCGAACCTTGCCACTCCGCTCTCATTCCGTAAGGGTCTCGGTAGCCGAAAAGGAAGCCCATGCAGTGTTCTACTGGAGGCGCTCTATCCTGCACCCATGTCTGCTGAGCTGCCTGAAACGCCTGATAGTTTCCTGTCCGGAATGTTTCAATCAATTGCGAGAGTGCGAGCTTCTGGGTGTCATTGGCAGCGTATTTGCTAGCCTCAGCGAGATCTGCGCAGATCTTGGTCATTTCCACAGAATGGTCGCCACGGCGCAGAAACACTTTCCCTAAATGCTTGCTGCCGACCTCGATATCAGCGAGAAAAGAGGGTTCGGGATCTTCTTCTGCTGATGCCTGTAGGATTTCGAATACAAGGGACTCCTCGCTTCCAGGTGCGCAAGAACGAACTACTTTAGTAAGCCGAGTATTCTCTGGATCGATGTTCAAAGTTTCCATGAGTTTGGTAACAGCTTCTATCTCCTCTCGGCCGATCGTCTCCTTGCCGGGATAGTAGCAAGACTGGCTCGTTTCACTCGCATATCCGAGACTACTCGGTCGCATTGCCAACTCCCGTCGAGGACTAGTTCGAGCTTTGCGGCTGCTCCAGGTGACAACGCTGCCATTTTCTTGAGTGAATCTCTAGGAACCGTAGGAACGATCTTCTGATCTCCATTGCCCTACAGATTATTAGTGGACCAAATTGAAGACAGACGTGGGCGGGGATGCCATCAAACGATTTCCGGTACTGACAAAGTGGTTACCTAGGCTGGAGAGAAACATGCCAGCAAATTCTAGCCAAGTATCGAGATGTTCCCTAGCCACGCCGCTCTCCACGAACTTATTCCAATCCCCATCGCAGGCCTTGTACAGTTCAAGGATGAAGTCGTAGATTCCCTCTGACTCCGGCGACGTCTGACGAAGTATGATTCTACCACCGTGCCAGCACGCTCTTGATAGAAAGTGAGCGTATTTACGATAGCGGAGCCAGTCTTTGCTCCCATCATCAACAAGGCCTTCGAACACGTTGTTGGCCTCGAGCTTATGTGTAACCTCATCTTCTTTGGAAACACGGAATCTAGACATCTTGGTGGTTGATTATTGCGCCGCCGGATCTCTTTCGTCCGTCTTTGACCTGACCGATGACCTATGCTCGTGACGAGGAGTAGTGTGAAGATCTGGAGATGCGACGGAGAGAGATAAGGGGAGGTAAATCAAGCAGGCAAGTATGGCATCGGTGGCCACGCCGTACAACGTCGCACACAGGATACTGCACCTGTTACACATGGCGGTTGTGAGGCATTCAGCAGATCAGCAGGTGATATGCAACGCGCGGCACTGCATACCTCCGGCTTCGGAACTAAGAAACATCAAAAATCGATACATGTGTAATTTGTGAATGAATTCTTGTTCGGAATTTAGAAGGGTTTGTAAGATCAGCAAACTGTAATCTCGATGCTGTTGTCACCCGGCAGACCTGTTTACAGAACTAACCTAAAGGAGGATATCTGCAAGGAAAACTACTGTTAAGCTACTTAGACATTTGTACCGCAGAAACGTTGTTTTGATATATATTAGCCACTTCTTTCCAATTTTATGGAATTTATACTTCTGATCCCTGCAATCCCCTACTTGGTGTAAGTTAACACTCCAACCTTTTCTAATTGAAGAGAGAAGGAAAAATGTTAGTTATCAAGCGAGGGCTTTTAAATAAACTAATCCTTACTTATACTATGGCAGGGCCACCTGATTTTGGTACTTGGCGGGGTGGAGGGAAGTCACGTTACCGGTGCAGCTAGGCGATAGTACTTGAAGATCCTAAACTATTACTCCTTTAGAATATTATCATCCATAACACTACTTAAGATTATTATAATAACTATCCTTTTCAGAGAGATTCTATCTAATCTATTCTCTTCTCTGCCTTTTATTTAACAAATCCTGTACTTTAAATATAAAATATCTAGAGATTTACTTAATCCGCTTCTTTATATTAAAGTACTCCTTGTGCCTTAAATTACTACCTCTCTTGGTATCCCCTTAAGTGCGGCAAACACAGCTGTCCAGGCTGTGCCCCTGAAGCGAGTCGCTAAAGCGATGATCACTACGGAAGAGCACTGTACTTAGCAAAGCTCGGGCCCTAACGGAGCTGTACGCTCGCTAAGCTAGGGACGAGATTCACGCTCGACTACAGCGCTCTCCAGGCTGTGTTCTGAGCCGCACTTAAGGGGATATAAGTATTCGGGTCGTGGCCCGCCACAACACCACTGGTTAATCTCTATTTGACTGAAGTAATCTCTACTAAATTCAGTGTATTATAACGGCATAGCAAATGTTTATTAGTAGATATAATTCAAGTTAGAAAGATAAAAAGAAAGAGGATCATAAGGCACCTGAAGCATAGTAAGGAAGAGAGCCTGAGATATATAGCTGACTAGCGAGCTATGCTAGTCCTAGGTTCGCCGTATGACTCCCTGCCCGAATATCCTCGACGCGCAGTCTTGCAGCTTCACAAGGTCAGCCTTGTTATTATAACCAGTCTACTACATGTATAATCCTATTATATACATTAGGTAGCTTATTGTTTTTATATTTCTCTTGTAGCATATATAAAGAATTCTTATAATTGCTATATTTTATTAGGATATAACTTGATAAAATACTATATTTGCATAAGTCAAGAGAGCTTGGGTAATCGTATGTTTAATACTAGCAAATTCGGTAGTAAAATAGTAATATAAGATAGTTTAAAGTCCTAGATTTTAACCTTAGGTATTTAGACAGTTATACTCGGGTGCCTTTATCAAAAAATCGTAACTTACCTAGGTAAGTTAGACCTTAAAGCTTAACTGATTCAATTACATATAACGGTCTTTTTTATTGCTTTTTTTGTTCAAATCCAATTCCACAACCGGAATCATCTTCCTCCTACTCCTTACCCTCGTCCCACTTCTCGACTTTTGTTTCACCTTGCTGGTGAGTCCTAACCCGAGGGTAGTACCACACCTTCGTACTTGTTATTCCTCTTCAGACTTCACACGGCCAATGTTTGGTCAGTAGTATCACCTCCGCCGCTGTGCGCTCGTCCTGGTCAACCTCCTCCTCCTCGTTCTCTTCATCACCCGACGCCTATCTGCCCTCCGTATCTGCTGGAGGCTAAAGCTGTGAAAGATACTCCCGGTCGAAAAGAAAAGCCAGTTACCCCAAGGCTTCCCTGGGCTGACTGTCGGCCTTGGTCTACTGCAGATTGCTCAGTATTGATGGACCGCCCCACATTCAGGCCATTCCACGAAGCACGGCAGTGTTCGCAATGGACAGAGAAGATCTGTATGGTCTCTTCCATGCGCTTCAATACCGTTTGCCATAAACTGATTCGGGGCGATAGTGAACAGTTTTTCAAATCCACTTGGCAATCAACGGTCGAAAAATCCAGGCGCACCCTTGATCAAGATGATCAGGACACAATTGACGACTTCAAGACATGGGAAGCGTTGGAAAAATGGGTTTTGAACAACGCACACCCCCCTATCACCATGACACGGCCGGCACTGGGCCATTTGAATGTGTTTGTGAAATTCATTCTGACAAATCTGGGCCCGTGTGTCGATACGCCGTTCTTTTGGGGTTCCCTGGCGTGTTTACTTGATGTAAGTGCTCGTTGGAAGTGAGCTTTATTTGAGTGCCACCCTCTTGCTAATCATTGGGCTCTTCATTGTAGATTGTGTCTAAGAACCTGAAGATCTTGGATGGAGTCCCTCGTATGATCCAGTCTCTAGTCTACAAAGCCGGTGCCGTCAATACGCATCTGAAAAGCGTGCAAGGAAGCCACAATGCGGTCAGTGAGAATGATATAAACGAGGTGTTGTTTTTCATATATCTCGAATTCGTGGACTTTTTCACGAGCTCCATCAAGTATATTCACAGCCCAGGTGGACATCCCCTTACCTGCAGGTAACAAATCTGGCGCCCAACGACTGACTCACAGTAGAAGCAAACGGTGAGCACAAGTCTGTTCAACAACTCATTCAACAGCGATATGAATTGGCTACGTTGGAACTTAACGAGTTCCTTTTACGACTGAAAACACTGGTTACTGAAGCCCCCATTCACCATCCAGAGAATGCAGCGTCCATAAGAGGGTCGACAGCCAAGGAGCACGCCAAGGAGCACTGCCTTATGTTACCGGAGATTATGATCAGTCGTGTTTTTGATCGACTTGATGTTTTCGTCAAGCTTGATGAACTTCTGGCTCCTGATGCTGTCGATCAGTCCCTGCAGTCGGTTGCTTTGCACGGCATCCTGGGAGTGGGAAAGACGAGTGTTGCATCTGCTTATGCCGAGAAAAAGTGGTCCGAGAAGGCCTACAACGTAGTATTATGGGTTCATGGAGAAACAGATGCATCAATGCGCCAGGACTTTACCAGAATTGCTCTGCGATTGAGACTGCCCGACGCACAAGAGGATACTCATGATGAGAATCGAGTTCTGGTGCAGGACTGGTTTCAGACCACCCGTATGTAAAATCTCCCAAGAATGCTGTTCAAGTTCGCTTCAGGTAATTTGCACGCTAATGTTTCTTTAGAATGTAACTGGCTTGTGATTTTCGATAACGTTGACTCTTCAGATGTGCTCGCACCGTACTGGCCGAGAAGCTCGCATCACGGTAGGGCAATAATCACCACTCGAAATTTTTCGCTTGCCTTTAACCCGGCAGCATTTGGACTTGAGGTTCAGCCCTGGGACACCGAAATGGGAGCAAAGTACTTGCTATTTCTTTTAAAAAGAGCGGTGGGCCAGGATTTGGCTTCTGAAACTGCCTCTGCTCTTACTCTTTCGCAGAAGATCAGCGGACATGCCTTGGCCCTTTCGCAGATGGCAGGTATGATTCACGAGGGAGAGTATTCCATTAGAGAATGGACAGCTATGTACTTAGAGGATCCGAAGCGGGCTCATGTCAACGAACCATTCTCCAGGCTGTGGCACTTCGCCTTTCGAATACTCGAAGAAAAAGACAAGAATAGCTTCTCACTTTTGGGAATTCTCGCGTTTCTGATGCCTGATATGATCCAACCTGAGATCCTTCAACCAAAAAGTGACCTTGAACTACCACAGGAGCTTGGATTTTTCAGAGACAGGTTTGTCGGGTGAGTAGTCTTCGCTAGAAAGTTTAAATTACATTGCTGACGCAGTTAGCTTTTCATCTGCCCTAACCAAGCTCATTACGAAGGCACTTATCAAACGGGACAAAAGTTCGGGAGTCATTACTGTACATCGCCTGATTCAAACCCAGTTCCGATACTATTTGAGCCCTGCGCAGCGCCAAGAGGCTTTCAATAATACAGTCAAGCTCATATCCTCTGTCCTCCCAGAGACTGACTCGGACAAGGGGCAATTATATGACACTTGGGAAAGCTACAATCGTTATTTACAGCATGTGCTTCAACTGAGGGACATTTTCGAGGAAGAGCGGAGAGCATCAACCTCCTTTATGGCCCCTGTGAAATTCTGTGAAATCCTGAAAGACTATCAAAGGCACGTTGTCTTGGCATTTCTATCCCTACAGGTGAACTAAGCAGGAAGATGAGATCATGCGTCATCTCGATTTTGAATTTCTGACAGACATTAGGTTCCTTTATGAGAGCTTCTCCTTCGAAGAATGCGAAAAGACTTGCGAAATCAACCGCGATGCCGCCTCAACGCTAGCTTCTGACTGTGACAGAATCAACATTGAAGGCAGCATAATCTCCCATCACGCTCAAGTTCTCGAAAAACTGGGCGATCCAGAAAAGGCCGCGATATTCTGCCAGCAAGAGATAGACATGAGAATCAGGGAATCGCCCAAGAAACATATTCTCCTAGCTTATTCCAGTTGCAACCTCGGGATCATTTATAGCAGTGCCAATGACTTCGCCAAGTCATTGTGTGCCTTTCGCGAGTCTCACAAGTGGTGGGATGCCCATTGCGCCAACAAAGGCGAAGCCCAGGATATAGTGCCGTCAATCTCCGTCAGTGAAGCTCGATGCATGATCGGCCTCGGTGAATTTGAAAAAGCGGAAAAGATACTTGAAACTGCGATATCCAAAGTTAAGGAAGAGAGACCTCTAAATTTTGGAACTCTGGCATAGTAAGTGGCTTTCTCCAGGACCCCAATAATGAACGTGAAACAGATGACTGGCCACTAAAGACTGACACGCAGTGCTCACTTCTGTTTTGGAGTTCTGTATCGAACTCAACACAAATACGACTCGGCTGAGGCTCGATTCATCGAAGCCCAGAACGCATGGCTTGAAGGGGGCCAATCACGAAAACATCCTTTTAATGCGGGGATACTGTACAATATTGGAGCATGCTGTCTGGACCTGGGCAAGACCGGAGCTTCCATGTCAGTCACCCTTCCTAAGCTCTCTTCACTGCAACTTTCAATACGAGACACTGACTTTGTGCCTTAGTAAACACCTCAAGGACTCTTTGGAGGTTACAATGCTGTATGATCGTAGCTTGCCAGTTGAGAATGGTCGCAATTACTTCAAACTCTCCGAGGCGTTGAAGCAAAATGGAGACGACAGTGCTGCAGATGCAGTTTCTACGAGGTGCAAAGCCGAAGCATGGTTGGCGGAAAGGAAATCAGGCTTAGTTGAAAATGGAACCGAGAGTTCCTACAGCGATTTAATTCCAGTGTATTGGAGATAGACCCCGGCGTGCTTTAGGCCGGACTATATTCGTTTCCACAGGTGGCCAGGAGATTTTACCGTACTGACTCCATCCGAACACATTCGATTGTCTCACTTGTCCTTTGCCGCTGTCTCAGTAGCTTGAAAATTCCAATACTAAGAAATACATATACGTGCTTAAAAACGGTTTCCAAATCTTCTAAATGTCATGGTCGAATTGCATACACAACCTGGACCACGCCGACTAGCAGCTGCAACGCCGCTAAAACAAGCCCACATCCACCGATAATTACGACCGCCCAGAAGGTATACCACTGCACTAAATTGCGTTTGTCCCTCCCAACATCTGATAGTTTGCTGGGCTGGCGTCTCATATTGTATCTTTGTAGCGTCAGCAGCCTGGAACCGAAAACGGGAAAATCATCCTTGGCTGAATACGTGTCCGACTCGATAAGCTCGTTGCCCGCGCTGAGGGACGAGATGGGGAAAAGTCGCCCTTCAATACAAGGAATTGGCTGTCTCCTGAACCCAAGTTGCGATAGATGCCGGCCAGGATATAGAGCCAGACTGCACAAGGTCTCAAGAAACCCATCCTTCTCGCCTTGGTAGCAGCGAGATTTATGGCCTGGAGTCGCTCTGCCGGAGCTCAGTTTGAAACTGCCTAGCATTCTCCTCATCAATTTCCGTGAAGTCTCTGACTGACCAAAGAGAACACGATAGGACAGCAATATTTCTCGATACACTGAGTCTGGTTCCTCCGATAAGCCAAAGGAGTCCTCAGAAGGCAGCATTATTCGTGTGATACTGCCGAATTGTCAGTTATCTTCGGACTCAATGATGCCGTAGGCAATTCTTACCTTTCTACAACATCGATTTTCTGGTTGGAAAGTATTTTTGCTGCACAAAACGACGGGTACTGGTACACTGACAGTTCTCGCTTCACCCGGTCAAAATAAAGATGCGCTGTCAAGACGCCGACCCACTTGATCTTGACGCCTCCGATTGCGTGCAGTGAGCCATAATTGAGACTGGATACATGCAACATGTCCCCGACACCGGAATCTGGATTGCGAATACGTTCAAGGAGGGGTGCACGAGTCCTGGCGAACGCGAGACTTTCATTGATGTCCGACCGAAGGAGAAACGAGTAGAACATCTTCCTCGTAGGTCTCCGGAGTTCGTTGGTTGAATAGATGCGCGAGCAGTTTTCAGCTAGGAGGGTAACGGGCGTATCTGTTCCATCGGAAGCGCCTGCAACAGTAATCTTAGAGAGGTGCAGCGCCGCTTCATTCCCCAAAAGCGGCGTCAGTGTTCCGGAAGTCCAGCAAATGACAGCAAAGATTGCTTGGAGGATGTACGCCTTCTCCTCCGGCGATGTTTCACATCGTCTCCCAGCAGTCTGTATGCTCCCTGGCTGGCAAAGTCGCCTGTAAATGCTTTCAATACTTGGGTCTTGGGTGGTACATAATCCGTATGCGTCGATCACGGCAAAACACCAGTGCCATCCTTCTAGAGAGGATTTCGGGACGCTTCGGCCAATGATGGGCCAGATATGGTTGAAGCATGGCTCAAGAAGCTGTTCAAAGAGCAGCTCCAAGTGACCAAAGAAACATAGCAGCCCACTCCATTCCGAGATATGATCTGTCGGCAGTCCGAAGAGGCAATGAAGTGCTCGGTGACGGAGAATTATCTGCTGGTGAAACAGAACAATGTCAGGAAATAATGATCAACCATCCCAGAACATCACACTTGGCCACATACCGGATCATCCGAGTTATCGTTTCTAGTTCGTAACTGGATCACAGCAGACACTGCGCGCGGAGTACTATCGAGAACCCCCTGCTGTGTTGTTGACTCAGCCCGACTGAGGCTATCCATGTCCATTTCTTGCCGCTCAATATCTACATTTGTGAGGGAGTTCGCCATGATGTTAGTCACTTGTCAAGACAGGTTCTCGGGAACGAGCGCAACTGTACAGTGCATAGAATTGGTATTGTTATATTCAAGTTTATAGATTAATATCACCGCGACCTCCACTTCATCGAGCTCATTGCGATGAGGCGGAACAAACATAACTTTGCAACACGGCAGATTGCTAGGTCTTCGTCACTTGCGCGCCGCCTCTTTTTGCTCATTTCAAGCTGCCTCTGGATGAACACTTTAGTGTATCCCCGCTTACTCAAGGTACGGTCTGGGTAATCGAATTATCTCGTTCACCGATAGGGCGTGAGGTGTGGGGGCGCACGGCAATCCTGCACGAGTGGGAGAACGAGACACGACAGACAAACTTTGTCTCGGTCGCTGGTGACTTTTCGGGATCTTTACTTACACCACTTACCCGTGGTGTCTAATTCAGTTCTTGTGCTTGCCTGGCGATGGAGGGTGTGTGTAACTATTCCTGTCCTGCTGGCAGCGGCGGCCAATACTTTCTTTCTAAATCACGCCGGAACTGCAGGAATGGCCAGAGTGGCAATGAAGAGGCGGGAAACAGCCTTTTCTCCGAAGTAGTACCCAGTTTTACGACTGCTAAAATTACGTACAGAAATACTCTTAAATTGCTATCGGGAACATGAACTCGTTGTCCCGGCCTGCAGAATCAGGCGAGCAGCAAACGTCCTTGTAACACCGAAATTCGCTCCCGATGTCCACACATCTTGTTCTGCTTCCTTGTCGTCTTCGAAACATCCCTCAGCTAATCAAAGATCAATCAGTACACGTGAAACCATATAGCTTTTGACCATGGCGATGTATCTCTCTTTCTTATTGATTAATTACTTACATCGATGGCACTTCCTTTGGGGCACTCAAATCCACGTGTTTCTTCTTCAAGGCAGTTGTACCATGGCTTCCACTATCGCTACCGCGCTTGTTTCGGCTCAAGATAAGAGTACCGTCACGAACAGCGTCGATACCCATTGGGTTAAGAGCTTCATGCCATTTCTTCCATGGCTGATCGAGCTTCGCGTCGTGCTGATGAGTTTCAGATGGCATTGTGGAAGGATGAGGTGGTCTTGTGTTATGTGGATAGATGATATGATTGATAGGACGAGTCAAGTATGGGGGAATATTTTCTCATGTGTGTGGCAATCAGCTCCATTTAATAGATGTTTTCAACCGGACATTCTTGTGTGGGGGTAAAGTGCGTGTTACCAGCCAAAGTGAGCACATACAAAGCAATTCTTCTTCAGCGAAGATCTGCAGGCCCTCTGCCACGAATACTGGTCGATATTCTTGACTATCGCTCGGCTGGCAACGTCACTAAAGACCACGGTGGAGCCATTGGGTAGTACGGCAGTATGGATCGTGTCTCAACCCACCAATCCATTGGATTCGACAGCATCTACGTGAAACAGAATGACACAAGCAACACAAACTGGAGAGATAATGTTTCACGAGTGTGACGGTTGTAAGCCTGCAGCTACTCATGTCGAGCCTCAAGAGCCACAGGCTGGACCTTTTTGCTGTCATGGCCCGAAATTGTACTCGTCCAATGATTATCAACGATAACAGGGAGCTATTAAAGTAGGTATAGGTGCCAAAAGATGGTCTGGATGTTAGTACGACAAAAGCCATTAGTTAAGCCGCCTGCTTACTTGCAGCTTCGGACGCAAGAAAGTACGATCACGGCTGCAGTCACAGTATTCCAACTTTGACATTCCCACCATTATCTGTGATATTTTGCCATTCCGACTGAACCTCGAATATGGAGACTACCATCCAGTATCCTGCTCGGACGCCGAACCTGGAAACCGAAAAGGCATTCAGTACGGACTTTCCAGTAGATCATGTTAGAGGAGCTATTCGGTCCAATACCCAGTCAGATATCCGAACCATCTCTGTAGAAGCGATAGAGGACCCCGGCGAGTGGAGGCTTGATGTCCATGGCTTCTGCATCTTGCAGGGCGAACCTCATCTTGACCTGGAGAAAGTTTACACCGACAAAAGTGCACTTTCACCTGGGTACTGGTATGAGATCGAGGCCATTTTACACAAGGCTTTTCCGCAGTACAGCAGGATCGAAGCATTTGATTTCACAGTATGTTTTCAGCCATTCGTTGCCTTCTGGTAGTAATGGACTAAATCTGTGGCAGGCAAGAAAAAGAGATCCCGACTTTCCAGAGCTGATCAGAGCTTACCATAACGCATACGGACAACCATCACCAGTTGCACACGTTGACTGGTCATCATCGGGGTCGCTGACAGTTCTGGACTGGTGTTTCCCTGGCAATAAAGGGTTCTTCAAAGGCAGGGATTTTGACATGCTGAAGTACGTATCCAATATCAAGAAAAACTGAGGTTCAACTCGACTTGGCGGACAGGCAGTACCAATTTCAGACTGACTTAACTGATAATAGCGTCTGGCGTTTGATAAGACAACCGACTGATGATTGACCACTTGCTCTCTGCGACTACACGACCATTGATCAAGATAATGACATCCGACTCAATGATGCGATACGACGGGATCGTGTGGAAGAGATGTGTATCTTGCACCACAACAAAGCTCATAAATGGTACTACTTGAAGGATCAAAAACCCACGGATCTTTTGGTCTTTCGAAACGCTGCTAGCTCGAACCTGAAGCCTCGTGAGTATATGCTAAATACATCTGTCATATTTAAGAGCGCTATGAATGGTGCTGACTTGGTGAAAGGTGCTTTCCATGCTGCAGTCCATAACCCCAAGTCCACAGGGCCCCCACGAGAGAGCGTGGAAGTAAGATTAGTGGCCTTCTACAATGATGGAACTTGAATTTAGAATAAAATCATTGGCCCAGAATCATACTTGTCTTGGTTTGCTGATTGGTTCACGGGAAGTGTATCTTGAGGTAAAGCAAAGAATGATTAATTGCCTTGCAGAACGAAGTTGAGGGGAGCCATCTATACACACATAAAATATGCAGAGGCCAGTCTTTAGCTTGCAAATTCCTATCTTGTGTATATGTTGGGCATGAGTGGAGAATATCCAACACCTAGCGCCGATCCTTCACTAGAACTCAACCTCGTCCCCCCTCCCCACCACCCCCTTCCCTCGATTTCATCTCTCATGCTTATCAACAGATGCCGATTCTTTGCCATCTCTCCAATCAGGATCAGCTCCCCCGCCAGATGACTCATCTCCAGCTTGCTGCTCTGCCTTCACTTCCTCGAGAGCCATTAGCTCAACCACCCCTGTCTTCCCATCTCCAATCTCTCCTCCATTCAATTGCTGTTGATTGACGCGGGCGAGTTGTATCTTGTAGATGAGGGCTGAGGGATGTGAGGCTTTCTGAGTGACTGTCTTGAGGGCGGATGCCAGCCTGAGGTAAGACATGCCTGGGGACCTTTTGGTGATCAGACCAGCTTAGGTTGTAAGCTGGATAGAGGTAGTGAGATGATGTAGAGTGCCTGGGGTTTTTGTTGATGATGTTGAATATTGGAGATGGAATGAAGTAGAAAGAAAGCAGGGACGGGATCTTGTTGATTTGTTGCTGATTGTCATGTGATGTTAAGAGCTGTGCCGCCTTGGCTCATTTATCACATATGCTTCACAAACCTTGTTTCAAGGATAGAATTGCAACTAGTCAAATAATCTAGTCTTGAAACTTGTTCTATATCGCCGAGTGGGATCCTTACGATGGAACAAGATGTGAACTTGAATGTTCACGTGACGATGCCACCAGACATCCTTGAAATGCAACCAAACCACCTCTTACGTGCCCCTGTCTTGAAAATGTCACCGTTATGAACAGAATTTATCGTTCAAAGGTTTCAGCATAAAATGAGCTAGTTTGAATGGCATGATGGAAGTAAGCTGTCAAAAGTTGTAAAATTTTCAACTCTAGTTGTTGCAGACCCTGCTTGAGAGAAACAAAGCCTCAAGATTTCCAAAAGTGTTGTGGTTGTTTTTAATTATGCATTCGCACTAGACTATCTGACGCACCTGCAGATACGTCCCAGCCATGGACGACATCAGTCACACCCACCCTCAAACGCAGACGTTGTTGGCGATGGTGGCGACGGTAAAGAGAGATATGGAATCCACGGAGTCAATGCCCAAGACACAAGATGCACTTACTGCGTTCAGGCTGCGCTGGTGGAATTGCGAGGGGAGATACTTGCAGGATAACATTGTTAATTCTTGTGCTGGACGTGTTTCCTGATATTCGAGACTATGCGTCACATGTCGGAGAGTACGATAGCGAGTACGTGTCCGAGTCGGATCAAGAGTCGTATGCTGCACAGTATGCGCACTGATATTCAGGCGTTTGGACAACAGACGAAGGCCTTGGGAGGGAATAGGCTGTCTTGGGAATTATGCGGCGTCTTTGGAGTCAGAGAAATGCTTGGGTGGAGTTTATGCTGGCGAATATTGTAATAACAAAATGCAAGATGATCAAACACGAAGCGTCAAATGTACAGAGAGTCAAACAATAATATGAAGGCTAACTGCACAAGTTCCATCTTACAGATATCTCCCATTGCCTCATATGCTCCTACAAATGTGCAAAGGTGGAAGGTGGTTGGGCGCGTACAGGTACAGTAAAGTTATACTTCCCTCCCGGTTGCGGCAGCTTATCAACAACAGCCTTTTCCCCTGTCAAAGAGAACCCAAACTCGATCTTCTGGTCGATATCCAAAGTAAGTAGATACTCACCAGGAAATATCGTCAAATCACCATTCTCATCTGCCCTGGCCAAAGATCCCAAAGTAAGAGGCAAATGAAGAGTTTTCTTGCCATCAATAGGTATATCATGGAGGCGATCATACGACACTAGGGACTTTATGGGGCGAGGAGCTGGCCCAGCGTTGGAGCTCGATAGGAACAGAAGTCCAACATAATCTGATGTTCTACTTCCGGAGTTCTTCACAACAGCAGTCATGTTCGCGAACGGCGTAGTATCACTATAGCCATCCACAGCGATCTCTGAAATATCATACGACCTCTCAAGCTTCGTCTCCCAGGCAAATTCAAAGTCCGTATAATGCAACCCAAACCCAAACGGAACAACTGGCTCTCCAGTATACCATTTATACGTCCTCCCAGGAAACCCGTCACTAACATTCGGTCGCAGCCGAATATCAAAGATACTGACTTCATCCGCGTAGCTCGCGGAGTATTGCGTAATGGGTAACCGTCCCGCAGGAGATGCTACGCCTGTGATAATATCCAGTATCGCCGTGCCACCCTCTTGTCCGGGATAGCCTGCCCAAAGCAAGGCATTGACGTTTTCGTTTCCTAAAAGAGCACTATCGTCGACTTGTCCACCGCCGAATTGGATGACGATGAGTGGTTTTTCGAGCTTGGAAAGTTCGGTTATGAGATCTAGTTGGTTACCAGGCCATGTGAGCGATGTGCGATCGAACTCTTCTGCTTCAATGGTGTTGTCGATTCCGCCTAAGTAGAAAATTATCTCTGCATCCTGTGCTGCTGAGAGTGCTTCCGCAAAGCCAGATATTTTGGTTCCGTTGATGGGAGTCCCAAGTGCATATGCAACATCCCATTGTTTTCGGAACGCTTCCAGAGGCGAGGTGACATGTTTGGCTATGCCAAAGTAGTTGCCCTGCATCTGCTCCGTGGCGTTCGCGAAGGGTCCAATCATGGCGACTTTCGAGTATTTCTTCTGCAGAGGAAGAGTCCCATCATTCTTCAGAAGAGTAATACCTTCAACCGCTGCCTTGTACGCAAGTTTCTGTGCTTCCGGCGTTGCAACATCTTCGAAAGACAAAGCGCTGTACTGACTTCCATCAAAATATCCCACCGAGAACAACGCCGAATACAGCCTCTTCAATGCTCGATCCAGCACCTCCACCGTCGTCGAAGTCCTCTCCAACGCCTCCCCAAGTTTCAGATAAGAATCACCACAATCCAGATCCGTCCCAGCATTAATCGCCACAGCTGCCGCATCCACAACACTATCCGTAAACTCATGATACCTAAAGATATCATCCACAGCACCACAATCCGCAACCACGAAATTATCCTCACTATCAAACCCCCACCCCTTCCTCAGCACGTCCTCAAGCAAATACTCACTCGCACAAGCCGGCACGCCATCCAATCCATTATACGCACACATCACGCTTCCGGCCCCAACGTCCTTCACACACGTCTTGAACGGTGGCAAGAAGTAATCCGCGAGATCTTGCGACGCAGGAGAATAGCTATTCCCATGACGACCAGTCTCAATATCATACGCAGCGAAATGCTTACACGTAGCAATGACCTGTTTATCCTCTAGATCATCACCCTGTAAACCAGGTACAAAACTCCGCACATAATTCTGCACAAGCAGGACATCCTCCCCAGGCGTCTCCTGCCCTCTCCCCCACCGCGGTTCACGAAACGGATTTACATTCGGGGTCCAGAAATCCAGCCCGGCAAACCCATGATTTGCAAATGCGCGGGCTTCTCTTCCAATTATGCGAGCGACATCTCGTATGAGAGTGTTGTCGAATGAGGCGGCTGTGAGGATTGGAGAAGGGAAACTGGTTGCGTGGTTGAAAGTGGTGTCGTTGGCAGGGAAATGTACGCCGGGGCTGGAACCGATGCCGTGCAGGGCTTCGTTCCACCATTCGTATGGTGGGAGACCGAGATGAGGGGAGCCGGCTGCGGTAGACACGAGATTTGCTATTTTCTCTTCGGTTGTGAAGGAGTTGATGAGAGAAGCCACTCGTTCGGTGGTGCTGAGGGAGCTGTTGCATACGGGTTGGGTAGAGAGTGGACTTGTTTGGCAAATTGGAACGAATTTAGTACTTGGGGAGTAGTTTAGCTGTGTTGATCCGGCATCAGGAGGGGAGGAGTTTGGGACAGTGGCAGGAGCAGATATCCATGTCCATAGGATCTTCTGAGCAGTGGAGAACCACATCATAATCTCACACGGTTCAAACAATCAGCAAACTCCCATAAATACCATCAGAAGTCTGCGTTTATCAAAACACATTCTGAGGTTTCCAGATAACAAGAACAGCCAGTCGTAGATTGATATAGAAATACAATACCCCACTACCCCGCATATCCCACTTTTGATTCTCAACTCACCTTCATTGGAGCGCCTACCAATATCTCTCATCTACAATCCCTGTGTATATGTGAAGTAGCATCAACTCAATCCAACGCATCGCGCCGATCCGTTGTACCTGAATGTTTGTGCGAGATGAACCCCCACGAGCTGGTTATTTTCCTCTTCCCCATTAATTTACCCCGCATTTTGCAGTAAGAAGATTTCCCTGATCACTATCGACTTACTGAGTTGAGTAACAAACTTCTTATCCTGAACCATGGATGATACTTATTAACTTGCAGTGAAAAGAATATTACTAGATAATTGATAACGAACCAGGGTCGAAAAGGCAGCTGAGTTTGAGGGTTGGTCAAGTTGTGATACTCTGTAAAGGTTAAGCGAGGCATTGTTGTTTCTTTGGATGCATAAGTATCTCACAAGCAAGACGATGAGACAGTCAGAATCATCAAGAAGTGAATCTATTTTATTCACGCTATCTGTATCCTAGGGTTCAATCCACTAGCTAAGAGAATAAGGAAGATCAGGCAGGCTGCTATCAGAGAATCCATCCATTCATCGTTCACAATGCCATTAATGCTAAATTCAACGAAAGCAAAATCGCCTAATTTCTTCTCTCCACTCAATGGTGAAAAAGTCTTTCGCGTCAATCATGGTATTATTGAGAGGCAGGCACTTTGGGAATGCTCGCCTAATAGGAGAAAACATCCAAATTATCCCAACAACTCCCCAGCCTTTTTCTCCAAACCTTGAATCCCACCAACCCCACATCCATCCAACCAAGCGTTAGCCTTCTCAACAACCATCTCCCAAGTTCCTTCTTCCTCCGCACACTTCTCCTGCAGGAACTTAACAACAAGGACCGTCAACCAGACGTTGGCATCAACTCCATCCGGTGCCTTAGTCTCCTTGACTCCTATGATCTGGAAAGCATGCTTGTCGCTATCCACCGCCCAAAACCCCTCGAAATCCTGCATCTCGATCAAAGCGAGGACTTTGTCAGCAATGGAAATCGGTACGGTGAATTGTGGTGTAGGCGCGGACCATGCTGACGGTACGGCAGCTCCTCTACCATAAAAGGGACTTCCTGGCGAGGCAGGGAAGTTCGATGGACTGGGGGATCCAAACCCGGTTGGCATAGGAGCTGGAGCCGCTGGAAGCGCAGCACTACCCCAGCCACTTCCTACAGGCATCGGTTGGACTTGGGGAGGTGGAGGGGCCGCAGATCTGAACATTTTCTTGGCGCTTTGCGTTATGGATCTTGGTTCGGAAGCCGGCATCGAAGCCAATGCTTGAGCTTGCGGAGCAGCGGATCGCGACACGGCGGAGAAGCTACCGTCGATGGAAGCGCTGCTTCGCGAACCACCCCACCTCGAATAGCTTTTTGGGGCTGGCATGCTTGAGCCTGGCGGAGACCCTGGCATCGATTTTCGAGCACCCATCGACGGAATTTGCATACGAGAGCGTGTTGTCACCGTTGGGCTCATTCTATGCATCACGCTTCTATTCAGGGTATTCTGGACGTGAGATGAGGCCTCTATGGTGTATACAGGAAGATCATAGTCCTCTTGATCTTGTAAACTGTTAGCTTATGAACAAGGCATGAGGATATTGCGACGCTCAAGCGAAAGAGAAAATGAGCTTCGAGTGGGAAATAGTAACTTACCAATCATATCAAAATCATCGACCATCTCCTCGTCCTTGGTAATTCCCTTGGCTTTGTCCGCAATCTCCTTATCATTCGCAGCAACTGCCACAAATGAGCACCACTTTCCAGCAATCTGGAACTTCTCTCCAAGTCGAACCGCTTCTCTCTCGACCAGGTCATCGAATGAACTGGGATAGACATCCTTGACAAGAATACCGTCTTGATTCTTTGCATCATAGATCCAGCCACGACCTTCCTCGAGATCTTGCACAGCCTTCTTGGCAGCCAGTTGGTGGACTGTCTCACCAGGAGTGGCTAGAACCTCGATTGGGATCTCCAGTGCAAGAGGTCCCTGTTCGCATGTGCCTCGCAAGACTACGGCTGTAGGATTGCGTTGTATGGTCTCGGGAGACATCAAGAGGTAAACTGTAGTTCGAGAGAATGCGTAGAGTGATGGGATCTTATGGGGCGCTTGCAAAAGCTTGGGTGTGGGAAGTTCTGGGAGGTTTTGCTTGAAATCCTTCGCATCCTTGATACTCTCCTTCTCCGGATCAACGGAAGCATCGAAGAGTGAGATAGTTGCTTGAGGCTTTGGTGTCGGAGACTTGGCCTTCTCGCTATCCGAGAGCAGAACTTTCAATCCCTCAGTGACTTTCTCGATTGTCTCGAAATCATCATCCTCGTTTCCATACTTGACCTCGAGTGTGTAGTCGGTAATGTGGGGAGTGAGAGCGCCACGCAACATCCGAACAACTGAGGTGTCGAGTCGCTCTCCATCCTGGACAGCTTGGGCGAAGCCATTACCTGCGCGAGCAAGACCCTCAATCAGAGCGTGCGAGACACCACTTCCGATTCCGAGAGGGAAAATGCGAATATTTCCCTTGCTTTCCTCAACTTGCTTGTTAACATAATCGAACAAGTAGTTTTGGCTTTGGATGTCACCGTCGGTGAGAAGGATAATTTCGAGGGGTAGGTCAGACCAACGACGAGTAATTGTAGCCTCGATCGCACCGTAAGTCTCAGTTCCTCCCATATCAGCGTTGAAAGTTTGGACATGATATGTAGCATATTGAAGGTTGTCCTTGGTGTAGGTTTGACTCTTTTCCCAGAGGAAAGAGTGACGGCTACCGAACGAACAGATGTTGAATTTGACTCCGGACGGCATTGACTTGAGAAATACATTCATCGCCGAGCGAAGCATGGGGATGTTATGTGCCATACTACCACTACGGTCGGCGACGAAGACGATTTCGGGTCGTACTGGTGGGAGAGAGAATTTGGGGACCAGGGTTGCCATTAAAGCTCGGTGATTCGGGATAGTGGGGTGAGTCTCCAGAATGGCCTTGGGAATACCGACATCCTTGGACTGGACAATCAAGACAAAGTCCTTCTCAAGAGCGCCACTGCCAAGAGACAGGGTGGCGGATGCCTTATTCATAGTTGGATCCGCAGAGGTGGCTGTTGAGACAGTTCCCATCGACACTGCAATGGGATGCGACGGCGACTGAACCCCCTTGATGAACGAACCTTCCGGCATATTGACATCGACGACAATCTTGATGCCATCGTGACTCTGAGCGGTGATGCCAGAAGGTCTGCCATAGTCTGGACCAGGTCCATATCGAGGGGCGATCTTTGTTGGAATCGTGAAGCGAATACCCTCGGTCTCGTGATGCTTCAGCTCTCCAATGTATGTGATCTCGACGACGACACTCTCGCCAGCAGGGATATTTCCAAGCTTTGTACTGAACATATCTGCAGCCTCAGGTGCTTGCTGAAGAAGACCAGCAGTCTCGCCCTTGGCGACTGCCTTGTCGAAGATCTCTTGAGCCTTGGCTTTCTCCTTCACGAGACCCCGTAGGACCTTGTTGCCAACTCGGCATGTGAAGCTGACGACGGAAACACCATCGTAGAGAGGGAATGCATATGTACACTTCTTGATCACATCGGTGGTGGATGGATTCTTGAAGGTTTGCTTGAGTACTGTACGGGACGTTGTGGAGAGGATCGTGCTGTGGACTTCGCTCTCGTGGAGGGGTAGGTATTGTCTTGGAATGTATTGGTAGTACTCGCTCTGTTTTTGTGGGGCTGGAAGATACCAGCAACCGCAAAAAGCGCTCATGATGATGGTGGTAGTTGAGTTTAGTTACTGTTTGGATTGTTGTGGAGTTTGTTGATTGATGTTGATGCAAAAAAAGGAGGATAAGGTGGATGGGGTGGGGTTATATAGATTAAGCGAGAGGCGGCTGCGCCTGGTGCCTGGCAAATGTGTCACTTGCAAATCTGCCTTGCGACAAAGCCTACCGGTAGCCAATAGTTTCTCTGCCACGGTGACGAAAATGGAAAAATCAATTTTTAACTTCTTATTGTTCGGTAAATGCACTCCAGACTGTGATTCATCAAAGTGAAACGGGTAAAGACACGTGACGCCGATTCCTACAAAGAACCTTTGAGGCAACAATTATTCGTCTTCTCACGACACGTCATTGTAAGGCGACCGTAAATAAAGTAGGACTGAAGGTCATTATTCCCCGTTCCCGCTACAACGTGGTAGCTGTTTTCTGGGATGGCTAGCGTGAGACATACTAACTCGTTGAAGCTTGGCTTCCGATTGAGCTGAACAACCTGCTAAATTCATGGCAGACTTGAAGACAAAGAAGGCTTCCGATTTCGAGTATGTGAAGGGAATACGCCGTTGTTTTACTAAGAGAAGAACATAATCTTGAAAATCCGAAATTATGAGATTTTGGAATACTTCTCACAATTGTTTGAGTTTCTATGAATCAATGGTGAGTGCGCTGCCGCGCCTTTCTTGGTTTCGCTCAGTGAGTCAGATATATTCGACGATGAATGATGCAACAGAAATTTGGTTCATTGGTTGAAATATGCGACCAAAGACATACCTCTGACATGCAAATGAGCAATCCTAGGAATTTCGAAAGAGAGAAAAAAGTGCGTCAGAAGGTAAATGCAAGTTGGCACCTTCGCCTTTAGATTATATTGACAAACAGGCAAAAGAAACAGGAAGCGAAAAAGTGAAATATTCAGTTAGGTTTAGTTGTTTTAAATCAAAAGAAACAACCATATTATTCAGTATTTCTGGATGAAATATCAATAGTCGAGGACATGAAATTATGCAGTCCGCCTTGCCTTGATTCCTCAGGCTTTAATTGTGATCCGACTTCTTTGTCACCAAAGGAATACATAACAAGCGATATCAAGAAAGAAATTCAAGGAAGTGTAGAGACATTGGCAACAGACAAGCGCTAATGTAGAAAATGAATCGATCCTTGATCAACCTCGGCTTCTCTGTAAGGATTCATGTGAAGCAGAACCGGCTGACAGACACTGACGGAGCCACGGCTCAGATATCAGGGGGAACTCCGCGTATTGTACTTCTACCTCTATCACAAAGAACAAGTAGCGGGATAACACCTGTTCGAATACAAGTCTCTTTGCGGGGGGAAGTCTTCCGGCGGGGTATCTAATCCCAGTCGACCGCCGGCCCGACAAAGCCTCCATGCACGCAGGTACGCAACCTAGATTTACCCCTGGATAAAATGAAGCTTCTGGACCTATGCTGTAAATTAAACTAATCCGATCATCAAAGCACATGATATACCCCTTATCATGGGGTTTGTGGCGAGGTTGAGAGTAACAACCCATTCGGTAGATGCGGTCCGAGTTGAGTACTTGATGCGATCCTCCCCACAGCGGATGAAAGCATGAAAGAGCCTCCGGAATGTGATTCTTTCTTATATAAACCGTACTTGGCGCCTAGATCTTCCACCGTTTCATTCTCGTCCATCTCATCAATTTCTCTTGTCAAGTCTTGAGTCTTCATTATGTTGTCCAAAACATTACTAGCAGCTTCACTGCTCGCCGCCAAAGCTGCGGCGACTATCTTCTACGCTGGAGTCGCAGAAAGTGGTGGAGAGTTTGGTGTTTACAGTAAGATTGTTCTACTTCTTCTTAGAGCAACTATGCTGACAATTTAAGGTGCTACTGCAACACCCGGGTTTGGACTTCCAGGTCGTTTCGGAGTCGACTATCAATTCATCAACAAAGCCGCAATCGACGTCTATGTCGACCAAAACAAAGTCAATCTATTCCGTATAGCTTTTCTGCTGGAGCGAATGTGCCCTCTCTCATATGGACTTGGAGCTAAGTTCAATGAGACTGTCCGTTCCCTGATCCTCACCCAACTTCAGGAAACTAACTGTTGCCAGCATTTCCAAGAATTTGCAGATGCTGTCAACTACGTCACTGTCACCAAGGGAGCATACTGTATCCTCGACCCTCACAATTATATGCGATACAATAATCCCTCTCAACAACCGATGACGGGAAGTATTATTGGAGACACATCAGATGTTACTGCAGCGACGACGGCTCAGTTTGCTGCGTTCTGGGGTGAACTTGCTTCTAGGTTCAAGAGCAATGAGAAGGTCATCTTTGGGCTGATGAATGAGGTACGTATCCTCACAGTGTTCATTGAATCCTGACTGACCGTTCCCAGCCCCATGACATGGACAATAACTTGGTGCTCGCTAACGACCAAGCTGCAATTAATGCTATTAGAGCAGTCGGCGCGAATCAGCTGTAAGCATATCACTCTACTCAACTCTAGACACTTGTTAATAGAACTCAGTATTCTCGCTCCTGGAGGTGGTTGGACTGGAGGACACTCCTGGGTAGAATCATACACCGGCAACTCCCCCTCTTCAAGCGAAGTGATGTTCAAGATAACCGACCCCGTAAACAACACTGGTAATTCGCCATTTCCTACCCACCACGAATCTCAAATTCCACTAATTACTCACAGCATTCGACATCCACGAGTACCTCGACGTCGATTTCTCAGGCGGCCACGCCGTTTGCGCCCAACCCGCAGCAAGCAACCTCGCCGGCGTCACCGCGTGGCTCAAACAATACGGCTTCAAAGCCATGATCACGGAATTCGGCGCCGCGAACGGCACACAATGCGCGACCTACCTCACCGACATGGTCAACTACATGGCCGACAACGACGTTTACATTGGCTGGACCGCCTGGGCAGCTGGCCCATTCTGGGGAACCTACTCGCCCTGCTGCTCCGATTCTCAACAGTGGGGAAGTCTTGAACCGGGTAGCTTGGCTGGGGATGGAAGTCCGGGACTCTATACTACGGTTTGGCAGAAGTTGATTCAGCCGCTGTTGCCGACTACGTTGCAGAAGACGGGCATTTCGAATGTTAAGGGGCCAGGTGGGGTCGTGGGTCCGATTTCGAGCTCGACGGTTAAGACGAGTTCGACGATTAAGACTTCGACGGTTGTTTCCACCTCGAGCGTGAAATCTAGTAGTGTGAAGAGTACTAAGGTATCGACTACGAGTACCAAGTCTGCGACTTCTACGAGCACCAAGGCGAGCAGTACTGCGTCTGCTGTACCGCTTTGGGGACAGTGTGGTGGAGGTGGCGCATCAACTCCATGGTCGGCGCCTTGTGCCACCGGAACTTGCAAATTTGTCAACGAGTGGTACTCACAATGTCTTCTCTGAACCACTTCAGACACTTTTTTTACATGTAAATACTGTCCAAGGTTCTAAACTGTACATAGTCTTTCGATATCAAAATGTATCAGAGCAATTCTAACACACCCGCCACATTCTCCCACTCTATATCCGGCGCTTTAGAACCTTCCCTGTGACGCGCATGATACCTTTTATCCATTCCCAACGTGTACCCTCCACCCACGACAGTAAACTCCTTTACCTGTCCCACCTCCACGGGTCTCAGCGTAACAGGAATCGTGCAGCCTCTCAAAGCATACAACTTATCCCCAACCCGCGCATCAGGATGTACCAGCCCTAAAATCTGGCTCCCATCCAACGCAGCCAGCTTCATCCCACTTCCCAGCACCTTCTCAAGTGTAGCTATAAACTCCTCCAGCAAAACCTCATCCGGATACGCATAATTATTGTAATTCGCCGCATCGTACTCCGATTTCAACATCGACCATTCTCGTAATGTGAAGTCCTTGAGTTTAAACTCTGCATTCGAATCGATCCAGTTTATCAACGCGATGCTGTGGATTGCTCCTCGACCCAAAGGCGTCCAGAGTGAGGCGAAGCAGTCGTGCGCATTCGTACGAGATACTGTCGGGGAGGAGACACATCGTTAGCGTTCTGTATATGGCGTCTCGCACGTCACGGTCTATGTCTGATGCACCCCATAGTTTTGGATTCGTCCGAATTAGGTTCGCAGTGGCATGGATCCAAGGCCGTCGCCGCTGTGTTGGGAGACAAACGACTCCATCTGTGCTTATGCCTGTGCTGAGACCTATGATTTTGCCGAGGAATTTGCCTTTCACTTTGAGAGTCGTGGTATTGGAACCGTCGAGCACAGACACAAAGCTGTTTACTGACCTCCATTCGAAGAAGTTCTTTTCTTGGATTGTGAGAGATCCGGACCAGAGGTCGACAAGATTGGGTACCCAGGTTGGCAACTTCATATTTTCCGAGTTTCGTACCCCAATCCCTTTCAAACAAATCAAATCCAGGGATTTGGTGTACCGCATCATCGACAGTACCATGTCTATCACAATAGCCTCAAGCGATTGCTTGTAATTCGGTACAGGGACGAACCTCGCGCCATCATGACACAGCCCTAATAATGCAAAGATCCTATCTCGGGGCTCAGTTGACAGTGTCTGGTGACTCCAACTGATTGCATCGAGTAGACTGATTGGTTGAGGCTTGACGTTATCGTGGTTGTGAAATTCCAATAAATGAAGCGCGTTCGTAAATCCTCGCGACTGCCTTGGACCAGTGCTGATCTCCATGAGTTTCCAGGCCGACAGTGCCCTTGCCACGATCTCCCATGGGATCTCTGCTTTTCCCCACACAATAGTAGCTCGTGGCGCTACTGTCACTTCCTGGATAATCCATACTCTCTTCCAGTACGGTTGATTGAAGAACGCATCCATGATATATAGTTGGTTTTCCTTCCAATCCTCCTTTGTGGCATAACTGAATGAGGAAAAGTCGTCGAGTAGCATCTGGGCGTCTCGAAAAGAAGAAGACCCATCGTCCATTCGGTTGATGAGACTTTGCTTCTTGATGAGGTACTCCACAGCCTCCGATGTATACCCGTAGAGAGATCCGCTTCCAACCCATGAGATGACTTCTGAGGATTTAGCGTATATCTGACGCATATTCCGAACCTGATTGCTTCTTTCCTCGTTATCCGCTTGATTAATGCACAGGGCATCTACCCATAGACGAATCGGCGCATTCGAACATCGCAGCCTCCTCATAGCAAACAATGCCAGTGCCAAATTACTTGTGATATCAGAGTAATATCCTCCCATCTGGAGTCCCTTTGTGACAGCAGCATCACCCCAGCAATACGATAGCGCAAGATACGGCTTCGGATTAATCAACGAGTCATGCTCCAGACGACAATCAATCGTATCAATGCTACTCTCCGATATCTCGCGAGGTTTCAATACCAAGACTCGGAAATCATAATTATCGAAATCCAACTTTCTGTACGGATACGGCACAGACGATTTGGAGTTCCTCGGTGTAGCGACATTCCTCATTCCATGACCAGGCCAATTCTCCTGGGCAATGGCATCATTGAGTGTGCTCCTGCCATCGACAACGAATCTGTAGTATATCTTTTGCGTGAGGCTCTCGACGCGGACTTCGCCTCGGAAGACGGCCGGTCCACCTTTCTTGGAGCCGAACTCGAGTTTGAGGGGTTTCTCTTTGTTGAAATTTCCGAGAACTGAGACGTCTCTTGCCGGTCCTGCCCAGACGAAGTTGACTTTGGGCATTGCTCCCGGAATACGCCTGAAGAATGGTGTGATGAATCATGTGATGAAATTGCTGCCTGATTGCTCCGTATGATTTGCTCGGATGTCTTGGTAGTAGATATGGAGGATGAGTTGGATGTTTACCCGTGGTACTTAAGCGAGGAAGAGGCCTAGCCACCCGTTTTCAGGTAAACAAACAAAGCAAAGAGGGCGATCTATGGGACGTGAGTGTATTTTGAGTTCGTATAGAGGGGTAATACAAATGTTTGGAGGGGTAATCATTGTGGTCCGTGCTACTCTGCATGCATATGCAGTCCCACGTGAGTTCGCTAAGCTGAAAAGGCGGGATAGGCACATGACAGTAGAAAGTAAACATATTATCGTTAGCTTCAGCTTTGAAACACAATTGATGAATGAGATGTTATTCCATTTGATCCACGAAGACAGGTCTGAACCAAGACTTAGGTAGAGTTCCTGGACGGTTCATGACTTTCAAGTGGTTGAAGTGCATGTTCGTCCCTCTTCGAGAAGTACATATCCATATCCGCAAACAAAAAGGGGGAAAATATGACGGGGCTGGAGTATAAGGTTGACATCATTCAGTCCAGTACCCAAGTCCCAAATCAACTCTCCCATCAATCCACCTCCGAATTTTACTCCAATCTGTACAAGTATGCGCCACAGCATTCCCCAAATAAAATACCTTGCCGTCAGCGTTTATTTGCCTCTTCATTGCCGCAGGGCTAAGATCCGGGTGACATTGGAGACTTTGCCGGATATGGTTCATGCAGTGATATATATGGACTCGCTGCGATTCTCCAGACCATAGAGTATGATCATGTTGAGCCGCCAAATGCCCTTCAGCCCGGGCCTCGTGTTTAGTCTGGTAATATTCGCGGTCGAGTTCCTTCCGTACAGCATTGAGACAATGTAAAGAATGGAAAACATCGACTGCAATATGAATTGACCTGTCTGGGGAACTCTTTCCTCCTCATCAAAGTCAAGATGAGGATTCTGCAATGCCTCTTTGTCGGAAATGCCTAGGAATTCCCCGTGCAGGAGCTCTTCCCATGCTAAGTCGATATCAGGACTTGGACGGCCAAAGTATTGTGGTTGTTGTGAATCGAGATCGCGCCAGAATTCGTGAGAAGTGGAATTGAAGCGGAGTTGGTCGTCAAATATTGTTGGTCGAGGAGGTTTGAGATTGGGCCGAAGACTTCCTTGATGGCGTTAGAATCTACGAATACGAGCGAAGATGAAAAATGATGTAGACCTCACCATATTTGTGGGAACTCTCAGTCCCGAAATGGCCTGGTACTGGGTAGTGATGGAGTACCATCATCGAAAGTAGAGTCATCCAAAAGATGTTCGACACCAAAAGTAGCTTCGTGGCTGTCGGAAACCTCGTTCGAGGCGTGTGCAAAGGATGGTACAGTTCCTCATTTTCGTTGTGCTCAATTAAATGAACCTCCAGATGAGACCCATAATCCACTGATGGTCTTAATCTCATTTTGAAATTGATGAAGTTGAAAGTAATTATCCGGCCACCACGAGCAGCGTGGTCGATAGTTTTCTCGTTCTTGGCAAAACGGGAACGAACGGCCGTTCGTTTATGCTAACCCTAAACGGACTGGCGTTCGTTTAAGCGATCTAGAACGGCCGTTGGTTGGTCAGATCTCCAACGGAACGGGGTCGTTTAACCCCGTTTTAGTATAGTTCCTACTAAGCCTTTTTCAGGCTTGAAACCTTAGCGAGATCACTTAGTAGGTACCTAAGGTAGGTTAGTCAGTGGAATGCAACTTACCCTCTATAGTATGTAAAGCAGCTGAACGTATTATTCTATATGTTTTAGTACGTAATTTATATAAGAATAACATTATAATAATAATTTAACACTTATACTACATTTAGGTATATTTTTAAAAATAGATTATAAAAGGCTAGTTTCTTCGTTCGTTCTTGGCAACGACCTCGTTCCGTTCGTTTATAGCCTTATAAAACGAACCGCAGTTCGTTTTATAGTACTAAAACGTCAGTTCGTTGAGAGACCTGAAAACGACGTCGTTCAACGGCCGTTCAACTATCGACTACACTGACCACGAGCTGCTGGGAGTGTTCCACCTTGGACTTTGAACTGCTTGAAAGCCAAGAACAAAACTCTCCCTCGGCACATTCTTCACAAATAATTAGTGACTTGAATCTTACAACAGCTTAGCATCTTCGACATTTGCAATCGGGAATAAGACTTCTTCACAAAGTGAGGGGTACCAAATCCTTGGAATCTCAAGTCATCACTATCCTGCCCTCGTTAACTCTAAACATCTACGCCGCAAACCATGAAGATAGAACTTTCTTGGCACCATAGGGCTCAGTGTTGATCTCAAACGAGGTTCGTAGAGCGAGCTTTATGTTAGTAGTCCACCCGTTAGCCCGCGGGGAAGCCGCTCGACATGTTCCCGCACCAGTCCCATCTCCCAAGCGTCAGTAAACCGATTGGATATCGCCATAAACTCCCAGACCTGTGGTTACCTCTCCTTTGTACTATGAACGTGAGCTAGTATAGTTGCCGTGTGGCTGTGGCACAATAAATAGTGACGTTTGACAATTGGGTTTGAAGTTCAGATCTTCATATCCATTTCCTTCGTCCAGAAAAGATTTGCGATATATGCCCAAGAGCTATCTTCCGTCTGTCTGGGCATACGGAAAAGTTGTTTAAACTTTGAAACGAGTATCTACGAGGCGACCAAACAATGAATTGCTGACAAACTTAAAGGGATGCGATCTACGAGGAGACCGATCCGAGGAAAGAGTTCATCCATTTCTTTTCGGCCAAGTTGACTTCCTTCTCTTCATTGGTTCTCGGCTCGGGACGTTCAATATTGATGTCAAAGATAGTTTCCTGGCTCGCCTGGGCTTTGTCTAATCTACCACCAGCTCACAGAATCGTCTCGTCTCCCAATTTTCGGGCATCAACACCTCTCTAGTCGGGCTTCAGCAACATGAAGAGCGTCCAGATCAGACAATCAGCAAACTGAATCTTCTCTCTGTGTGCTCTAGTCGACGATCCTCAGCAATAGTACTCCATTGTCGCTACCGAGCGTGGGACATGGATGTTCCATGGCCTCGGTCCGTATGAACACTGGGCGATACGCTTCCTCAGCTCGCTCAGATACTTTACATATGACGTGCGGGGAAGATATTCTCTCGCTTCAAATGCAGTCATCATCTTGAAATTGATGGAAATCATACCTCATTGAAGAAGGTGATGAGGTTTGTGGGGTTACCTTGGAGCTGCTACGTCTCATTAGGCTGGAAGGAGACCAAAATGCTACTTGCCCTACAGAATCTTCACTATCATTCCCATTTACTCTCATCTATAAAAGCGCAACTTCCTGCTCCACTGTCACCACCATGAACACCATCTCTTCCCTCCACATCACTCTTCAACTTACCAGTCCACCACACACAATATCTCAACCTGGAAAATGCGTTCATCCCTCCTCCTCCTCAACACCATCTTCACCATCCTCCTCTCTAATACCACCACAGTCCTCGGAAACCCCGTCCCAGAAAATGGTAATCTCCTCGACGCCCGCCAGGTCGGCTTCCCAGGCGGCGGACCTACCACAGGAGCCTACGAAGTCTGCGGCTGTCAAGGCGGACAAACCAGCGCCTGCTTTGAAGAGGATCGAGGAACTGTCGATGCGATAGCTACGGGGTCTTCAAGTGCGACACAGACCTCCAAGACTGCAAAAACAAGCAGTGTGGATGCTGCCGGTATGTCTATCCACTTTTTGGTTGTACTTCTGTGTATTCCTGATAATGCTGACATGCGTTGACTGCCAGCATCTTTTTCAACCTCCAAACCACGATATAGAGTCCACAGCGTCGATGGCTCTTACGGAGGTCTACGGGGTAGATGCCATCTGGCACAACCAATATGTTGGACCAGAAACGGATTTTATCGGTATTAGGAAACAATTCGAATGTGATATCAACGACATGATCTTGTTGGTTGCAAAACATGTAGCAGATGGATTGTACGAGGTTATCAGTATGAATGCTTCGGCTCATTCCTTGACTGTCGTTTGTGGTTGTACGAAGATGAGGCGGGATTTGCCGCCGGATATGTTTGCGGAACCAAGTATGTAGCTAGAATGCACGAATACAAATTGCGAAATGTTCACCGCTTGAAGTTGGGTCATCTCTCATCAGTAGATTAATTGTGTGCAATTTTTGGGAGCGATGACTCTGGCAGTCTAAGTACGCAGGAATTGTCTCGAAAGTTGCTCGTCGAGTGTGTTTACTTTAAGCGAGATACCCCTTTCTAGCAACACCCTTCTACAGCACTCCGGGAGACCCTTGAATATCTACGCTTGGCTGTGGAATCTCCATTCCCAGCGTCGCAGCGCGTCTCGCTGGTACTCGTACCACATCTTGAAATGGAAATAAAATCAGCCGGGAAGTTCGGAAACGAAGATCAAGAAACATAGCTAATAATCCAGGCATGAACTAGATGCTTGCAAGAATAAAATCGAACGATCGAATGAAACAGTTTGTGTAAGAATGACAAAGCTACATTCTTCTGACAAAGCTTGCCTCTCGTCCTCGCCGTCGTCGGAGTCTTCGGTGTCCTACCATATCCTCTCTCAGAATTCTGGCACAAAATGCAAAAACAAGGCAAGCGTCCGCCATTCCTTGCTTCGGGAAGCTTCATATCGGATTAATTCGCATCCGGCGAGAGTCCGGTACTTGAAGTGCAAGTTGACATAAGATCCACACCGGGAAGTCCCTGCCAGCTACTTGTTACAAAATCTTGGCCCCGCTCCCACCTCCCAACATGGGTGGATACCATGGTTGGTTGGTTACTGGCCGGGGTCACATTATTTCCTTGTGGAGTTAACAGCAAACGTGGTCAGATCGGAGATTCAGTATTGCGCTCGGATGAAAATGATGGTGATCAAACGAGACAGCGGTCTATAGAAAGTTCAATAATATTCTTTGAAGCATTGCCAGGCTCGATTTCGTGGGAAGAAAAGGCAACGCGTAAATATGACGTTGGCCAAACTTCGAGAGGCAAAATATGCGTAAAAAGCCAACTCTTGATAGGAAAATGCCACGCGTGTGCAAAGCCCCTGCCAAGTAGGAATGCGATCTACCCCCGTAAGGAATTAAACTCGCAGATCTCAACACCGGATTTGCTACCCATGCATGGGAGAGCTCAGTCTGATAGAAACAGTGGAGAGAGTTACAACGGCCAGGTTATCGACTGGGGGTTTCCCTCCTTTCTGGTCCTTTTGACGCCCGTTACCGGCCGTTTTGTTCTGCATTTGTTGGTCTCAAAGATATCGCCATGCCTGGAAGAATAATGGCGGTACGTTTTGATCTAGGCTTGTGGAATAAGATCATGCATCGCTATTATATAGAGAAAATAACGTGTGTTGAATTAAACCGAGCAGCTGGTCGGGTCCATTAAAAAGCATAATTTGCATTTTGATCAACGCAGTCCGATCGCCTGGGCCATTTCTAAGCAGAGAGAAAATCATGAACGCAACAAAGCAGAAAAGCTTATCCAGAGTCTTCCCAGCGTTCAGCCAATTTCTAATCACCCTTCCCTGCTCACAGCGGACAGATCCCCGCTTCAAGGTTCTCGCAATGCAAACAAACAAGACACAACACAACGTGTGTATTATTCGAATCTTAAATAACGCAGATACAGTAAAGATGAAGGTCTAGATGGAATAAACGTGCATGATAATGATACATGCATGCATCCAGCAAGGTACAGTAGCTTGAGTTGAGAAGCGGAGCTGAAAGAGGACGAGATCGGATCAGATTAGATAACAGGATCTCGATCTAATGTAGAGTAAGCTCCGTTCCGGAGGCTCAAGACTGTTCTGGAATACTTTGCGGGCCGTTGGCAGGCCGTTGATGAAAATGATAACGGTCTGACAGGGTCCATAAGCCACCCGGTCATCTCCCCGAAGCCGTTGTTTCATTTCGCTCAACTGCCGTCGGTTCGTCTGATAATATTCCGTCCCTTCATCTAACGAATTTTGCTTCACTCTGTTCAATTCTCGTTTCGATACTCAAAGAGATTCAAAATGAGATCACCACCAAGGCCACTGTCCCAACCCAAACCCACCTATCGTAAACGTGGCGACAAGCGAGTGTGAAAGAGATGCATCGATTCCTTGGCCCTACATCCGATAAAGTACTCCTCAAACTCAAAATAGCGGATCCTGACCAAGCAAGGACCAATCCCAATTCCAGCGGTTCGCCAAGAGCCGCAGAAACCAAACAATGGTAACAACAACATCAATCGGTTTCCCCTGCTCGGTCCGCATTCAGGATTCCATCCAGGATATACTTTCTCTTGGTAATCGGACCAGCCTGGAGTACACTACCTTACTGTCAGTCAGTCAGGTTTGTAAGCAACCTGGAAAAGCTCGGCAAGGCTGGCCGGTACATGTATGCATGCAGGCAGAGAGGACAGGCATGGATGATATCGCCGAAGCAGGTGACATATGATGCTGCCAAGGTAGTCCAATAGCACCTTCCCAGTCCAGAGGGTCCGAAGAGGAAATTAGCTGGATATGGATGGATTCCTGTCGCTTTCTCTACACGGTAAGTCTGTCTGTATAAAAGAATCTGGTTGTCCGCCTTCAACCAACTTTTCTTTCCGCACGTCAAGTCCCTTGGTCTACCACGCTCTTTCGATTCAAAATGCATTCCTTCTTGACTGTCCTGCCCCTCGTGGCGACTGCTCTTGCAGCTCGTCCATACATCAATGAAGCTGATACTGGGTACGGGCTCTCACATGCTCTTTTCGAAGGTGTCAAAAGATATGCTAACCAGTCCCCAGAATCGATGACATCCTCGGCTCAACTGCCACTGGTCAACTCCCTCCACTGGCCAGCATGATCGGTCTCCCAGATTTCGAATGGGCCGCCCGCAAGTACATGAACACCACCGCCTACACGTACTACCGTAACGGTGCCGCAGGAGAATGGTCGTACCGCAACAACCTCGAGATCTTCGCCCGGTATAGATTCCGTCCTCGTGTGTTGAACACGGATGTCACAAAAATCGAGTCAACTCTCCCGACAACTCTGCTGGGCCATAAATTCGCAATGCCGATTTTCATTAGTCCGGCTGCGAGAGGTGGATATGCGAATGCTGCTGGTGAGGAGGGTCTCGTGAAGGCTGCTGGAGAGGCGGGAATCCTATATATGGTGAGCATTAAAAGAAGTATAAGAAGAAAATAAGAGCTGAGCTAATAATTGAATAGCCATCTGGATACTCAACCTTGACAATGGAGCAAATCGCCAACATGAAGGTCAAGAACGGAACTTACGGTCCCCAAGTTACTTTCCAACAGGTAAGCTTCCTGAACGCTTCTTGAAAGTCTTGAGGCTGTACTCATACTCCCTAGATCTACCTCAGCGAGAACCTCACCGCCAGCGCCATCGCCTTCAAGCGCGCTGAAACCACTGGCTCCAAGGCAATCGTCATGACCGTCGACTCTGCCGGCGACGGCGACCGCCACCGCGCCGCACGCTACGGTGTTGGCTCTGCTGACTCTTCATACACCTACCAAACCTGGGACTACGTCAAGCAGCTCCAAAACCTGACTACTCTTCCCATCATCCTCAAGGGCATCATGACCGTCGAGGACGCCCAGCTCGCATACGAGAACGGCGCCAAGGCTATCATCCTGTCCAACCACGGTGCTAGACAATTGGACGGAGCACCTTCGTCCCTCGAGGTAGCGCTGGAGATCCATGCCAGGAACCCGAGGCTGTTCAAGAAGATGGAGATTTATGCGGATGGTGGCGTGAGGTATGGGTCTGATGTGTTGAAGCTTTTGGCGTTGGGTGTCAGGGCTGTTGGACTCGGTCGCCCGTTCATGTATGCGAACTGCTATGGAACTGAGGGTGTGGCCAAGGCGATCAAGATCTTGAAGAGAGAGATCTCGATTGATGCTGCGAACTTGGGCGTTGGAGACTTGAAGAAGATTGACCCTTCATACGTGAAGTGGGAGAACAACAACTGGTGGTCTTGAAAAGTGACGCGGGGATGCTGCAGGAAGTTCAATTCTGTATATATTTAGATTGAAGCATTGTTGTATAAAGCCTAAGAATTAGCCCGTCTCGAAATCATTCAAAAAGACTTCACACCGGTGACGCATTATGCAATGAAGCATCCTTCTCGTCTCTTCCTCCCGACTTCTAAAGCCGGGAATCAGTGCAGTCTGCCTTCCTTACCGCAAAGCAACATCCATTCTTTGAGAATGAAGCACATTCATCGCACAATCAACACCATGAGGACCGCTGGGATGGTAACTTCTCAATAGATCCAGAACCTTGAATCAAGAATAGAGCGTGCTGAAGCTTGCTAATCAAACAGAGGCATAGCCAAGAAGGCCCCTCTCCCTTGAAAGTGTAGCTCGAAGCAGCTGCAGGGCATGGTGGAGACGGAACGGAACGAAAAATTGTCCAGAAATTAGAATTGTATTAGTTGACTACAACTGCATATGGCAGGAGTCGAACGAGATTGAAAAGGAATTGCCTGGGTGATACGGGATCTTAACCACGTCTGCGAGTGGTTGGGCTCTTTCCCTTGGGCGTCGAAGTAGCAGTAGACTTGCCAGATGAAGCCGCAACAGGAACCTTCTCATTTTTTCCGCTCTTTGTAGTCTTCTTTGCTGGCGAATTCCAATAATAGACCATTTGAGCGGCCAATACAGCATTCAATGCAAATCCAGCAATGAATCCGTATAAAATCAACTTGTCATCCACCTCTTGCAAAGTCGTGAAGATTCGGGAGAGGGAGCCGAGGAGGTAGTTGAAGACCTGACACAATAGTTAGGGTTATTTCAAAGAGACAGCGCGAACATTCGCCAGCTTCGAGGATTGAACACTTACCGCAAAGGCGCTCAGCTGTCCAGTTCCACCTTCTTGCCAGACAGCAAGGATCTGCGGGAGCTTTGCAGCGACACCCAAAGCACCGGCACCAGCCTGCAGATATCCCAGGGTCTTCATATCCACGAAATTCTTGCTGAAGAGCGTAAAAGCGCCCGTTGCCAACGCAGCGACGAATAGTCCAGCAGCGCTAGCCTTGCCACTGTAATGTAGAACCAACACAGCAATAACCACATTCTGCACCATTATCAAGCCAGTCTCTCCATATGTGCTGAATGGGAACTCCTGGCGCACATTATAGGCGAGCGAGATGAGGTACGCGGATGTCTCGAGGAGGTAGGAGAGGAAGGATATCCCGGAGGCGGAGCGCGACTTGATCAGCTTGAGGATCTGGGGAACTTTGACGATGGATGAGGCACCGATGATACCGATTCCTAGACCCTTCGAGATCGCAAGCTTGAGACACTCGGTAGACTCGATGTCAATGTCGAGGAGGAGCTTCTTGTAGCAAGATTCGCCAAGGATGGAGACACCGAGGTCGTGGATAGGCGCAGGGAGGTTGTGCGTAATAGGTTGAAGGGCGCTGCGAAGGGAATCCATGGTGAAGATCTGCAGATCAGTTTGGTATCAGACAGGTGTTGTAGGTTGTCGTGGCGGGGAGAAAGAGACAGTGTTGTTGTGGTTGAGAAGTAGAGAACGGAGGAAGACGAGGCTGTCAACATCGGATCGGATGAGAAGGCCAAAGAGCAACGTTCATCCGAAGCCGAAAGGTTTTACCGATCCGAGCCAAACCCTCCTCTACCGTCCCCTTCCATGTTCTCTTCCCCACCCTCTCTGCGCCAGGTCGATTGTCAACAAACTTCCAGATAGTCTTTCATCATGAAGACTATGCCTTTTCTTAGTTGAAGTATTGGTGAGCGACCTTGCTAGCGCATGAAGCGTCAAATCCCGCTGCTGAGAGCCAGTCAGGTTAATGGTTTCTGCGCTGCTCTTCTGCTTTGGCGAATCTGGTACTGATTGATTGGCTTGATTGCTTGAGGACATGTTGAAGAGTTCGTATAATGTTTATTGATCTTTGGTCTCGCGAAAGCATTGACAATTTCATCTTCCGTTACATCATATTCCTAGTGGAAGCACCATCGTTATTTGACTTTGACTAGCTTTCGCTCAGACTGCGCTGTTCACGATTGAACCAGCAGTGCTGTGAAAAGCGGCCGAGGCGGTCTCTTTGCGTTGCCATGCCGAGCAGTGAGATCGAATTGAGCCACATGGGAAGTTGCTTTGATCGGTCGTCAGGTTCACTCGCAGGAATGTGGTGTTTCTGGGGTCCAAACATTACGAACTCTATCACGGTCCTTTCTCTGCCGCGTTCACTGTCGGATACTTTTTGCCACCTTCATCCTTCCATACTTTTTACACTGTTCTTCGAACCCTTATATGACTGACCAAGAGGAGTGAAACTGACTAGTGAAGTAGCTTTATCTGGTCTGTGCCAGTTTTCTCGTTAATCTGATTTGTACACGCCAGCTCCGCGATTGGATGTCAAACTTTAAGCTTTGAAACCAGAACGTCCACTACTTCAACTCTCATAGTCTCACTATTCATGAAAGCTCTTCCCAATGACTCGCTTTTCTGGCTCTAGCAGGGATATTTGATAAGCTTCTCAGCTAGCAGCCACTCCCCTAGTTCAAACAAAACAGTGCACCTCGATTTTCAACGCACGTGAACTCTGACCTTTCCTTTCTCAGCCAGAGCACACTCCAATCAAGACATTCAAGCTTGAAACCCCAAAAACAAGCTCTCAGATTTCGACCGTTGGGGGATTTATCTTTATTCCCCTCCATTACTCATCAGACGTTCAGGGGCCAATGAATGGTTCGGGCTACAGCCATCTTCACTTAATCAGCCGCGTGCACGCTACCAACAGCTGCCACAATTACAACGAACGGGGACGAGGCACATGCAGAAATCTTTGACATCCCATTCGATTCTCGCGCGAGCACTGTCACGTTCATCGTTTTTACACTGTCTCCTTTAGGCTTCCTAGCGTTACGTTTGCTCCAAGCGGCCTTCCCCATGCTAACACAGACCATCCCCAACGACAGTTTCTCGGCTCAACGATCTTGTACTTTTCATTCCTCTCATATTTACGAAAGGTCGTGAGAATGAGACTGTCGAACCCGACACGAATGAAGCTGGGAGAATGACGATATTCAAACCCACAGCAGACGATTCGGGCCATCCGCCATCGAGGAAGATCCATCTCATCGTTGCGCAGGTTATGTGCTTGGGTATCACAGTCATCATTGTTGGGCTACGTATTTACGAGAGAGCAGCTATTCATGCTGTTGGAATTGATGACTACTTGATACTACTCGCGATGGTAATTTCCCAGAGCCTCTTAAATGGCATTTGAATGTTCCCGAGCTGAGAAAGGTTCTGACGGTTACAGTTCTTCGCAATCCTGTTCACGGTTTGCATTTGTGTGTCCCCAACATTTGGATGGACATCCCATCTCGAAGATGTTGAAGATAAAATCCCATCTCTTACAGTTGCGGTAAGCTATTACTGTCATTCCAATATGTCGACATTTCGTCTTTTGGCGAATTGTGGGAGTTCACTTCGGATGAAATGTACTAACTCTTCGTAGTGGATAGCGCAACTATTTTTCACGCCAGCTGTGTCGACAGTCAAATTGTCCATCTTGGTTTTTTACCTCCGGCTTTCGACATCCAAGTCTTTCCGATACTGTGTTTTTGGTGGAATAATTTTCGTATCGCTGTGGTTCATTATCTTCGAGACTGTTATTGCTATGGTATGAATTTATTCGTTCATTTTCAGGACCGGCTAAACCCCCTCCAGAGTTGCGATACACCTGAAGATCCAGTCGGATTTACAAGCGCAAGATTGATCCACTGTGTTACGACTCATCCAACGACAAAATACCATGGAATTACCAATATCATCACTGATTTTTTCGTCTATTTCCTCCCGATCCCCCTCCTATGGGGGCTTAACATGCCATCAAAGCGGAGGCTGGGTCTCATATTCGTCTTTGCTGTTGGCGGGATGCAAGTGAACCACTTCCCATCCCGTTCTGTGTCTAATATCTCCCAGCGTTTGCATATTCGGCACACTCCGCCTGATCTTCTCCCTCACAGTAGATGCCTCCTCAGATTACACATGGGAAGGATTCTACCTCTGGCTCTTCGCAGCTTTGGAACTGGATCTCGGCATCATTTGCGCTTCAGCACCAGCTCTGAAGATGTTCGTCGTTCGCAGCATCCACAATTGCAGCTCGGAAAACGATAATGTTCCGAATCTTGCTCAGCCAACACCACCTCCCTTTTCGCAATTCATCGGAAACACTGTACGAAACCAAGGGTTAACTTCGCTTTGTAGTGCCGATGTTCCCTGCACTGCGGCGGGGGAGATGACTATGCCGAGGAACAGCATGTATGGGTTGCGAAGAGGCTCCGTGGTCCCCAAGCGAAACTCGGATATTATGGAAGACGAAATTCAGGAACTGGGGGAGCAGCAGAGTGGGGGAAGTGGTGGGATTACAAAGACGGTTGAGTTCTCATTTCACGAAGAGTCAACTTCCGAAGGGAGGGGAAGTGTAGGGTCTCGTCAAGGATCAGCCTCACAAGCTGGATCGACTGAACACCCAGGATGAGGTGCAGCAACTGGATTTCTTCAGACTCTCTACTTTGTCTTCCTCCTCACAGCAGGGACTCGACCCTCCCTCGGAACTGCAACTTCAAAACCCAACACGAAACTGGTCCCAATTCCCATGGCTTCGAACCTGACACCATCTCTGCCAACACTGAATCCCAACTCTCCAAAGCCTCCAGGGGGACCGAGCGTCTCCTTCATTTCGTCCAGAGCCTCTTTATCGATTACCAGATTCCAAGCCAAATTCCTCTGTCTTTCATTGGGATTGTCGGTTTGCATCCGTTGGAGACGTATTGTCTGGGTGGTGGTGCGTGAGTCTGAGTCTTGGACGAGCGTGTTGAGGAGAATATGTGGTGCGCCTGTTGGCGACCCAAAAGTAATGTTGTGGATGAATGTGGTGAGTTTGATTGCTCTTGAGAGAATGCGGGTGAGTTCTTTTCCTGGATTTTGCTGTTGCTCTTTGGAGAATGGAATGATAATATCAAGTAGCATCACCGAACCATGATGCAAGATCCAGGACACAAGTACCCTATCGACAAGGACTCGAACAGCACTCAGAAGCCCGTCAGGAAGCTGCCTTCCTCCTGGTCTATCTGTTGTGCAGATGTTGACATTTATGAGAGTGAACACGGCACTCAGAACCCCACCAAATAATGCAACAACAGCAAGCTCGCCCATCCAAAAACCTGACACCCCTATCCAGACCTCGGATACCTTCGGAATAGCCTCCGGAGCAAGCAATTTCCTCAATCGATGGATTTTCAGCAAGAGATACTGTAGCCCAAGCATGCAGATACAAGCAATCACTCTTGAGATCCAAGACACTATCGCCATCTCCAAACCCTGCTGTCGCAAACCTCCGCACTCCAGCGAGACTTCATCATTTCGACCAGCCATAAGCCCTTCTACAAGAGGACAGAAGTTTTCGAACTGAATGCCTGTCTCGGGTTTACAGATTAAATGTCCTCACGGGCCGGAGCGGAAGAAGATGAGTAAACAGCAGTGATCGGATCTAAGCCAGACAAACTCAATTTCTCAATCGCTCCAACGCGGCATTTACCTCCCCCGACCACTTCCGGAGGTAAGGTACATGCTACGAATACGCCTACCGAATACGCCGTGCATGCACACATCGTCGGATCCTTCGTGCAATCCGATAATTGGAACTTGGAGACGACAAGGCCAATTGGAGATGCTGACGGAAGTCGGGGAGATGCGTATCCGAATACCGGAGAAGATGGGGGACGGTGAGGGATATGTGAGAGACAAGGCGTTGGAGGCTTGATTGGCGAGTTGATACCTTAAAGTGTTGTTTTGTGGAGGCTGGAGAGGCGGTGAGGATTACGTGCATGAGAAGGAGTGCGGTCACGTGGGCCTCGAGCTTGATGGGTCTGGGAGCTTTGAGACGTTCCAATGCTGAATTCCCAGATGGATTAATTGCTGATCAAAGCCGTCCACTGAAATTGCGGAGTTCTGTTGACGGCAAGAAGGACTCGGGAATGTATTGGCTGCCACTATGATCAACAGCTCGGTTTCCATCTCTTATTGGCGCCCCCGATATTGATGGTGCTGTCAGAAATCAAGATTTATTACTCGAAGTCGTTTCTACGTCCAACAAAACACACTTTCATACAGAACGAAACAGAACGTTTCCTTGCTCACCAGTCTCCAAACTAACGGCTAACAACAGCTAGCATCTTAATCCCATCATACACTCCTTTACTCGGCAATCAAAAAGAAACCCTCCAACTAGCATTCTTATCAACAACATTCCGAATCTTATAATCACCCTCGGTGATCCTCTTCTCAACACTCCAATGCATCAACGGCTCGACCTCTCTCACAGCCCTAAACCGTCCCATATTCATCCTCACAACCTTCTCCCACTCCTCGGAGTCTTTCTTCTGCACTCTCACCTTCACAGGCCAGAACTCCAATGCCCACCAACCTTTCGCTTGCTCAAGCTGGTCGTTGATAGGCGCCATAGCATCAAAATGATCTTCGACGTGTTCAGGAAGGAGATCGAAGTCAGATAGAGGACGAGGGGAGGGTTTTCTATGCGGCGTTTCCTTCTTGTCCTCCTGCTCGTCATCGACACCAAGTGCAGTTGACCTCCTCCTGAGTGGCGGCAGATCTCCAGCCTCGTACATCTCAACTGTACAAGGCGAGGGTCCCACAACCGGTTTCCGAGTCTGTTTATACACGGGCCAGACTGTCGGGACATCGATACCCGTCTCCGCCAACGCAGCGGTGCTGAACAGTATGCCGGTATTACACTCGAAACATTGTCGTATCATCCAACGGAGTGGAATACGCGATAACATATGTCTCTCACCGTTCGCGACAGCACCGCCGCCAACATCAGCATGACAGCCTGCGAACCAAACTTCCAGGACGTCAGTCGAGACGCGTTGATGAGCCGACTGATCCGCTTTCTCGAAATCCTTCTCTCGCTTCTCCTGCTCTTTGTCCGAACTCATCGATTTCGCATCCTCTTCCCCGTGTCTCACTCCAACAGTCGGCTTCCCCCCAAAACACCCCCCAAACACCCTCCTCACCCACCCCGCCTGCTCCCTCCCCTTCCTCCTCACCATCTCCCTCTTTCCTTCCTCTAAACCTCCTATCCCGCCATTCTGCCCCGCCGCCGGATCACTATGCTGATACTGACAAATCTTAAACTTCGCCCTATGCTCATCCAGCGCCATTGCATGGCGAAACCACATGATGCTATTCGTGGGGCTCTTCCCAAATGGGAGTTTCCGTGGGAAGAACCCCACGCTGGAGACGCAGTCCCATACGCCGACGAAGTACACGTTGACGTTTATGCAGAATGTCTTCTTGAATTGTGCGGACATGGTCCAGCCTGACGGGGTGTCGTCTTTGTAGAAGTTGTAGGCGAAGGAGACTTGGGCACGGTTGTGCGCGGGGAGGAGGCCGACTTTGTGGAGCTGTGTGGTGATTGTCAGCTTTGTTTCGTCCAAAAGAGGCACGAATAGTGGTCTGGTGGCAGATATCGTTGGGTCAAAGTCGCTTTGGTCGCAGATGTATAGAACAAATGACTCGCGCGTACTCTAAGAGTAGAGAATTGGGGATGGAAACTTACCATTCCAGCGAGACAACGAACAGTATAAGAACCACGACTGAAGCCCAGAAGACAGATCTTATCGCCTTCGCGGTAGTTCTGCATGAGGAACCTGTACGCGTCTTTGATGTGGATGCCGAGTCCACTCCCGACTGCCATGTCAACAGCAGCTGAGATCCCGCTTTTCAAACCGTGGCCATCGTATGTCCCAATTCCGGATCTGGGGGAGGAAATGTCAGATTTTTATTTTAGGAACTTAGGTAAATTGAAGCTCAGGTGCTTGATATGCGGAGAAGTGCTTGAAAACGGGACAACGACAGAGTGGAGTGAAAGAAAAACTTACTGGTAGTAAGTAACCTGCGAAGGGTCGTCCTTCTTCAAACAAGCAACGAAATTGACAACATTGCCTAGGTAAACAAAGTCAGCTTTGTCAATACACATTTGTTCCCGAATTCAGCACTCACTATTGTCATTATCAAACTTATCCCCCGTCCCATCCAGACAGATAACCAACGTCCTCCCACCCACATACTCGACATTCGAATCTTTCACTGCACGAATCGTCTTCGGCAATGGGCCAGGTGTGAAGTCCTCGACCGAAGTCTGCATCGTTGACAGGGACATGTTGCGTGCTGCATTGCCGTTTACGGGGGTGTGAGAATCGCATGTTTGCGTGGGGTAGGATTTGGGTCGCCAATGTAGATGGGGTTCTTGTATACGGCTTGCCATGATGGGATAGAAGGTTGTACGAATGATGATGTTGTGATCGGGTTGGGTTTGTGATACTGATCACAGATGATTGCAGTGTGTGATGAATTGTCGCGGCGTGACACCGAAGACGCTTCCAAGATCGATCAAGGGCAAAGAGAAAGCGATCGCAAGAATGACTTCGACGATTGTGGAGTATTCTGGCTTGGCTGGGTATTAAACAGCGCTCTTCGCCTACTTTCGGTTTCATAGATATGGAAAGTTCAGCGGGATTGCCCCAACCTGATCAAGTTTCCTGTGCCGCTCACTGAGATACACAGGCTGCAGTCTGCATCAGATCCTCCCTAGCTTTCTCAAGCTATCCCTCTCCCAATGCGAGGAATGATCCTCGACCAATCCATACCCCTCGACAAGACCGAGGCTTCACTCTTTTCCAATTGTGTAACTCGATATGTCATTGTGCATCTCACCCCAAGAAACACACCCAATAGTTCTACTACACCACGCGATCCCCTCAGTCATGAATATCAAAGCACGATAACCATCCCACACCAATAGCTCTTAGTCTCGGAACAGAGATCTCAATGCCGCCCTAGCCATCTACTTCGCCGATTCATGCGTCAAAAGCGGACCGTGCCGGCAGAGGCTGGACGAATCGAGTCTTGACAAGACATCTGATCGACGGCACTTGAGCCGTTCTAGGACGAACTACTAGTCCGTGAACTCCGGTACCGACTTTTAAGGTTAAAGATCTGCGACATGGAAAGGCGATAGTCTATTGCCGTGTCTTAAACATTACAGCAATTCCCGAAAACCTTTGACTTTTGATCGAGGGAGAGTTCGACTCGAGGAGAAACTGGCTGTCGTGTGATAGTGCACCACAACATAAATGAATTGGTCCATACGGAAGGCTTTCATAGCACTCCGTTGGCTAAATGATACTCGTCGACTGCATGTGAACTCTTTCGGATCTCGGGTCTCACAGGACAATCTATCTATCTATGAATGATATGTTGACATTTGATCCTCAGCCAGCCTCCCGCATACGCTATGTAAGCCACGCGAGAGAGCAAGTAATTTATCCGAGAGCTGAAGCTACAACTCCCCCCCATCTCAGTAACTGGACCTCCTCGACACCTTCTGATTTCTAAATTCGCTAAGATGCAGCTTCAATATCATCAGCTGTCTTCCGTCTAGCAAATCTAGCCTTGCTGGGACTGGAGGAAAGGCAAAAGGACTGCAAATGCTGCACATCACACCCCCGAGCCGTGTCTCAGTTCGCTAACTAATGCAATGCAATAACACAACACTAATGCTGTGATCAGAAGTGAACTGTTCTTGTTGATGCATCATACTGATGAATTCTAGCAGACGATCGAATAGGAAGAGCGGGCTTTCTAATTCGTGCGTCTTGGTGAAGTGCATGTCTTACTTGAGCTTCCGTAGCTTTGGAGAGCTCTCGAGGGGTTGCAACTTCCTGCTCCCCCTTATGTCCTTGCTTCCTTCCTTTTATTTGAACTCATTGATTGTGATAACAGAATTTGTTAATCAGTTCTGATCTTGTGACGGTTCAAGCCGACTTGAACGTCAATTCGGGTCCATTCTCGTGATCGAAATAATCTACAACCAACAAAGACACCCACAACCAAGGTTAATCAGCAGTCTAATTCCCATCTAAACCTCATCTCAGTCATTCTTGTTTACGGAATTTACCACGATGGCTCCAAACAACCTCAAATCCCTCATTGGGACTCTCAGAAGAAAACCAAATCGAGCACCAGACGGCAAAACGGACGCCGAAGCAGCACCAGTTCAAATCTCTGAGAAGACCTCCATCGGTCATGACCTCCTCACAATGGGCGTCAAAAATGCCGCCACGGTCGCTCAGGCAATCACTACACTCGCTTCCGGTGAACCAATGGACGACAAGGAACTCCTCCTTGAGAACGGAGTCGCAATGCTTCAATCACTTCCCCTAAACAGCGGTCTAAGCGACAAGATCTCCAGCGACTTCATCGCCATGCTGTACCACGACCTTCCGCATCCACCTCCCACAATGGCTGGTCCAACAGCTCGATATCGCAAGCACGATGGAAGTGGCAACAATCCCTGGGTTCCAGAAATGGGCAAAGCTGGATCGCCATACTCTCGAAGCGTGCCTCCTCTCAAGAACCAGGGGCCAAATTTGCCAGACCCGGAACTTGTCTACGATCAGCTTCTGAAGCGTAATGGTCCATTTCGTCCTCATCCGTCAGGGTTGAATCGTATGTTCTTCTCGTTTGCGACAATTGTCATTCATGAGTGTTTCCAGACTTCCCGGGAAAATCCTTGGATCAATGAGACGTCTGGTTACGTTGATCTAAGTACTGTTTACGGCAATACGGAAGTCGAACAGGAACGAGTCAGAACTTATGAGAATGGGACGATCTTCCCAGATTCTATCGCGTCTGAGAGGATCATGATGATGCCACCGGGAGTCATTGCTGTCTTGCTTATGTTCTCGAGAAATCATAATCATATTGCCGAGAACCTGTTGACGGTGAATGAGGATGGGAAATACAAGCCGTGGGATAAACTGGACGAGAAACAAAAGAAATGGTGAGAAACATCGCAACATCTAAATTGACTGGGCTGATTTGATTCAGGCAAGACGAAGACATCTTCCAGATCACACGAAACATCAACGTCGGATACTTCGCCTCCGTCGTGCTAAGGGACTATGTCGCAGCTATCCTCAACACTCCGCGATCTAACTCAACTTGGACCCTGGATCTCGGAAAGGAGATCAAGCAATCTGGAAAACGAGTCGAGCGAGGCACCGGCAATGTCGTGTCAATTGAGTTCGCCGTTCTTTATCATTGGCATGCCGCCCTCAGCGCTGCGGATGATAAATGGATGGAACAAATTCTGAAGAGCACTCTACCAGATCTCAAATCTGTCGACGATATGACCACTGAGATGTTCGTGAAAGTCATGAAGACGAATGGACACAAACTTATGTCCAAGCCAGCAAGGGAATGGACATTCAGCGGGTTGGAAAGAGGTCCAGATGGACGATTTAGTGACCATGATCTTGCCGAGATCATCAAGAACTGTATCGAAGAGCCAGCTCACACTTTCGGGGCTCATGGTACTCCCGCGAGTCTCAAGATCGTTGATGTCATGGGTCAATTGCAAGCTAGGGATATCTTCAATGTCTGCACGATGAATGAGTAAGTTTGACTCTGTCGGTCTTGGAATGGTACTGACGAAAGCAGATTCCGCCGATACCTGAATCTCAAGCCGTATAAAAGTTTCGAGGACTGGAATGAAGACAAGGCTACTGCCAGAGCTGCAGAGCTTCTGTACGGTCATATCGACAATCTTGAGTTGTATCCTGGTCTCATGGCTGAATGCACCAAGCCAGCAATGGCAGGGAGTGGAGTCTGTCCAGGTCAAACTACAGGACGAGGTATCCTCGATGATGCTGTGGCACTTGTTCGAGGAGATCGCTTCTTGAGCTACGACTTCAATAGTAGCACCTTGACAAACTGGGGATTCGCCAAGCTTGGTCAACCTGTCCCAGGTGCATATGGGGGAATGCTGCCATACATGCTATTCAACGGTCTCCCAGGTGCTTGGACTGGTACCTCATCCTACGCTCTGCTTCCATTTTACACGCCAACTGCCGCCAAGGGAATTTTGAAACAGAACAAAGTCATCGATAGGTACGATCTCGAGCGACCACCGAGTGACATGGAAGTTATCGGCATTCATACACATGGAGGGTGTAAGAAAGTCTTCGCGGATAGAGAGAACTTCCGTGTTATGTACCAAGCCGCGATTCGCAACTGCACTGATGGTCATGATTTCATGATCGGATGGGATGATGCGAAGAGACATGACGATCGATCAGCAATTCTTCACAAGGTCATGTTCGAGGAAAATTTCGAGGTGAAGATGTCTCAGTTCTTCAAGAAGAATGTCGCGAGACTTATCAAAGACTGCTCATTGAAGTACTCCAACAGTACCAGACGATCGATTGATATCGTTCGGGATGTCACGAACGTCACTCCGATTCTTTGGTTAGCAGAACGATTTGCTATCCCTCTCAAGACAGCGAAATATCCACATGGAATGGTTTCTGTCCCTGATGCGTTCAAAGCCTATCTCGTACTTTTCATGTACCAGAGCTTCAACATCATCCCAGCGAATGAATGGGCTTTGAGAGATGGCGGTATACAAGCTGGGGAGGCTTTGAGAAAGATCTTCACTGCTCATCTCAAGACTCAACAGGGTTTCAAAGAGGGAATCGTGGATTGGCTCGCTAAAGGCAGTGCTTTTGAAGTAGGTCCCGAAGCTGACAGATTGTACCACGCCTTGAATGACTCCAAGCTACCAATCGGTGATCTAGTCGGTGATTGTATTGGCATGGGTGCACCAGTCGCTGGAAACTTGACGCAGCAAGCCTCCCTCCTCATTGATCTCTATCTCAGCGAAGGATACGAAGAGTACAAAGCTCGCATCGTAGAGCTCGCTCACATGGAAGACGAGGCCTCCGAGCGCGAACTGCAGGGTTTCGTCTTCGAGGGCATGCGTCACGCTGGAGTCGTCCCCGGCCTCCCACGCGTCGCCTCCAAAGACCTCACATTCATCGACGGCGCCCGAGGTCCTATTAGCATCAAAGCAGGCCATACAGTCCTCATCGCGACATCCAAAGCTGCCATGGATCCGCTCCAGTTTCCCAACCCGGAGAAACTCAACCCGCACCGTCCGTTCAAGGATTACATCTTGCTTGGTCATGGGCTGCATTTCTGCTATGGTGCGAGGATGGTGGGATGTTCTCTTGCTGCGACTTTGAGAGAGGTTTTTAAATTGAAGAATTTGAGGAGAGGGCCGGGAAGGCAGGGACATTTTACGATTGTGGAGCATGAGTTTGCGGGTGTGAAGATGAGGAAGTATTTGGATGCTAATGCGGTTGAAAGTCCGATTCCGACGACGCTGACTTTAGAGTATGATGAGTAGGGAGCGCATTGAGGACTGAGGTGTGATAATTTGTGATTCGTCGTGTAGGTAGTAATGATTGCAACTCTTCTCAGCTTTGTTTATGTTTGTTTACCTGGAGTGATTGTCAAGCGAGCACCCCTATTGGCAAGCGAAGTAGGAATGTAGCTTGAGCTGCAATGGGCTTTAGCAACGTCGTCAGTAACGATTCTGCCATTTTGTAGTGGAGCTAGCGTTGGGTCGAATGTGCCTTTGATTATCTGAACTGCTCTGTCAAACGGCTAGTTCTTGACATGAGAAGCCTGCTGTATAGACTGAATTTTTATCTTACGCTTCGAAGTCCCCGGGAAAATCAAGGTCCAATTTGTAGACTATGACAAGAGGGAGCCAAATATTCGAATTGACCGGATCCATCTCCCCCTGACTGTCTGCCTCGGCTTTGATTCTCCAGCGGTTTCTGGCCATACGTTATATACCTGCACAGATAAAGTCAGCCACAGCACCCGTAAATGTCCTCAAAACTCACACAGGCCAATAATTATGCAACTTCCTATCCTTACAATCCCTCCTCACATCCACCAAGAAAATCTGCACCTCCTCAGGCGTCCAGCCCAACACCCTCGTAAACATCGCCATCGTAAAGCCCTCCAGCCCATCAAGCGTATTAACCATATTCCACAACCCCAGCGTCTTTTCCTTCTTACCCTTTGGCCAAGTATTAGAAGGCCATTTGTACAAACTAGAATGGACGTTTGTGAAACCAGCATCGCGCATCCATTCTGCGTATTTGGGTGGGTTGTTGAGCGGTTTGCCCATCTTGGTGGATGCTTCGAGCATGAGGGCGTTCCACTTTGAGAGGGCGTTGGAGGGAGGGTTGGAGTTGTCGTCGCAGGTGCCGGGGAAGGCGAGTTCTTGCATTTCAAAGAACCCGCCGGGGTAGAGGTTCCTATCATGTGTTAGAAAGTTTTCTCCGTCATGAAAACTGGAGAGAATATAAGTTGAGTAGTCAGAATACTGTATTGCTTGTTCAATCAGCCGCTTTTCTTCTACGGCACAGTGGAGTTGACGAGCGTGGATGAAATCGAACTTTTGGGAGAAGACCCAATCTTCGCCTGCATCGTCGATCAAGAATTGAAGATTTGGAGGGATGCTGGAGGGGTGTTAGTGTATACATTTGAACTTGGGGGCTGAATATACAATGTTGGTTGGATGGGACTTAGATCTGTGCCAATAACTTGGGCTGAAGGGTTCTCGTCGGCTGGGGTAATAATCAGCATCAGGATTAAGTGATTGACGGAAATCTCACCAAACTGAATAGCCCACAGTCCCGTACCTGTTCCAATATCCAGAACGTTTTGTGGGTTTGGTTTGTTTGGCGCCAAGTAGAGTTTTTGATCCATCATTAATTTGAAAAGATGGTGTTGAAGATCTTGAAAACATCAACAAACTACGCTTCAGTCAAGATAACAGGTTTCATACCTAAACGATCTTTCTCGATCTTGAGGACAATTGGGATTATTTTTAATTCCATTTTAGGCTCAGAAACCTACCTCATCGTTCGGGTACGCATATTCTATCAAGTGTCAGAAACGACTTCTTGGCAAATTTCAGGACACGCCTTACGTCCGTCCTTGTATTGGTGGTACGATCTCCCATTTTCCATACGATATTTGGCAAAACTGGAACTCAATGACGTAGTAATTGACTGACTGGTATTCTATTCAGCTTTGCAAGATCAAAAATGGAATTTCCATACTCACGCATCATCGTCACTCTCAAACGAAGAATCGAGGTCGTCCCCAATTGACTATAAACGAGATGTCAACCCAGCAATCCAATGAGGAGTTGAACTAGCAGTGTACCTCTGAGTCTGCCTCGAGCTGGTTTCCTTGATCTGGGACAATACTTGCAATCCCAATGTCTGCCGGCACAGCAGCTGCATCTGTTCCTGATGAAGATGGTGATGCCATGGTGTGGAATACTTTACATGAACAATTATCCAAGGATTTTAAAGATTACCCACACTTCCTTCAAGAAATTATTTCTATATCCAAATTATTTATGCGGGGTACAGCTTATAAATGGGAAAAAACATGGGAAATGTTGGACCACGACGGGACAAACCTGCAACATCAGCCGCTTCTGGCAAATCCTCCACAACCAACAAATCCTTCAGTGTAATCGCACCCGCCAAGTTATATTATGGAGTTGGCACCGGCTTCATGCCCTCATACGGCGTTCGATGACCTGTCAATTGTCTCGTCTAACTGTAAGGGCTCTCGTACAGGGGTTTCCTGCATGTAAACCCCCACTGTCGACATCCAGTATCCAGTAAGAGGCACCGACAATTATGCACCAGCGGAGCCGGGAAGTTGGATTTATTTGTTTATTTGGCAATCAGTACAGCAGACTTCTCTGATCTTGTTGGTTCTATTCCCTGGTGCTGTCTTGTTGTGCAGACAAGAGATCTGAGAACGATGGTTTCTTCATTCGGAATTCTAGGGCTCGACTGGACGACAATCGCCGCATCGTCGTTCCTGGTATACATCTTCACACTCATAATATATAGATTATTTCTCGACCCATTGTCAAAGTTTCCAGGCCCAAAACTCGCAGCTGCAACGCTGTGGTACGAGTTCTACTACGATGTCATCAAGACCGGTACATACATGGCGGAGATCAAGAAGATGCACGAGAAATACGGTGAGTACCCCAGCTGCATGAGGATGTCAGTCAGCATTTGAACTGATCTCGTTATCTTCAAGGACCCATCGTGCGAATATCTCCATATGAGCTACACGTCAACGATCCCGATTTCTACGAGGAGTTGTATGCCGGCGGAGGCAGAAAGCGCAACAAATACGCTTGGTTCGTCCGGCTTTTTGGCATGACGGATGGATCTCTTGCAACCATTGATCATGACCATCACCGCTTGAGACGGGGTGCGATAAGTCCGTTCTTCTCGAAAACTAATGTGAGGAAATTGGAGCCCGTGATTCAGGGAAATGTAGAGAAGTTGATGAGACGATTGGAGACGTTGGAGGGGACCGGGAAACCGGTGAATTTGAATGTGATTTTTGGTGCGTTTACGAGTGATATCATTATTGAGTATGCGTTTGGAGAGTCTCAGGGTTATTTGGATAAGGAGGATTTCAATGTGGATTTCTTTCAAGTGAGTGCCTCCTTGAAGCGAAGACCATATCTCCCAAGATGCGTTTTGAGCCCAGATCACGTTTTCTCTATGACCTTTCTGACCCGATAATAGATGATGGACTCCATACATCACATCGGCGCTGCAGCAAAGCAATTTGGATGGCTTCTCCCTATCGTCCTTTCAATCCCGGACTGGATCACAACAAGAATCGACAAAGGAACAGCGGCATTTGCCAAAATGCAGAACGTAGGTCTCCAAACTCTCTCATATCCTTCCTTCCACTCTCCTCATTTCCCCCCTCCAATGATACCAGTCGTCAATTAACACCGCTCCCAATTCCAGACCAGCAAATCCAAACTCGCCGCCATAATAGAATCCTCCCCATCCACACACGCCCAAACATCCAAATCCACATCCACAATCTTCCACGACATCCTCACCAGCACCCTCCTCCCACCCTCCGAAAAATCCCTCGACCGTCTCTACCAAGAAGGCCAAACATTCATCGCAGCCGGCACCGAGACCACAGCTTGGTGTCTCACAGTCATTATCTTCTACTTACTCTCCAACCCTGAGATCATGAAGACGCTCAAAGATGAGCTGGATGCTGCTGAAAGGGGAGTGGAAAGGAAAGAGAAACGAAGGAGTAGTGTCCAGCTTGAGAAATTGCCGTATCTAAGTGCGGTTATCATGGAGGGACTGAGGTTGTCGTTTGGTGTTTGTACGCGGTTGCCGAGGATTGCGACGGGTGAGACGTTGGTTTTGAGGGATGGAGGCGGCGATGGTGGCAGGGAGAAGGTGTGGAGAATTCCGCCGTGGGTAATGTCTTCTTCCTCTCTGCTTCGTACTGGACTAACCCAAGCAAAAAGACCCCCGTAAGCATGTCCGCCGGAATCCAACACCTCGACCCTCGGATCTTCCCCTCACCACTTGAATTCCAGCCTTCCCGCTGGCTTAACAACAAGAGCCTTGAAAAATATCTGGTCTCATTCAGTAAAGGCTCCAGACAATGCGTTGGTATCAATCTTGCGTATGCGGAACTGTATTTGTGTCTGAGTGCGCTGGTTGTGAGGTATGGAGGCGCTGCAGATGGGACTGGAAATGGGGGCCCGAAGATGAGATTGTTTGAGACGGGGAGGGAGGATGTCGAGATGCAGAGGGATTTGTTTATCCCTGGTGTGAAAGCTGGGAGTAAGGGCGTGAGGGTGGTTTTTGAGAAGTAGTAAGTTGGTGGATGGATGGATGGATGGATGGATGCATCGATGAAAGGATCGGTATAGAAGAATTGCGATATAAAAGCCACCTTGAACGCGACAAGAAGAATAGAGGAAAGAGAAGCATTATCAAATATATGTCGAATATCCTCACTTGCACTGAATGGAATTACGTATGCGATTCGGGATGTCCCATCTCGATTCTACTGTCTTTCGACTTTACATGAAAGGTAAGTGAACTTCTTGTATATCCTGGTGGTGGCCTGAGGTACTCGGTTTCCAAGAGTTTATGACATGATCAAAGTTGCTGCACTCAGCAACACAGAAAGGGACACGAACAAGCAGCGAAGCATATGCAAAGGAACCTTCAAGATGCGCATAAAAGCAAATATGAATCGACAAGAGAAAGTAAAAAACCAATCAGGCGACTAGCCCGAACCCATCCGCTTTGACCAGATAGTTATTGAAAAGAAAGTTGTTGGCCAGCCAGAAGAGTTTCTGATTCATCCACAGATAGTCAAGATTTACCCAAGTCTCTGACCTGACAAACTCGCAAAAATCAGAACCAGACAAGAACAATATTCAAGAGCAAAATGCCGGAGTATGAAATTTTGCTTTCATTCTCATCCCATTCTCACATCCGGACAATATTCTTTTCCTTTCCTTCCATTCCCAACTCCAGATATGCCTGTCAATGATACTATGCCTCCCAACAACCCACGCGATTTTGGATATCTCAAAACTGAAATCAAGCCGAAAAAAGCCAATCCATCCTCCCATATATACCATACGGATTACGTCGCATCCCCACCTACTTATCATCATCATCGTCATCATCAGGTAACTCCTCAAACCTCCCTTCCTGAAAGGCTTTTTCCACCGGGTTCTGTACGCTCATGACACCAGTTTTCTTAAGTCTAGATTATGTTAGCTGGCGAGATCTTTGCAAGCTAAGAGAGAAGAACATACCTCTCAAAAATTACAAACAGCTTCTCCGCCTCCCTCTCCTTCTCCTCCTGCGTCATCTCCTCCGCCTCAACCTTCTCCTCCATATCCAGCAGCTGCCCCGTAATAGGATTGACTCTCCCGGACACATCCCTACTATCCTGACTCGCCCGCGTATTGCTACTCTCGCTGCTCGTGCTCCACGCCTCGAGAGCGTTCTCGGGGATGGGGACATTGTGCTGGAAGAGGAACCCGGAGGCGAATCCGTAGCCGACGTTTTGGACGAAGATCTTGGCGTCTTTGGCGGAGAGTTCGAAGAGGAGTGAGGAGATGGATTCTCGGACTTGGGGGGTTGTGGGGTTATTTGTTAGGCGGAGGAGGCGGGAGGATAGGGTCTCTGCTCGGCCTAGGATTTGCTTGCGGTCTTCTTCGGAGGGGAGGAGGATTCGTTGGAGATGGGCTTGGACGTCTTTTGGTGCGAGATCGTAGACTTTCCGTATTAGCTGGAGGAGTGGTGAGACATTTTGTTCCAGCTCTTCGTCCTTGTACACCTTGACGCTCTTCTCAAGAATTTCAACAAGTCGGTCCACAATGACATTCGGTGATGATTTCGGGAATAATGCAGCCACATTATCCTTGTCCTCTAATTCCAAATTCATCAAAGCATTTACCAAAGACCCGATTGGCGGTTCCAGAGGTTTGCTACTCGATATTGCCCGTCTTGTGAGAAGAATCAACATGGGTTGAACTGCTGGAGAGAATGCCCCAATCCGTTGTGGACAATGGTGTGTGATATTGAACATCAACTTCGTTGTCTCAATCAATGCCATATCCTCCATCGGATCCAGTTCCTTGACTTTCTTCTGCTTCGTGACGTATTGTTTCGAATGCCTACTGACATTCTGACATATGTATTCCGCCAAATGATATTGGTCCACCAGTTTCTCAAGATTGACATTCGAATTGTAGGTTGTGAGGAAAATGATCCGCGAGACCAGAAACTCGTCATCCCTGCTATCATTCTTCAGCTTGTTGCATGCTTTCTGCTCGTATCCCAAATCCACAAATATCTGTCTCGTCTCGGCTTTGAGGAGGAGGGCATTTGCTAGACATCGTAGAGCATTTCTTGAGGTTGTTAACGAGGGGCTGTTGAATGCATGTCGAGTTAAGGTCTCTATTCCCTGGGACTGGTTAGCTCTGCAGATATGGTAGGGGGATGTGACCTGCCTCTTTGGTGAAGATGGGGTCTGCATTGGCGGGGTCACGACCAAAGACCTTGAGCTGTTCCAGTAATGCATCTCGTTCTGGGCGACATTAGTGGGATGTATGCCAGAGATCTGGGGTTCGTACGGTGTGGTAGGAGTGCGATTTTCTCTAGATCTGCTGAAAGCTTTCCCATAAGCTTAGTGACTTCTTCCAATTTTGCTGTCTTTGTCAGTATGCGACCTCTAACTCTGCGAGCTTCCTACCTGGTCCTGTCAAGGTCAAATCCACAGACGATATCGAGGCTCTCGGACTCGTGGAAGACATCTTGGGAGGCTTTTCGCAGAACGGCATAACCTGGATATTGTGAAGTTGGTAGGTGGTGATATGATTGTGTCGACACGACGCAAGGGAGAAAGTTGGCAGAAGAAGTTTTGTACTCCCACGACAAAGACGGTCGTCGTAGAATGGCTTAGAAGGCTCGTAATAGAATCGTCAGCCTGGAGTACTGGTATAAGCCTCGTTCTGGCCAATATGCTCCAAGAATTCCCTTTTCGATCTCAAGCCCACCACGAGCCTGGAGCAAAGCTGGGGCCGTAGACAGCTCCGAGCTTACGGGAGTAAGACGCTCAATCGGTGGCGGACCAGTAGTGAGAGCGCATGATGATATGCATATATTGCCTCAATGCGACTGGTTTTCTCCTTGTCCTGCCTCGTCTTTGCCGTTTGGTACTGTATGCGATGCGATGCGCCGCTGTGAGGATATATGCCGATGCTTAGATGGTGGGGTGGGAAGTTGGAAGTTGCTGCGGTACTCTCTGCTGTTCTTGCGACTGTATTACGCCGCGTGTGACTATACACAGCCTTACGGACTCGATATTGACCTGCAGCGACTGGCGGGGATGTGATTCGGGGAGGAGGGTGGTGATGTAGTTCGAGCTGGGCGTGGGATGGCGGGGTTCGAATAGGTAGGGATGGGCAGTGAGATTCGGAGAGGTCGTCAAGGAGCGTAGAATGTTTTCGCAGCAGGTCGCAGGATATATTGTGATCCTTGGTATAGTATGCGACGTTGGAGAATCAACTGCACTTGTATTTGAAGGGCGACGACTCTGGATGGTTGAATTGTCTTGGGATGTTGATTTTGACTTTGAGTTCAGCTGGATCGTCTGGATCTGCGGGGTTGAATGCGGGCTTCCAGCTGGACGGGCCGGCGCTACTTTAGGGCATCTGGCCGAAGATTTAGCGACAATAAGCCCGGAAACTAGTGGCTGCCACCTGTAGCCGGGCCTATCAACTTGATCAACATTCTTATGTTTTTATATCTTCACCTAAACGCTAGGAAGTGTACCTATACTGGTATTGAGCAATGAGCTGGACATTTACTTAGCTGCACTGATTACTACTTCAAATATCTTTCGCTACAGGCGCCTTGTTAGTCGTCTTTGATCCTCTCCCTCCATTCTTTCATTGCACTGACTTTCAATTCAGTTGAGGTATCTCTCGTCGATGGCTTATGGGCACACAGAGTCGGAAGGCTCTCTTTCTTTCCCCGGCAAATCGGGGACTATCCGAGACTCCAGGATATTTCGAAATGAGAACAATGTTCCTGATGCTAGTGCAACAGAAGGACTCTCGTTTCCTTCAGAATATTCCAAATCAGTGTCTCAGGATTATGTTCTTGATGACAGCTTGTGAGATGTATGACAATGGAATGTTTCAGCTTCCTCTAGCCTCACGGTCTTAACCTTTCTGGTATTGAGCTCATATTACAGATCTCAGCATGTTATTAGAGGAATACATTCATGATTTGCAGTTGAATCATCATCTATCTAATCGGCCTCCACGGCAGTGGCCTTGGAGGGAACGCGGAGCGCTATGCACCACTAGACACGATTCGATGTGGCATATTGTAGGTTGATTTTCATCTTGATGATTGGAGGGAGGTGATGGTTCCCCAAGAAAACTCTTTTGTACGACTCAGTCGGGTATAAAGACTTCAATATCTCACCAGAAACCAGCTAGTATGCCCGGATACTTCATTTTCTTCTCAGTTCGAAAGCTTCTCTTGTCTCAATATTCACAGAATTTGTTCCATACGCTGGTGAGATCATTCTGGTATATACAGTCTTGCCTACCTGCCTTTCTTTTCCTCACTACCTTTACACGCAACTCAATCTCTATCCTCCTCCATCAAACGGCACCGTCAAATCTTTCGAAAACCTCAATCGGAAACCCCTCAGCCATAGCCTGATACCCCGCTCCATTAGGATGCAGATGATCACCTCCATCATAGGCACCCTTCAACTGACTCGGATTATTCGGATCAGCAAGCATCTTCGCAAAATCCACCACAGCATCAAACCCCGCCTCCTTACTCGAAATCCACTCATTCACCCTTTTTCGACTCTTCTCCCTCTCCGGATTACCATAAGTTTGTCCACTACCCCCAAAAGGCGTGATCGTCGCTCCAAATATCACGAGTCCATTCTTCTTACAATCCGCAATTATTGTTTTGAATGCCGAGATTAGCGAGTTGGAAATTTGAGTCTGTGTGCTGGAGTCCGCGGATGCAGTGCCGATGTCGTTGACGCCCATGAAGAGGAGCACGTATTTGACGCCAGCCTGCATGATGGCGTCTCTGGTGTAGCGGGAGATGAGGGAGGGTCCCAGACCGTCGGCGAGGACACGGTTTCCGCCTGCGGCTTGGTTGTTTACCGAGATGTTGTTTATGCCGGATTTGATCATTCTAGAGAGGAGGAGGTCTGGCCAGCTAGGGTGAAGGTCATCAAAATAAGCTGAGAAGCGAAAGGAGCTAGGAAAGACACGAACCGATTATTCATGTCATCATCGCTGCCTCGTCCGTCTGTTATGCTATCCCCAAGGATAACAAAAGCACTCGTCGTTTTGGGCTCCCATGCTTCTACTCCCGAGACGAAATACCTGTTTGTTTCACTTCAGTTTACCTCAACCATTGTCCACGAAGAGTCATCTTACCAATGCTTCGTACTCCCCCCACCAACACCCGTGGCATTAACCCCCTCCCCCACCCCCATCCAACTCGTCGTCCTACTCCCCGGATGCCCCGTAACACTACTCCCCTCCTGGCCCTTGGCCAAATACAAAGTCATTGTCAGTTCACTCTGCGCCTTAACCGCAAAGTCAACTGGATCTGAATACACGGTTCTTCCCGCCGGGATTGTTACTGATGAGGAGCCGTTGAATGTTAATCCTGCGATGGGGGAAGAGAGGATGTCTTTCGCGCCGGCTTTTCCGCTTTTTGGGAGGGCGAGAGAGCTGGTTGTTAGGGGGAGGGGGGTGCGGCCGAAGAGGTTGGAGATTTGGATGCGGATCAGGCCAGAGGTGAGTGTTAGGTGGAGGGTTTGTCGGAGGGTGGTGTTGGTGAGGATGGCGGTGTTGGTGCGCTGAGTGTAGGGGGTTTGGGTTAGCTGGAATGCGAGACTTGAGGCGTGATTCTTTGTGTGAATGGTCGAGTAGGGAAAACGTACGAATGGTGCTGGTGGGAGATTGTCTGGCTCAACTAGCTGCGGCATTGATGTCCAGGCATCCACCCAGTGATATTCTGTGTTATCCGTCTGTCTTGTTCCTAGATACGGAGTTGCTGTACATGACCTTAGACACAGGAGGACGGCGAACGTGAAGGATGATGTGAGCAACATGTTGGAACGATGAGCTTGTGCTACTTGTGCCAAGCAGGAGGCGAGAGTACATATTATACATGTTGAACTGGGAGGGTTTCTTGATGTGACTTTGGTCCGCCTGGCTGAAGTGATAGATTGGTTTGATGGCGGCTGTTGACAAACCTCGCTTATTCAGGGGCATACAAACAGGCTTGACGGAGTGTGGGGTATTAGCCTGATATAGAGCCACACGCGAGATCTGGATGGTGGACTAAAACATTTCAGGATATCGGATCTTGTCAGCTGTCGTGATAGTTGCTCGGTTTATCGTATATTCATGGTAGACACTGCCTTGAAGAAGCTAATATGGCATATACCGCTTGAGCTCAACAATTTTTTGCCAATCAAAGTCAGGGAATCGGAGATGAGAAAGATGTTGGATGAAAGATTTAGGGAGACGGTTAGTCTTATTTCATGAGCCATCTCAAGTAAAAATCTATTTACTTGCCCGTGGAACGACTTCGTTCATGATTCCAGGATCTTGCAATGGCTATGAGTATTTCCTGGACTGACATCGGCCATAAAATGTCAACCAATGGGCTTGATACGTGAAATTCAGTTTCCCAAGAACCAGAAGTGAGCCTGATTCTCTCATCTTTTAAACGTTCTCAGTGTTCTCTTTCTTTGATACTTACCAAACTGCTCTTTGACAAACCGCAACTGCGTACCACAAAAACAAGTCGTAGATGGCTACAAGATACATAGTCTACAATACCCGAAAGTCTCCTCTGATATAAAGAAAATCTTCGGCAGTCAAATATTTATATCATCGGACACAGCAGCCACAACAGAGTTATTGTCGGAGGAAGCATGAATGATGACATAAGCTCCTCGCTTGCGGTCTCTGCCTTGGCATAATCCTTGCAACCTCAAAACTTTCATCCTTCATCATCCAAACGTACCAAAGTAAAATACCCCTAGCACAGTAGCTTGAATACTTTCCACAAGATTTTCCAGAAAACCCACAATGTCAGCCCTTGGACCTATAGACCCATCTTCTGTCCAGAAAGAAGATCAGAAAGAAGCAGCATGGATCGTTCGAAAATTAGCGGGGGTAAACAAACACTTCCTTGCCACTTGATCACATGCTTATCCTTAACAGTCAATGACCGGACGTATCGTCGTCTCAACATATGAGTCCCTCAGAGCAACAGGAACCTCAGTCGTCTGTCTCTCACCATGGGGCGATTCCTCACCTCTCCTCCTCCCATGCATCCGCTTTCGCGATCTAGCCGTCCACACCGTCGTCGCTGCAACCGGTGGTACTGCAATGATCGCTGCTCCAGCAATGGGGCCCGTGTCCGACATGGCAATGGATTCATTTGGCGACACTGTCTTTGTCGAATTGGGTCTTCATGCTGGATTTGCAGCAGCTGTTCAAGTAGGAAACGAAGTACTCATCGACAAGCCACTCAACAAGATCATTCCAGTCCACGAAGCGAATTTGGCGACTTCTGGGGTCAAGACATTGACTATCACGCTGAAATACAAGCACACGGTCGAGGATGCAAATCTTGGATTCTTCAGAAGCTCAACACACGCCGATCCGAGTTTGTTTGCCACTGTCAGCGATTACCTGGCTGTTGAGAAGGGATGGTTTAGTCCGTATCTGTTTGCAAGTGCGAGGAGACCTGTTATTCCTCGGACGATGAAACCTGATGTTGTGTTCTGCCATGGCCCTTTTTTATCAGGCGATTACCGTGTTGGAGAGACCCTCGTCGCACAGAGTGCCAAAGTACTACATCTTTGCGAGATACCTCCGGTCCAAGAAGAAGTCTTGGCTCCCACTGTATCCGTAACCGAAAAGACGAAACTCCAAGTTTCGAAGATGAATACCAAATTGACATCTCTGATGCATCGCACAAAGCCTACAGCTGAGGAACCTACTCGACCAGCATCTCCACCACCAGTTTTGCAAGAGATTGTTCAACCACCTCGTCGACTCGCAGTTGTTCTACTGGGATTAAAACCACATCGTCTAGGCATGTGGACATCCTCGGCACGACCATCAGAATCAGTCCTCAAGTACGTTCTCTTGAACGGTGCACCGACGATCGTACTTCCTGCACTTGCTGGAGCGCCGTTGATTGCATGGATTACGCTCACGCTCAAACAACTCCACTCGAAGAAAGACAGATATGACGGCGTGGTACGGATCCTGTTCGAATATCTTTCGTTGTGTGTTGATTGGGAGAGGGTGACTGTTGGAGAGGGAGATGAGGAAAGGAAGAAGGCTGTTCGTGATGCGGTTGAGTTGGTGGTTGCTGCTGCAGTGCAGAGCGTGGATAGTAAAGCGGTGATGAAAGATGTGGATTTGGATCGTGCCGGGATTGTTATCTTTAGAATGCTTTGATGTAGGATAGTTATGAAAGATATGTGAAATCATGGAATTGAAAGACTTACGATTATACGAAACACATTTTACTGACTTAGAAGAAGCTACAAGCTAAGACAAACTCGAATGCCGGGGTCAAAATATCTTAAGAAGCTAAATCTTGGCTACAGATTTATTGAACAGAACAGGGCTATCCCGCGATACCTCTAATTACACATGTTATTCATATACCGTCATCGAGATGCCGCAAAGTTTTGAAGACAGTTTCTACCAGGAGTCACGTTACTGACTAATCACCTGATATTAAAAGTGGATATCTTGGGAAGACTTCCTCTAATCCTAGACGAAGTCTCAAGAGACAACAGAATACCCAATAACTCGCGTTTCTGGCTTCAATCCACTCAATTGCCACCATGTCGCTCAAAAATACCTATCTCCTCGCCTACAACGGCATTTCATTCCTCCTCTGGTTCCACCTAACCTTCCGCACCATCACCCTCCTCTCAATCTCCTTCTCATCTCCATCCACTCCAAACTCCAACCTGCTCTCCATATACCACACTCTCCTTCCTCACCTAACATTCACACAATCCCTCGCGGTGCTAGAAGTCCTCCACGCAGCATGTGGACTCGTCCGCGCATCACCAGTCACAACAGCCATTCAAGTCGGCGGCAAGAACCTCGTTGTCTGGACCGTGATGCGGAGATTCCCTCATTTGGTGGCTAATGTTGGGAATGGTGGGATTTGGGGCCTTATTGGATGTGTGCTTGCTTGGGGTGTGAGTGAGATGGTGAGGTACGGGTTTTTTGTGGTGCAGGTTTTGAGGGGGGAGGCTTGGGGGTGGTTGAAGTGGCTGAGGTGGGTTTGATTCTTATTTTGTTTTAATGATGGGATTATTTTCCCGAGGATTTGGAAATTGATGCTGATTTTTGCGTAGGTATAGTGCTTTTGTGGCGTTGTATCCGCCTGGGTTCTTGTGTGAGGCGTGGTTGGTATATATTTGTCTCACTCAAGCTGGAAATGGGGATATTGGATCGATTTACAGAGGGTATTTACTTGGGGGATTGATCAGCTATTTACCATGTGAGGACCCTTTCGGTTATCCTTTCTACATTGCTGACGGATCTAGTGGGTTATATTCTTTACACGCATATGTTGGTGCAGAGACGTCGTGTTCTCAAGCCAGGAAGCAAGAGGTCATGATATTGGGCGATCACTGCGGTCGACGAATTGAGTTTATCGCCGACATGTAACATTAGCTTGACGTTAATTGTTCACTTGGATGGTATCCAGGCCCAAGAACCTACTTGGTGAAAAAGCTCGGGCAAACCAGCGGAATCTTGACACACAGAAAGGCAGAGGCGGCGGGAACCTGGGGCTAGGTCGAACCGCAGCTATTTGGATTCTGCCCGTGCATAATTACTTGTGACGAGCGAAGGAGTGGGTTAGAAGTATTTACATACTCACAGATCTGAAAGTTGATGGAACCCAATGGAGAAACATGAAGGACATCAGGTGTCTCGAGGAGAACTAAGTACTTTGTCGATCATCACGCGCTTGATAACCTGAACTTTCGAAAAACGTGAAAGCGTGTAATGGCAAAAAACACATAATCTTTTCTAGCATCATCGGACGCGTCATATTGGAAGTATATCTTCATATCTGAAAAGGTATTAGCATCACCAATATCAGATGGAAAAGGGTCAAAGGCAGTACTTGCCGAAAGCGGTGAGAGTTAAAGTGGTTCAAGTCTGGCCAATCAACGCGCCGCACGCGCCCGGATCCCGTCAAAATCAAAACCCCATCGCGTTTTCTGCCCGCTGCACGCGATTTGATGAAGTCCAGTCCACTTCACTCCGCCCAAGGCAACGAACCATACCAACAACCACCACCTCCTCCACCTCCTTCTCGACAGTAACATCGGAAGTGAGGATATATTTTCGCATATGGATTGACGGACTGAGGAAGAGTGTCTCGATGAGGAATACAACACAGGGGAATAGCCACAGAGCTCTCAGCAGCCATGGTAGGGTCGGCGGCTGCCTCGAATCCACCAATAGTGCAAGCAAGACCACCAACTCCTCCACGAGATTCCAGTCATAACGAACGGAAGCTGGGAAAGTTCAAGGAAGCAAAGCCAAGTGTGTTGGGAGATCTGACTCGTTTTTTCAAGGTCGACTCCAATAGACGAGCTTCTGCACCAGTTTCCAGTACATCCGCACTTGAATCTCCAGTCCAGACACCAGGATTAGCGTCAGGAACACGAAAGAAGAGAGTGGGATGGTCAGAGTCAACAGAGTACAAGGATCCTCCAACAGCCTCGTTCGACGGAAAGAATATCAGACACATTGTGCAACCACTGGCCCCCTCCTCGGAACGAAAACCTGCGAAATCGATCCTCAAGATATCATCTAATGGAGGTACTGAACACGACCCATTCGACACTGTCAATACGAAGCTTCTGCCTCCTCATCACCACGCAAGTTTCGCCACCATGCTCGACTCGATCGTACAGCAGCTGGGAGGGAAGGATAGGAGTTCGAAGATGGATGCATACTTGATGTTCTCGGGACTGTTGAAGGCGTCGGATAATGTGCCAGACTTGAAGGCTTTAAAGAGCAAGATGGGCCTCCTTTGCCAATTCATAATTCAGGACTTGACGGAGAAGCTGGATAATGGGAAGTCGGACACTGGACTGGTGGTCAATTCCTTGGTGTTGCTCTCAAGCTTCCTCCAGAAACAAAGCATTTCAGAAATGTTCCCTGCCGATTTTGCGGTCCAGGTGGTCGAACACGCGATCAAGTCATTCGAGGATGCTGCGGCGTCAAAGGAGATTATCAAGCACCTCATGTTCATCATGGCACAGCAAAACTTCTCGTCGAAGGTGATGACAGCAGATCGGGTCAGCCGGCTGGTCAATTCATTACACAACATCGAGGACCACATCAAAGGCAAGAGTATCACCATGTCCCGGATCAGCATCTACAGGACACTTCTGCGGTCTTCAAGGAGTCATATGATATCAATTTCTCCTTGGTTCGAGGACATGTTCAGCGATATGCTCAGCAGTCTGAGAGAAGTTCGGACAATGGCCATTGCGTTTGGCTTCGAAGCCGCAATTACACTTGGAGCGGACGGTGCCGGCACCAAGGCGGTTATGAACCTATTCAAAGCCAATCTTGGTAAGGGATATTATGGAGATTTCTATGCCGACCGTCTCAAGATCATGGTCAAGAACAAGAATGACTGGGATAGCTCCGCAGTACCACAAATCTGGAGCATAATAATCCTTTTTCTCCGGTCAAAGCCTCAAGCACTAGTGCAATGGCATTTTCTCAACGACTTTCTCGAGGTCCAACAGCTCTCTTTCAATTCGAGCGATACTGCGACAAAGACCGAGGCCAACCTCGCTTGGAATCGACTCATGTATGCTCTTCAACTTAGCGAAAAGACTATTCCAAAGTTCAGAGGCATTGTTTCTTCGGCTCTCGTTACTCAACTCAAGACGCGCAAGTCATCATCAGGGCGTAAAGCATGCCTCAACAGCGTTTACATGCTATTGTATTACGCACTCAGTCCACAGTCCAGTTCAGCTCACCTTGAGCTTTTCTGGGACGAGTATGTCATTCCGATTATCAATGGCTGTCTGACGTCTGCAAAGGCTAGGACAGACCCGAACCTCGCAAAGCAGGATGCACTTGAAGCATGCGTCATCCTGCAATCGCTCTTCGACTCCAAGACCCCAAGGAAATGGAATGAATCTCGAGCAATTGACAGCCTCCAGCCCGCTCCGATGAATCCATCCGAATTACCGGCACTTGACTCGAAATGGCTGCGAAAGAACAATATCCGTGTGTTCAAGGTTCTGGATCCTCTCATGGAGATGCTGTACTGGGATCTGGGCAGCGATTCCGGAATCACCAAACTTTGGAGGACGTACATGTCCTCAATCGGATCCCCAGCTATCAATGAGGTTATGGTCAAGCCTGAAACCATGTCTTCGGTTGCTTCCATGTTCGGCATGCTACATAAGTTCTGGTTCAAGGGTGTGGAGAAATTGGAGAGTCTTCCATTACCAGGTACGGTATCGACAAAGCAAAGAACCACGGCGTTTGTAAGGAGTTTTGAAAACATTTTCCTCACAGCAGCATCTCTAGATGGTCTTCAATTAGCACCATTTACCGACAAGCTCCTGGCCATTACCCAGGACACCTTTATTGTGGTTGCAACTCCTTCACATCTGCCGCCGAAACAACAGGTTGAGACTAGATGCCCTCTACATCATCTTATTCTCCTCTTGACAAACTCCTCCCCTGGCTTTGAATATGACCGACAATTCTATGGAATGGTTGACCGGATCTTGTCACCCTTCATTCAGGCTCGAGTCAGCAGATCTCAGGTAGAACTAGCTTGCACCCTTGCTCACCTATTGCCCACGGAAAGCAACGAGGGAACCAAAATCATCTGGCAGGTACTGGCTGAATTTGCGACCACGGCTATCGATACCCGAGACAGCAACGGAAGCAATGGAGATGAGCCTCTTGGTTCCAAATACCGCAAGGCAGTCAGGATCTTAGAAATCGGAATCACCCTGTCTCCGGGCAGTCCTCTGCCTGCATGGAGACATCTTTTCGAAGCCGCAGTCAACTCGGTTACCCTGGACGCAGGTGATGGCGGCCGGGCCATTGGAGTTGTTGAAGAAGTCGCCAAGATCTTCCACCCAAAAGTACAAAGTGCAATCTTGACTTCCAAAGGAATGTTCTATCTGAGTCTTCTCCTCGGGAAAGCAAATTATCCCAAGGACCGACAAGCACTCGAATCTGCCCACAGGAAGCTTTGGGGTACAGGGACGACCCACCAGAAATCGACATCTCAAGATCCATACGTTCATCTGTATCAATACATCAATGCGACTCTCACGACAGCTTACGAGTCGTATTCTAAGGATCATTTGCAAGAATTCTCGGATAGTATATCTGCACTTACAGGCATGTTGGGCAGATGTCCCACATCACTTCTTCTTGCCGTTCTTGTCAAGGTTCAGCCTGGGATCGAGCCCTGGATTATTGACAACGATCAACGTTTACTTGGAGGAGACATCTTATCAAAGGCGGTATGTTGTTCTTGAATCAAGTTGCTGATCGTTTGCTGATATGTATAGGTTGCTTCTTTGTGGGATATGGTCAAGAAAATGGTGCCCCGATTACTTGCGCAGCATGGCCATTCGCAGGCCTTGCACGATTTAGAGCTTCTGATATGTGCTGGCCTGAATAGCAGACACGCAAGTCGTGTAAGTGGCACGATAGTCTTCTGGAACACGTCTTTCGGGTCCTGCGAGAAGCCTTTCGAATATCCCGAGAATGTCAAGCAGGCTCTACTGCGTTTGCGGGCCGTCGCCGATGTCCAGATCCCATACTTACCGGAGAGTGTCGAAGAGGAATCATCCGCCGATCAACGACAGCCAATAGACTTCATGGAAACACAGGATGATTCGTATGGCATGTCGAGTATACCCAACGAATCGATCATGCGACTCATGAGACAATCTACTCCACAAGTTATTATCGAATCTCGACGTTCAATGTCCTTGAAACGCTCTCGTGACAACACTCCTGAATCCAGCAGACGCAAGTCCAGGAAGAGAGATGTTACGCCAAGATTCCGTCATGATGATTCTCAAGTCCAATTTGAAGCTGTTGAATCCTCGCCCATGGCCGATAGGGTCGTAGACTCCCAGCTTCTCACGGACAAGCAAAAGGAGACAAAGGAGAGACAGCATGCCGAGCAGTCCATGTTTCCCGATCTCCGTTCCACACCCTTATCCAGGGAGAAGTCTACTCGGAAGCCCGAAGAGGCAGAAATGGAACTTCCCACTCATCAATCTTCGCAGCTACGGACCAAGCCAGCCGAGGAGCGTCAGACTACGCCAACACTCCCAATCCCCAGCGATGATGATGGTTATGTTGCCTCATCTCCAACACCAACGAGATCAATTCGTGGAGAGCCGGAAGTTGAGCCAGAGATTGACCCACCATCATCACCGCCAGTGGCAGCTCCAAAGAAGGTTGCTTATGTCGAATCTAACTCTCAATTCCTAGAGCATACCCCAGAGCCAGTTCAGCCCGCTCTCGTCACCTCAAAGGCTCCCGAGCCCGAGCAAATCGAGGAGATTCCTTCGTCTCCTCCTGTATCTACACCTGAGTCGGAAGATGCCATGGAGATCGACGGAGAAGCTTCGAATGAGCAGCCTCAAGTTTCTGGGGATATGAACGAGCAACTTGTTTACGAAGACTTGGAGTTTACGGCAGAAAACGACGAAGAACCACTCGAGCTCCCAGAATATGAGGCATTATCGAAAGAGGACGGAGCCGAAAGTACAAACGAAACCAATCTCGGCCATTCTGCCCAAGTGGAATTTTTCCAGAATATCACCATGTCTACTTTCGAATTTACTCCACAAGTCCGTCACAGCTCTCCAGCGGAGGATGATCCATCTGAGCAGCTGAGGGCCAGTCAAAGAATTGAATACTTGAAGTCATTAATAGAGGAGGATGTCCATGGCAATTCTTCAGCACCGGCCGAGCATGTGCCAACCAAGGTTGAGCCAGAAGAAGAGCCGGTTCACGGGTTACAGCAACTCCAATTGATTCCTTTGCTAGATCCTCTTCCACCTGGGTCACCTAATCAACAACCAGGCAGCTCTCCGGTCCATTTCATGGATGCACAAAGCAGCCCTACGTCTTCCGATAGGCAAGATATATTCGAAGATGCAATGTCGTCTCCGCGTTTGACTCGTGGCAAGGACGTTGCACCGAATCCCTCCACGCCAGACGATTATGGTACTGGTAACGATTCCAGCTTTCTCAGGGCGGTCAATGCATATGATCAACCAAACTTTGTCGTAAAGGATGCTCCCTTTGTTGGCCAAGCAGATATTTCACCACGACGAAGCACAAGGGGCTCCGCATCAAAAGCTTTGGAGATCCCTTCATCCATTGACCCTTCGCCTGTTCGTAAACCTGCATTGAAAGAGACATCTGACTTGCCAGAAGCTGCCATTTCAGACAAAGAACCAGTTTCTACTTTACCTGGAAGCAAATCTTCTTCAATCCCTTCCCTCATCCCAGAAACACCTGGAATGCCTGCTCAAGCGGGACTAATTATTGACGAGGACGGACAAGAACACGACCCAGAGCATACGATTGTCGTGGACACATCCAACCTCAAACACTGGCGTCCAACCAAGAACGGCAGGAGAAAGAGCAGGAAGAGGAAGCATCAGGAGACCAGTGGCGATTCGCACGAGATACCTGACAGCCAGGATGCCATGGCTGGTTCAGAGAGTAAGTCTTTGAATTCTAGGTAGTGAGAGCCTGGACTAACTTCAATAGCCTCCTCGCCACAGAAACGATCCCCTTCAAAGAGATCCCCAGCCAAGAAGAGGGCCCGTGGACAGCCCTCGAGAATCTCTCAACAGGAATCCGACGTCGAGTCAAGCCAGGGTTTCGCAAGTCAAAGCATGTCGGTGGATTTCGATGGAGATCGGGAGATGGAGATTGATGGTACCACGATGTCGTTCGCGTCAAATGCCGAGGTTGAAGAATACGAAACTGCACCCGTCAAAGAACCAGAAATCGAGCAAAGCTTCGAAGGGTCTCTTGTCGAGCAAGGAGGTGCAGGGGTGGAGATCGAAAAGTCAATGGCAGAGGATATAAGACAAGAGAATGTTGAGGTGGATACCGCAGGCGTAGATCAGGCGACTAGTCCAAGCTTCGAAGTCATTGAAGAGACAACTATCGACGAGACGAGTCTGCTCGACAAGTCAAGCCCGGCAGTCGAGCAGGTCGACGATATTATTGAAGAGGCTGCATCTCATCCTGTGGAGGTGCCAGATGAAGCATCCCCGGCTCCAGATGATGCTGAGCCTGTTCAGCCACCAGTCCTCGCCAATGCTGAAGCCCAAGCCGAAGACCGAACAGTGACAGCTGAGAGCATGGCCGACAAACTGCAAAGCCTCCTGAAGGATCTGCAGACGGCAGCACTAAGTCGACAAGAGGTTAATAAGTTGGAAGATCTGTTTTTTGAAGCGAAGCGACACATGTATGCTGCCGAAGAAAGAGGGAGAGCATCGGCGGACGGCGAGCAATGATTTGTGTCATGATTTGTACATTGCATTCATTGTACGGCGGCATGGCGAGGCGATTGGAGTTTTACTTGGTATTCCTTTGGGTCTTGGGATGTGTTTGAGTCTCTTGGTGTGATGTATGGAATACTGTGGGATGGGATGGGTAGGAGCTCAAATGCAAATCAAATGGGGAGGACTATCGGGGTCTTGGGTGGTGAGAGGACAATTGTATGTTGTACATCTGACACGATACGGAATAACCAATATCAATTGTCTTTATAATGAGTTTATTGTGTCACCATAGATGCCCTTCGGCTATCTCTCGATCCTCAACTCTGTCCCTCTTCTAAATACCGCTTCCGGGGAAGTAATTATTTTCGCGATCATGGAACAGAGAATAACACAACTTGCATGGCACAGAAGAGCAGAATCTCAAAATCGCTTCTAGATTATAACATTTACACCACCAAGAACCTGCGGGACTATCGAGGTATTTTTATCATCCCTCGTCAGATCCACGTCACGTGTGTCGATCCACATCGCCAAGTTGAGTACCGGAGCAACCTTTCTTCAATTTCCTTTTCAAAGTAGACGATAAATTTATTTGCAAACTCAAGTCTAAGTCCAATTGTCGCTGGGTCTCCAGTCTTCTCCTTCGATTCTTCACCCTCTCATAATGGACGTCCCCATCGCCGCCAACGTCCTCGGCACAATAGGTGCAGTCTGCTGGTCCATCCAAGTGAGTACACTCCCTGCTCTTGCTCCCCATCTGAGAACTCAAAGCTCATATCCCCAGCTCATCCCGCAAATAATTATCAATTACCGCCGGCACAACACGATCGGTTTGCAAAGATCCATGATGCTCCTCTGGGCTTGCGCAGGCGTCCCGCTTGGTGCGTATAATATCGCAGGAGACTTCAATATCGCGCTGCAGATCCAGCCGCAGATATTGACTGTTTTGAGTCTGATTACGTGGATTCAATGTTATTACTACGATGATGTGGGTCTCCTATTTTTGTTTGTCGTAGAGATCGCGGTGAAAGGCAGGCGGCGTGGGAGATGAGAATTGTGAGCACGTGCTGAATGGGAACAGAAATGGAGTGTTTCCAAATGTTGTGCGTTCGTGGCAGTTATCGGAGCACTTTTTGGAGGGATTGAGACCGGACTGGTCTTCGCTTTGAAGGTATGTCCATCATGATCTGACCCGACGACTCAGACTGACAACATTCTAAGTCCGGAATTGAGAAAGACAGACACTGGCCCGTCATCCTCATGGGCGTCATTTCCACTATCCTCCTCTCAGCAGGTGTCCTCCGCCATTACTGGGACATCTACATCCATCGAACAGTCCGTGGAATATCCTTCATTTTCGTCGGCATCGATGCAGCAGGCGATGTCTTCTCCCTGATATCCGTTTGTGCGTTTCCCGACCCGTCACACCACACCCTCCTACCCACTCACCAATCTTTCACCTAAATGACTAACAAACACAGTCTTCCAGTCTAAACTCGATATCCTCGGAATGGTCATCTACGCCACCGAGTTTGTCCTCTGGTGCGGAGTGTTTGCATGCGGTGGATATTTTAATTTACGACCTTGGATCAAGCAGAAGTTAAGAGCAAAGAAAGATGGACATGGAAGTCTGGAGGAGTCGACTGTGGGTGTGGAGGCAGGGAGAAGTGGTGTCTCAAATGATGTCTCGCTACATCAGGTTCCGTCTTCTACTTCTGTGTTTAGAACGCCAAGTTCGGTGGTTGCATCGAGGTCGTCGGTGAGATTAGAAAGGGTTGGTTGAGCTGTTATGGGAATAGATAGAACTCGGAAAAGGAAAAAGAAATTGCTCACTTCTTGCTAGTTGTGGACTTTATATGTGATGCGCAGCCACAAATTGGGGTGGAGATCCCTAAGTCACAAAGATAGAGGTCCGCGCAAAATACATCGGCGCCAGAGAGAAACCCTAAAAAAGAAACGACAAAAAGATAGGAAGAGATCCCCTAATATATCTTAAAAACCAAAAAATAATCATAGAATGAGCCATGCAGGGGTCGAACCTACAATCTCTTGATTCGAAGTCAAGCGCCTTGCCATTGGGCCAATGGCCCCGTTATCTATGATTGGATGATTTCGAGGTGCTTATTTCAATATATATCTGGTTCAAAAAAGCTTTGTGCGGAAGTTTCTTCGGCTAAGTGACAAGCGACTTTGACCCAGAACATATTTTATAGATCTCGTTACAACCCGAAAAAAAGAGAACAATACCTGAGATTTCATAAGCTAATATTTTATTGATTTAATGGAAAGATCGAATTCTTCCAGTCTCAATTGGCGATGAGATTCAAGGGAGAGATAATGCTTCAAGGGAAACAGCACGACTATTTGTTCAGACAGATACCCTACGGTCCTTGAACCGCGTAAGCCCAGAAAGAAGCTTCCATCGGAAAATGTGATAGGTTAAACGCACTCGCGTTTCAATCTTAAAGCCCTTGCCTTAATTATTATAGCAACCCAATATAAATATGATTTACAAGATACCCCGGTATCAATCTCAACCTAACCCTCTGGATTTAGGAATAGGCAGGTGGCTGCTCCGAATATTCTGGCAAACCCGCAATGCCCTCAAACGCCCTCTTTCGACACTCCTGGAGATCACCCCTCTTCTCATCCAGCACCGCCTTCAACCCATTCAACTCCTTCTGAATATCATCTCTCCTCCGATCCGAAGCTCCAAACTCCCTCTGCAGACCCGTTCTCGCAGCCTGCAGCTGCTTCAGCGCTTCCTGGATCCTCTTCCGCATATCGTAATCGGAGAAGACATTGTCAAACACCACGTTACTCATGATGTCCATCTGGGGAATCCTGATATTCCCAATCTGCTGAACTGCAGGCTGCACACGCTGAGCCTGCGCGATCAATTGCTCGACCTGGGAGACGTTCTGCTGGCATTTGATCAGGGCGCTGTGCTCGGCCATCTCCGCCCACGTGCCACCGAATCCGTACAGGTCCATGGCAGCGTGGTTCTCTGCATCCAGGATATCGTTGATTGCGCCCTTGAGGAATTTCTCAGCATCAGTCAGGATATCGCGAGCTTGCTTCTCCGTGCTGAGCTGAAGCGAGATGGTGTTGTAATTCTGCTCGGCTTGTCCAACGGCGTACTCTTTCTGATCCTCTTCTGGGATTTCCGGGGTCGGACCGTCGAATATTGATTTGTACAGGGCGTCCAGTTCCTTTTTGGCGTTGTTGTGAACATCTACAATGCCACTGAACTCGGCATTTGTCCTGGTGGCATCTGAGAGGTCACTATTCAGATGTTCAAGAACTTGCTTCGTCTTTAATTGTGATGCTGCGAGGGATTTAGCTGAGCACCTTTCGGATTTGAGAATTTCGTACCAACGGCATCTAGCCATTCCTGCTCCTCTCGTGATGCATCGGCCTGGAATTTCTCCTTCTTCCCGCCAAGCTTAAAAGCTAGTCTCTTCATGTGAGAGTCGCGATACCTCTTATGATCAGCATATTCGCGATCGACATGTTTATTCAGCTCTCCCAGCTTCTTCTCCTGTGCAGCGATATCCTTCTTCAAAGAGCTGATGTATTGATTCGATTGCTGGAACGCCGAAACAGAGTATTCTGTCTCGGAGATAGTCTTGAGCAGGCTTGTGTTTTGTGCCGAGGCTGCTTGGAGACGCTGGTGGATGGAGGTCATCTTGGCTTCACTGTTTGATGGATATCAATTAATTAGTCGATCTGTTGTGAGGACAATACGTGAGAGAGAAGCGTCGTATATATCTTTCAAGTCTGCGGCGCAGTTCTCCGGCTGAACCACTCGGTGGGGCTTTGAGGCATCGGCGGCTTGGCTGGGCTGTGTTGTTGGTGGGAAGTGCTCTGTGACGTATTTGTCTTGGAAGAATGACAGTTCTTTGATGGAGACATCTGGTGATGATCGAAATAACCGAGGAATGGGTTTGGATTGATTTACGAAAAGAATAATGCGATTGAGATGGCTATCTATGGCCAAAAGTCACGAGTTTTTTTTACCCCGCAGCTCCCCGAAATATATCCACATCTTGGGCTCAACTCGACAGAATGAAGCCAGTCAGTGCAGCAGCTACTAAGATGTAACAATATCAATAGTCTGTTGGACAAAGATCTGCCAATATTAATCGCTAGAAGCGAAACTTACGAGTGTCATTGAAGGGAAATCTCTCCTTTCTTCTCTACTTCGTGCATCTATATGCTAGGATACCGGCCCTGAAAACAATTGGCTGCGGAGCTTCGACACTTACCCCCAGCTCTTGTGTTCATAAATTTAAATGCAGGCATTTGGTAACAGGACAACGATAGAATGCTTTGCTCCTACTTCTCGTCGGCACACAGGTTTCGTGATATCAAACAAGCAGAAGCAGACGCACATGAAAGGAAAGAAGATGCCTCGTTCCGAACGCTTTCTCAAAAGGAAGCTCAAAAAACATTGCAAGCGAGCTCAGAACCAATAATGGAACGTAACATGGAGCTTCAAGGAGAAACTGGCCCTGAAGCCGACGCTTAAGGTTCCACACTGGCCCCAAGACGGGGAGATTGTGATCATACCCCGCTAAACGAGGCTCATATGACGGGGTTCTCTATGTGCCAACACTTTGAAATGATCATTTCGAATGCGGAGATCCTTCTAGTGCAAGCAAGTGGGTTTGTTTATCGGTCATGCGCAAACTTATGGTGATGCCGAGACTAGGTCCAGGCGACCTCTCTTCCTGGGGATCCATTGTTCTCGCCTGCCAGCCAATCTTAAAATTCCCCGGAGACAAGTATCCCCACTACTCCCGCTTGTTCTCGACATGAGACAAAGTATATATGAACGACATCCGTTGCGATATCAACTCCGCAAGCCATATCTCCATGTCGCGCCGATGTTGTTCAGATTAAGTATCTATGTACTTTGTTTTATCACCCCAATTCTTGCCGACTATGCATGGCAGGACCAACTTAATGCGCGAGAAGATTGGCAGAAGTACGTGCGAGCACCCCCATCTAATGTTGTACGACCTGTACGCGTGCTCGGGAAATATACACGTGGGAATGTCACCAATCCAGAGGGGTTCCTCACCGGGAAAGGATCCACGATTTTGACAAGGAACGGGACGGCACAAAACACGACATGGGCGTTTGCTGACCCGTATGACGTTCCGCCGGCTATTGTTGTTGATTTCGGTCAGAATATTGCGGGACTGCTCTCCATTAAATTTGGAGGGGCGTACAATTCAACTCCTGGACTTCCTGGCATCCGACTGGCATTTTCAGAAACTCTTCAATTTCTCAGTGATTTGAGTGACTTTTCGCGTTCAAACAATGTGAGTTACTCCACCTCTTCCATCTTCAAAACTAAGAAGTCAGGGAGAAACAATTACCCCGGGATCTGATCAAATCGCCGTTCGCCATGACCCATACACTTGGACAGCAAAACGCGGCTGTGATTTCAAAAAGAAAGTCTGTAACGATGGCCTTCACGGGTTCAGATATGTCAAGATCTATCTTGACGCTCTGCCTTGGGATGCTCCATATACCTCGTCCTACGGTAAAGTCTCGATCGATTCCATGAGTCTAAATTTTACTGGCTTCCTTGGAACTCCAGCCACTTTTACTGGCTACTTCGAAAGTTCCGATGACCAACTCAATCAGTGGTGGTACGACGGAGTCTACACCAATGATATGTGTACCGACACATTTCGACTCAGTGATACGGACCCAAGGAGTGCAGGAAGTCCAACCCTCGTTGGCAAGCTCGTTCTTCATGATGGCGCAAAGAGAGATCGAGATCCATACGTTGGAGATCTTGCAGTTGCTTCGAGGACTTCGTATCTAAGTCATGACACTTCAATTGCAACGAAGAATGTCCTGGCAGATATTGCAGATCATCAAAGAGACGATGGCTGGCTTCCTCCTGCGTCAATGTAAGTCACATGAATGAATTTTGAATGTCTCTGACTTTTCCAGTAACAACTATACTCTCCCGCTGTACGACTATCCTTTATGGTGGGTAGCGTGCAGCTATGATCTATTCATGTATACTGGGGACGTGGATTACATCACCAAATACTACCCGAATCTACTGAAAGTCCTTGATACATTCTACCCCTCCACAACCGACCCCTCAACTGGACTTTTGGATAAACGACTAGGAGTCACAGGAGGATATGGAGACTATGCTTTCCTTCCTCGAAACGGTCCAGTCACATACTACAACGCGCTGTATGTCATCGCTCTTGACAATGCTGCATCTATGGCCAGATATCTGGGTCGTGAGGGTGATGCATCTCGCTGGAGTACACGTGCCCGCAACGTCTCCGCTGCAATGAACAGCTTGTTCGATCACTCAGCTGGAGCTTTCTATGATGGGATATGCGACAATGACATTCTATGCAAGACGCATGCCCAAGACGGGAACAGTCTCAGCATCCTGGGCGGAGTAGCAAATTCCACGCGAGCAAAATCGATACTCTCATACCTATCAATCAACAATGCTCGACCGTACGGGAATTCCTTTTACGACAATGACGTCATTGGGCCGTTCTCGCAGCGAGTCTATGCATTTATTTCGTACTTTGAGATTGAAGCTCGCTTCAAGACTGGCCTGGCGGTTAGTGCTTTGGAGGAGATCAGACGGCTTTACGGCTGGATGTCAATACACGATCCCGGTATCACGACCTGGGAAGGTATCGGACCAAATGGAACACCGTACGAAGACGGATTCACATCCATGGCCCATGGATGGGGAACTGGTGTTGTCCCTGCATTGACGAACTACATCCTAGGTGTCATGCCTTCAGGGCCAGGATTCTCAACTTGGAGCGTGAAGCCGATTCCGGGAGATGTAAAGTGGGCGAAGGGGAGGGTACCGACTCCGAATGGGCCTATCAATGTTGGATGGATTCGTGATTCGAATGGGTTCTACCTGAGTGTTACGGGTCCGGTTGGAACGAAGGGTGTTGTCTCGATTCCGGCTGAGAATGGGACTGTGTATTATGATTCAATGAGAGTGGACGGGAGAGTGGATAATGGATATATGAGTATGGCCGTGGAAGGTGGCGGTACTCATTCTTTTACAGTGAAGTATGAGGGATAGTAAAGCATCAAGGTAATGTTTTTTGCTTAGTTAGGCCGGTTGTTTTAGATAGCCGTCAAAAAACGAACAATCAAATTCCCTCTCCATACCAACCAGAAATGTTATGTCACTCGATAAATAACAATTTTCATCCCCTTCTTCGCCGGCTTAGTTGCAGCTCCTTCCCACACCAGGAACTATCATCAATGGATGCCAAGACTAAATAGTAATACGTAGAGATGATGTGTCACAGCAGGGAAATAGTCTGTACAGAAAGCTAGTCTCAAAGACATCGTTTATATTTTGGATCGTGTACATATTGCCAGCTGGTGAGCCAGCCACATGAAATTGTTTCCTACAGCCACAGCCATCCTCTTAATTTCAGCCCTGCTCTATCATCTAATGAGTATACCTAAAGAATGGATTCTTTCTATCAGTCTGATCGGCAAACGTCATATTCTCCCTCATTTCGGCCTTTTGGTCCTCACTCATGCCCTCCAGAATCCTCTCATTCTTCCGATTCAACATACCATTGTACCACCTTAATATCATAATCATAAAATACAAAGCACCAAGTGTAGCGATGATGCTGATCTTGCCCGAGATATATCCCGGGGCTTCTTTTGCTTGGAAGGTTTGCGTACCGAGGATGTTTCCTGTAGCGAAGGAGACCATTGTCAGAGCATTGATGGTGACTTTCTTGGTGTGGCCCGCGATGTTTCTGATTTCGTTAGCAGTGAGGCCAGACAGAGACGGGGGCTGTTATGACTTACGATGCATTCCAAGCAAGGAGCAACATGAAAGCCGCCCCAAATGTACCAGTCAAGAAACTGGCTGCCAATAGACCAGCCTTGTTCTTTGGAACTCCATTCGGATCCAGGCCTATCATCAGACCAGCACCAAGAATGGTAGGAAGAATGGCAATCAACATGACTGAAGTCCTGTCTCTCCATTTGTCTGACAGATATCCAACGCCGAGCACGCAAATAACGCCGACCGCTCCACCAGGAGCGGACATGAGAAGTGCTTCTCTTGAAGTGTAGCCAAAAGTTGTGAGGAGGATGGTATTGAAGTTCGAGATACCACCATTTGGGATGGAGCTGAGCATGGTGCAGAGACAGACCAACCAGACGCGAATATCCTTGAAAGTTTCAAACACCTAGACAATTAGCTGATATCCTTTCCACGAGATATAGACCTACCTGATCCTTCTTCAGATGAGAATTCTGCGTCCCACTCTGATTACGTTTCGTTCTCAACAACGCAGCCACTTTCTCCGCGTCCGAGAACCTCTTCGCCTTTACTGGCGAGTCGGGTAGAAAAACACAAACAAGTGCTCCAATACCAATCGTCAGCCCACCAATAGCAACAAAAAAGATCCTCCAGCTCGCAAACTTCGTATGTATGAAGCTAACTCCATATGCTAACAGCCCGCCAAAGATCATCGTGAGAGAGTTGCAGACATAGAACCAGGATACGCGTCTTCCTTGTTCTTCTTTCTTATACCACATTGCGATGATCAGGACGAGGATTGGAGCGACGCAGCTTTCGAACATGCCGAGGAGAGTGCGGCAGATTGCGAGTCCAGCGAAGGAGGTACATGCTGCGTGGCAGCCGAGAATGAAACCCCAGAGCATGATGTTGACTCCTAGGTAGAGACTGAGACGAGAGATATGCTGGGCGAGGTATTGTGTTGGGAACTCTGCTGCGAGGAAACCTAAAGCTGTTAGCGATAAACAAAGGATGTAAGACGTGACGAACCGATATAAAAGAGCATGGACAAATTCGAGTAGTCTTGTCCTTTCAAGTTTGTATCGTCCCTGATTCCCATAACTGCGGTGTACGACAAAGTGGTCTTGTCTAGAAACTGGAGGAAGTAGACGGCTGCAAGGAGTGGTGCAATCGTCAAATCGATCTTGCGGATCAACTTCTTCAATTGTTTTGGATCATCGAGTATAGCGTTTCCTTCAATTGCTATATCGACAGCACGAGAATGATTCGTCAAGAATTCGAGAGCTTCATCGGCATCGATGAGGTTGGCGACTGTGACTGTCCCGTTCTGAATTTGAGATGGCTTACGGCCATCAATGCCACTGAGAGTCTTTTCTTGGTCCATTTGAGCTGACATGTTTTGCTTGCTCGGTTGAAAACAGAGGGAATGTGATGGTTATATTCCCAAGCTTATGTATAATTCCCGATGACATCTTCGATTCTCTCAAATCGCCTGTGAGCGGAATACCGAATGCTGCAAGTTGGCCGTCCAATACCACGTCCGTGATTGTGTATCCTTGCATGATGAGATAGATCATCTCAGTTCAGATAAGCTTCAACAAGGCGGAGTATTGATTGGGAGCTTCCCAAATGGGCGACGTTGAGATGATCTGCGACCAGGATGCTGAATGCTCAAGAGTGGAGGTATGTCGGGATCGTGGAAGATGGACAAGTAACGGGGGGAATTCTCCGCAGATCACTGATGTGGCCGAGGGAAAGAAATTAGAGATAAAGATAAAGCACATTGATACATTCTGAGTAGCTGGGAAAGCAGAACACGCGCCGCAATGTCACGAAGTAAATCAGACACGGCAGAGAAGCAGCGATGATCACGGTCAAATATGGGCATCAAAACTTTGAGTTGAATGCTAGAAATAAGTGGATATAGCTGACTAGAGTCACTAGACCTTCGAGAACAGAACAGTTCACACATCAAGACATTACAATTAATCCTCCGCCTCCATGTCCTCAAACTCCGGGAAGATCAAACCCAGGAAGTTTGGGCCAATTACCAAGAGCTGCTGGATCACCACCGATTCTGACGAACTGACCAACCGAGGGAGTTGGTCCGTCAAGAACGAACATCATATACCACGTTGGCGGGCAGACGTGTGAATTAGGAGGAACGGTAACCGTACAGGTAGTTCCTGAGCAGCTGACTGCAGGGAAGAGAGTTCTCTGCCCCATGCTGTTCCCGTGTGTGCTGGAAACGGAGCCGAGGAGTGAAACCTTTAAGTTCGCAGTTGATCCAGATGTCAGAGTGAACGTGACTGTAGTTCCATACTTCCAGTCCTTATTGACAATAGAAAATCTCGGTCTCGCCAACCCAGAAAGCAGGTAGGGCGGCGAGAATACCTCAACTCTGTACTCCTCTGGCCAGTTCGTTGGAGGTGAGTTGAAATCTCCAGTCGGATCTGAACCAGTGACTAGAACTCTACCATCGAGGAGGACCAGTGCCTCGGAGTGGTACATGCGAGCCACGGTAGTATTGGCCATGACGCTCATTCTTTGGTGGACAGGCTTCTTTGGGTCGTACATGACGGCGTTGTAATTTGGTGCACCACCAAGACCGAAACCAGCGACACCGTGTTGTCCGCCGCCCACGATAACGTAGGTTCCATCTGGAAGACCGGCCATGTTTGGCATAACTCGTCTTGAAGGCTACGAATTGTCAGTCAGATTCACAAACGTCAGGAAGATGCATACCATTCTCTCGATTGTCCAGACTGGGTTTGCGGCTTCTGGATAAGCAGAAACACAGTTGTCAATCGCATATCCACCTCCTTCAGTCGATCCACCACATGCCAGAACACCCATTGGATCCGTAAACGGCGCATATTGAGGCAATGCAACCATTGAACCCTGCAACTGATATGTTCTTCCACCATTTGGATTATTGACAGCGCCTGGGAGGTTCGGGAGGATCTTCTTGGTCGCAAAGGTCTTCTCATCCAGGATCCTCGCTTCGTTGTAATACAAGATGAAAATGCCAGATGGGATAACCATAATAAATGGATAGAGATTGAATGGGTGAGTTCGCTGCAGGAAATCCAGGTAGACGGTTCCTCCTCCAGTTCTCGGCAGGATCTCCAAGTTGGGCTGTGCATCTGCGTTCTGTCCAATCTCACCACCAACAACAAGAATCGAGCCGTTTGCCATGATCATTGCAGATGGATACCAACGAGCGACGAGCAATTGGAGATTATTTGGATCTTCGACCCATTGACGAGTACCCTTGACTCCAGCAGATCCATCTGGCCAATACAATCGAATTCCGTAATTTGACTGACCAGCCCAGCCACCGACCAGAATCTGTCGACCTGCTTTGTCTGGAAGGGTGAGACCCGCCGAGCAGAAAACATCGGTCTTGAAACCGTTCATTGTTCTCCACGCATTGGCAGCATTGCCAACCTGGGAGAGGTCGAGCTCGTATGCTCCTGTGCCGTTTGGAGCCCCAGTTCCATATTTCTCAACGAATGTTACCTTTCCATTGATTGCCTGTGAAGTGATGAGAGGTACGGTGACTCCGCCTATCAGAAGAGAGTATCTTCCAGCCGCATTTCCAACTGGAAATGAGAATTTCGTGGGAGATGTCGTCCAAGTGTAGTAGGTCAGCTTGTTTCCAGATCCACACCAATAATTCTTGTTCCCACTGCACTGAGCATTACATTCCGAGTCGGCGTATTTGATCGGAGGTGCGACACGAGTGAAGGATTGAGGATCTTGGGGATTAGTTGAGGTTGTGGGCCAAGATGCGACGTTGATGTTCTCAATATCTCCGCAGACTGGATTTATTAGCCCAGATCTCGCTTGGGAATCTCAAACATACAGCATTGCGAAGAATACTCTAACCCGGCGGCATTATATCCGAACTGCTGACAGCGAGCAATGCACGAGGGTGCGTCGTTGGTTGCAGTGTCCCAGACTTTATATGGGAACGTAGGAATTTGGATGTTTGCATTTTCCCTAGCATTGATATTGTCCCTGAACTGGTCAGAGTGTAATTTAATGGTATCGGATTGACTTACTGGATACATCCAGAATAAACCCAACCTGATGGGAGACCAGTTCTTTGAGGCCCAGGGCCTGCCGGCTGAGTTGGTTGAGCAGTTGGTGTCGTGCCTGGATTGGCCGTTGATGATCCCGGAGTAGTTCCTGTTCCCTTTTTGTAAACAGACAAGCGATTGCCCGCTCCACATTTCTGCGCTGAATTCCCAGCACATGGAAAGCTACAATCAGCTTGAGGGGCAACTGCAGACCCAGCAGCGAAAGAGTTTCCACAATAACCTATCAAGTCAGACCTCGATTCTCAAGATTGGGCGATGCTCTCACATTCTCGACCATATTCCGTTCCGAAGTAGGTGTAGCCAGCACAATCTGTCGCACATGACTGCAGGGTCATTGTATCATATGCTGTTGCTTTTAACCCTAAAGCTCTCGCATTCGTTGCCTCGGTCTGGCATCCATAGTACGTCCATCCTGTGACAGCTGACTGCCTTTTCTCAATGGTTCCGGCGAGCGAACTGGAAACCTATCAATGTCAGTATAGAAGCTTTCTTGATTCCATTCTAACTTACTAAAGATGCAAGCAGTGCTGTTTTCACAGCAAGCTGCAGAGAGTAGGTCATGATTCCAAACGATTGTATACAGGCCAAGGAATTAGAAAAACGAACGAAAGAGTTTCCTGGTCGTCACTTCTCTGACCCAAAAACGAAGGTGGTTAAAGAGAGAGATGATGATAAAGTGACAAAAGTCCCGAGGAAACAAAGTAGGGCACGGCAGGATTATAGACTGTGAAGGCCCAAAGAAGAAAAAGTCCGGGGTGGAGATGAGGCTTGGAGCTTGTTCCAGAGCTTTGCTAGGGCTGATCCACACCAGGGTGTATGTATGCACGCCAACACAACCCCTTCGTATCCATCCACCTCCTTGCACATCAACCGTAACCTTACTCCGAATCTGACAAAAGCAGTTGAAAATCCCACAACCCTTGCGATCATATCCCTCTTCTTGAGATGTCAGAAGAAGATATGATAAAATGTAGAAACCACAGACGTTTTCAGGCCTTTTCCCCCAGACACGATACGACGATGCTCAGGGGGGAATCAGGCACGAGTGGCTATTACTGGTCGACAGAGATGAAGTCCCTGTGGCTGAATCCAAGACCCAAACTTGTCTTCGGCACTTGCCAATCATCAACAGGCCCCAAAGCATGAAATCTTCAGGTGACAGCGGCAGCAACGTTTCTATTGGCGTACTGGCTTGCATCCTGCAGGCAGTCGATAGCTCGGACTCGCTCAAGCAAATTAGGATCTCACCGCATAATTTCGGGAAGATGGGGTGAGAGGACTGGGGAGGCCAAGCCCGCCAATCAGGCGGATAAGCTTAACTTGCAAGTCTACAGTAGGTAAGTCTGGAGATCAGCTCAAGGAGGTTGATGATGATCAATCTAGGGCGTACGCTATGTTGAGCTACCCGCGGGGACTTGGTCAACCGAACGCTGGAGATCCGCCCGCTGGAGACGGGCTGGACTACTTGTACTAAATATACTTGGCTAAACTTTCGTGTCGGTACTCTCCCCCCCCCCCCCCCCCCCCCTCCCCGGCTTGAATATTAAATGTGAACTTTTGCGGGTCGGAGGCCTGACTTTCAAGCGCTAAGTGGTTAGAGGCCCTGGATAGAGCCAAAAGCATAAGACAGAATTAGGTCTGTTGTAATAGCAAGGGTGCCTTTAGAAGGTTTGAGAGATACTTAAGCCCTGCTCAAGGCCAGATCTCTAATGAATTATTGGATAGACACCCCTAGTAGCTACCCACACGAGGTCCAGTTTTCTACACATTTAACATTCAAGGCGGGGGGGGGGGGAGAGTAGCAATAATAATCTCGCTGAAAAGTCAAAAGGCGGCTGAAATGGCATCAATTTTGACAGCGAGTCGCTGAAGTTAATCCCCCGCACTTACTGCTGACGTCGAGCTGCAGTTCTGGAGGTCTGTTTGTTCAGTTTATTACTGTTGAGGCGAAAGAACGATTGGAACTTTAATTCGAGGAATCTAATGTTCATCATCAGCCTTGTTTCCAAGCAAGAATCGATGCCAATCATAAGATAGACCAAAACTTTATCGTCGGGTCCGAGAATCTGAGAATTGGGTACAAATCGCGCAGCTGGGCCGAGTTGTAGACATAACCGGCAGTCCACGACTCTACATACTCATCTCATTCATCCCCATAATCTTGACATCCTGGTACCGATACGAAATCTACCAGGACTATTAATGCCGATCATGACCTATTTTGAGAACCTTTGTTATCTTGACCAGCACGGGGAGGAAGAAGGACCGGAACCATGAGAGGAGGATTATTTTAGAGTGCTGACAAGACAAGGTGCGGATGAAAAATCCCAGAACGACGACGAGTCAAAGGATGACCCTGGAGGTGTGCTGGTGGTGCTGTACGTTCTCTCTCAGCAAATCAACTGGGCTTCGTTCCGGACCGTCAGATCTTATCGTGAGTAATCACGGCGAGAACATCTTTCCATGCAGCCGCATCTGTCATCTCGTATCCAAGGTCCAGTAGTAGTACTGTAGTCGCATTATCATTGTGAAGGGCGACGATGATCCAGTCTGCAGTTCTGCTGCAAATGCACTTCTGACCCGACGCCATGTGATTGCATTGCATCAAAAACGGCATGCCGTGTCACCATCGCCGTCACCGTCACCGCCCCATGCGAAAATCCTCCATCATCCCAGCCTCACTCAAGTGGTACAAGAACCTGGGGTTTATCCCGCTTTTGGTGGCTCAAACAGTCCATCCGACCCCACCAACTATCGACGGCATGCTCTAAGGCTAAAGCGTTCGTCGGTGGAGACATCCAAAATTATATCTTGTCGATCGAATCCTGTAGTTGTATTTTTCGGGTTTGAACTGGAGATGAGATGGACACTTGCTGAGGCTCTCCTTTCCGTCTTTCCCAGCTTTTGGGGATGGAGACTTTCAAGCAACTGACTGAGGGGGTTCTCGTCAGCATGCATGCAGCGTGCATGCAGAGGCGAGAGAGAGGCTGACAATGGCATGAAATGCATACCTCAGGAACGGAACCGCACTACGAGTATCTTCGATTGAATTCAATTGTTGCGATGATGATCCGATTCGGTGGGTATGTCTCTCGGAGTCTCTCTCCACTCTGCACCCTCGACGCCGTGTGCCTCATGCCGGCAGCTTCTGGATCCTTAGTCTGCTTCTTTTGTTATCACTTCTCGGTGTTCCTTCCACTGGGACTTGTGGAAAGTTTCAACGATATGCCCAGGGCGCATACGAATGCGAGGAAGTACTGGGTGATCCGCGCTGACCTACTGTACACGAGGCCCAGTTGCGTAGGTGAGTGACCCAAAGAGCCCGCAGATTGGCGGAGTATGACAGCAGGATCACAGACCAGGAATTGTATGTCTGAGAAGATGATCTGGGGTTTTTGTGGGCAAAGGCTGCCAAGTTGAAGCCACCCACGACTGCATCGCCAAAGCTGCTGGAAATACAGGACTTGCGATGCCTCAGGCTTGACGCATTTCGCCAAGCAACAATCTAGCGTTTCTTCCTCAGATCAGGATGCAGTCCCATCAACAACAACCTTACGCATATTCACAAATTCGTACATGCAGACTATTCAAAACCAGAAGCTCTGTCATCACTGGATAGCTGATCCGTTTGCAATGCTTCCCATTCATGTACCTTTTAGTTCAACCTTACTCCAAACACCTTGGGTAGTCCGAGATACTTGGCCTTCTTGATTACTTTTTCTCTGTGGCTCGCAAACCCAAATGCTTTACTCTGCATGCTTTTAAGAGTTCTTTTATAAGCATATCTTGTTTCATTTGCCTCTTTCGTATCAGTCTGTGGCTTCGATACACAACAAACAGTTGTTCCTGCCTATCAGCATGTTCACCCTGAGCGGTCCGTGGGTTTCTGTTTGGGGTAAGGAAGTTTAACTCTATCCAACCCACCAAGCACAATACAGTTGCAGGAGTGGGCACAATATACTACTCTCCAACATGACTCGATTGCTGGATCCTGGGTGTTCTGCACCTTTACAGCTGACCTCCATCTAAGTTTGACCATGTATGATCAGCCTTGAAGTAGTTCTTCGACTACCCACACCTCTTTCAAAATATGGATTGCAGAATTATACTCCACAAAATATTGGGTTGCATATCCACTTTCTACTTTGTGAAGTTGTAAATATTGCAAACGACCCACGATGGCTTCAGTCCAGTCGTCTATATCCCGGTATGGCGAGCCCACTCCCTCCATGACGTCCAAACGAGAAACAATGGACCTTACAGGAAGCGTCTACCTCATCACTTCTGATGGAGAGACTATCAAACTCCCCATACCCACAAAGTCCCGTCGCGATCCACTCAACTGGGGAATGTGGAAACGAGTATGGGCGTTCGCAGCTCTTCTCTTGTCTGCTATTTCAAGCTTTGGTGTGGTTCAAGTCGTGAGCTTAGTGCTTCAACCACTTGTTCTTGAGTATCCTTATGAGGTATGTACTATGTTATGTGATGCACTTCCATTGATCATTTCAGGAAACGAAACCATTTGATATTACCATCCTCCAGTCAACACCAACCCTTTTCATGGGTCTGGGGGCCTTCATCTGGATTCCACTATCCCTCGCCGTCGGTCGACGACCAGTTCTTTTACTCTGTTCTCTTATTGTACTTATAACTACAATTCTTGCTGGCTTCTTGAAAGATTTCTACCCACTAATGACCGCTTTATGTCTTCAAGGACTAGCAGCGGGTGCATGGACAAGTTTGGTATGTTTCGCTGCTCGGCTGAACACCGACGCTGACATTTTCAGGCGATCCTTGTTGTCATCGACCTCACTTTCATTCACCAACGTCCTATCGCCATTGCTATGATCTGGTCGCTCGTCGGTGCCGCCGACATGTGCATGCTATCCGCCCTGCCTTTCATGGCAGATGCTATGGCCAACTGGAGGGTCTTCTACATGATCTGGACTGGCCCTGCCGCCCTCGCCTGTCTCGCAGTCTTCTTCCTCTTCCCTGAGACCTATTTCGTCTGGCCGGCAGTGGCTTTTGACGGGCGAATCATAGTCCAGAGCGCAACCGAAAAAATCAAACTATATGACTCCTGGGAAGAAGTTCCCGGTGGCAAAGATCTTCCAGAAACTCCAGGCTGGAGCAGATACGACCTGAAGGTCTGGGGAACCACAAAAGGCGGCTGGAAAGCCATGCGAGCCTGCTACCCACAGATCCTACTCTGTATCCTCAACCCTCTCGTCTTCTGGGTAGCTGTCCTCGAAGCTCTCGTCTTCGGAAGTATGCTCTCCATCGGCGAGACCTACGCCACAGTTCTTCTCGCTCCCCCTTACTCTCTCCCTATTCATATCGTCGCACTCGTCAACATGGCCGGGGCAATCGGCTCGCTCGCTGCCTGGCCCGCAGCTGGTCTCCTGGTCGTCACTATAACTCGCCGCCTGTCTATGAAGAACAGGGGCGTTCGCGACGCAGAGTATTACCTCCCAGCTTTCATTCTCCCCGTCCTCGCAGCCGCCGCCAGCGTCGTAGTCTACGGTCTCGCCGTCCAGCGGAAGTGGCATCCCGTCTGGATATACTTCTCCTACACGCTCAACTCATTTGGTTTCGCTGGTCTCGCGGCTGCGAACTCGCTGTGGGTGACGGAGGCGTTTCCGAGGTGGGCGGCTCCTGCGATGGTGATTGTGAGTGGGTTGAGCTACGTGGCTAGCTTTGGGATTAATTTCACGATTGTTCCTTGGGTTAAGAGTCAGGGGTATGCGGGGCAGAATTTGCAATTGGGAGGGGCGATTTTGGCGGTTGGACTGGTGGCTGTGCCGATTAGCTTTTGGGGGAAGAGGTTGAGGCAGTATATTGATGGGAAGTGGGCTGTTAATGAGATGGGGGCTTTGAGACCGCAGTAGGTGATGAGGCAGTAGTGTTTGATGGGTGTGACAGCAGACCGTATTTTGGTGAGAACCTTCTCTTGGTTTCAAGGTCCATCTGAGGAGAAAATTGGTTAATGGAGTAATTCACGCCGTGGCTGGACCATAGCGGGAGGTGGTGAAGAGATATCGAGGTGTCAGGGACGAAACAGTACAACGAAAGGGAGGTTTACAGCCAGGTCAAGCTCACAGAATGAAGAAGCGATTTTGAGATACACTATTCCATCTTTCTGCCTCGAGTTTTGTGATAATAGAAATCCTGCGTCCTGCGTCTTTCTCGTAGCAAGAGTCTTCACCTAAAAGAAACGGTTCATTGCACCTAGTGCCGTGTCCAAAAAGCTTCCCAGTGGAAGACAGATGTCGATGATGGGTACTTGATAGACTGGAGATCGATATTGAGTAGTGAGGAGTATACAGTAGTAATTTGGATCAATACGCAGCTTGCATAATAGTATCGTTTTTGCTGCATTCGTCAAGGAAACTTGAACTGTAAATAAACATTCCTAGGCGAGTGTTTAGAGTGATGTTTTAGCGAAGAGGCGCTGAAGACAACCCTGATGGCCTTGAATGTTCCATCAACTTTCACTCCCGCAAGATCACCAGCATCGACCGACCGGCAGCTCCTCTTCTTTTGCGATGTCTTCCTCCGGATCCGAATATGTTTCGATGGGTTCATACGTGGGTTTTGCAGTTTTCGATGGCAGTAATACAATCAAAGCTTTGCTTCAAGCAATGGTGGATCCACAGAGAACGGCATTGATGCGATAACTGAGCTACCTCGCTGGGACCAATGTATCAATCAACAACCAATATCCTCCTCACTGTCAAGAAGCTGCGAGATCATCCTTCAGCATATCTGCAACCTTTCTCAGCCCCCAACTGTGGACAACAGCACTGATCTCCAGCGACCAATGGCCATGATCTCCTCCTAGCTGGCGCGTATTTATCCCTCCTTTCCAACCCCGCCATCCCCCTCATGTGCCAGCCGCTGTCTGCCTCTCTCTCTCCCTCCCTCCACAATGTCCACAACCTCCGCTACCATCCACGGCTTCCCCAACTTCACCTACGAGCCCCTCGACCTCTCCGCCGTACGCCCCTCCATCCGCCTCGCGATCCTCGAGCCCGGTCACCGACACACCCCCATCCGCGTCAAACTGGGTCGCTCCGCCTTCGCAGACCGGCCAAAGTACGAAGCGCTATCATACACATGGGGGCGAGCCGACGACCTACGAGCTATAGAGCTCAACGGCGTGCGGGTTGAGGTGCGGAAGAACCTCTTCCTGGCACTGGTCCATCTGCGCCATACGTCCGAGGAGAGGGTGCTGTGGATAGATGCGATATGTATCAACCAGGCGGATCTGGAGGAGAGGAATAGGCAAGTGGAGTTGATGGCGTATATCTATGCGCGGGCGAAGAGGGTGCTGGTTTGGTTGGGGATTATAGTTCCTTTCGGCGCACAGACGATGGGGATGGAGGATGAGCGGGTTTATAAATTATCACCTTACCGGGGCTTAGATGATCTGGTAACGCTGTGTCATCAGTCGTATTGGAGGAGGATATGGATTGTGCAGGAGATTGGAGCGGCGACGGATTTGGAGCTCCATTGGGGGTTGAAGTCGCAGATCGATCAGGAGAATAATTGGCAGTCGAATTCGGCACTATGGGTGAACTTCTTTAGCAGTATAATGGAGGACGATGGTACGAACTTGGCTGTTAAGTTGGCACGGCAGAGAGAGGGAAGACACGGAGATAGTTTTCTGCTGGCGAATTTAATGGAGGTTTGCAAGGACTCGCTCTGTGAAGAACCAAGGGATAAAGTGTATGGATTCGTTGGAATTGCGCATGATTGTCAGGATGGAAGCTTCCCAGTCGATTATTCGAAATCCTTGTTCGAGGTATACGAAGATGTGGTTCGATTCCAGTATCGTTCTACGGCATCGAATACCAAGACGGTTGTGCACTTTAGTCAATTGGTTCAGAAGCTCTTGGGAGGAACATATCAGATGCAGCAGGATCTGGGGGACAAAAAGAGTCCATTTGTCGCACTGCAATCCAACAACGACAGAACGAAAGCATTCAAAGCAGTGGGTGTCTACACGGGAAGCGTATCTTCCGTTGGCTGTTCCTACGATGAATTCATCGCCGTCCCAGATGCTACTCGAAAATGGAAAGTCTCTCTCCAGAAATGCCAAACAGATCTCGAGAAGCTCCGCAAGAAGAACGAAGGATTCATGCGCGTTCTCCTGGATCTCGAGAAGTCCGAACTCGACAAGATCCGCGCCATCGAACCCAACTTCTCCTGGAAGGGTGCAAAAGACATGCATGGCGTCCTGGGGGTTCCAACGCGAGGTAGCAGAAGCGAGCACGAACTCCTCCCGCTCTTCAAATTCGGGCCTGAAGAGAATGGTTCGCCGGAACAGTCTGCTCCACGACTGTTCTCTACGCGTTCTGGTGTGATTGGATTGTTACCTAGCAATGCCCGGGTGGGAGATATGTTGTTTCATTTCTGGGAGTCGGATGTGGTTGCAGTTGTGAGGCTGGAGGTATCGTATGTGCGGATCATTGGGAGGGCGGCTGTTGCGAATACGGAGTTTGTGAGTGAGTCGAAGTTTTATACGCCGGGGGATTGGGTGGAGGATAGGGAGGGGGAGGGAGGTGGAGGGTTAGACTTTGAGAAGAAGGGGATTGAGTTGTACATGGATATACCTACGCTACAGGTGTTAACGCAATAGAAGATGGATCCAGCGCTCTAATTTAAATAAACACTGATGCCGAGTACTTCAAAAATAACTTGTGAGTATCTGTTATAGTGAAATAGAAGTTAGGTAGCTAGGCGATATATAAACAAAGAGCTTTAAATAAACCAAGTTAAATTCAATTCAACTTAAAGGTGATTATAAAAGGATAAAAGAAAAAAAAACAATTGGCTACGCCTTTTATAGCTGCTGACCGAGCGCAAATACACGATGTATGGCGCGTAGTAAAGCAAAGCTACAAGGAGAGTTAACTCCTGTAGTGGTGTCGTTGAGACACCAAGTTGGAGATAGTGAGAAGGAGCTTGTTCGGGGAGGGGTCGTTACCACGACCAGCAAGCTATCGGGGAGTATATAATAAGAATGTGAAGGTGAGTTTGATTAATTGAGAAGATAAAGGTGACAGGTGAGAAGTAAAATATAAGTTCGAGAGGAAGCGAGATACTAAAAGTAAACAACGCGACACAGTTGTTATCGACGCCACGAAGACCCAGTTCCTCGTCATTTCTCTTATTTTTGATTCCATATTTACATATATACAGATTCATACGTTATCATGACATTCATTTCTTCATGCAAACTTTTCTTTTTTCCCTCGTCATCCACATCCACATCCACATCCACATCCACCTCAACCCCTGCACCCTCCACCTAAGCAGTGGGCAAACAAGCACAAGCCGAGCTAACCCTCGAGATGACATTTCCGGAGCAAGCATTAGCCACATACGGAACAGTCGAGGCAAGAGCCGTCACATTGACATTAACGGTCTTGGTGAACTCTCCACAGAACGCCTTGCTCTCCTCGAGCTTGTCGGCAGATCGCATACCACGGAGACAGTTGTCGGCGTTGCAGGACTTCTTGCACTTGGGGAAAGCGCCAGCGGCTTTGGCGACGAATGCACCGCGCTCGATGCTAGTGGGGGTGTTAGATTTTGATGTTGCATAGAGGAAAAAGGAGGGAGACTTGACTCACGTGTGCACGAAGATGTAGCCGGACTTGAAGTAGGGGTAGTGCGACCAGGTGCCAGAGTAAGTGACATTTCCACCGCCTGGAAGGTTATCATCCTCTGGGAGGATATCGACGAAGGCGACCTCGCAGACATCAGTTCCCTTGGAGTTCTCGGGGATGGATGAGATGTCGTAGACGCGGAGACCGGAGCCGTAGTTGGATTGGTAGACGTGGTCGCCGATGACGTACTGGTTGTGGTCGATGGTGGTGGTGGTTCCCTTGTAGATACCGGTTTGCTTTGGTGCCTCGAGGGAGGAGATGTCCCAGACGTAGGTGACGGGGTATCTGTCGGCAGCTGGGCCTCGGAGGTTGACTTCGTCGGTCTCGTCTGGTTCGGATTAGCATGAGAGATGAACAAAGAGTGCGTTGTGCTTACCATCGAGAATGATGTACTGTTGCCATTCCTTGTCGAGAACCTCTCCCTGATGAGTGTACGAAGCTCCGGTGTAGGAAGTTCTTGATATAATGCTGGCATTGGCCTTGTCGGTGACGTTGTAGATGGTCAAGGTGTCCTCGTTGTAGCCGTAGCAGACATCGGTGCCGACATACTTGGTGTCAGGTCCCTTGTAAATCAAGCATTGAATGTCGTGGACATATCCGTCCTCTCCGGCACATCCAACACGCTTTGGGTTCTCAATGTCGGTGATATCCCAGAAGATGATGCCAGACCAGCAAGTTGGCTCACCCTGAAGTCTGGGTCCCATTCCAACAGTGACAAAGTATGGGAGAGAGTTGTGGACATGGACGTTGTGAGAACGGCCGAAAACAGACGGCTGGATGTGACTGGTCAAGTCACTGCTGGTGCTGATGGTACCATCGAAAGTTACCGGGCTGGCGGGGTCGACGGTAAGAAGCTTCTTCATGTCGAAGATCTGAACTCCATGATTATCAAGTTCACTGCCGATGACCATGTAGTTCTTGTAACCACGAAGCTCCTTCCATCTGGATCCTGAGCCGAGTGCTGCGTAGGATGTGCTATGGGTCGTTAGACAGGGACTTAAGGTTAGAAAGACACTTGACTCACAGGAAACCGAGCTTGACAAGCTGTCCGGTAGGGAGAATCTCCATGAATGCTGTCCCATAGTAGCAACCGGCGGCAACAAATTCACGCCCTGACTCCTCATCAGTCCATCCCCAAGATCCGGAGCCCATTGCGTTCGGGCAGCCAAGATCAGCCATGGGAATGAATGAGTACAAGTCCATCTTTTAAATATCAGTAGAATCCAAGGATAGATAAGGACAAACTTACATTGCGGCACTTGAATTGATGGCCTGGTACACCAGGAAGAGCATCGGCAATACCATTCGAGCAACGAACTCTCTTGTGCCATGCTGGGAACTCAGCGGCCATGATACCCATCTCCTCCTCCATTTCCCAGTGTGCCAACTTGGCGGTCATGATTTGGTCCATGGCCAGTCCAGAGTCGTAGAAAGCTAACGAGTTATGAGCAATAAATCATTTCCATAGGCCGGCATACTTACAGCTGGCAAGCTCTTCATTGACTGCCATTTCCACGGCGGCAGCACCACCCGCAAGGGCGAGCGCGCCGAATACCGAGGGTGTGAAACGCATAGTGACTGCGAGGCTTATATGATACAAGCTTTCAAATACAGTTCCGTCGGAAGTATCAGAGACAGTGGACGTTTGGGGTCGGGCGTGGGGGGAAACCAGCTCAAAACTGCGCATGCAGGACTACTTATATATCTCGCGCCCCTCCCAGCGAGCTCCCTCGACAGCTTGGCCATCATGGGATCTTCACTCAATGTTTCTTCGAAGAGAGCCGCTACAAGCCGTGGGTCCCGAATGCTGATGTCGACTTGCTGCAAGATAGAGAAGTAGAGCTAGGAAAGGAAGGAAACAAGAGGCTCGGCAGAGGGGTATCAGTACTACAATGCCTGAGTTTGTGGCAAGTCTATCTCGACGGTGATCTTGCCTGCATAGATAGCTTCCAAGCTAAGGCGCACAATAACGGTCCCTTGGCCTTGAAAGAGCCAGTCGGAGTTGTTGTGGAGGAAGTCAAAAGCAGGTACAAGATACAACCCCAGGAACCAACCCCAGAAACGGTGATCCCGTTGCAGGCACTGCCTCAGCAACCCCATAGAAGTCCAAGAGCCCAAGGATGTTTGCCATGTTTGCGAGAACTGTTCGTGGAAGCTCGTTATGATTTCCAAGACAATTGATGGTACCCCAAGAGTGGGTTAATCTGAAAGAGGAAGGACATTCGTCGCCAAGGTATATGGAATGCGGCATATACCCAAGACTTCCAAGACGCCAGCTTATCGCGATTTCATGGCAATGATGGCAGAATATTTTTGTGGGGAGTTATTGGGCCAGGGGCGGGGTAAAGAACTGGCGATTGGAAAAATCTCGACAGATAGTACAGAATTTGTCAAGACTTCCAGAAGGATGGAAGTAAATGAAAAAGGAGCAGAACTCGAAGAAAGGAAAATCACCATTGATACTGCAGAAGCTCTCAAACTGGGATGGAGAGGAGGATGCACTGAGTTCAATCCTGGATTAGGAGTTTCGTCCGAGCAGTATCAGAAACTCCTGGACTCTGAAATGGATTCCGAGTGGAACGGGCCGTGTTGATAGGCAATGCGAGGAGCAACAACGTCCTCGCTGCTAAGTCTTACCTCCAAACAGGAACGACAGTCCAACAGCTTTCTCCAGAAGAGCTCGACTGTCTCAATCAATCCTTCAGTGGGTCAAACTGTTGGCCATCAAGGTGGGCGTCAGCTTGTCGCAGTTGTACTCGAAGCCCACAGCAGTGGCTGATAGTTCTCCAGTCGAGTCATTGGCATCTCCAGGTTTGATTGTCGTATTATTCCTCCCCGCTGACCTCCGCAGTTTCCGGTATAGTCTTCTATCCATGCTCTCCTCCATTCAGATAAGACGTTCGACAAGCCTAGGGAAGTGTCTGGTCGGTATGCATATTTCGAGAATGGGGAAAGATATTTCGGGAGTGGGAACAAGACGTCTGTTGGGACTCTGGCGCATCGAATCTTTGATCCATCACTACTCAGGAGACACACCGCGCATGTCTCGCAGATCCAAACATCAGGTTTTATATGTTTAGAGGCTGGCTCCTATTGTTGCAGGAGACATGGGGACGAATATGAGGGCGATCGAGTGGGCTTCGTGGCATTCCCCCGTCATACATGAAACGGGATCCTACCTCCACCGTGCTGGTCGTCGTATTGCTCGCCAGCGCATGAAGAATCGACCTCGCGTTGCTTGCGTCCCAAGTCCTAGGTCAGATACGGATGCTCAGCATGTGGCGTGTGTTTTATCTCTGATGCAGAGTGTTGTTGTTGTTGTGACGGTGCTCGGTGATGGGAAACGGACAGGCACTGTTCGAATTAGGTTCAGCTGGGTCAGGACAGAGCCGCCAGATAACAATTCAGGGGCCCGCTTCACTGAAGCGAGTTTGTCCAGGGGCATGCGACAGTGAAAACAAGCCGGCAAAGAGAGAACTATTCAACTTGGGGGTTCCACTGGTATCGCATGATATCTATATCACAAGATGCAATCTGTTTTGCAGGTACTAAACACTGGGTTAAAGCTCATGAGACAGAGTCGAATACGACGATACTTAACCTGACGTTGATAGGAGCCAGTCTGAGTTTCAAAAAGAGTTTCTCGGCACCATTTAAGCTTAGATTGTCTTCCAATGGCAGGATATTGTTTTTTTGGCTATCATTACGGTCCAGATGTACGCCAGAGGGTGCCAGATGCATTCTGGGATTCATACTAGGTACGATGGGTATCCTTTTAGAAGATCCAAACACAAACAACATCTCGGTAAACGTCGACTAACAAGTCCTCGGAAATCATCCAAGTCTCCATTCTTCAGAACCAGTGGTCTCGGGACTGCTTGAAAAGCTCTCTGCCTCCATTGTCAAATGCATGTTGTTTTCAACCCTACCCCTGATTGAATGTGCGAAGATCAGGTCTGGTTGTGGTTGTTTAGGTAGATGAGCGGGTTACAACTCCTGATGAAGTGTAGAGGATACCTAAGGGGTTATGAGAAAGGTGACTGGAGCGAGAGGGTGAAGGGACATGAAAAAGGGCAAAGGTGATCTACTTTGGCGGTAGTTAACTAATACAACGATCTGAAAGCTCCTTCTGTTTTTTATTTGAAGTAATCGTGATTTTCGTTCTTGTGGTGGATGTGACGAAGAATGACCGACTTCACGAGCAAGGTCGGATAGGCAGCACTGATAGGCATCGCCTGCGAAAGAACTCGATGTAGGTCTTACGCAATCTGTAAATATGGCTCAGAAGTTATCGCAGGACATTGAGCAAGGTTAGAAAGACAGTGGTGAAGGTTAGGGAATGAGGACGTGAACATGATCCTGGCGGAGGAAAGTTTTTCCGTTCCCACATCAGCATCGACATCGTCCTGGGTCTCTTTCAAGGGAATCCAGCAACGTACAATACTGCCTCTTTGATATATCCAAAGCGACATTTACGGATGACTCTTACTAGTAAAATTGGCAGGGCCAGTTCACCAGACGGTCCTTCCGGATATTCGTACCATCCCAGGCAACTGGCGGCGAGATGATTCCACCTCGACGGTGTAGCGTTACAAGACTGGTATTTTCTGCTGTCTGAGAATGATGAAATTCGACGAGCTGTACGCTTCGGTGGATGGTAAAATTTATGGCTATGAGATAAACCTACTGAGCAGGTGAGTGGATATCGCTGCATTATCCCAATCAAGTGAGGGTGCTGGGATTTGGAATGGAAGTCATGACGGGGTCAGGATCTCGGACGGTGTCTCTGATACCTGGAAAATACTGGGTCGATGTGTGAATGGGATGAATTGATGTCGCTGTTTGCATTGGAGATGTTCCCGGATCCAAATGACCTGGTAGATGGCCACAGTCACGCAGCACGCGGGTCAAGGTCACTGTAGGTATGCTTAAGTCAGCTCCTGGGTCTTCACATCTAAGTTCCTACAGGTAGAACAAGGGTTCAATGTCCAGGCTTCGGATCGACGTCTGAGTGAAGTGCTCCTGCTCTACTCCTGCTCCTGCCCGTTTTGGTTGAATCCTCTTTCTATCACGTGAACTCGCGTGCCTCTCGCACCGTGGATTTAGGTATTCAATTGCTCGCCCCATCCCCCTCCCCCTTCCCTCTGCATCCCACTTCCAAAGACCCAGAATCTCCATTTCTGCTATCATTCTTTCGGACGGCGGCTTTCTATCTTTAGATAGAACATATCTCGTGCCTCGTTGTTTCAACGACACGTCTACAGGAGTTAACTCTCCTTGTAGTTTATTGGTGTGTCTCGGTGCTCGTTGTTATCAACGACACCTCTACAGGAGTTAACTCTCCTTGTAGTTTATTGGTGTGTCTCGGTGCTCGTTGTTTCAACGACACTTCTACAGGAGTTAACTCTCCTTGTAGTCTATTTGTGTGTTTGGTACTCGTTGCTATCAACGATACCCATAGGAGTTAACTGCCATTGCGGTTTCATCCTAAAGGGGACTTTTGAACCTCGCCTTACCTACCTACACGTCTTCGTTGATTGTGTATGTTTTTGAAATGTCTCAAATGGGACTGAACTTCACCGATGAAAATGATCATCGTGTTGAGGCAAACAGTGACCATCATGGGCACAGTCCAAGATCAACAGAAAGGGGGGTGGGCAGTTCAATCCGGACGTTCTCGCCAGGGAAACGCCAGCATCAAGACACCCCGACCAAGACCAGGCAAGATCCAAAAAAGTTTAGGACTGCTGGTCTAAGCTCTGGTGCTGATAAGCCCTCGGAACTATCGATAGACGGTTACGACTCTGTGGTACCTGGCGACGGAGACCATGATGCGAACGTTGCAAGTGAATCAGCATCGCCGAGCTCTGCAACTTTGGCGAACGAAAGGCCAGCCCTACGAGTGGCTGATCTGCATGGACATCCAGACCGGGAAATCGATTCGGGACAAGTTTCGCCAGAGGATGAGCACGCCCAGCGCCGGGGTGAGCAAGAATCGCCTGGTGAACAGCCTTCCGTCTTTGACAATCCTCAAGAAGCGGCGGCAGAGATTGCCTTTGCCGAAACCCAGATCGAACAAGAAGGAATCGACCTTGATGAGGAGCCTCCAGTGCAGCAGACCCAAATCCGCGCAACTGGCGAAGATTCGATATACAACAGATACTCGGAGCAGCTCACTGAGGCCCTAGATCAAGGCATTGACGCTCTGATCATGGCGGCTATGGATTTGACGGGAATGCCCTGTGATGGATGGGTGGCTAAACGGAAGGCCAGTCAAAAGTGTCATTACAGAGACCTTCTACATTCCCTATGGATCATGGTCATTGGCTGGGACCCTTTGGTGTTGAAACATGTCGTACATGGGAATCTACCAGAGGAGGAGAATCGTAACCCGGAGCTCAAGAAAGCCTTAAGGCTTATGAACGAGAATCTACCAAGGAACAAGGTATGTCCATCCACATATGCCAACTACCTCGTTGGAAAGGGAGGAGTAGCTACTACTGTAGATGATTGCAGGTCGATACTGGACATCGGAGAACTGTACCTCAGCGGACTCGGCAAGCCAGATGACGACTCTGTATCTCACGAACTTGCTGGCAAGGTCGATTCAGCGCTACCCTCGAAGGTATGGGGTCCTCGATCAGCAAAAGAAGGGAAGCGTCGATACATCGAGTCAGATATACAAGCAGGGAAGTGTATGGAATGGATAGAAGCTACAAGGGAGAGACTTCGAGGGCTGTCAGCCGACGAACCACTTGAGAGACCTCTGTGTGAGGTAGGTTTCGCAAAGACACCACATGAGCGACTTGCCCAGCACGCCGCACATACCAGCTCCAACTACCTCATGAACCTGGCCGAAGCCATCTGCATGACCCACAACCATCTCTCACAGTACAGGATCAAGCAATATGTGGTCCACCACCTTGCGCATCACACACACGCCATGTACGACGAAATTCTGGCCAGTCGCTTTGCACTTGTCTACACCAGTCAAGGCGGCGGTTTCAGTCACTACCCAGCGGGAATCAGTCACAAAGGGGCCGAGAAGACGGAAAAGCAGCATTACAATGCCCAACAGGAGCTGTTAGCTCGCGATCCGAGCTTCCACAAGCGAGTAGCAGAACAGTTGGACAAGATGAAGGCTGTGGCGGAATTCTACGAAAGGTTCGTCGAGGTCTCGAAACAGCATCGAGAAAGTATCGAGAAGGTGGCGCTTGCAGCGAGAGCTTTGGATAAGAAATGTGACGAAGTAGCGGAGCAGCAGGCAAGGGAAAGACAGATATGGGCAGAATTGACGGATCCAATACTTGACTTTATGGACTTTGCAGAAGAGCTCGAGAAGGACATGGAGGCTGAAGGTGTCTGAGAAATTGAATATCTGAATCTACACTGGGTTTATCGCAACATTTTATCATTGTGACTGTGAAATAAATTAAAAAGTGAGTAGGCTTAATGAGATAACTCGGCCGCTTCGACATGCTTGATAAATACCTAGGTAGATTTCCGTGCCGCTTCTCTGCCCCCGCACCCGGCACTTCCCTATCCGGGTGGTTGCGGCACACTAAGCTAGCGAGCTGCATATCCCAGATTCCGTTTCTTCGCTTCTCTTCTTTCTTCTCCATCATCAATGAATCGTCTGATTGAGATATATTGGAAGCTTCATCTGTGATCCGCGAGCTGGCTTCATAGCCTTCTCGCACCCCTTTTTCGTTGTTATCAACGACAGTCTTGGTGGTGGCCCTTTGGGGTGTCTGGTGTCCGGTGCTCGTTGTTTCAACGACACCTCCACAGGAGTTAACTCTCCTTGTGGTTTTTTCTTCGGTGTGGCGAGGGTACGGAATTAATTTTCTGTCTCTCTGGTGTGTCCGGTGCTCGTTGTCTCAACGACACCTCTACAGGAGTTAACTCTCCTTGTAGTTTTATTTCGGTGTGTCTGGTGTTCGTTGTTCGCAACGACCCTCTACAGGAGTTAACTCTCCTTGTAGTTTTATTTCGGTGTGTCTGGTGTTCGTTGTTCGCAACGACCCTCTACAGGAGTTAACTCTCCTTGTAGTATTTCTTCGGTGTGTCTGGTGTTCGTTGTTATCAACGACATCTTCTACAGAAATCTTTATTGATTTGCTGTAATAATAATGGCTCCAGGTCATTTTTCTACGGGTTATTACTCCATGTTCGGGAGTAATGTCGTCCACAAAGGGACCGGAGCATTGGGCCCAAACTTCGATGCTTTCGACCGGGACATTGCACCAACTCTCGAGCCGGCGCGATATCATCGTGAATATTGTGAAGCAGACCTGATGGCCAATCTCGCACAAGGTAAGGTTGAGGGAGCTGACATCAGTCTAGTGACGAGTCGACTGCACAGCTCGGCAAGTACCAATACGAAAGCTCTTGTTCCTGAGCTGGTAAGACGGGAGAAAGTGATTACAGACAGTACCAGTCTCCAGAAGGCTTGCGAGACTCATCTGAAGGCGCTAGACCATTACTCAGGCAAGCTGGACGAGAAATCGAAAGAAAAGCGTCTGACCATTGCCGCACAGATCCAATCGTTGTTTCCCGCTGTCCAAGCCGAGTTGGCTCGGATGGAGTTCAAGATTACGGAGGAACTGACGAGGTTGAAGAAAGAGAACGAGACCTTGTGGTTAGAAAAAGGGGCAAATTCCACCTCGACAAGTTTGGGTAGACAACTGGATGAGTTCATGAAACAGGTCGCTTCAAATTCGCATGATGGGAATCACACTTGTGCTTTCCGAAGTGCCAAGGAGAATGTGGAGGAAGACTTACGGCACAAGGAACGGAGAATTCGGGAATTGGAAGATGAGCTGAAAATCGAGAAAGGCCGAAATTCGGACCAAAATCGCAAAGTTGAAGGCCTACATGCTCAATTGAGAGCTTCCGAAGTTGCTAGAATGGCAACAGAGAACAAGCTCGGTGCTCTGCAGGAGCGGATGAAAAATCGACGTGGACGATTCCAAGTCAACTCTCGGGACCAGCAAGAGCGAGAACGCCTAGAATTGGAACTTGATGGAGCCAGGAACCTAGCACTGAGCCTGGAAGCTCAGAATGTCGATTTAAAAGTTGCTATTGATCGCTCCTATGCTTCTGGATTATCCCTAGTCCACCAGAAAACCGCCTGGGGAGAGGAGAGACTCGGTATGAAGAGAGAGCTACGACTTCTCCGAGTTGCTCTGGAGAAGAAAACGGCAGAAGTCGCAATATGGACAAATGCGAAGCAGCAAGTTGATCGAATACTGGCGGACGCTGAGAGCATGCCACCGCCGCCTCCTCCACCTGCATCCCCAGCATCCCCAGCATTGGTGGGCGTTGTCCACATACGACCACGGGCGGACGCCGAGAGCATGCCACCGCCGCCTCCTCCACCCACATCCCCAGTATTGGTGGACATTGCTCACATACGACCACCAGCACCCACTGTGACTGATGCAGACCCTCCAAGCCCGCCATTGGCTGGATCCTCAACAGCCGGGACATCTCCCTCACCGACAGTGTCTCTGAGTGCTGCCGCCTCACCGGTACCAGATAGACGATCTACACGATCAACACGATCTACGCTGGCTATACCATCTACACCGCCTACCTCGTTCACAGCGGCCAGTCCCGAGACTCCTCGAACCCCAAGTGCGAACACTACAGCACGTCGTCGGTCAAGTTCTGTCGCATCTTCATCCAGTCGATCTTCCTCGGCCAACAGGAACACGAATCGACAAAGAGGTGAAGGATACACTTTCTTGGTCAGTGGAGAACTGGCGGATGGCACTCGAGTTTCTGCAGACCAGGTCAACTCGGAAGTTGTGGACTGTATGGAGGAATTGATCGAAAAGTGGAAGAAAAACAAGACATCTTGGTCTGGAGTTTCCAAAATCAGCCACAAGCGATGTTCCTCTACCCGTGTTATGCGAAAGGCCAAAAACAGGAATCCCCCGGCGTCTGAGCATCCAAATGAGGCATGTAGAGACTGCATCAGTGGCAGAGTACTTTGTATTTTGGTTGGTGAGAATGGACCAGTGGTGGTACCTTTGCCCGAGTCACTAAGGGATATGACAGTGACCCCATTGGACAAGGCATTCTACTTGAAACCTTGGCCAAAAGTTTCGTAGACAGTGTCATTGAATATGAGCGTTTGTGCGCAGTTTGGCACAACGATGGAAGCCACGGGATTGGTGGGATGACCTGGCTGCTTGCAATTGGAAATGGGATATTGACGAGACCTGAAATTGCTCTCAGAGGCATGATTATGTAGAAAACAACAAATATAAGAAGAGTTGCTAGATATGCCTCTAAAAGAACAAAGTTGCTTGAATTTGAAGGACCATGGCTGGCATCGCCTTGACATCGTCACATTTCGAAGCCTCCATGAAAAGCTCTGTCGCAGCCCACAACTCTTCACAGCCTCCACCCACAACTCACACCTTTCAATATCATATTTCTGCCGGCCTGGAGCTCATCTCCAGTCTCTAATTGGCTCACCACATCAGGTCAGACAATCTGCTGGCAACGGTAGCACAAGTGGTTATCAAGTTCACCAATGCCTGAAATCCACCATACACCAAAGGTGAACGAGATGGACAAGACCTGATTAGGTGGAAACTTTCCCCAGACAGATCACAAACATACGAATGGAGGGCGATGACTCGAGTCTTATCCACAGGGCCCTCTACGAACCTGCAGCTCTTCTACCAGAGTCTGCAGAGCCAAGATCGAGTCGGAACAGTTCGTAGTGGCGCGGTTCACTTTTGTTTCTGTTTCCTGGGCAGTCTCCTCTCTCTCCACTGAGTTAGTTTCCTGTATCGGCTCTCTTCGGAGGATATCAATCTGCTGTTACGGCGGTCGAAGGCCATGGCCCCCACCGGTCCTGCTCGGCATTCTCTGCCTCTTGTCTCTCAGATCTTCCTTGATTTGTCAGGTCGAGACGGCTGCTCAAGCATCAGTATAATGGTCATCCCCATTAGATGTACTTGAGGACGTTCATGATTCGCTTCCTTGCGATGCTGCGTTCTTATTCTTGGACTTCTACGACGAATCCCAGAGATCAAGGGCTTTGTGTGAACAACACAGGTAAATCTTACGCCGAATGCCATGACTCCTCCACAAGGCTGACCATTCCAGAATGTCCCGAAATCCATCATATGCATCAACCGTGCTCATTCCAACAGGCGTTTTGGTCGATTCCCATATCGCAATCGTCAATACCCAAACCGACAAGTCTTCTTTGATTTCGTTGAGTTGTGTTATCCAAGTATCCCAAAAATGGTCATCGCCATTGGACATATCAGGGAGGAGAGTCTTTCCCTTATGACTTCTTTCTCTTCGAGAAGCTCTCATTCCGGAAAATCTTCATCGATTTTCTGGGATCAAGGCCCTCCGGCGCACAACATCGTGAGCATACTCATTCAGCGCGTGGTTTAGTCGACTCTTACTGTCGTAGATCACTTGAACAAGAAGTCTTCGTTGACTCAATTGTTCTGCGCGGCTTCAGCACACATATCAAGGCATTTCCATTGCTCGATTTGTGAGGGGACTTGCTCCATCATTCCGTCCACCTGTTCACTGGAAAGTTTTCTTTGACATCCTCGGACAGATGGCATGATATTCGCATTCCATAGCATCGCCAATGCTCGAGAACGGGGAGCAGCTGCTCCATTTCTCAGGGAATTGCAGGTGCCTCAGTGGTTCAGAAGCTGTCCAAAGCTTGGATCAAAGAGGTAAATTAGCAAGATCTTCAGCAACGGTACGTTGGGCCTTCTATAACCTTGTTTTTTGAGCTGATTCTCGAGTATAGTGCAGAGTTGCTGGCGAACATTCCTCAATTGTGGACGCACTGCCAACGAGGTTGACAATGAATTCCAAAGATCTCTTCGAGCGGGAGTAGACAGAGATTGATATATTATACAGGATTAAGTCCCCCTTTACCTTCCCCGCATTCCTCGCTCTACCAGCTGACAAGTATAGACAGTCTTCGACACCCAACTCGATACCCTCCAAAGGATCAGCTGCGCTAGGAAGGTCGTCCTTAGCTACAATGTCTTCGTTTGTAATTTCGAGCTTGGAGCTAGCGGATTATACTTTTCATAAGGGACGACAAGGCGTTTGGAAGCTGGGAGGAAATACAAGTGTAGATGGGAGGAAAGTCCTCTTTCACACGACTCTGGGTATAGATAGCTTTGTCTTTGATTTCTCTTGGGCGCTGAGATCGGTGAATGTAGTGAAGCTATTGAGATTTACAAGGATTGAGAGTGTTGGTCTGGGCAAGGATGGTTTGAGGAGGTCAGAGGGGAAGGGAATACTCCTCGATGTTGGTGGATTCGGCGTCGGAGGAAAGTCAGGTCGGGAAGACAGATTCGTATGGATCCAGTGGAAGAGTTGTGGGACATGTGGACAGAAGGAGAGTGCCTGGCAGATATAGACTTAGAATATCAAAAATGCAGTCATCCGAAAGAAGTATCCAGAACGACCTTTCTCATATCCATCGTGTCCCAGGAACTCCAGGTCTCCTTGCGCAACAATATCCCAGCCGTCAGTGGCTTGTGGCTATCAAAGAAGCCGAGATAGGCTATTCTTGAAATCGCAGGGTTCCTTCGTCAATCACAGGAAGAGGGAGAAGGGATATTTGAAAGCGTTCGTTATCCATGGCTATGTCGACGAGGATCTTGACGATGGCGTGGGTGGTTAGGAAATTGCTTCGCTCTGTAGTTGCTGCGAATAAATATATCAAAATCGACAATGAACTGTTCAGAATCTCCAAAGCTAGCATGTTAACATGTCGGTAGGGACCAGAATCGAGAGGATGAATCTCTGTTGAGGTCACAGCTTTAATGTTACTGATTCAGCTGGAACTGTCGATTATCCATTCTTGGACATCGACAACAGAGTTTTGTCAAAGTCCACGATTTCGAGTCGACAACGACGACGGTGGCCTGGCCCAGAGTCCACCCTTACCAGGGTTACGTTGCATCTCTAAACAGTATATTGACCTTTAACCTTCTCATTCTCGCAGCCATCCTCCCTAGGTGGGATACTCCTCTCAACGATCAATCATATTCAACTTCCACCTTTGCCCACCCCTGTCAGGCTTCTCATATAACACCGTCGTATTCCTCTTGGCATCCCTGAATGCCTTATTCTCCTTCCCACCACTTACACCATTCAACGCATCTGCAATTGGCCTCAACAACAAACTCATGCTCAAGTGTCCATCCGGTCCTACCATGACCCTATTCGTCAACACGGCCACAACAACGATAAAAATCAAATGACACCCGCAGATCAGACCGATAATCAGGTAGAAGAAGTACGGGTGTCCAACGTGGAGATAGACGCCTTGGCTGGGGGCACTGCCGATGTAGCTCGTGTAGGGATTGTACATTGTTGCGCCGGCGATGGTTCCTAGAGCGAAGACTGAGATGGCCAATCCGATTTCGTCGGTGCTGCCGTTGGCAGTGGATCCCCAGGGACTATCTCTCGGGTAGATCTGTGAGGCTACGCCAAGATAGTCGGTGTATCCAACTTGGGCAATCGAGGCAGTTGCAATCTGAGCCATATGATCCGAGATATAGGAGACATTATAAGGGTCTTTCTGCGTCTCGCCGAGAGTGATATTGCAGACATAGTACCAGGGATCGGTTTCTGATGCTTCGAAAGCCTCGACTACAGAACAGCGCTGGTTATCTGCGCAGGTGTGGTTGTCGTGAGTGAGAAATGTGGTTGAATCTGGGACGGTTTCTTCGACTGTCATGTTGCCGAGAGTCTCGACGACCAGGTCAATAGACGTGCCAGTTCCATTTGCAGTGACTGGATACGCGGAGCAGTCATACGTGACTTTGATTGTTCGGGATGTGTAGACGGAGAAGGTGCCAATCGGTTCGTCTGTTGGTGAGTCTGAGAAGGTGTGCTCGACACTCCTGGAATCAAGGTCGTAGTAGAGCATGGCACCTTGTGGCTGATAGATCTTGCCAGCCTCAGGTGAGTTATCAGAGGTATTTAAGCGATACGTGTAGCTCAAAGCTCCATACCTGGACATATCAGCCTCGTTCGGCATGGGATATAGCTGGACTTACATATGCGCAGCATACTCCTCATCATGGATCGAAGGATCTGAGGTTACTTCTCCTTGGGGGTAGAAATGATCCAATTTTGGGATCGAAACAAGTCCGTTTGGACTTATCTGAACTTGCGAATAGTCAACATCGAAACTGTACGTCAGAGACAGCATAGCAATTCCAGCTTGAGCGAGCTATAGTCGTCAGATACATCACCTACTGCTTGGAGAAACTCACCAGATTCACAAGCAGCCAGAAGATACACACAAAAACAACCAATGGCCTCCTCGCAACAAGCATTAACTTCACCAACTTCGTCAAACTGTCCGCATTGAGTATAAGATCAAGCTATTTCGTCAGTATGACTCCCTCCAAAATCAAACCAACTCACCTCAACTAAATTTCTCTTCCTCCCACTCAATATTGGCCATCGCATGTTCAGCGCCATATCCCTAAATGCACTCGCAATATTCAAACCCAGCGCAATACTAATTCCCGTCGTCAGGGCATTATACACTTTCTTCCTAGCCTCACTCTGCGCGCCTTGCTGTTGCCATAATCTCGTGGCGAGAATATATCCCCCGCATAACCCCGCAGTAATCAGCCATCTGAACGAACTCCCGAGGAGAATATGTCGCAGCTGTTTTCCGGAATGGTCTTTATATGGAACGAAGGTATTCGCAGTATAGAAAGTGTCGATTTTATTCATGGGGTCGTGCAAGAAAGAATGCATTTCTGGTTCTGCGCGAGTTAGACATTATTTCCGACTCGACGGAGCTAGAAGACTTACGAGATCCGTTGTTGCTGGAGAACGTCGAGTACATCGTATCATGACTCCTATCATGTCTCGGCGGATTTGGTCTCCTCGACTCCATCGCAATACCCGCATCTCCCAGGTCTCCATGGCTCCGATTCGGATCATATTGTGGAAACGGTCTGGCGTACGATCCTGGACTACTGTAGATGGTCCTGTCGTCGTCTAAAGGGGAGAAATTGCCCACTGGAGTATATCTTGGGTCGATTGCATACGACATGTCGTCGATGTCAAGTCTTCATAGTGGGAGCTTCGACTTTTCCATTTTCCTTCAGCTGGATGTTGAATGTGGCACAGGAAGATAAGCAGCGCATTGGTGGCCCTGCTCTTTTGCCCAAAGCATAGCGCATGTCCTACAACGCTGAGGGGGCCGGGACGAGGCTGGCCAGTCATAGTAAATGAGGCATATGTTGGAGGCCCAATAATGGGAAGAGATAGAGAGTTGCGGCTGAGGGGGAGAGTGGCTAGGGGCTTGGGGGTGCGGGATGGTTCGTTAGTGCTGACATCGAACTTCCTGTATCAAGCACAAGATTCTATTTGTAGAGCGATTTGATACAACATGCGAGGTGCTGCGGATAGTTGAGATGTTTATTGAAAAATGCAATGACTTGGAGGAATCGGAATAATTTTACGTGAGAACTTCATAAAGGATCAAAACATGCAGTAGCCTGGTGACCCTCATCCGAACTCAAATAAGCTTCCATAATATCTTACCAAGCTTTAAATTCAGGGCAAGGATAGGTTATCGTGCAAGGATAGTGGATGGAACCCGGCCACTATCCCGGCCCCCTCGAAACTACTGTGCGTCTTGACGACGTATCTGTTGTATTCAACAAGCGCATCTGTCCTATCCGAGCCTATGTAATGATGAAATTCCGAAATGCCCGTCACGGTCAACAGCGCGCTTATGGGGAGGGGAATAGAGATAAGGAAAGCTCAAGAGTCCGTATACTTTATTAGGTACCCACATGACGGGCACGTTTCCTGGATGACTTTTTGCTTACCACGGCTTTTGAAGAGGCGTTTACTGCAGGAAGCCTTTCAATCAAATCCAAAACCGTCAAGTGACAGTCGGTATAAAAGACTTCTCGTTCCTTTCGATGGCCCAAGGGATCTATTTTCAAGCTAAAATTACACAACTTATTATTTCACCGAACCCCTCAGCATATCCTCAAACTCCTCCTTCGCAGCTTTCAACAACTTCTCATCAGTCAATGCCTCCAGTCCAGTGACAGCCAAAGCCTTCCCAGCTCTCAAAGCAGCAACGTGAGCTTCCTTCGTCCTCGCAGCTGCCGCAAAACCTGGATTATGAGGCCCTTCAGTACTTTTTATCTTGAACCCCAAGCTCACGCTCGGCATGGCATAACTGATATTCCCCTGATCCGTACTCGCCTGAGTCGCTCCACGGATTATATCCACATCTGGAGGAGGAATATCGCTTCCTAGAGCATTCATGACTTGTCTCGACACCTTGCAAAGAGCTCTATTGGGGACATGGTCATCATATCCCATGATTTCAGTGATCTTCAACTTCGCACCTGTAGCTTCGGCACCGGCTTCAAAACACTTGTTAACTTTCTTCCTCAGGACCTGTAATCTCTGCTTGCTCAATGCTCTGGTGACGAAAATTCCTGCTGCGTATGCATGGATGATATTCGGAGCTGCGCCACCATCTGTGATGTGTCCTTGAATGATATCTCCCGGCATAGTCTGCTGTCTCAAAACACTCAATACATTGTACGCCGTGATCAACGCGTCAAGAGCATTAATACCTTCCCATGGAGCAGCTGCAGCGTGTGCTTCTTTGCCGAAATACTCCACCTTAAAGCTCATGTATGCATTCGTTCTCATTAAAGCGCAATCAGCTACTTTTCCGGGATGGGAGATGAGGTTGATGTCGACTTTGTGGTCGGAATATGCCCCTGCTTCGAGGAGTTTGATCTTTCCACCGCCGCCTTCTTCGGCCGGTGTTCCATATAAGATGATCTTGCCTGGTATGGAAAATCTGGTCATGGCTTCACCAGCTGCAAGTGCTCCAGCTAGAGAACATGTAGCGATGAGATTGTGGCCACAAGAATGACCGATTCCCTTGAGTGCATCTGGATTGTGAGAAAAGATACAGAAATGAGTTTAGGTACGTACCATATTCAGCATTGAAGCTGATTACAGATCCTTTTATGCCACTGTCGTACTCTGCGACGAAGGCGGTTGGGATGCCATACGCTGATGGCGTGACCTTCCATCCCTTCCTGGATTTTCATAAAGTTCACCAGAGTCTCGTGCGCAATGAATTCCTCGTAGTTCAGTTCTGGGTTATCGTGGATCTTCAGATTCACTGGACGGAGTGTCTCGCTGATCGAGTCGATGTATTGCGAGACGAATTTAAGGTACTGCAATGGATTGTCTGGTGAACGTGAGATGACGATCCTCTATGTAGGGTTTTAATCACCTATCTGAAGACTTTTTATCGCCTGTAATGGCGGTTCATCGTTTCTCGTCGATATATCAACGTACTCGTCATCGACAATGTCAAAGACAATCTGCATTGTGACGAGCGTTGCAATTGAAAACTGAACACTCTTCGACGATGATTCGACAAAATCAGCCTCTTCCAACGCGTACGAGCTGCTTACGATGTCCGGTCTGTTTATCTTACCGATAGGCGGACTCCGCTTCCAAACCTCGAAGATGGGGTGAAGAGGGGCAAGCTGTGTAGAAAATCCTTACCAAACACAGCAAAACCTTATCTTGCAACTAATCAAAAGTACCAATTTCTTCAGATGCAATTGGTCAATTCCACCGATAAACGACTTTTGACGCGAACGAGCCGAACAAAGACCCGTTCATCAGCAGGCCGCCGGACAATCCAATGGTGTTTCCGGCGTACTCCCGGCAAACTACCCCCATTTTTGGCGATATCGTGGAACGGTTCCCATGTACGAACGACTAAATTCTAGTTGACCGGCGGTTTGGGATGGAATGGTCGAGATAGAATGCCGTTGACCATATGGTGGTGGATATTCCACTTCTCCCTTTTCTTTTCCCGCTGTAATTGCAACTTTTTCTCTCAGCACTTCCTCTGGTATCACATTCACATTTTGCCAAAATGGGTACTCAAGACGAGATCAATACAACGAGTGATACTCAGATCACTCTCAATGAGAAGATTCCAGTCATAACCGAGTCGGATGAACCTGGATCCAACAAGTCCGAACTTCATATCGACGATGAAGCAGGGGCGATTGCTGCGCAGGCTCTTGCCAGTGGCCCTGCAGATACAGAACTTTCAAAGAAGGTACTCCGGAAGATCGATTGATATATTCTGCCTTTTCTGTGTATCACATATGGTATAAAATTTCTCTCACTCCATAAAGATATGCCACTGACTTGGTCCCAGGCCTGCAATTCCTCGACAAAACAACCCTCGGCTACTCTTCTGTCTTCGGAATCATCCCAGACAATAAACTCGAAGGACAAGACTACGCATGGGCATCGTCAATCTTCTATTTCGGTTATATGCTCGCTGAGTACCCAGGCGTGGCATTAATGCAACGCTTTCCCATCGCCAAGTTTCTCGGAAGTGAGATCTCAATTTCACAATCAAGTCAGTAAGCAGAACTAGCCGATCCAGTCAATATCATTCTGTGGGCCTCAATCCTCATGATAACTGCAACATGCTCTTCCTTCGCCGGCCTGGCAACAGTCCGCTTCATGCTCGGTATGTTTGAGGCCACAATTTCGCCCGGTTTCGTCGCTATCACAGGTATCTGGTGGACCCATCAAGAACAAGCTTCTCGATCCGCAATCTGGGTCTCATTCTTGGGATTCTTCGGCACTATCGGCGGGCTCATCACTTTCGGCATCGGACATATCGAAGGGAGTCTGGCTACATGGAAATTGATCTTCTTGATTCTTGGAGCGTTTACGATCGTTTGGGGTGTGCTGTTCGTTATTGTCGTTCCTGATAATCCAGCAACCTGCAGATGGCTGAGCCAAGAGGAGAGGGTTATTGCGATCCAGCGTGTGGTGGAGAATAAAACGGGCACGAAGAGCACGACTTTCGTCAAAGCTCAAGTAATTGAAGCTTTGACGGATCCAAAGATCCTGTTGCTGGGCTTGATTTCATTCGTCAATGCTGTTGCAAGTGGCGGGTTGAGTTTCGGCAGTATCATCATCAAAGGTTTTGGATTCACATCGTTGCAGACGACGTTGATGAATATGCCGTTGTCTTTCTTGCAAGCTATTTTCACGCTCATTGGTGGTTATGCACAGCACAAGTTCCCCAATGCAAGGCTGATCGTTGGATCTGTGGCAATGATTCCACCCATCATTGGTACAGTTTTGATCAATCAGCTGGACGCACAAAATAAATGGGGACGATTGGTTGGTGTCTGGCTTCTCGCTGGATATCCAACTGGTTTCATGGTTCTGCTTGGGCTGCTAGCCACCAATGTAGCCGGATCAACCAAGAAGAGTATGGCTAGTGCTATGGTATTTGTCATGTACTGTGTTGGGCAGATTGTTGGTATGTTTGCCAGTCCTCGCCAGGTGACCAAGCTAACAAGTCAGGTCCTCAATGCTTCAAGGCAAAACAAGCACCAGCCTACCATGGTGGAATTATTGCAATGCTGATTGGTTTCATCCTTAATATTGTATTCAACTTGACTCTCCGAATCCTGTATCAACTCGAGAACAAGAAGCGGGATCGAGCATTGGAAGGGAAGACTCAAGAAGAGATTGAGGCTTTGAAGGACGAGAGTCGTCTGCAAGGCTTCGATAATGTGACAGATAAGCATAATGTAAGTTCTCTCGGAGTGTTTATGAGCCCGTTGCTGACCCGATTCAGGTCTTCTTTCGGTATTCGATCTGAGTCAAGTGATGATCATAGAGAGAGGGATGCTGCAGGATACGGGCTTGGTGGAAGAAATAAAAGTCCTGCGATCATTCATACTAAGTAATCTATACTGATTTCGTGTTCCGGGGCGAATCTGTCGTTTGGCCCCGAATTTGGAAGTGTGACTTAGGCAGATCCTCCGCGTTAACAAAACATCAGCTTGAAATATTTTTACTTCTTTGGAAATCGCAACTTCTCATGCCATGATCAGCATCATGTCCATTCGTCTTTCCTCATAGTTGCTTTGGATTCCCAAATAAGGTCTCAGCTCAACACCTTATCTCGTGTTCGATGTCACACTAACTCGTAAATGAGCCATGTGACGCGTGTGACGTCCCGCTAAGTATGATCTGGCATTGCGATTCGCTACCGACATTGAAAATACGAGATCAGGATTCTGTGTTATTAGCATCCCTTTGCTCATCTCAAAAGCCGATTCGATAGATTTAGTAATGTCTCTCGCCTTGTGGGAGCTTTTGTACCCCGCTGAGGATAAATTAAGCATACTGGTAAGAGATCTGCTGTTGAGCTGAGGCTCTGTACTCGTTGGTAATGCACGTTCCAATGGAATAATGACAGGACTTGTTCTATATAATCTCACAAGATCTCTGCAGGAAGTAAGCCTTCAAACATCATCCAGTGTCATTCAAACAACACTCCAAGTCAAGTCCAACATCACAATGCAACTCTCACACCTCAGCGCTGTTCTCCTCCTCCCCCTCCTCACATCTAGCACCCCACTTGGCAACGACCAACCTTCTTTCTTCTACAAGCAACTCTCTCTGACCTTCCATGGTGGCCCAGCATCGTACTCGCTCACTTTCCCAGCGGACGGAAACACCTATCCAACCAACAGCAATGCCCTGACCATCAACCGCATCACCACCAACAGTGATTTCAACATCTTTTACGGGTGTAACTTCTATTTTGCCGACGATGGTGGGAAGCCAGTAGCTACGTCTTCGAGTGGTGCGGATGGGAGAGAGGTCCTGGTTGGCACGCCGAGGGTGGTGACGGGTGTAAATTGTCAACCCACTCCCGGGGGAAGCAATACGTGTTTACCTGTCTATGGTGAGTCCTTTTTCTTCGATAGAGTTGCTGCAGAGATGAGTCGTGCGTGCTGACGAGAAATAGCGAGCTGTGAATGGTGTGGTGGTGCCAACGGAGAGGGCGGATGTCATGTCTTGAATTGCTGTAGTGGATATTGTGCTGCTACTAAGTGTCGATCGACTTCTTAGGTATTATTTCAGGACTACCTAGTACCTCAGAACTTGAGAGATTGAGCTCCGAGTGGGAGAGATTTGATTACTGCTCTTTTAATTTCCGACCTCTCCATTTTCGTTGGAATTCGAAAGTTTTCATATGGGGATCACTTACGAGGAATAACCTGATTAACATAAACTTCCGGTTATTTCGCAGTCTTATGAACAAACTGTGGTGTTATACTACTTAACGATAATGTTTTGATCTATGTGAATTAGGCGAGACGAGGATGCTATTGATTCTCCGGGTCTGAAACCAAGGGACCACTAGATTGAAAGCTTGTCTGTTTGATAATAGAGAAAGAACCCATCAGGCACTCCAAAATTCATTGGCTCTGAGGAATTGACACTTGATTCAAGTCCGCATGTGGAGCGAGATGTTGTTTATGTTGAGATATTCTAAAACCATGCCCTTTACACCCTTAGAATGTATATAGCGCCATTCTCCTCCCAAGGGCCTCTATGGCTCCCAACAGAAGCTTTCTATCCTGGTCAAGAGTAGCTGTTCTATTGGTATTGTCTACATTTACAAGGTACAGTTGGTCTCGTAACACGGTATTCTATTCGTTCATTAACCCAACCAATAGATGCAGCCCACGTATCACTCAACACCTCGACACGACAAGGCTGACGTTGAATGAGATAACGACCCAACCTTTTGCTCCTGATTGTTCGTCAACCCGGCTCTGAACATAGATAGCTGTCTTAATATCCATCTGTTTCGTACAAGTGTGTCTGCAGGGCATTGAGAGCGCTTAGGGTTTGAGGTTTGGGTTATATTTGTTTCTAACTACGCTAGCTTGCGACGAGTGTTTTTATCTCTCTCTAATAGTCTTGAAATACAGAAGGACTATACTAATAATACAGAGGGTAAGAGCCTGAAGGTGTCAGGGGTACAGAAGGTAGAGTACTAAGACAGAAGGAGATAATACAGGGTAAGTGGAGTGTGTACCAAAGGGTAAGTAAAGTGTGTATCAGAGGGTAGGTGTAGTGTGTACCAAAGGGTAGGTAGAGTGCGTACCATAGGGTAGGCAGAGTATGTACCACAGGGTAGGTAGAGTGTGTACCACAGGGTAGGTGTAGTGTGAGTCGCAGGGTAGGTAGAGTGCGTACCATAGGGTAGGTAGAGTGTGTACTAAAGGGTAGGTAGAGTGTGAGTCTTAGGGTTTGAGGTTTGGGTTATATTTGTTTCTAACTACGCTAGCTTGCGACGAGTGTTTTTATCTCTCTCTAATAGTCTTGAAATACAGAAGGACTATACTAATAATACAGAGGGTAAGAGCCTGAAGGTGTCAGGGGTACAGAAGGTAGAGTACTAAGACAGAAGGAGATAATACAGGGTAAGTGGAGTGTGTACCAAAGGGTAAGTAAAGTGTGTATCAGAGGGTAGGCGTAGTGTGTACCAAAGGGTAGGTAGAGTGTGTGCCAAAGGGTAGGTAAAGTGTGTACCAAAGGGTAGGTGTAGTGTGAGTCGCAGGGTAGGTAGAGTCTGTACCATAGGGTAGGCAGAGTATGTACCACAGGGTAGGTAGAGTGTGTACCAAAGGGTAGGTGTAGTGTGAGTCGCAGGGTAGGTAGAGTGTGTACCATAGGGTAGGCAGAGTATGTACCACAGGGTAGGTAGAGTGTGTACCACAGGGTAGGTGTAGTGTGAGTCGCAGGGTAGGTAGAGTGCGTACCATAGGGTAGGTAGAGTGTGTACCAAAGGGTAGGTAGAGTGTGAGTCGCAGGGTCGGTAGAGTGTGTACTATAGGGTAGATAGAGTGTGTATCACAGGGTAGGTGAAGTGTGAGTTACTTAGGGTAGGTGAAGTGTGTGCCGTAGGGTAGGTGTCGTGTGTGCCGTAGGGTAGGTGTAGTGTGTGTTATAGGGTAGGTGTAGTGTGTGCTGTAGGGTAGGTATAGCGTGTGTTATAAGCTACCTACGTGCTAGGATCGAGGTTGCAGCGATTCCTCGAGCCTGAGTTAGGGTGCTAGCGATATACCCGTCTAACCACTTAGCCCTAGAGTGCCCTAATAGGCCCTGTAGGGCCTTATAGGTCTTCGCTGTTTCGGCTTCCATTAGGCCTCCTGCCGAGAAGATCAGGGGGTGAAATACAGGGCCTAAGTCGCTGTATTTAAGCCGTTTAGCGTTTGCTGCCTCTGATAGCGTAGCATAGGCTTCTTCGCGTGCTGAATCCTTGTTGATTGCTACTATTTGAACGTCGTAATAGTGCCTAGAAGTACCTATAAGCACTGAAAAATCCGGTCGTTGGCTGTTTTCTAGGGCTATAGGCGTTCTAGCTGGCGTAGGCTCCGATTCCACTTTAAGGTCTTCCCGGCTAGAAAGGGTAGTAATAAATGCACGGGTAACCTGGTTATGGCGTATAATCCAGCGTCGTTCAGCACCTCTACAGGTGTCTTCGTGGCCTATTTGAGGGTAGGCTCCACAGGCGGTACAGGGCGAAATAGGGGGCTTTACAGGGAGTAAGAGCCTAGTCCGTAGTGCTTCGGTAACTGTAGAATCCGCTAAAAGGTGGTGTTTTTGCGTGGGCAGGGTTCTAAGCCAGTATCGTCCGAGGTAGCTAGCGTTCTCAAGCTTCGATTTTAGCGCTTGTTTTGATAGGGTAGGTAGAATCTTCTCTTCTAGGTCTTGGTTAACACTAGAGAAGACCTCTTGGGCTGTCGGTACAGGGCGTCCAGGGGGTTCCGGGTAGAGATTAGGGCATATAGCCACTAGAATCGATCGAGAGGCTTCCTTAGCTGCCCTATAGAGCCCTGGGGCTAATAAGGCGTGTATAGGGAGCCCTAGGCCTCCCTCTCTCACTGGAAGAGAGAGTAAAGCCTGGCGAATTAGGGTAGTCTTCTCCCCTAGCTCCCTAGCGATTAGAGCTTGTACAGCGTACTTAATTCGTAGGTCCGCTAACCTCCAGAGGTCTAGTAGGTCTTCCGAGTACAATTAGCGCTATAAGTGTCGTAGGAGTAGGTGTATACTACCCCGTAGGAGTAGGGTAGCGTGTTGTTTAGGGAGGTCTCGTAGGGTATATAGCGCTGTAGCGAGAGTGTCGATTTTCCCCTGGAGGAACGTTCGGCGGTGTGCTACAGGGCCTATAAAGGTCCCTAAGGCCTTAAGTCCAGTGGTTTGTAACTGGGAAATAGGGCTTTCGGTGCTCTTTTGGCGGTTAAGAGCTACTGGAGAGTCCCTGAAGGCTTCTATAACTACAGGGAGTAGTGCTGTAGTTTCAGGGCTAAGGATATAGATATCGTCCAAATAAGCTATAATTGTAGCCTTCGGTAGGGTCTTTTGGAGGTGCTCTAGCAGGGGGCGGATCGCTAGAGAGAATAAGAGGGGGGCAATAGGGTCTCCTTGGCGTACTCCTTCAGCGCTTGCTAGCGTGTGGCCTTCGTTTGTTACTAGCACTGAAGGCTGGTTATAGGCCCATTTAGCGGTCCGATAGAGAGTAGGGGCGTATTTAGCGACTGCAGCTGCTATTGAGGTTCGTCCGATTCGGTTATAAGCGTTGATAAGGTCTAAGGAGGCGATTTGCTGAGTTTTTAGGGTATTTGGGCCGGTAATAGCGTCGTCAAGGAGGAAGATTATAGGCTCTACACCACCTGGGGTGCTAACGCCTAATTGGCAGGGTAGAAGCATAGACGGCTTGAAGGAGCTGATAAGGATCGCTTTTAGGGCTACCTTATAAATAAGGTCCCCTATAGCGATCGGTCGCACACCTCCGTCAGGCTTCTGAAGGCCTATAAGTCGGGAAGCACATAGGAGGTCGACCCCTGGAGCTGTACCCTGTCGAATCATATTCGCTAGGTGTGTAAGCGCTATAGTTACAGGGGAGTTTTCCGAATTTAGCGCTATATCAAGTAGCGGGCGGGTCCAGCCGCTGAGGCCAGGGGCTTTCTCTCTATTAATCGATCGAATAGCCTGTCGTATCGTTTCAGGGGTGATATTTTGCCCCGGGGAGGGGTTAGCGTTACTGAAGGGGTTATTATGCCCTATAGGGTGCTTCGAGTATAGCGTATTTAGCGTCTCTGGAGTGCTAGGAGCTAGAGGCGTAGGGTCGATTAGGGCTCTAGAGGCACGCCCTATATAGCCTTTTTCCAGAAGCTTAGTCGCTCTTTTGGCGGGGGAGTCGTTTGAGGGGGTAGGGGGTTCAGGGGGAGGTCCCTGAGTTTCAGGGATATCCGGTATAGTCGTAGGGTAGGCTTTCAGCGTTTTAGCGAGCTCTTCCTTCTGTAATCCTAGGCCGAGAACCCTGGGAAGCAGTAAAAAGTCCAGTAATTGCTTCTCTCTAGGCTGCCGTAAGAACGCTAAAGCCGCTCGATTAGCGGCCTCTGTAAATAGCGCTGCTTGCCTGGCGTGGAGACGTGTTTCAGGGACCTTAATAGTGCTATATCTCATGAGGGATTGCATATAGGGGTTTCTTAGCGCTGAGCTTATAGCGTTCAAGTGGTCTTTAGCGCTCTCGTCTAGGGGTGTAGGCGCTGAGGAAGCCTGTGGGTGTAGGGGTGTAGGTGCTGAGGTAGCCTGAGGCTGGGGGCAGTGGATCGATTGTTGTAATCCAAAGGGTAGCTCAGATGTGAGGGGGTCGGTAGGGCGTTTTAGTGTTGACGTTCTAGGGCGTTTAGGCGCTGAAGATGCTGTGCCTTGTGTTGATATAGGGCGTTTAGACGCTGTAGGCCCTATAGTACGGCCCTGGAGTGTTGGGTTACAGGGTAGGCTAGGTGTGGAGGTTTCGCAGGGTAGGTGAGTTGTGGTTTTTTTAGAGGGTAGGTGAGTTGTGGTAGTTTTGGAGGGTAGGTGATTTGTGAGGGGTAGGTGTGTTGTAGGGGTGGTTGGGGGAGAAGAGCTTATTATTATAGGCTCTTTAGCGTGAGAGGGTGCTGAAGCTTGGGGAGCTTTAGGGGGTGATTCTAGGGGTGAGTAGCTTCGGTTGCTTATAGGGGAGCCTACTCGTGATAGTCGAGGGAAGTAGGGGCTATCAGAGGGTAGGCTAGGTGTGGTAGGCGTCTTATCGGTAGGTGTAGTTGGTATAGGCGTTGAGATAGCGTCTTCAAAGCTAGGGGTAGGGGACGATGGCGCTGTAGAGGCACTATAAAGATCTTCGTCGGACGAGCTGTCTTTGATTATAGGCTCTATAGGCTGCGTAGGGCCTATCTTTTGGCGTGTCGTAGGGCGTTGAGCCCCTGGGGAGGGTGTTCTTGCAGGGCGTTTAGTGGACGGCTTCGGGGGTATATAGCCTGTAGCGACGATTTGGGCGTATGTAGGTGACGTAGAGCCTGTAGGCGTGGGGGGTCGAGAGCCTGGGAGGGAGTCTGGTTCAGGGCCTGTAGGGCCGTCGTACGCTGGGAGTATAGCGTCTACTTCCCCTGGAATCGAGTACCAAATACCC